CCCAATATACAGCAAGGCTACTAACACTGCCTGACATGCATCCTACAGCGCGGATACTCCTGTGACTCTCAGGCATGGTGATCTCCACGTACAACCTGGAGAGCAACCGCTAGATGACCGTGAATGGGCCTCTAGAGATAACAAGGTGCCGAATCGACTAGGCCAAAGGCTTGCAAAGTACCTAGCTCAACGGCTGAGCAAAGACCCCTCTGGAGGAACCGAGAGAACTGAACAATGCGAGCTTAAAGGCTTCCCAGGCTCAATCCAAGTACTTGACAATGAAGAGGCCCTTATAGAGGCTAACTAACAGCGCCGTGGAACGACATTTTGGTCAGATGGCTCTAGACTTGATACAGGACGTGCCGGAGCCGGTGTAGCTTTACAAGCAGTACCTGAGGGCCCGTGGGAACACGTAGAGGTGCCAATGGGCCATAGATATGAGGTCTTTGACGCAGAACTAGTGGGAGTGGCTATAGCCCTTGAGTGGGCACTTGGGAGGCAACTTCTAGGTCCTATCTGGGTGTTTCTTGATGCACAGAACGCTATCAATCGCCTTAAATCGACAAGGCCAGGTCCTGGGAAAGGCCTTGTTCTCAGGGCTCACAGGGCAGCTAAGAAACTAGCCATGAGAGGTCAGCTGGTGACAATACAATGGGTTCCAGGCCACTCAGGGATCGAAGGGAATGAACGGGCTGATCAAGCTGCTAAACGTGCAGCTAGCAAACAAACAGCACCTGGTTTCGAGCACCTATCTCTAGCGTACATTAGACGGGCTTGCATCAAAGCCAGGAGAGCTGCAGTATCTGAATGGGCTCAAATCAACGCCGTACAAGGCAGGCACAGAGACGGACGTGTCTACAAGATGCCTCCAGGCTGGAGCCTTGACCTAGCCGCTACTACCAGTTGAAGACAGGGCATGCACCCATAGGCACCTACCTACACCGGATAGGCCGACGAGAATCACCTGAGTGCCAGGCCTGTAAGGAGCCTCACGAGACAGGCTTTATATCGAGCCCTCAAGAAAGCTGGCGTGCCGCTGCCTACAGCGGCTGAGGAAAGTTCCGAGGCTAGGCTGTTTGCCGAGCCTAGGGCGACGCAGGGCTTGCTGCAATTCGTGGCTGAAGCCAACCTGTTTAATGATAAGGAGCGGACAGCTAGAGATAGGTGCTCGAAACCAGGTGCTGTTTGTTTGCTAGCTGCACGTTTAGCAGCTTGATCAGCCCGTTCATTCCCTTCGATCCCTGAGTGGCCTGGAACCCATTGTATTGTCACCAGCTGACCTCTCATGGCTAGTTTCTTAGCTGCCCTGTGAGCCCTGAGAACAAGGCCTTTCCCAGGACCTGGCCTTGTCGATTTAAGGCGATTGATAGCGTTCTGTGCATCAAGAAACACCCAGATAGGACCTAGAAGTTGCCTCCCAAGTGCCCACTCAAGGGCTATAGCCACTCCCACTAGTTCTGCGTCAAAGACCTCATATCTATGGCCCATTGGCACCTCTACGTGTTCCCACGGGCCCTCAGGTACTGCTTGTAAAGCTACACCGGCTCCGGCACGTCCTGTATCAAGTCTAGAGCCATCTGACCAAAATGTCGTTCCACGGCGCTGTTAGTTAGCCTCTATAAGGGCCTCTTCATTGTCAAGTACTTGGATTGAGCCTGGGAAGCCTTTAAGCTCGCATTGTTCAGTTCTCTCGGTTCCTCCAGAGGGGTCTTTGCTCAGCCGTTGAGCTAGGTACTTTGCAAGCCTTTGGCCTAGTCGATTCGGCACCTTGTTATCTCTAGAGGCCCATTCACGGTCATCTAGCGGTTGCTCTCCAGGTTGTACGTGGAGATCACCATGCCTGAGAGTCACAGGAAGTATCCGCGCTGTAGGATGCATGTCAGGCAGTGTTAGTAGCCTTGCTGTATATTGGGCTACTCTGGCGTCGAGTAAAGTTGCCGCTGGCTCTAGAGCTGCCTCTCTAATTAGAGCTCTGATTCAGGTTTTTGGGAACATGCCCGTGATAGCTCTGGCTTGCTTATTGATTAGAACTTGGAACCTCTGTGCCCATATTTTCTGGCCTTGCTACCAAAGCTCGGCACTCTAAAGGAGTTGGGCTTGCACCGTAGCCTTTTGTATGCGCCTTACTAACGCTGGGGGTAGTCCGTTGGCTCTGCAAAGTGAGTTTAACCTGATTATTGTGTTTCTTGCTATCTCAATTCGAGCCTTTTAGTGATTCTTCCATGTTAGACGGCTGTCTAGGAGTATACCTAGCCACTGTACCGTTGGTTTGACAGTCGCCAACTCACCTCCAACTCTGATACGAGCTTGGGACACGTTTTCGGCCACTTGACGTCTGTGTCGTCTATAAAAGAAGGTAGCCTCGGTCTTCTTAGAGTCAAATTGCACCCCATTGGTTACCCCCCACTCGATAGCCACTTCAGCTGCTTTCTCTAGGGTCCTACAAGTCTCCTTCACAGAGCTTGCGGCTGTTATCAGGCCTTGGTCGTCCACAAAGGATAGGCCTCGAACCTCTGGAACCCTACTCTCGATGGCTCTGGACAGCCCATGAACGTATAAAACAAACAGGATTGGTGATACCGGAGAGCCCTGAGGTAACCCAGAGCTTATTGATGCTTCCTTTCCAACGTGTCCGTCAATCACGAGGGTGACTCGCCAATCAGATAGAAATGAGACCACCCAACGTATAAGATCTCCATCTACGCCAGCCTCTCTGAGGACCTCTATCAGTTTGGCCAAAATAACATGATCAAAGGCCTTCTTGATATCCATAAATAGAGCTGCAGCTAGCTTCCTGTTTGCCCAAGCTTGGTGAATCTCCTCTACAAGGCATGCCACTGCGTCAATAGCACTGCATTGTGTACGTCCTCCGAATTGGCCATCGTGGAATAGGCCCTGGGCCTCTGCAAAGCTAGTAATTAACTCTGCGGCAATCTTCTCAATGACCTTGCCCAGGCATTTTAATAGGCTGATGACCCTGTAGGCACTTGCCAGCGTGTAGTTCGTCTTGCCGTTCTTTCTTAGTAAAACCCCTTTAGCCGTTTTCCAGACACATAGATGTATCCCAAGCCGAAGGCACTGTCTAGTCAGGCTAACCACACGCTCCGAATCTAGATTCCATAAGAGTCTGATGGCTCTAAATTTCAACAAATCCGTGCCTGGCGCTTTCTCTAATCCCTGGCTAAAGAGAGAATCCTTGACAGCTTTCTCATTGACCAACTTGTGGGCAGATCCAGACTCTGGAAGCTGGAAGCTGTAACTCAACGTCTCTACCTGGAGCTTGTGGGAAAGCACGGTGTCTAAAGACCTCCTCTTTCTCGCTAAAAGTGGCTGCTATCACGTTCCCAGAGGTCTCATCAGTTAGGGCTGGGTTCTATGAGATTGTTGGAATGTGAGAAAACCGTACAGTTTACACGTTATGAGAGTGTGAAGATGTGTGGGTTGAAAGATATGGGGATATGTGGTTTGGAAGTGAATTGGTTATTTGTTTTATTTGTTTGATATGTTTGCATTCTTTAGTCTTGTCTCCTTAGCTTCCGTTCTCTGTGGCGCGCTCGTATGGCTCACCACCCGTGGCTGTGCCGCGAATTTCTTGATGCCAGCAGACTTAAGCACACACCTGGATAGCGGCTATTTAGACCGTGGCTAGCTACAGCAGGTATATCAAATCTACTACTACTATTAATTTACCATTCGGTTTCTCGGTTTATTATCATCTCCATGGAACCCAAATACCTAAGGTAAAGCTTGCTCCTTATGGTGTAGATGGGACGGGCGATCGGCTATAGTGGTGCAACAATCTATAAGGGATGGAATCCGCGCACTGGAAAGCTTTTATCACCGCAGACATTGAATCTGCAGGAACAATATTGAGAATCCCCTATCAAGGGGGGAAGAAGAAGCGATGGGCGTGACTAAAGATACTGTTGGCGTCTCCCTCCGCACCTTTACAAGAGGTGCAGGCAGCATCCGCCGAGAGTCTAGCCGACATTGCTCAACAGACTCTCAATATAAGACCAGTTGAAGATGAAACAGCGGACCTCAATTCTGGCGCCTAGGTTCGACCAGCAAAAGGTTATTACGTCTTCTCTGCACGCATAAAATTGGTGATGCAAGCTGCCGACATTCCTCGCAGCTACAAGGAGGCAATGGCCAGTGATAACCGCAATTCCTGGCTGGCTGGCTGCCGTCAAGAATATTAAAGTCTCGTTGATTGTAGCACTTGGGACCTTGTTCGGTCCAACGACGTATCAAAGGACCTCCAGCCTATTCCTGGCAAATGGGTTTTTGACAAGAAGCTCAATACTGATAGATCTATCCGCTATAAAGCACGTTGGGTGATCCGAGGAAATATTTATAATAGGCACGAACATCTCTTTGGTGACAAATCCGCACTAGCTGTGACATCCTCCACGAAATTAATTCTGTCCGCAGCAGCCGCGCATTATGGCTGGTTTGTGGCACAAACTGATGCTATCACTGTATTTTCGAACGGAAAGCTTTCTCAGCCGGTTTATATGAAGCAGCCGACTGGGTTTGAACAAGGCGAGCGCGGCGTTCTTGTATGTAGATTGCGGCAAGCCCTCAATGGCTTAGAAGCATCTGCCCGCATCTGGTACAATACTCTTTGACAGCGCTCGGATTCCGTGTCAGTCCCTACAATTCAGGACTCTTCATATATACGCCAAGGACAGATCTCTATATGACTGCACAAGTTGATGATTTTGGCATTATTGGTGCCAAGCGCCCTGACATCCAATGAGTACCTGATGAAATGGGCAAACAGTTTGCCATCAAGGACCTAGGAGAGATGAAATATTATTTAGGCCCTCATGTATCACGCACAAATGATACTTTGAAGTTATTCCAAACTGATTTTATTGACAATTTGCTTCGTGATATGTCAATGACGGGCTGCAATTTGGTAGCAACACCTATCCATCCAGGTCTTGTTATAGATGACTCACATGACCCGACTATCGATCTTCGCAGATATCAACACATTGTTGGATGTCTACAGTGGCTTGCATGCCGCACACGACCAGATAATGCCCGTATCACACTTGGCGCAGTATAACACTAAGCCTACACCCAAATGGGTTGCTGCTTATAAGCAAGCTCTCGCGTATCTTCGAGGCACGCGAGCGGCCGGTATTGTTTTCGCAGGGGACTGGTGTTCTTCCACGTCCCATTGCGTATACTGATGCTGACTCCAGGTAGACGCTCTTGCAGTGGGTACGTCGTTCTTCTCGCTGGCGGCCCAATATTATGGGGATCTCACCTCCAAACCTCTGTCGCCTTAAGTTCCAACGAGGCGGAATATACGGCAGCTTCAGATGCTGCATGAGAGCTAGAATGGCTCACTCGATTGGTGGTAGATATGGGTTTATATCCTATTGATACGGACCCCATTACTTTCTTTATAGATGATCGTGGCGCCAAACCCTTGTTGAATCCACATTGGTTCCCAAGCAGTCAAAGCATACCGATATTCGATACCACTACATCAGAGATATTGCCTCGCGGGGGATCATTAAGCCTACCGCGATAGGCACCAAGAAAATGATTGCTGATGAGTTCACTAAACCTCTGCCTGAAGCGCAATTCCGAGAGTTTACTGCACAGCTTGGACTAGCTTGAACCAGCGGTCGCTATCTTGATTCGTTTTGTTGTAATTCTGCTGTTGATTCCGATGTACAGCTCTTGCGCAGTTGATTAGGTAGATTTTGGCGCTCTGTCGGTTCGAGGCGTTGGATTAGCTAAGCTGATCTAGCCAATCAGCCAGTCAGAGCGAGCCACACACTTAAGAGAAGGATCCACCGAATAGGGGGCGAGAAACGTCTCCCACCTTCACTGTACTTAGAAGAGAACAAGAATGACAACAAGGATCAAGGATTCCATACTTTTGCATACATGGTCTGATACATTGAGATATACCGCTTGAGATTGTTATGTACAATCCAACACGAGGTGTGTTAGGATGCTCTATCCTGATTAGGTTTAGTGTACCGACTGACTACACTTAAAGACATAGGGGCTCCCCACCTGACCAGTAGAATTTACTCCTTTATGCTTCCATGTCTCGTCCCTTCACCGCCTTCTGCCTCAGGCTCTGTCGTGTCGTGCCCATGGCTACGGCCGTCCCAGTGCCAAGCACTGATTACCACGCCACCTTCAAAATGTGCCCATTCATTAGGGCAAAGCAACGAGCACATGCTTTTTGATTCTAAACATTTGTGATATCGGACTGCAGGCAGCGATTCCGTGTACTATTATTTGCCAAACTAGAGCGCGACCAAGATTATGGACAGGGGGAGCACTGAAAGGTGTAAGTAGTCACATGATTGACCAGAAAGAGATTCTAGACTGCGGGCTAGACCCGACCGGTCGAAGTTACTCGATGATTGTGACCAGTCATGCTATCTATCCCACCTTACTCAGTGCTCACTAAGTACTTACTCATTCAGAGGATCTCCCCTCTCTTACAATGAATCCTTGTTATTTTCTACTTACTTACATGTCAACCGGTCTATCCCGAAGTCTTTGCATTATTGGCAGCTCGGGCAGCAGTCGTATTCACATGTCATGATTGCTGGGGAGGCACGGAGTACTCCACTTCGATACTCGACGTCACTAAACCCATCCAAGGTATGAACGTCAATGACCCCATGTTTTCTTGTGTCTACTTTTTCATCCTCCATGTATACCCTTTTATCGATATCCCAGTACGACGAGCGTGTCCGATGACGCTACAGATCGCCTTTAATGACTTATGTGGTTCTTGATTAACTAACGATAACCAGACCCATTACTTACGTTCACCACAACATGAACCACCGAAGTCTCAATTTATGAGATGAATGGGAGGTACTTTGTCTCATCCCATGCAATAAGAGCACGACGATACTCGCTATAGAGGAAACCTACATTTAATCCATGACCGAGAATGGCTAGCGACGCTCGCAGGTTCAAGCCGGAGTTGGTCGAATCATCATCTCGGTCGAGAAGATCACAGAATACACACCACGCAGACAAGTCGCGTGCGCCAGTTAATTCACCGTCTTCTACAGCCTTGACAGACTCGTCGATTGCAAATGTAGACGAACGGAGGTTTACTGATAAAGCAATCACCTTGTCGACAGGTCCTGGAAAGCCGCGACGTTTCCTGCCACAACCGATGGAAACGTCCTCGAGATCGTCCAAGAAACAGTCCGATGCTCCAAGACATAGCCACGGCAACGAAGGTTTAATCCATCTCCCAGGTGCGCCATGGATGGGGAATAACTTACCTAGCGGACAGCGCGCTCGCCCGTTACCTCAGCCTGTGGAGGTAAAACATTCAAACAATAAACATAAAAAGAACAATTCGGAACCTGGGAAGGAAACAACCAAGGTAGTCAACAGTGCGAGAGCCCCCAGACGGTTCTTCCCCGAGCCCGTTGAGACAATGAAGTTGAGTAGGCGACATCTCGCTAAAACCGATGAACACGAGGCAAGCAGTAGCCCGGGCCAGAATATCAGCACTTGCCAAACGACACCGCGCAAGTTTGCTCCTCAGTTAATCGAAACTGGAACGCGGTCTGTCCGTAGAGCGGAGACCTTACCCATTCCAGGTTCTCCTAGAGTTCTCGATGATTCTTTTCCTGCTAATAGCCCGCCACTTCAACCACACTCTCCTCCCGCATCAAGGAGCCAGCAGATTGTTGCAGCAAATGAATTGTCTATGGTGCCAGCAGAATCTCGCTTCTCATATGCGAGCTTGTTGCAACAACAAGAGGGCAGACGGCATTCGTTTCGTGTTCCGGATCTGCCCGCTATTCCATCGAATAGTAGTGAATCCTCAGATGATTCTGGAACACCGTCGTTATCTACCACACCGTCGGACTCGTCAGAAGGCAGCACCCGCAATCGATTCATAGCAAAGACCCGATCTAGAGAAAGCTGTGACGAGCGCTTTTCTGGTTATCTTCTCTCACTGGCAGCACGTAGTGCCGAAAAGGAGCTTCGGGACCAAGCGTTGGCAGCATTCCCAAATGAACAAGTCCACCAACCAGTCGCTCATTTCGCCATTGACGGCGACGAAGAGTTCGGGAATGAGGACGACGAGATCATGGCTGTCGAGCCACAGATAGTTAGCAGGATACGTCCCTTGCTTCGTCGCGGATCAACCGCTGACTTGCCATGGGAACTGGAGCAAATGCGACGGCACAAGGAGAAAGCTGAGATGAAGAACCTTGGCGTCAAGAAAATTGACGCTCATGAGTCGAAATTTTCAGCTGCCGCTATAGCTTCCAGACAACCGAAGATACCAGAAAACGAAGCCGCCGTTTTCCCTGCGTGGCGGCGAGATATCGAACTGGTCCAGATGCGACATGCAGCTAGTCCACCAATGCTTGGTGATGACATTGTCTTCCCCTTCAGCGTGTCTCCTCAGGGGACCGCCACCGAAACCGACCATTTGCATATTAACCATACGGATTCAGAGACCGCAGGTGACGCAGACCATGGAGGCGGTCTCTGGACCGATCATATGCACGCCGAGCATGAAGAAACGCCGGGTCTATGGATGGGTCTCTGCCTCAAAGATGGAGAGGACGAAGAAGATTCACATTTACCCCGTACTAGAACCGGGATTGCCACTCCAAGACCTGCTTCTGGTTTGAGGTCCACTTTTGACAGTGATAACATGGTTGATGATGAAGTTTTATCTGTGTCGGACATCTCGGAGATGTCTTCTGATCCATTGGATGCAATGGATGTTGAGCCTGATGAAGATAACGCCATAGAGCGTGAGTTTCACGATGGATTCGTAACCCAGGTCTACAATTATTTATCACTGGGATACCCATCCTTAGCGCGCTACTTTGACCATGAATTGAGCAAAATATCTGGTATACCAGTCTCAGACCTGAGAAAAGATGACCTCCTCGCCGATGCAAAAGGGTATGTTGTCTGTGTTACTTCGGACAAGAACGGTAACACATCTGCAACCCCTGAGAACTGCATGCGATGGAAAGCATTGAAACTATATATACACGAATGGGCTAGACAACAGTCTGGAACGGGAATTTTTAATGACGAAGAGCTTGACGCGTGGGGAGTCATAGAGAGGAGAGGAAGTTGGGCGATTTAGACATAGAAATGGACGAAACAAAATCCACTCCCCGCCAAAGATTGTTTGATAAAGTGAGGGCTTGGTGTATTAGTACATAAATTGGATTGTCACCGGGAAGAGTATTCACTGGGTGTTTGAGGGATATAAGTCATGGTGTATACACAGCGCATATACGTTATTTATGAGACCATTGATGAGATTAATAATGGAGTCTTTTGATACTTAGGTATGAATTGTTCACTATATCCGTCACGCACCGCTGAAAGTACACATTATAGGGACATCTATTGCACAAAACATTAACTTCGAGGGTATCCTTGCATGACGGTGATGTACCATAATCATTGTTGTACTTGGACGAAATATATAAGTGATAACATGACTGCCTGATAGCAGACTAACCAGAGTAGAAACCGCTTGTGTCTTTCGCAGTGATATCTCTACTCCAGATGTTGAAACCAATCAAACAACGCCATAATCCGATTCATCACCCCCTGTATCAGTCTCGAATCTCCTCGGCGACACCGCCTGTGACTGCGACGGAGACTGCGAATGCAATAGATCCGCCCTGGTAGCAGCCGTGACAGCTCCTGATGAGGATAAGGAGTAATTACTCCCTTTTCTTGTTCTTTCATGAACTAAACCCGGTATGATCCGTTGTTCTGGTAGATTTCCCCCTGTTGTGGCTAGGGATGGTGACGAAGAGATTAATTCTGGGGATACGGGTTCTGGGAGCAGAGCACTGTGTTGGGAAAAGGAATTACTTGGGCGATTGCGGTGGTACTGTCCCAAAGCACGAGGCTGTATGACGGGAGATCCGCTTTGAGAGACTGACGCCGTTGTGGTAGTCGTGGCAGAGGTTGTAAATGCATGAGGGTCCTGGCCTGAAGTTGCTCTATCATTACCCAGTGCATTGTTCAGTGAAACAATCGATGCTGATATAGGAGTTCCCCGTTCTGTGGGAGCACCCTTTGCTCGAGGCAGATTTCTCGGTCCTGCATATCTCTCAATCCTGTAAGAAAATTAGCACCCAGTTTCTATATGTTCTAATAGACGAATGACATCAGGAGCCCGAGATGACTTACAAAGACAGTTCAGCAAGTAATGTTTCATACCTATACGCCTCTCTGAGATCAGGAACATTACTCTTCGCCACGTTATTACCTGCAACACCAGGCAGATAGCACTGAGGACCAAGCCATCTCTGCTTAAGTGCAAGTTCAAATCCACTCTGATCGACGGAATTCTTGGCCAACTCGCACATATCCACCGCACTAAGCTTGTAAATCTGCGCTGCAACAGCATATTCCTCCATTAATGGTTCTTTCGTATAGGCAAACTGGAGCGGATCATCGGTAGAAAGGGAGACATTCAGCCCCTTTCTGAAAAAGCTCGCAAAGGGGTTTTTATCGTATGTCAAGAACAATGCGTTGTTGCTCAGTGGTGACATTGCAATACCGATCCGATCAAGATAGTAGACATACTGCAACAGTGGAACCTTTCGAAGATGGATTCCGTGACTGATACTGTGGCAGGCTAAGAAACCAGCGGTCAAATGATCTGGATCTCCTGCCTCACCGCAGTGAGGTCTTAACACAAAGGTGTTGAAACTACGACGTTGTCTCCATGCATTAAGCGACGCCATATTTGCAAACATGAAATAGATCCAATAGCTGTAAGGAGGATTTTGCTTCGTATTCCAGTCTCGAGGAATAGGATATTTCTTGTAGAGTCGGCGTTCTGCTTTGCTTTCGTCATCCACGCTGTCAAATCCAATGACACGCTGTAGAAATATGTGTAGTTTTGGATGGCTGTTGGGGTCCTGGGTTACTTCAAATAAAGGCTGGAAGACGTTCTTGATAACACCCTCAAAGTTCTCGATCATGCCACTCGCTTTGTACACATCGTAGAGACGGGGAACCTGGATAAGCCAGCGAACATTGGGCGAAAACAGCTTGTTGTCGACGACCCATGCAGCCAGCCTATCCCACTCATCGACTGACCGCCCATAGATCGAGATACGCCATTCAGCCATCTGGTATTTGCTTGATTCCAGGTCGGAAATAACTTCTTTCGTGATTTCAGCAAGATATCGGCCCTTGATGAAGTTATCCGTCTTCAGGAAGATCTCACGAAGACGAGACTCTCCGACGGGATTGTATTTCAAGTTAAACTTGTCAAATCGATGAAAGGAATCTTTGTGTGCCTGAAGACAGTGTGCATTAGGCATAACATGTATAAAATTAGAATCTCTAAGAAGTCGAACTTACGTGCATGTCAAGTGTATCAATACTCAAATCATAGGCCGTCAGGTTGATACTCTCAAAGACCTCTTTCAAGGTCAGATGTCTCCCGTCCCTGAATAGCACAACTTCATCAGGCGATTTTTTCATCTTGCTCTTGATAAATCTCAAGAGATGTTTCTGATTCATGCAAGCTGAATGATGCACGTGCGTGTCCACTTTCCTAACGTTATAAAAATCTCTATGTGGGACTTTCTTGCTGTCTGCAAGCTCCTGATATTCATTCAACAAAGTGTGAAGCTGGAACTTTCCTTCGAGATAAGACAAACGCTTGAACGCAAACGATTTGACGGGTCCATCGGTAGACACTTCAGAGACCACATCCAAATCCATGTAAAAATCTCTCAGAGATGGGATCTGTACAATTGGGTTTCGTTTTGCTTTCTCGTCTTCATTCTCGTACACTTGGTACACGCTGGAAGAATCGAACTCGAACACTTGCCTTGAAGCTCCGGGTAAAGGAAGCAGTTCATTTATATCAAAGTCTTCACCGATATCCTGACCCATTTTACGTTTCTTCCGAGTGCGTGATGCCTCTGATTCCTGTTCCTGTTGTCCTCCGTTAGGAACACCATTCTCTTCAGCTGCCGCTTTGGCCCGCTCTTTTTCAGCATCCCACACTGGCTCTGGAGGTGGAGGATATATCTGCCACTCCGGCGAATCTTTGGGATTGCAACTAGGTGCCTGCAACGAGAGTTGCATGTACTTGTGTCTCCGATCTAGCAGATTCTGGATCTTGCGACAGACGATTTCCAATTCGGCGTTGACAGCATCATCACTTGGTAGGAATCCTTCCATACCATGTTGCATGCCTCCACCTGTTCCACCACCAACTCCATACACCCCTTGTGCAGGCAATGAGTATGTAGCTCCTCCGACCTCAGTAGATGAGGACTGATGGGTTTGAGGCATAATCGGTTGTAACATGTGATTTCTAGCCGAATGATCGGCCGCTAGCACGCTATCCTCGTGCATTCGCGAGAATATCGGGTTCTGATAGTGGGCGGTAGATGTCTCTGTTGTAGCCATTTGGTTGTTCCCAATGCCATGGAGGCTAGTCGACGAAGCAAAGCCGGCACCGCTTTTAAGAGAGCCAGTGCTTGCAGTCATACTGGGAGGTACATCATCGCCCGCCGCGGTTGTGGCCCTCACAGGAACAGAATGGTGTGACAAGACCGGACTACCCCGGGAAGAATTATATTGATCTCCTCCATCGTAACCACCACCAACCCCACCACCCCGTGATGCAGCTTGCTGTTCCTCTTGATGTCTTTGATAGAAGAGTTTCGCTTCGGCATGGCTCATGGATTTCTCGTATGCATAGTTGTAGCTGTGCGTTCGTTTCTGTCTGTCTCGGGGAAGAATGCCTCTGTCTCTCACTCCGTCGTTATCCTCGTCGTTGCTATGATCCTCGGGGGACCGGGTATCGTCATTATCGACGTTAGCAACATCGTCATCTTCTACCTTATTTGTCCGATTCCCGTCTTCGACGGGGTTCATGGCATGCGCTTTGTTATAGTCGGATTCGATAGGCGAATTCCTTCTTTATGGAGTTCAAGTGTCGATTTAAGCGACAGACTTTCTGACAGTAAAAGTACAAGCAACTCTGGACTCGATAAAATCAATATTGATGTAAGAAACGAGAGACAAACTGCTCTTCAAGCAGTCAGATAAAGATTGAATCATCAGCTTATTAAGAACGAAGCTAAGATCGGGCCCAGTTGCTTGTTAAGGCTGACCGAGTGGATGCGCCAAGAATCGCCCAAAATCCCAAGGCACCCAGGCACTCAGGCACCTACCACCGGTACATGTGTGTGATTTGGCAGAATTAGTAGTTCATATTTGAGTATTATTTCTAGGCAAGTATTGTACAAATCTGTGTATTAAGAATACCGAGATACCAAAAGCTCCTCTGCAATGCAAAACCCTTTACCAGCATTACGTTATTCATGTCCATGGATCAACCAGTCAATACTCCATGCTATCATCATAGTACGCCGAGTCGCGAACGGCACTTCCAGTCCTAAAGTTCCTCCTGCTGTTTGTGGATATAGAATTCTCCCTTTCCATTCTGACGTATGCTCGACTTGAGGGGTCCCGTTCTCGGTCGCCCATATGTTGTTGTGGCTGGGGTGGAAGTCGAGACTGTTGAACTCGCGGATCTTGGTCGTCGTAATAGAGTGGTGGAGCATCACGCGATACGTCTTCCTTGGCAATGGAAGGGGATCTCGAACCCATCCGGAGAGATTCTTGACGTAGAGCTTCGTATCTATCAAATCGACTAGGACCCGCATGGGGTGGGAGTTTACTGGATTCCATAGTTATACTAGCAGCGGTACCACCAGAGGGCTTGCGTCCATATGATCGTAGTTGAATCACTTCAGGAGATCTGCCGCGATGCCTACCCTCTCGCGGAATCGGATCATGTCCTCTGACTACACCAGGATTGTCAGACCATCGTTGGTTCCAGGTATCGTCTTGACTGTAATAGGAGTCGTCACCTGCTGGAATCCGGCGCCGGGAGCCTGTATGTTTCGAAATCGATGACGATGAGTCGTTCCTTGATAATTCCGAACTCGTCTCTTGGCCCGGAACAAACGTGTTAAGGAACTGTTCTGCTGCGCTAAGATCTCCAGCATTTGATTGCGAATCCTCATGGCCGATAACAACAGAAGCGGAGTGATTCGGGAGAATCGAGCCTTCTGAAACTTCTTGCCCTTCAGACTGTCGAGGTGGGTTGGCCTGTCTCTCAACACGTATATCTCCCTCGTATGGGTCGGATAGCACCGGCCTAGACCCATACTCAGAGTGCTCCGATATTGTTGAACGCGTTGATATTGGTATGTAGTACCTATCATGGTGTCCCGAAGTCAGACCGTCTGTATTATCTTCTCTAAAAGCCCACTCGTCTTGCAGACGAATGTAACGAGGCGATCGGGCACGAACGATAACGGTACGAGGGGATTGTGCCAGATAATGAGTACCACGACTGTAAATGTGGCCATCATCATGAGGAGGAAGCGCCCTTGGACTATCATGTCGGGAAACTGGGTCACGCGAATAATGGAATCTTTCTGATACGGCGTCTAATGGAACGTTATCCGGCGGAGCCTCTAGAGGTCCAGAAATAGGCGAGTAATCTACCCTGCTCGCATGATGAACTGTCGGCGAAGGATAATTTGGCCTCTGATCTGCCATGATTGCTTGGTACATGGCTGGTGAACGTTTAGTTAAGAACGTCTCCGGAGGAATTTCTGCCAAAGGTGGATGGAAAACACCGGGCAACGCTTGAGCAATGATCCGCAACTTGAAATTATCCATGCCAGGATTATGAGGGAGTAACTTTAACGCCGATGTGTCAGGAAGAGCAATCATATCTGTTTTCCAGTTACGGCCAGAAATAGCTTCCTGAAAGCCTGTAGCAACGCCAGTCTTCACGTGTTGCAGATGCATTGACCGAAAATGGCTCAGAAGAGCATCAAAAGGATATAACCTAGAATGGAGCGGGTGAGAACTCAGCTCGCTACTACTTCCTCTGTCAGCACAGCTTTTACAAGCAAGGCCGTTAAGGCCGCGAATTGGTTTCATTTGCGGGCGATTGTGTAGTCCATCCGTAAAGAGAGCAATGGACACGTCTGTGCGGAGCACAAGCTCCATAGTAGTAGCGACATGATACACCACAACATGAGCACGAATGCTGTTGGGTAAGTCTTTAATCCCCGATGTGGCGTTCCAGACTTCACGAGCAACCCGGGCCATGTTGTCCAGTTGATACTGATACTTGTCCGGATTAGTAGCAGTTCTAGAATATCCAACGGAATTGCGATTTCCAGACTGTGGTATTTTATACGGGAGAGTTTGATTAGACGGCGAAGAAGACCCGTAAGCAGGTGATGGATAAGGATGAGGGGCTTGAGTAATATGTGTTTGGTAACTCGCGGGGACCACATGAGCATTAAAAGGTGAACTGTATGCTGATGAAGGATCAATAGCCGCAGACTCCATTGCTGGAGACGGAGGGGGGTACCTATAGCCGGGGTAATAAGGGCTCGTCCGAGGTGACGGTGGCTGGAATGGACCGTGCATGTAAGATGCATAGGGACTTTTGAAAGGAGATCGCCCATATGCACGAGAAGAAGGGCTCGAATCAGGAAGAATCGAATGTCGTTGTTCAGGGGTTCCCATATAGATACCAGATGCACCTTGCTGCCGTGGAAAGCCGTGCGGCTGAGCAAACCCAACTTGAGAGCTAGCATGAAATAAGGCTTTTGCAGCTCTCGGATTGGGATGAAACGGAGGTTTTCCAGGCCACTCGGCGCGCCAGAACACTATGACATTTCCAGAACTTAAGGCGGTCGTATGTTTCGCAGCATAATGTTGGACAACACCTTCGAAGCCATAGTATCTTGAATTGTTTTCGCAACCGTTGCAAAGGAAGAGCTCCTTTACTAGTGGCTGTGTTAAAGGTTTGATTTTATTGTCGAAAATCCACTTCATGTTCTCCAGTATAAGCTTGCGTGTGGGAGGGCCATCTGCAGAATCCGATTTGACAGCAACGCCGGACGCCCTGGCAATTGCATCTTCCTCTTCAATGTGCGCATAGAATCTAGTTCTGACGTGCATCAAAACCTCCGCAGCAAATTCAGCGCATTTGTCTTTCGTGAGATTTGTTCCATCATTCCAATTCTTCTTGATGATTTCGTCAGCATAAAGATTAATCTGGTCACGAATCAAACGCTGCGCATCTTCCCATTGATCATCTAAAGATTGTTTATCCTCTTTCAAGCGCGCTTCTTGCTGTCGACGTTCTTCCGTCTTGGCCTGAAGAAGCTGGGACTCCTGTAACCGTTCGATTTCTTTGCTTTCAGCCATTTCTCTCTGGGCCAACAGACGTGGTTTCAGATACTCCCAGTCCTTGTCAGTGAGCTCATGGGGGATCTGTATTGCTGCTGAGAAGGAGTCCATATGGCTTAGAACGGCGGCGGTCAAGGGAGGGTGCAACGCTAAGCAGCGACGCTCAATTTCAGCTCTCCGTGAAGCTTTTGCCTCATCCACATCACGCAGACTCCGTTCGCCACGGATCTGTTGACTTCTCGAAGAATCTAGAGGACTAGATCCAGACCTACGATAATGGGAGTCTAAGGATGACGTTAGCTTCAATTGTAAGTACCGACAAAGACTTTCCGGTCCTACTTAAGGGTGCCAATGTACCATGAATATAGCCTGGAGAAATAGCTGCGATGACAGATCTGGAAGGGGAAAGTGATGAACCTTTTGACCTATGCATGTAATGACTGTGCGGAGGACTATTAGTAGTTTTCCTGTGGTACCGAAGTTTAACTTCGTGCAGGCCACCGCTGTTCTCCCATTGTTCCCAGCGAGCGGCATCGGCTAGTTTCCTTTTGCCCATGCTTTCTAATCCTTTCATCCATTCTTCTAGAACAGCCGAACCGAGTGATTTCACGTGATGAAGTTCATTCATCAAATGATCAATTTCCGAGTTAGAGAAGTACTTGGCCAGATGTAAATTAGTTGGAATATTGGAGGACCGTAGAGCGACACTGGATACCATATGCATGGAAGGAGTAAGAAGCACAAACGAAAGTCCTGGAAGAAGAGGGCTAGGAAAAGACGATAGAACAAGGTCCACGTCCTTGACAACGAAGCGTAAGCAAGTATAAAATCCTTGACGGTCAGAAGACGCACCTTTTTTGTACGTTCAAGGAAGCATTTTGAACATGTTCTGATTCCAAACGGCCAAAAGATACGGACTCCGTTAGTTCCTGGACCCTTCTCCCATGGAGGAAGATTTGCAGTAGGCAATTCATTGTTTTGGTCATTCTTTCCACAGTCTTGACAAACGGTTGTTCCAATCAGTCTCCACATGTCTAATTCAGTCATGTTGGCCAGCGGCCGTGGCATTCCAGGATAAAATGACTTCCGGACAGATGACCATATGGAATTGGCAGACATGGGTTTGAGGATGCCTTGGGTAGAAGCGGAATTCTCCGTTTGTCCACCCGCTTTAGACGTTAGGAATGAATAGAAGTTCTTATTCACACGAAGGAAACTGCCTAAGGTCTTGGGGTCGAGGAACAAGAAAATGTATTGCCAAATCTCCATGGGAAGCGGCAACCTATGGCTTGCAGGATTGCCATATTCCAGCTTGGGCTTTTTAGTGCGTCCTGAACCATCCTGACCAACGCTACGAGGAGGTTGCTCAGAACGATCATCACCAACGTCGTCTCCTTCGGATGGGTATTCCTTGCGTTTACGTCCTAGAACAAGTCCCGTCGGGTTGCCATCGGAGATTCCCTCTTTCTTCATCAACTTGGCCGAGTCTGACTGCGCCTCACTTGTCATGAAAACAGTATCATTATCCTGGTGAGAAAGTGACTCAAGATGGGATCCAGTGGCTCCTTCTGTAGGCTGTTCGTCCGACATATTGGAAGCAGCTTGATCCATTGCGGGCAAATGATTAGTTGATAGTCAATCTAGACTGAGGCAACAGTCAGGAGATTATTTCGTGACACATCCATGCATGTGTGGGCTTTAATTCGCGACTCCTTCAGTAGGGGCCCAGAGGCGGAAACGTAGAAATCAAAAGCCAGAAATGAAAGCAGATCTGACAACGGATAATGTGTAGTCCACTGTGGGCCTACAGCGAGGGCAAATGAAGACGGACCTGTCACTCCAGATTCCCAAACTAATGCTGAACACTACACTGACAGGTAGTGCTCAGGAATCATTAGTATTGATGAACCACGAGAAATAATTCCACTCCACCAGGGGGTATTAGATATTAACTCTTATTCAGAGTTAGACGTGGCACAAAGAGAAAAAGAGACAGCAAGCCTTGAATCAACAACCGATCAGAAGCGATTGTTGATTTCAAGAACAAAAGGACAAACAAAGCAAACAGCGAATCCACGCTCAGGCAGAGGCTGATGCGAGGGAACGAACAAAGGAATCCATTTTTCCGGGGTATATACGCGTTGATCGTGTTTGACGAGATTCGATGTCGTGAATCGTGAGTCGCAAGTGAAGCAGAAGAAAGTCAGGAAGGAGATGCTGAGCGGGGCATTTGGCACGTCAGCCTCACTTCTACCGACCAATCACATCGCGCAAACCTAGCTACATCGGGACTAGCGAATCACGTTGTGCCTTAAGATAAGAGAAGGCCGATCTTATCTTATCGGCACTTTCTTGCAAGAAAAACAATATCAGTTCCAACTACTCCGTGACTACAGGCATGATATTCATAGATACACCAAGATTGTTCCAGAAATTAGAAGGTCATACTGATCACCTCTTCTACCTGACTCGGTTTACCCATTCGCACTACGACGCGGCCTCCTTTCAAGTCCATCACAATGTTAAACAACGTGCCGAAAGTACTACTCCCAAGCTCATACCGACAAATGGAAGCCGGTGAGTTTCTTTCGTCTTCAAAAAGCTTCAATATCATATCCCATGCCGGACCATCATTGAGTTCGTCTGTAAGCTCACGCATTCTGTCGACCCTGAAGGGAGAATCTTCGAGCCATTTCGTGTCGACCACGCCTGGATGAGGAAGGAGAAAGTGATTAGAATGAATGATTCGTCCCAAGCCATCTCTCAGGATTTTTTGCATTGTCTTCGCAGATGTCTCCACACCGAAAGCTTCATGCTTATCTGCAATCAACATATGTGCTGATGATGCCACGCCCCATTTCTCAAGCATCTGGACAGCATCGCTGGCAGAGGAGCACTCTAGAGAAAGTCGCAGGGCAAGATGAACCGGTAAGCGATTTGGATCCACCCCTGGAGCTCTTAAGGCATTCAAACAGACCCCAACGCCCACATGATTATACCCTATCTTGCCAATGATGCCTGCCTCAGTCATTATTCGAATGATCGGCTTATTAGGCTGTGTGATTTTCAGCAGTATCAGATTTTGTCTTTGCTTTTCTTGCCACTAAAAAGTCACCTAATCAGCTTGTTTCGCCTTCTTGAGACGGACTGGCTACTCACATCCCAATTCTGGCCAAGGAACGCGTTATCCTTGGTGAGCCATGCCAGTGAAGTGCAACCATCTGAAAACTTCCCAAATGCAATTTCAGTTCGTACATTCAACGCTACGATATCAACCAATGACTGAGCCGAGCCGTCGGCAACTCCTTGAAGTCCATCTCAACTTAGCTATTCGCTAATATGCAATATCAGGCAGTGACATATCCTACCTTTCATTTCTTCATGTAAGTTGGGCCACATCTTCTTGACATTCTCCTCGAATGGCCGAACAGCAGTCCGTACGTCTGACCACGAGAGATGACAATGCCGTTGAAACAATTCCGCGTAGAAACCAATGCACCGAATGATCTTGTCCTTAGCCGCTGTACCATGCTGTTTACCGATCTGGCGCATGGCTATTAGTTGTGATTAAACGAGAATCTGCGGAAACTTCAATCTCACATCAAAGGGGTTTCCTTCGCAATTCACTTGTTGCAACATGATGATTCAATAGCAGCAGGATCAAAACCAGGCTGATTAATGCTGGCAGAAAAATCGGTTGAAGAAAAGTGATGACTACTATGCTCGGGAGATAGATATGTAAAAGCAATATACGACTAAAAACCAGGTTCTGATGCTGAGATTCATCATAATAGCAAGTCACTAGTACTTATCAACAAATAGGTCGGCCTTTTCACCGAAGCCGATCACCCCACCGGAGCTTCTAGTGGTCAGACTTTGAGAGTTGGTTATCTACAATGTCCGCAGTTACTGTGGTTTGAGAGAGTATCGCTATACACTTATCACTTCACAGAAAACAGAATTCCTGAAACTAATCCAAATTTACAAATCGCTTAATAACCAAAGTTTCGGCTTTTCACTATTTCCAAGGAATTTCGCTTGTTTATTGAGCAAGCTCTGACTCCCTCCCAGGAAAAAGGCAAACAACCAAAAGAGAGAAAAGATAAAAATATACCACAGAACCTAGGACCTCTTCTACTGGTCCAATTCCACATAGTTGGCTGGGAAAAGACCGACCTTGCCATCGTATTCGCCAGACCACCAGTCCTCGTCGGGGAACTCCTAAATGATCAGTTAGTATAAATTTCGATATGGACTGGGATTATTCCTTCCGTGATGAAGGGTATGTCTTACAATGTTCACGATCTTAGCTCCATCCGGGAAGCTTAATTCGTTATCTTCGGCAGCCTCGTAATCATACAACGCCGTTGCAGTGTGGCCGCTGGTTTCAGCATGACCAGCGGTAGCATGGTGGCTGGCCTCAGGCTCAGGCTCTGTTGCTTCGGGTTCCTGTGCATGATGATCTTCGTGCGCAATAGCTTCTTCTTGCTGGGCAACATCAGAAGCCTGTTCAACGACTTCAACATAGTTGCTAGGGAACAAGCCACGGTGTCCATGCACATTAACGCCCAACCACCAATCTTCGTCAACCATCTCAATGTCGATAACGTATTCACCTTCTTTAAGTTCAATCTCATTATCTTCCGCTTTCTCGTAATCATACTGGACAATGGCGCGGATAGATTGTGATGTAGCCGCAACTTGTGCAGAGGTTTCGGCAACTGCACGACCAGTATCGTGGGCTTGTTCCTCTTCAAGCTCGGTTTCGTCTGGAACAACTTGCTCTAGACTGCGGATCGGGAGAGCCTGAGGTGGTGAATGAACTTCCTCGTGGGCGTCTTGTACTAATGTCTCAGGAGCTGCACGGCTGACGGGTATTGCTACCCGGATAGGCGAGGCTTCTCTATGAGCTGGTGTAGGTGGTGTAGGAGAGCGAGGCTGAGGAGGTGGCGGGGGGAGATCCTGCTTGGTTTCTTTTTCAGGAGCCTCCTCCTCTGTAGGCACTGGTGCTGCAGGAAAACCGGGCAAGGGAATTTTCTGACCAGCATTTGGCTTGTTAGTGTGGTCCAGGGGAGGTGGCGGTGGAACATCTGCTGCACCGGAAATGTCTCTGGTTGACTCTGATGCCGCCTCACCATCATATCGTGCAGTCGCACTGCTTGCAGAGTGACCAGTATGGGTTGTCTGAACCGGAGCCCAAGACTTTCCAGTGTACGAACTCTTCCACCCGCCATCACCTGATACCTGTCTATTCACAGGTTCGCTTGGTGGTGCACTGGGTGCAGGTACAGCACCTCTTTCCCTGGCCTTTCTCTCTGCCCATAACTGAGCGGGAGTTTTGCCTCCTTCGTCAGCAAAAGTTCTGCTAGTCGAGGTGACCGGAGCTGCAGTAGGTGGCTTGACACCAAATTCAGTCGGAAGAGGTGCCTTTGTGCCCGTGAAATTCGAAGCACCGCCAAACCGATTGGCAACCTTCGGCTTAGGAAGGCTTGTCAAGCGTTCAGCAGGTTGTTGGAAAGCAGCCGAACGCTCTGCCAAGGTCTTACGTTCCTCGGACTCTGGCTGGGGTTCAGGAGCACTTCTCTCTGGAGTCGGCTGAGCCTTAGCACGAATTGCCGCGATATCCACTTTTCCGACTGGCTGATAAGCTCCCTTCACAGGTTCCGGTCGGTCATCGCCAGCTTGGCCGGATTCACGAGCTTGTCGTCGGATAGCTGAGATATCTACTTTACCAATCGGCTGATATCCACCCTTGACCACGTCTGATCTTTCCTCCACTGGAGTCTGTTTGAATTGGGGTTCAGGTTGTTTCTGAGAAGTAAGCTGATTGATATCGACCTTTGTGGGCTTGTAAGCTGAGGGTACTTTCTCTAGCTCTGTGCGGGTAACGGGCGGTGCATCTGCACCCCAGCCATCATCATCGACTGGGGCTTTTGAGATAGGAGCCAGTGTGCGAGCGCCGGGTGGAGGCACAACACCGCCGGATCGAGTGGCTGTGAATACCGGCTTGGTAGCCACGGGGGGCTTGACAGGTTCACTCGAGGCGGGGGTATTGGTTGCTGAGTATTTAGCTCCTGAAGCATCGGAGACTTTCTGGAGAATGCCTTCTGGTGTTAGATCACCATCCGATCGAGCGGTTATCTGGACATGGTAGCCCTGCAAGGAGTTGTTAGCGTCTTCTCCAGCACTACTGATCTCTGTGGTGTCTCCTTACTTGAAGGAAGCGTCCCACGGCAGCAAGATGGCTGTTGAAATACCCCTTGGTCCTTTCAGGCACTCCTTCCCCACACCACGCGATAAGAACGTTCTTTGGAAGCCCTGTGTTGGGGTCTTTCACTTTCACAAACGCAAACTGAATCTTGCCCTCGGAGAAATCTTCAATCAGGTCCACCAGCTCTCCTTCTGTATATTTTAAGTGTAAATCAGCCTTCTACTCCTCTTTATTTTGGGCCTGTTCATTTGTATCCAGGTCACCCACCGTCACTGCTTTGAACTTTCAATACACTTTCCTTATTCCCCGCATCCGGCTGAAATGCATTGACGAGCGGAGTTGTCACACTAAACACGGCCCATTGCGCATAAGTCGGCGAAGCAGCAGCTCCTGTGGTCGCCGGAGCGGCATTTACGACAGCTTGATAGCTCTTTGTAATCGACGGACCGTTTGTAGAGAGGTTGAGGGACGCCATTGATGTGGATGCTAGAATTGAGGGAGGTAGGCTTCGGAGGTTCTTCGTATCGCATACAGTGGTAGATGCTGCAGTAGAGGAAAGGAATATTAGTAAATGGGTTAATGGACAAACGACAAAAACAAGACACTGCGTATCGCTGATATTCCGGGTACTCAGCTGTACGCCGCAGCTTTGGAGGTTAGGCTATAAGCTGGTGGGATGGCATGTTTTGGTGTACGCAATGGCATCATAGGATGCCAAGAGAGGCAGCACAACAGAGAGGAATACTTACCCTTGACAATACTTCACAGTATGCAGACCACAGCTCTCAGAATGAGAAAATATGAAAGGATTGAGAATGTCTTCAGGGGAGGATTTGGAAGAGGGGAGTAGGTGTTCGTAGTTAACGCTTGGTATGTATGTGGCTGAGCGAGCGTAGTTGAGCTCAACTTAAGCTGGTGGCGTAAGCGGCTGGCCTAGCAGCCTTAGGCACCCGCGTTCTCCGAACCAACTTCAACAATAAACATACCACTTTTTCCTTACTACGAACGAGGAATACCTCACCGGTTTGCAGGCAATAAGTGATTTACTTCAGATAGAACAACAAGCAGAAGCTAGCTTCGACTGTCTAGCATGCAACTTCCAGATAAGGTGAAAGTAGAAACAGCTAATATACAAAGCTGGGATGAATAGGCTATTGTGACTGAAGCCGGGGAAACAAATCCAGATGCTGAAAAGGAGTAGCAGTCATATCTTAGCACCCAGTGAGACCTCACTAAGCTGGTCCTACTTCCAATGTTTCTTCCGATGCTGCGATAGACTCGATAGAGTGATGATGTCTCATTGTGCGGCATGTCAAGCCCATTCATGGCCCACGAGTGGGCTTCCCATGCGAAAACAACGCCTAAATACTTGTCACTGCTGTGACTAACCTTCGAACATCACGTATCAGAGCACTGTGAATGAAATAATCCAGATCCAGACTGTATTCCACGCATATTACACATTGTTGAAACCGAGAAGGCATGGTATAGTAGAGCACTATGAGTAGATTCGAAAAAGGCCTATAAGACAGAGCTATGGTACCTGGAGTAAAGCTGGGGTGTCTAGAGGTGGAAAATGTAACAGATGTTGGAATCCTCAGGAGTATGCCATTGCATACAGAGGAATCGATATATCATGGTGACCAACTCATGTAGAGCCACAAAATGCTGTGAACGAAAGTCAGTACAGCAACGATGTCTGTGACTGATGCGAGTTAAGTAGTTGATAGCTTGAGGCAAGAGAGAAGTTCAGGAAAGGAAGGGCCAGTTGCGGCAATTGCGTCACGTGAAACAGGCGGCATTAAGGGATCGCTCCAAGCTTGGTTTGAGACCCTCCGCCATCTCTTCTCCAATTTGACAGATTGTATATCTCTGTTGTTTCTTTTCTTTCTTTTCTTCTTCTTTCTGTGTTTGGAGAATATACATTCTCCACATACCACAGTTAGCTAGCTAGCTTTGTTTTCACAAGTGCAATTTGCAATAGATTCGCTCCGCCTACGCCTGTTACGTCTCTCCGCGTTCTAACCCGGTTTAAAAAAACTGTCACGACAACGCCAACCCTTTACGGCCCTCCCCAGCGATCCAGCTCTTATTATTACATTACCTGCCAGTGATTGGGTTGATTGACTCGCGTCAAACCTCAATATGGCCTCTCTTGGCGACGATTTGCTCGTCACGGTAAACAAGCTTCAGGACTTGGTTTTCAATACCATAGGCAATGATTCTCTTGACCTACCGCAGATTGTAAGCTTTCCCCGCAACCAAAGCATTAGAACTAGTCTGTGCTAATATTCATTATCGCGGTAGGTTGTCGTCGGTTCGCAATCTTCCGGAAAGTCCTCTGTCCTTGAGAACATCGTTGGCCGCGACTTTCTACCCCGGGGTAGCGGAATCGTGACGAGACGGCCATTGATTCTGCAACTGATCAATGTTTCCGAGGAAGAAGATGATAGTAACGATGCGGCTGTCAATATTCCACACACCGCCAGCAGTGTGGCCGCGCATGGAGAATGGGCAGAGTTCCATCATTTGCCGGGACGAAAATTCGAAGATTTCGCTCAGGTAAAGCAAGAGATTGAAAACGAGACAGCCCGCATAGCAGGAAACAACAAGGGTATCAATCGGCAACCGATCAACTTGAAGATTTTCTCTCCACATGTCTTGAACCTGACACTGGTCGACTTGCCTGGTTTGACCAAAGTCCCAATCGGTGACCAGCCCTCCGATATCGAGAAACAGACTCGCACACTCATCTCGGAGTATATTGCGAAGCCCAACAGTATCATTCTCGCCGTCTCTCCTGCGAACGTCGACCTTGTCAACTCGGAAGCATTGAAGCTTGCGCGCCATGTGGACCCTATGGGAAGGAGGACGATTGGTGTGTTGACCAAGTTGGATCTTATGGATCATGGCACCAACGCATTGGATATCTTGTCCGGTCGTGTCTATCCACTTAAGCTGGGCTTTATTGGAGTTGTCAACCGATCTCAGCAAGATATCCAAAGCGGCAAGTCACTGAGCGAGGCGTTGAAGGCAGAGGCAGACTTTTTCAGGCATCATCCGGCATATCGAAACATGGCTAATCGCTGTGGTACTCAATTTCTCGCAAAGACATTGAATTCGACATTGATGGCACATATCCGGGATAGACTGCCAGACATCAAGGCGCGACTCAATACTTTAATGGGACAAACGCAGCAGGAATTGGCTAGCTATGGAAACAAACAATTCAGCGGGAAGGAACACAGAGGTTCCCTCATACTACAGTTGATGACACGCTTTGCATCGTCATTCATCTCTTCAATTGACGGTACATCTTCGGAAATCTCGACGAAAGAACTCTGCGGTGGTGCTCGCATATACTACATTTTCAACTCTGTTTTTGGCCATTCACTAGAAACGATTGACCCAACCCATAACCTCACAGTATACGATATCAGAACAGCTATACGCAACTCGACGGGACCGCGACCCAGTTTGTTTGTACCGGAACTGGCTTTTGACCTATTGGTAAAACCGCAAATCAAACTGCTGGAAATTCCTAGCCAAAGATGTGTCGAACTTGTGTATGAAGAATTGATCAAGATTTGCCACACTTGCGGATCTCAGGAACTGTCTCGATTCCCTCGACTTCAGGGCAAACTCATTGAGGTCGTGTCTGATCTTCTTCGCGAGCGTCTTGGACCGTGCTCATCTTATGTGGAGTCCCTCATCGCTATACAGAGAGCATATATCAATACAAACCACCCGAACTTCCTAGGTGCGGCCGCCGCTATGTCTTCAGTTGTCCAAAATAAGCAGGAACAGGAGAAGAGAGTCTTACTCGCCGAAGAGCGCAAAAGACGGGAAAAGAGGAGACTCAAAGAGTTGGGTGAGACTAACGGAGTCACAGCCGAGGAAGAGGAAGAACAACCCCCGGAGTCTCGAAGCCGAACTCTACCTGTTCGGGGGTCCAATGCTGTTAGCTCGAGAACGATGTCTCCCCATGTCGAGACCGGAGTGAATAGCTCGCCACCAGTATTTGGAGCTGCAAATACAGCTCGAGATTCTTTCTTGAACTATTTCTTCGGCAAAGATGGGATGCCGTCGTCTGGTCCTCTCCCTCAACCGACACAAGCAGGACAAGGCCGGCGTGTTGGCCACAATACCGAGCCTAGCATCAGTCAAAGTATACGCCGCAGCGAACCTCGGTCGCCAGTGATACCGCAGGAAGAATACAGCGCCCCAGTCTCCGATTACGGCAGGGACGTTGCACAATTCGTAAGTTACCCAAAACTATCAAAGAAAAAATATATAAAAATACTAACACCTCCCAGCCCTCCGAAAACGTCGAACCAAACCTTACCGACCGCGAAATCATGGAAACAGAACTAATCCGTCGCCTGATATCATCCTACTTCAACATTGTCCGCGAAACCATCGCTGACCAAGTCCCCAAAGCAGTCATGCACCTACTCGTCAACCACAGCAAGGACGTAGTTCAAAACCGACTCGTCAGCGAACTGTATAAGGAAGAACTATTTGGAGATTTGCTCTATGAAGATGACGGCATCAAAGCAGAGAGGGAGAAATGCGAGCGATTATTGGAAACGTATAAAGAGGCGGCGAAGATTGTGGGTGAGGTTCTGTAGTTTAGACTTTACCTTTTTTCTGTTTTATTATCGTCTGCTGTCTTTTCATGTCTGTATAAACATTTTCGTTTCGTGCTTTTCAAGGGGGAATTAGCCTTTTTTTTTCGCTTGAACGATTTGTTTTGATCGTGTATTGTACCACATCCCTCCTATCTATCACATTCTCCAATTGAAGCAAATCAAATCAAATTAGTGCAGTGCAGTGCATTTCAATCATCTATCAACCATACGAAAGCCAGCTAGTTCTATTATGTGCTTTACATCATGCTATGAACAACCATGTACTTTTCAGATACCTGAACCAACTCATACAACCATATTCAGCAGGACAAGATAAAATCACACCTTGACCTTCCTCTTCCTCGTCGGACTCGTCTCCCTCATACTCAACGATGAAGACGACAAATTATTCTTTGCCGCCGAAAAGAACGACGGCACTCCTCGTTTCCCCCCTTTAGTATCATCGTTGTTATGACGATAATGTAACTCTGTGTTTGCGGCAGCAGAGTTCATCTTTTTGCTTTTTGCTCTTGCGCTGCCCACTCCGTATAATGCGCCTCCCAGAAAGACGAAGCCGGCACCAATCAATACTCCTGAGGCCAGGGAGTTGCCGAAAATATAGATGGAGAGTAGTAGCGAGACCAATTTGCGAATATTCAGGACTATGGTCACAGTTAAAGAAGATGACTTTGCCGCAAGTAAGTAAACGCCTCGGATGCAGATGTATTGTGTTAAAGCGTTGATGACGAGATAAAAAATCTTACTGGGTGTTTTGTTTAGGATTATTGTGATCATGTCTCGAGGCACTGATTCTGTTGAAGCAGACAGAATGCTGGAGAATGAATTGCCGCTTTGCGCGAGAAGATTGCTGCTATGCTCGGTGAGTGCTGATGGGGTAGCTGCAGCTACTACTGCCATGGAAGATGGTGTAACGCCGGATGACAGTGAAGCAGCGATATGACGCGAAACAGACATTGTCGCATTCTGGACGGCGTCATTCATAATCACCTCCTGTGGTAGGGATCCAGCAGCGGCAGGGTGTAAATCAGCTAATATCGACGGGGAAGACATGAATGCGCGAAACTGGGACGATAATTGGGTATATGTCGGTAGAAAGAACGGCAAAGAAAGCATATGCGAATACAGCAATGCTTCGCGCCAATGCGTATTTCCATGCGTGGCATATAGTCGATCGGCATAGACACCTTGAAAAGCAGATAGCAGCATGGCCAATGCTAGGATGGTGAATCCAGTGACGAAAGTCAAAGTTGACTTTCCTTCCTCTTCCCCGGACGACAGACTGATCGCTTTACCCTGTGCCTTGGCATCTGCCAATGCAGCAGCCACAACCCCCAAAGTTAATAGCATGACCGAGAAGATTTGCATTCGTGAATATCGTCGGCCATTATATAGATACCCAATGATCATTGATGCGACGGGTCCACCAGACCTCAGGATGATATGTAGCGGTACAGAGATCCGATACGCAAAGGCCCAGTTATTCAACAAATTGACCGTGACGAAGAATAAAGTGTATATACTCCACGATCGTAGGGGAATAACGGGCGCTTTCATGAAAAGTGAGGAGGCACCAGCGGACCAGGAGAGGAAACTCGGAATCGTAAACAGCGAGACGGTCACGAATTGCACAAAGGTTATGAGAGGCCCGGCAGCAGGCTCGTCTCTGCGGTGTGTTAGTTTCCGTGCTGTAATTCGAGCAGCGCATTCGACGAAGACGACCTACTTGATGATAGCTTCCAATGCGAAAACATTTCCACAACAACCGCCGAAAATCAAGAAGCCAACAACCGTAGCATCGAGCCACTTCGGCAACGAAGCAAGCAGAATCCCAGCTGTGACGCTTTTCGCATTATTCTCGTTTTCGGTCTCGTGGTCATCAGCATGATCATGCATGATCACAACCTCGTCCCCTTTCTCATTTGCCACTTGGCCGGTCATGTCGCGTTTCGTCGTTGTCGATTCGTCCCGAAGAGTAGGAGTGTGTATACGGTGTCGTTGTCGTTGTCTCACAGAAGCATCATTTTGGTCTGTGTGATAATTCTGCTAGATAGAGTAAATAAAACAGGAGTCAGTCTCACAGATAGACCAGAAATCGGACTAAGATCTCGTTGATCAAGCTAGTCTGAAAGTAGGGGATTGTGGATGTTGTTGATCGCATGAGGCAAAAAGATGGCAAGGGGAGACTGACAGCAGATCGCATTGTTCACTGGGCCCACAATAACGTGCTCGGGGAGATGTCGGGATTGAGACATCAATTTCTCTTTGATGTTATATTATTTCAGATGAATTCATGTTGTTTCGGTTGAAGAAGTAAATATAGAGCAGAGAAAGTTAGGGGCATAAAGACGGAACGTGGCTTCTACTGTATTTGTCTCCGCAGACTGTTCCAGCCCTTGTGCCTGACTGACTTTTACGGCATCAAGATACAATATATAAATTCAATATCCAACTCCGGCTATGCAGTCATCATACAACCTCCCGAAATAAATCAAGTCATAAATTAGTCCTCAATGTCATCGTCGCTTAAAAACAATTGGTCCTCCTTTTTCTCTACAACATCGTGCGTGTCCAAGCGCCGGATCCCAGGTCGGTGGCTATTCGTACCCTCGATTTCTTCCTGTGCATCATCCTCTAAAAAGTCCTCTTCCGCGGGAGGATGGATGCCTTTGAATTGCGTGATTCGATCCAACCCGCGGGGAGAACTCACATGATTATTAGCCATGATTTTGGACAGATACGGCAAATAGTAAAGAAGCATGTCTTCACGAGACATCATGAAAGGCATCTGCTGCGAGTCATTGTCTTGTTGTTTGGAATTTGTGTTCAACGATAGATTCGAATTCATCGCATTCGCCTTCCAGGACGCAACACCTCCGTCACGGACAGCGGCAACGCTGTGTTGGCCTGGGTGCCTGATACCAGATGGGTCTAGCAAGAGCTGTCTCTCCCACAGATTCACCAACCCATCAACTTCCTCAATATTCTTCCATAGTCGTTGCGAAGTCGGATAGTAGAGTTTGTACGGGCCAACGCGCTTGCCCTTAGTCGATGATGCCAAGAAAGAAGACTGATCGACTTTCCTCCGCACAGGGTACGGCAAAGAAAACAACATTCCGCGCACCGCAACATGGAAACTGATTTCGTCCTGTCGTAATCGGTCAACACTTATGCCGTAGCCTAGGAATCGACCGCGCGCGGTTCCAATTCCATTCCTGCTGTTGTATAAGAATGATCGAGTTTCCGAGCCCAGGATATCACTATCTGATAGATGCTCGATGCATCCTTCCAGTGTCTCTGTAAATGTCGGCCCATCGCATGATGGAGGGTAATTCTCATGTAAAGCGGCAGTGAAAATGTGAACATCTGTCCCAGTCTTGTCCATCATATCCTCAACAGATACCTGCGATACCTTCGGGCGGTCTAAATGCATTAAATGACTTGGAGGTGCAACGTGAAGTTCTTGTCCTGTCTCCGCTGGGTCTATAGTTTCATCCCTCTTATTATAAACCACCTTGCCAACAGCATGAAATAAACCAAGACTAGTCTCGCGCTGCGTAATCAGCTCCAACGATTCTTTTTCCATGGCAGTCAGTGGAGCTGTAGTTTTTGACGACTTCCAAGCAACCCTGCCACTCCATCCTTGATTGGTCGTGTCATTTCGTAAACAGAGGAACTCAAGTGCAGATATAGCGCTGCGGATATCCCCCAATTCAGACAGCTTTTTTAGGACTTCGATACCCGGTATCCACTGACGTTTCGACTGGTTGGCTTCCTTTCTTAAGATGAGTTGCAAGGCTTTCAGCATGAATGTGGGTGCTATAGGATTGAATTCGATGGTTGTTGTGCCGGGATGAGTATACACTTCTGGGCCGAGTAATCTGTGCGCGGTCAAATTCTCAGACGTCGCTCCGCTCGTTCCTAGCATTGTCTCTGAGATTATAATGACAATAGGCGGCGTTGTGTCCGGTGTATTTCCGAATATATTTCTTGAATTAGATGAGCTTGACGCTAAATACCGTCGGAGAGATGTCTGAAACGAAGACAACGCAGTAGAGCCCCAGGATAAATTGGCTGGAAATTCTTCTATCAATATAACTCTTTTTTGGGCCGACGGCGATGATGTCTGTTTAGTTATATGGGTCTTTGATGCTGAAGGAGCCGAAGAATCACTCAGATCAAGACCACCGAAACTGTTCAATTGGCCCAAGAAGTAGTCGAATTGAGAGCTTAGAGAACTGTATTGGCCATTGCCGGTATCAGTGCCGAAGGGATTTTTCCAGTCGACAATGTCGAAGTTCAGCTCGTCGGAAAGCAGCGAGACAGTTGCGGTTTTTCCACATCCTGCGGGACCGTGGAGTACAAGTATTTTCTATCCTCGTCAGGTTGATATCAACGCAGTAGGACACAGAAGTAAACTTACATGCCTAGTTCTCCCGGACAACGCAATACTAAGCCATTGTCTGACATCAGCCACCTTCTTTTTGTGAACAGCCAATTGATCCAGGAGTGTGGGCGGATATTGATCTGACCAAGGCTTCCGCCCCGGCTCTTCTGTCGTAGAAGCTACGTCTGTCCGCTTGACGACTTCATCGTCATCCAGTATAAACCGCTTCGAAGAAGTACGCGAAACCGTCTTTGAAATTGCAGACGCCATCGTGCTGTTCTTATTGGCCGAATCTCGAATTGCAAGTTCATTCGACGGCTTATCCAAACAACGCGCAGATTCAAGACTGCCATCAATCCAGTCGTCTTCGAGCCAGTCATCTTCAATCAGATCATCCTCCAGTTCTTCCGCAAAGGAGGAGGCCTCCTCTGCTTGTCGTAAGCCAGCATCTGATTTGGTGAATGACCATCGTTGTTCATCGGTTGCAGGCTGGAAGAAATTGTGCAATGATCGTGTTGATTCACTTGGCAGCTGTCTTTGTTGACGAGTCTTTTTCTTTGGTGATGGGGAAGTTGGCACTTTCGAATCCTTCGGTTGTTTTCGAGAAGACGCGCGCGACTTGGTTTTCTCACTCATCTTGGATTTGGTTGTTGTTGATGCTGTTGTCTTCGACCGCTTCGAAGGATTCTCGCATGATGATGATATACTAGTATTCACCGCTGATCTAGAGTAGGTCTGAAAGATTAGCTTAAACGCCAGGAAAAATCTGATAGAGAATGATAAAGTGTATACCAAAGAAGTACTCTTCCTCTCGGGACTGGTCAAATCCACTGATGGCGACGGTACAATCGAGTCCTCGTTATCTGATGATGAGAGCACCACCAGTTTGCGCTGCCTTTTGGCGGGAGGAGCAGCCATGGTGATGACGATGTTGATATATTGGTAAACAGTATACCATGATCATCGCTCGTGCAATAAGAGTTGTTACATTGATACGTATGTAGTTAGTTGATGATAATGCTGAGGTAATTGAGATGAGGTTCAGGTTGATTGGAAGGTGAGGAGTGAACAATTCCCCGATCTCGAGTCTGGTCCTAGCTATCTTATCGATAACCCTAACCCTCAGCGACCACTCCGAATGTTCATACATTCTTCACCTCTTGCTATGTTCAACAGCAACAAGTGTCAGTTTAGCCGTTTCTATATCCTTGGATAGATCAAAAACCACTTTTTAGACAAAGTACAAACACATATCACCATCTTCCATTGGCGCTTGGGGAGTGCCGGAGAGGAGGGGCCGGACTTGTCTTTGTCCGACTAGGGTTCTTGCATTCGGACATATTTCCCCATAACCCACCAACCAAAGCACGACTTCAAGCTTCAGACTTGGCTATGATAAGACTTCACAGCGTTTAGAAAAGTCGCATGAGGGGCTACGGCGGGTTTCGCAACATATAAACTCCTCTCATCGTCACTCGATCCCTTGAATGCTCTTCAACCTGATTAACCTTAAAAGAATCCAGCCAAGCCAGCCACACTCAGTATGTCTCCCGCACATAGTTCTGATATGCCCAGCTACAGCATTGCTTCTATCCCGGCCGATGGAATTGGGCCGGAAGTCATCGATGCAGGGATTACAGTGCTGAAGGCCTTGGCTGATACGCTCGAAACGTTCCGACTAGACTTTACTCATTACGACTGGAGCTCCGACACGTACAAAAAGACTGGTGAATATATCCCTGATGGCGGTTTGGATCGATTGAAGAAGCATGATGCTATTCTGTTTGGCGCCGTGGGTTCACCTGGTAAGAGGCTCGACTTTATGCTTAGAAGTATCATGACTCATTTAGGTTGCAGATGTTCCGGATCACATCTCTCTTTGGGGTCTCCGATTAGCCATCTGCCAGCCTCTCCAACAATATGCAAACGTGAGACCTACAAAAGTCTTCCGAGGTACTCAGTCCCCTCTCCGGAACTGCGCCGTTGGCGATCTCGATTGGGTCATCATTCGTGAAAACAGCGAAGGTGAATACGCCGGCCAGGGAGGACGTTCGCATCAGGGTCGTCCCTGGGAGGTTAGCACCGAGGTAGCCATCTTTAGTCGCCATGCCATCGAGCGGATTATGCGGTTTGCCTTTGAAACTGCTCAGCAGAGACCACGCAAATTGCTCACGGTTGTCACCAAAAGCAATGCTCAGCGTAATGGCCTGGTGCTCTGGGATGAGGTTGCCAAAGCAGTGGCACAGGACTTCCCTGATGTGACCGTTGACAAAATGCTTGTGGATGCAATGACTACGCGTATGGTTCTTAAACCAGAGAGCCTCGATACAATTGTGGCAACAAACTTGGTATGACTATGAGAACTCAAGGACCTAATAGCCTATCAGAACTTGAAGCTGATGATGCAAACATAGCACGGCGATATTCTCTCTGACCTTGCAGCCGCTTTAGCAGGTTCCATTGGAATTGCCCCAACATCGAATTTAGATCCTACACGCCAAAATCCCAGTATGTTTGAACCCATCCACGGCTCCGCTTTTGATATTACTGGCTTGGGGATTGCCAATCCCGTGGGAACCTTTTGGACAGTAGTAGAAATGCTCAATTGGTTGGGTGAGAAGGATGCAGCGAGTAAGTTACTCGAATGTGTGGAGAATGTGTGCGAGCAGGGTGTTTTGACGAGAGATTTGGGTGGTAACGCTACTACCAAGGAGGTCACGGAAGCAGTCGTCGCGGAGATTCGAAAGCTGGGGGTGAAATGAGAGTTTTCATAGTATAAAGTAAGACTCATATGGATATCGGTTAGTGAATGATGGGAACTTATGACATATTCTCTCGACCATAGAGTAAATGAACTTTTCATAAAACATTCATAAAACATCAAAGTCGCCGTGAATGAGCCATGGTCCGTCGGCTACAGTCCACCCCTCATTCATCGAAAATCCATTCAAAGTTGGGAAAGTCGGCGCATATTGGGGGACCATGCCGTAGGAAAGGCCGTTTCCAGAAGAATCTCCAAACACCACACTTGCTGGATTATAGATGTCGCTTTCTTTGGCCAGTATACCAGTGCTATCGTACGTGGGATTCGCAAGGTACTCCTGAAGATGGCGATGCTCGTCAATAGAAATCCTTGATTGATGATCTAAGGTTATCGGGGGTGATTGTACTTGGTAGGGAGTGAATTGCTGGTTGTTTGCGACTGAGAAGCGTTCTTGATTATGATCTGATAGTCGAGGGTTCCGTAGCCTTGAGTGTTGGTCAATAGATGATGTCGATGTTCGGAATGAGTGTGTGTCATTGTGTTGAGATGATATTGTAGGGTTAAGCTGCTGACCCTCTTGCCTGACCGACGGTGTGCCGTTTTGTGAGCTGTTCTCCATAGCTGAGCATAAATCTTCTATAGCATGGATACATGTCTCTGGCCAGTCACTTTCTCTTATAGCAATGTTGCGAAGCACAGAAATTCCAACGCGAGCATATCGCAAAGCGCCTTTGTTGGTGAAGTGACCGGTCCAGGCCGCATATATGAGAATCATACATGACATCCAGACAGCTGACGTAAATGAAGGTGATGTTAGAGGAGCGCGTTGCTGAGCTGAACTTATTCCTATATGAAAGCGACGATTCATGTTCGAACCAGTGTTAATATAATCGTACAGAGCAACCAACAAAGACCTGGCGGAGTTGATACAAAGTTGAAAAGCGGTCTTATAATCTGCAGCAGTGGGATTATGGGCGGCAAGGAGTGGTCGATACAAGGAAATGGTAGCCTCATGCCTCGACACAATGAGCAACAACGCTTGATATGGTTGAAGAGGGGATTCAGAATCAGATTCAAGTGTATAGACATCATCGTACACCTCATTCCACCATTTCAAAAGTGCACTGTCCACTTCAGCAGCATCTGCCAGATTTTCTTGGCTATGCATGATCGATTTGTTCCGCAACTCAGAAATCAAGCCTCTCAATCGTGCAAATTTAGCCAAATGAGTTAGGAGTCTAAGGCGACTATCTTCTGCGTTGACACCCATATCCTCTGGGCCCGCTGAATGTCTTTCGGCTTGTGGGTAGCAAACATCGAAATCATCATCACGAATACTAAGTGGCACTCCTAGTGCTTGATTGAGATATCGTTCTAGGCAATATATGGACCAGAAGATACGACGGCGCATCGTGACATCTTCACTGGTAAAACAGGAATATCGTGTCGGACAGCGGTGTAAGCCCAGGTGGAAGGCCATGCGAGTCACAAAACCTCCGACTCGAGAAGCGGTATTCAAGCATAAAATAGAAGTTAAGAACAACTGGATACTGAACGCGGCTTGCAGTAGAGGAATGGAAGGCGATTCAGTCTGTAGTTCCCAGAGAGTGCTCATAGCTTCACGGACCGTCTGATATACTAGTTCCACAGAAATAGTTGGTGTTGAGGTCGGATTATATGTCAGGCCCATTCGGCTCATGATTGCAGAAATAGAGATAATAGACCGAACGATGATTGCATCTAGCCGATCAATCGACTTCAGCCCTTTTTGGCTGATTTGCTCCATAACACGAAGGATACGGGGCGCATTGACGAAAGGGTATATTGGATGCCAGTCTTCGAAATAATGATGTGTTAATCGTACCAATTCCTCAAATGAAAGCGACCGGTTGGTCGTGTCGAGCTCCTGCTTCTTCCATAGGGAAGTATGAGCTTTGCCTTGACCTCGAGCACGGTGAATATGATCATCTTCACCGGGAACTACGGTTTCATGTCCGCTGTCTCTGGCCTGTTGCAGGTCTGTGAAGCGACGGGCAAAGGCATTATAAACCGTGCGGACAAAGTGGATGCCGCTGGAGCTGCCAAGGAAGCTGATAGATGTATCGTCTTTGCGCATGATACCATATTCGCGTGGAGATGTATATGTAGTGCCAGTCCCAGTATTTGTAGGAGCACATCGACGGCGTTTGAGCTCGCGGTGGACATCAAATTCGCCAGTGTCAGCCATGGTTGACCTGATCAAGCATCAGGAATTCATCTTGAAAACCGACTCATATTTGTATTTCAATATTGAAATTGCACGGTAGAATGAGCCTCGCAAAAGAAGGACCATGCGGTCGATTCCATGTCATATCATGAATGTGGTAGGATAGATGTGAGAAGCTTCCTTCCAAAGAAGAAAACGATCGAGGTCGCGTCTCTCGGAGATGATTGGCTGAATCCTTTCACCTCTACGTAGCTTCATATATATACCCCAACCTTAATAAGATGGCAGGGACGGAGTAAATAAAGTGCGACTCCGGACGGAGTATTCAACACTGGTTATCCAAGCCCGGGGTTATTCAATTCCGGAGGTGGTTCACATGTTTGACCTGTTTGCACTAAACCAGATATCAACATGCTTCACTTCATGAAATATTCAAACTCATGATGACCCTGAGAGCTGCAGCTGGAACCTCAGCTTCAGAAGTGCCAATGAGCGATAACTAATAGCTAACTGGAACACCGAAATGGATACTGGTAGGATGAATATGCCAAAAATGAGACCCACTGTCTGATTTGCTTAGGTACGGTCAGGAGAGAAATTTTGCATCCAATCGCCTGTGAACCGTGCAGGCAGAAAAAGTGCAAGGTATATCTGCAGATACAGCATGAATCTCTCGTATGACGCGAAATTCTGACCGGATTACTCGAATCTAGTGTGACCGCGAAATGTAAGCATGTCTTGCTACATATATTCGATTTCTGTGTGTATGAGTGAGTGCGCTGATGCGATCTGACATGGTTATGGAATGAAGACCAGTTTGTTCACAATGCCTAGGAGAGCCATCAAAATGCAACTATCCGGAGAGTGGTAAAAGGTGACTCGACAGATTCAAAGATTGTCTTAGATCATGAACTGACTCAGGAGTAGAGGTCTACCATTGGGTTATATCACTCAGCTGGAACAACGACTTGCCGTCACAGAACTGGCCTTATTTGAAGCACTGGCAACACTACACTCACTCGGCCATGACGAAACAGGCCTGGTCAAGGCATCAGTCAAGTCCGGGATTGAGAGTAGACAGGGGAAACAATCACTCATGGAAGAATGGCGGAAGCTACCTCTGCGAGACGGGCTGACAGAGGATATTGAAACATGGTGGCAAGCCAAATCCGAGAAGTACCTCATACAACAACCTTCTGCTGAAAGGGATCAGCCCCAGGATCAACTCAAGCCACTATCGACCGGCCACTCCCCGGAAAACGTCACAGAAAACGATACTATAACCTCTCCACAAGCGTCCCCTGTGATGGAGTTTGCGGTTTCAACTGGCGCCGCACCCAGCTACCCAAGAAATGTCCATTATGATAACGACATCCCAAGACAACGTCCTAATTTTTCCCGGGAAAGAGTTTCTAGTACGGATGCAGAGCAGCACCATGCTACACCTGAAGTCGGCACAGGATATAGATCGATAATGCCACGCGAGACGAGAGGCTCTGAATTCTTCTCCTCCCATGATGTACAAAGATCGGATGCAGGAGACGGTAATAAAGCTGCTATTCTCGCTCGTACGCAATCTAGTCTATATTTCTAGGGATTTCAAAGATTCATGCAAAACCAACCAAAAGCTTACTTAGGGGAAGATGATGCTCCCATATCAACAATGTGTAGGTTTCATCCATACCGATTGGGTCGAAGACAAAACATCCAAGAAAGACGAATTGGTCAGTAGCTTTCAAGGTTACTTTGGTTGTTGCTATGTAGACCATTGATTTGAATTCACGTATAGATTTTACAAACCTATGAGTCTTGCAATGTTTCGAGAGAGAATCATGGATAGATAGGTAGTGTTCTGGGATATAAGAAAGATACTGATATATATACATTAATTCCCATATTCTTAAATAATTAGACTGAAACATCCATCCAGGTATCGACCAACCAGCATTATGTCCAAAAATCGCTAACAAAAACAATATTATCGAGAAGAAAAGAAAAAAAAAAAAGGGGGGAATCATACACCTCCAAAAACATCATAATAATAATCCTCATCCAATCCCTCCCTACTCGGAATCTTAGGTGTCTCACCCGCAAATGCCGCATCATCAAACCTAACATTCAACAACCTGATCTTCAAGCCGTAGTTACTAATCAGATTCACCAGCTTATTCGTCTCAGCCGTGATGGGTTGTTGGTTCAATAACATCAGTAACCCGTCTAACCATTCAGAAGCGATGCTATGACTCTGTGGACGGAGCGTCAAGAGTGGGATTTCGCGTTGAGTTGCTCTACTGCCGGTGCGTGTGTGGCTGCTGTCTTTGTTAGGGGATCTGGGGATGCCGGATGAAGAGGTTGCGATGGTGGGAGCGTAGCCATGAATGGTAATTTTGGTGGATGATATCGTTGTGGTTGAGGATGAGGATGTGCCGGGCGGAGGGTTGAGAGAAGATGCGCCGCCAGGAGTGGTTTTGATAGTTGAACCGGACGAGTCGTCTGACGAGGCAGAGACGTTTGATACTACTGAAGAGACGATGGATAGATCGACTATGCACTAATCAGCTTATTGACAACCAGAAGAAAAGCGGAGGGCTTACTCTTATTAGACAGACTATCCAAAACAGGTGCCGTCTCTTTGATAGAGTCAAAATCACTAAAGTGTAGATATCTCCGATTATGCGACAATTGCACATATTTATACCCATATGACGGTCTCTTCAAATCTGCCGTCTTGACCGGACTCAAATCATCAGCCCTGGGTGAAGCTGTCGCTGGCTCATTCGGAAACCAAGCACCCTGTAGCAGACAACGAATCCTCTGCTCTTTTACGAATTGTAATGCTTCATGCTGTAATTCATCCCGAACTTGTCTCAGATGCTGACCCCATGCATCTTCGTACGTGAGTTCGAGCAATTCCATCTGCAGTTCTCGTAGACGCTGATATTCGAAATCATCCAATTCCTCCTCAACATCTTGCACATCCTTTGTACGCGGTGCGCCTCCGACGACAGATTCCACCAGGATCCGGACTAGTTCCACGATCTTGTCGAAATCAGCAACTTCAGCACTGGTAGCTTTCCACAGACGGAAAAAAGCGTGCAAAGCCGCAACATGTATACGTGACCAGTGCAGCAATAGCGGTTTGAACACTTTATCGAAGTTTGACCGCGACTCCAAGACTAGATAATTTTTTGCGTCGTCTGTGGCTGACTTCTCAACTTCAAAATGTTCATAGAGCACAGATGTAACAGCCAACGACGCCCTGGCAATGGGACATCGCTGCTCAGCGGGTTTCGTCGAATGTTCCAATAACATCTTTTGAAAATCATCCTGATGCTTCCGAACGTAATCCGTCAAATCCATCATACCCAAAAAACCCATCTCATGAAACTCCGCAGCAGGACTTTCACTCTGAAAACCGAGCCGTCTCCATTTCTCAGGGTTATGTCTGCGCGATTTCTTCATATCGCTTTCGTTTCCAGTCCCATTCTCAGAAGAACCACCAGCACTACTGCCTGTAGTGCTACCCTCCTTCTTCTCCGGATTACTCGCCAAATGAATCCCCTTCAATGCCCGTCTGTGATCCGGCTTCTCTAAATCCACGGCCACATTCTTCCACTTCCTCAGCAACAGTTTTGTTAATGACTGAAACTCAATCAATGGATGCGCATGATCCTGTAATGCACTTCCTTGCATCAAGATATATACAGCCCGAATCACACCTAGATCCTGTAACTTTTTAATGAATTTCGGCCACTCCGATTCCTCGTCATTGGTGATTGAGTCCCGCATTAATGAATTTATAAGCTGTAACGCGTTTGCGCATAGTGCATGGTCGGCGGAGGATAATCTGCTGACTAGCATTTCGAGAAACTGAGGTTGTCTATCAATGGCGGGCTTGAGGGCTCGAAATCCATATACCTCTCTTTCTTGGCTATTCGGGTCTGCTGGCGTCTGTTCGGGCTCGAGTTGACTGACACTGTGAGGATGGGAAACAATCGAAACGAGCATGGCCATTGCTCCACGTAGAATATTAACGAGGGGATGCGTCACGATCAAATGAACAATCTACACGTCGTCAGCCTCCATCTTTTCCTCCACGACGGTAGATAGGAAGAAAATACCCTCTCAACAACCTCCTCATCCACATACTCCCAACCTTTATCAACTTCCAACAACCGCGCAAAACTCGTCAAACTATACGCCAACGTATTCCCCGCCGTCGTCAACGTCAAATACCGCAGTTTACTCAACCCGCCTTCCGCGATGAAGATGTCCGCAAACGATGGGTCGCCGATGCTACCTTGTAATTTGAAGGCGGCCATTTTGCGCACAGCGTCTTCGTCGCTGCCGAGGCGATTGACGAGGTCGGAGGGATTGAGGGTTTCCATGTCGTATGTCTTGTCGCGTGGAGATTGAGATGGTCGTGAGGTGATGATATGGAATGAGGTAAACAGTGCTCCCGACGCGCTCAATAGATAATCACAGATCCTCCAGGTAGAAATCAAGTCATATTTATTGTCTTTAATTCGTGTGCTGCTCTCCTCCTTGAATGATGTCGCGTACAGTCCGTGAATTGTCGGGGAAGAGCTGAAGGTTAGGGGTTTAGCTCTGATTAGTCCGAGGTACTCCACCTTAGTCCGGCTGATATTACTGCAGAGTATCTGCTTAAGTGAACTGATTGTTCATAACTACTAGAATTATCCGACCAAGTCACGAAAATAAATCAAACTCCTGTATTTAAACTACCTATCCCTCTACCCAAGTACCCAATAAGTGTATATCAATATTGCAGAAATCATCAAGTCATAACTCAAATGAAGAAATGATAGAAGATAAACGCTTGACTTGATCCAGCCTGATGTAAAAAACCGCCAACAAACTTGCAGGTAAGATAAATACAAGAATCGAATAAGATTAAAAGAGGATAGAGGTTACTTCCTCCATCCAACATTCCATATAACATGCGCAATATCCCGGGCTGTATTGACGGTATCGACAATCCGGCCAAACATTCCTGTATACGACGCTTCTTCGCCTTCTTCGTACGGCATAAACATTCCAGACGGCGTAAGATGGAGGTTTCCGCTTTTGCTGGCGTCGTCCTCAACGCCCTCGCTGTATTCCAATTCTTGGCGATCTTCGGGGTTGACGAACCAGGGTCGATTGTGCGAGGAGTCATAGGTGTGTCGTCGGGAGTTTTTAGCGCTCCAGTATGGCTCTTGCTCGTCATCGTCATCGTCAAGAAGGAAATTAGCTTCTGGTCTTGGTGGCCGTAACGTCTCTACTGATGGCGTTGGAGATAGCTTGCTACTAGGGCTTCGTGTGTCGTCTTGACCCGAGCTCCACGGCAATTCAGGTGTATCTGATCGACACTTCAACGTGGTCGGTGGCAAAGGCGCAATCGTCTTACTTTCGCTACTAGTACTACTCCTTGGAGTACTCCGCGAACTACTGATATACGACACCGACGTAGATGATGTCGTCGTCCCGGCTGGGAACGATCGAGAACTGACCTGCTTCATCATGACAACTCCCTCGTCAGACTCTGTATCTGCAGTATCATCATTGTAATAGCTATTGCGGTGATCATAGTCATCGTCTCCATACTCGTCGTAGTCATTGTCGTACTCTTCTCCAAGGAAAAACAACGACGGATCAACATCGTGTTCTCCGTAATCCTTGGCTTCAACGGCAATGCATTGCACCACTTCATTATTGAAGTGGATATGACGCTTTTCACTCGGCGAAACTAACCCTGACGAAGCTGATTCTAACGGTGTGCAGTGGGCGGATGATGAATTGTTGAATGAATATTCCGGTATGCGAGCCAAAGGAACACCCATATCAGACGTGGCCCGTTCAAACGCGGGTTTGCCTCGTGAATAATGTTCCGCCTTTTGTGCTTGTAATATAGCACCGGCGTGTTTCAAAAGAGTATGTTGTGACAACGACCGCTGCAGGATGGCTTCGGAAGCAGTCTTTTTCTTCAAAATGGATTTTCGGTCCAAGAATGAATTCGTCGATGACAGTCCACTCGGTGGTGGAGGCTTTTGCTTTGGTGTTTTGAAATCTGTCTGCAGAGGTCCATACAACCACGTCACATCACAGTCCTTTAACCAGTTCAGTGTTTCGGGTGATACTGTCCGCAGTCCGTATTTGTTTTTAGCCCATGTCCGCCATGAAGCATTCTCTAATCTGACTCCATTACTATACCGGTCCTTCCGAGCCACGACATAACGCCATGATGTCCAGATATCTTCTTCTCTCCAGTCGTGAGATAAATAATCGACATGTCGCTCGGGCTCGGACTCTATCGATGCATCGTCACTCGATGTTCGTAACAAGGGATCCAATCCGGTGGGAGTCGGTGCCGCTGCTTGTGTAGTCTTTGGCGTAGACAGGCCGCTATCTTTTTGTTGTTCTTCCTGTTCTGTATATTCTGCCTCAAACGCGGGCAAAGCTAGCTCATCGCCTTCCCCATCGGACGTCACCTCAGACGACAAACTACTCAAGGTCGGGGTATACACAGGCGACACTAGAGCTGGTCGAAAGTCGAGTTTGGACGTGGTCGTCGAGGAGAATTCAGCGTCTTCAAAGTAGTCCGACATGGGCTCGTTGAATAACTCTTCGTTTTCTTCAATGAAGCGCGGTTGTAGAGTGCGAGGAGGGCGTATCAGGTCATCCCTATCAGAAACCACCACTGTGGACATGGTTGTCGTCAGGCCGATTGCCTCTTGCTATCACCTCGACATGTCTTGCGTATATGTCAGAAGGTACCACAGCGAGTCGGAGTGCACATTCGAGGGGTAACTGATAGACGGACTGATGGAGAGGTACGACCAGAGGCAATGCGCGCGGTATGTACAGTCCAGGGTGAGATAGAGAAAGAGCGTGGAGGTCGAAAAAAAGCCGGATCGCCACCTACCAAAATCTACCAGCAAAACTAACAATTTAGCAGTAACTTAGAAGGCCTCAGAAGGCGTTGGACTAGCCCGATGGCGTTAGCTTGGAGAAGAATGATTGGCTGAATGAGCACGGACGATTCGATCGATACATTAATACTGTCAATACATACTGATAACAATACGTACCGTCAATAAACGGAAAGAATATTATCTAGAGGATATGTACGACAGAAGTAACTACACACTGTCTGCTAGCAGCACGGTACATAGGTTATCAATGTTGTGCTGTCAATGTAACAGTCAATAGATGAAAACGGCTCCACAGACTCTCTAGACCGGCAGAGCCCCGCTGAGATTCCTGGAATTCTGCTCTTGTCAGTGTCTAGGAGGGCTACACTCCGGGTTGCCGATATCAAGAAATTAGTCCATCTTGGTCGGAATCATCTAATTACTGCAGCAACTTGCATCTAGGATATGTATATGTATGGGTAATATGGATGTTTGTATGTAATTGTATGTAATATTGTGTAATATTCATGTATCACGTATTGTACCGCCAATTCGCGACGCTGATTGGCTGTAACCACCAGCTAACCACATTCAGCTAGTGCTGCTAAGATGCTTCCCTGATTCATTATTTTGACTTCTTTCTTTTTCTCCCTCTCGCTGACTCGCTCCCTTCATAAACGAACTCTCTTTCCTCTTTATCAGCCTGCATTGGGCGAGTCTCGCTATCGTCGCACCTCGTCCACTCCACATATTCCGTATGGAGTCTCCGTATGGAGAAAGCCTCAGCCCATCGATGCACCGTGGGGCTCCTCGATTCTAGATCCTTTTAGCGTCTGCACTTGGCTGACAGCATTCCTATTCCATGCTGAATCTGCACACCAATTTTGCGCGCGTACGTATCACTTTGGTAATACAGCATGGATATAAATATCTCGCATGAGAAACTCTCTGGTGGACGGACGTTAGACTAAGCTATCTCGCATACTCCAGCTGCACGCCATATCCAACGTCAGTGCATCATCCAACATTCAAGTTTGAGTCGATTATTTCGAATACACTGATAGAATAATCGGTGTGTACGTAAGTATAAAAGTATGGCACTGACACTTAAGATCATCAACTATTAATCGGTTCCCCATTACCCGCTCAAAACCGCAGACTGGCTGTTCGGCCGTACCACCCTGGAAATTGACCCCTGTCTCCCGTCCAGCCCTCGTTCATTATGCTGGTGTCTTTCCATTGACCGGCATGCTCGGCTTATTTTGTCGGCCAATCATTCCCTTGGCTCTGGGAACCCTGGATGGACATGTAACAAAGCCACAATGCATGTCTGTGCTTGAGCCTCGCTCCCCTCACAAAAGTATATTTGTGGACATGCTGATATGAACAGATAACATTGGTTACTTGATAGGGCAACCCGAATTATGCTCATCATGCACTGATAGCTATCTAGCTACAGATATGTCGTCAATACCTGACTCCAACGAATGGTTTATCAGTCCCTGCTATATCCATTGTCATGCAACGTACCATAGATGAGAGAAAGACCTGCTCCAATTTCTCGTATTCCACGGTTGTGACGTCTTATTACGAGAAACATCAGCGAACGGGAAGCATCTCGATTGATTTCAGATCAAGGATCGCCGCGAACTGGCAATATAAGAAAGCATTCGCCACAGAAAAATGTCTCCGCACGGACGTGCAACAAAGCGGCCATGGTACATGTACAAGGTGTATATAGGCTGCATGCCATGATGTCCAGACCCATATATCACGTCGTGCTAGATATGATTCTGAGACAGCTGTCGGCCTACCAAGTACAGATAGCTCAGTCCAATCGTTGTCCTATATGAGCACCGGCACGACGTCTTTTGTCAATGAGTTGACATGATAAGCTCAGCCATAACTACAATGCAGCAACGATCGACAGAAACAACCTAGGTTAAACAGTCGGAGTGGTGGCGATATCAGAAGCATCCAGGACGTATCCTGTGAAATATCGGAAGAAGTCGGACGCATATGAATTCATGAGAGAGCTCTCTCTTTGTTAGAATACGAGATTGATCTTTTGATCATTTTCGAAGCGTAGAAGAATCCTATGCTATACGGAACTAACCCAGGTACTCATCCATGTACATAAATTCACACATGACTCGGATTGACTAAATAGTATATCCCGAGAATAAATATCCACTCTTTATCTGTCTTTTATAAACTAATAATTATCAGTTGATGTTAAGCAAAGATGACATTTAATCTGTATATCCAACCAGCCAATCACATCCATCCCACCCCGCCAATATCAGCGGAAGATCGAAAGCTTCGAACTCCGCAACGACCAAGCTCTACCACTACCTACTGACAAGATACCCAATTCCACTCCACCCTATATATTATTCCAGTTACAGAATTGATCCAAGAGCAGAAATATGGCAGAAGCAGATCAACCCGTGGAATCACGAGCAAGACACATTGTTTACTGCGGAGGTACCTCATCTTCCCCGCTATCAATATTTTATGACATGCGTGCTAACTTTTTTTGGTTGCAGTTTGCACTCTTCCACCAGAGGTATGACTCGCATGTTATACCGCCTGCCCTCATTTCCGTCTAGCTGATAACGATGGTTTAAAGTACTGCGAATTTGGCGGCACATCCAAAAAATGCGAAGAATGGCTTGAGAAGACGTACCCAGATCTACATCAACAATTATACTCTGAAGGTCGCTCCCCTCTGATCCCTCCTCTAAATAGACATCAAGGCTGATAATAAACAGAAGCAATAAACGCCAACCTCTCAACCCTCTCCATAACCGCGCGCGAAAAAGCAGCCAAAGACGCCGCCAAAAAAGAAGCCAAAGCCCTCCAAGCCGAAACCCGCGACGCAGAACGCAAAGCCTCCTCCAAAATCCAAATTAAACGTGTTGAACGCAACAAACGGAAATTCGTTACTGTTGTTATTGGTTTGGAGGCCTTTGGTTTAGATCTGAAGAAAGTTGCGAAAGAGTTGGGCAAGAAATTTGCGACGGGGTCGAGTGTCACAAAGTCTCCGGCGGGAACGGAGGAGATTACTGTTCAGGGGGATGTGAGTGATGATTTATTTGAGTGGTTGATTGATGTGCATGGGGATAAGGTCCCGGAGGATAATGTGGAGTTGATTGAGGATAAGAAGAAGAAAGCCGCTGCTTGATTTGATCCATTTCGTGGTATATGCATTATTATACTATGAAAAGAATAGAAATATATGCTATGACAATGGGTATAATGCGATAGAAGACTCAAAGTTCGTCGAATAGGCGGAGAGGATCGGGGGGGTGGCTTTGATGGGAATGTATATTCGCAGATGGATGCTCGATTTTGTCGGTGTTGGCTTCTGGTGAATGTTTTGTGAGCAGTGGTGATTTCAGGAATGTCTTGACGTCGACATGAACATCAGTGCTATGTGTGTCGGACAAAGACTGCGAGGACGTATCGATCTTCGAGTCAAGGTGTTCAACCGACGAAGACATAGATGTCGAAGTAAATCGAACAATATACGCAACAATAATCACCAACACTAACCCCCCGAGAAATCCTCCCAAAACCCTCAATCTCCGACTGACCCTTGCCTGCCACTCTCCCTCTCTCCTTTCCCATCCTTCAATCTCCTGTCGGACTTTATCAAGTCTATTCCCCAAATCCTCCATCTTGGCCTTCCCAGCTTTCATACGACTCTCCAATTCATCTATCCTCTGCCGTTGAGGATCGAATTTTGCGAAATCTGCAAGCTGTTTGCGTATGTCAGACTCAAGATTAGAATTGTCGCGTTGGAAATTCTCGTGTAATGCTACGCTGGAATCGACCAGTTCTTGGAACGTGTTGATTGTTAAGTGGAGAGTTGATATCCGTTCGAGAAGGTTGTAATATGTATAATCCAGTCGCCGCGTAATGTCTGTTGCAAGCGTGCCTATGGACGCAAGTTTTGATCTCAGGATTCTACTCTTCGTTAGCTGCATTATTTAATGAATTCAGTTAAAGTGCACGTACTCTTCCCCCTTCTCACGCTCGTGTCTCGCCAAACTCAAATCCTCCGCCGTCTTGATTTCTCTCCCCCTCGTAGTCGTCAAACTAAGCCTCCGATTCATAGCTTCATTATCCTCTTCTTCCGTAACCACAAAACTAGCCGCTTGACTGCCGCCATTTCTCTGCACACTCGAAGATCTCGATCGAAATATAGGCCGTGACGAATCCTGATTCGATGGTATTGGCTTCAGAAAGCTATATTCTGCGTCCCTGTCTCCACCAAGATATGGATATCCATGACTTTGCGTATGTCGATGAAATGACGGTCGATTTGGTAATAAATTCCTAGCTCCGCCGGCGGAAGCAATCTGATTAACAGCTCGGGGAAGACGGTGATCTTTAGACTTTGAATATTTGTGTGATTTAGCATGACCTTCGCCGTTTTTATTACTGGTCTTCTCGTTTGAGGAAGATGGCTCCAGATCAGATGTATCGACAAACAACCTCCGAGTCCACGGTTGACGCTCCTCAGTGCCGTTGCGCGTTTGGTCCTGACTGGTTTGTGTATAGTCTGATGGACGTGTTACTTCAGAGCGATGGTGACGGTGGTGAATGTTGACTGGGAATGTTCGTGAAGTCGGCAGGCGAGAGGACGATTTGTCGCCTTCTTTGTCCATTCTGCTAGGATTGAGTCATGAGAATATCAATAGTTGTATAGGCCTTGCTTTCCTGTTCTCAGTCCATGGTAATTAACGGCAGAGTGTTACGTTGTGGTAACTCGTCGACACAATAGGATAAGTAGAAGTTGGAATTGGAGTTAAGACGTCAGACAACCTCGGCTGCGGAGACCTACCCTTAAGTGGGCAATTTAACCCTAACAACCCTAGCAACCCTAATGAACCGGTATATTGCTTACTGGCTTCTATAGATGTAATTCTAATTGTGTGGTGACTTCTAGACTATGTAAACTTTGATTTAATTGCTGGGTATGAAAAGCTCTTGCATTAGAACTACTAGAATAAATATATCATGACACAGTTTCGCCAAGCATCGAGGTCGCTATGCCGCTCATGAGTATATGTCTCCTGCTTCTTGTGTGCTTGAATAGTATCGCGGAGAGCTCCCAATAGCTCAGACTTCTTCTGGAATTTGTACAAGGCTTTTCCAGCGAGGGAAATTACAAGGCAACGCAGTATGCGATTGTCGTAAGAGATATTTTCCGCGTCATTCAAGCTAGTGCCTTGTGCTTGAGCATTTGAATACTCAGCTTTTGTCACCTGACCATCTGCTAGGTTGCGGCAGTCGTGCTTTCTCCGCTTAGACGAGTCCTCGCATGTGCTTATGGGACGTTTTTGGGCGCTTCCAGCCGTCTTCTCTGTATCAACAATGCCGTCTGACTTGGATAAAGCGCTCAGGCCTCGAGGGCGAGACTCCCCTTGTGTACCTGAGGTACTTCTAGAGCTTCCCCGAGCACGGTGAGCGTTAGGAAAATACAAGCCAGACCGTATGTCCTTAATACTAGTCACATCTTTGGAGCCGACCAAGGTTGCGATACACTGTACTCCTCTTGAAAGTGCTAGTCTCAAAAGATCCAACTCTTGTTTTCGTCTATCCGAAGTCCATGAGAATTTGGTCACATAGTCCCAGTCTCCTGAAGTGGCTTATTTCGTCAGAAAGCATGACGTTCCACTACAGACAATCTCTTTTTGACGCACAAATTGGCCTCAAAACTAATTTGTAGCTCACCAGGTTCTTGAGGGTTCTCGGATTCAATATTAATCACTCGATAACCGTCATCCTCCTTGATTAATGTGACTAAGCCGAGTTCTTCATCGGTCATCATCGCATGACCAGCAATTATCTGTATGAGACGCCTTTCGTCATAAATAATGTTGAAGGGACCAGGACTAGCGCAACCCGAACGATCAAGCACCCTTGGCTCAAAATATGAACCACAAAGCGTGAATGCATGGACGAGACGTCGCGTTGGTTGAGAGGCAAACACATCTCTCACATATCGTCGGAGTTGGCGAAGTGCCTCGTTCTGATCGGACTGCCTGATTTCCCCTACCACCCAAACATCCCACCAATCGTGAACATTGTCAAGCGGCTGTTTTGGTCTTAGCTTGAGGAGTAGGTCACCCTGTAGTGGATAGTCATCGCTAACGAAATCCATGGCTCCTGATGTTGTGTAATAATAGTGCCGTTCACTCGAAAGCACCCTTTTCTGGAGGTGAAACAACCATGGGATAGGCGGCTTTGGATACCAACAACCATTAATACATTCACCTCTTATTGCATCATGTACAGCCAAGACACGGCGCGTCCAAGATTTTCCTTTGAAGTATTTATCATAGAGCCCCTGCACGATGCGATCTGTAGGGCAAACAGCAGACTCAAAGAAGAAGCAATCGAAAGACTAATAGGAGGGGAGCAGAGGGAGATTGAAGGTAGCACTCCAAACATCGACATCTGATGCCCTCCTCTTAACCTCGCCTGTCAAGTGGTTGAACTCCATGTATTGAAACATGTGAGGGTTCTCCTGCATGCAGATCCAGGTCCTGAAAATCTCACAATATAGCGAAACGCCAATTTTCTTCGACTGCAAATGGATAGCTGCACGTTCTCCGAAAAGCCTGTGTAATATTTTCATTGTTAGCTCGAAAGGTTTAGCAGGGACCTTATCGGCCTCATCTGTATCACCTAGTAAGCCCTTATAAAACCCACCACTCAGGGGATGTCCTGTGATAATATCATGATCGAAGGGTGTGAGGTTCGCCATATCGATATCGATAATAAGGATGGCCGCTAGATGAAGATCCAGGGGGCTGTCTAGAAGATATATTTTGTTATATGAGAAGTGAATCAGGAGGGTGCTCGACATGTCAAAGCCTGGAGGTAACCTACACCGGGTAATTCCCGGGCAATCTGGATGAGATGAAAGTAATTGACTTGCTCCTATTTTTCTATTGACAGACTGCAAGCATAATGCTACCAGAGTTAGTAGTGATTTCTCTGAGTAATAATCATGTATTTTTGCGTTCCTAATTTTGAGAGGAAGAGCCTATTTAGCTGGTGAGATTTTAGATCAACGTCAAGCTCCACGCTTAAGCCAGTGATTTCACATACCTTCAACACAACACCACCATAAATGCAATGACTCGATAATATACCAGGGAATCAATGTCCTATGTGGAAGTAAAACAAACTCCAAACTCCTGTACTTTTGTATAACCAAGTCCAACAGCGTAACATCGACAATCACGAATTCAATAATTTATTCCTCTTCTCCCTCCGCTTCTTCCTCTCGACTCGTTTTCTGTGCATTTTCTCGGCCATCTTCTCGTATCGCTCTTTTTCTTCCTTGGCGGCTCTTCGATCTTTGATTGCTTGGATATGTCTCTGCAGAGTACAAATTAGCTTGGCTCGACTCGACTTGTGTGTTGCGAAGTACCTGTCGCTCAGCTTCCTTTTCTTCTTTCATTTCTTTTTCGCGCTCTTTCATCGCTGCGAGGTTGTTGCGCTCTTCGAGTCGTTTCTCATATGATTTCAAGCCAGCGGTGGGCCGGAAGGGTTTCTTTGGGGTGTGCCAATTCTTGCCTGATCTCGTCAGTCATTATTCTTAAAGCTGAGATAAAAGGCGTACCATTCTTCCGCATCCCTACTGCGGTCTTTCCGCTGTCTGCGACCTCGACTGCCGACATGATGGCTGTGTGAATGTTTGTTTGTTCTGCTGAGGTGAAGAGAGTAAAAGTTCTGCCAAAGTTATCTTAGCGCCATCAGATAAGCGGATCTCGGCTGAACCATTGTTCCTCCCCCGCTGGCGCGCCCACTTCGGGCGGTGAGCATGGCCCAATCATCAGGCAGAGTTGGTCCATCTTGAAAAGTCTTCGTCGCCATATTACTATATTCTCGCCAGGACAGTCTCCTCCCTTGGTCAGCCCCGTTTACGCCGTAGCGCCAATTCTATAACGTGCGCCGTCCATTCTTCGACTCCGGCCTACGGCCTGCATGTGATGCAGCTTTCCTTCGTGGCACGCCTTTCGACAGCGATCGGCGAGTAAATGTGCGAAGTCGGTCAAGACTCACCACTCTGATTAATTCATTCTCTGATACTTCCGCTGATACAATCGCTGGTTTGCGCCGATATTATCCTTGTTGTTTATATTTACTTGTCTTAGCTTGGGCTCTTTATACCGACACACTCTCTTGTTTGATCCACTCCGTCTCACGGGTTCATTATTCCCTCATACATATCGTTGCGCACATATTAAATGCAATGTCCTGCCCATAGCTCTCTTCCCCCTTCCCATCTATTATCCTGCTCGCGGACGTGACTACCAAACCACCTCAATTCAGTCAGCACACGAATGGCGGCTATCGACCATGCTGCATTTAGCGATGAAATGTCAGTAGAGATCGCAGCCCCTCTTCCTCAAAGCTCTGGGCAGAATGCTGTCAAGGATATCACTTTTGGCTCGGTATGTCGATTGTATTCCCTGCTGCGGAAACTGAAGCTCACTATTTAGATCGCTGGTATAGCCGGCAAGTACATCGAATACCCGTTTGATACTGTCAAAGTCCGCCTGCAGTCCCAGCCTCACGGCGTTCCGCTCCGCTACGCAGGACCGTTAGACTGTTTCCGTCAGTCTATTCAATCCGATGGCTTTCGCAGTCTCTATCGAGGCATCAGTGCCCCTCTTGCTGGTGCCGCTGTCGAAAATAGCAGTCTTTTCTTCAGTTATCGCATAGCCAAAAACATACTTCAGTCTACCTTTTATACATCGACAGAACCTCTCCCGTTTAGTGGTCTGTTGATCAGCGGTGCCGCGTCCGGTGCATTTACATCTGTTCTTCTGACCCCTATCGAACTGGTGAAGTGTAAAATGCAGGTCCCTTGCAGAACAGCTACAGTCAAACCGGGTCCATTGAAGATTATAGCTACTGTCATTCGCCATCATGGCGTGTTTGGTCTCTGGCGGGGACAAATGGGCACATTGATTCGGGAAAGCGGCGGCTCGGCAGCTTGGTTTGGCAGTTATGAAGCCGTCTCTGCTGTTTTTCGAAAATCGGCCCATCTTGACTCTTCTTCGGAGTCGACCGCCCCTTTAGCAATATGGCAGCAAATGCTTGCCGGTGCTGCTGCAGGGATCAGCTATAATTTCATATTCTATCCTGCCGATACCATCAAATCCCGCATGCAAACGGAAGAGATTTCGGCGCTGTCCTCCGGAAACCGATCCTTCTGGACAGTGGGAAAAACAGTCTGGCAACATGAAGGATTAAAAGGGCTGTATCGTGGATGCGGTATCACTGTCGCACGGTCTGCCCCGAGTTCCGCATTTATCTTTTCGATATATGAAGGACTGTCTCGTTATTTTAGTTGATTCTTTGCATGTATTCGAGCTTGCATTTATGATATGACTTATGGCGGCGTTTTCCATTTATAACAATAGACAAACAATAGAGATAGATTTGATCTGATTGCGTTGACTGTAATATACTAAGTACGTTATGAGGCGTACCATCTGGTCTTGACTCTTATCACGAGTGATAGATAGTGGTCCCCCACTTCTACTCCATGACCACACCAATGGACAACCTCTGTCGACACTTTTCATCCTCCATCTTCACTACAACCAGTCTTTACAGAAACAACAAAATAAAATGGCCGCCCACACACTCTCTGAAACAGAACTACAAACCATCTCCCAAAAGGCCATTCAAGCCAAAGAGAAAGCATACTGTACCCCCCCTTCCAATCCACCTCTTGATATACATCTGTTAACAACTTGAGAGGCCCATACTCGAAATTCCGTGTAGGCGCGTGCATCATCACGACAACAGGCGAATACATTTTTGGCGCAAATATTGAAAACGCCTCGTACCCTGTAGGCATCTGCGCGGAGAGAGTCGCGTTTGGGAATGCTCTTGTACGTCCTCTCCTCTTCTCTTCTCATCTCCTAGAAGTATGCCTGTTAACCGGAGCGATATAGATGCAAGGCCATAAATCCTTCAAAGCAATTGCCGTTGCGACGGATATCAAGCCTGGCGCGAGTCCGTGTGGGATGTGTAGACAGTTGTATGTCCCCTTCACCCCACTGCTCTTCCGTATCGAGTCATGTAAAGATGTTAATGTGCTGTTCTAGCATGAGGGAATTCACACCCCCGAGCTTCCCGATATACATGTACGACAAAGATGGCGAGTATAAGATTGCGACTATTGGAGACGTACGTTTATACTCCGTTGTTCTTAGATTGTGGGATGTACTGACTGGTTCATGTAGCTTTTGCCGGATTCATTTGGACCGGATGATTTAGCCTGATTCTTGAATATCTAGTCCGAGATTGAATAATCTATATGATGATTATTATGATCTTGATCGAAGCCAAGGAAGTTAGTCTTATTTCTAGGTATAGTACCGAAATATACAAGCATCCGTAGTATAAAAATATTCGATGGAGAATATAAACGTTACGCTCCATGTGATCACTGTTCTACTCAAATTCTCCTACTACTAAACTTCTAGCTTTCGATCTAGTTGTCTAGTCGTAACTGAAAATGGACTCGGGTTCTCGTTTGAGCATTTCAGTAAGCTTTCAAGATCCCGAGTTCATAAGATCAGAGTGAAATCTTGATAACAAGGAATAAATAGACGATTCGTTATCTGACTTCCACTCTTGTATATAGGTTAGTTGCATCCTCTGCCCTACTACTACTCCATCGAATTCCAAACATGTATGCCAGTCTTACTCAAAGCACACTACAGCCTCAGCAACATCCTAGTATAGCAATATTCGAGAATCAACATAATGTCAAATCTGGAAATGCGTCTAGCTCGCTTCATTCTCGGCAACAATGCACCACCATGCGACCACGCCCCCGTCGCTTGCGTCCCTGATCCAGACAACATCGCCGAATGTCTCGTCGCCCAACTCCAGCGGCGCTGGCACTCTGAACCACGCCCTTTTCATCAAACAGAGCACCCGTTAGTATTTGCCATATGGCAGGCAGGGTATGATCGACACAAGGCGCAATGGTTGGCTAGTGAGCCTGGATATGGCATGACGAGTGCGCCGGAATTAGTCAGGGCGTTGAAGAAGGTTATGGCTGATGAGAGGTTGAACAATTTGCCAACTAAGGATAGAAATGATGCTGGGAGTGTTGGAGCTATAAGGGTCTGCGATCAATGTAAACCGGGGACTAATACATGGTCTTATTGTGCGCCATATAATGTTCGTCAGAATGTCTGCCGTCGTGTCCCTATTAAGCTCGACCTCTCCATGAAATCAGACATTCAAGAAGGCGGTAAAGTCCTCTGTCTAGGCCGCAATGGTGCAACAAAATATTGCTGCGCAAACGAGTTCATGGCTATAAGCCACGTCTGGTCTCACGGATGGCAGGGCAGCAGCGAAGATGGACTATGTTCTCGGGTTTTGGATATGCTTCTCGAGATCGCCTCGACCAAATTCGACGTCAACTGGATATGGCTCGATGTTGCCATGATCAGCAAGGACGAAACCACCCGAGCAATGTCCGTCAATTCCATGGACACGGTATATTCCACCGCCAAAGCCACACTGGTCGTCGACAGGGTCCTACTCAACTTCCACCCCGTCGAAAACGACGACAAACAAACAGCACTTGCAATAACGGCATCTGACTGGATGACCCGTCTCTGGACCATGCAAGAAGCCATGCTCAGTCAAAACCTGCTCATCCTGACCAACCGCTCCTTACCACCCATCGATCCGCGACAACTCTTAAACCGCATAATCCTTGCGAAACATGACCTGGATAGATGGAAACAATATAGAGCCATCAAAATCCTCTCCTCAATGACACACGACCCCAAGCCATCCCTGCATAAAATCGTAAATTTCTCATATGAACGTACAACCACTAAACCAGTCGACATGGTGCGCGCTTTGTATCCGTTATTTGGATTGAAATGGCCTTCCTCTGAAACAACCTTGATAGAAGGTCAAATCTTGCTACTCAAACATCTAGGCCAGGAAGCCGCCATCCTGACAAGCCTGAGTAGCCCAATCGGTCTCCCTTCACCATGGGGATGGGCCCCATTAGTGATCCCTGGTGCGTCCGGAGGGGGTCTCGGAGGATACGGACGCTATGTCTCCGAACAAGATGGTCTAATGGGAGCATGGAGTTGGCTCGAAATCGTGCCAACGTCAATGACTCCCCAAGACGCCGTTCGCGGTCGTGTTTCATCAGGTAATGGATGGATGGAGGGCTTTAAGCAGAGTTTTAGAGATTCAAGACGATATCGATCCAGCAATCAGAACCAACAGCCAGCTGCCTTGCCGAATTCAGTATCAGGGATACTGCATTATACCCTCGGTATAGGCGCTGATATCTTCAAATCAGGTATTATAACCACATTCTCAGAATGGGGTTCTGGTCCAGGGGCTCCATACGCTGAACTTTCGGCACTGGTTGGTATGAAACATGTCTTCGCTACATTCCACTCTGGGGGCAGCACTGGCGAACGGGGGCAAGGAAGAAGAATACATAACCCTGCTAACGTATGTCGAGCGCGACCCCTGGCCCTGGCCTAATCGGCGACTGTTTTTTATTGCATCTGCGGATCTGAGTCTGCAGATCCGTGACTCGGCGCTCCAAATCCACGAAACGGCTCAGTATTTGGATCTTGTAGTCGTAGAGTCGGAGGAGAATGGATGGTTTGTTATGAGAAGAGTTGGGAAGGCTGTCACAGCCGGCGTGAAACTGAGAGGGGAACATAAGGAGGGAATCCAGGGGGTGCTACATTAAGCCACAAAACACCTATATATCATAAATAACAAGTGGTTCAATCTATCATCTAACCAAATACATTCGTAACCCAGATAAGATAAAAATAAGCAGAAAAATAAATCCTGGCTATGCATCAATTCCTCTCATCACCTTCTTCGTCCTCAAACTCATCATCCCCCAACAACTCATCCTCATCATCAACGACATGCGTATAATCCCCTCTTCTCGCCGCAAACGCATCTCTCGTCGCATAAGGTCGTGGACCCCTACGACCAGGTATCCGCACATATCCAGTGACACTTCTCCAAAGGGACATGACCAACAATGGCAACACCTTCACTGCAGCTACAGTACCAGCGATTATCGCCACGGGGATCGTAATAAATGGCGAATCGCCGCGAGACGTAACAAATGACTGTGCACCACCGTCGCCCAACCGGATCTGTCCGAATTTACCATCCCAGCGTGTATATACCCAGTAACCAGCCGCGACTGCGATGGTGATGGGTACGATGATAGCGAAGAAGATGACCGCTCCGCTGGGACCGTGTTTACGTTGATATTCTTCCTCGTGGCTCGGGCATGGACGAGATACCCAGCGATCCAAGTTTTTACCTCCTTGACATGTGGTCAGTGGGATGCGTCTGTAACCGGTTGGTTCCCAGTATTCGATTGCCTCCGGGTTCTCTCGGCAATAGTCGATTGCATTTGGTTTGAGAAGACCAGGTACCAAAGCACAGCTTCCATCCGTTTGGCGTTCGTAGTTGTAGTCACTAACCTCGTTAGTTTTTGATCTCCTCAAATAAGAGAAAGGGGACGTACCATTCATAATCTTCCTCGGTACAGGTGCAATTGTGCGAGATACGATGCACATGAGCTTCCGACCAATCATTCCAACAATGCGAAGAAGGTTTCTTGCGGTGATACTGTTCCACATGACCAAATAGACAGTTACCCTCTTGAAGAGGATGTTTCGGTTCCCAGAGATAGTAATCCTCGCTCTCGCCAGTGTCTTCATCCAGGTTACATGTTCGATCACGCAGTCCACTAAAGTCCAGATTAATCGTCACCAATTTGCTAGAACCGGTTTCTTTGCCCCAAATCAGGAAATTCTTCGAGGTACCAGACGGCACAGTCGAGAGACTCTGCACCGTGACCTCCTTCTCGGAAAACTGGTATTTCTCCCAGGTATCTCCTTCATCAGTGCTGAAATAGATATCTCGTGTCGGCTTGAGTTCTTCAACCAGCACCAAAACAGATCCCTGATCACCAAATTTCCACATGTAATTACCCTTCTTCACTTCCTTCCAGCTGATACCGCCGTCACTGCTGAAGAATGTACTAGCCTCGGACTTACTGCCCAAGGATTCGCCAACGTTACCAACGCCAAACAAAAGACCAATCGCTGAGGCAGATCCAAAACTATCGCGAGGATCCCGTCTTTCGGTGTATCCATGAAGATGAAGAGAGCACTTGTCAGTGGGCTTTCCATCCGATCCACAGCTATATGGTTTACCCTCCGAATCCTTCGCTGGAGGTGGGATAAGAGTCCACTGAGAACCGTCATTGTGCGTAATCATACTCGTCAGTTTCTTCTCGCTGCCCTTTTCGACATTCTTGGTGTTGCTAACAACATTAGCCAACGCGACGCCTTCCAGGCCTGGGAGTTTCTCAAAATCGACGTATCCACCGTTGTTACGGTTCACATCGTTGAGACTCAGCACGTACGATGTACCATTGCTGTTACTCTTGATGATCGAGCCGTACGACTGGTCCATTTTATTGTTGGCCGTGACGTGCAAAAACACTGAATGAGTAGAACTATCTAATACCGTGTATGCCAATTGTACGGGTACTTCCAAGTTATAAGGGAACTCGGCATCAGCAAATTCCACGCCGTTAACGCTAGCATCGACTTTAAGAGAATTCTCCTTCTCGGGATTCCGTGTGGCGATGATAATGAACTCGGCCATGGTTGCAAAATCGATAATATTGGTCAATGGTGTGGTTGACGTAGCGAAAAAGTCATTACTGGTCACAAGCATACGCTGACCGTCCACTTTTTCACCCTCGTGTTGATCGCAGAAGATCAAACTGCCACTATCTTTTCGATCCTCACGCGCCATGAATTCGCATTTTTCGACTGCTCGTAGCAAAATCTCCCAGTCGTCGCCACGGTGCTTCGAAATGAAGGAAACTTTAGGGCACTCGCCATGGCTACATTCACCAGGACCCGTCCAGATCATCCAGTCCTTGAACTCCTCGTGATAACCCAGCGTCAATCCGGAAGGATTCACTTCGGCAGGAGCAGAAAACGCGTCGAAGCTTTCCGCGCGATTGATGGTATAGTATTGCTTTTTGCCACTGGTAAGGAAGAATGCACGATCGTTCAAATATCGATGCGGTGCAATCTGCTGAATCTTGACGTCCTTGAGTTCATGAGTCCAGGACTTGCCATGATCATGAGTCACGTAGAGTTTACCATCAGTTGTACGCATGATAATCGTCTCGTCCTCACCGCGACTACTGCCAGCTCGCTCCAGATAGAAGAACTCTCCAAACATCTCAGTCTCAATATAATTAGCCGTAGAGCTGACCGCTTTGGAGTCACCGGATGGCGTCTTCAGAGCGTCCTTGCAAGGGCGGTCAATCTCCTTGTCGAGTTCCACCGCTCCATCACGAGTACAGACATTTCCAGGAATCAACCTCCATCCCGAGGGGCCCTTGAAAGTGTCATCGTCATTCTTGCATGTACCTTCTGGAGCCTTGAGAATAGTAGCAGGAACACATTCTTTCCTATCTTCTGACCGAACGAAATTGTAATCGCACTCAAAGTCCTCTGCGGTACATTTGCAAGACTTGAATTCCGGTTTAGGCGTCTTGAACATGGTCTCGGTTATAAAGCAATTGGCATCCGATTTGCGTCGGCGATAGAATTGTTTGTGTCCCATAAGACAATCAGGTTCGCCATTCTCGTCCAAACGAGCAGGCCAATTCTCAAAATCGCTATCCTTGCACTCGCGCTCATGCAAACCCTCAAAGTCAATTGCGTAGATGTACCAGTCGGCAGGATCTTCTACATAACCGACTAGCATAAACTTGAGACTGGTCGAGTCTGGAGTCGTAGTAAGAAAATAGGGGATAATCTCACGGTCCAACTCGGCAGTCTCCCAATCCTTGCCATGGTTGATAGAGTATTGAATTTTCTTCGTTGGCTTGTCGTTATCCTTGATTGCCATAATAATAGCACCCTTGTTACCAATCTCGTACTTGTGTGGTTTCTCAAGTGCCAAGCGCCATGTAACGCCGGCATCATCCGAGACGTACAGATCGCCATCTTTCGTGTAGCTCTTGAGGTGAGTACCTGTATTACCAACGCCCATGACAATTCCAGGAGCAGGACTAGAAAACACGCGGCCAATATTCTCAAATGCCGTGACAGAATGCAAATGCAAGTCCTTATCTTTGACTTTCAATGACTGAAAGGTGCGCCCATCGTCAAAGCTAATCTTACTGATGACTTTTCGGTCTGCTTTGGGATCATTCTCGATTTCTTCCCAATTGTCCACAACATTGACGAGCACAATACCCTGGACGCCTGCAATCTTCTCGAAATCGACTAGTCCACTCATATCACGGTTGGTGTGTTCGATGTTGCGTGTAAAATACGTGCCGTTAGAGTTCGACGTGAACAAAACCCCCATATTCGTCGATCGGTCGGTATTCATCACATCGACCTCAATACTATAATTCGTGCCTTCCAGGACCGTGTACGCCGATTCCTCGATCTTGTGGTTCCCGAACTCTGCTCGATGCCACGTAATGGCATCATCGGTAACAAACATAGCCAATTCATCGGTACCCTGCGACTTGGCTGCAGCAACAATATACTTTGTACGTGCAGCAGCATTGATGATACCAGCTACAGGGCGTCCTTCATTGAGTTTCGCCTCGATTCCATCCTGGTCGTCTTCAAAAAACGAATCCGAGTACACGAGCCGATAAGCCGAAGCAAACGGATTCTTGAGTCCATGCACAATACAGAGCACCCGGTCCCGAATCTCCTCTGCATGTTCGGTTGTCGAATCCGCAAACCCCGGTGTGGCCACAGCCCACATACATCCTCTAGCGGTATCCCTCATGGGCTTCACAGTCTCAAAGTTATTCCGTGTATAATAAGACGTTTCAACGCAGGCAAAGGCAGAGCACCGTTCACCCTGAAAGATGACCTTCCCTGAATCCTCACCGTGAAACCGAAGGGGTTCGTTGAACATGGACGGAGCCGCAGGAACCTCAAATTCGCGCCAGGTCTTACCCTGATCCGTCGTCACCCAATGAACACCATGTCGACCAAGAATATAAGCCTTTTGATTATCATAAGGGTGCGCCTGGATCATAACAGCACCATTCGCCAAACCGGCCGTCTCCCCTTCTGTCTCATGGTCTTTTCCAAGGACCTTCCATTCCACACCTCCATCGAACGATTGATAAACTTCGCCGGTATCCAGTCTCAGAAACAGAACCGTATCAGAATTCTCGAAATAGAACGGCATCGAGGGCTCGGTTTCGAGCTGTATGCTAGCTATCTTGGGTCCATCTGACTTTGCCACTACTGTTCCTATGCTGCTAAGGGCTATCAGCAGCAGGAGCAGAAGCGGCGATGTAGTCAGATGTAAACACTGACGAATCATGTTTTACAGCAATAGGAGTTGTCGATGCGACATCTGAGTTTCGGTGGTGGTGTTTGTTTATTTGGTTGATGATGTATGCAATGCGATCCGGATAGCTGGCGCCTACCGCGTTGCCTAGATCAACAACAGGAAGCGTGTATAAGAAGGGTAAATAATGCAAGTAGTGAACTATTAAATGACAGAATGAATTAAGACAAAAGATAATAAATGGCGGTAATAGGATAATGATAGTATACAATGCAAGTTACAGACTTGCGTGGCCTTTGAGTAAATAAGTTCAGTAGTTAAGTTAGTCAAAGGCCGAGTCCGAATTCAGCTGCGACCGGATCACGTGAATACACACGACTCTTACCCATAACTACAACTTTTGTGACATAAATAGATGGTAAAGTGAGATATGGAGATACATTATAATTATAGAGCAAGAACTAAAAATGTTGGATTGAATTATTGGCATTGACTAATTAACTAACTACCAACGAGCCAGCAAGGTAACCCCCAAACACGAATCCAATCCTGTATCCAGCTCGAATAGTATGAAGATGCATGCTAAATAGTAGATACAATGAATAATAAATATGTATAAATCGCCCATTAAATCAGAGGTAAAAGAAATGTAATGTCACAACAAGAGAGGGTATATAATCATATCCAAGAAAAAAGAGATTGTAAATGAGGGAACGCTTGATGTAATGTCATCCGCAAAGTTAAACGATGGTATGAGCTGAAAGGTAAATGCTCGTATAAGTATGCACATGAATGGAGAGTTAAAAAAGGTATCAATGTTAAAAACTTTCAAGAGGCGAGATGGGAGAGGCGATCAATCTCTCCATGAGCGAAGTTTACGCCACATCTTCTTCACCACGCCCTTTTCTTCAGGAATATCATCCCAGATATTACATGATTCGTCTGCAGGTGGCAATTCTGCCAACCGTAGAGGATCATCATGTCGATCATGGCCGTACGGACCGATATCACTGGCTGTTCGTAAATCAGGTCTTGTGAGGGTCATTTTCAAAGTCATCTCACGACGATGACCGCCAGTAGCAGGGCGTGGATTGCCATTGACATTTCCTTCGATTGGCTTCAGAGGATGCGGACGACGATGGAGGTGTGGGTCTATGGTAGAAGAAGAGCGTGAATGAGAGGTTGTGAGTTCGCGGATATTCGGGCTTAGGGTAGTCTTATCATGACTGCGTCGTGATTTCTTCGATTGTTGGGTTTGTGGTGGAGGATCCGTCAAATCGAATAGACTCAAGTCAATGGATGTGTCATCATCCAGGAATGTCCATCCATGAGTTCCATGAGTCGATGCAGAAATCTGCGATATCCGTTTCGAATCCCGGTTGTTGTTATGTCGGCGTGGGTTGTTGGTATCGCTATTCTCCTTGTCCAAAGACGGGAACCCAAATTCGATTGCCTCGTCAAACTTTTGAGGTGATGCCAGATAGACTCGTAATTTCAATCGAGCTTCCGGATCCTGGTAGTATTGTGCAGCTGGATCAATGGAAGATGTCGACCGATGGGGTGCATGACGGCCATGGTAATTGTCGGTTCGATTATTATTGTTATGAGCTCCGCTGCCGGCTGCAGAAAAATGAAGTGTAGATGATTGACTAGAACTTAAGCCCCGACCACTACTCCCCATGAATATTGAATTCCGATTCTTAGCCAAGGATAGTGTTCGGCGGAAAGAAGGCATTCGGCGTGGAGATTGTTGAACATGTTGCGACGACAGAGCCGTATCAGCAACATATTTGTGGTAACTGTCCAACGACAGATCGAGTTCCTCGTCCTCGTCGAGCCACCGGAAACTGTCGAGAATAGATTCCTCCATTTCGATTCCAGAGTCGTTAGGATCAGCAACGGTATCGGTGGTCTCGATGGCGTCGGTCGTATCGGCAAAAGGGTCTTCTGCAGAAGTAGAAGGTAGCGAGGAAGGAACTGAAGAACGGAGTGAGGACCGAATTGTAGAAGACGGACGGTCAAGTCTAGATCTTCGACGATGACGACGACCTCTTCGGGCAAGTCTATCGCTTGAAGTAGAGACCGTCCCCAGCGATTGTCGACGGCGGCCAGTTCTACGCCTTTCTTCGAGTCTGAAAAGCGCCCTATCGGCAGCGTCGGTGATTGTTGCTGTAGGTGCTATTCGTTGCAAAATCTGTTGCTCTTCCGGTGAAAAAATCACTTTTTGGATCTTTGGCGGAAGAGAATGAAAGCATTGCAAGTACTCGTTGACTAGAGCCAGATCATTCCCCACAGGCAGACGAGTAAGACGATTACTCGTGCCACGCCGAGCGGTGAGAGGGGAAATTCGACGAAGATGGAGTTTTTGGCGAGGACTGCGCTGTTTTTGTTGGCCTTGGTGTGCAAGGGAAGAAGTGGAGGAAGAAGGTGTTATAATTCTAGCGCGTGAATGGTGGCTTATGGGGAGCGGCAGTTTTGCCGTGGACTCGTGGACTGGTTGAGCATGATGGCGTGGATGCTGCTCAGTCGTTAAAAGGCGAAAACGCTCAAGATTGGAAAAGAACTATAGAACGGAGCATTATACCCCCGTTAGCATCGCAGTGACCAGTGAAATCAAAGATAGACAGATATGAAAAGGGGCAGCGGCGGAGTCAAACCAGTCATGGACGACGAGCAATAACCTCAACTAGCTTGACTAGACTCCATTGTCGTCCGAGGCCTAGAGGCTAGCCTGACAGCTTAGTGGGCTAATAGTTCACTAAGCTTGCCTGACTAGGCCTGAGCCGCGAATCACAGGTGACAACGGGAACAAAAAAAGTAGATGAATAAATGAATTGATAGGTATGACAGGGAGTTGAAACCGAGGAGTGCCATATCAGATGTATATTAACAAGGGAACGAGTCAATATTCGCAGGGAACTCGGACCAGGAAGCCTCGAGGGGATGAGACAGGTCATAAAGCAGTGCCCACTGTCCGAGGCCCACCAGGAGGATCTGGAGAGTCTCCGAAGTGGCTTGGATAGACAGGACAATTTGATTGATTGTCTTCAGACTCCCTCTCTTGCATGACCGAGTAGATGTACATGATGATGAGATGCGTAAAAGATGGAGAAGATGAAGTTGAGGAGGATGACGAGGTTGAAGTTTGGACCAGGAAGAAAAGGTAAGAGCACGTGATGAGGCCGTCAAAGCAAAAGGAACCAACTGCATCCAACTTCCTCCACAATCATCAGTCTTGCCAATTGACTTGTCAAATACATTCACATCAATAATAGACAATGCGATTGCGATGGAGCTGCATGGGCAGTCTGGTCTACCTTCGCTTACCCTTGACTCAACCCTCAGTCTAAGCCTCCCAACGTTGGGTTGGGATCATGTGACGAGACATCGAAGAACAGCAGAACATATGAATAAGAAAATAGAGACAAAAGAGAGACACACCTTTCGTTGTACCGCCGGTGGAAGAGACTCAAAGTCTGCTCTGGACGAGACAGGCATGTCCTCCATGGTATTGTTGGCGTCTTGCGAGAAACCAAGTAATCACACCGAATTGTACAAGTGCGGTAGGGTATGCATGCATGTATACTTATAGATATAGATATATCGCGATGTCAGTGATGATGAGAAAATAAAAGAAGAAAAACAAGACAAAGTCCACAGGTTTTGCTAAGGAGAAGACGAAGTTCCACTTTCTACACCGACAAAAGACAATAAAGGGGAAAGATAAAGTATCGGTGATGTTGTGAAACGGAGCCAAAAAAAAAGGATAAATTGAAATGCAATAAGACAACGAGGATTAGAATATGAAGTGTAAACACTTCGCAGGGCTACACAGGGACCATGTAGGTAAACAAGTAGACCTAGGGAAAGGGAAAAAAAGGGAACTGGTTGTACGTGGACGACCCTTTCTCGTGTTACTCGCATTTGCGAACAGCTGGGGATACCATGAATTAATAATAATACGAGAGAACTATAGCGATGATCTTGACAGGGATTAGAAGGAATCGCGATTAAATCACGAGAGAAGTGTGTCCACGTAGTTAAGCCATGCGAAGCACTCTCTTTTTGAGTAAGTACAAAACGTACTCTTTTCCCATTGTCACGTATCTAAAGTCGCTTGTATGGAGTTTCAGGACCACATTCTAAGCTATCTTTAGTCTTTACTCCTCAGGAGATCAGACTGATTCTGGCCAGTGACTACAGCGAAATGGTAAACATATGCATCGTCAATCCACAGACTGTTCCCAGTGGACCTCGTTCTCAGCTCGCTGACTCCTGAGTCGTTGCAGAGAGTGGATTAACACGGAACTTTGTTGGTTAGTTCGACGCTTATGCCGTTTAGTCTTGATCCTTACGTAGATTTATTTTTGACTCTACTATTTTTTGAAGCTCTGGCCCCGGGGTCTGCTCTGTTCACTGGTTCCGCGTTGATCAGGGCCACGGGTATGAGTTCTCGTATAGCTGAGGTTGACTTCAAGAAAATCGTTTCATGTTCTACGATCTCTGGTCTGAAGCGCGTTTAGTCCGAGTTTGTCTCTAACAGCCTCGCTTAGGTCAAGAGATACTTGGCGTGTATGCCATCTATCTGAAGAGTAGACAGAAACGGTAAATGCAGATATACGGAGTGCAGCCGGTACCGGAATATTCGGTAGTAGTCTACTAACATCTAGACTTTATTCCTCACATTCATTACTGTCATTAAGTTTCTCAAGGGCTTGTCAGGGTGTAGCTACAATGGTCAACCATCCCGTGTCCTACTCGGGGTCTCGGCCTCAGTCAGAGATCAATCCAATGAAAGGACAGCCCAACCCTATACAAGCACGGCTCTACAGTCTACAAGATAAAAGCAGACATCCTGGACTTAGTCACTTACGAGCGTTGCTGGCAGACATGACTGCAAGCGATCGGACCATGTTTCAAGGATCTGTATATCATGCATTTGTCTATCCCAGTACGTATGTAAGTGACATGGATATAAACACAATCGCCAATCGGCGTCAAGAACGATTAGCGCCGTCACATTTGCTTTTTTTCATCACAGTGACACTAGGTATGATTGGGCCAACACATTCAGCGCTTCGCTGTGTCTGTTTCAGCCGCGATTCTAGAAATGGTCTGCATGTCTGCCAGGAACGGACTGAATAGCCCTAACAATGAAACATGGAATCAGATCAAGCAAAGCATAAGCTTAGTATTTACGTTTGGATTATAGGTAAAAGATTAGGGCTCTCCCCGATCCGCCCGTTTCCGGTCTACCTAGTTACTGTCATCGAACATGAAACATGCTCAAAACAGAGACCAACAAGCACGAACAAGGGAGGAAGAATCAAAGATTCGGACAAGATTGCATTATGGGGTAATCTGCCGAGACTCTCTAAGTAACTGAAGTTTCTTCGCTTACTGTATTCAGACTTGTTCCGAGTGTAGTCTAACACTTCACAGGATTCCCGGTCGTCATACGTGGAGATTAGGGCAGGGTTGACCCTGTTGATAAGTCGGTATAATTTCCATGCTATGGTTTTGGTCTATAGAATGATAACGATGAATTGAATCATTGGCTAAATCGAGCATCAAATGTATATAGACTACGGAATAAGCACTGGTGTCACTACGTATCCCCATGCTATATATGTATGTATAACGTCCCCAACAACTCAAGTACTTAACAATAAGAGATCCTACCAGAAAAGACACACACCATGGCATTGTACTGAGTCAGCTCCGTCGGACATGTACACATCCTGAAACCTCCTACTAAGTATCTCGCGGCACAGCTGTGTGACACGCCGCACCGAGTCAATTCGGGCAGATTTCTCATTGATTTATTGATTGGTGTAACTTTTCTGCTTCAGTCTGCTTGTCCCATCTTAGTTACGACTGGTGTGTAGCGACTTGTAACAAGTTCGGATAAAGTCAATTCCAGAGTGTCCAAGTAGACATCTGGGTTTAGATCTACATCATTTACGAACAGAGCACTGGATCATATACATAGTTCGCGGAGAACTTGTCACATGAAAAGAATCCATTAATATAATAGCACTGAAGTTAGTTAATTGTGAGAAAAGAAATCCAGTCTCCCGCGCAATACGGTCTAATCCTATGCATAAATGTCGAGAAAGAGACTAGTCAGAAATCAAACTTGACCTGTATGACTTGAACTCTGATTTTGACCGGTCTGGACCCTTTTGCATGATGCACTGGGCATGTGGAAGTATATCCAGGGATGGGATATCTGTAGTCTACTGTCCGTGAGCAGTGATTGTCGTAGGTCAAAGCCCTAATTCATGTTGGCCGCTCTTACATCGATAAAACTGTATCACATATCGCATCAGAAAGAAATCAATACAGGCAAGGGTATAATATGTACACGAATCCAACACTCTCATACTTTGAGAAAAAGTTACAACGAATTCAATACACTCTGCATAGCAACAGTATTTGTATCAACCCTCCTCATCACATAAGCCCTAATATCCTGCACCGACAACGCAAATCCATCCATAGCAGGCGTAGGACGTGTTGCACCATTCCCGTTTCCATTTCCATTATTATTATTATTATTGGCGGTACTACCGGCACTCGTAGCAGGGCCACGTAGTTTCTCCCTTAATGCTTCAGGTCCCACGACGAATAAACTGCCGACTTCCAGCAACACGTCAATAGCAGCTTTGACTTGTTCTTCGTCTTCCAGGTCCCATGATTTGAGTAGATTGGCGTATTGCGTCATGTCTTTTGTCACCATTAACCCGCCGGGCCCGCTCACTTGGAAACGTCGGAAGTGGTCGAGGAGTTGACTGCGGACGCCGAGTGCGAGTTCGGTGAAAAGGCTTTGCAGGTTGGAGCCGCTGGGCGGGAGAGAGGTGAGGATTGTGTTTTGAAGTTGGGTTAAAAACGTGCATATACTCTCGCATGTCTGTATCGGTTAGTACTAGACTTTTAAAAACGAAAGTAAAATAACTTACTGGAGTCTGCAACATCTCTAACCATGCCGCTGAACTGTCCTCCTTTGGTCGGAAATCATTCTTTTTCTGTCCGCCTAGAAGCTTCGATACCCACGCCAATGCCACATCAATCGTGCGCTGCTCAATAGCATTGATCTTATCCTCGATCCTATTAACGACCAGATTCGTCTTCTTCTCCATATCGCGACGAATTGTCACATTGTTCCCTGCTAGGGGAATAAGCACCGTGTTGATACACGTCAGCATCAGATGCGTTATACTAATCGCCGTGCGGAGGGTGCGCAAGTAATTGAAATCAGGCTCAGTTTTGGCATTCTCCTGCGCCGATGCGGCGTCTAATGCGGCTTCAAGGCCAATCTCGATATATCCCTCTGCCATTGTTGACAGAAGGAGACCCAAAAGCGAAGAGACATCCTTGGGCGTTTCGCTGCTAACACTCAGCTCCAACCCGCGCCCGACCCCCTCGGCCAACCATTTGAGCATCCGTTTCGCATATGCTACAGACAATAATCCGTCGTCTTCGGTGAATTCGGGCTCGGCCAGTTTGCCGCTCACGTCACCTGACTCACGAAGTCCTGCAACGCGAAGAAGCATCTGACGCTGCGTAGGTGTCGAGTCTGAGCTTTCGAGTCGAGACAGATAAGAGTCTTTAGCAGATGCCAATAGCTCACTACCACTCTTGGCCAAGGATGCCATAAACGTGGTGGCGGTCTTTTTCCGTTTCGCGTGGAACGTAGTGAATTTGAATAGAAGTGATGTATACAGCTCTTCTAGATTTCGTTTCTCGCGTTCAATATAGGAGGATCCTACAAAGTAGGGGACAAATAGATCCTCGAGTTGTTGGTCGAGTATAACTGCAGTCTGAGATGAAACCGGCTCCGGCGCTTCAGTCAACCCATGAGCCTTCAAATCGTCAACCAGTGAATTCAGGCAACTTCTCGAAATCTGAAGAGATCGCAAGAATGCTAGAGATGACACGCTGTTCGCTTTGTCAAGGACCATCTCAAGTCTCTGCTGGATGGATTGCTGGAATACTCGCTGTAGAAATCGAGACAATACTTCATCGTAATAAGGAAATGCGCGTCGAATAATCGTAGATTCATCCTGCACAACAACCTTGACATCGTCCACCAAAGACTGCAAACTAGGCTCAACGCCGGGTGAGTCTGCATCGGGATCTGCGAGTTGATCCCATGCTTCTGCATCTTTGCTCACTTCTTCAGTGACGAGTTGGCTCCTATCGATGAAGAATTGATGCTGATTAACAAACAGCGCGATGACACTGGCGCCTCCGTTGAAATCTCGAAGCACAGAAGCACATTCCTTCATTCCGTCAAAGTTGGCCTTGCGATAGAAGTCGTCAAACTGTTTGAGTAAATCTTTCTCCAGAGTTTCCGAGAACTTCTCAATGATTTCCCTAGTATCCTTCTTTGGAAAATGATTGCCGTTTCCATTCCCATTCAATCCAGGAGACATCAACCCGTCACCGTTCATGTAGCGACCATTGCCGTTAGACGTATCGTTCCAACTCTTCGGATCCAACCTCTGACTGATCCGTAGTAACTGTTTCGCAATATGCGCTGCTCTTAATTTCCCCTCACTATTTCCCGACATTCGCAGAGTCTCTAATTTTGTGACATCCCCGCGATTACTGACTTCATCCCAGCATTCGATCAAGAAATGAGCATCCAGAGCCCGACGTCGTTGCCGTTCGAGTTCTTCGAGTTTCTTGCCCGTTTCGACTGCAACATTATTGCTTTCGGCAAAGACACCGTTCGACGATGACGACAGTGTAGCGCCGTTTAGTGAAGTGTCCAATTTCTGAAACGATTCAATCGCATGACTCAATTTTCGACCCAACGTATTCAAGTTTTGAGCATGCTGGGCTTCTGCCCTTCTGACGGCGGCCGAGAATTCGTTCTCCCTAATCTCAAGATCTCCCAGTAAATCATTCAAACTTCCCTGCGCATGTTCAAATGTACGAATTAACGGTTTCGGGTCAAAGGGTTGATTTGCCGCTGATGTCGCTGCAGCAGTACCAGCCGACCGGCGACTAGCAATGGCCGTATCAGAAAGCGACTCGATAAAGTCTTTGACAATGTAATCGCGACCGGAGAAGTATTCGAGAGTGAAGCTAGGACCGCGGGGGTAGAGAGTGCGCGGTGGTTGGTGGGAGTGGGAGTGCGAATGGGAGGAGCTGGAGATGGATGCGGAGTCTGGCATGGTGACGACCCTGTCGATATTGTTTATAAAATTAAACCGAGGAAGCTGTTTTTGCTTGCAGAACAGAGTATTGAGTGAGGTAGCTCATGATGCCAACATTGTCGCTGTGCTATGGTTGTTGTTGTAGGTAGTTGTAGGTAGTTGTCTAAAAGTGCGGAGTACGGACGGTATGTCACTAGGTGATAGTCAGTCAAGCTACATAGTACTATGAGAGCTGGGTCTCCACCAAGATTAACCTGACAGCTTACTGATGAGTTCCTATTCAGAGGGTAACAATTACATATACTGATAGCAATATGAAATATGCTCTCTAATCTATCAACATGGTTTCTTACTTCTAATAAGCGTCTGTAGGTACTTAGCTATACTTGAGACTCTCCTGAATCATACCGGAACCTCGGACACCCCAAATATATTCACTTTCACTTGCATTCACCGGTAATTGCCCAGTAATCAACATATCTGTAGTAATATCTTCTATAAAATAATGAAAATATACTGAACACCAAATGTAGTCCAACGTCATCTCGGCAGAAACGTGGCTGATCCGATTCGTGGCTCAGCTGTATCCACTTCTCTCCTGGTGTTTTGACTCTTGACAGCTTCATCTTTTCTTTTGTTGCTAGTCGCACGGAGCATATCCTCTGTCTCATCTTCCATCCGTGTAACAATAATGGTCTCCTCCAAGGACGCCGAAATCTTCCGTGAAGATGCCCGTCTTCGAGGCAAAAAGCTTACTCCCGCCGAACGAGAGAAGCTGCTGAAGCCCTACCTCCCAGAACCAGCAAAGGAAGAAGACATGAACACTACCAAACAAGCAAGAAAATCCAAGTCAACGAAATCAAAATCGAAAAGTAAACCGACGCCAATTCGAACATTCCTCAAATCGCAGATTCATCGTCTCATCTATGTCCTTATTCACCTCTGTCTAGGATTTTATATTCGCATTACGCAAACCATTGCTGCTGTGACTGATCGCGTGCTGGCGGTTACATATTATCATCACCGATCGCCGGAACTTATTGCCCGAGATGTCAAAGGATTGAGTCGATTGCCGGAACATCTGAGTGTGTTGTTGAAGCTGCGCAAGAGAGAGGAAGATGCCCTACAGACATTGATGGATGAGACGGCCGAATTGGCCGCGTGGACAACGTGTGCTGGGATTCCTGTATTGAGTGTCTACGAGAAGACTGGTAAGTCTCTCATTCCCGTGGAGATGGGCTGAAAATTGCTAACCTGGGTATGGGAATCCTCAAATCATACATCCCCTCCCTCCACAAAGCCATCTCCGATAAACTCGCCCTCTACTACGGCTCCCCATCCAATCAACCTCACCTCTGCATCTGTGCTCCTCACCACAGCTCCTACGCCCCCGCCTCACATATCAAATCCAAAGGACAGAAAAAGCCCTCCCTCACAGTTCTCCTACTCTCACACTCCGACGGCCGCGAAACCCTCGTGGACCTCACAAAGACTCTAACTGAAATGGCACAATCCGGCAAATTGTCGCCAAACGATATTAGCACAAAGCTTATTGATGCGGAGATTAGTGAATTGACTTCTTGTCTTTCGTCTTCTTCGTCGTCGTCGTCGCCGCCTTCACCACCTCCGGCTTCGTCATCGGTGCCGAATGAGTCTTATTCTGACAATGATACCGAGATGTTACCCTCCTCGCTTTTCCACCCTATAAAACCTGAACCGGATTTGTTGATTATATTCGGACCTATCGTACGATTAGAGGGGTATCCGCCATGGCAGGTCCGGTTGACGGAGATATTCTGTACAGGCGATAAGACGAGTAGTATCGCCGGGGGAAATGAAGAGGTGACTGTCGAATACCAGGGGTTTTTGCGAGCATTGTGGAGGTATGCCAGGGCTAGTTTTAGATACGGACGGTAGTCTTTTGACTTGAAGATATAAAAAGGTGTATTATTTCTAGAGCAGGGATAATTTGTACAGTATAATAAGTGAGATGGTAGAAGTCATTATATAACTATCCTATGTATCTATCTATCAAAAATGCAGAACGCCAAACGAGTCATGAAAGTCATAAAGATAATGCAGCATGCCAGGTATCGATGTGGATATTACCGTATACGAGATGGAAAAAGAAAAAAGAAAAAAAAAGGAAAAAAATCGCTTGCCAACTCCGTAAGAAATGATGAAAATCAAATGAGAATCAATGGTTAACCCCCTCTCTCCGAACACAATCCACACACCACACAATCTCCTGCCCTATGTCAGTCAAACCCTCAATAGCACAGAGAGAACAAATCTTTCTCTGTCGTCTATTGTCTTCATGGCCCTCACAAAACCTCATCTCCGTATCAAGACGCTCATCCGGCGTCGGCAACCCATCCGAGAGGACTTGTTGTGAAGCACAATTGGACGCATTACACTCGCGTAAACATACATAACAAGCGCGTTGCCCACACAATTCACAGTCTGCATACGCATCTAACATGACTTTTGTAGATGGTTTGCGATGACAGACGTGACACGGTCGAAGCACCAGCTTCGTACTAGTATCTGTACCCGTAGGAGTAGGCAATGTCCGCGGCGAAATGGCATTGTCGTAATCGTCGGCCACGGATAAGGAGGAAGTCGAGATATCAGCGTCGCGATGAGAGTTGAAAAAGGGTATCATAAGCGTGGGCGGAGGGGGTCTCTCTGTCTGAGCTTCGGTTGAGGGGACGGGATTGCCAGAATGCGGTCGAAGGTATTGTTGTTGTTGTTGTTGTTGTTGACGATAATGAGAATGAGGCTGTAGTATCTTTCGTTTCTTAGCCAGTTCTCCTGATCCCGGCACAGTATTCGGCGCGGATTGCAAATGAAGCCATTGTCGTTGCGATATCGACGTCGGGGAAGTGAGCATGTCTATATCCTGAACTTCGAAATGTATGTTCCTATCATCACTAGAATTAGTTTTTATTCATTTTCTCACAGATAATATGAGCTCTCACCCCTGGAAGTCATTGTGGTGACCATTTTCCTGGCCCCATGCTCCGCCACCGACATCTCTCTTTCGTTTGCGTAGAGGTGAAGTTGTGGATTCAAAGTGATTTGTGTCCGGGGATGGAATGTGCATTATTGTCAATATGTGCTGTTCTGCTGTCGTTGAGTGCAGTGAGATGGCAGCACTGTGTTGTTGTCAGGACTTAGATGGGCGGAGTAAATTAGTTAAGCCACCCGCTTTTAGTCCATCCAGGAACAGGCTAAATGTCAGCCAATCATTTTGACTTACTTTGTGCGGAGGATATCAACTATAACTATAAGTTATGGATATAAATCTATGTAATGAGGTGATCTACCCTGAAAATGCATCTAATCGCGCCCGAACAGTCTTCTCATCTAACCGGCCATTTTCTCCCACATAGTGCTTCAGCACTTCAGTCATCATCAATCGTCGAGGCGCCTTGCGTCCCGTCATGAGTTCCCACTGCGCGAATCCTTGTTCAGCAACGACTTCGAGACCATCGATAAGAACCCATGATATGTTGGTTTCTTGTCTGTAGCGCCGGAGTTGACGGACAAGGGGAGTGTCGAGAGAGTTATACGCGAGCTGTATATCATTAGTATCGTCTGAGGGATCCGAGGTAGGAAAGAAATACCTCAATAACAACACCACCGGATGGACTGCCTAGCCACTGTAGTGGCATGACAAAATTAGCAGGTGGTTGATCCTGTACTCGATTCTCCGGTACACACGACACAATCATCGAGGGAAATGCTAGGTCTGAAGGCCACGGTTCCTCCGCCGAACGCAACACGCGAATCACAGCATCAGAATCCGTATGTGACGACGAAGCCCACGAATTAAAGTGTCTCGCCACCTCCTCCGCCCGGGACAAGGTCCGATTGAGAATGAATATCTTTCGACAACCGAGATGCAGCATGGCATAAATCGCCGCCCTAGCCATGCCGCCTGCTCCGATTACCAGGCCCGTAGTCCGGACAGGACTGATTGCATTTCGAGGAGATAGATTCCGTCGCAGGCATACCATGATACTAATCCAGTCGGTGTTTTCTCCCCACCATGCCGCAATATGGCCTGCTTCGTTGCGACGACTGGCTTGTTCGGAAAGAGGATAGATGTTTCCGTCTGCACTGGCCCTTAGAGGCATTATCGTGTTGATTGCGCCAATGGCCTCAGCATGGCGGCTTTTATATTTCAATTGGCCCGCAACATGGACTCGCCATGGTTGGACCACACTGGATCCTCCAAAATGAGGATCGTGCCGCCATTCGTCTAGGAGAGCTAGAGAAGGTGCATCTGGTATGCGATAGACATGAGATAACCCACAACTAGCGTAGGCAGCATTGTGCATAATAGGAGAGATACTATAAGCCACGCTAGCCCCGAGAATATAGAATTTTAATGGATCGAGCATATAACTCTGCACCAATGCGCGGACGGCATCCTGTGATGTTATTTGGGGATCGTTTCCCCTCCGTGTGCTAGGTGGTATAGCAGGATGTGTTACAGAAGTCAAATTGGCATTAAAGACCTGAGAACTCCGTCCAATAGGTCCGATGTTGAATGCGATAATCGGTGGGTGAGTGCCTGACAGTGCCTTGACACGATCGACAAACTTCCTCACCGAGTCATTTTCCTCCCTTGTTGTGGCCGGCCGGACAATGCGGACGAGTTGGCAGCCTAGCCTTTCTGCCTCGAGATAGATTGATAAACAGGCCTCATCGTCCCAAGAAATTCCAGACGAGTTTTGCAAGGTGAAATGTCCAATAACCTTTGTCGTTCCTCTACTCTGGACAATCTGGGTCAATCGTGTATGGTCTTGTTCTAAATGAATGCTAAGGTACTCGACCCCAAGTCGAAGACCATATTCCAAAATCTGAAAGTACAAGTCGGAATTCTTCCGGGCAACAGGGTCCGACACGGGAGTCTCAATACCTAAAGCTTCGGCGTCGATGGAATAAATGATGGGCAATTTTGCGATTCTGCGAAGCACAGAGACATTTTTGGCCACAGCGCTCACGGCATCTGGATTCCACATATCAATACACAATTCAATAGCATCGCCGCCAGACTCCAATTTCTCAAGATCGACAAGAGTGTTATGCAGCGCGGAGAATCGAAGAAGTACAGCATGCGTATATGATCGTCGCTCCGGCGGCGTCTCCAACAACACAAAAGGAGAATCCAAACCGGGATCTGTGGTCGTAGCTCCCGTGATAAATCGCACGAATTGCGTAAAATCCTCCTTGGCATCCTTCAGCTTGAACGAGTAATTCACCGACCGACGATCTGGGGTCCCCTCTTCCAGAGACAATTCCAGCGGAACCCGCTCTTCGAGGTTATAATACTCAAAATTTGAACATCTTCGATGGTACGGATCCCCGTTGCCCAGACGCTTGGCTGAAGAGTCCTGCAATTGTAGCAGTCTTTGAATCTGATCCATATCCCGCAGTATATATACCACAGGATTGGAGAGCGCATACCGACGAAGATACTCCTGAATAATGCGCGTCAAACTACCTAGTCCGCACTCAATCACGCAATGCATTCGATGGTTGTCAAGCATCATCTTGAGGACCTCGACATCGCGACGCTGGAATTCATGGCTCCCGAATTTGAGCAGAAACTCATGCCGAGTCAGACCGGTGACTTCTTTAAAGTAGTAATCTTCAGTAATGAACCGGCGATTGAGTGCCGCAGCCGCGATGAATCCCAGCGATCTCTTTCCTGAGCCTCGAATGCCTACCAGGACAAGGGACGCGTCGGGCGCGAAGTTTCGCTTCGACGCCGGTGTACCTAACATGTGCGCTTTGCTTGAGGATTTCTGTGATGATACCATAGGAGACATTGGTCTAGTTATGAATTATTCTCTTCGTGGGGTCTGCATTCTTAATTCTTGATCCTTCACGAGAAGACGGCACTGTCGCAGGCCTGTAGCAGAGAGCGGGCTGTTGCGCTCATGACCATTTCACCGTCAAATAGCTGAATAAAACACATTGAAGATGAGACAGGAAGAGATGAGCAGATTAAATCAGTCGGATAAGCACTTCTTAGTCTTTCATACTCTGGATGGACGCGGGGAGCCATTAAACCAATCAGCTGGACGGAATCATGTGATCTGTCTCGATTCCTTATGCGCGGCGGAGAAAGTCATTGCCGGCTTCGTCTTTGTAGATATCTGTCTATATCTAGATCTATATCTATGTCTACATAGATGTAGAATGAGATTTATGATAGTGGTTGTCTTCTGTCAGATAGTCTGTTAGTCAAATGCCTGGAGTAATTGTACAGATTGTATGTAATGTTATATGCCTGAGAGTGGATCTGGCTAGCCTGAAAAACAAGGCCAAGAAGCAATCTCGTGAATCTCGATCAAATCTGATATCTCCGTATACCTTCCATCCTCCAACTACACTCCTTCTCTTGATAATTTCTCCATTTAATCACTTCATTACACTTCTATCAGTTGTGAGAAATACCGACTCGGAACTGTCGGATGGCAATTGACTTGTCAGACTCATCTCGATTGGTCCGTCATCGCATCAATATCGATATCAATAGTGCCAGGAACTGGTCGAAGCACACCTCACAAAATCATTTCATCGCAGTTTATTCCCTCATTGCAATGTACACCAGACTGTAATATCCCTCCATGGACGAGGGCTCGGATACGAAAGGCCCGCGCCGAAAAAGGGTCTCCCGCGCTTGCGATCGCTGTCGCACCAAGAAAGACAAATGCGACGGTGCCCGTCCAACATGCTCAGCCTGCCTGGCGACCGGCCAGACGTGCTCCTACGATCCGAATGCGAGAAAACGTGGTTTACCCGAGGGGTATGTGCGCGGACTGGAAAAGTTGTGGGCTTTGGCGATATGTAATATTGAAGGATTCGAGGATACGATGCTGACGTTGCTCGGTGCGACGGACCGCTCGAGAGGCCGACGAGAACGGTTAATGCAGCTATGGACGGATGAGAGTTCTTCAGAGAGTCTGCACGAAGCGTGGAAAACGAGTCGGCTCTGGGGTGCATTGGAAAAAATGTTGTCACCGACAGATACGGACACACAGTCGCCAGCGAAGAGACCGCGAGAAGAAGACGATGACGGCTTGTATCTGAGCGCTTCAAGCCAATGGGGTTTCCGTGTTAATCGCGGCCAAAATCTTACTGCTCCAGTCGCAGGTCCCAAAGTCGTCGACCCATCGTCGTCTCCAGCCATGAAGAGACAAAGATTATCATCAACTACAGATACCAGCTCTCCAGTAACTCCGGGAAGACTCAATGCTACTCAAAACCTACCACTCCCATCTCATACTTCCGCGCTTGTCGAAACATATTTCTCGCAGACTCACCCATGGTTCCCAATAATACCCAAACACAACATGCTCCGTGCATCCTACATGTACGCTAACGGCGCAACTTATTCGGGGAATCCGCCCAAAAGCTCAGGAGATCACGCTGCTCTTTGGGCGATCCTGAGTTATACGACTGGTCAGGAGCAGTCCGGTTCGAACGCACACGACGCATTTATGCATGATCCATTGGCTCAGTCCAAAGAGTATTATCACATAGCTCGGGGCCTGATTCCTTCAGAAAAGGAACGCTTTGACCTCGGACATGTACAAGCCTTGTTGCTGCTCACGTTGGTCAACGTGGGATCAGAGGATTGGACTGCGGCGTGGCTGCTGAGTGGTCAGGCCGCACGAATGGCAGAGGCAATGGAGTTATCTAAACCTTTGGATTCCCGCAGGACGGATGAGACACGCCAAAGAAGAGCAGTTTATATGGGATGCTTTGTCATTGATTCGATTCTCTCTGTACGCCTTTCCAGATCGCCTTGCCTGCGATCAAACGATTCAGATGTAGTAGGGCGACTTGATGAAGATGGCTTAGAAGAGTGGAACTCTTGGGTCGACGTGTTGCCTTCGCGCGCCGCATTTGAAAGCAGAAATGCGCCTCAGCGAGGTCCTTTATTGGCTCTCAGCTGCTTCAACCGATTGTTTGAATTGACCACTGTGCTTAATAAGATCGCGTGGGATTTCCCGCAAGCAACGAACGCTCAGGCATTCATCCAGAAGATCCTTCTTGACCTAAAGTCTCTTGATGACCGCCTTCCTGCAAACTGTCGTTTGATTAGTCTTGAGAGTGATGAAGCTCAAAATCGGCCTCCGCTGCTTCTTCATCAGACCTATTTTCATCTGACATATACAGCCACACTGCTTTTCCTCTACACAAGACAGCTGAGTCAAAGTCATTTCATGCAAGGAGTTAATTACACTGCTGTTGATGGAATTGAGAAAATACTTTATCGAACGTTGGATGTATTGTCCCAACATGTGGAAAACTTCCAAGCTTGCGCGATCCCACCGTTACTCGAATTTCCTCTGCGGTCAATTTTCGAGTCTGTGTCATCGGTACGGTCGAAACTAGAGTCATCGGGCTTTCCGGTGTCAAAGTGGATCACTATCTTTTCTCAGAGACTTACTGAAGTGTCTTCACCATGGCCCGTGTTTAGGACACTTAGCGAAACACTTGGATCTCTTCTACTCCAGCCGACAGATTCTTATCCATTGGCACAGTCATCGGTCGACATAGGTACCAGCCGATCTTATGACTCTCAGGTTTCGGAGCCAAGGGCAAATCAGGCCATCCCAGACAGTGGACACGGACGTGCTTCTATCACCCAGAACTCTGGATTTAGCCCTAATCTGCCCAAACCCTTTTCTTTACAGCCGGAAAGTATGTACAGAGCAGCACCGGATTCTAGCACAAGCGGTCTGCGTATTCCATCCGGAATGGATCCTAGCAATCAAGAACAAACAGCCGCTCACATCTTAGACAAACTCATGGGAGGACGCAATCCGTCATCAAATACAGACCCTAACAACATGGGACAACTTCTCAACCAACAGCAACAGACCCAGACAGGCTCTACCCCCGATTCTGCAATTCTATCACAACACAACCTCGCTTCTGCAGGGTTCAACATCGGCCAACAACAGCGGAGCAGATCCTACATGACCGATGAAGCCTCATCATCCCCTAACGACCTCGATTCAATATTCAAAGACCTCGCATATATAGATACAACAGATTGGGCAAACAGCCGTCAAGAAGGGCTTCGAGAGTTTGGATTCATGGATGACAATACATTCCAAGCGTTTTGTCACGATCCAGATCGACTGGTTGGTTCGCGGCCTTTGGTACTGCCGACTGCCATGTCGATTGCGGATATTTGGCCGCCGCCGGGCTTCTTTCCGGAGACGTTTCAAGCTGGTCAGAAGAATGATCGGAGTTAATGTAATGATACCCATTGTGAAGCTTTGCAATTCTATAACTTGATTGAAAAATATCGTATATCAACTTTTCGCATAACATAGGTACATAATGTAAGGTAAGATCCAGCCATGACAACTACTGCTCTCCAACCTTGGAAACCCAGAAGAGTCTAACAACATCCTCACAACCTCGTATCTAAAATTAACAGCCCAATCAAACCCAAGCCTTATGTCTCGCCAACACAAAAACAGGCACAATAGTAACCACAGTCCCAGCAACTACAACAGCCGCCTGAATCCCAAACACAACACCAACCCCGTTCCTGGCAATCCAGCTAGCCTGGAAGTAACCCACCGAGAATCCACCGCAAGTACGCCACATGTTGATTATTGCGCTGACCGTAGTGGAATGCGTAGGGTATTTTTCCAGCGCGTATGCCGTCATTGCTCTATTATGGCCGACCATCAGTATGCATAGAAAAAAGTCTCCCGGGGAAAAGAGGACATACACCATACTACCAACCATACCAAGATTAACCATAATCCAACCAAAAGCCAATCCGAGCCAACTCTTCTGGAAATGAAGCGTGAGTCCGTACGTGATCAATCCACACACCAAACTGGCAATCGGGAACCAGACGCCGTGAAGTCGATATTCGGGTTTCCAGCCTGATGTTGAAGTCGTTGGATAATGGTGTTGATCACTGGTAGCAGAAGAGAAAGAGACGAGAGCGTCGGCAATTTGTACACTGCTGTTTTCGGATGCTATTCTGCCTAATTCGTCGTTGTGTCTGTTCTTCTTGATGGTGTTTGTTTGGTTGTGTTTGGATTGATAGTGTTTGTAAATCCATTCATTGAAGAAGTGACCAAATATATATCCTATCATACCACACATTAGTTTCAGATGTAGACAGAAGAAGGGTGGACATACCGCTCGTGCCTCCAATGATTCCCGCAAACCGCATCGACGAAGACTGAATATCATCAAACATATACGGCGGTGCATGCAGAAATGTGTCAATTGTGGTCGTGATCCCAATAGGCCAACAGAAATTGATCATCACTGATATGCCCAGCAGCAAAAGCGGGAGTTTGAATATCAACTTCAGCAGCGTACTTGACTCGGACAGTAAGGTGGACCGTTTGACCAGATGGGAGGTGTTGTTATTCAGGCCGATAAAGGAGTAGATTCTTGTCAACATTGGAGATTTATTGTTATCATGGGAATTGTGGTGGTTGTCGTAGTAGGTCTCGTATCCAAACAGCATAATCAATAGTGTCGACAAGCCATAAAGAGCGGTCAAAATGCCAAAGGAGACGATCCAACGATTCTGACTTGCTACGAGTATATATCCGGCTATTGCAGGGCCGAGGAATGGTCCAACAAGAAACGTCGTTGCCCTAAATGGTCATTAGCAAGTGTATCATCCACTCACGTAGGCTTAATTGCATACCAAATATTGATCATCCGCGGCCAATCCTTTGGATCGTACATGTCATGAATAATAGACAGGCCGACTACCTGCGGCACAGTCCCAAAGAGACCTTGTAGGGATCGAAAGGTTGTAAATACGGGATAGGAAGTAGATAGTGTGGCGCCAAGCACCATGAACATCGTAATGACTTGGGACCAGAACCATATAGGAAGTCTGCAAGCGCATCAGCAATCTGGAACTGCTTCGAGTTGAAAGCCTAGAAGTTACCTTCCATAAGCTTCAATGAGAGGTACAGCAAATATTCCTCCGAAGCCTTGAAGTAAGATCCCGTAGTTCATGCTGGTCGAGGAATGGTTGATACTAATATCCCATTCTAGGGCCTGCGTTACAATCAATGTTGCGCCCCAAGTCATTGCTCTGGCTGAGTCGTTAGTGTGCGGTCTGCAAACTTTTTCCAGAGCTTGACATACCCATCAGCAAGCAAAGAACTGGAAATCAACGCAGTAAACAACAACCGCTTCTTCGCTGTTCTCCAATTCCGTGGGTTCGCCATATCAGATGATGCAGAGTCATGATTGTGGTATTCTTTGAAAACAGCCTGATCCTCAAGAGATGCTAGAAAGTTATCTCTTGCCTTTGTTGAGGCTGTTAGTTTAGGTTTTGGGACTGGAGGATTGGGTGTCATGTCGTGGGTGATTGTCAGGAGTGTAAGTACAGTGTCAAAGCGAAGGTGTCAATATATACATATGAATGAATGAATGAACGAACGATGGATAGAATGAGTGTAGGATGTGCGAGCCAAAGAGGATATTATAAGGTGATCAAGGAATGACTCTGTCTTTTTGTGTTTGGATCCCCCCCTCCCAGTCTGTTCTCGAACCGACTTCAAAAGACAAACCAACAACTAGGATCTATCGCCAATCATATCACCTCATTCACATGGCATAAGATAAGAAATAAGAAAATTCTTCTAATTTGCAAATCTAAGCGAGTTGCATGACACGTTAGAGCCACATGGTGTGTAGAATAAAAAGGATGATTCTTCCGATGCAGCGATTCGCTGTTTCTCAGAACTAAAAGTAGAGAAGGACAAAGAGGTAAAGAGACAGGTACAAGGTGGATTAACTTTGTTATCCCTACTTTCCACCTAACAGATATCAAGTGTTATCTGGGTCGGATTGCGAAAAAAGGGGAAGGAAAAGTTGACAGGGAGGAAATTTAGATTGTGTTAGGGCTTCAGGGTTGCATAGGAGTTTGATAAAGTAAGTGGGCTGAGATCTTACGACATGGGTTTTGACTGGTGTTAGTTGAATTTAATTCGACTGAACTTTAGTTTTAGGATTACGCGTACGTACTTGTATGCTAATACTACCTTGAAACCCGCGGAATATTTATGATTGACAGCTTGACACCATATGGCACGGTATGTATTCTCTTTGTCTGTGCTGACAGTGTAACACAACCATAATACTTTAGCTGAGATTACTAGTCATGGCTTTCACAATAGAGCAAGGATTTTAAACTTCCGGCTTATAATGACAGTGACTGGTAACTAGTAACAAGGAGAATGTTTGCTGTAAAGAAGACCGAATGGGTACCTGTTCCAGACCTCGATTTAGCCTACATATTCCTCTATCCAAGCAAGCCACATAAGCCCACCTGGATAAACTGGAGAATATCTGTAGGAAGGTGGCTATGAGCTCTGAAAGATAAGATACACTAAAGGCAGTGGCTACAACTATGTCCCATCTCAAGAAGTTAGCACGTCCATCTAGGGATGCCTTTGCTAGTCTCATTTGAAACCAACTCTGAAAAACTTGGACATAATAGTAGTAAAATACTCGATTAAGAGACCGGAAGTTCACTTAAGGGGGAAATCGAAAAAAGAAAAGTCAGATAGCCAGCCCTGGAATTAATAAGACGCATCATATCGGTCTGATCGACGCTAAGATCTCCTTCGTTTTGATACATTCGATAGTTTGTGAGTTCGGACCCTTCGGAGTCGGTATCCACCACAATGGATCGATCACTCATTTCTCATGCATTATTGCACACTATGAAGCTGGTTTTCGATGCTACCCCATGTCTTTATTTTACGAATCAAACTTGTGTGGTCCAGAAATTACAAAGGAACAAGACAATTATGCAGTTGTACCATGCTGCGGAACACCGGGATGTGGATTAGCCCTAATTCCAGCCAAGGAAGAGGTCTCGTTTTTCATCCCTTGCATACTCTTTGTAGCACGCGGTTGATATTCACCATGCGTCTGATAACCTGCCACACAGTTGCCTCGCCTGATATTTTGTTTGACAGAATGTTCAAAAATAGACTGGGTGCCAGGGGTGGTTACAAGGGTGGTTAAATGACCGAATTCCAGACCGGCAGTTTGACTTTTGAAGTAAAATCAGAACTGTAAGCAGAGAAGACAAAATGACACCACCTGTCGCGGCGGTTTTGGCTCAAACTGTGACTGTAGTATGTCTTACATCTTGGACAATGACGATAACGAAATCACTCACCTTTCCAGACAGCTTCACTGAGCTTTATCCCGGTCGCCGTTTATTTCAATCTTTTCTCAACACTGGTCAAGATTGGGAAAGCGGCGACTTCAAAACAAATCACTGATGCTCGGAATGAGGAGAGAAGCGTGGATGAGAAGGAGCAGGCGCCTTTGTGTATGTTTGCCTCTAGGTATTTGGGTTTTAACTGACGGCGTAACAGGCTATCAATTGACTCGTACGAGTTGTCATCTTCAAAGTTGATGAATTGATCTGACAAAAATAGATGATGTTCTGTACTCCCTATCGTCAATAGGCCTTGTTGACCTAGTACAAGACGATGTATTCGAGGCGAATGATATTACCCGGCACATGATTGCCATGCCATCAGCGCAGCATGGAACTCTTCACTTGTAAGAATCCCAAATTCTTCCAGTAATATCTGCTAAGAGATTTCAGCGCAACCGAGCCAATGTTCGCAGGGGCATTCTTAATGCGAAAATTGATCGATACGAAATTCGAATATCCTTTCAAAGCACTCGAAACCCCAACACAATACGGCTACAAACTCCTAGGCCAAGATGATCTTGCAAAGGAGCATACTTACTCCATCATGGCCCGTCAAGGACGAATGGATAGCTTCAATCAATTCATGGTAGGCAAATTCGGCAAATTCGGTAAAATGCCAGAACGCGTCAAGTCATTTGGATATGATTTGGATAGCGCAGTCTCTGGCACCGAGAGTGACGTTGTCTGGGTTGATATCGGTGGTGGACGAGGTGAAATGCTCCTCGAGCTCAAGGAAGCGTATCCCACGCTCTCTAAATCAGCCTTGGTGCTGCAAGAATTCAACCCGGATATAGGCAGCGTACGGGAAGTCACGCAGATGGAGTGGAATTTCGCAAGTGATACTCCGCAACCTGTCGAAGGAGCATTAAATTATTCGTTGACTCATATCTTCCACAATTTGCCTGATCTGGATGCCCTGGAGTTGATGCAAAAGGTTTCAAAAGCAATGGCACTGTATTCGCGGTTGATTATACAGGAATTTACGAAGAACAAGAGTTACGGAAAGATGCATGCGACTATGATTACACTGTATGGTGGTCGATTAAGATCTAGCGCTGAATGGAAGAGACTAGCGGCGTTGTGTGGGTTGAGAGTGACTTTTGAGGCATATCCAGAGGCAGGAGAGGGTTTGATTGAGATGAGGAAGATAGTTGTATAAATTCTTATTAATGATAATACGTAAACAAATATTACTATGACCGTTTTCGATGTTTCTAGAAGATGAGACCGAGTACTTAGGGTTATGAACAACAAACCCTAATTAGTCTCCGTATGCACTATTTCTGACCTCAAACATTATTATGATAAACACCCAAGCTACTTAGATAACTAGGTGAAATAAAAGATATAATTCAATAGTACAGATCCTTATGCCCTAATGAGGGGAGCCAATCTTATTTTGTCGACAATCTGCAAGGGCGATCTCTTACGGCCCTTACTTCGGCACACTGGTAGGTCTCTGCTTCGATCTATCACATTTCCAACCAGTCACATTAGCGCTAGCAAAGAGACCTGTGTGATATTGACTCCGAACTTGGACTTGGCTCTTTTCTTTTCTTTCTATTTTAGCACCAATACGGCAATTCATCATGCAAATGCACCCTGATCCTGGTATAGAGGACTGCGCTATTTGTGGCCAACTTGCAGGCTATATATCTAGTATCGGAATGGAGACGAGTCTAGCGACAAGCCACATTGAGTTTGGTCAAGAATCTCGACCGATTGGCCAAGTGGACATGGAATCCGCTAATCTATCACTTTTTAGGAAGAGTTTGAGCGTACAGATCTCGTTTATCTTGCTAAGAGTAGTAAGATACACTAACTATGGCGTACTCTTCGGGTTTAGCTTGATCGATAACGTAGAATCCACGATATGCTACGTAACTTCTGATTAACGAGAACAGAACAGAAATAGAGAGTAGGATTGTTGACTAAGTCAAATGAAGAGGTAAATTTGGAGTTCGGTATTCCTTGCAGGAGAAGATCACTCTTGCTATGACCACAGAGCAGACATTCCTTCTTCGAAGCACAGTCCCTCGCGCGTACACACCAACCTATCAAATACATCTACCATTGTACATACTGAGCAAAACACATTATTTTCGTCGTACCACGCTAAACCATGGCGGGCAAGCGAGAATATATCCACTTGAGGCCTATGATAGGAGCATGGTTCATTCTCCGCTACCCCTAGCAGCTAGCCAACCTAAGATGTAGATACGCAATGTTCCAATCTCGAACTTTAGCGAACTACATGCAAAGAGTAAGATTTTCCCTTTAATGACGCATCACACTTTGTACACATACTAGCCACTGGCTTTTCGGACATGTATCTCAACCTTCCGATAATAATATCTCGCGTACATTTGTAGGTTCGTCAGTCCATGCCTACTTCGTTTGAAAATTCCAGAGCACAAGTCCCACAGGTTCGTACTGATTCTATATCTGACTCTGATTTAATAATCTCCATGCTTCTTTAAGTTCTGAATTGAATGCGAAAAAGTCTTATGAACTTGTGACCTTGTCCGGCCAAGGATCTTTTTTTCCGATAGAATTCTGAGATTGAAACATATCTAGACTCTGGGTATGCTCTTAAACTCGAAAGAGAAAACTGTGGTAGTCTTGGAATAGAAAAGGAGGCTTATACCTTCTTTTCACCTTTTGGTTGGAATATCCTGTTGCAATTTCTTGAGTCATCCAATTATAAATACCTTCATTGACAAGATGGATATCCCCCGGCCAAATGAAGGGGATGTCAATATTGGTGAGATCCTCTATATGTAATTGACTGTGATATAAATGTACTTACTACAGAAAAGGGACCGACATATTCAGAGGTTGCTGGGTACGTCAGACCCTAACTACGGACTTCTCACAGGTTTTCGTCTAATAATTTACGTAGGTCCTAACCTGCTTCGTTGGCGTTGTCCTAATCTTTAGATGCGCAATAAAAGCATGGGTACGATGGGCACTACCTCAGGTCTCTGCACCGGGCAGAATATGGGGAATCGAAGATGTTTTCTTTCTCTTTGGATATGCCGTGGACCTTTTACATATGACGCTTATACAGCACAGGTACTGGATAAACACCCGGATTCTTGATGAGTATATACTAACTTGAGTCGGGACAGTTACAAATGGGGCTTGGGACGACACTTCTTCTACTTGACGCCTGAAGAGAAAAGGCAAGCTTTACGATGGGATTATGCCTCTCAACCTTGCGGTACGTCTGACACATTCCGCGGCCCTTGGATTTCAAGAAAGTATACATAGCTAACTCCTTAAAGCGGTTGCCGCCGCCATGATATCAAGAACAGGAATGATGTGGTTCCTCCTCTCATGTTTCGCCAATAGCAACCGCCGATTACGCATTTCGATTATCGTTTGCATGATTATCCAGATTGTTGTTAATTCAATTACCATTGTGCAAATAGTGGTGCAATGTGGGCCGAATCCATATCACGCTGTACGTTTGTCTCTGTATCCGAAACTGTGATAAGATAGAATATTGAGTGGATATTGTGAACAGGATGACCGAACAAGATACTTTCATTATATGTGGGATCCTCTACCGGCTGATGGTTCAGTAAAGTGTCAGTCACCGACTGTGCAGACAACTATCGGATATGTCCAAGGAGGTAATACATGGCTGCTCACTTTCGTTGTCTGGAGACTAATCAGTTGTCAAGGGTTTAATACGATCATCGATTTGTATCTCGCGGGAATATCGGCCTTTGAACTCTGGCAATTCTTCATTCAAACATTGCAACGCAATCCCGGTGTTTCTGTCTGGGTACAATTCAGCAAGATTAACCCTAGCGTTCGATCTCGTCGAATATGGCAGACATTGACTCTTTCTGGGTATTTAGCCACATGGCATATCTGAGTCTACAAGCATTGACTGACTGTTGTCATCTAGGCCTCTTGTTCTTTCCGGGGCTGCTTCGATTGTCAAGACCTATGTATGTATAGTTTTCCATAAGGATATGAACGTACTGACGATGACAGCTTCTCCAGTCACTGGGCGACAGAGCCGATTTTACCTGTTTGTTCTTCTGCTCCGTCAAAGCTTGACGTTAGCCGACTGACATCGTCTAGACAACATTGTCACCTTCGTTCTTTGGGTCAAGTACGTCCGCGCCCTTTTACTCTGGATGCCACTACTAACACCTGACAGAATTGAAAACTACGCCATCCTAATCGCCACTTGCGCCCCAGTCATCAGACTCTTTCTTCGTACATTCGTCGACATGAGACGTGAAGGGCGATACGGTGGCTACCCCTGGAGTCGCTCCCACTCCGATAATCCACACAACTCAAACGAGAACAATAGTGGCAGCAGTGGACAACATGAGTTGAAAAGACAGAACAAATTCCAGCAGCGATTCAACAGAAGCCGAAGTGCGGTTGATCCGGATAAGACCTTTGATTCGATGTTTGATGATAGTTACCTCCTTACTACGGTGGATGATGATAAGGATAGCAGCAACAGACATGCCAATGGCACAGTAGGGCCATCCTCGCATACGATCGATACAATAGCACGAATGACGTCGCCCGCCAGCATCAACGACAATAGAAACACGCGTCTCAGCACCGGCGTTGGCGTGACAGTGAAGACGGATATTGTTGTCGAGGTTGATGAAGAAATGGGTATGTCTCCGAGAAGCCGTGGACTATCACCGTTACCAAAGAATGCACAACCGTATCCTACGTTTACGCCTCAAGATGATCAACATCGCGTTGAAAGGCAGGCATTAGCTTATGCGTGGAAGCCTGCTAGCTGATTTTTTCAGTCTGAAATTTGCTTTTGAACTTTATGGAGTTACGGCGCTGTTTGCATTGGTGAGATAATTATACCCTCTGATATAATGATATTGTCTTGAATACACCGATACAGTCCATTATACATAGCTGGCTCTGTAATACATCATGTCAAACTCAGCTTTAAACCGCCCATCATCTTCATAGCTCGTTCCCATTCAAATAGTGGCAAGTCTTTCTTTGAAATAGAAGAAGAGACATTACTTATATCGTGTATCCCATTGGCCATGGCCGCAGTATGCCGCCGTTTCCTATCATCTTGCACTCCTAGATCTCGCTGCAGCCAAATCATCTCGATAACTTGTCTGGCTGGCGTAATATTCTAAACTCAACATGTTAGTCCCCCATAAAAGATGACACCATGGAACAAGTTGGAAGCGTACACCGTAACGTTTCAATTTCTCAGTCTCCTCAAAAATTTTGATTACGGTTATCTGATCTTCTTCCGTTGTCACACAACATCCGGCAATGAAGAGCGGCCATAATGGCAGCGCGGCAGTGCGATTGATGCGGTTGATATTTTGAATCATAGGGCCAAGGATTCTACGTACGTAGCGCGCTTTGTAATCTGCCGCTAGGGTTTGGATTCATCATTATCGTCAGGTTCAGCCTCTGTTGAGGCGGTAAGTCGACTTGTCCTGAATAGATCAGGGCGCTGAAACGAGAAGCGCACACCTCATGCATAAAGCAATGCTCTAAGCGATTGGCTTCTGCAATAGCCTGAAACTCTGATACAATCCTTTTGAGTTCTTCGTCTCGTTGATTACTGTTCCCAAATGCATGAAAAGGCTGTGCTTCATTGAGGTAACCATTATCGCCCAACGGAGGTGGTGTCTGATGTAATGTCTCCAAAGAAGTTCGCAATCGTCTTACTTGTTCACGCACGAATGGTAAGTTTGCCTCGGCCAATTCCTTTGAATGATATTTCCATGCGAGGTGGGCGACTTCATTGATGAGCAAGAGGAGTGAATTGCTGAAACCCATATACGAGTCAATCTGGTCCAAGTCTTCGAGTGGCATGGCCAAGGATAGAAAGTCTGTTAACTTTGAGACTGAAGAAGAGCGTGAACTTGGAGAATGTATTTGTTTTTCATCCCCGGTGAGAATTGAAGAACTCGCGGAGGTATGTACTCCAGACCCGTGCTCAGTGAATGTAATATCATTCTCAACTCGAAATGCCGTCCTAGCCAGAACCAAGTGAAACGAGAAGTATCTACTAAAAAACCGGCTCACATCTGACGCCCTGCTATTCCTGAAGGAAACATCTTGGTACTGTTTAATCAGCGTATGGATACCCTTCAGATGCGTAACCCATGACGAACGACAACCATCCGTGATCTCGAACCAGCACAACATGAGTGCGAGGCCAAGAATCTCATCGATTTCAGTCTGCGAAGGAGTATCTCTGGGTAAAAGCAATGTACCAGATTGCCCGCGCTGTAGACTTGCAATAAGACACCTCAAAGCTCTATATCCATGGTCTAGAGCGGCGAAGCGAAACCTCGGCTCCGCAATACGTAATATTTGTGCCGACACGGCTAATGTAGCATGATACAACCCTTCGGATTGCATAGCCATGGGTAAGATCAAGTGTCGATATGGATTGTTCTTGGCATCATCTAATAGCGTACTTGAACTGCAGACTACAGCCTCGTAGTAGGATAGAAGAGCCGAGTCGTAATCCAATGTACGGCGATGGCTGAGCGTGGTACCCAAAATGGGGAGTGAGAGTGATAGATTCTCCGTCTGTTTTTGAGTGATATCTGGAACTAACGCTTCCTTGTCTTCAGCTTCGTCTTCCTCTGCCATACCCCCGTACTCAAAATACAACTTGATATTTCGCATAGTGGTATTCAAAAATACCCCATGGCATTTACTGAGGTTTGTTGTAGTTGATGCATATTTTCTACTAGAGTCTTCCCCGAATAGAACCTGTCTCTCATGGCTGCGTCGGCCATTCTTAGACCAAATGCCAGACCGTCCATGACAAACACCTTTTGACAAGGACTCTTCGTGCCAGATCAATTGCAAGCGATAGTTGCAATCAAGACCACTTCTTGTGCACCGCTGGCATTTAGGTCGTCTTTCTGTGGAACTATTAGCTGGTGGAGTTATTGCCACAACTAAGAAGAATGGTAAGCCATACCGTCACATTTAATCTTCCGCGAACGACAGGTCCTGCAGCCTGTTCTTGTTCGAGATACAGTAGTTGGCTGGACATTTCTTCTAATAGAGGCCATATTTTCCTTTTGCCAGTGTAATTAGATGTATCGTGCATATACAATGTCGTTGTGTTGGTTTATTCCCAGGTCCAACTCGGCTGGATGACTATCCACGACATATAATATGATTGGCTGTAATAAGTGGGCCAGTGATAAGTTTGTTTTATGCTATTGGTTGATGAACGTTAAGACCCTATATTATGATTGGTCAAACTAAATCTTTACAAGACGCGGGGAAGCGCTAATGCTACCAGCTACCAACCAATCACAATTGAAATCGGCATTGGTATCCGATATTCTCAAACCAATCAGATATCTGACCTTGTCTCTATACTCTTTTATTCTAGACACGAACAACCTAGGGATTGATTGTCTAGAACTTTGCCTTCAACCTCCCCTCACGCTCTCTCCTCCCCTTCCACCCTGTCAGATCCGACAGCTCCAACTCCGGGTCCAAATGCGCCAGATTCTTCGTATTCACATCCTCTCCGACCCTCCAGCGCCAGTTATGTACAATATCTGCATCGAGTTTTCCTTCGATATGATCCGCAATATACTTTCCGATAATTGGTAAGAACTTGAATCCATGTGCTGAACCAGCGGTGGCAATGAATAGATTCTTTTGTGTGGGGTGAGGAGTGATAAGAAAATGGCGATCAGCTGTATCAGCATCCCAACATAGTCGAGTGTAGCAGAATGGTCGATCAGCTAGTTCGGGAAACACTTGTCGTAGATTACGGCGCATTGTAGCTTCAATTTCAAGCGGTAAATCATCTGTGGGGGATTCGACAAAAGTATGCGGGATGGACGTGGTGATTCCTGATACTGGATCGGTTTTGGTGTTTGTAATGAACTGGCTGTGAGCGATTTTGAAGGTCCCATCTTCCTGAGGTGGGAAGAAGTACCCTAGTTCTAGATTATCGAGAATCGGTAAAGTGGAATATTGTTTCGTTTCGGCCGGGGTTAGCTGGATATGCGCCACTGAGTGTCCCTTGGCTGTTAATTGACCTTGGAGATCAATCAAACTGGGCATCCAAGCACCGGCAGCCAGGATGACGAGATCCGCTTCATGAACAGTCCCGTCTTGCGTGATTACAGCACGACACGTTGTCCCATCAGAAGCATACCGTAGCTTGCGCACATATCCCTTACTACCACTCACAAATTCAACTCCATTCCTCTCCGACACCTCCAGCATCCTTCTCAAAGCCTCACCGGACTTTGCCCATCCAGCCGTCGGATTCCAAACATTGATATTCCACCCATCCAGTTTCCCTGTCACCAACGGCAACTTCTCTTTAATCCGTTGTGGTGTCAAAATCTCCAAGCCCTCCACTCCAAGCTTCTTCGACGTCTCAATAGAACCTTCAACAAACGGCACAGAGAGATTACGAGCACTCAAAATCCAACCTGGAACATGGTATAACCCCTTAAACATATCCCAATCCCGCCACGCTTCGATCGACTCAATACCCATCTTGCAGTAAAGAGGTTCATTGTAGTCGCTCCGAATTACTTTGCTGATGTCGGTTGATGCGGCTTCGCAGGATGGTGCTGCGTGGCGATCGAGGACACGTATTGATTTATAGCCTCGTTGCGAGAGGTGGTAGGCTGTTGAGGTGCCGAAGGCGCCGGCACCGACGATGATGATTCTTGAGTTGGTCGAGACGGTCATTTTTTCATCAGTTGGGCTTCTTTCGTCCGTGATTTCAGAGCTTCGAGGTAGAAATATGCTTATCCAACGTCTTCAATCGAAGAACTTTGTTCTATTTCTCCTCGAATGTAAAGACCCCATGTTGCATAGTAGTTAGTCAATCAGCTGACGTCAATCACATCATGAGACGAAAAGGCAACAACAAATCTCGCTTGCAGCTCCCTTCAGCACATAATAAAGTGCTCACTGGCGCTGTCTAAGATTAATACCTCACTGAGTATCTTACTCCACAGGTAAAGTGGGGAGGTTAATTGAGAGGTGGAGGTTGGATATGCATCACTCGCTAACTGCGTACTGATTCGTTAATTGTTATCAAGAAGACTCTTCCTTGTAGGCTGCAAATTCCTCATCGGAGAATGCTTATCGATTGAAAGAGTGGAGCCTTATGTGGGATGTTGCTAGCCCGAAGTTCAAGGCATCTCGGCGTCGCTCCGAGCTTCCCGATACCTTTGAGGGATCGACTAATGGGATTGTTTTGTGGATATAAATTGTATCGGTTTGTGCAAATATCGTTGTTACGGATACGAGTAAATAATGTGGAATCCTGCGATTGTCTAGGTAGACTAAGAAGAAGGATATCGCCGGTGAAGCATCAGGAGGCGTATGAGGTGAGGTGATATTCCCATATGTTTATAGATCATTAAGGACGGAGGGATGATTTTAGGAGTTGTGAAATCCACATTGAATTGTGCCTGTGTAGGCAGATTGATACATGAAGAAAAGAGATGGTAGATAGAGACAGACAAAAATTATACAAGAGTATGCAGCTAATATGTATATCGGAAATCCTTCTTCTCCTTATCCGTCAAATCTGAAAACGCATTTGCCGCCTCAACAACATGATGACCGTCGCCCGCATGCTCACGATCGCGCTTTCTATTCTCCAGGTGACATAGCACGCCGTAAGCAGAAATAGATGCAATAGCAACCACCAGGCAAGCGAGTAGACCTTCATATCCATGAGAATAATCCGGGGCGTCGGAAGCCTGGAAAGTCTGTGGGCCGATGATGTTACCAACACAGTAGGCAAGGAAGAATATTGCGTTCATGGTTAGTTTTTTGGAGTGGCCACTGACATTAGCCATGGGTAAGGATGTTGATAGAACGTAAGGGCCCCAATAAGTATAGAAAACATAGTATGCTGCAAGTAGTCCGTGTTTGTTGGAACGAGGAAGTTTCCACATCAGTATGGCACAGGTCATGGGAACTAGATTCGCTACCGCAATAACCAAACAGCGCGTGTTTTTAAATCGTGCTGCAATGAATGACAGACAAAGTTGCCAAACAGTGGCTAGAACTCCGGTTGGAATCCCTAGAACAGTAGTGATTAGACTTGAGTATCCGAGTCCAGAGACAATAATGGATGCAAATGTGACAAGACCGCCGTTAGGAATATTTTGTGCGAGGGAAAACAGCATCAATAGCCATGTTTTTGGATCCATTAGGCACTCGCGCACTTGGTACCATTTGATTTTCTTATCCTCCATGCCGGTGTTGTTGTTCTTGACTCGCTCAAGACAGACGTATTTCTCGCGATCAGTCATGTACCAGCATTTGACTGGCGAATCTGGAAGGAAGACATAAATAACCGCACCCCAAAGAACCGTAAATCCGCCTAAAACAAGGAATAGAAGGCGCCATGGATGTAGGCTAGTATGCGTATGGCCGATGCCGTAACTGACGAGGCCGGAAAACACTGAAGAGAGCTGTTCCTGTCAGACATGCACGTTTCTCTACTGATACGGAAAATTTCTCACCTGATTGAACCAAAAAGCTAGTCTGATGGGCTGTTCTTCCGTAGTCCACCACATCACAGTCAATATACTGCAGATTGGAAAGACCACTGACTCCAGCATGCCCATGAAAAACCGCACAACTGCCAAGCCGGCAAAATTCTGTGTAGCCGCTGTACACATCAAGATGACCGCCCATCCAAAGAGACAAGCAGAAAGAAACTTAGCCACAGGGAGCCTTTGAATGAGAAAAGCTGCTGGATACTCGGCCACTAGGTATCCGAAATAAAAGATCGAGCCAACCCATGAGTACTGATTGCCCACCAGGTGTGTATCTGTTCTCATCCCGTAGATGGCGGCATTAGAGATGATGACTTTATCCACAGCAGCTAGCACGACCGTCCCCATGATCAGAGGAATAATGATTAGATCGATCTTCCATAACAGTTTGCGTGCCTCGGCTGGCGTGATGGGTTGTGCCACCACGGCTGGGTCTAACTCATACAAAAATTTGGCGGCAACATCCACATCGTGGCCGTGATGGTTTGCAACCAACCCATCCACCTTAGCGGCCTCGGCTTCGGCCTCGTGAGCCGAGAAGTGGCTCATGTCTGGGGTTTTCTCCATGGTATCGCTAGTCATACTATTATGAGCAATGAGTATTTAGAGAAGTACTCTTATAGTGAAGACAATGGGAAATCAAGTCCCGAGTAGTGGCGGCATGAGCAAGATATAGGTAATCCGGGGTAGCTCAATCGAGATAGCCAGAGATTGTGAGATAGCATTAGTGCTGAAGCACAGACACCTCAACCAAAGCATCCAATACAGGAGACACAAGAGATACCAGGGCGCGAATACATAAGCGTCATCGACATCGCGGCCACGAACATTGATAATCATCTGCTTAAGGTAATCGACGGTGGGATGAAAGGGGGTAAATAAAAAGCGGTGGTGGTCGGCAGGAAGGTCGGAGCGACTTCCTATCAGAGTGGGCCCTGCTTATAATCTTACTCCAGACATCTTCACTTTTTGACCTCAAAAATTCCTAGGATAATTCATTCCATCATCCAATGATTTGACCATTAACTGTACCCCTCATTTATCGTCTAATCGCATCCAATACCACTGAACTTTGAGCTATCAAATCTCCGAAAAAGGCCTTCGGAACATGTCCGAGCTAAGCCGACCCTATTCAACACTTATCAGTCCCGCTTGCTTCTCCACCTTGACTGCGTGGGATTTCTTAAGAATTATGGAATCGTGTGAGGAATTACCTTTCATTCGGCGCCAGGCAGTGACATGATAGCACTTGTGTCATTCGTCTAGACCTGCCCTACGCGCTAGTTATGCGTCGGCATCAGACAGTAAGAAACCGACGAGATGAAGTCAGCAAGTAAGAATATAGAATGGATAATTGATTACTGCAAGACAGTAAGTGAGGGGTATATTTTTTTGTGCCAGTAGACTGATATACAGACTAATTTCCCTCTTTTCGATAACTGCGGTTTGGGAAGAGTAATAATCTGATATACTCCATTGTCAAAATGGCCCCTCATCATCTAGAGACCACTGTCGATGGCCTGAATATAAAAATAGCTATAGGTATGTCTCTGTCAACTAAATACCAAAACCCGACTAACAAGTTACTGTAGACCGAGGTGGTACTTTTACAGATTGTTTAGGTATTGCTGAAGGCCGGGATGATGACATTGTGGTCAAACTTCTATCCCAGGACCCTTCTAATTATGCCGATGCGCCAATTGAAGGTATTCGCCGCATTTTGGAACAGGCTACAGGGAAGTCGTTTCCTAGGAGCGAGAAATTGAACACTAGCGATTTCTCCAGTATTAGTATCCGAATGGGCACGACTGTCGCCACAAATGCACTTTTGGAGAGGAAAGGGGACCGAGTAGCCCTTTTGATTACGAAGGGATTCAAAGATGCTTTACAAATTGGCAATCAGTCTCGGCCTCATCTATTTGATCTCAATATTCGGAGACCAGATGTTCTATATGAGGATGTGGTCGAAGTCGACGAACGAGTAACCATCGAGGACTACCAACAGAACCCAACTCCGGACCGAGCTGCCCTAGCTGCTTCATTAGAGTCGGATCCACAGCTAACGCGTGGTGTCAGCGGTGAGGTTGTACGAGTTTTAGAGAAACTGGACGAGAATAAGGTCCGAGAAGATTTGAAGAGCTTATACGACAAAGGCTATCGTTCAATTGCAGTCGTTTTGGTACACTCCTACACATTCCAAGGTAAGTTTGCCCTATTGAACGGGTGAATACAATTCGGTATTAACATTCGAAGACCACGAGCTGGCCATTGAACGAATTGCTAAAGAGGTTGGATTTCCAAGTATATCTCTTTCTAGTCAACTACTCCCTATGATCAAAATGACGTCTCGTGGAGCGTCTGCAACAGCTGATGCGTATTTGACGCCCGTCATTCGGCGATATATTGACGGATTCCGCTCTGGTTTCAAAGATGGATTGCGGTCGGAAGATACTCGATGTGAGTTTATGCAAAGTGATGGCGGACTGGTAAATTTTGAAAAGTGAGGTCGCATCTGATATTCCCTAGGAATAGAAGCTTACGTATCACAGATTCTCCGGTCTACGAGCCATTCTATCTGGGCCTGCTGGTGGTGTTGTGGGCCACGCACGTACTTCTTTTGATCCAGCTGACCCAAAACCAGTTATTGGGTTAGTCACTGTCAAATTTTTACTTATTATATACTAACCGTGTCCAGTTTTGATATGGGAGGAACTAGTACCGATGTATCTCGATACGACGGAAAGTTTGAGCATACTTTCGAAAACACCACTGCTGGCGTAACCATAATGGCCCCGCAGCTCGATATCAACACCGTGGCTGCTGGAGGAGGTAGTATTCTATTTTGGAGACATGGCCTATTCGTCGTTGGCCCTGACTCAGCTGGAGCTCACCCAGGGCCTGCATGCTATAGAAAAGGCGGTCCATTGACAGTAACAGACGCCAACCTATTCCTTGGAAGATTGCTTCCAGAATACTTCCCGAAGATTTTCGGCCCAAACGAGAATGAACCGCTCGATGTGGAAGTCACCCGACAGAAGTTCACGGAACTTGCCCGCCAAATCCAAGAGGAGACTGGCCAAGCAAAGTCACCGGAAGAGATTGCCCTCGGCTTTATAGAGGTTGCGAACGAATCTATGGCCAAACCGATTAGGGCATTAACAGAGGCTCGAGGATATGAAACCTCGGCACACAATCTTGCATGCTTTGGAGGTGCCGGTGGACAACATGCCTGTGCTATTGCGACTTCATTGTCGATTCAGACCGTCATCATTCATCGCTACTCGTCGATCCTCTCTGCGTACGGTATGGCGCTGGCTGATGTCGTCCATGAGGCACAGGAGCCGGCGTCAGGGTTCCTCGAAGAACAATCATTGGAGGCCCTTCGGGAACGCATTCAGGTTCTCAAGGCCAACGTTCAAAGCGAGCTTGAAGCCGAAGGCATACCTACCGAGCAAATTCATCATGAGGTTTACCTGAACCTACGCTACCAGGGCACCGATAATTTGCTGATGATCCTGGATCCTGAAGACGGGGACTTTGCCGAGGCTTTCATTCGAGAGCACAAGCGAGAGTTCTCATTCACATTCCCCGGACGTCCCATCGTAGTTGAGGATGTGAGAGTCAGAGGTGTTGGGAAATCACTGTCCGTTCCACCGGAGGCGCCTCAAGCTGAATTGAAGGCTGCCAAAGCCGTGTCGATCGGAACTGACAAACAGGACGACAGCACAGGTGTTTACTTTTCCGGAATTGGACATGTCACAACTCCAGTATTCTTCTTGGGAAACCTGCAATCAGGAAGTCATATCAATGGTCCTGCAATGATCATTGATAAGACGCAAACCATTGTGATAGAACCGCATGCCTCTGCCACAATTCTATCAAGACATGTCATCCTAGACGTTTCGCCGCAAAAGAAGCGTGCCCCTGGTGAAGAATCAACTTTGGTCGTTGATCCTATTCGACTTTCGGTCTTTGGATACCGATTCATGTCGGTGGCTGACCAAATGAGCCGTATGTTTCAAAAAACTTCAGTTTCCACAAATATCAAAGAACGACTTGACTTTTCATGTGCTGTTTTCTCTCCTGACGGAAAGTTGGTGGCAAATGCCCCTAATGTTCCAGTACATCTTGGCAGTAAGTCCAGTCGCGAAATTATGTGTTGTATGTGTACTAACAGGAATAGGTATGGAATATGCGGTTCGGTATCAACATGAGCAGTACGCTGGAAAGCTACGGCCTGGAGACCATATTTGCACAAACCATCCTTTGGCGGGAGGAACGCACTTGCCTGACATCACAATCATTACGCCTGTATGGGACTCGGAAGGCAAGCAGATTATTTTCTATGTCGCGTCAAGAGGACACCATGGTGAGTTTTACACAATCCACACTAAACGAGGGCTGCGTTTCTAAAGTCGAGTAGCCGAGATTGGAGGCATCCAACCAGGCTCTATGCCCTCCAACAGTCGACTCCTCTACGAGGAAGGTGCCATGACAATGGGTTTCAAAATTGTTTCTGAGGATCGGTTCAATGAGGATATCGTGCGCAAGTTCTTGTATGATGAGCCAGCTTCCTACCCTGGTTGCAGTGGTACGCGTACCTGGAACGATAATGTATCGGATTTGAAGGCTGCCATTGCTGCAAACCAGAAAGGAGCTACTCTACTTCGCGGCCTGGTGGAAGAGAACTCCCTACAAGTCGTGCACTTCTACATGGACGGTATCAAGGGCAACGCCGAGATTGCGGTGCGCGAATACCTGAAGAAAGTTGGCAAACAGACCGGGGGCAAGCCTTTGAGATTCTTTGATTTCATGGATGATGGAACAGAAATCCGTTTAGAGATTAGGATTGATTCCGAGACCGGGTCGGCGGACTTTGATTTCACTGGCACTGGACGAGAAACGTTCAACTGCTTGAATGCACCAAAGGCAATTGCGCATTCAGCCATCATATACTCGCTTAGATGTCTAATTAATGTCGACATACCCCTTAACCAAGGTTGTCTTGCGCCTTGCAACGTCATTATTCCAAGCGGAACACTTCTCAATCCGTCTGGAATGGCAGCCGTGTGTGCCGGCAACCCAATTACTTCTCAACGTATCACGGATGTGGTGTTGGGTGCCTTCAACGCTTGTGCTGCCTCTCAAGGATGTTGCAATATTATATCATTTGGAATGGGTGGTCAGGACAAAGATGGAAACGTCGTGCCGGGTTTCGGAGTTGGAGAGACGATCTGCGGTGGTTCAGGAGCCGGTCCAAACTGGCACGGCACATCGGCGGTGCATTGCCATATGACAAACACACGCATTACAGATGCAGAAGTCTATGAACTGCGTTATCCTGTCATCCTTCGGCAATTTTCTATCCGCAGGGGCTCTGGTGGACGGGGCCAGTACAACGGTGGAGACGGATCAGTCCGTGAGCTAGAATTTAGAATCCCTTTATCAGTATCAATGCTCAGCGAGCGGCGAGTTTATCGGCCTTACGGTATGGCAGGCGGCGAAGCTGGACAGGCTGGATTGAATTTGTACGTGAGAGAAGAACGCGACGGTTCTAAGCGTGTCATCAACATAGGAGGAAAGATGGAGCTGAACGTCCGGCCGGGTGAACGGGTCATTATCAATTCGTATGTTTCCTTCTTATATAAAAACTTCATGAATTTAAAGCTAATCGCCTTCACAGACCTGGAGGTGGCGCCTGGGGCTCCCCCAGCGATGCTGTGGAACCAACCGCTGGCAACTCGGCGAGGCAAACTACTGCCTTTGAGCCTCGCGGAAGTGTATATGCATTTACAGCGATGGCTGAGGCAGCGCAATAGTCTCTATAGTATGGTAGAATGACAAATGAATCAGCCCTGTGTAGATCAAATCTTCGACCATGCGTAATGCGCCACGGTATAACCCTAACTCCTAACACAACCCGAGTAGCCTCTTGATGTCACCTGGGTATCTGACGTCATATCAAAACCGATCTATATAAACGACTAAACTCTCTTGCCTCTCACTACTCTCATAAACACCACCAAACACACTTTATTTCCCACGAGTTGCATTTAAATATCTCTATCTAAATAAACCAAAATGCCAACATCTTCCTCATCAGACACCGGCGCAACCGGAGCCGCCAAATTTGTCACCTCTACCCTCGGTAACACCGTCGGCGGCCTCTCACGAACAGCCGGTAACGTTACGGGCGCTGCTTCACGCGGACTCGGCGATACAATCAACAATGCCGCCGGCAACGCTGGCAGACCGGTGGGCGATGCACTGGGGAATCTGGGCACGGGAGTTGAGAACGGGGCGAATAATGTCGCAAAGGGGGTTGAGAATGCGGGACAGTGGAAGTCATAATCTTATCATTCTCTTTGGAGAATGAGATGAACGAGATTGATGCATGGAAAAGCGGCTTTCCTTTGTATATTACTATAGGATGTTTCTTGCAAGGTTGAATGATTGAATGACTTTATTTCTACGTTTCATAGTATACCATTTAGAATGCGGTTCTATTAGGTAGTGGTTTCGCTCACTCAGTCCGGACGAATTCGAGCGAACAGTCAAAATGCCGAATCAAGAATGGTTATCCTGGACAGCCGGGTATAAAAAATGCGCGGCCTTGCAAGCAAAGTTATGTATGCTACCACGTCTTGCAGCGATCCATATAGTTCATGGTTCTTGTGGTTCAGCTTCATCGGAAGGAGAACTTACCGGCATGATTTTCGCTAGGAGTAGTTATTAGTAATCAATAATAAGTTAAGTTAACTTAACTAGTCAGTACTTTATAGTTAGCTCTCTGAAAGTCTTCGAAGAAAACAAACACTTCGTCAAATGGTATAAGACAGTAGATATCACCACATTTCAAGATTGAGAAATGCCACCAACTCTCTTCTACGGCACCGCTATCTTCGGCACTCCAACCATCCCCTCTCTCACCGAACCAGAAGGTGTCTCTAAACTCCTCGACTCAGTTCACTCCCTAGACATCACTGAGCTTGACACTGCTGCCCGCTACCCACCAGACAACACTGGTGGATCCGAAAGACTTCTCGGAGCAACCAGGGCCGGCAGCAACTTCACTATCAACACAAAGGTACTAATTTCTGGGACTAGTGGAGATGGCTCGTTGAGTAAAGATGCAGTACGCGCAAGTGTCGCAAATAGTTTGAGAACACTGGGCGTGTCCAATGTTGGGATCCTCTATGCCCATGCCCCCGATAATGCGACTCCGTTAGAAGAACAGGCGAAGGATTTTAATGAACAGTATGAAAAGGGATATTGTGAGAGAGTAAGTAACTATGTCTGATAAAGACATTTCGCAGATATTCAGTGCTAATTCTTTAAACAGATCGGTGTATCCAACTTTCCTCTAGATATGTTGGAGAAATTTCTCAAGATTTGCGACGAATGCAACTATATCAAACCGTCTGTCTATCAGGGGGAGTACAATCTCATCCGCCGTGACCCCGAGGAGGCCATTTTTCCACTATTACGCAGACACAAAATTCACTTCGTCGCTTACTCCCCGCTGGGAGGTGGCTTTTTGACCGGTAAACTCACAGCTGGAAACACGGAAGGAACGCGATTCGACGGTCCACTAGGGCAAAGATTCAAGGCCCTATACGACAAACCAGAGCTTCATGCCTCGATCAATGAGTTGAAGCGCATCACTGAGCCGTTGGGAATCAGTCCGACGGCGGCTGCGTTGAGGTGGCTTGCGCATCATTCGGAATTGCGACAGGAGGATGGAATTATTCTCGGGGCTAGTAAGATTGAGCAACTGAGGCAGAATGTGAAGGATATTAAGCAAGGGCCGCTGCCGGAGAGTGTCGTTGAGGCGATTAGGGCTATTAAGGTTGCTACAACCGCATAACCCTGATAACCGTAAGTTGTGGAAGACGGTGTTTGCGTTCGGCTTTCACTTTAAAAGTAAATAGACACCACAAGTAATTTCTTGACTGTTTATAAATGAAATAGCCGGCTTAACGAATGAATGCTGGCCTCCTGCATCGCCTAACGCCTACACCTCTTGGTCAGTAGGTAATCAAATCAACAGGGAGTTTAGACCGATTAAGAACATGATAGATGACTGCGGGATGCTAAGAGTTCTCGAGGTCCTTTAAGATATCGTTTCATGCGGGACATTGAATCTCAGTATATATCGATCATTGATCTTCTCTCATTTACCACCGAAAAGCAGATGAGAGATACAAATGACGAATCACTAACTAATTTATTTACTACTTCTACACTTGCAATCTGCAGTAAAGCACCGGCCGTCATTCTCTGCGCAGGAAAAGTCTGGCTAGACGCCAATCGAAGGCATTGCAAGGGCAGTGCATGAAGGCTAGAAACCAAAGGCATCGGAGAAACATTCGAGAAATATCCGCACGCGGAGCTGCTTGAAACCGATGGGAAAGCTTATTCGAATAAGATGTGTGATTAGGTTTCATCCAAGCTATGTGATAATCCACCATCCGGAGCGGAGCTGCTTAATTCAACTTATCATCTTGATTGTATCTCAGACATGCGGCATATTGAGAAATGAATGGGAAGAGCAGCAATGGATGAGCTATCTGAGGATCAACTACCGCGATCTCCACAGAGAACAGAAGAGGAAACTCAGATACTCATCCAAATTTGCGCGGAATATTACGGTGGTATAACAACTAAGATCAAGTATACTATCGCGGAAGTAGCAGAGTCGTACGTTGAACCATACGACAGACTGCTTCAAACTGGTCTTAGCAAGCTTTTCAACGACACCAGCCTTTGTTAACGTGGGATGCATTGACTAAAGGTCGGAGTGATGTCGAAATGCGCTGTTAATAAAGATGATAAAGCCCTAAGACAGGCCACGGAATTTACGAGGACGCTCAATGAGTCTTCTTGGGGCCGTAGTGAAGGATGGTTTGATTGTGCAGAGATCAAGGACATATTACTAAAGGGACTAAATAATATTGGACACTGTTTTTTGCATTCCTCAAGCGACAGTCCGGTTCTTGATTTACAAAAGGCCGGTCTCTGTTTTCTCGAAACCGCAAAGCTATCGAGCTGATCTTGTGGAGGTTAAAACCCAAGACCTTCGATGAATTACTAAAGGATGTCATATATGGTTTTAGCAAAATTGAGAATATCATAACAGATTCGTTTCAAGTGAACTCTAGCTACAGGTCAGATGTGTGTTCATTGTGCTTGGCATCATTGCCTCGAATTCGGCTTCTCGATGTCTGAAACCAGGAGTTTCAATCACAACAGAGCAACTAAGTACATATTTATACTTTAGTTAGCGTCTTACAACTCCTAGGCATTGCCTATAGCTATGCATGTCTGGGTAGAGTCGAATGCTGATACTCATCGTCGTGTTCATCCTCCTCCGACTCTCGAATCCATCTCTCATACTCCAACAATCCAATCTCATTCCTCCACGCTCTTCCAGATCTAACATCTGCCGAAATCGCGTACAGAATAGCAAAGACACTGATAACTCCTACACCAATCATTCCTGCACATATCTGATATCCGTACTTGTAATGTGGTGCATCCAAAGCCGGGAATAGCAATACCAGAGCCCACGCGTTGATGGCATAAATGAATGTGTTTCCGATAGATACGATGAGTCCGCGGAGCGTAGCATTTCCCTGGCATACCTCGCTCAGCCAAGTCATTGTTAATGACTGTGCTGGTAATCCAGTGGTGATGAAGATGTAGCCGACGAATTTTAGGGCTGTTGGAGCTGTCCAGACTGCTAAAAAGCCATTTCCCATAAGACATATTAACTACTTCACGTTTAGTATTCTCAGCCTAGTGTTTCGAAGGGCGAATAGAAGGGCAATTACCATGTTGATGATGATCATTAATGGTCGGTTCTCCAACCAATCCGAAATGAAACCGCTGACAATAGAATTGACTACAGCAGCACCTTGTCCAGTCGTCGGAATATTGTTGATGTTCTCAACGCTGTACTTGTTGAGTGACTGGAGCCAGAGCGCAAAGTAGCTGTCACCCCAGGAGAAGGCACCGTAGAAGCTGTTACACGTCAGTGACCTGAATAGCATTTAGTACATGACAAGGGCCGTTACACGTAACAAATGACAAAGAGATAGACATGCCAGGTCTTCCATATACGTTTGAAGCGGGCCCAATTGACCTTCTTCAGGGGTTTGCGGCCTACACGGTCCATGCGCTGCATGGCAATTGTCCGATCCTATCCATTGGTCAATATTATCTGGAGTTCAGATCTACCTAGATTCAAAATGTGAAAAGAGCATACGCCCGAATTTAGCCACCATGCTCTAGTATCCTTTGGCTGGTCAGGAATTGCCCAAAACCCCCAGATAGCAATTGGAAGTGAGATGATTCCATCAAAAATGAAAAGCCATCTGTATATTACAGCATTGTCAGCATGGGGTTTTGCAAAGTCTTCAGCCTTACAGTTTGCAGATGTTACCTCCAACTAGCCATCCTTCTCTCATTCATATGTGCATATAATCCGGCTTGAATATATCCACTAAACATGCCCGCAACATTCTGCGATACCTCATATATCGCCATCCTTTTTCCGAGTTCGGCAGGTGTATACCATGCGGCAAGCAGAGAAGCAAAACCTGGAAATGCGATAGCGGCAAAGAACCCAATGAAAAATCGTAAACCGTAGATAGTTTCGTAATTTTTGGCACCTGCTATACCCATGACTAGAATGGACCAGCAGAGTTCACATGTTGGCATGAGGATGGATGGGCGGACGTGTGTTGATAGGAGTATGAGGGGAACTGTTTGTGGTGTAAGCAAGTTGGTTCCCTGCTGGGGACCTGAGGGAGCGTGTATTTACCGGCTCCAACTATGATGCCACAGTTGAACATGGTGCTGAAAATATTCAATTGATTACCATATAGGTGCAACTGTTACCTGTCAGCATTCCACGTATATCATGTACAAGAAAAGTATAACGAACGTCTGTTTGCATTCCCGAGACATATGCATTACTATCTTGATTAGCAAATCTCTCAACCCCCAAGGCCGAAGAGCCAACGTACGAGATATTGGTATTATCAAGATTCTTGATAAATATCGACAAAGCCGTATACGTCCTAATATCATGTATAAGATCAATATTTCCATACGCAATGAATTGCCAAAATCGCAAATCTCACAGGAGAACCAGATCCAATTTTCGCTTAACCGTCGATTCGGGGTCGCGATTGAAATACGATGGCAATCGTATCCCACATATCCGGCGAGTATATTGTCTCTTACTAGGAAGGACGTTGCGGTCATTTTCATGATTATTATCTCCTTCTAGATTGTTATTCACTGCCGACGTTGGCTTTTTCTCATCGTCGCCTGTCATCTTGTCTGCAACGTTGAAATTTCCCGGGCCCTTTATCCCCCGCTCACCCACTTTACAATTCGTTTCTGCGGGTGGTTCTTAAAACATTAATATTACCGCAGGGATGGCTTGGTGAGTATGGAAACGATATAGTGATCAGAAAATCGACATCATGTTCTAAAAGAAAAGTGAACACAAAACAACATCTGATTCGCAAGCGATGGAGTCACAATCGATAAAAAATCGGATATTAGCGTCCAGACAGAGAAAAGAATCAAATACGATCTGTTTCCCTAGTAGACTTTATGATCGATTCTGATTGACCGCTTCCACATCGGTGTAACAGGCAGGCATCTCTATGTCGATCCCTGCAACGGATTCCATCCGGAAACATAACGGATGCTGAAAAGAATCCATTTGCCACCGACTTGAGACACAGTTTCTGTTCGACCCGTGTAGTTATATAATGGATATTGGCCGCTTTCGAGTCTTATGGCCATGAAAAGAACGATCTTGACTCCGAAGAGATGGACAATATCAACCACTTGCCTTTTACGGCAAGTCAACAGAAATAGAGACTAGGACATAATAGGCTAGTCGAAGCGGCAGTCCCACCTACCAATATGTTTTTAAATGTTTAATTGGATGATGGTACGCACTTTTCCACATTAGGGCATTAATATCTTGGTTTTATGGACTCACCTCGTTCTCGGAATTAACGACAGCCAATCATTTTATCTATGGGAAAAGTTAGCTAAGCTTATAGATACTAACTTAACTAAGTTAGTTAACGTACTCTCACGGGTCATCCAGACACCGCCCAAAATTCTCGCCTACGCGGCGCGTTTGCAAATTTGAACACGCAACAATGGCCTCGAATCACCACAAAAATGCCCGGAAGTCCGTTTTTCAAGAAAGAATGATTGACAAGCAATACCTAACTTCAAAAACAGAAAAATAAAAGGTCAGCGAAATGTTGCAAAGGTTTTTGGAGTACCAAAATCTACATGGCATGGAAGACTTCATGGTGTCAAACCACAAGCTGTTGCTAATGCTATGAAGAAGAAATTGACTGACAATGAAGAAAGACACTTATAAAACGGATACTTTCTTTAGACAAGCGCGGATATCCCCCTCGATCTGCAATGGTCACTGATTGGGCTAATTTTCTGCTTGCAAATCGAGACTCGAATCCGAGAAAGTAACGAGTTGGTGTAAACTGGGTCCACACATTTATTAGCTGACATCCTCAAATTCAAACTCGATATGCTCAAGAATATCATCACCAACGAGCTTTATGCGCAGATCCAAAGATATTGAGCGAGTGATTAGAACGAGTTCGGGCTACAATTGCTGAATATGGAATTGTCCAAGATGACATCTATAATTTCGATGAGACAAGCTTTACAATGGGTCTTATAGCAACTGCTAAAGTTATTACTGGCGCTCAAATTACCGGGGATCCTAAACTTACTCAACCTGGCCAGCGAGAATGGGTAACTAGCATTGAAACAGTCCGAGCAACTGGTGAAGTCTTACCTCCTTATATTATCTTCAAAGCACAACACAAGCAGGAGGGTTGGGTCGATGAGAATGTCAGAATTCCAGATCAGCGTATCAACTGCAGTCCTAATGGGTGGACTACAGATGAAACAGAACTTGACTAGCTTCAGAGCCACTCTATTCCACAGACAATGGCACGAACGGTAGGAATATATCGACTTCTGATTCTGGACGGGCATGGAAGTCATCTTACTGCTGAATTCGATAAGATACATGCAGAAAACAATCATTACACTCTGTATGCCTACACACGCTTCACATCTTCTACAACCTCTTGATGTTGCTTGTTTCGCGCCTCTAAAATGAGCGGGAAACATATTGCGATGAGATCACGACTTGAATTCCATACTGTTGACAAATGGGATTTTCTAATGGCATTTCCACGTGCCCGGATGGAGGCCTTCAAAACTAATACTATTTGCACTGGATTTGCGGCTTCAGGTTTAGTACCTCTTGATCCCCAGCGTGTCCTTCAAAATCCTAATATCCAAGTTGAAGGTCCGACGAAGACTCCAACGCCACCAGGCAGTACACAGGGATCCTCAGACTTTCAAAATACACACTATAACTCTCAACAGTTGCAACGCAAGGCAAGATTGGCCAAGAAGATAATTAATCAAGTATCAACAAGTCCATCAACTAGGGCTTCGACATCTGATGCCTTCTGCAGTAGCCTTGAGAGACTAGTACATGACTGTGCCTCTAGCGCAAGAAAATGTCGATTTACGTACGGGTTTCGCACAAGTATACCTCAAGCGAAAACGATCCACGAAGAAAATTGTACATCAAGGCTCTCTAAATGCAGAGGAGGCTCAAAGGTTTATTTGCAATGCGGTTACAGGTTCCTTTAATCGCTGAAACTGCGGCATCTGGAGAGGCAAGTGAGAGACCTCGCAGACGGCCTCCAACATGTAGTAATTTTCATATAATCGGTCATACAAGTACTTCATGTACTAATCTCAAGAAGTATTTTTAAATATAAAAATTTTTTTGTGTGGCATTGATAATCAAGCTTCGAATTAGATATCACGATATTTTAAGTGAGACTTTTGGAGCGGTGTCCGGATGACCCGTGGAGTACGTTAACTAACTTGGTAAGTTATTTGTTTAGCATCAAAATCCTGTCGTTGCCTCCTCAGGTCTTTGTCACGTTTTCACATCAAGAAGATAGCTACATACTCGGTCTCCCGACAGATTGGCGTCCAACAAACTTGGAGGGAAAGCATCGGAATCATTTCATTGGTCTTAAGTAGGGATTCGTGATCACGACGCTTCATTAGTATCAGTGATTTGTGCCTACATGCTGGCAAGATTGACCTAAAATCTTCATACAGTTGATTTCAAAATTTGACGATAAAGCAAATAATTACTAACATTGTCATTTTCAGTCCATTTTCCACCATTACCACTTCCTCCCAGTTATCAATAGCAAGCTCAACATAAATCACATTAAATATCACAAACAAGTCAAGTTTTTCCTTCAGGTTGATTCCGCCCTAGACTAAAAACAGCTAGAAAATGATTTCAAGCTGCTATTTTTTACTCGATCGACACTGGCGGCCATTGTGAACGAACACATTTGACTCTCTAGAAGATAGCAAGCGCAGCTAAGAGAGCAGCCACTACGGTACTTCCGGAATTCACGGCAACAGCTGATGCAGCACCGGTGAAAAACGGTGGTCGTGCCGGACCACTTGGAGCTGGGCCAGCAACGGGAGAAGATCCTGCAGGGGGACCTGGAGCTGGGCCAGCAACGGGAGAAGATCCTGCAGGGGGACCTGGAGCAATAGGGGCAGAAGGGAGTGGGGGTGCTGGGCTTGCAGCACCCGGTGGTGGAGGGCCTACCGTAAAGGCAGGATGCGCAGGCGCAGTGTTTAGAGGAGGGACGACATTTGGAGGAGGAGTCACATTTTCGACCGCACTTTCACAAGGCACTGTCACAAATGTCGTGCTCGTTGAAGTAGTAGGAGGCGCAGGAGACTCAGTACACTTGACACAGGATACCGTTCCTGTCACTGGAGGCGTCGCCGGAGAAGTCGTGTTGCATGGGGTAGTAGTAGCTGGCGGAGCAGTCGATTGAGGGCAATGATGGCAGGTTGTAGTATCCGCGGAAGTGGTGCTAGTCGTCTTGCAGGAAGATGCACTGCATGGAGCAGTGACTGTCGACAGTCCAGCGGAAGAGCTCGTAATCAACGGCTTTGTAGCCGTGGAAATGGTAGCTGTGTCGTTCAATCCTCGAGGATACGCATCGAGAAACCCTGCCCGGGCGTTTGCCAGAGCGCCTAAGCCCAAGGCTAGGATGATGTTGTAGTTGACCTTCATGGTTTTCAAATGAAGTAACTTTCCGTAGTTGAAAATAAATTCAGGCTGACTGCAGGAACGAGTGAAGCTATTATCAACGATAAAACCAGCGAACGAGCGTGGTAGTAGTAACGGTGAAAGTATGCAGACGGGTGCCAGAAAAGAAAGCATTACCTTTTTCTTTCAATTGCACTTCTCTTCTCGATGTTTCTTCTGGCGCGTCACACTCTCATCATGATATGCAAACCCGCTTCAATCCTAACTTCATTCGCAGTGTAAAGCTACCACAACGGTGATATACATCCCAGCCATCCAACATCACGCCTAGGAACCCGCAAAAAAACTTAATTGACTGTATACCGAAAAATGTCATTAATATCCCTGTGGGCGTCAGTCGAAATTATCTCAGAGACATTTTATCCTTTCTCTTATTGGAGTATTGGGGCTCTGCTTCCCTAGGAACAATGAACCTTGATCTCGTGGTACCAGGTCAGCTACTTTTCATTCCAGGTTATAATATTGAGCAGTGAACCAATGACCTCACTAGCGCACGGTGATACCTTTTGACTTTAGGTGAGCCACGGATTAATCGATATATGACACTGAGCTCTGAGACATTGGTTCAAAAAACAGTTGGCAATTATAGGCGTCGTTATAAGCAGATCGCGTCTGTCATTGATATGGTCGAAGAGCTTGCACAGGAGAATACTGAAACATAACGAATGCGAAAACGAAAAACATTTAAGCTTTTGTTGTCACCTCTCTAGGAATTTATGGTAGGTCTTAATTCCTGGGGTACCGATGGATCTCACATCTTTTCTACCAAAGGTCAACCGTCGCAGGCAGCTGCGCATCCGGTACAGACAATTACCAGCTCATTGCAATAAATCGACGATTTACTCACCGAATCTTCTTAGAACATACAAGCCAGAGAGTCACTCCTGCATTTACTCCGAATGCTAAATTAGAGAGCTCGTTCCTGATTCGAGAATGGGATTCCTCCCACTTCGTCCGGCCCCCTATATGGGGTTCCTGAGGACCCCTATAGTTCAAACCAAGCATGACCCATGGTGAGGGCAAAGCCTACCAAACGTTTCTGCAAATCTAGAACATAGAATTACACCCTCGCAGTCCATGAGGTCTATTAGTATGAGGTCATATTATTGTAGTGCATGTCAGACGAACCAGATTTTATCCTGGAGAATTCTTCTCATGGCATAGAGATCATAGCGTAAGTGGGTTATTTCTCAAGACTAGAAAGGTCAATTGATCTACCGAATTCTCATATGTGCACGGTCTTGTTCGTTAATACCCATATGCTCACATATGCCTATCTACATCGATTCATCCATATCTTACCCGGCAAATATACAGAAACTTTCGCAAACAGCTCATGACTCCCATTGCACATAAACCAAAGGAGTCCAATAATATCCCGAATCATTGATAGTGTACGTCAGATAGATCGCATTCTCCGATGAGTTCGCCAACAGGCCAGGGTGTGCCTGCAATGTATAAGACCAATTAATGTAATCGGCCGAGTAGAAATTAATAGGCCTAACCCAGGGGCCCTCTAGAGCTGGCGCTGTAGTAATATAAAAGTCCGGCGCGACACTAATACCTGCCTGTCCGATCCAAACGTACAGGTTCCAGACAGTAGAGTAGTAGAATGTACCCTGTCCACCTGCACCAGCGTTCGTGATACTAACACCAGTGCCGTCGACGCCTGGAATGGTACTTGTCCACGTACCGTCCACATAGTATTGATAGGCGGATTTATCAGCGACAGATCCAGCAGATACTTTAGCAAGGCCAACCGTACGTACGGCATTCTGGCCATAAAGGTATGCAACATCATTGACGACAACTTCACCGTAAACACCATAGGGCATTTCATCCGCTGTCCAGAAGTTCTCCTGGATGGTAGTCACAGTCGGAAGACCTGTTGAATCTCCATTCATATGCGGATCAGACTTGATTTCGTAGAGAATCGTGCCGGGACCCGGGTTGAGTAAAGTAAGACTACCATTAATGTGATCTTCGGAAATCCATGTATAGGCCGTTATCGCACCAGTGCTTGTATCCTCGTTTGTCACTAACGGTGGACTATTAGGCCAGAGCACATAGCGAGTGCCGTCGTCACAGGCGCCAGCCGTATTTGAGCTACATTCATCCGATGGGTAGGGGAAGAAAGGCTTTTCGTTATTCTTACCAGAACATAAAAGACCAGTTTCGGTATTTCCAGCGGCATCTGTCCAAGTTTGGATAAGTGGTGTGCTGTCAGAGGCGAAATCTGTCCATGATGATGAGCTTGAATAGATTGGAAGCACAGGGACACCTTTTGAGAAGGGTTGTGAGTCTCGACATGTCCACAAGGCCCGATCGCCGAATCGATCAGAACCGCATGAATCACGGTCAATCGTAGGGTCGGATACGTTACCGAGAACTCGCGGTGTTCCCAGCACAGTTGGGATAAAGTCAGCATTGACTCGTGTTCCTAGCAGGGCAACTGATGCCAAAGCAGTCAATGGGGACATGATGTCGTCTCACTGGTAATATTTGAGTTGTACAGTTTAAACGATTATTTTGGAATAAGCTTATTTTGGAATAAGCTTGTTTCAGGGCAACTAGAGAATGTGCAGTATTTCACTGATCTTCTTATGCAGGTTCCATTTGGGATAGATTGGATATCTCGGAACATCCAAAAACGATCATGCTCGTATACGGATCTTAGTATCGCCGGCATATCTTACAAGATTGTAATACTTATATCTTGTAGCTGAACAGCTTTGAACTTCAATGGGACTTAGTCAGGGATATTGGCAACGTGACTAGAACAACCAGTAACAGTTTATGTACCTAGCCACGTAGCCTTGCTACCAGTAAGATTTTAGTGCTATATTATTTCAACTTTGAGACACAGGATCCCAATCTCTAGTTATATTAATCCATAATTATGATGGAACATCGAAACATCGTGCCTATGAACATGTGTCTCGATCAATTTGGAGTGGTTCTAACAATAGACTTAACTTCTGAATATTCCTAAATATCGGCAGTATGACAACAAGTCGCTGAGTTTACATATGGAGATTTTCTTTAGGATTCTTGATAACATGTGAGATCTAAGCTGTATGGCTTGTGGGAGGTGACGCTTCGAATACAACATTACTAATCTCTTCTTGGAAAGTCTGAAGTAGGTATTGCGCAAGGTTGCAGCCTAATAGGCTAACTATATGTGCTTACGTATAACATTATAATGGCTAGTTAACTAACGTAGTACGTAACTCACCATATCAAGAACAAGAAATGGCGTTCTTCACGAGTCAAAGATATGATAGTCCCTTCGTAAGTCGAATGCCGCAAATCTTGAGCAGACCGTTCTACCTTTTTATCGAGGTACCTTGAAAATGAATCCCGTGTTCAATCGCCAGTATTACTACTTCAAGCCCTAAGTTGACTATGGTATCACATTTGAACCATGTCGACCTACCAGGCTAGTACGCATTTTCCCTTGGAGTTAGTATACGAGGCAAGGTGAGTACGTCTTTGCAAGAGTACATGATATCTGGATAACTACCGCAGCAATCGAGGATTTCGGGTCCGTGCAAGAAGTACCTGTACGACGCCATACAAAGACAGCCGTAGGACTCAATCTTTGACCTTTATATAAGGTATATATAATTGAACGCTGACAATCCGCCCCTCTTCTTGTTAAGTCATTAGGTCCATTTTTCCGAAAAGTTGACGGGAAATGCGGTTTTCCGGGCTTATAAAAGCGGAGTATTCTACTTTCGACAAGGCTATTCAGGTGCAGGTACTTCAAGTGTGGTAAATGGTTCGTTATTATGTCAAACACCGGTACAAAATTGCCCGGTTCTAGGGAAGTATGTGTTAGAATATCGCGAGATCTACCACGAAGAAAACAAGGACATTTGAACAAACCCGGAGACAAGTCATTCCCCTATTTTCAGCTAATCAGAGGCCTCCGAACACTATGCCTCACTTTTCATGAAACGTCATACATGATATCTCATATTGTCACGGGGAATGTACCGGGAATTGAGTTCAATTCCCGTGCCGAAGCACATACAAGAAAGCCATTTTTGTGGTATGGAAGACGGAAGACCTCAGACTACTCAATACATAGAATCTTGCTAGTCACTTCTTCCTTTCCCATCCTTGTAAGCTACTCTTGCAGCTATGTGGTCGATGTCCAGCCCACAGTTTTATTTGCAAAGTACTTCTTGTATACTCCTCGAGCAGATTTGGCGGCGATATTCCGTGATACCAGACCTAGGTCACAGACATATGAAAACCTAAGCAGACTGATAGCGGCATCTATGAGCTCGAGAAGGAGCTCGTCGAAGGCGCGCCGTGGTTTCGTCGAAGTAATGATCGAATGTAGTGGTTTGAGGCACTAGAATGAGGTGTAGAACCTAGAGAATGACCACATTGTTATCCAGCTGGGTAAATCGCTTCGTATTCTTCTACTGAAAAACTTTAATCGCAAAAGCAAACAAATCACGTAAAGAGTGACCATGGCAAATATTGACTAGACTTCAGCTTTCGAGCGGGCTTTCTTTGTTGAAATTGCTGCTGTACGCGTAGGCTTGTAGGAAGATAGCCTATCATTCGCATATGACCAGACACACTTCCGTAGCGACTGCCAATGGATATCCTGGATCTTGAACCGAGTGCGGCACTATCACGATCACAGCAAACCACGTCTAAATTGGAATTAGCTAGTAGCTTTAATTTAACAAGTACGAAGGCGACTAGTAAGTTGATCTGCAATTAAGTCGAGTATTCTCACTTTCTGAACCACTTGGATAGAAGCACGACAGCAATAATGCTCGATTAGATTTCAAATCGACTCGCCAGCAGTATGCTGCTCAGGTACTAAAATATCAAGCATTAGTCCAGCATCATACGGCTACACGCCGGAGAAGATTCTTTTGGATGGACCTGATTACCACGGTTACTGTTAACGACGCTCTCATCAATCTCACACCTAAACTCCTTTCAATGGTATAGTGTTGTATGAAACTGTATTCTTGACCCCGTTTCCACATCCCCATCACGACAAGGCCATTACTGCATTCATTCCTGGATGTAGCGTACAACAACTTCTATTAGAGGTCCATAATCTGGCAGTCTCTGTGGTTGTCACCTGTTATTTTTCAGCAACGTTGATAAACTGATTGACAATATCTCAAGGTATCCAACCCGTAGTTACAACCTCAGTTACGAACCCGCACCCGGATAACCCGGATATTCCTCCCCCCTAAATCCACTTTGCCCCTAAATATCTCGGATATCTAGGGTCTCATCATTGGCTAGTTACCGTACGAGTTACCAAAAAATAGAACATTCCACTCTCCGGAACTACATTAGTAGCATTGTTGACCATTGGAACTGGCAGTGATCTCTGGGTACAAATCCTCATCCAAATCCCAGGGGTCATTTGGTGAGCAGTCTTCTCAGATCTCACAAATCCAATGAGAACCAGCGGAGAAAGGAGGCATATGTGGACCGAGGCCTTCATTCCTTACAGGATAGCTATACCCAAGAGGATATCCGGGCTATTGTACAATACTGTTGGATAGGATGGAGAGATCAGGAAACTAAAAGCCGGAGACCTCAAGCCCAGGAATCATACCTTCATATAGCCACGGACTTTCTCTTTTCCTATTCCATGCTACTCCGGGGAGAGGACGTACGAGGCCTTCAATTCGCTGATATGTTCACTATTCAAATGGAGGAAGGCCCAACCCCATGTTGGCCAATGATTATTATGAAATCTCAAGGCAAAATCAATCAATTTGGTAATATTGAGTATATGGGGGTTATGCGACACAAAGAGCCTTTACTCTGTACGATCAGCCAAGCGGCATTCTATCTATTTTATCGATGGGAGTTCATGAATGAGCCTATTCCCCAGTTCTATTAGAGACAGCAGTGGTACGACTGGCACTTCTTCAAAGGAGGAGATATCAATAAAGCGATCTCGTACGGCACTCAACTAGAGTGGATTGACAGAGTCTTTATAAAAGCCAATCTATCGTCCAAAAAGAAGACTCACTCCGGACAATCAGGGAATGCTCGCCTTGCTGAATTACAAGGAGTAGATGAAAGCTCTATCCGAAGAGCAGGCCATTGGAATCAAGATAGTATGTCAAATTGCTATCTCTCTGGATTACCTCGGCCTTTTCTTCGTACATTGGCCGGATTCAATCCTCAAGACCATGGGAATTACTATATCCCTAGAGCTTCAATCTCTCCGCCAGAGAGCCTTGTACAAGCACTATGGCCCTGGGTTGATACATAGCTTTCTTGGTTTAATCTGCCTAATTTGTCCGAAGGCAATATGGATCCAATATTAAAGTTACCCCCCTTGCCGCCTCTTATCCAGAAAGGGGTCCAAAAGGTTGATCAAGATGATCTAGCAGCTCAAGGATTTCTTTGACTTCTCGTACAGCTCCGTACAGTCATTCTTCAAGACTTAGTCTTTCTCCAATTAGAATTCCCACACCATCCAATATAGGATCATCAGCTTTTCCAACGGCCGGATTACAAGCAGTTCGCTCAACAGCTTCTTCAATCTGTTCGTACAAGTGTCACACCGTACGAGGTACAGCTCCGGCAGACCCTGCCAATCTTGGCTGATCGGATTACTACTGCGGAGAGTAATCTACACCAGAATATAAGCTTGAATTCTCATCAATTACAGCATTCTTTATACTAACTGCATGATAAAATTGATGATCTTATATCTGGCCGAATCTCTTTCACCGTACAAGCCAATAGCTCTGAATCAGGTCCTAAAAATATAGCTTCAACTAGTGAATCTATACAGTTGACTACACATCCGGATATCCAGGCAGAAGATCTTCCTATCCTAGAACAGCCGCAGCCAATGGATGGAGCCTTTTTCACAGAGATGCCTTCATATCAGCTCTCTCGTACGATTCAGACTGTACGAGAGCTTTGGACTGAGTGGACTATAGGCTTGAATGGCCAACCGGCTGTTCGAATGCTTGAGGAACAGTATGGGGCTAAATGGAGACCTAATTCTAAGGAACGTGTTATATTTGGAAGAAGAAAGGTCATTATTGATGAGATCTATACTCATACGAAGGATGGGACTTCTCTAAACAAGGCAGTTGAGCTTATACAGACTAAGGCTAATTGTACTTTATCAGCCTTATCAAAGCTTCTTAGGGAGAAGCAGTCTTGATATTGTATATAAAGAGAATTGAAACTATTCGTAAGATTTAGTGCCTCAGTCATCTATTACTGCCTAGTCACCCGGCCCACATCAAACGCCTAGCTCCCACAAATCAACAATCCTCCTTCTTTCTCTCTCTTTCTCCTTCCTTCTTACTACACCAAAATGGCTCTCGAGTACGATATCCCCATCCTCATCCAGGCTTCATGCTCTTCAGGTAAACCACTATCCTCGGACGAGCAATAATGCTAATCAGATCCTGTCTGAATGAGCAGACGTATCACCGACCTCGATTTCGGCCGCGCTAGGCGAGCTCCCACCCTCTCCTTGAGGAATCAGTTGCTAGCTGCTATCCAACATCTCATCGATACTGCAGAACTCTAAGCTCCGTATAGCTAAGATCCCTCTCTTTAGATGCCCCATCTGGCTTTAGACCTCTGGTGCAGCGATTGTACACAACGCGCCGTACAAGCACTCCCTATGCGTAGACAAATCTCGTGGAAGACTAGAAGTCTACGAGCTGATCAAATTGTATCTAGTCGCAAGTCGTACATTAATGCTCTATTGATTTATTCTCGTAGCCTTGTCTGTGCTCCCTGTGGCTTGCGGTGCCATCCCATCCACGGAGGTAGGCCATTTACCCAGTGTGTCCAAATTCCTGGCAGCTGGGGTGGATGCTGCGCCAATTACAAATAGCCTGACTTTGCACGTCAGTGCTCCGTACGAGATGAGTCTAATAGAGCGCTATGAGAGCTCTTCCAGACCCAAGGGCACAGATTGAGTGGAACGCTGCCTCTAATGCTCAGCTGATTCTCATTGAAGATGTGCCTGGAGACTCGCAGGATGACCCAATCGATCTTGACCCAGAGGTTGGGTCTCAAGATAATCCATACAAGGTTTATTATGATAAGAACACTTTCATTTTCTTTGTTATCTGTCTTTCAATGTGCATTTCTTCCTCATGGTCGAGGCTCCTCAGGTACGTATAACTTTTCTTTCAACCTAGTCATACAGGGCCTGTGTACGACACCTGGACAAGACTTGCACCTCTACGTGGTGTTCAGGACTAGTAGCATTTACTGAGAAGCCAATCAAGCCATTAAGTTGGGGCTTAGTTTTAGATTTGTATAGAGATTGTATAAGAAAATTAAAGACCGGCAGAATTATATTTATGTGTAAGTTTCGTACACACTAAAACGAGACCCCCATATATTTTTTGGATATTCAGGGCTTGGCAGCAGGTTACATAACACACATATTAATATGGCGTAACCCGTGTTATAACCCACCAAATTTGACCCCCATATATCCACTAGATATTAGCAGATAACAGTCCTATGCCGACTCTTCTCCGAGAAGCCGATTGTTAACTATCACATCTCTATCGTGAAAAGACGTAGATTTGTCAGGATGTTGTATCCTTTTATATCCGAATCGCTTGTCTATATCCACTGCTTAGTTTGTTTTGTTTGCTCTGTTTGTCTTCCGCTACAAACATCAGTGACGTCATATAAGTCTCCCCATTGTTGACACCTCGTATTTCAGGCAGAAATATCGGCCATAGCGGACTTGCTACCTGAGGCCATAAATATCTCCGAAAAGCCGATCCCGTCACCGATCCATCTTTCGGATTTTGTGATGGATATAGTCGTTGTTCACCTTCACAAAAATGGAGCATATAGATATAAGAATGGAGAGAGTCTCCTTGGGCCATGGTCACTTTTGGGGATCAGATCACAATATCAAGCACATACGCGAACATATAATCTGAATACAGACCCTCTTTATAAAGATTTCCATCGAAAATATCTAACAACGTCAATACATACTGTATCAACCATGTCATACGTCGGAAAAGTTGTCCTCATTACAGGCGGATCCAAAGGCATTGGACGGGCTGTAACGGAGCAATTCGTCGCTCTTGGAGCTAAAGTCGCCATCAACTACTCCTCTGATTCCTCAGCGGCTGACGAGCTCGTCAAAACCCTGGGCGAAAACAATGTACTTCCCATCAAGGCTGATGCGGGATCAGTTGTCAGTACAAAAGAGATGGTCGAACAGACTGTGTCCCGATTCGGGAAGATTGATATATTGATTCCAAACGCTGGGATAATGCCTCTCGCGAATTTAGAGAACGTCACCGAGGAAATGTTTGACAATATTTATCAAGTTAATGTCAAGGGACCTCTGTTTTTGGCAAAGGTGAGTTTGCGCCCCGGTTTACCGTGTAAATCAGGATCGCTAATCAATATACATAGGCCGCTGTGCCACATATGCCTGAAGGGTCCCATATCGTATTCCTCAGCACATCGCTTTGCCATTCCAATACCATTTTGCCGCCTCAATTACTATATTGCTCCACCAAGGGTGCTATTGAGCAGATTACTCGTCTGCTATCCAAGGATCTTGCGTCAAAGGGCATTATTGTGAATTGTGTCGCTCCCGGACCGACAGCTACTGAGTTGTTTATGAGAGGAAAGCCGGATACTCTTGTTGACGCTATCAAGAAGCACTCTCCGTTCAATAGATTGGGAACGCCGGAGGAGATTGCTGAGGCTATTGTTTATTTGTCGGGGACTTCGTGGGTGGCAGGTCAGACGGTGAGGTGTAATGGCGGTATGATTTGAACTACTACTGTCTGTATATCGGAACCTGCAGTATATCATAGACACATAATTTTTAGAATACACGACGTATACCCTGGAACCCGACCTAGTAGATGCACGGAACATCACACGCGGAGTGATAGAACCGTACCCTAACCCTGAAATAAAAGCTCCATTCACGCACTACCTGTCGTAAACCTTGATTGACGGGCAGTCAGATCAGAGTAAACTCCTCACTGAACTAAGGTTCGGTGGTATTCTGCTAAGGAGAGTGTCACAAAGACGAGTATCGAGTTATACCAAAGAGACAATAAGAGAGAAGTAACTGTGTTGACTAGCTTAGAGTGATCCGTGTACAGTATGTACTCTTATTTATACCCTAGGTTGTACAGTTAATAAAAGACAGTAGAGTAGAACGAAGTACATGGTAAATAAGCGTCCTTATCTATCCATTCCTTAACGAATCCCTGATTAGTCCTTAACCCTAACTTGTCCTGGTTCGGTTCCTAGCTTCACGTTATCCTATGATAGGTAACCCTTAAGCTATACCATCTTAGGTAAGCGCGACAGTCTAGTTAGTGTTGGATTAGCTAAGCTGATTCAACCAATCAGATAGAGGAGATTTGTCAGCCAATAATAGCGAGCCACACACGGATCCACCGAATAGGGGGTAAAAGATATCTTCCACCTGGACTGTACTTAGAGACAAGAACAAGAACAACAAGGATCAAGGATTCCCACATCTTGTGCATACATAATTTGATACGTTGAGATAAACCGCTAGAGATTGTTACATACAATCTAACAGTTAGTTATTGGCTGTGACGTGCTAATTCTCTGACAACCAGTAGGGATAGGGATAGCCAGTACACAGTCAGAGTTGTTCAGGAAATATTAAGCGTAAGCTGATAAGCTAGCATTGCTTGTGTTAGTGCAATAGCGACATTGTTTTTTTTTTTTTTTTGGTTCTGGCATGCCTATGGCTTCTACTAGTCTCACTTCGCTGAGGGGTCTCATTTTCGCGTATGTGGAGTATTAGAGATGTGTTGTCGGTGTTACATATCAGTAGCGCAAATGGAAATGTGCAGATTCCGTGCTCTGTCGCCTGTCCGGGCTTATCTTGCATCATCATCAAATGGCAATCGGCGAATAAGCGATATATCAGGGGAAACAATATCCATTGCCCCATCTCACCATCCCACATGTGTGATCTATCTTCCGTATCTCGTACTTCGTCTGCCAAATAGTTGATGCCTTGAACCGTCGGCTGGACCTGAAAGATTCCTCGTGATTGTTAACCGGCCAGCAACGGAAAGCATGATAAATGTCCTTCCAAAACAAGATGGCGTCCCGCTAGCAGACGACGTTACATATGCTCCACAAGAAGAGGAAACACTCAGAATCCAGCGCTGCAGATTGGACGAAGCGATTGGTGGCGCTGGGATCGCCCCTGGCTGGCTTGGCTGCGAGTAGCTAATTTATGCGGGGATTCGATCGCTGTTATCTGCAGTCCACCGCTAAAACATGACTAATTGGCAATTGTTTGTGTTAGTTCTTGTCCAGGAAATTCACGCAATCAGCCTGAAGAAATCACCATCGATCCCTCTCGTGTCTCATATTAACCACACGAAGAAATGGATATAGTTGGGGTAGTAATCGGGATTTGCCCTGTTTGTGACTGATTCGATGGGCCTGGTTCTCATTCTCTCGTTCCTGGCGATCTTGCTTGGCGGATGGACCCTGAAGCTAGAACGAAAGATGATTGAGTTACCAGGAAGATTGTATGAGTAAATAATCCCGATGAAGGTGAATGAGTTGATAGTATCAGTAGAGAGGAATGAGAAGAGATGGAAGAAGAACAGAGAGGGGGGAAAAGAAAAGGAGAAGGAAGGAAGGAGAGGTTGAGCTCCTTCCCGATTAGGATGGCCCCGTTGCGCCTTGCTCCAGCCATCAGCAGCTAATCGCGGATCTTCAGTGCAACTTTTATTTCTTTTTAATTTCTGGCGACATCTCCATTAATCGAATCTACTTTCTTGTCTCACTTCACTAACCACATGGCGTCGGCGTCTGTCTAATTGTTTATAAATACGACTCCCTCCCCCTTCGCGAATACCCCTCTCTTTTCCCGTTAATTGTTGATCTCCGAGCTGTCGTGTCACTCGTTACTCCGATCACAGCTCACCATGAGTCGAAATCTCCTCGTTGGTGCTGGCCTGTTGGCCCTCGCCCAATTGAGCGGTCAAGCTCTCGCTGCCGCTGCCCTCGTCGGCCATGAATCCCTAGCTGCGCTGCCAGTTGGCTGGGATAAGGTCAGCACGCCAGCTGCAGGGACGAACATTCAATTGTCCGTCGCCCTCGCTCTGCAAAACATCGAGCAGCTGGAAGACCACTTGAAGTCTGTGTCAACCCCCGGTTCTGCCAGCTACGGTCAGTACCTGGATTCCGACGGTATTGCCGCTCAATACGGTCCCAGCGACGCATCCGTTGAGGCTGTCACCAACTGGCTGAAGGAGGCCGGTGTCACTGACATCTACAACAACGGCCAGTCGATTCACTTCGCAACCAGTGTCAGCAAGGCCAACAGCTTGCTCGGGGCCGATTTCAACTACTATTCTGATGGTAGTGCGACCAAGTTGCGTACCTTAGCTTATTCCGTTCCCAGTGACCTCAAAGAGGCCATCGACCTTGTCTCGCCCACCACCTATTTCGGCAAGACCACTGCTTCTCGTAGCATCCAGGCTTACAAGAACAAGCGCGCCTCTACTACTTCCAAGTCTGGATCGAGCTCTGTGCAAGTATCTGCTTCCTGCCAGACCAGCATCACTCCTGCCTGCTTGAAACAGATGTACAATGTTGGCAACTACACACCCAGCGTCGCTCACGGCAGTCGTGTCGGATTCGGTAGCTTCTTGAATCAATCTGCCATCTTTGACGACTTGTTCACCTACGAAAAGGTCAATGATATTCCATCACAGAATTTCACTAAGGTGATTATTGCAAATGCATCCAACAGCCAAGATGCCAGCGATGGCAACTACGGCGAAGCCAACCTTGACGTGCAAAACATTGTCGGCATCTCTCATCCTCTCCCCGTGACTGAATTCCTCACTGGTGGCTCACCGTAAGATTGTCTCCTCGCGCTTTACAAGAACAGATTGCTGACTCATTGACTAGTCCCTTCGTTGCTAGCCTCGACACCCCTACCAACCAGAACGAGCCATATATTCCTTACTACGAATATCTTTTGTCTCAGAAGAACGAGGATCTCCCCCAGGTCATTTCCAACTCTTACGGAGACGACGAGCAGTCTGTGCCGTACAAGTATGCCATCCGTGCATGCAACCTGATCGGCCTGACAGGTTTACGAGGTATCTCGGTCTTGGAATCCAGCGGTGATCTCGGCGTTGGAGCCGGCTGTCGCAGCAACGATGGCAAGAACAAGACTCAATTTGACCCCATCTTCCCTGCCACTTGCCCCTACGTTACCTCTGTTGGTGGTACCCAATCCGTTACCCCTGAAATTGCCTGGGTCGCCAGCTCCGGTGGTTTCAGCAACTACTTCCCTCGTACCTGGTACCAGGAACCCGCAATTCAGACCTATCTCGGACTCCTTGACGATGAGACCAAGACATACTATTCTCAATACACCAACTTTGAAGGCCGTGGTTTCCCCGATGTTTCCGCCCACAGCTTGACCCCTGATTACCAGGTCGTCGGTGGTGGCTATCTCCAGCCAAGCGGTGGTACTTCCGCTGCTTCTCCTGTCTTTGCCGGCATCATTGCGCTTTTGAACGACGCTCGTCTCGCTGCTGGCAAGCCCACTCTTGGCTTCTTGAACCCGTTCTTCTACCTTTATGGATACAAGGGTTTAAACGATATCACTGGAGGACAGTCAGTGGGTTGCAACGGTATCAACGGCCAAACTGGGGCTCCTGTTCCCGGTGGTGGCATTGTTCCTGGAGCGGCCTGGAACTCTACTACTGGCTGGGACCCAGCCACTGGTCTCGGAACACCCGACTTCCAGAAGTTGAAAGAACTCGTACTTAGCTTTTAAGTTGGATTTTATTTATGATCAACATAATTTTGTGTAAATAGATTATCGCTGGACAAACCCATCTTCACGACTGATTAATACCTACAAAGCACAAACAAGCTACTCTTGCTGCTATCCAGAGACGGAGACATTAGACTGAGTATATATAGATAAATAGCTAACTTACGGAGTGCTCCAGCTGATGACATAAGTACACCACTACCACTAGTTAGTTAACATACATGACCTATGTCGCACGGGAAATCGCTGCTTGGTCGGATGTTTCCTCAAAAAAAAAAAAAAAAAAAACGTTGTATGGTAGAGAGATATCCTGTTCCTCCTTCCTGCAAGTCCTAATTCACGAACACGTGCCTTCTCAAACCCTAAGTTTATCCAAATAGACAATCTCATCACTTATCATTTCATCTATCACACATTGCACAGTCTAAGCAGAAAAAGCGGCGATTAATTGATACATAAATTTAAGAAACCTGCCATCCAGACTTCCAATTCTTCTCCCCAAACGGCCACCCTACAACCTGAATGTTGAATTCCGACCCTTCCTCAATCTCTTTTGCTCGTATTTTAAGTTCATCCACATCCCAATTCGCCCAGAGGAACTTGCCCTTGAGAAATTTGGCTTCGGGGCTCGTGAGCCAGAGGTTGAAGCTTGCTGGTAGAGAGACTATTTTCAGAGTTAGTACACACTCAGTTTCCATAAACGTGAGGAAACATACCGTGATCCTCAAATCCCACCGCCTTGACACCGCCAGCCTCCTTATTCATATCCGTATTAACCACACCAGGCTGAACATGATACACTCTCATTCCAGCCTTCTCGAACTCGAATCCCAAACTATCCCAAAGTCTGTAAACGGCCAACTTGGCGACACTATACGAGACAAATGCAGGCGCAAAATTGAGGTGAGCGGCGGAAGAATTCGTCTCAACGATGACGGCGTCCTGGGGCACGGCATGGCGTAGAAATGCCTGTGCGACGTACAAGGAGCCCTTGATGATTACATTGATTGCGTCTAGGAATTGATCAGCATCCACGCTGCTGATGGGATTTAGGGGTCCGACAATGGCTGCGTTGCTGATTAGAATGTCTATTTTGCCCGGTTGATCGCCCCCGACAAATCGATCAAAAGCGGCATCGACTTGTTCTTTGTTCGTGATATCTGTTGGAGCAACGAAGACATCGACATCGCCGTTGATCTGCTCAATAGATGCCTTTGTATCCAGCAAGGGCTGTTCCCGTCTGCCCAAGAGTGCGATCCGAGATGCGCCTGCCTGGGCAAAATAGCGAGCTGTTTCGGCACCTATACCTGTACCACCACCGGTGATGAGGACAGTTCTACCCTTTGCTGAGAGTTCAGGGCGGGCTGGTGAGAGGGTTGGGTAGGTGGTTGTATGCCATTTGGCGGTTGGGGAGGGGAACGGGGCGGCCATTCTGATTCTCCTAAGATAGTGATAGGAAAAAAAATCTCAATTGAATAATTGAAACGGTGTGTGGTGGCTATTATTTGCTTAAGGAAGATGATATTTGATACTGTGAGTGATCGCTGCGTGGCTCATTTATATACTACCCAGATCGCACCAGTCCCATGGATACGTAATGTACCTATGTATTTCCCAGCAAATACAATGAATAAGCAATGGAGTTGCAATTTGAATGGAACTTACAGATAGCATAATTCCGTGCTTCTTTAGAGATAACATTTTGCAAAATTCCGACAGAGAATCTCTTTCCAACCTTTGATGGTATACAAATGTTCTCCGAACACCCAAATTACAAATTGTCCCGTCCGACGGACGAAAACGGCTCGCTGACAAATATGACAAGTTCAAGACGTTTCAAATCATTTACATCTCTCTTTAATCTCTCACCTCACCAAACCCGGCGTCATCGTACGTGATGGTCTAATTTGAATAAAAATGTATGATGCAAATATGCCCGTTTTGCGATGCCCGCAATGTAATAAGCCCTTCGATAAGCGTGAGTTGCATTTCGGCAATGATGAACGCTCCGAGTGTGCTAATTCTTTCATCTAGAATCCTCATTGAAACGACATGGCTATTATTGTCGATCTCGGAAGTACGGTGCTCGTGCTACTATTCGTCCTAGATCTTGTGTGTCTTGTGTGAAAGCCAAGGCTCGCTGTGATCATAGGCGCCCGGAATGTTCGAGGTGTCTAACCAGGGGCATTGAATGCCTTTATCCAGTGAGCACTCAATCGAAAGATACGAAGTCTAGAGTTCAGTCAGACAATATCATATCGAATGCAACGGAGTCTTCTGGTGTAGACAATCTTTTACAAGCAAATCCGACTATCGATGCAGATTCGATTCTCGACGACGCATTTGTCATGCCGGACACGGAAATCGCAAATATCGAAGAGCTGGATTTCCTGAACCCTAGCATCAACTTTGTCGACTTATTGTCCTTTTCGCATATGAGGAATGACAAGATTGATCCATTCAACTCAATAATGGCCTCTCCACCACTCGCTCAACAATCCTCGACTTATCCAAGTAACCAACAACCAGTACACGCCAATTTCTCGCCTCATTTCTCAATATCAATTCCATCTTACCTCCCTATCTACAACCCTCGATCACTTATTCAACGGCCAAAGATGAAATCCGAGGCACAAAGAATTTCCAACCTCATATTTCATACTTTAAAGTCTTATCCCCGGATGATACTCCAGCCCGAGAGTCTGCCACCATTTATCCATCCGGGATTGATGTCGGAAAGTGTTGTCGAAAGTCAAAATTTGGAGTCATTGCACAATTGTATTAGTTTGATGCATATGATGCACAGTCGGGTTCGGGGAAGTCGAAAGTTGTTTTGGAGGAATGTGCGTATGGAGTGTGAGCGGTTATGTGAAGAGGTTTGTTGAATATCACTATTCATAGGGAAATCGGCTAATTGCTGAATACTTCAGCATCTTAAGATGAATAACTGGGAGTTACTTGCTGCTATGCAAGCACTCGCGATGTACCTTATCGTCAGGTTGGAAGAAGGCGAGACGGATTATAATCACGTTGATTCTCTACTAGTTAATGCTGTAACGGTGAGCTAACATCTATACTCTTACGGATTTGACGTTGTACCTAACGATGAAATAGCTTATATCCAGACAATTCAACCGGAGATACACTATACACACCGCAGACTCCGTGTTAAGTGACTCTAACCGTGAAAGCAAATGGCACGATTGGATACTTGAAGAGTCCGGTCGAAGGTTAGCTGAGCCTTTTCAACATTCAAAGAGATGCAAATTACTGATTTATGTAGAATCTGCGTAATTTATCAAGTCCTCAACTTGCTGGTCTACTTCGAGCCAGCGGATATGTGCGACTCGCACAAATCCGGCTTGATAATTACACATTTGCCATCTAGAAAACAACTTTGGGAAGCAAGTGATGAGGTCGCATGGAAGATGGAAATAGACAGAGACAAGACCTCTGCCTCTTGCACTGAGACTGAGGGTTTATCCTCTACCGCTTTTGGGTTGACTGCAAATGGTGTATTGGTTAGACTAGATGTGGCACAAGGGCGGAATTATTGCAGTGATGATGCAGTGGTGATACGTAAACAGCAGTCCTTACTTGATGGCGGAGAATCTCGTCCCACTGCGAACTGGGAAGATTGGTGTGCTGGGATGGATGGTCTGGGGGGGCTCGTGATGCTTGCTGCTTCTTTATTAGGATAGTTCCTTCTAAGAACTGCAGTGTGCAATGCATTTCCATAGCTGCTAATTGGGCGCTTACTACGAGTGCTCTATTGATTGTCAGAAGTAATAATCTACATCAAGACATTATATCCCGATAACTGATCGCTACTGTAGCCATTTGATGTATCTCATCGTCTGTCGGGTAAGCGGGGAGTTAGGGCTTCTTCCAGTCTAGGTACAGTAGTACTGATCAAAACATTAAGACCTAAGAAAAACTGGAAATATAACCATACGATTCCTAAGTGTACATAAATCTATCACAAGTACAGAAGCGCATATAAATCACTTATCATTTACCTGGCAGGTCAGTGTCCGTTACTTTGCACCATAGAGTGTCGCCAACGTGGCATCCTTGACACATTCAAGTTCCCGGCTTAAAATCTAAACCCCAGAACAAAATCGCAATGAACCATAATCAGTCGCATGAAACAACCCTATCTAAATTCAGATGCTTATGGTGTAGGTGTACTATCTTAATAAAAGTCAAATGTCAGGTCTGATTGGCCGGAACTGAATTTAGATCTTAACGCGATCCTACTCTGTAATGAAATTGGTAAATCCACCGGCCCCTTTAACTGTCGGATGACTCTTGGGGGGGTGGGGGGGTCAGAGATATTCATTCACATGAGCTGGACCTGGTCAAGTGAGAGAAATAGACGATATATAGATCGCAGGCATTATTACATAGATACCTAAACGATATTTGTTCTTATCTCGTGTATAACATACTTAGCATTTGTGATTGATTTTGTAGTCCTTTCAACGAGGTATCTAATCAATTTAATCTCCCTCCCGGTCCAGTTAGATACCGATATTGCTGGTTATGCCACACGCTATACCCGTGCCGCCAAGCCCGCGACCACACGCTGCGAGCGTAGTATGTACTACCACCCAATATAATAAATCAACATTAAAGCACCCGCTAATGCAGGCCAATCAGCCCGGCCAGGTCATCCTGTGTTTGAAGTCTGTTGGTCTGCAACATCAACTGGTTAGTTTGTACTTGAGATAATAAGATCGAGCCCCTCCTTCATTAATTAACAAGTCCCTCAATTCTATGAGTACGTACAAGCACGGAGGAGCCCGTACCGTGTGTCAGCAGCCTCCCCAAATCCAGTGTATTCGCTCATGGGAATCCAGGTACAAGCGGAAATAAGAATTCGTGCAGTGGCACGTTGTTTAGCGCCTCGGATTCGTATGGGTAGACATTCCATAATAGTACTACGTACACTGATCCAGTCTATTTATCACGAAGCTCACGAGGTCTACTGCACCTTCGGGTGTAACCACACAGTAAGTATATGCTTCAAAGCCATGTATCCACATGGCGAATCTCTGTGAAGATTGAGACTATTCGAATATATAACTATCGAGACGCTAAGAAAATGTAGGTCAACTGGTGCCACATACTGCCCCCTTGCCGTTATATTATAGAGAAACGTGAACATTCCAACCCCTTCGCGAGCGGCAGCGTATGGAATTAACTCATGGTCTACCTAGACGGAGCTCTAGATGCCATATAAATTAGCGGGAAACATTCCTAAGGTAGTATGAACGGCTTCCTCGATACCTACATATAGCCGCAGTACTCTACATACTGTAGTCACATAGACGTCCTGATACTTGATAGGAGGGCAGATCATCTGGCATTTACAATTATCAATAGCTAGTGCGTCTAACCCCATGCCAATTTATTCTTCTACCCACCATACTTTAGCTACAGGTAGATAAGTACCACTCTATAAGCTTAATACACCTTGTACCTGGACCGCACGCTAGCAAAGGAAACGTTGCATCTTGTCTTTGCAGACCCTGAAGATTGCTTATCGGTTCGAGTGAGCGAATTTAGGTGTAATCATCATGATACTCGCTCCTGCTTGCTTTTTTTACCGAGCCCAGCGGGTCACCCTTTTAGTTTAAGCAAATGGATACTGTCACAATCACTTGATGACTGACTTTCTTAAATACCTACGTCCCTGTACTTATCCCGGTACGCGTAGTCGATTGGCAGTTACAACCTCACGAGAACTAACCTCAAAGCTAGCTACTGTATCATGTGTTTGGTTGCATTCCCCAACTCTATCGACACTGCATTGATCCACTTCAAGAACGACGTTCACACACGAAGATATGTAGCATTACAATCGTTATATCCAGATCCGCCAGGGTATTTAAAATGACTTCGTCCTTGTCTTCTTCAATTTTTCTGCCTTTTTCTTCCTCTCCATCGAGCCAGGCTCTCACAGCACACCCTCACATTCCTTGAATCTTTCAGGAGATCCTCGACGGATTTTCCTAGTCCTTTCCTTACCGACTTCTAGCAGTCGACCTGTACATACTCACAATCCTTTTACAAAATTTACCTTCCAACTGCGCATATTTAAATATACCTTGAAGCCAAGCCTTCATTTCATCATCTATATACAAGATGAATTCCTTCCGTGTGCTTTCCAGCCTTGGCCTTTTGGCCAGCTCTGTCCTAGCCGGACCAATAAGCATCCCCAAGCGCCAGACTTCAACTGGTCAAAATGTTGTTTACTGGGGCCAGAACGGTGGTGGGATTATCGAAAACCCTGATCTCGCTGCTTACTGTACCGGCAGCGAAGGTATCGACATCATCGTCCTAGCTTTCTTGTACCAATTTGGTAACGGCGTTACTGTTCCCGGAGGTTCATTTGGTCAAACCTGCTCTGTTTTGGCTACCTCTGGTACTTCACAGTCGTGTGATGCCGTTGCCTCGGCCATCACCACTTGCCAGAACAAAGGCATTAACGTCTTTTTGTCTCTCGGAGGTGGAGCTGGTGGTTACTCACTCACCTCTGTCTCTGAGGCCGAATCTATCGGCCAATATCTCTGGGATGCCTACGGTAACCCTTCTTCTACCTCCGTTTCTCGTCCGTTTGGTAACGCTGTCGTCAACGGCTGGGATTTTGATATCGAAAATGCTTCTGGTAGCCAGTACTATCCATACCTGATCTCCAAATTGCGTTCCAACTTTGCCAGTGACAAAAACAACAAATACTACATCTCTGGTGCTCCTCAATGTCCCATCCCCGAACCTAACATGGGTACCATGATCCAGGATTCCGAATTCGACATGCTCTTCATCCAATTCTATAATAACAACAATTACACTCACCCCTGCGCTTTGGGAATCAACGGCGACGCAGCATTCAATTATGCTCAGTGGGACAGTTTCATTTCTACCTCAAACTCTTCATCCGCAGAACTCTTCATTGGTGTTCCAGCTGCTCCTCTCGCCGCCAACGGTGCCGACACCGGATCAATCTACTACGCTACTCCTAACCAACTTGCTACTATAGTCAGTGCCACTGAGGGTAACTCCTCATTCGGTGGTGTTATGCTATGGTCCGCTGGTTTCTCTGACTCGAATGTCAACAACGGTTGCACCTACGCCCAGGAAGTGGAAACAATACTCAAGGATGGTGAAGTCTGCTCCGGATCTTACTCTGTTACCCAAACCTTGACGCCTGTGGCGCCTACGCCTTCTTTCTCCGGAACTGCTACCGGAACCTCAACTGCCACTCCTACTGGAACTCCAGTTCCTGAGTGGGGACAGGTATAGATATCCTATTTCCTCCAAACTTTATGATATACTTTTTGATTTTCGTGTCATTACATTTGTCTGGTGTTTCAGATTGTACTTTTAATGACTGCGATGAAGATGTGTATTTAAAACAAATATTTGGGACATGATTCTGATCAAACAAAACAGTGCGGTGGCCAAGGTTATACAGGTTCCACGGTTTGCGATTCCGGATTGAAATGCGTCGCTGAGGGTGCATACTGGTCATCTTGCCAGCCAGCGTAAGTAAGTTTGTGGAGAGGTTCTAAGGGCGACATTTTAGATTCTAGGGCGATAGTTCGTTGATACGAACAGCCTTTCTTCAATAGCCAACCCTGAAAGGTGAATAGAGTCGTCGTCATATCAATCGCTATACAACAGATGAAATCTCACAGCTATCATGATGCGGATACTTTGGGTATGCAGCTTTTAAGATCCGATATTGTAGCTATTTGAGAATAGCAGTGAACTTCTTTAGAAGTGATGAATTGAAAAGTGCAATGTCCAATCAGTCAAATCTCTCCTTGGCCGGGATCTATAGTTTCGAAATTCGAAAAGCCATAACTCCCTGAGTATATAATTGGCAGATACAGATAATGTTGGGCTTTTGACCAACTAGACCAAAAAGCTGCGCGCATACTAGATGATCTAGTATGGATGTAAATAGCTGGCAAAGGTGATATGTGATGTGAGGTGATATTCCCAACAGATAACAAAAACGTCATATGTTGATATCTCATGAACATGAACTCAAGTGGACCACAACCCGATAACATCTTATACGCCAATAGATGGTTCTTGATTCCAATCAAAGTTATTTATCCACCTCATGAACTCCGGATCCTGGTTCAACCAGATATCATCACTGCCCAGCCATTCAATAGGCATGGGGCTCATCTCTGCACTTGCGGGATTCAGTGATGCTGGAGGTACTGCGAGAACACGATCTAGAATACTACGAATTAGTTTCCGGGCATGTTGACAAATTTCGTAGTTGCCGGCTTCTCGTTGAATGGCGAATTCCAGGTCTCCGACAAATCTACTCAGATTCTGAATAACTTCAGAGCGAGGAAAACTTGGATCAGGATGAGGGCTTTGAGATTGACGAAGGAGTTCGATTGCTAGAACCCCTGCGGAAGGAAGTCCATAGAAAGATGTCTATGGCCCAATGAATTAGTACCCATGTACTGTACTGGCGGAAATACAAAAGGGGACTTATGTGAGAGGGAGTAGGACCTACATTCCAAGCCACTGTATTGTTGTCTCTTCCATCAGGAGCACGGTTTCCATTGAGAACAAGCAGATTGTTTAACATCTCATGGGCAATACTCCGTAATCCGAGAGATTCATGGCCAGTTCTCTTCACAAGAATTCTCTGCATAATCAACTCGTTGTACAGACACTCCAAGTGAAATATACGTGCCATCAGGTTCGACTCCGACTCTCCTATAGTCACACCATCAAGGAACTGAGAACTGTTAAGGCGTGGTGGCAATTTGCTACGAATCTCTGCCGCCAAGTTTGTGGTTTCTAGAATTTTTCTGTCTAAATCCTCGTGGCGGGAATTCAGAGACAATTCAAGCACAAGCTCCCTGACTCGGCCCATTTTGTACATTGCACGAGCGAATGTGATCCGCGACACTATACCCTGTGTGTTCCATCCATCCTGATCCAACCGTGCAATTGCAGCATCTCTGATTTCGGGCTCGGCAAGGAGTTCGTTATACGTAATGTCAAGAGGAAGATCGACATCAATATGTCGCCAGCTAATCCTTGGCGGACGTCCAAGAAACGTCGCCAATTCTTTATCGACTAAGTATGCTCCAAGCAAGAGTCGTTTGCGATGTTCGATGTGGAAGAACGGTAGCATCTCACTATTCTCTCTTTGATGGAAGCCAAGAGAGTAAACTAGCGTGGAAAGGTTGCCTAGAACTTTCCAAGGTTGGTAGTCTAAAGAATCTTCCGAGTTAGTACCTAGTAATAAAGTGTGACATGAATATAAGGCGCATAGATAAGTTGAAAGGCTAGAAGTATGAATGGCAGAATTTGCTCACCGTGATCGCCGTACACGTAGGTAAGTAGCGCAGCATGCGCAAGTAAAGCCCAAGAGAGCGGCTCAGACATCACGCCGGCATTATCACAAAATTTGAGACACTTTTCTCCTGCAGAGATGCTCACCAGTGCCAGACTTTGGCGGTCTACATTCGCCGAATTTGGATGTAGATTCATCATGTCAGAAGCCGGAAGAAGAAATGAGCTCGAGCCAATGATCGAAAATATTACGCCAATGACCTCCCATCTATCAGGCATGGAAATAAAGTAATCCTGTGGTGTCATATGCGCGTCGACACGGATGGTCTTTGAGCAGTTCTCAAATATCTTTTTGGATAACTCAAGAAGATCGGAGAGTGGATCAGATTCATCTCTGATAGCGTTGTTTAACATTTGTCTGACCGAAGCAAAGAGGAGTCGAAGAACAGCAGGCGCGAAAATGTATCCTTCACAATGGTTGAACTTGGATATTGACATGCGCTCATAGAGTGTAAAATCCTCGTACAGGAAGAGTAAAAGCTCCGCACCTACTTGAATTTCTGTATCATCGACCAACATTTGGTTACGTCTCAATGATTTTGAAAAGTCACGGAATGATGTAGTGACTGTAGGCGATTTGATCACTTCTTCACCCTCGTCATAGACCGCTGAATAGCTAGTCGGACCAAGTACTCCAGCACCGGGGGATGATACGGTCTTCTTCATCCAGTTGGCAATGAACCGCTCCCGTAGAGGCCCTTCAGAAACATGATGCCCGTGATCTCTATTCTGGTGGGACGATGATTTACTTGACCATGACTGACTCAGCGAACGATAAGTCGGAGCCGGAGTTCTGCTGGATGAGATCCTGGTATTGTTCCTAGGAGGATCTTCGACTTCTGATGATAAAATTCTGGTCATTGGTGCAGGATGATATACACATTGAGTCGGTCTCTTTCTACGCCGACACCGACCACAAGGAATTGAGTGATCACATTTGAGTTTAGATCTCCTGCATGGCTCGCACGAGCTAAGCAGGCCATTCCGACGAAGAGATGACATGGTGCTTCACGGAGTTGAAGCTATGTGAACGAGGAAGTCGGGGTGAAAAAAAGGCTTCAGAATTTATTGACGCCGGAGGTCGGGGTAGAATTCGGCGCTCGGAGTGTGGCCCACACCGTAATTTCAAGCTAGATAATTGGCTAAATGGGTATATACTTCTATTTCTCCCCATCGGCCAACAAGTCCGAGAGCTCGGAATTGTGATTCATTCGATTCATCATTATTGTTGCAAGGTGAAATGAACCTAGAGGGTTAGACGATATGCGCGGGTATAAAGTCTCGTAGATTTGCACCGTAGTCTAGGACGTCACTATTCAGGACAACTTCTACAGATAACGCAGCATCTTTCGACTCAATACCCCTCTTGTCAGCACTGGATCACAATCAAAATCAGCACTTAAATTTATATTAGCTCTAGTACAATATATCTTCGTCATGCCTAACGGATTCCCTAACTTCCGCTCCGTACCTGAGGTCTATCAGAGACCAAGACCCATCGTCAACCCAACGAAGAGACCAGTCAAAAGCTCTGCTGTGTCTTTCCAGAGCGATGCCGAGACTCTCAAGGATGTGCCTCAAAAAAAGAGCACACTGAGATCAATCATTAATGGTAAGCTAATCTGCTCGCGCGTGTTTGCAAGGAATATGTCTGACATCCACAGCTATGAATCACATAAAGCCCAAACAGTGACGGCCTTTATAGCTATCGACGCAATTGCCAATTGGTCTGTCAAGATTGAGATATTTTTCTAATACCCATGAAGCATTTTACCAGTTCGGGTCAATGTATATCACGTTCGGAGTACGGAGTTCGGGGTGGATACACTGCTGATTCATGATAGATTAGATTACTCTGAGAAGCATCGTGTTGTCCGGTATTGTTCTGCTTTGATTTGTAATTACTAATAAGAGGAAAATTATTGAGGAACATTTGAGAGCTTACCATTGGATTATAAGCAGGTTTAGTTGAATGTAGCATTTGAAAGTCGTAGTGACGTTGATATCGAGAATTATATTTAAGGAGAACCACCGACAAATTGTAGAAATGAATTTGCAGGATAGAAACAACGTATTATAGTATTTCAGCTTTCTTAATCGGCACTCGCCGCTCATATTACTTCCTCAAAGCGTCAATTATAGCAACAATGTCTCCACTAGTCCGAGGCACAACGGATGATATACAGCAAATTGAGCCTCAGGGCATTGTTTGTGACGAATCTCTCGAGAAAGGCAAACAGGGTTTGCATACGAATGTGGTGGCCGGCAATTCTGAGCCAACACCAGCAGAGAAAACCGGAAAGAAGCCCTCGTTCTATTTGGCCCTTACCTCATTGATGCTGGTTATTCTGATTGTATCACTGGATGCAACTGCTCTGTCAGTCGCAATTCCTGTAAGTCTACTTGATTCCGACCCCATGCACAGACAAGAAATATGACTAATATTTCGTCCATCCAGATCATTACTAGCGACCTGAATGGCACGTCGCTAACCGCATTCTGGGCCAGCATCTCCTTCATGCTTGCCGTGGTTATCGTGCAGCCCATCTATACCAGTGTCTCGGACGTCCTTGGTCGCAATATAGCTTTATATACTGGCTTCATTCTCTTCACTATCGGCTCAACCATCTTTGCTGTCTCCCATTCCATGCCAATCCTCATTTTCGGGCGTGTGATACAAGGTCTTGGAGGTGGCGGACTAGACGTGCTTAATGAAATCATCATTGCGGACATCACAACCTTGAAAGAGCGTCCACTTTATCTTGGTCTCATGTCTGTGCCCATGGCTGTTGGAAGTGCTATAGGTCCTATCCTTGGTGCTGTCTTCAGCGAGTATGTTACGTGGCGCTGGATCGGATGGATCAACCTGCCAATAATCGGGATATCAGCACCACTTGCAGTCTTTTTCCTGCATCTCAAACCCATTGAGAAGTCCATTATGTCGCGTCTGGAAAGTCTGGACTGGATTGGATTGGTGCTGTTTGCCATTGGAATCACAATTTTCGCACTTCCTCTCAGTTGGGGTGGTGCAATGTATCCATGGTCATCATGGAGAACAATCGTGCCTCTGGTTATTGGGATTGCCATTCTTGCTGTTTTTGTCACCTACGAAGCTCGACCAACTCAGCCCGTCTTTCCATATCGCATTTTCCGCTCTCACACCGCCCAGGTTACCTTGATTGGAAGTTTCATACACGGAATGGTCTTGTACACTATGTTGTTTTATATGCCTCTATACTTTGAATCTGTCTTTCTGGCAGCACCACTCCAATCGGCCGTTTCGATGCTACCACTTCTGATTACGGTGACAGCATTCAGTGGCCTAGCTGCTTGGGTCGTTGAGTATGTGCGTCACTACCGATGGGAAATTTGGTTGGGCTGGTTGATGCTTACTGTTGGGACTGGTCTCCTTGCTATATGGAATGCTCAATCATCTTTAGCACTCAAAGCCAGTTTCCAAGCTATTGCTGGAATTGGAATTGGTGCTCTTTTCACCGTGCTTCCTATCCCTATGCAAGCCAGTGCACCAACGACAGAAGATCAGGGGCTTGCAGTCGGACTCTTGGTATCATTTCGCTTATTCGGTGCACTTGTTGGGCTTGCCATAGGGTCAACCGCATTTAGTAGCACTTTTGGCCAGGGTATTGCCAGCCTTGGTTTTAGTTTGCCGGAGACCATGGCAGTTCTCAACAACCCTAGTGAGGCCATAGGTTTTATACCTTCTTTGAGACATATGCACGATCTTTCCACAGAGGAGCTTTATGCAGTTCGGAATGTCTACAGAGATTCTATGCAAATTATATGGTATATTTTAACCGGATTCGGTGGCCTTGGCTTCTTGACGTCGCTCTTGACGGCGAGTCTGACATTAGAGACAGAGGAGCTAGGCAGGCAGTACTTCGACGTGGACATAGCTTGAGACCATCAAAAATAACTCAAAATTATACCACGGAATTTCTCTTCAGCCATCACATACGGCCATTTGGTTGGAGAACAGGACACATCTTCCGCTGAGCCTTACTCAACCCGATATATTAACGTAGCTCGAAATGACTTAGCCGGTGAGCATGTTTCTGCTATACTACCAATGAAATGAGAAAACGCTAGACTGAGTTGAAGGCTTTCTATCTCTATCCAAAACTTTCTAGGTGCATCTCAAATACTTTGTGTACCTTCTGGTTTCATATTCCCATTATCTCTGTTAAACTTTAGACCATGTGATTCAGTTATCAAAAAGCGTACAGGCAAATATCGGAAGTTGAAGAGACCACAAAATAAACCCCATCATCTGCGTACGGCTTTCCTTTAAAGCTACCAGGGTTAGTTGCTGGATACAGACCTGGACTGTCCTCTTTCCACAAAGTCAATGACTGCATCAAAGCCCTCCGGCTCCTTATCCAATATCCATCCCGTTCTGCCCCAGTATACTCTTTCCACTCAACGTTATCCGTAAGCCCCTTGATAAGCTGCAATGCTTGCCTCCCCGACCCCACGGGCATCCAGGCATCATCAGACCCGTACCCTAATAACGCAGGTGTTGCTAAAGTGGTAATGATTCACCTTCGCTGTCCGCTGTCTCAGATGTGGGTGGGGGTCCAATTGTCTCAATACAAAGTCACATATCAACTTGGTTTTGCCAGAGCCATTAGATGCAGCACCCGATTGTTGTATCACCTTTTCCATGTTGTGAGCGAAAGGCAGCCAGCCGCAAAATGAAAACACGCCGCCAAGAGGTTGGTTTATTCTTCCCTTTCCACAAAGGAGAGTCCACAAGGCCGTCGCCATGCCTTGACTGATTTCCCCAAGATAAACCTGACTAGTTTTTCCGTTGAACAATTTTATCTCCTCTTCAAGGATATGGAGAATATAGGAAACGGACTCCCTTAGCCCTTCAACTTGTAATTCGTGGCGTCTTTGGATATCAGAAAGTGAGTATACGTCTAACCAGGAATGTACTTCTAAGAATCCTGGAAGCGTGTTGACAGGCGGTCGCGCGAGGTCGGGAAAACCCAACGCCATGTCAAAAGGGAAGCGGGAAGTTTTTTATTCTTTGATGTCATGGAAGAAAAAAGCTCCTCAGCAAATTCAGGACCATTGCTCCCACGGCCGTGGAGGAGGATGGCGGTGTGCGTGTGTGTTGTATGGGGAAGTTGGACATAGGAGGCAGGAAACTCCATATTTGCATGGTGTCTTTGAGGAAAGATGAGTATAGGTATAAACTATTCTGAAGGAGGAGAAGCGCTTCCCTGTTGACTTTATCGGCTGATGTAGGTCTAGGCAATAATAGAAGTTATCGAATTGTTTATCACATTATTCATTCACGTTATTTTCGACTATTTTAAATGGCATAATCGCCTGTTGCCAAGGCCGGTAATCAATCTCTTGATACAAGCTCTCAGCGTGGGCTATGGCCTTGTAGATCTGGATCTTGACTTCCTCGTAATAGTTGCATCTTCTTCGGTGCTGCTTCCATTTCACTACTAGACACCATATAGCTATCAGACACGGCAGGAAGTCCTCTCCCCGATCGTGAGAGGACTCGTTGAGTAATTGATTCGCCGCTGAGTTTTATATTTCTCATTGCATGAGAAGGGTTTCCGTCCTTTTACATCTCCTAATGACTAATGAGAGGAGCGTTTGTGCCCAGAATGAAGACATCTATTTCTACCTAGTCACCAATGTAAATATAGGCGGTGGTTACCGTTGCCTATAGCGGCCTTATGACAAAATGCATATTTTCCATTTTTTACATTCGCCCATGTTCACCGATTCTGATCCTCTGTTACTACCAGTATATTGGTCCCCTTGACTATAGTTAAAAAAGGGCTTGCGTTTAACGTTGGGTGGGCAAGGTCACCGTGGTCCAAATACGTATCAAAATTAGAGTATGGTTTAATACTTAATACAGGACGATTCCAAGGTTACTTTGCAGTAAATAATCGTAAATCAAATACTGGACCACGTCGAAATAATCGGAGTTGAACGACTCAACGTTACCCTGCAACAAGCTGGAATGTGTAAACATAACGTTAAAATATCCTGCAAGCAAAGATCTTAATTTCCAATCAAGGCTGGCTTTACAAAGTCCTGATATGAGTAGTTAAAATCCGAGAAGTCCGTATCATGAAATGGCCGGTCTACCCAACTCCTGAACAAACTACATCCAGGTTGTGATTTGGGGATCCACGGTCTTTAGCTCGGCAAGCAAATCGGTCCATAACCTTTGAGTGAATTCTTTACCGGCATCTTCATCGAGATATGGCGGTCCACTGCGATTGATGAAGATGTAACAAGTCAGTCAGGTGAAGTCACCCCAATTTTAACAGACGGATATTAGAGATTCCGATGGTCATACTCCGCATTGAATGGAAATAACAGTCGGGGACTAACTACTTACGGAACAACTTTATTGTGTTGCAGAAATTTCCCATGGCTCTCTGTCCCGGCAAGAATCGATGCATAGACAACCGTTCGACCCCCTTCCTGGATTGATCTGCCGACTGTTCTCTTGAGTACAGTAACAATCTTCTTGATCAACCAGGGTGTATTGTGTTCAAGATTGGTCGGCACGGCACCTGGGCAGAAATCATTTATAATAACTTCGGAGCTGGACACCTTTGTTGCGATATAACGAACGAAGGCATTCACGGCTAGTTTGCTATCATTGTATCGCTTCAGCTTGCTTGCATTTTTGGCATTGTCAAGAAAATCGAGCACATTCTCCGATGGAGGGATAGGATTCGAGGCAAAGGAGTGTACTGTTTGCATGGCGGAACCAACGAACGTAAGATGGGATGGTTGTCCTTTCTTCGCTGCAGTGGCTCGAAGAACAGGCAGTAATTCTAATGCCACGAGGAAATTGCTATAGCAGTTGACTATTTAAGGCATAAGTTAGTGGGGCTCGAGAGCATAAATGATAGGTACTTACGAACCCTGCATAATTTGTTCATGCCCACTAGCACTCATCTTAAAGTCCATTTGGGAGATTCCAGCATTGCATACCAGCACATCCAAATCAGGTGCCTCGCTTTTGACTTTGTCACAGAATTTGGTTACAGATTTGTAATCATCAAGATCTAGAGGGAACATATCAATGATCGCATTGGGGTTTCCCTTGATAACATCAGGATCTGCGCGAAGAGCTTGCACGGACTCGACTCCTCTAGCTGCATTGCGAGCCGTGATTATGAGACGGGGCGCTTTGAAAGTAAGAAATTGACGAGCGCTTTCGTAGCCTAGACCATTGGTACCGCCTGTAACAAGAACAGTTCTACCTTCCAGACTTGTGTATTTGGGAAGTTCAGGGATATGAGGTTGGAGAAGCATGGCAAACGTAGAGCTTGTAGAATCTTTGACGAGCGATGAGGAAAAGGTAACGAGACAGCGATATTTCGATCGGCAGGTGGATTGCTTTATGTGCCTGTTGGGTAGACCAATTACCAGGATAATTAGACCTTGACATTCCAGCTTGATTCATTAACTGAAGAGAAAGAAAAGGACAAGGGGCTGTGACTGTGCTTGTTTGAGTATTGAATCGATACTCCATTTCGGGTTAGCGTGGACGTTTACTCAGATATGAATTTCTATTGGCTGACTGTAAATAAGGTTCCCCGCATATATGGGTCTGTGGCTTGAATCCTGACCGATCAGAGACTGCAAAGTGGGGCACTTACATGGATCGGATCGGGCTAAAATGACCAGGGTCGGAGTGGCCTTCTGACTAAGCAATCTTGCGGACAGTTCGAACTGACTGCCCAACCCTGGTTCTTCCCACTTCCCATTCCGCGTCCATACGACTGTTTCGTACGCGAATAATCAAAAGTAGCCTTCGCACATTATATCCGCTAAGCATGCTGGCCCACTCCGCATGCTCGAAATGCAGCGAGCGCAAGAAGAAGTGCGATAAGAAGTACCCCATTTGCGGTCAATGTGAACGGTATGAGTCCAAGCCGATAGTTTCGGCATCGTCTTACGCACCGTAGCTCTGTATCGATGTTCCTCGTGGGTATATTATCCGTACGTGCTGACTTAATTGAGCCATAGGTTACTGTTCAAATGCCATTATCGAGCTGCGGCACTGCCCACAGCCAAGACCAATGTCACGCAGGCGGAGTCAATCAGCTATATTTACAGGCCATCAAATGAAGAAACTCTAGCCAGTGACTTGATTGATGCCCAGAGAGTTTTAGGCCCTGCCTATATGTCTCGGTTATCTACCATTATCACCAACCACCGACAATTAATAAACCACTTAGCGACTGCCTTTCTAGCATCTTGTCCGAGGTGGGTGCCCATCGTTAATCAAGATACGTTCCATAACCTACGTGAAGACGAGATACTCCAGACGTCTCGAGGATCTATATTGTTACTTCTTAGTATGTGCATGCTTATGAGGCCATTGACGGGTAAAAATCACAATGATGAACCGGACCCGTTGCGCGAGTCTATGTATAAGACGGTCAAGCGACTATTCTGGGAGCCGGCTACTATTGAGGAAGCTACGACAACCATCATCAAAGCAGGTCTATTCCTTTCTATATATGAGTATGGACATGCAATGCTCAACTCTTCGTTCCTGACTATGACTGTATGTTCAAGCATGGCTCAAATTAGGGAGCTTGGAGGCGCACATGACTGCTTGAATTTTCCGCCTTTTGGATCAGAGTCAATGCGACAACAGGATGTCTTGAAGTTGTGGTGGGGCTTGAAGATCCATGAAAGGTAAGCCGGTGTTTTCGTCACGTACTCTTTCTCATTCTAAATTATTTTCAGGATGATTAGTCTTGAAAATGGATATGACATCAAACCACTCAATATCAGCGAGTCCGAAATCATGAACAATGCCCGTCTCGAACTTGATCTACAATCTGGAAAGTCACACTTGGAAGTTGATCCGCATTATTTTGCCTACCATCTTCAAGCTAGAGCTGCTGTTTGGCTAGACTTAGTGTTGAAAGTCGTGCGGGATCCGGGGTTGATAACCCCGATAGGCCGCTCACAGTTTCAAGCGGTTGATCGGGGACTTTTGAGGTTTCTGACTATTTTACTTAGTTTGGGTATGGGAGCATGTTGTGAAGCCATTGCAATCGGATTAAAGTGAGTTGAGCTATGTCATCAATAGAGCATATCATATATTGAACAAGATATCCAGTGCTTTCGTTCATCTTCATAATAGTCGACTCAAGATGAGCAACTCTTTCCACTTTCCCGAGCATGACAAACTTGAATCCTCAAAAGCGATTGAGACTATGCTCCGTATACTTTCGGATTTCTTTGACGATCATTTATTCAAGAATCCTGGTTTCACTATGGCACACACCGCTGGACCTGAGGGAATATTCCGAGAGACATTTCCTTATTTCGTTCATATGACATATGTTATTTTGCTACAAATGCGGGAACATGGTCGATTTGATCGACTACCCTCTTCTTACCCGTCATCTTTACCGTTGGAAAAGGAAGTCGAGGCTCTCTGGGCTATTCTGAACTTTTCTGCGGAGCATTGGCAGATTGCACGTAAGCTGAAATGCTCTACTTTCTTTATAACTGGTGAGATTATGACTGACTTATCCTTTTTATATAGGAGACTTCATATCCGTGTTTGAAAAGCCCCGAGCATGACTTGTCTGCCCTTGCACATATCTCATACCTCAATTTTATTCCTGTCCATTGCTTCTTCGATTAGAATCTGGCTCAGGAACATCCACATTTTATACCTTAGCTACACTGTATATACACATTGAGTTGTAGTGGGAAATCAAAAACATTTGGAGGATTGTGTTACTGTATAACAGGGTGTGTACGTTAAGACCTCTTCCAAGGAAGAAACTGCGAAGTTTCTACCATTTGCCCTGGTATCCTTCGATCCCTAAAGTCTAGGTCTGCTATGACCGCCTTTTTTTGCGTTTTCAGCTGCAGCCATACCAGCTCGTCTACCAAACACAGCACCAGCTGTTAGGCCACTACCTCCAGGATAGTTGTCATAGAACAGACCACCAAGCATCTCGCCACAACAGTACAGGCTCTCAACCCCTCTGTCCGTCACTGATGAAATGACCTGCGCAGTATTCGGGTCAACAGCAAGTCCACCGAACGTAAAAGTAATTCCACATGTGACATGGACAGCCATAAAAGGACCTTTGTCTAATGGCAGCGCCCAATTACTCTTTGCCAAGGGCAACTGTATCGCCTTGGATTGGGTTGATACTCCATCACGAATGGAAGGATCCCACTTTTTCCCGGGATTTTCCTTTTGAAAAGCATAAACTGCTTCGTTGTAAGCGTTGATATTATCGACGAATGCTTTTCTGTTTTCGAGCCCTAGTTCAACAAGTCTATCAGCCAACTCCGGAATGGAATTCGCAATGATTTGTTTTACACGCTCTGGACGATACTCCTCGGATCGAAGTAAAGGAATTGCCCGCTGGTCCCAGATCTGAAAAGCGCTCTGATTAGGTTGGGAAAGAATTGCACGACCGAACTTCGCATAAGTATAGTTTCTCAAATCGACTCCCTCGTCCACAAATCGTTTTCCGTTATTATTGAACATCAGACCAAGCGGGTAACCGGACTTTGTGAACTCGTTGGAAGCAATTCTATCACCTTCATGTGCCGGAGCATTTGCATCCCAGGCTACGGAATGGCAACCAGACCAATTTCCGACCTGCTTCGCCTTGGCATCTCGTATGGCAATTTCTAACGCATCTCCCGTGTTATAAGGGGTTCCGCGCACTTTAGCCAAGTCCCAACCTGGGCCCAAATACTGAGTGCGCATACGGGGATTGCTCTCAAATCCACCGGCAGCGAGCACAATTGCGCCAGCTTTGATCGTCGCCGTTTTGCCTTGATGCCTCACGATCACTCCTTCAACAGCGCCAGTATCTGGGGTAGTCAATAGCTGCTCCAACGCCGTAGAGTAGTAAGTCTTGACACCATGTCGACGAGCATTAGCTTTATGGTCTTCAATAAGTCCTTTCCCGCCATCTTCGGTCTTTAGTGCTAATCCGCCCCAAAATTTCAATCGACCACCCACTTCGTACGCCTGGCGATTGAAAGAAAGCTGGAACCGAATCCCATTCTGCTTCAACCACTGGATAGCTGGAAACGATTCCTCCACAAGAACCTTGCTAAGAGTAGGATCGGAACGTCCCTGACATATGCGTTGCATGTCATTCGCAAAATCCTGTGCGGTGTATGGCTCCATATCAATCCTTTTGGAGGTAGCTTCGTCCACGTTGTTGACAAGTGGTAGCAGATCAGCAGCACCATTGTGAGCAGTACGATAAGCTCCAGCCGTGAAAAATGAATTTCCACCTGCCCACTCCTCGGGAGCCTTCTCAATCAGGATAACTTGTTTTGCGCCGGCTTGTTTAGCAGCCACTGCTGCGGTGAATCCGGCATTGCCGCTTCCTGCTACCAGCACGTCACACGATGATGGAAGTGTCATCTTTCAGGTGTAAAATATTTGGTTCTTGGATATGTACCTGCTAGAAAAAAGAATTATCTCTAGCAAAAAAGAAACAAATCGAAGATAAAACCTTCTATTTAAACGGATCGATCCGTGATATTAGAGCAGGGCTGACGGATCCTTAAATGCTGTGAGTCGTTTGTGGGTTGCGCTTTTAGGAGTCCCATAACATGATATTGTCATCAAATCAGCAGTATTAAACTACTAGTATATCATGGCTAGACATTCTTGCGCGAATCGGCTCAAAATATGGCGGAGGATGATACTCCGGGGGCAGGACGGGGCAGCTTGAGTGGGGTTTGAACGGGGGATAACTCTCCAGATGAATTTCTGTTCGGGATGTTTGCCGACAACAATTTGAAAGTAAGGTATGATGAATTAGGGCTATCCCTGATATACATTCATTTTTTTCTGCACCAGAAAATAAGATTGATAGTCATGTATGGATGATGTCTATGCCGACAATGCTGGGAACAAGAGGGTATAGTTAACGAAGAGTCGTCCAACAACATATAATCGATTGTCCAACTATATTATCGACTGTCATAGAATGCCTTGCACCTGTTGAGTAAACTACTTCCTATTCTATTTAAATAGCGAGCAAACCATAGAATGATGCATTCTTCCGCCTTGTCACGCGTATGTCTTGCCGAGCTGACTGTGCGTCAATGGAGCTGCCTGCCATTCAAAATATCTTCGATCTGATCCAACTATCGATTTCATTTCCACCGATATGAGTATAATATGCATGCAAAAAGGGCGTTGCGGCGCGTAGATGCAAGGCATGTCTTGATTTTGAGAAAGCTGCTGATCCCAATGTGAGTGAATCTCAAATATCGTTAGCCGATGTCAAAGTTGTACAAATAACATGGCTAATGAGCGAGCAAAGTTTTGACGACGAAGTGCATAAACAACGAACTCGAAGCACGATCATAGATACCATGATTTGGAGCGGACATCCTCGTTCCCATCAATGGCTACCGGTACGACCCACCAATATCCTCGATCAAACCCATCTGGATGCTAAAGATTAAGCTGCATGAACATCATTCCGAATTATTTCTGATCCTCAATCCTAATTGCTCAAGTTCAACTCACCGCCTCCCTCCTCACCATAAGCTATCAAGAGCTAACCATGCTTGCGCATAGCTCTATCGTAAATCGAGTTTAGCTCCCCTTGGGTACATTAGCTGGATGAATAATTGCGGACTTTACAATGGATTGATTGGATTTCCTTTCAGGTAGCTGTTATTACCCCGCCCATTCTTCATGGATTCTTCCAACAACTCTTTGCTCTTGAGTTGCTCCCTTGTACTCGTTTCCTCCCCGGTTCGCATATTATCCTCCTTCAAAGATTGAGAACGAAAGGGGAAGAAAACTGGATGAACCATGGCGATAGCCGCTGAAGGCAGATATCCAATTGGGTACAGATGGCGTTCGTCGACCCATCTCATCATTGCGTGTATCGCAACCGCTCTATTTACAGGTTTGCACAATCGGAGAGATTGAATATACAGAAGTGAAATTGATAGAGGCTGATTAACAACCAGAGAATTTCCTCTTCAGTTTCATCGTACCAATTCTCGATTACATGTTAGAAGAGAACCTCAACGTTGATCCGGCCAAAGCTCAATACGTGATTTCGCTCGTGCTTTCCGTTCATGCCCTTGTGTGTGTCATTGCCGGGCCCATTACAGGCCATACAGCAGATAAAATATCATCCCGAAAGGGGGCTTTGCTTGTGTCCTTGTCATGCGAACTCGTGGGTACAGTCATTGTAGCAGCCGCCCCTTCTGGTATATTGCAGCTCGTTCCGCTAGATGCTCCATCTACAACCCATTCGATTAACTGACGATTGTTCATAGTTGCGATTCTCATTACAGGTCGGATAATCCTCGCCATCGGAGGAAATGCAGCATGGATCATCGGTCTAGCAACTCTCGCCGACACGGTTGGAACAGAAAATGCTGCTAAAACTTTGGGAGCTATCTCAGTGATATACAATTCTGGGTTGCTCGTCGGACCCATGGTTTCCGGATGGTTATTGCGACTTGTAGGCTACTGGCCGACATGGTGTACTGCAATAGCCGTCTTGATTATTGACATGGCAATGCGATTGGTGATTATTGAGAGCCCGAAAGACCAGAAACATGCAACCACTGGAAAACCCAGATCCGCTACAAACGGAATTAATGAGCGGTCCTTAGCAGAGAATGTAGATGTGGAGGCAGCTGGGGCAGGAGAAGATTCCACTAATTCGCTTCATGAGACTACTCCTCTTCTTCAACCACCGATCTCAAATCCTGGGGAACTACAAGATCCATCTTCTCAAAAAGATGCGCTCCAACAAGACAATGGGACATCAAATTTTTACCGAATCGTCCTCTCCCATCCTCGTGCCCTAACTGCTATGGCATGCCATATGACGAGTTCTCTGGTCGTAACCAGCCTCGATACTACGCTGCCTCTACATGTCATACGAGATTTTGGCTGGAACACAACTCAGACAAGTTCCATGTTCTTTCTAATTCAACTTCCTCAGCTGGCTCTAGGAACATTTACGGGCTGGCTAAAGGATAAATATGGAACAAAAGTGCCAACAGGCGTGGGGTACTTGTTGACAGGTTTACTTCTGTGGCTTCTCGGGACCCCTGGAAAAGATGGCCTCTCTTTCATTGGTTCCGGTCAGAAGGGCCAAATCATCTACTCGTCCATATTGTTAGCCCTTGGATTTGCGAGGAGCTTTACTATTGGGACTGGTATCATTGAGATGACAAGTGAGTTTCCAGATCGATCGCTCTTTATACATGTAGGAACTGAACGTGAGGTTGCAGGTGTCATCAGAGAGATTCAAACGGAAGAGCCAGGCATATTTGGTCCTAACGGAGGGTATTCTCGAGCCTACTCGCTAACCAATTTGAGCTGGAATATAGGCTTGCTAACGGGACCTCTTCTCTCGGGTACTCTTGTGCAAGTCGTGGGGTATTACTATATGAACTTTACCTTCGGTACGTACGATCGACTTATTCAGACATTTCTTGCAACAATGCTGCCCACTGTACTGACTCGGGTCTCCCCAAAAGCTATAATAACTTCATGCGTTGGCGTCGCTTGCTTCGTGTTTCTTCACAAAAAGTGAAGTTCAGAGATCACTGTAATGACGAATCCAGGTTGTAGTAACTTTCTATCTGCGCATGTCACAATCATGCGTACACCTAGGTAATCAGGTTATAGCTCCAATCCGACCTTGCACTTGACGAGCCCTGGGTCTGATTTTTATGAAGTATGTAAGCCTTACTGTTGGTATGCTACATTGACGGCTTACTACCGTATGTTGGTTTGGAAAAGGTATCGTACATTTCACATTAGTCTAACATTAAAATAGAAATATGGATAATCTATATACAATCACACTTGCATTTTCTATCTGATGTGTTCAAGGCACCGATCTTTTCAACCCGAGCGTAACCATCGAAAGTATTTATATCCCATGTGCAAACCGTGACGCATTTATTGGTAAGAAATAACAACATTGCTACCAGAAGCAGTAGTAGAAGTGAGAATTTGGTTGTTCTGCGAAATATCCATGATGGTAGCACCAGTGGTGTCAACGGTGTTGCCATTGGAGATAGCAGTAGCACCAGAGATGGTGAAGTCGCTGCCAAAGTCGGCGAAGTTAAGGAGACCACCGCCGCCTGAGAGATCCTCCATGATCCACTCAGCATTGGTCTCACAAAGACTGGCACTCACGCCAGAGAAAGTGTACGAGACGGACTGGCCGTTAGACTCGTTGGTGACGGTGGCAGTGCCACCGGTCAGACCATCGGCGGTCACAGTAGCAGTCACAGTGTCGCCAGTGTTGATGGTAATTCCGCTGTCCCAGTACTCCTGTGCAGCAGGGAACCACTCATACCAAGCAGTGTTGGTGATCTGGCCGTTCTGAATACAAATGTTGACACCGGTTTGCAAGATTGCGGTACCACAGGTGTCGCCATCAATACCAACCCATGCAGCAGCGCAGTATTGCTGTGTGCTGTCACCACCACTTGGTACAGAAACAGAGGGAACAACAAAAGATCCGGTAACAGAAGTGTATCCAGAGCCGATCAGAACAGCACCAGCCCAGTTGCTGGAATAAACCTCAGCACTGCTTGCGGCACTCGCGACTTCCAAATCCTTGATGGCGTCAATAGTGTCAATGCGTTGGTTGGTGTGAGTCTGCTTGTGAGAACGAGCACGGCGTGCGACGCGGTTGGATTCACGTCGAGCAAGGTTCTCTTCAGATAGAGGAGCAGCCAGCGCAACGCTGGATAGGAGGAGAGATCCGACAGCTGTAGAGAACTTCATTATGAGGAACCGAATTGAGTATACGGCCAAAGTAAATAGGTGAGCAGAGGGGTGCTATATGATTGTTGGATAATGATAACCGATTAAAGTAGGGAACAGTTCGATTTATAGTCAGTTTAGCATAACTAGCTTCTCTAACAAGACTATGGTTGCATTGATAGAATCTATTTTGAAAAAATATTTATCCTGCAGCCACTCGGATTGAGGAGCTAGATCTTATAGTTTGCCAACTAACATCTGGCTGAGAGTTAGATTAATTGGGGCATGAGTTCTTTTCCCAAAATGGAAGCGGAGGAAGAGGTAAAGGGATGCAGAGTTGTGTCAGAATACTACGCTGGGAATATTTAGTCTACTATTCTGGGTTAACTACCCGGCTCGTTGCAACTGAGAGGACTTGAAACCGCTACTGATGCTGTCAACTCATATCATTCGGTAGAATTCCAAGATTGTTTCCGATAGATGACCGTTGATAATTGCAGGGTCAGCCGACGCCACAGGATAGAGAGTGACTGTCGATCAACAAGCTAAACAAGCTACATCCTAATGTAGGTTCTCCACCGCGCTGTACAGCATCAGGAGGAACACCAGAAAGACAATGGATTCGAGCTGCGAGTCATTATTCAGGCCACTTGTGTGCAGTAATCCGGAATCCAGCTTATCAAGCTCTCCCATGTGGCTCCAATGCTAATAGAGTTAAAAGATTTCTGGTCTGGCAATATTAGAATGCCTGGTCAGAATCGATGCTCCATGCAGCTCCTCAGTACGTGAAAGGAACTACCCTGACGCGGAGAACTCAATCATCTTGAACCACTCAAACCATTTGGCCGGGCTATATGTACCTTAGTATTGAAACACATCCGCCCACTCAGACACAGCGGCTTTCCTATTTTCACTTACGAGCTCGCCCCATTCCGACTTAGTAGATGTGATATCGTACTAACACCAATGACCTGTTCACCCGCGCAAAATCGTTAAACGAGCTGGTCAACTGACCCGTGCATTATGTACTGGAAATCTGACCCTGATCAATACAGAAAGTTCCACAGATTACGTTACAGGGCGCCGACATTAAGGTCAGGGACATAGTTATTAGGGTTAATCCCTATGGCATTGGATCGCGGTACGGAGTAATTGTAATTACCCTTGATATTTAGATCGGATATGAATATATGAATCCTGCATGAATGTGTATAATTAATGAACCATGCCAAATCACCAGGCAGCGAGCAGTTCCATTCCATAATTTACAATAAAGACAACCGGGCGAACATACATATCATGCTGCATACACTTATCAAATGGATAGAGCAATTCGGAAGCGAAGCTTTCCTAGTCGACAGCCAACATGACAAGGGCTGAAAACCTGAAAGACTGATTTGGGGATGTTGCATTGCCGGGTCCCTAGATCCATAAATATCTGGGGCCATAATTCAGCCACAGTGTCAGCCCGCCCCTTTTATCTCCCCTTGTCTATGATAACTGGGCGCTTCTTATTTTAGTCGATGGCTACAAAGTAAGTGGCTTAGATCAGTATCTGGAAGGCTGGAAGCAAAGAGACTTGTTATAGATAATTCTTGGATATGGACTATGGAGCTTTGGCAATCGGGCAAGTCATAATATTCTACCATACTGTCTTGGTTGACTTCTAGAATACGCATCATTCATTGTTCCGCTTGGCTGTCTTACTACATAGAGCGGCAGTGCGGGTACCTTGAAATCGTTGAAACAATCATGAAACCAACACCACCTCTGCACCATCTGTGATTTAGCTATTAAGCTCAGGCTCTGTCCTTCTCTTGTCTTTCATTCTTATCTGGAACGAGGTATGTATGCAGAGAACCGCGGATAAATGATCAGATACTATGTAGGAACTGATAACAGCAACTCTGCTTTTACTTCCTGCGATATTTCCAACATCGTCTCCGAAACAGGGGACAGGGGTCTTCTCGGGTGTTTAGTTGCATTCGGGCACGATCATAAAGGGTACCCGGTCTATCCTTGGTCTTGCAACAATTTTAATTTTACAATTAGATTTGTAAGTGGATATATCCGTGTCGCTAATTATGTCGGTCTGTTGAGCTGAAATCGCAGGCGAATTTCTTCGACTGCAGTCCTTGACTCGAGTTTGAATCATTTATGAAATACTCACATAGCAAGGTATCGACGGAAATCCGAGAATGTGGCCGCAAATGCGAGCACCAAAACCACCTGGATCTCTAGGTATCTGGATACTTCCGTTCTCCGCCAGGGATACACCATACGGTAATATGCCGGATCCTTATACCCGATGACTGTACCTATTCGCATACTCTTTCTTTCTCCTCATCCTATGTTTCGCCGGAGAACCAACTAATCATACAGCTAGAATATGATAGTCGGGATGGAAAATACAAGATACTGGGAGGTTCCTGCAGTTTATATGGATACTTTACCTCTCCTTTTGTCAGCCGCCCGAAGCACGATAAGTTGGAGCCACGTCAAGAATAATTAGCCAGGTGATGCTCAGGTTCATACCTCCACGAAGAATTCTTAGCATGTTGAGTGCTCCAGTTGCCACACGCTCATGTGTCGACACCCTTCCTATAATTGATTTCATCAGCTACCATTAATAACCCTAACCCTGATCCTAAAAGACGCGCGGATCGAATCCGATCGTCTATATTCTCCAATGTCGCTGCAGAACAAGGTTTCTGCTTCTCTCTAGTTCTTTCCCAGATCATGGCAGGATGTGGCCTTGTTCCCCGTAAAGGTCCTATGGCGCTCACGTTAGAACGACAGGAATACCTCATATTTAGATTCAACGTTCTGGTACCGTCCTTGGCAGAGAGCATCAGCATTGCTGCACGCTCGTCGAGCTGGCCATCTAGTGCATTCACGCTAACGGCTGGCAGTTCACTTCTTTTATTCGGCTAGCTAGCGGACAAATATGGGGGTTATGTTGTGTTTACTGGAGATCTGGCCTGGGCATTTCATCTGGGCCCTCGTAGCCGGTTTCTCTCACAGTGAGATCATGATTGTCATTTGCCGTGCACCCCAAGGATTTGGACCTGCCGTGTTTATATCAGCTGGTATTATGTCGTTGGGACCCAGGTATCGATTAGGATGGCTGCAAGAACCTAATATTCAGTATATACGGCGCATCAGCGCCCATCAGATTCTTCTTTGGCATTCTGATATCAGGTGTAGCGAGTCAATACCTTACCTGGCGCTGGTATTTCTGGATCGGAGCCATTTTACTAATTTTTTAGCCTTGGTTGCTGGCTTGGCTTTTGTACCACAGAGTATTTGGCGAAAACCGCCGCAACCAGAGATTGAGATTGACTGGCTTGGCGACATGCTACTTGCTAGTAGTTTGATTTTGATCTTCTTTGCGATCAACGACTGCGGGCATGCCGTAGCTGGATGGCGGACTCTATAAGTTTTTGTCACTTTCATCGTTGGCTCCCTGCTCATTATTGGAGCAGTATACGTTGAAGGCTGGGTAGCGAACCACCCGCTACTTCCATTCATCCTCTTTCGTATACCACAGATGGTACCACTAACCACTGCTTTGACCTTATTTTGTGGTGTATGTGGAATCTGGCTATTGCATACTGTCCAGTACATGGAAAATATCGAGGATATCACTGCTAACTTGTAGTAGCCTATTTTGTACCATTTTCTGTCGGTAGAATACTTTTCAGTGTCGTCGGTGGCATGCTTCTTTATATCATTCCTGGAACAGTCTTACTGGTCTCGGGGATATGATGAATTCTAGCTCCGCTGTTATTTGCGGTTATGCCTGAGGGTGTTGGGTACTGGCCATATGTATTTCCAGCAATAATATGTAGAACACTTGGTATGGATGTCACATGTTATGTTACAAATGTCTTTGTAACCACCAGCCTTCCAGAAAGGCAGCAAGGGTTGGCGGCTGTAGTGGCTAACAGCGTCTTGTTCTTGGGGGCTAGTTTCTGGCTGGACTGGGGTGACTTCGCTTCGTCACGGGTATCTGGCTTGAAAGATGGTTACATGGCTGCCTTATGGCTAGCAGTGGCTTGTGGAGATATTGGGACAGGAATCATGCTGTTGTTTGTGAAGATCGATGCCGCAAAAAGTGAGGCGACTGTTGATGAAAAAGAACAACAAAAAGCGCAAGAAGAGCTTTGTTAGTCGACGAGCCTCGGTGTGAAGATGTGGCAATTCATAAATTCTAATAGTATACTACTTCTTTAAGTAGAATGAGAATATGTCATTTCTCCCCCTTTTCGTTAAGAAGCCCATTTGTGTCGTTCTACTAACTTAAAGGTGCAGTATAAAAATTATAGCTCTTAATGCTAATATGCAATACTTGTGTTTAAAGGAGAACTGTTTTGGCAAAAATTGACTCAGCGGTGAGAAGTGCAAATATGGGAAAGAAAATGGATGGACCCTTTGCATTTTTATTGATATGACCCTTTTCCTTTGAGCTAACAAAATAATATCTGCCAAGTAATTGCACGAAGCTAATAACATATCTGCGATCTACAGATGAATCCATCTGAATGGTTCCAAGGATTCGATTGAACATCCAAGGCACCTATACAGGGTTCGTAAATCGTGGAGCTGTTCATGCAGAGTACTTTTTGCGTAGTCGAAGAATCCTTTGAGTTGATTGTTCAAACTCTCCCCTATTCAGAGCTCCACTGTTCAATGCGTCGACCAAAGCGTTAACAATTGTCTGACCCTGAGTGACATTCTGAGCTGCAGCGAGAATGATATCCATACCGGCACCACTCGCCAGCACTGCGCGTTCTGAATCCGAGCCGAAAGCTGTCAATGCTCCAGCTTCAATTGCATCACTAATCGTGACTCCTCGGAATCCCAATCGGCCACGAAGCTCCTGTTTCAACCACTTCTCGCTTAGACCGGAAGGATATTTGTCGTCGAAATCGGGGTACAATGCCCATGAGGGCATCACCATGTCAATTCCAGCTGCGATAGCATTGTGGTATGGCAACTCATCAACAGCCCTGATCTCTTCGATTGTTACATTCAAAGTCACAGGAACCTCATCGGTATTTTCATACGTAGACGCAGTTCCCAAGCCGGGGAAATGTTTGGCTGTTGCAATGTACCCTGCACCCTGCTGCGCGGTCGTGAACGCGCCACCACAGATGCCAGCTAAAGTTGCATTGTTGCTGTAGGATCTTCCGAACCGGTCATCAAAGTCACCCGGAGTGCGGAACACATCCAAAACTGGAGCAAGATTCGTATTTATGTTATACGCTGCCAATGCTGATGCAGCGTCCGAGCCCGCCTGTGAGGCTGCTTGCTCGGGATCGGTTGACTGTCCAACCACCTTTTCAGAATCAATCGGTCCTCCAGGTAGTCGGCGAACTTTTCCACCTTCCTGGTCAGTCATAATAAGCAAAGGAGATCCGAGATAGGCCGGGCTGTTAGCGTAAGCTGTCTGCCACGATTCGATCAATGCCGGAAGGTCGCTGTTGACATTGCCACCAAAGAGGATGACTCCACCCACGACACCTTGTTCGATGAGGGTTTGTAGCTCCGGTGGAGGAGTTGGCCCATTATAAGAGTAAATTACATGCGATCCGACAAGTTTTTGAAGATGAGCCTGATTAGATGCCTGTGCCTGTTGTAGTTGACATAGTGCGAGAAGCAGTGCCGCGTATAACTTCATATTTGCTGATCTTAATATATCGATGCTCGTCTCGTACGTCGTCTAATCCAATCTTGGGTCCCCTTTTATGCTTGGTGATGTTGATAGACGGGTATAGGGTTTGGTAGCTTGTCAGCACAAAAAGACTTCAATAGTTAATTCCGCTTGATTGAAAGTAAAGGTAGAATACCGCCGTATTTAAATAATATCCCATCCATTGTGATGAGACTTGGACTGCAGCTGACGTTACATTTATGATCTTCTTCTTTTGATTAGAGTTCTGGAGAGCCCCATGTTCCCCGTTTAATATTGCCACATGGAAGGGTTGGGAACAAGCGGCTGGCCCAAAGGGGTGAGAAGTAATAGATAGGCCAGTTGTTTACTTCGTAAAGTTATATGGAATACGAATGTTTCGTTGATCGCAATCCCGAGATAAGCGTACAAAAAAGAGGACAAGGTTCAGAATCGAAAAATTAGGGCGCCGGAGTAGTGTGGGACGTAGTCGATCTTCGGCGTAAATGAACTCCATCAGTGGCCCAAATAACGCTTTCTCTCCGATTATCTTCCCAATTGTAGCGTGAGGCTTTTGGTTACAGATATTCAGATAAAAATATTATGGCGATATTCAGGGACCGGCTTTTAGTCCGGGGTAACATTCACTATATAGCAACCTTCCTGTTTTGGTACATCTGATAGCATTCGATTCGATTATCTCAAGCTTACCATTTTATAGAAGAGGTATAATTGTCACAATCGTGACGAATTCCATTATCGCCTATCTCTAATTGAAATCGGCATTGATATTATATCTGCCGACATATACATGACTGCCTACCTGGTAAGGTAAATATCCAAGTAACATAAGAGACATCGACGTACGTGTAAACTTTGAACAATCATTAGAGTATCTAACCCAGTTTCCTTTCATCCGGTTACATATTAACGTAGTACAGGTAGATGTCAGTTACATTTCAGATTACTCTTCTGATTCCGCGACTTCTAGTGCTCGGCATATATGGCTACAGATACCAGTACGTTGGATGCTGCAGTAAATGCGGCCGACAACATCGTCCTGGTATTCATTAAACGGGTTCAAGCAAGGATCCTGGAAAGGAGTTACATGTATTCGGTGAATATGAGCCTAGGGCAAACCCAGCAGAGGCTTCTGTAGCTATAAGTCCGCTCACCAATTTGAAGAACCTCTCCGTGCAAATTCCACTGTCACTGACTGACTGTTACTTGTCTTCTGAATTTGAACAAAACCCGCATCGAGTAACTATGCCTATGGATTTGGTAGCAGATATACCATTAGCATATTACCAACATCGGACATTTCGGATTTTCAAACGGAACCCTAACAGGAATCATGCTTTACTGATCATGATCAATCAGTCCACGTTCAAAACAAACTAGCTTCCATTCTCCGACTTTGCAGATGGATATCGGAAAATTGCAACTCACGCAGAAATTGTATATGGCCTGACTTTTCTTGACATTATTTGACCACGTCCCTCATAAAGACAAAAGGACGTCCTATTGATTGGCCAATTGCACGTGTATAAGCCGCGGCACCGGGTAAATATTCTTCGGTGCTGGGTGTGCTGCCTGTTTAAGCACTGAGGACAACCTCAACCTCCAACTCAACTTCTGGAGAGAAGAAACAAAGATGCAGACATATTGCTGTTATCTCTCACGAGTAGCTATCTGGACTACAAGGCGGATAACAACTCCGTGGCACAATGCCTAGCGTCAACTGCCATCAAAGATGGCATCGCACATTAAGATATTCATCAGCTTGGCTGAATATATTGTTAGTCGATCGAATCATCAGGTGCAAGTTCCAGAGAAATTTTTATTCGCTCTCGATGGTGCCATCTTGGTGACGCAGTCACATGGGCTTGATGTTGCTTCTTTCCAACCTGACACGACTGAGACTCGCAAGTCCAATAATTCGCACGCCTATTTTATCGGTGTCCTTCAACGTATGCGTGATGGTCTGCGTCCCCTAACGTCCAGAGATGTGATATCTGTTGAAGTTTCTTTCGAACACCGTTCGAGAGAGGTTTCGCGAAATCAACAAGTTTGAGAGCCTAGAAATTGAAGAGCACTCAGAAGCCTTCCTTCAAGCCCTCAAATGTCGTCATCGCTCAGGAAGAAAAGGAACCGCCAGATGCAATATATGAGGCGGAACAGTTGGGGGACCTGGGAGAAGCAATTATCTCATTTACCTTGCTTGCCAAAGATTATAATGATCTGCAGTTTCATTGCAGATGGTCATACGGATTTGATGAGAAAGTGCCAGACTCATTTCCTCTAAGAGTATCAATTTGCCTCTGGTAACAATGGTGTGTCAAACTATAAGCTATTTAGGGCTCGGTACTATGAAAATATAATCGTATATTCCGTAATAGATTAGCTTTGTTGCAATGAGATATGTTTAAGAAACGCGAAACTAACCACCCCTATCCATGACCACCCTTCAGTACGCTTTTGACAGTAAAAAGTCTAGCCTAGTTTTTGGTACTGGTTGGACCGAAGAGATGGATTCATACCATTAATAATTCCTTAACGACAATAACACTGCCATTCCAACGCGACGACCCCGGGGAAGAAAGGTCATCTGATACCAACATTGAAAAGGCTCAAATGTAAAATAAAAGACCCGAATGGTACAGCTTTGCAGCAGGCAGCTAAATCAGGTATGAGACAAGCATAAACGAAGAAGAGGAAGAAAGAGTAAAGAACAAGAAAGCTGCACGACTAGCGTGGCTAGTGTCGGATTGGCGGGTTTGAATAGTAGCTTACATGAATGGTAAATGAAGAAGTGACTAGTAAGATTGTATGTATTGATTTCTCTGTCTGTTCGAATACATCAGGTTCCAAAGCCGGGTTTTTATAGACCTTCTGGTGAGTTGATTTCTGTGGAATCTGACACGTAGGGTTGACATGATTTTTGACCTGTCATGAGGGGCAATTTTGGGGATATAGAGTAGCGTTTCTGATTGACTGCCTCGTTTTACTGCCTCAGGATATCCGGATTATCTGATAGCTATCGCTAGTGACCGTCATAGAGCTCATACGGCCCGACTGTCTGCGACACCACGTCTTTCGCTGCTCGATGACGATGCTGGTATTTCCGTTGGATTCACTTGTGGGACTTGCTGTGACTTTTGGCAGTGTATTTGCGGGCTCAGTGCTCGATTGAGTCGTCGTTGGTACGAAAGTCGAAGTGGTGGATGAGCCAGTGCTTCTCGCGGTTGCTGTCAATATTGGTGATTTCGTATGCGGCAAACTGGTAGCCGTAGTAGTCTTTGGAGGTGTCGGGTGTGAGCACGCCATTCATGATAAACACAGTCGTCGAGACTCGTCCCAGAGTCAAGATGACAGGTGATGGGCTCTCATCACAGCATGAACTAGAATCGCAACAGAATGTGCCTCCTCCGTTCCCGCAGAATGTTGGAAAAGACGATGCTTTCCCTTGAAAACAGATCAATGACTCTCAGCAATAGTTCCAACACTTTCAGTCGATGGCATGATATTTAGAACCTACAGGTTTCATCCCAGCACGTTCCTGTCCAGAATTTCCCATTCTGCACTAATATAGCCCGTTCTATAAGCAGTAGAATCCATCGCTATCGCAAAATGTTGCAGTTCCACTGGTTGTGCATGGTGCATTGTCGTTAGAACGTTTCGTCTTGTCTGTAGCACGTTAATTTGTCCTCGCTGTGGACGGAACAAATTACATGCGGCAAGATCAGAATATACAACAGCAGCAATGCCCATTGATCCTGACAACTAGCAGCTTGATTGATTTACCAACAATCTCATAAAAGGATAATCAGTATGAGAGTATGGCTGCGGTGTTCGTCCAAGCGCGGATACAGGCATTCAAGAACTGAGGGATAGAAAGACAACGAGTCTATTTCATCTATGTGGTAGATCATCCCTTAAGCGAGAAGCGAGTCAGGACAATCAATATCGCAGGTAATACACTCTAAATATAGGTTGAAGACGTGCTAATTATTCTAGACGCCATAAAGCTAAGCGCCGGACTATATTCTCTACATAAATCATATCTCTCGACCATCGCTCTGGGTCAAGACCCGATCTTGAAGTCAGTATACGCTACATTTAGCAAATATGTATGGCTACGGTCTCGTGTATCTAAGCTTCGAATTGGCTAACATTACAAGAAGCAACTGACTCCATGATAGAATAAGCCTTGTCTGTAGCCTAGGGCTGGGGCCGAATTTCATACATCCGTCCAGTCGGATCATTGCCCTAACCGCCAGTCAATATCAAAATTCGAAGTTGACCTGTCATTTGACGCTAACGTGGTTAAGGATGAAACAGGGTGTAGTGAACCATGATCTGCATTATTAGATTTATCCAACCAGTCTATCATGCCGGGATAATCGGTTCTTAGACACGGCGTCTACGTACAGTTTGTTTCAAGTTGAATCGAGCAGATCAGTGTAATAATATCTTTCTCGAATGCTGCTTTCTGGTCTACTTTACAAATGGAACTCCCCATCATAATTTTGACTTGGCTATTCTTGCAATCCCCTCGGTTTCTACTTTGTGTTATTATTGTTGTTCACGATCTTTATTTACTCCTTAGCCGAAAATGCGGTTGTTTGAGCTACGAATATTGCCAACCGCGAAGGTCGTAATCATTACGCTCGCTAGCACATTCATTTCCTTGTTTCTTGTCCTACTATATTTACAGCACATTGTTAAAAATGATGTGATAAGCTTTCTGACCTTTGACTTTCCCTTTCCTAACAGACCTGCATTCCAAGAGCCGACATTCGACAATAACACCGCTAATAGCCATGAGGAAGGCGTGACACTCGACATTTACGACTACGATGTCGAGTTGGTGGTTGCAAGTTTGAAAGAACAAAATACGTCCTGGTACTCCACATATTTCCCAGACTGGAAATCAAATATCTATATTGTTGATGACTCCACCGCGCCGTTGACGGTGCCGCAAAATAAAGGCCATGAAGCGATGGTTTACTTAACGTATGTATATTTTACCATCCATATCATTAATATTCCTTCTAATGACATGTTGTTAATTGACAACTTAGATATATCATTGACCGCTATGACACTCTTCCTAACAACACACTCTTTCTTCACGCCGAGAGATTCCAGTGGCACAACGACAATCCCGACTATGACGGCTATCCCTTACTACGCGACTTTCAATTTACCTACCTGCAGGAAGAAGGCTACATTAATTTGCGCTGCGTGTGGACAATAGGTTGCCCAGAAGCAATCCATCCATTGAAAGATCAGACTGTTAGCGAACAACATGAAGGTCAGGCCACTGGCAAAATTTTCCGGCAGGTATTCGAAGAGCTCTTACCTGATTACCCAGTTCCTGGTGAGGTCGGCGTAAGTTGCTGCGCTCAGTTTGCTGTCACGAAGGAGGTGATCCAGCAGCGACCAAAGGAAGATTATATACGTTTCCGTGAATGGTTGTTGGCTACCACGTTTCAGGATGGGCTAAGTGGTCGGTTTTTCGAGTATTCATGGCATAGTAAGTGGTTCTCACTGTATTTTATTCTTACTAATGGAGTACTGATGCTATTTTCAGTCATATTTGGAAAAGATCCAGTATATTGCCCCTCAGCGGCAGACTGCTATTGTAAAGTCTATGGGATGTGTCATCTTTCAAACTGTTCGGAAGACGAATGTGACGGACAATACTTTCTTCCCACATACTCAACGCTACCGCCGGGCTGGCCGCGAGTTGGCTGGAATGGAGAAGAGAGGTTTTTCTCTGGGCCGTTATGATTGTGCCCGAAACGCTGAAACTTGTATATTAAAACGGGATAACAGTAACTGTAACGCTTATCAAAGCTGGATGTAGTATCTCAATTTTAGGCTTATGACATTTTTAGTACTTATTATTTGACAACTTCTATCGAAAGCTCTGCAACCGAGCTAACACTGTAGTGCGAAATTTTGAAAGGAGGTATATACTGCCAGGCTAAGGATCCATCAAGTAACATCTACCATCGCTGTTGACGTAAAAGACCAGATATTTGATTCAAAGGACATTTTCTGCAAGTATAAGCAATTTTATTTATGTCAATCTGCACCAGACCGAGATGTTCCATCTAGGTAATTTTGATGGAATCAGGGCTAGCCAGATCATATTGTTATGCCTGAAAATTAAGGCACTTAGGAATAATATCACGTGGGCGGTAAGGGTTGCCTTAGAATCTGCCGACAGAGCCTGGAAGGCGGTGATTTCACACGTGACTTTCTTATCAGATAAACGTAGAAAACAAAAAAAAAAAGTTCCAAGATCGCTGAGGAAAGAACGGACAATCTTTCAGCACAATACACCCAGACACTTCCAGCGCACATCATGTCAAGCGACAAAATGGCAGCGACTGAGAAAGATTCCAAGAAGATAAAGCGCAAGCACAATCCCTCCAACGAAACTGTCAAGTCATCAGCCGAAGCCGAATTAAACGGCACCACCGAGAAGCCTAAGAAGCAAAAGACCGCACACCGTAAAAAGGACGAGGATGCAGAGGATGTGCCTCAGAATGGATTCGACGATGTTGAAAAGTCGATTAAGGAAGTGAACAAGGAGGATGAAGAAGAGAAGGGTCACGAGGAGGAGAAAGAAAATCAGCTTGAAGACCTACCATCCGCCAATGCTTTGTCGCTACCACAGACCGGCGATTCGCTACCCACGAAGTTTACGGAGCTGAATCTATCGGACCGAACACTGGAGGCGATCAAAGAAATGGGATTTGAGACAATGACCGAGATTCAACAACGAGCAATCCCCCCATTGATGGCTGGTCGCGATGTTCTCGGTGCTGCCAAAACTGGATCTGGAAAGACACTGGCTTTTGTAAGATATACTCACGACAGTAGCTTTGATGAGACGGATGACTAATTATATTACCAGTTGATACCCGCAATCGAATTACTTCACAGTTTAAAATTCAAGCCCAGAAATGGTACTGGTGTTCTTATATTGTCACCCACAAGGTACGAGGAAATATAACGATGGAGACAATTGGCTTGCGCTAACAGGATGACAGAGAATTGGCGCTTCAAATTTGGGGTGTGGCTCGTCAGTTGTTAGAAAAGCACTCTCAGACTCACGGCATTGTCATGGGAGGAGCCAATCGACGTGCAGAAGCCGAGAAATTGGAAAAGGGTGTTAACCTCTTAGTCGCAACTCGTATGTATCATTGTACTGGCATTTTTAAAACAAGTCAGGCTGATATCTCTCCCAGCGGGTCGTTTGTTGGATCATTTGCAGAACACCAAAGGCTTTGTGTTCAAAAATCTGCGTCAGCTCGTTATCGAGTAAGTGAATCTTCTCTAGCATTTGAAGAACTTATGCCAATCCCCTGGTACAGTGAAGCAGATCGCATTCTCGAAATCGGTTTCGAAGACGAAATGAAGCAAATCATGAAGATCCTTGGAAACGGAGAGCGACAGACATCTCTGTTTTCTGCCACACAAACTACCAAGGTCGAAGATCTGGCGCGAATCTCGCTGAAGCCTGGCCCGTTATATATCAATGTTGTTCCACGAATGGAGAACGCGACAGTCGACCGATTGGAGCAGGGATATGTTGTGTGCGAACCAGACAAACGATTCCTCCTGCTTTTCTCATTCCTTAAGAGGAATTTAAAGAAGAAAATCATTGTTTTCCTTTCAAGCTGTAATTCCGTCAACTACTACGTGAGATTATCTCTTTCCTGTTCAACTGCATTGGATATGAGTTACTGACTTGGCAATAGTCTGAATTACTGAACTATATTGATCTTCCGGTAATACCAGCTTACGTTTTCTACACCACGCAGCTCTGACATGATATAGGTCCTTTCTATCCACGGCAAGCAGAAACAACAGAAGCGTACTTCTACTTTTTTCGAATTCGTCAACAGTGAAAGAGGTATTCTCATCTGTACCGATGTTGCCGCTCGAGGTCTCGATATCCCTGAGATTGATTATGTTGTCCAATACGATCCTCCTGATGTAGGTATCGGACACCCGTAGCATCTATTTCAAGGCTAATGAGATATCCAGGATCCTCGTGATTATATCCATCGTGTCGGTCGTACAGCACGTGGCGCCAAAGCTAAAGGTCGCAGTCTTATGTTTCTGCAGCCATCTGAGATGGGCTTTCTCACTCATTTGAAAGAAGCGAAGGTGCCAGTGGTGGAATTCGAATTCCCCCAGAAGAAGATTATCAACGTTCAATCACAACGTAAGTCCTGGTGTCCCTCAATCCGAATGTGAATCAGACGTGCTAACATAGTATCATAGTCGAGAAACGTAAATACTATCTCTCCTAAACTTTTCTATGCATACTAATCCAATAATAGTCATCTCGCAAAATTACTACCTCAACAAATCCGCCAAAGAAGGCTACCGCTCTTACATTAATGCCTACGCATCCCACTCCCTCCGCTCTGTGTTTGATGTTAACAAACTGGACCTCGTCAAAATTGCCAAAAGCTTCGGTTTCTCAACCCCACCACGCGTCGATATCACACTAGGTGCAAGCATGAGTAGAGATAAGAAGGTGCAAGGACGACGAGCTTATGGAAGTCAGCCTAAGCAAGCCAACCGCTTCAAGCGAAAGCGTGATGAATAGATATGCTTCTGGAGTGTACTGCAAGTCAAGGTGGAGAGTTAGTGACAAAAGTTTGTTTGGAAAATATGGGCATATAGGTTGGAGTTTGGCGCAGAAGCAGTTTATATTGTACAGAAATGGATTCTTTGCACTGTGCGGATAACTAGCAATATAGAGTCTTCAGGGGGCTGTATAAATGATAATACGAATATTGATGCCCTTTTTGTCGGATTTCCACCGAACATGACAGCCTAAGTATGTGTTCTATGATAAATATATCCTGCATATAACGGGCATGCCATCTGTATATGCCCTTTCAGAGATTAGTTCTCAGGCATTCACCACAGGGTTACACATTGTTGATTCCTGTTTGGGATACCGCATACGCCCTGTTATTTCCTAGTTAGTGTGTATAAATGCAGCTCAATCCTCCTAGTTACTTCTCTTCCTTTTCTTATAGTTGATCATTTCATACAACTTCCTGGTCCTTTACTTATCTGAGCTATTCTCATCTCTATAACTCACAATATTGGGCTATGAATCTTGCATAGTTACCACAAGAACAAATAATGGCAGCATCACTCTTCAAGTTCATATTGACAACATTGACAATGACACTTTCCCTTCTTCGATATATTTTATGTCTTACACCCAGATCATCGTATTACCAAGTCGTGGAAAAGAACAATATTGGTATCGATTGTTTCTCTATTAGAGAAACATGATCTGCAGTTTTACGCTGTTGACTGTCTCGAGAGAGATCGTCTATTAGCGTATTTGAAATATTGTCTGAATAATACCAATGACTCTCTTTTTGAGAATGATGCACATACGGTTGTGATTACATTGGAGAATGCCTGTCAATCGTAATGAGTTGATTAAGGTTATGGAGGAAATCCATTGGGAAATAGTTGGTGAGTGCCTTCTAATTCCCTCTTATGACTGAATATACCCTTACTTAAACCCCATAGATGGTCTCACAGTTGAAGCAGGGTTGGAAAACCCAACTATTTCTCTAACCATGCATCAACCCTGGCCACGGTATTGAATTGCTATATAACCCACGATATCATGGTACCATTGGTGGCTATGTAGACCTTATCAACAGTGACAATGAGGTTGTCACGTAGTGTATGCTCACAAGTGAGCATGTACTGAGACCCTTTGTTAAGGCGAAGACAGCATGAAAATACTGCAACGAAAGGAGGACTGTTCAGGTAGGTCTATTGCTTTGAGACCATTTTCTTTCATGAACCAGACAGCAGATTTCATTATCCAGTATAGAACCTTATCTTCGCGACGCACGAGATCGAACCAATCAGTCCATTATTCACTGCGCAATCCCCAGCCAAATTCTGGTGCTCAAATACAGCAAGGGAATAAGGGTAATTTCTCTTGGACCGTGAAGTTCTCGGAACAATTTATTCCTCATCTGGCTTCAGCTTCAGTCGACACAAGCATCGACTGGACTGGGCCTTAGTGGAGGTCAATCCAGCTATAGTCCCGAAATCGGAAAAGAACAAACTCATGGGAGCTCCTGCATGCTCGTAAACCCGACAAAAATGGAATTTTGCAACTATACTTGGCGCTGCGTCAGGCCACAACATGGGAATCGTCCACCCGATTCAGTGTCATTTGTTTCTCGCGATGCTCATGGAGAGCGGCATGTTACCAGAGAATGGTTCATTGTCCCCATCGCAAGGCCTAGGTGCTTCACTAAACCAGGGGACTCGGGAGCATTTGTGTTGGAGCTCAGGGCTAGAGGGGACGATCCGAGGGATTTGAACGTCCCTGGGTATGATATTTGAGGGACACGAGAATGGAGGACCGGTGTATTCCACTTATATTACTCAATTGCTACGCATGGTGAGAAAGTGACGGGATTTCGAGTTCAGCTTCCTGATGGAAGTATCATTGGTCAATCATTGGGACAGTCTGGTATGGTTGGAGAGTTTTGTCTGGTGTTCACTCTTTAGGAACAAGGATGATGGAAGTAAATTGAATATCACAACTTGGAGAATTCATCACCAACTGTAATCTTACTAGCTTTTGTACGCTTCATCTCCGCCATGACAGAGACATGCTTACTCAACGCTACCAAATCACCATTCTCGTCCAAAACGCGCACATCAGTGTCAAACCGTCCATTTTGGACCTTGTGACACACGGTTTCAAGGAATAGCCACTCGGCATCCTTGGGATCTTTTTTAATCTCAACGGACATACACATAGTTGGGAAGACGTACTTGCTGAGGTCGGCCATGGTGGGATCGTAGTTGAGAGGGGCTGGGAGGAACTGTTGACCACCGTATGTTAGTAAGATCGATAATAAGAGACAGAAGATACTAACATTATCACACACGACACCCAAACTGATCACATCCAACTTCTGATTCGGATCTTCCCATCGTACCCACGTCTCCTTCGTATTCAACCCGGCGGCTCCCTTCCGACTCCAGAACTGTGTCTCAGCCTCTTTCCGTTTGAGTACGCGCATCTTGCGGATCACGGGCATGAGCTTGACCAGCAACGGGATAGGAATCGACTGATTACAATCGCGTTCTCTGTCAGGTATTTCGTCCAGTGTCATGACCGGTGGAACTGCTGCAATCGAGGGTCCATCTTCCGTCGCGAGATTGCCTTGAATAACCGTTGCGGATGTACATATTGAGCCAGCGGGATCTCGAATTTTGACTTCAACGGTAGAGTAGCGTTTTCCGTGGCTAAGTTCCGTGACAGTGAGTACGACGCGACCTCGAGGAGCGGGTTGGATGAAGTGGATGTTGCTGTGGATGGGGTCTGGTTGTGGAGTTGATGGATATTTGCGGAGGAAGAATGTCCGGACAGCGGAAAAGACGAGACTCAGGGTGAAGCCACCGTGCGCATGTCTTCAGATGTTGGCCAGTAAAAGTCAGTTGGTTGCCATTAAATTATGTGTTGATAGTCAAGGATCAGTACTAACAATCCTCCACACCAGTCCCAGTGAATCGTCGCTTCGAATTGGTCGTCTGTGCCAGGCACAGGCGTTACTCGCGTAGCATCCGCGAACGAGGTTATCTGTCTGTTGACATTTGTATTTGCCATCTCAACAACCGGCAGCTTCCACCCTAAAACCTGATCACCTCAGGACATGGTGTATATAAGAAGAGCGAGTAGATGAGGTGTTTCAAAGTTACCGTAACAGCCGAGGTTGCAGACAGAAGAAATGCCAGTGTATACTCCGTATAGTCTCAGCCAATCACGGTTGTACTTTTTGTAGCACAGTGTTGGTGTCTGATTTGCATATATGGATGTCCTCGTTCCAAGCAAGTTTCATGAGAAGCTAACACTTATTATTTACTGGTACTTGCGAAATTATTCTTTTCTAAGTAATATTTTATCTATCGCTATCCCTCCCTATCATGACAAATAACCCTAACCCCATTCCGGTTGTATCTGTTGATTGACCCTTACCATGAATATCGTCATCCTCTCTTGGGGGAGTGATCTATCTTTAAAGTTCAGAGCTCTGGAAATGCCAATTGAGGCCAGTCAGCATGCGTAGCAGACACTCCGAATATGGATTCCTACACCATTTCGACTGCTTGATACCAGCTCATAGCGAAAGATCTAAGTATGTACAACCATCTAGGTGCCTTGTTAGGGCTATGGAGGTCACGTTTATGTCTCCGACCGTTTCTCCACAGGTCACTCCGACGAACTTCACCCACCAACTGATCCTGCCATGATGACCTCAATCCTTGAGAATAGTGCATACTATGTATACAACCCGAGGAGAGAGTCGTATTAACATCGAAACGGAAGTCGGTGCTATCCTGTTGCGAGTTTCCGTGCTGGTATTCTAGCTTATGTAAGTCGGCCTAACTTAAGCCCACGCATCTCAAACTTCTGCGAGAAGAGCAGTGAAAGCGACCAGGGTATAGTAGTATGAAATCGACCGGATTCTTATCTTCGAGTCATGTTCGGCAATTTTCGGCCGTGCCTTGTACGAGGAGGCCTGTGCCCATATCTCGGTCCCAACATCCTGGACGCTGATCAACGAAGGGCTAAAGCTCAGATTATTAAGCAGAGGAGCCTCCCTCAGGATCGTACCAATGACAGAAGCTAACTAATTAATAATTATGAGTCACGTAACGTATTGGGTCCTCGTGTTATGAAACTATAACTCAATAATCTCAATAATCCTCAGCCAGGATCCAATAACACGAATCCCAAGCGTAAAGCAAGACGTCATGGCATGTACTGCATTCGACGGATTTAAGCACCGTTTACGAGAAAGGGGCTGCCAGAGCATTCCAGGCACTGGATCGTTCCAATCAGCATTCAAGGTTTGGATTGGCAGCGGGATGATTATTTTCGCCGAGTCTTGACGCATTTACTACCTTTTGCCTAAGTAGTTATGGTAGGAGAAACAAGGGATATGCGTGTTTGCAGCCTGATATTGAGCCACATGGTCGCGGGTCGCTGAAATAAATCGTATATACTATAAAAAAGACATCAATTTTCTTCAGTTCACAATTTTTAATCACATACCCAGAGGCATAAGTGACGTTGACGCGACATATGCGAATATGGCCACCACAGAGAAGGCAGAAGCTCTTGGTAACAGACCAGGCTCGAGCTCATCCACAGCAACCGAGGAGCATACAGACACCGTAAATGGAAAAAATAATGAGAAACTACATTCATTTGGCGAGGAAATGGATCAGAATGACGAACTTGAAAAGAGTGCTGGCGAAGTAACTGGAGATCAAGAAGTGGAACCTGAATATCCAAACGCCTTAAAAACTGTCCTGATCGTTATCTCGCTTTTCATCACAGTTTTCTTAGTGGCGTTAGATCAGACAATCATCGGAACAGCCATCCCCAAGATCACCGACCAGTTTCATTCCGTTCAGGATGTTGGCTGGTACGGCAGTGCCTATTTTTTGACTTCTACGGCCTTGCAGCCTACATATGGCCGCATCTATAAGATTTTGAATGTGGGTGTCAAGCAAATCTGAGTGTCTTTCTTGATGCTTATACAAAATATCAGGTAAAATGGGCTTTCCTCGCCGCCATTTTTGTATTCGAGCTCGGATCCCTGATATGTGGTGTCGCTCCGGACAGCTCGACTCTCATCGGTGGTAGGGCTATTGCGGGATGCGGTGTTGCCGGGATTTTCTCCGGGGCGTTAGTTATTCTCAGCTTTTCCAGTCAGTATTTCTCAGCCTGCTATACAGTTACATACTAACAGCTATAGTCCCTCTACGGCAACGGCCTCTCGTGTTTGGTCTTTTTGGTGCAGTATGGGGCGTGGCATCCGTGGTAGGGCCCTTACTAGGAGGAGCATTTACTGATGGCGTTTCATGGAGATGGTGTTTCTACATCAAGTAAGGATGGATAGTCGCATTATCCATGCCATGCAGCCATACTAATTCGATCATGATAGTTTACCGATCGGAGGCGTCGCCGCAGCCATTGTCGTTTTGATTCTTCACCTTCCTGAGAGAAAGAATGACAGCAGCAAAACCTGGACACAAAAGCTCCTAGAACTCGATCTCATCGGTGCAGGGCTCATAATCCCCGCCATTGTCTGTCTTCTTCTAGCACTTCAATGGGGTGGTGGCAAATATGCCTGGAATAACTCGCGTATCATTGGCCTTTTCGTTGGCTTCGGTTTGATCACTATTTTGTTCGCCGTCTCTCAATGGAAACTAGGTGATCGAGCGACGTTACCCCCTAGGATCCTGAAAAAACGGACGGTGTGGTCAGTCTCACTCTTCGCAGTATGCTTTGGAGGAGCCTTCTTCCTCTTCATGTATTATCTGCCCATTTACTTCCAATCGGTCAAGAACCACTCAGCCACGAAATCCGGAATCGACTTGCTGCCGATCCTACTTGCGACAGTGATATCGTCCATCATCTTCGGCGGTATAATTACTGCTGTAGGCTATTATACCCCGTTCCTCATTCTCAGCACGGTACTTTTCTGTATTGGAAGTGGACTCTTGACCACATACAGTACTAGCATGTCGACTGCGAAATGGATTGGGTATCAAATATTGGCTGGAAGTGGTGTTGGCGCAGGATTCCAAGTCCCCATGACCGCGGTACAGACCATTCTCTCCCAAGAGGATATCCCCATCGGATCTGCCGCTGTCATGTTCTTCCAGAATCTGGGTGGTGCTCTGTTTATCTCTGTCGGTCAGTCCGTCTTTCAAAACGGACTCACTAGTTATATGCAGACCCACGTCGAGGATATTGAACCCGGTGTTATCATCAGCGCAGGAGCAACCGCACTCAGGGGTGTTCTTTCTGAGATGGGCAAGTTGAATAAGTTGCCAGCTGTTGTCGAAGCCTATATGGCCGGTCTGGTAAACGCTTACCGGGTCAGTTTGGCGTTGACATGCGTTGCTTTCGTTGCCACTCTGTTTGTGGAGTGGAAGAGTGTGAAGGGAAATAAAAAGGAGGGAGGAGAGCCAGCTATTGCTGTTTGATGGTCTTTCTTTCGAGAGTGTCTCGATATGGGACTGATTGGTGCTGCACATATTGGTTGATCATCCGTATTTGCCCGAAACTGTGCGATGAAAACAAAAACAAAAAATGTATATTAGTAATTGGATTATCCGACTAACCTCTTCTCCTGTACTTACTATATGATACCACTTGTACCTAATCTTGATATAGAGCATGAGTCGCTTCTCCAATATCCATTCTTGCTCAATATGCTCAGCACTACTCTGTATCTTCCACCGTATGCCTTCACATGGAAAAACCATGATAACTAGAATGTTAATTGTATCTTTCAGGAGAGTAGACAATGGCAATTGAAGATGACCCGGGCACTATCCGATTGGAAGCGGTGATGTGGTTGAGTGCTGGGGATCATATTCTGGTGAGTTAATCCAGTGGGTGTACTTTTCATACTACCTAGTTACCTCAATGCCATTGACTGATCTTAGGCGGCAGTGGATGGGAAGCCCTGTATGTAATCGACATGAGACTGCTGTTGCTAGAGTTAGCCAAGTTCCCACACCAATGCCATCGTGGTTTGAAGATAGTAATGTCCAGACTACGCGATACTTGACCCTAGATGGAGTGTAAGGACTTGCTCCTTAGAGCTTGAATTAAAATATGTCTATAAACTATATATACTTCTAATTAAAGATAAGTTTCAATAACTCAACTAGGTTCAGGAGCCACTCACACGCCTTTTTGCATCTATCCTGCAGCTCGATCTTGGAGAGGAACCGTTAAAATCCCCGCTATTAAAGCAGCACAGCCTCCAAATCTCATGAACCAAGCCACGCTATTATCAAAAGGTTCTCCCCGTGGTTTCTGCAGTGCTTTGAAAATAACGCTGCTGAGAAGACTGGACACCATTTGAGGAAACGAAATAAAAACATTGTGTAACCCAAGAACAACACCAGCCCCACCGATGCCATCGGTATCTTCAAATTCATTGTAGGGATAGCCTGGTCGATGGATGCTCTCTGCTATAAACTCCCCATTCGTCGACTGGCTCTGGCTTTGTGCAAGTTCCGTCGCAATAAATGCGTACGGTGCCCAAGACGTGATCATCCACGGAATGCCAACAATTGCTGTCATTACTGCCGCTGTTCCAGGTGAGGATATCAAAAATGTACTGAACATGCAAATAGCAAAGAGAAAGTGGGATAGCAGCCACAGTCGTCGAAGCGTTAAACCAGGAACCCGAAGCTTCCCCAGCATACGCGTCGAAGATTGCATGAACGTGGTCAGAACTGAGGCCCGCTGTGGCAGGTCAGAAGCACTGTTGGTATTGGAGAGAGCTTCGAACTCTTTCGGTGACGGTGCTACCACCAGAAGCGGTAGCACTAGACTGCCCACAAAGGCAGTGACGGCGTTCAGGAAATAGGCAGACGTCGCAATTCGAGTAGCATCCCCCCATATATTGTCTACCTCGCCATTTGATAGATCAGGATGCTTTTCGAAGATGGGATTTACATACAACTGGCCGATGTAGGTGGTTATGTAGAATAAAAATGGGAACCATCCAAACCAGGAGGCACACTGAATTGCAAACACTTTTCTTATTTGCGGAGGAAGATAGCGTGCAGACTTCCAGATCATGCTGAGAGAGTTCTTAGTAGTCAACTCTGTCCGTGGTCGGTCATAGGTTCGAAGGTCATCAATGAAGACGCAGGATATTAACAAGCTACCGATAAGGCAGCAGCTTCCTAACACAGAGATCACCTGGAACTGCGTTTTGCCCAGGACGGGGAATATTTTTGGTAAGTCCATGTACCCAAAGGCATAACATATGATACTTGCTGCTTCGCTGACGCGGCTCGCCCAGGCATTGGCGGATTTCTGCTGATGCGATGGAGCATTGTCGACAATGTATGCTCTCATAGCCGCTTGGACTAATAAACATTAGAGATCTCGGCCAGTGTTTTGTCAGGAACCGTATTCACCTGTATTGATTCCAAAATCATGGCAGTACATAAGCACGATCGCAGCAACGATCGATACGGATTTCACCGTATCCGATTTCACATCGGCATTAAATATCGCAAACACGCTGCCGGTCAACTCTTGAACCCAAGCCAAAGCTAAGAGACATATCACAGTCGTCGCACCACCAATTGCTATGAACGGTTTCCTTCTGCCCCAGTGACCACGGCAATTATCACTGCGAATGCCAATATAAGGTTGCACGACAGTTCCTGTCAATGGCCCAGCTACCCACACCCACGCAAGCAGGGCCTTACTCATTCCCAGTGATAAAAGGTAGGGCTTTGCCGTAGACACGGAAAATTAGAAAAGACGTCGTGGACTAGGCGCGCGGTGACATACTGATCCATTTGCGTGTTGGACAGACCAAATTACCTGGAGTCTGCTGGTGTCAATTCACATCTTGACCAAAATAGGTTGCCGTGTTGGTAACAACTCACCCTCCCATACCAAACGTCAATATAAACAAATACCAACTGCTTTTGGACGCCTGACTAGGGCAGTCAGCATCACTAATCGCAGAGGCTAGTTCAGGGCCCCATTCCTCAGCAATGAACGGTTCGGTCTCAGGGTGCAACTCCGCCGGTGTATCGGATGCAACAGGGGGTCTCCGCACCGCCATCACGCCGGTGTCGCGATAAAGGTAAGATAACTAAGAATTGGGCCACATTGAGACGGATATATTCAAGAAATTTCGATGTATGTGTCTGTCTCGATCTGGAGAGAAGCTGAAGAGAGAAATTGTTGTAGTCACCGAAGAGGATAAAATCAATAGGGGAGATTGACTTTCTTAAGGAAGGAGCGCGCGATCCCCGAAAAAGTCGCGATCGGGGTGGGGTCCTTCCTTCTTTCGGCTGCTTCGGGCACACGCCATCGTCACTGCCGCGCTGAATGGCTGCACTTTTTTATCTTGCTTACCTAGTATACAACCATGAATTCCCCTCTCGCTCTTCTAGATAATCATTCTTCTCTTATTCACGCTACACACCGAGAGGGCGGCGCTCTTAATTCTAACACATCGTGAACGAGATTTTTTCAGTTGTGCACTGACTACGGTGCCTGGACCATGTCAAACCCCCGCCCCGCGCCAGATGCCACCAAAGGTATGCAAGATCCCTGCAGGAACCCATCTCAGGACTCGACTCCGATGCTGTGTTAGCTAGATCTAACGCCAGAACCTTCTTCTCAGTATGGACGACCCTCATAACGAATACCGCATACCTGTCCGGCCTCTTAACGCTCGAGTACTCGCTCCGGAAAGTCGGGTCAAAGTACCCCCTCGTCGCGCTCTACACAGACACATTCCCGGAAGAGGGGCATGCGGCTCTGGACGCTCGGGGGATCTTGAAGAAACGAGTGCCGTATCTCCTACCGTCTGTTCCCAAGGACTACACAAATGATACCCGCTTCTACGACTGCTGGAGCAAACTCACGCCGTTTTCCCTCATCGAGTATGAGCGCGTGGTTCAACTCGACAGCGATATGTTGGTTCTTCGGAACATGGATGAGTTGATGGAACTCGAATTGGACGCGCCGAGTATCGAGGGGGCAGGAAATAGGGTCTTTGCGGCTAGCCACGCTTGCGTGTGCAATCCGCTCAAGAAACCTCACTATCCAAAAGACTGGTATGTTTCTTTCAGCCGGAGATAAAATCGCAGCAATTAGGCATGATGCCTGACTGTTGCTTGGATTTAGGATACCAGAAAACTGCGCTTATACATCCCAACACAATACTCCAGAGGTCGCCCAAGCAGAGGGCGCGTCGCCTACTTTCGGACTCGGTATACCGAACGGAGGTCTCCAGGTAGTGAATCCGTCCAAAGGAACATATGACAAAATAGTAGCGCAATTAGGGAGTACTGCAACCACCGACTACGATTTTGCCGATCAGTCCCTGCTATCTGATGTGTTTTACGGGCGGTGGATTGCACTGCCGTACATATATAATGCCTTGAAGACTTTGCGACGAAAAAGTGTACACGACGCTATCTGGCAGGACGAAAGTGTCAAGAATGTGCACTATATTCTCAGTCCTAAGCCGTGGGATGATGTAGACGAAAAGGATCCGTCGAAGCCGGGATATGATGCCTCGCACGATTGGTGGAGGAACTTGAATAAGGAACGGCTGGAAGACGAGAAACGACAAGGTATTAACGATCACTTTTGACCAAACATTCAGCGGTTTACCTGAGGTACGAGACACGAGACGAGCTGTTTTCCATCGATTGTTTAATGAAAGAACCGTGATTCGAGACACCAGGCGCTCATGTCATTGTCTCTTTGGAATGGTATACGGGATACAAAGCCCTTTGTACCGTATCAAAAAGTGATAAACCGCGGCCAGTTGGAAAATCACACACTTGCCCCTTTTCAAGGAGCTGGGGCTGTATCGGGACCATCTTAATCAGTTTAGACGTAATTGTTTGCTAGAGTAGAACATGACATAGGAGACCGTTTACATGGAACTGAGAAGCTCCGGTCACAACCCTTTGGGACACAGTCGAACAAGACGCTATGAGCCCGGGTTGCCCAGCGTATCTGGCCTAATTTAATACCACCAAACGGGCAGCCTGTGGTCAAACCTAATCGATCTTCTACCTACACATGTCAAAACGAAAGGGCAATCTGATTATCCCCGGCTTTAGGCAGTGTGGCATTCATAATACGCGACAGACCTAGCGATGGTATCAAGTAACTCGACAAATCTGGATATACCACGTCTTTGGCAACATCACTTAGCCATTGCTGCCGGGATTGTTTCAGAACATTGATGGTCTGTTGGGAGGATAAGAGGTGTTCAATATTAAAGTCACCCATTAGCTTACAATATAGACTGGATGCACTTTATCATGCCACTAATTTTGTTAATACAGGCAGATTGTCAGTTGATAGCCCTAAATTTCCCTCCAAGCATTCACAGAAGCTTATACCCCGTCTCCAAATCTGTAGAAGTTGGTCCATCTCTGTCCATCATATTAGTTAAACCCATTTGCACAGCATCAGTGCAGTCCTACCTCATCATATGGCTTTGACTGATCAACAAATCTGAGATCCGTAGCCAGTCTAATTACATTATTCGGGTCATTATTAATGGTCGAGGCGTGAATCTAGCCCATCTCAAAGTTAGATCCTCTTACGTTTCTTCCTCGAAGAAATACATAAACACATACTGCATGTGGTTTATGTAAAACGACATCCCCAGCTTCATAATCCGACACCAGCCAGCGCCAATTATACTGTCGAGCAAACTCTAGAGGACATTCGGACAGTAAACCGGTCGACATCATGTTTTGATTGAATGCATTTTTCGTCTCTTCATCAGTCATGCCTGCATCTCGGGCTTTCCGAGTGAAGTCTTGCTCGAGTTGCCTTCCAAGAGCGTCGCCTAATACATCCCTTAGTAGTTGGAGTTACCGAAAGGAAGCCCTGGAGACAGGAGTTACCATTTTCAAAATATATTAGACCGCCGCCCGTCAAACTAATGTCCCCTATCGGCACCCAAGCAGTCACACTAGTGGGCTCACCATATCTCAAAAATATCTGATCATAATGCACCCCAATGGGCTTTGTACCGGGTACATTATTCCTCAACAAGCTCCGGTTAAGGCCCAAGGTATTTTCGTTCCACCCGGTGAATTTGGCCATAAAATCAAGTAAAGCAGGATGTTTAGCCAGGTCCTTCGTATACCAATCTTCATAATGGGCCTGGATGGCCAAATCGATAAATACCTGTGCACTCTCGCCTCCTGGCCGGCCGTTTTTCCCTGCTGCACCGGCCCCGATACCAGGGAAATCGTCCGAGGCACGAGCAGAGTTGAAGATTCCTTGGACGGGTTGGGTATCTGGTTGTAGGATGCCTGAGGGAGACATCATTTCAAAGTATTTTGTGCGTGTACGAAGAACGTCTTCACGCGGGAGGAGTCCTTTGAGGAGGAGCATGCCGTCTTGGTTGTAGCGGGCTCGAAGGGTTTCGAGCGGCTCAGAAGGAGAGGACGGCGTGAGGTGGGCGATATTCTCAGAAAGGAGGGGACCGTCCTTGACCTCGAGGCCGCTGTGAATTTTAATTTCCACGTCTGGCATGTTTGTTCATTTGAGGGGCTATATGTAAGGTTGATGTTTGTAATACCGGCTCCGAGGAATCCCTAACTTGAAGATAAAGTTATGCCTTGAAGCCACCAATGCTTATACAACGATCAAAAACATACCTCAGCAGACTAATCCCTCGAAAAATCAGGAAACTCCAATTTATATCTGGCCTCTGCAGGGATAAATGAGGGGAAGCCTTTAGAAATTCCACCAACCATCGCTCTACGGGCAATCAAAACTCCTAACGAGAGAATTAAATATTTATATACAGGTAGAGCGCAATAAAGACCAGACTCCTGCCTTTATAACACTAATAACACTAAATGTAGTATACTGACCCTATTTGCAAATTGTCTCGAGCACTAACCATATCCGATCTCGAGGATCGCTCAAGCGAAACTCGACCAGGTGAACAAAAAATATTTTAGGATCGTGCATATGACCTTGAAAGAATATAGCGAGCTACACGTACCTATGTAGCCGATCCTTCGACGAATCATTCAAAAATCTTCGGAATAGAAGGAATATTAGGCAAATTGGGGACCCGACCTCGGGGGGTATGGAAGCATATATGACTTTTCTTTGAGACATAACTTGTAACAACACGTTGCATTACCGACATTAGAAGAACTAATCGAGTGAGATTTCATATTATATAGATGGCTTGTTACTCATCCAATGCTGGTGTAACGTCCTTATCTGTAGACCCCCGAGAGTCCCCTTCAAGCCCTAAGAGAGTCCCTCATGCAGCTTAGTGAGGTGACTGTCTGTAACAGTTGAGTCAAATTTGCAGGGCGCATATCTCGAAGGCAGGCTTTCTGTTTATGTAGAACAGTTCTTTCGAGTTCTCGCTCATGCATCTGAGTGTAAGATAACGCATGAGATATAATAATTGTAAATACTCCGTATAGAAGCTCCGAGCAAGTCGGCGACGATAATGCTACATGAGCCTGTATGTTGCTCGGAGTAGGCTTAAATCCGACTGCTTCTTGTTTCAACGCAATGGGAATAGTACAATATATATACTGTCTCTCTGTATCCTCGGGATGGTGTCGACTTTAGCATTCGCCCCGACAACAATGCTTATACTTTCGAATCTATTATAGCGCGCCCCCTAAGTGGCTAGGACCATCTATTACGATAAAAAGTCCTCAAACATGGTACCAGCAGTGCTCTCAGTTGGTCTCATTCTTGTTGCCTTTATTGGCTCGATCATGACACAATCCGTCACGAGTCTCTTCTTGCCGGGCATCATGTCACAGTCCCTAGTTGGGTCGGTAATAAATAGTGTACGCAGAGCCATAGCATGCCTGAATTGGAACTGATTACTAGAAGCTAATGCACAGATGCTGTGCAGAACGGATCAACCACAACCTATACGATAGCTTGTCCTTCTGGAGCCGACGCTGACGACTGTGGTGTTAACGGGGCCATGACGGCAATTGAGGGTCCTCACACTGCTATAGTTAATATAATTGATAAGGATGATCAGTACGGGAGCAGCCTTCATACTTCTGATTCCATTTCTCTTGCTGACTCTCACTTGTGCGATCAGTATCTCCGCTTATGTATCGTGCAACCTCGAAGATACCGCTACAGCGACATGTACATCAACCATCAGTGGATCAGGAGCTGGCCATGACACCGGTACCTTGACTAAAACATTCACCGACGCATCTTCCATGATAATACCTGTTACCATTGCCTCTTCTCCCTCTACTGGCGCTTCAGTGTCGATGCCTAGAGCAATAAGGACAGCAACAAGGACAGCAACTACTATACCTCCGATTACTTCTCTGGCTTCCGCGTCGCAACCATCAACTCACAGTGCTGGAGGTGCTCATCAGATGAAGTCGAATGTTCCATTAGCTGTTGGGGGTCTTATCGCAATAATGACAGTCAATCTATATATCTAGTCTATATTTCAAGGATAAATATTGATGACTGCCCAGTTAATGCTAACCTGATCACTATATTCATGAGCGACCACAAGTCACCAACGTTATTAATATTCCACTCAAATAATAGTACTATATTGTATCCATCTCATTCGTTAACAAGCGTTCCTGCAATTCGAGCGCGAAGGGGAAGGTCGATAATCCGGAGGTCGACAGGGGGGTGCTCGATAATTGCTCTTACTTTTGCTCACCAACCAACTCACCGAATGCTGCGAATCCAACAGTCTGATTTCTTCACAATCGTCAACTTTCTCTTTCTCACTTTTGACAAAACAAAATCCTTGTAGTTGTCAAGAATGGCAGATTGCGTACTAGACACAATGTCACAGATATCCATGTGAGAGCCAAGAATAAATGACCGCCTTCGGCTGTTATGCCATACAATTCCCCGTGCATGTTGAGCATTTCCACAAAGCCATCGGCGTAAAAAGTGAATATCGTGGCAGTTATTGTCATAATGAGTAAGCTCAACTACATGTAGGTGTTTGTTAGATGACTTGTCTTGGGCGAGTCTAGGATATGCAATTGCTTGAGAATGGAACATACCGTTGAGAAACCACGGCTGAGAGTGGTGTATAGTTCACAGTTCTTACCAGACGAGTACACCAGTCCATCAATCAGAAGCCCAACACCCATGATGATAATGTTCGGGATGGATAAGACTGAAGCGGCCTTTGGGATCGAAGAAATCCAGACGAAGTCAGAAACGACGGCACAAGGCCAGTCTATAATCTGTTGCTCGACGCTCGCGTCTGTACTAAGATCCTGCAACAATGCAGATGCTATATCAAAGGCAAATGGCAATGTTGTCTTGGTGCATACTATGGTCTTCCTCTCGTTACGGTCGTTGTAGAACCGGCGCAATGGTTTAGAACGTGTACCGTATAGAAGTCATATGCTCTAAGTTCGGTGGCATATTGCTTTCCTTCGGAGCTAATAGCGAGATTCGTTTTCAGTTTTGTAACGTCCACCTGTACTAGTCAGTATCCCGTTTGATAGCGTGCTTTGGAAACGTTGGGAGTACTCACCAGGATCGTATAACCGTCGTCCAAAGCACCACCACATTGAGTGCCTGCGAAGATCAAAATCAAAATTATGACGAAGGCAACTAGCGAGAGAAGCCTAATTAGAAGATCCTTGATTGCCATGACTGGAGATCTGATATCTCAACACTCCTTTAAAGTTGCTGAAACTTGACTAGAACGAACGGGACGCGGATCTTGAGCAGAGGGATATGGAACGGAGCCGACATTTGCACTTCAAGGGAGATTAAATTCCTATTTAAAGTTCCTGAACCCAGGCGCAAACGTTATAGTCTTTCTCAATCAAGACACCTGTCAAGATGAGTCTTACAACCGTAAACGGAAGAATATGCATGCCATCTTATGGATGAATCCCCGAGAAAAGAATCTCTATGGACGTTTTGGGCAATACATCGAACCGGTGTAGTCCAGAAGTATGTGATAGGACCTGCTACAATTTATCGACTGCTGAGATACTATTCAGTTACTTACAGAAGACCCTCCTCTTGTTGATCCTTTCCTAGGTTCACCACATGTACAGTTCAAATTGATGCCGTATAACTTGACCGTCAAGGTCCGCAATGCCGCCACAACGGGAATATGTGACATGATTATTTTTGAGATGTCTCACCTATGCACAGGAGCCATAGTCCCTTTCGTTCTTCCTACTCGTAGTATCCTCATAGAATGATTTGGTTCGACTCATGACTGTATATCGCGGTGCCATTGAACTTCTCGTCAAATGCGTGTCTCAAGAATGTATGCTGTCAGTTTCCAGCTTACACTTCAAAAAAACAATATGCATATTCTGGTATGTCATCTTATTACTGGGCTAAGGATTAGCTTCCCTTTGACAGCTCCCTTGCATAAATCAGTACCTTATGGTTAAGGTACGCCCCGCTGAGATAAGTAGACTGGGCAATAATTCTGTCAGCAAACGGCTTGAACATACCTGAGTCAGGTACCGTAAATGTTCCGACACTGCGTAGATCATTCTTTCCGTGCAGTTCCCCTCGTGGCTTGACTTCCGGAAAACTACAGGGGGTCAATACTTTGATTTGAACAGTTGCGCAGCGGTTACAGTTAGATACGATAGTCTTCTAGATACAATATTATTCTGAATTGGAAGTTTGTTCGTCAAGCGCTTTGCCTCCGTGTCCGTATACAGGAGTAACCAGCAGTCCCACTACCGACTGCTTATACCTAGCCTGAGTTGCAGCGAAATACGCCGAACCGTGGTTCATCCTGAGTTTACTCATCTGTAGAACAGTAAGGATCGGTCCGTACTCCGCAATGTGTGGTAAATCTAATTATGTGATACGAGTTACTACCGACACTGACCATTCAGCTTTTGGTAGGTCTCATTGCCAATCCTTGAAGCAACTGAAACATTTGCAGAGTTTCGAATTATGTAACTAGCTCATCCTCTGATGCAGCTCGGATTAGAACAAATGGGCGCTTAATATGCTCCGAAGATTGGTTAGGGTTGATTATTTGTATGTGGCTCTGGATTGGCTGTGTTATCTGTTTGACAACCAGATAATCCGGCCCCTGCTTTCAAGCATTGAACGGTACGTACTTGATGCATACATTAGAAGCTTGAACCCTTATGAGAAGAAACCATGGCCCAGGATGTTTTTCTCATAAGTACGACCAATAATTAATCTCCACCCATACTTCAGATTGACAAGCAACTGAATTCGAACATAGTAATTCAGGCCATCAATTCATTTAATTCAGTATCATGAAAAGTTGCATGATATATCTTTCTTCTTGCTTAACGATGGTAAAACAAAGAATATATTCACGCATCTTGTATATCTACCGATTTTCCGTAAAATCAGAGAAGCTCAGATAAGTGATGGCGTGTCTAACCCTAATTTCTGGGATAACGCCGAAGTGGGGATTAACAGGTACTTCAATTATCATGACACAGCGTTAATTTAAGCCTCGTAGAAGTCCGCGAATCAAGCCAGTCTAATGGATCATTTCTTACCAATTTTTTAGAAGCGCATCTCGTGCACGTACCTGGCAATTTGCATGTTTTATCCAAGAGATGTTTATCCCCTACTTTGGGGGCTTGTGTTTTTGGCTATGCCTCTTACGGTTAACTAGGGATCCTTGATATCCGATTGGCTAGGTTGGCATCACCGCCCTCGGGGCTCTCAATGCCTCTCACCGCCTATTTTCTTTAATGTTCGCGATCTCATACAAATTACTAGGAGAACATATCAAACCCTAAAATCCACCAATATCCGGCGTAAAATACAGATTTGAAGCTATTCCCAGATCCCAAAAGAGTAATATATACAGGGTTAACACGTATGAAAGTCCCAGAAACACGTTCTTCCGGTCTCCGGTCGACAAAGTGGCACGTCGCAGGCCTGGCATATATACTTCGTAAATGACGGGCCTTGGCCGGTTTGACGCTTAGGGTTCTTGTATAGACACCAAATACAGCGTTTTTGAACGTTCAAATAACTCTTTACTACCAAATGTGGCAAGGAAGAGTTATTCCGCGGTTTTGGAGGCTGTAGATCCTCTGTCTTGCGCTTCTTTGTGCTTGTCGGCTGCATATAACGCGCCATTGAAGGAGCAAACATCAAAAGCGACTTACAAAGTCGCCTGCGGAATTCGGAATGGGTAAATGAAGCTATTCCCAGCTCTTTACAACGTAAAGAATGGATTTTGTAGGCGTTGACAATCCCTACATCTAGACACCAGTTCCATAAAGGCCACCATGAGCGAAAGGCCTTTATATGAGTGTCATACGCAGCTCTGTGCTGATTGGCTATATCCACCCCTCCCATATAATAATTATAATCATCAATAAAGCGTGGGATAGGCATATTTTTGACCGCTTGTTCACCGAATTCTTTATGCACTAGGGGGCCATTTGTTGAAGTCTTTTGAGGCCTTCGGCGCGTACACTCAACATAATCATCTGTCTTATCAACTGTATGAATTGTAGTGAGCGCAAGGACAATATTATTATCTTGCCATGCAACGCAGAGAACGTCATTGACGGGGATAGCACAAACTTTGTGATATGGGATATATGAACCCAAATCTTTCAGTTTTTTGAGCAAATTAGGGAACTCCTTATGAGGCCGGGTAGTGCCACAAGCTCCCACTTGTATATCTCGAAGCGCTTTGAATAGATTAACGCTAGTAAAGTAGTTGTCGAGGTACAGATCGTACGTTCTGTCGTCCTTTGGCAGGGTTTGTACGAGCTCATACACCATTTGGCCTGTTTTAGTAAGGTCTTTTGTCTTTCCCACCTCAATAACCCCCATTGTACGGCTTGCCGGGTAAAAATAGTAGCAATAACCATGATCCGCAAGAACGAACATCTTGAAGCCCTGGCTGATCGGTTTATTAAGCATTTTGTACGTGTGAGAAGATCTTCCATAGCTGCAAATTATTGCCTCATCAATCGATATATTGGACGAAGGAATATATAGATTTTTTGAGGCTTTTCGCAGCATGTCGAGCACAATATGAACTTTATGCCACCAGATACCGCTCAATTGCTCTTCGCTCAATTGTAATTCCTGCTCCGCAGTAGGCTCTAGGCGGTAAAAGGTTGGTATGAAGCCTCCGGGGACCTCGGAGGGCCTAGATATATGAAAATAGCGCTTCAATTGCTCAAACCGGATGCATGTTATATATTCGGATAAAGGGTGATTGGCATGAATCGATTCGTTATGCTTCTCCTCGTCCCAGTAATCTTTTAGCTGCGGTTCCTTAGCAATTCCCATATATATTTGAGCTCCGATGAAAGCCTTGAGTTCTCTCGGTGTGGTTGATCGCCAATTTCGGTGGTGTGGGTTCGTGTTCTTTGATAGTTTCGCGTACGCATACATATTTGTATTGTGGGCAAGAACTTTGAATAAATCCTCGATGAAAAATAGACTAAAGATTTGATATGGCTCCATAACTTTAATATGGGGTGGGAGTTGTAGTTTAGGGGCGCGCTTTTTATCTGTTCGTACAGGCTCAAAGCGGACCTCATTTGCCTCGGGGATCTGCTGTAAAATCGCTATAGCCTCAGCTCTTTTTCCCGTCAATATTGGCTGAGAATCAGAGCTGGGCTGATGCATCTCTATATCATAATTTGAAGGCGCTGATGCCATACTTTTTAACGTCTTTGTACGGCCTCAAATTGAATATATTAACTGTAAAAGGGGCTCGGGGCTGGAGATATTCTGCCGGTTTTTGACATTGGGCCTCTGCCACTACTCTAGCCAATGAGAGGCTCTGATTTAACCTTAGCGGGCCCCTGCCGCCGGAGGCGGCCAACTGGAGCCCTCATATATGTCAAAAAACGTACTATTACTGTAAATAGCCTAGCTAAAAACACAAGCCCCCAAAGTAGGGGATAGTATTCGTATTAATGATCAGTATCCGAGATCCGAGCAGCTCGACTTTCTGTTAACTTATGTTGATCCTAGAAAGATCTTCATATTCACCAGGAAGGTTACTCGTTGCAGCCTTTTGATCTCCATGATAAGATTTGTATGGAATTGGTTGTTTGTCAATCATATCCACTGTACAAGTTGAAGCCGAACCGTTAAAGCCGAGAGATTGAAACGATGTTTTAGGTAGGTGTTATAAAGAAAAAGTAATCTTAAATGTCCTTTGTGGCTGTCTCCATCAATCGAACGACCGACTGGTCCCAGACCTGTCGACTGTGTATTCATTTATTAGCCAATCAATCGGCATCTTCTTCCCAGTCTGACAGACGCCACTGTACCAGTTTGATTATCTTACTTATTTGAATGCCCCTCCGGTGCCCTCAATTATGTGACCTCTGAATTTATCCCTTGATTATCGGACTTTATAGAGGGGAAACAGGCAACGGAGGCGTAACTAGCATGTTATAATTTCATATAGGTTGAAATTGCATATTAATGCGTCTATTAAGTTATCACGATATGACCAGCAGTTGACTACAGCTTATAAGTCAGCGTCTGGCCTCATGTACAGTTAAGTTTTTAGATACTATCCTCGTCCAGCCATCATTCGTTTTCCATTCTGAAGGCACAGTTCCTTCTTCCATTCATTCTTTCTTTTACAGACGTTCTTTTCTCTAGACCATTTTCGTTTTTCATTCCTCTTTTCGTTAAGCTTCAGAAACCATCTGTTGGAAAAAATGAAGGCAAACTATTTTCCTCTCTGGGCGCTGGCGGGTTCGGCGTCTGCTTATCTCGCTACAACTACTGTATGTGGGACAAACTCTGATCATTGATGGTCCAGTTGATATTAACATCTGTGATAGCGTTACTATGACGGTCAAGAGGGTGCCTGTGGTTGTGGTGGCAGCTCCGGCCTTGACTCCTGGCAGGTGAGTAGGACATCTCGTTGATAATGGGGCTTCTCTAATGTGACTTCACACAGGTCGGAAGTAGCAGTACAGGATTCTACACCGCCGCCGGATCTCAAGCCCTCTTCGACACCGACGGATCCTCCTGGTGCGGAGGCGGCTGTGGTAAATGCTACAACCTGACTTCAACGGGAACTTCAGCCTGCAACGGCTGCGGTGAAGGTGGTGTTGCTGGTGAAAGCATAATCGTCATGGTTACAAATCTCTGCCCGTATAACGGAAACGAAAAATGGTGCCCGTCTGTGGGTAGCAAGAATGACTATGGGTATAGCTACCATTTCGACATCATGGCCGAAAGTGAAGTGTTTGGTGATAATGTCGTTGTCAACTTTGAGCCCGTCGCTTGCCCCGGACAGGCAACTTCTGACTGGGAGACTTGTGTTTGCTATGGTCAAACGGATACAGATAGCACCCCTGCTGGATTCTCTACGGTTGCTGGATCTTCTGAACCTACAGCGACATCCTCGACTTCAACTGCGGCAGCTTCCTCTAAGACTTCTACTACTTTGGTTATTTCAACAACTCCAGTCAAAGAAGTTGCTAGCTCGTCGACTTCATCTACGTCCACTGTTAAACCAGTAACCGAAACCTCTCCTGCCGCGGTCGCACCAACTTCGACAGTTCCCTCCGTGCCTGAGGGCGCTGCCACTACTTCCACATATTCCTTGACACTTACCACCGTCGTCACCGAGACAATAACCGTCTGGGAAACACCTACTTCTACATCTGGCAGTTCTGCTGCTGTTCAGACTCTCTACGGACAGTGTGGTGGCATCAACTGGACTGGTGCTACAACCTGTGCTACAGGGGCAACATGCAAAGTACAGAACCCTTACTACTACCAATGCGTGAGCTCGTCAAACTAAGCCGGGTCTTGATTCTTTCAAGTAGCACTTGAACATGTTTCAAGAAATTCGTTCTTATTCATTCTTCTTTTACATATTACTTTCTCTTTGCTTCTTTCTCTTTGAGCATGCTCAGGATCATCATCCCAAGAGACTTCTGTATTATCATATATTTGTCTGACAGAACGTCAAAATATAAAGGTTTTTCTTTCAGATTAATTAAGATTTTCTGGTTTTTGAGGTTCACCTAACATACACGCCTGTATCTAAGCGTGATTGCTATATCATTGCACCACCTGGGCAACTTAGGCAGATTAAATACCGTACGAGCTTTAGTCGATACGCAGACCAGTGATGGCATTCTTGAAACCGAGAAATAATTGTCATAGTCATAGCCTATTTGTACATGAACCAAGTGGTATTTCCCCCAAAGCAGCCGTTCTAGAAAAGATATAAACAAAATAAGAGAGATGTAGCAATGCAATGTGTATGAGCAGAAAAAAGAAAATATAGTCTATTATGTATTAGTAGACATTAGAGGTGAGTGGTCTGTATCAAATGCAATCAAAAAGGAAAACTTGAACGAGGGTGTTGGGCTTATGCAGCAGTCATTTCAATGCGCTTGCCCTTGATCGAGACCCATTGGATACTTAGGGCGCCGATAATGGTTAAACAACTCATAGCAACCGAAACGTAATAAGCATTTATCAATGCGTTGTTGTATGCATTCAATATCGCAGGCAGGAACTCTTTCGGAATGACTTTTTGAATCTCAGTGGCACCGATACTCAAAACAGTAGTAGCATTGAGTCCTGGGAGATTCGCAGCAACAACATTGTTAACAAGTCTATTCTCAAAGACATTTTCGGCGACAGCAATGAATAGCGCGCCGCCTAGGGTCTGGGAGAACATCACAATGGCGGTACCGACTGCGATGTCGTCGCCTTGCAGACAGGCCTGAACAGCAACCATGGTTTGTTGCATCCCGAATCCAACACCGGCACCAAAGATGAATTGATATCCAATCCATTGGGATTGAGGGGTATTGAGGTCGAAAGTGGTGATGAGACCGGAGCCTACGGCAGTGAGGATGGAGGAAATGATCATGAAGGGAGCGTAGTAGCCTGTGTAGCTGACAAGACCTCCAGAAAGCATGGAGATTGCAACAAGACTGAGAATCAATGGTAGATTCATGATGCCAGATCTCACGGCTGAGGCGCCTTTGATAGCCTGGAACCAGATTGGGATCTGGATTCATTGTTAATGTCTATAACACAAACTTAGGCTTTCCTAATGGAGAAAGAGTGACACTTACGTAGTAGATCAAGACGAAAAAAGCAGCACCCTGGAAGGCAGCAAACAAAGCGCATCCCCAAATGTTACGGTTCTTGAGAATGCGAGGCGGCACAGTGGCAAGCTCCTGTTTCCACAACTGGACTGCCACGAACCCCGTAATCAAAACGCCAAATAAGACGAATAATGCAATAATGCGTCCGTTACCCCAGGCGTATGTGGTGCCTCCCCATTGTAAAGCAAGCAAAAGGCAGATGACACCAGGAATGAAGAAAAATGTTCCTTCGAGATCGAGAAGTTTGATCTGTTCTCTCCATGTCGAAGCGGCTGCCTTTGTCTTTCCGCCAGGTGGTTGAAAGAAAAAGATGATGAACAGTCCAGTAATGGCGCCAAAAGGCAAGTTGATATAGAAGCACCAACGCCAGGTGACTTTATCGGTGAAAGCACCACCCATTCTACAGTAATGGTCAGTAATGCTGCAGTATTACCTCGTGAGATCTCAACTTACAAAGGTCCAGCAACAGAAGCAATGCCCCACATACCACCAATCAAGCCCATATACATTGGGCGTTGCGACAGGGGAACAGTTCGTGAAACAATAAGCAGAGCACCAGAGAAGATTCCTGCAGCACCCATGCCGGCAACTGCACGGCCCATAATCAACCCCACGGAGTTGGGAGTGATGCCACAGACGAATGAGCCCAGCTCAAAGATAAAGAGCGCTGTGAGGTAGACCCACTTGATCGAGTAGAAAGTGTATAGTTTACCAAAGATCAACTGCAAGCAGCAAGTTGTCAATAGATAAGCTGCGCCGTACCAACCAACGTCGTTTACCGCGTTGAACTGATCGGTAATTCGAGGGATGGCCGTTGCAATGATTGTGTTGTCCTGTTAATCAATCGCAGGCAAAGGTTAGCTGTACATTTGGATAACTCAAGAGGAAGGGTTTTGCCATACCAAAGCCATACAAAAGACGGATAAACATAACGCAATTGTGATCAGCGCCAGTCTCCATTTAGCTGGATATTCGATCTGTTCTTCTTCTTCTTCTTCTTCAATTTCATTTTCTTTCTCAACTGGCGCATCCCTGCTGTCTACTCCCTTCAGGGAGAGTTCTACCGCAGCTTTTTCATCCGCAACTGTTTCGTGGCCAGCCGACTCGTCCAACTGGCCGGTCTCGAGCTGCTTCTCGGGGTTTGGTGTCATGGCGTGCCTATCCCTTATGCTTTGCGCGTCTGCTAATGAGACATCCGTAGAACCGTCCAGATTAATAGATGTATGATTGTCGGCCATTCTAGAGACGAAATGTGAGTCACCCCTTCCACAGTGCAAGAAAGACAGAAATTCCAACATACACTGCCACTCTCACGAGCCTCCCTTCTTTAAATACGAGTTGGCGGTCGAAAATAAACTGGGTCCGTCATTAGAAAGGGTCCCATTAAGCCTCGCCAACACTCAACTGGGCCATCTCAGCCCAGAAGAGTGAGCCGTCATTGGTCGATGCGAAAAGTTTTTTAGAAATCCTTTTGCTATGCTTTTGCCCTTTTGGGTAAGCGCACCCTTTCATTCGGTTAACTTTTCGTCCGAATGTTCGAGACTTTGACGCCGGACCCACTAATTTTTTTGCGATCTGGATCTAAGGGTATCCAATCAAATCATCAGCAAAAGGAACAATTATGCATGCGATCTGATAAGCTAGCTAGATCCGATGATTGTAATTACAGTGTATTAAGATCGATACCGGACGGACTAAATCGACCGATTGGATCACCAATCAGAGGCTGTTTCATATCTTATTTCCACCGATAGGGAAAGAAGTCCGAACTCCGTTCCTCAGCATATATTACCAATATTTCGTATTGTCTTGTATCGTAGTGCGACACGCTACCAGATCTTTCCGTCTCGCTTCCAGAAGAAAAAGAAAAAATACTGTTGTAACGTCGTCTAACATGGACCGTTTCAGTTGTCAGTTGTCAGCTCGGATATCTATGTTACTGTGACAAAGGGTAAGACCGATCTTTGTTCCGTCATATCTCCGGAGTCTATTGTCTAGGATGAATTTGTTTTCCAGAGTTGTTAGAACTGTTCTTGTTAGGCTTGTATAGTGCTCAGGCATTATTAGGCAACCAGATATATGTCTTTTTTCGTCGCTCTCTTTCCGTTAGCATTGCTCGATTGCTTCCAGAAGTTCCACAACCTACATCATGCGACATTCACTGCTTCAAACATGAGAATGTTCCAGAAATGGCGTGGCGATCCATACAGGACAATAGAGGATCGATCGACAATTTGAGTTGACATCGAAGAGGTAGATACGTACTGGTTATGGACATATTGCTTGATACTATTCGCCGTCTTTTGCATTGCAATGAAAACATTTATGTCTAATGATGAGCTACACCAATCTTGGACATCGGGAATATATAACTTCCGTTTTGTGTATACGGAGCATATAGGTTTCCATTCGGCTCTTCTCGGGGTGTGAAACCCTTGTACGTCCAGTGCTATATGCATATATCCTCTTCATCAACTTGGAATCATCTGATCAACCACTGGTTCCCTGTCTGATGCAATGCGGTAGGAGCAAAACAATCGGTCGTGTACGAAATTTCCCCTCAAGCATACCATAGTATAACGCATAAACTCTCGGTGTGTACCGGACCAACCGTCAAATGTTGCGCTCCTTGTGCCTTGGCCCTATCCGCCTCTACGCACCCGAATAAAACACGAGCTTTGTTGGATCACTTGGCTAAATGCAGGATAATCCTCCCTTCCGCAATACGAGAACGGACCATTTTGTGCGGTGTACGAGGCTTTCTTCATGTTGTCTTTGGGTTTGTAAGCTTCGTTTAGACCTTGTACACCCAACTACTCAGTCTGCAGTATTGTCAAATAAAGCCCCAATCAGAGATGTCCAACACTTCGCTATGAATGACCACTTCGCGGCATCCTGGATTGAAGCTTATGACTGAGGTTCTCCATCCTGACAGTCAGTGGAGCATTTGCTCGTCATTTTGTGTAAGCTCGATTGCGGTCTAGAATACGCGCGATTGGAAGCCCAAGTTGAAGCAACCTGGAGTATAATAACTAAGGTATCGCCGTAAGCCCCAAGGTTTGTTATTGAGTGTTAACAAGAGGTTTCTGGTAGCCTCATGTGCCATTAGTACCGAGGTTTCTCTTTGACACGGGCATGGTGACGGATCAAGTAACCCAGTATATCTTATGAGCTCTCTGATTGTGATGATAGGAGTCTGGATCAGTATGTCTTGATTCTCTTGACTTATTTGCGACTTCGGGCGACTGATTTGCAATACTAGTAGTTCTGATTATGAAGTGATTCTTGCTATGAATGTCCCCTTGTATCCCGCCTGTGAAAGTGTATAAGATGACGGTGAAGAATGGCTTGGAACAAAGGATGGAACAGTATACGTGATAGTTCTAAGGCTGTTCAGAGAGATAATGCTCCTCAAAGGTCGGATTTGATGGTTAAGAGTGTCCGAACTCACAAGCAACGGTACCATAAATGGACAATCTTCATGCTGATAACTGACCAATGGAATTGATGCAGAATCGTCTACCCAGAACGGGTTTAGAGTACTATTCTTGCGATCCCTGAGTACTGCGCTGTAGTGCTTGTGGTGGGGTGTCTTTGATCAATAATCATCCCTGCAGAAGAGCAGATGAGCTCGAACTATGATTAGATCGAGTTGCGGAATGGTAGACGCACTCTAGTAATATGTCGCCAGATCAAAAGTCTCGATAATGAGGTATCATCTGTCTATTAGTACTAATAAAACAATCTGTTTATCCATGTCACTATTGCTATCCGGTCCGGATGTCGAGCAGCGGGTGCGGAATAGGATCTTCGTCCTTAAAGGTTGGCATCACAAAATCAGTCATTATGCCAGTGGCTGAACCCCAACTCACCTGCAGTAGCCCACCCGCTCTTCTTCGGATAGTCATCGAACCATTCAAGACCCGCCACGTAATCATACCTCATGCAGATGCCTGTACGTAGCAGTAAGGTTCGACCAATATGTCAGCATTTATAAATAGTTTGGATTCTTCATATCTTATTCAAATCTCGCCTGATACTACGAGTATATAGTAGATTTGACCTGTTCTTAAATCTTCAAGGATCCTTGCAGGCTGTGTAAGGGATCCTGCTCTAATTCAAAATAGGTTTCTGATGGCTTTATACACGTTCGTAGATGTAGTTCCAGAAATTGGTCAATGAATCGGATATAGGATAGGGTGGCTTGCATGAGGAGTCTGAAAATTTGCAACTTCATGGCATCGAGATTGAGAGAAACCACCAATCTCGTATCTATAAGTGGGCCTTTCACTTCATGTACAAGAGCACTGGAACATTGCAGATCTGCTGCATGTCACACATCTGCCGCCAGACATGCAAAATGATGCCATGCTCAAATGCAGCCTGCGTTCTAAGACCACAGCCGTAGTTTTTGAGACATCCAGGGATGAACACATGTGTAACCGTAAAATTCTAGACGACTCAACCTTCCATCTCTATATTGTATCTTGACGCATAAGATTATCACAATCAAGGGAAGTTCAAAATGGCACAGCAAGTTGGCGATCCGCTGCCCCCAGGAGATTATTTCGTATGCATTGACTTCATCAAAATGAATCAGCGCTGATATAGACTAACAGGGCGTCAGTGTGTATCTCCCAACATGGAAAGACACATTGGCGTGGGCTCAGCGAGATCCAGAATTCCTGGCTACACTAAAAACTGGGTATCCTCGATTCTTTATTCCACGAGTGGTATTGGAGTTAGCCACGCGAGTACTGGAGCGCACTCAAATCCCCTTCACCGAGCCCCAGTTCGCTATCCTTACAGCGACATACCGGGCTGCCGAATGTTGTCGGTCGTACTTTGCAAAAGTCGGCAACCACGATAGTCAAGTCATCTGTTTTCGATTTTCAGGTGAAATTACCGTGCTAAAAGAAGGAGGAGGAGGAGGAAATATACCCTCTGATGACACTCCGGACAAGCAGTTGTATGCCATAACATACCCGGAGAGGTGGGCATCTGAAGGTAAAGCATTCTGGCAACATACAGGATCAGGTATAACCAGTCGATGTGCTGTTTATTGGTTGGAGCATGCGCCATTTCTTGAGAATCGACAAATCTATACCGAGAAGACCCCGGCAAATTTGCCGCTTGAAGAGGGGAATAAAGCCGTGATCTCGATGCGCCAGCGGATTGCAGAGTCAGTGTCATCTCAATCTCTTCTCGTTCAAATCGACGATGTGACTCTATATCCGGCTGGTATGTCGGCTATCAGTAACATTTCACTGTCCATACGCAGCTTGTTTGATAGACAGGACGGGATTCACAGAGTGGCAGTTTTCGGGTATGTTCTTGTTCCATCTAGCCATTGCTGGTTGTCAATATTAATAGTTATTGCACTAGATTCCTGTATGTCGACACATTTAAAGTCCTAGGCAAGATTCATAGCATGGATTGTACCTTATATGGTCATGGAACAACAGAGAACCTAGATGCATTGGAAAACGATTTGGAGAAGGGTTTGGTTATTGATGCCTTGTATACCGAGTTTCCCGGCAATCCTCTCCTACGGTCACCGGACTTGGAACGCATACATCAACTAGCCCAAAAGCATGGATTCGTCGTAGTAGTGGATGATACAGTTACCACCTCTGTCAATCTTGCTCTTTTCCCCTACTGCGACGTCATCTGCACGAGCCTGACCAAGATGTTTAGTGGAGCTTGCAACGTTATGGGTGGATCGATCGTTCTTAATTCTCAGTCGCCATGGTTCTCTAGGTTAGAATCCGCGATGCTGAAGCACAAACCAGAACCATACTTTAGCCTTGATGCTATTGTCATGGAGAGAAACAGTCGAGATTTCACAGAGCGTGTTCTGAAAGCCAGTGCTAATGCTGATATCATCGTCGATATGCTCAGAGGGCATCCATCAGTCGATGAGATATTTTACCCAAAAGGCAGCTCGTCTCAGAATCTTTACGATAAGTTTCGAAGAAGCGAAGGTGGATACGGCTTCCTTGTGTCAATTCGGTTTGTAACGCCCGAAGCTGCGATTGCGTTCCATGATGCGCTGGACGTAGCCAAGGGACCAAGCCTTGGGACAAACTTCACACTTTGCTGTGCATATACGTTGTTGGCGCATTACTCAGAGCTGGAATGGGCGGCAGAGTATGGAGTGGTTGAGCATTTGGTTAGGATAAGTGTAGGTATCGAGAGTCAGGATCTTCTCAGGAATATTGTAGATCGTGCCCTTGCTGCTGCGGAGAATGCCCTCAGTGTCTTGAACGGATCCTAGGATGCATTCGTGCTGGAAATTAAGGGTTTAACCCCACGTTTGTAAGAATAAAAACGAGCCCGACTCAAAAGGCATGCAGTACGTAAATATTCGCATCACGATTGTGCGTTGCACATGAAGGCCTAGGCAGCATCAATATGAACTAAAAATGACGTTCTAATGACCCTGAAAGAAGCATTTCTATACTGGTCGACAAGGCACACGGTTACCGCAGTAGATTTATATCTGCGTGTTAATATGTAGCACAGAGAAGACATCCTTGTCTATGTAGTATTGCAAAGGTATAAGGTTGTGGAAAGAAAATGACTAGCACCATCCGAGCTCCTTTCGGAGAGAGGTTTAAACGCTCTTCTCCGATATGACCCAGAAATCCGGTATGAATTCACAATATGAGAGAAACTGGGAAGTCTGTAGATAGATTAACAATGCATGGGATGCATTTAAGAGCATTTTGATCTCATTGACTGGCGATATATGCTGCTATGTAGGTGTGGAAATGTAATGTATACCAGACATGTTCTCATGAATAAGTCGAAAGGACTATGACATATGCTTATCTATATATATATCGTCTCGCACGATGGTGTCGCTCGGTACGCCCCACTCTTGGGAGTCTATTAACGTATCTGATGCAGTCTGCTCAAATCCATAACCATGCTCTTTCACGTAGCGCATATTGGAAGTAGGCCAAATCTGGCAAATGATATAATAGGCCACAAAAGCCGTGACAAAGGATAGAATCCAGCCGAGATCGACGATATGCATTGCTGCTGTAGAAACGTTGGCTCCTAGTTCGCCGCAGAAGCCAGGAAAAGGAAGTGCAATTCCGATCAGGTAAGCTATCACGGCTTGTATGTTGATGCCTTTGGTATAATAGTAATTTTTGTTCTCCCGAGTCCCATTGTAAAGGGAAGGTATGAACACGTTGCCTTTGGTGAGGCAGAAGTCTGGTTGAAGTATTAGTAAGGAACTGTAGATTAGGGCTGAGAAGGATTTTACACGTACAGTCACACACCATAATTGCAACGACACTAGCCTGTGCTGAGTCAATATGGAGTTGCATCGAGATAGGTACGAAAATAAACGGAATTTCATACCATGAATAAGCCATATCCGCTAAGGAAAGTCGTGAACTTTGCTGCTGATGCAAGGATCTTCCACGGACAAACTGCCCAGGCAAGTATCTCGATAATAAACTGCCCTCGGCGCATATTGACATATGAAGGAAATAACATGGACGAGTCAGCACCAAAGGCAATCATGTTGGCTGCGATGTTGACCCCAACAATTTGGACCAGCCAGCAAAATGCACAGAGGAAAACGGCGAATCTGACGCTAGATGACCAATAGTTATCCAGAATGAGGTTCATCATATCCCATTGATTCCTACTGACTGTTAGATATGCTTTCTATGATGCTCTGTCATAGCTCAGACTGGATATCATAGAAGCACTTACCAAACTTCCGTGCCGAATTTGAGATTCACGGCAGCTGTTGACAGAATACCAAGACTAGCAGATAATGTGACCGCAATTGGATTGGATATCTACATGGAAGTTAGTGTTTTATCAATACGTATGGACGATATCTACCACTTACTAACTGGGTCCAGATGGGAGCCTCCCTACTACGGGACCATCTTGCATAGTCTGGTTGGTTGGTAATCAATGTCGCGGTGTTTCTGTATTCAGACAGTCAATATGTTGTTCTTCAGACGAAAGCGATTTCCCATACCCCATGCCACTGTTGATTCCAGCCAGAATCATCCAAGCCACTGTACTGGAACTTGTCGAAGTAGCTGAATAGAGTCCCCCGCTCAGACGACCCTTGGTATTTGCCATAGCCCAAATAAACAAGCCAAACATTGCCGGCAGCGAAACAATAGTTTTGAACCAAAAGAACTTGCGCAATTGATAAGGTCGGAAATAGCAAAATGGTAGATGGACCAGCCAGGCGAGGAAGAAGGCCAGCATTAGCGGAGTAGTGATACTAGCGCTTGCAGGCAGGTGATTGGGGATATCAGTGAAATTATGTCCGAAAATGGCACGAAGGATATTATACATGTACTCGGCGCCGGAGTACACTAAAGAAGGCGGTTTAGTCAGTATCATATATATGACCCCCCCCTCCGGAGAATAATTGGGCATAACATACTTTGAACTGCATACCATATGACAGCCAAAATCGCTCGAGCACCCACAAAGTAATAACTTCCCCACATACCAAAGACACTTCGGCCAACGCAGGGAAACCCGATGTGGTAGACGCTCGCTGCGCGTGAATTGAAAGCCATGGCAATGGAGGAGATGAACTGAGAAACGAAGATGACTACGATTGCCTGCCACCAGTTCAAACCGACACCGATCATTGACTTTGCGACGGTCAGAAGGGTATTCCTTGTGTTTGTTTAGAATCTCGAGTACTGACTGATCCCAGGGTCCAGTTGGTGAAGGAGATAGACCAGTAAAAAGTGACATAATTCCACCAGCGCCAGGCTAAATAAGAATGAGCTGTTGTTCGTAATAGATTGAATAGAGACGAGATTGTCGTTTTGCTTACTTTGTTGCTCTGGCGGCGTAGGAAGGAGATCTGGCAACAGAAAATTTCAGTTCTATCGGTCGCGTGCCTCTGCCACGAACTGATGAATAGTCGCTAACCTTCATTGATCCACCGCGATCTCTCCGCATCTGCCTCCTCAATAGGGAGTTTGATTGCCCTCTTCACACGCTGCACAAGAGACACCATGATTGATTATCCCAGCGATGTCAATTGACTGAGGTCCGGCCAAGTCCATAGAGTTATCACCACGAAATCTTTGGGAAAGTCCTCGGTTATAATACTGTTTTTCGTTTCTTTTTTCTCAATGCGGGATCTTAGTGGCCATGCTTTATCATGAGCACCGAACGGCATGCTTAACTTGTTTGGTCTTCGACTGGCAGCACTAAGTGGCGCCGAAGGGATTTGCGCGCAAGCACGGGAGCCTGGCGCCAATGAAGAAGAGGTACGAAGCCCATCGCAGGTCCACTAATGCTGGCATTGCTACCATAAGGTGAACCTGTTAGATAAGACGATTGCCACCTGATCCACAGGTCGAAAATTTACATAGGGCCTTGGCCCGAGAGTCTCTGTTCCTATCAACTATCATAAGCAGTTGAATCGTAGAGATAGACAGAGAGATAGCGCCTGATTTGAATTCGTGCTCAGTCATTCCGGGGTGCTATTTTCTCATTTTTCTCAACCGTGCAAATGTGACAATCTTGACAGTATTATGAAATCGACAATAAGATACCCGATAACTGTGCAGTAGCCAGTACACTAACTAGTAACCACGGCGTCCCTGGTAATACGCATTGATTATTACTCGCACTTTGATTCGTCCTAATAAAGGGGAAACTGATCGCCAACTGCGCCATACAGCTGAGTGGCGCTTACTTGGAAAATATCGAAACCACCTGGACTCTTCGAATTGTTTGCTCACACGGCCCGGCTCCTACTTGAGTATCGATATAGAAAGAACTCAGATGCAATAGATAAGCAAGCATCCGGAAGGTGTTGGTTGTATTTGGGTTGCTTAGAAACAGCAGAGGTCCACTTGTAAAAGCCACCAGAATAGACTTTCGGATTCTGATTCCGAAGTGAAAAAGCAGACAACCTTGGAATATTAGAACAATATTATCAACTGAGCCCAGTTCCTTCCAACAAAGACGAACCCATCCATAGATTGACGGGACTTCAAGTTTGATCCAAACTCGATACGACGATACTAACATGCATATACTGAGAATCCTCATACGAGGTTCTGATAGTCACTATTAACTATGAGAAGGAGAGTCAATCTGTTCTTGCACAAGCCGTGGCTTTTAACAATTGAAATGCTTCGAAACAGTGGAGATAAGCCTTGTCTACAAAATAAACACCAAGACTTATCTCCTAAAACGCCAGTTCCACCAACTGTAATCCATCCTCGCACTGTCTACCAATGGTAATCTGGGTTTTGGTAACCTTCTTGTTGACAATATCAAACTCCGTCGACACTGTAGCAAGAGTTGTCATTCTCTCCATCCCGGTTGCATTGGCAGGTCTGTCACGACAAATGCTGACAGGTGTGCCCTTCTGGTCCTTTAACTGCTCAATAACCGATTCAAAGGTAAAATTTTTCATGTTGTGAAGATCTTTCTCTGTCAATTCTGTAATTCTTTCAAGACGAGAGAATGAGTTCGGTGCAGGTCTGTCGTATATGGGCCCTCGAGAGAATGCTGTATGTGGTGTCATAACATGGTTGGTATGGGCCACAAAACCCCGGCCTTTTCCTATATCCTTCGAAGAATTGCCTTCATTCAAAGGATGAATCACGGAAAGTCCATTTGGTGAGATCTCAACAGTAGCAAACTTCCCCCCGCATCTGCGATGACGAGATTGAATGTACAGGCACCACCGTACTGCTCGAGCAATGCCACAGCTTCATCAAATTTTTGGCATACTGCAAGACACGTCGGCACATGATATGAGTGGGTAACCGATCTAAGGAGAGTGCACCACATCGAAGTGCATTCATGCAAATTCCGACTCCGTGTGAATTAACCCCGATTTTGCCAACGAGCTCAGCTTCATTAAGGAATTGTAGCCTTGTCTTCCCATCGGGCGTGATTATGTCCATTATCACGATTCCATCATGTAGTTCTAGCCAATCCCAGTTTTGCGCCAGAATTACTGTCGAGCCGTCTGGCGAACGAATTGTAGGAAATGTCTCTTTTGGGGTGTTGGAATAGTTTGTCAATCCAATTTCGCTTCGAACGTTCAATGCCAGAATGTCTTCTTCATCGAGCTGAGCTCCGTCTGCGATACCTTGGATTTCTTCCAATATCTCAGGATATAACCGTTCAAGAGTCGGGACAAAAACCTTTGATCGTCCCTTTGCTTTTTCCCAGCTTTTCATGCCAGCCGTCTCTTGGAAAAACGTCGTGTAGGTTTTGATATTATTGTGAATTTGCTCTTTTGCCAACTGGCCATGTTGAAGTCCGATTTCGTAAGGAGAGGAGCCACGGAGCTGCAGAGTGGCCACATGGGGCTTTGGATGCTTGTGAGTCATTTTTTAACCCTGGCTGGTTCCTTGTATTTCTTTTCGAAATTACCATTGAGATGATCTCAGATCAACTGTGTCAATCTTCTCTTCCAATCTGCATTTAAGTCCTCATATCAGTATGCTGTAACTCTGTCACTTGCACAGAGTTGTGACAAATACGGAAATAATCCCACATCGGAAGATACACTTTCAGAGAGTGGGATTAACGCGGATGAAGGCGAGACGTTTAAAGTTTTTCATTTTCCTTCTACTGCACAATTTAGGACTATTCTAACTGGAATCGATCCGACAATTTAGGAATAACTATAGTTTGACTTTATGAATTTGTTAAGCGGGATATGCTCGTAGATTCCAGTCCCCAGATCACGGGCAACCCTAGAATGAATTTTATAACCTTGTTGGATTTAATGTTACAATATATATCCATCACAGGTATGTAGATACATATTGTCAAGATAGCTGTATCTCGTTAAAAATAGGTTGAGAGGGTGAGCTGCTGCGAAACCCTGGAAGGTGACATGTCCACCCGGAGTCACGTCAGCTCATCCAGTATCGAAATATCACGGCTGTGGATCTTTACTGCCTTCTTAATACCGAATAATAGCGTATAGAGTGTATCTAAAGTATACGTTCTCCTTTATCAGTCAAATACAGGAACTCTTGTCCCTCAGGCTGTGGTGAAAGTCCAGTAGCCAATTTGTCCCTTCGATCATTTTCGCAATTGTTGACAAAGTACAACACCAAACAGCAACCTGCAGCAGTGATATATTGGGCATCAGGATGGTCAGGTGCCTGGCAGTATGTTTCTGGTCCAAATGAGGAAACCAACGCAATACCCGATCAAGGAGATGGCATTGACCGTGGTCTTCTTTGCGTAGTCGGCGGTGTTGGACGAGATTATAGAAAGTACCAATGTTAATGCAGTGGTACCAGTTCTGGATCCATCATGAGAACCATTCCGAGTAATCCAGGGAGCCGTCCGATAACCGCGCAGAAGATACTGTTTTCGATCCTCTTAGCGAGATAGCAAATTCCAACAATAGAAATTACCTCAACCAAACCACCAGGCATGACAAGGAGGAAAGTCTTTTTTACGCATTGAAACCAAAGCTCTCGATGAGTTCCGTGAAAAAGACCGTGATTCCACTATTGGGAATATTGGTAGTAACCATGAAGATGAAGATCAGGTATGTCTACAGGTGGACATTAGTACAGAGATCCAGATGGTTGATGTCAGGAAACGAAGATAACGAACCCGTATGTCTGTGAATGCCTCACGGAATTGACTTCCCTTGAATACTTTGCTACATATTCCTTGCTGGTTTCCACGGAGACGTTCTATAGCAACGCGTTTCTCTTCATCCGTCAACCAGCGAGTAGTGACCGGGGAACCGGCCTTCAAAAAGAACATGAACATTCCATACACAGCAGTCAGAAGGCCGATAATCAAGAACATTGCTTTCCATACCGCAAAAGCTCTAATGTCCATTTTCAAAACCAGCGTAAACACCGTAGGCGAGTATACCACCGATAATTTGAGCCACACCGTTGAACGAGACCCAGATCGCACTTCGGGTTCCTTGATCTCCCAATCGCGACGTTCGTGTTTCGCGCATCATCAGATCTCGGAGGGCGTCTGGTCGCAATCCACTAGCTTCTCGTGCTTGTGTCGCAAGCGGAAAATCAAGTGCGACTTTGTATATTCCAGATGTGGAACATGTACCACAGCAGGTGTGGACTGTCTGGGCTATGATACCGTTACTAAAGAAGAACAACCGCGCAGTTGTGTTACCTTTCTGGAGAATCAGGTAGCTCCTTTAGAGCTTAAATTGGCATCACTCCAGGCCCGAGATGCAAGAGGTTTTGGCATTGCAGATGAAATAGCACCACCTAATCTATTTGCCAAACATCGAGCACAGTTGTTACGTGCTGCTGTCTTGGACAATTGCCAAGACCGTGCGTACGACGCTGAATATGACACTGCACCATGGCGGTCAGTTCCTTATATATCAAGTTCTCTCCTTCCAACCTTGGCTGATCGGGCCCTTGCTCAGAAGAGGGATATAGCATCTGTCCCTCGAAATGTAGTTGATATTATGTTGCGTCACTATGTCGAGTTTTATGACCATGGAATAAGTTCTCCAAGTGCTACAGCCTGAAATTGGGAGCATAAATACTACCTGGTCTCAATCCACAGTTACTGCACAGCTGCCAGTCGTCGAATCCATGCCTGGTGCGGAAAACACATCGATACCGTATGGAGTTGAAACGTCAGCGGTGACATTGACGAACGTAACTTGTATAGGGGTATAGATGTAGATGCGAACTGGTTGACCCCTACAGGTAACGCGCTCTTCTGGCACAGCAATGGCCTTGGGCTGGATGATATTTTTACTGCTTTCGATGAAGGAAATATATACTAACCGGGCGCACCTGATGACACTGCTACAATGCACTAAATTTTGAAGACAGCTTCCATATTACTCTTTCTTATCAGCGTCTCCGGCCCAATCCGAGATAATGAATTAATTGGAAACAAGTATCCATTATGCCATAATCATTGCATTCTCGTCATACAGGGGGAAGATGAATGGACGCTTTTGCCCACAGCTGTGTGGTTAGAAAACAGTCAACAAAGGATTCGATGTTTCAAGATCATCTTTTATACCAAAGAACCAGACAGGGTTGGCCAGAGCAAGCATTCCATCGTCCTTCATGTTCCTGACCTCAGTTCTGACGAATTTTGCACCATTCGGTAACTTATTTTGTACTCTGCTCCTGTCGGCAACAGTAGTGTTGAAGAAAGAACCGTTACCAGAGATAAAAGAGGCTTTGTGACCAGAAGGCCTTGAGTCGTAAGAACGGCCATCGCACCATTTGCGTTACCTTTTATCTAGTCTCCAATTCCAGAGATTTGCTGAGCAATGCGTTGTCATCAAGTGGCTCGAAGATGCCGGTGTGGATTTCTTTGATATCTGGCGGAACATATGAGTCTCCTGCATGGAGAGGAGATATAATTGTCGCAGAGGGAACGGGGAAGGTTTGAAAGCTCTAAAAAATGCTCAATGATTTGTGATACTGATTATTGAAAAACAGCTATTTCATTGACTGGGCGCAGGAAATGAAGAAAGTCCTTGTATGATTCTTCTTCACATATTCCAGATGGAGTATAGTAGCTAATGTCTACAATAAAAAGAGCCGCGCAATTATAGGAACGACAGGTGGGTGGCGAGATAGTTGTCGTATGGCTGAGGCAGTTAAAAATGGGGATTTAGATATATGCGGTCTTGGAAGGCCTTTGCGAGAGGACCCGGATTTCATCTACAAAGTGCTACGTGAAGAAGAAAGGGTCAGTCGGTTGTAGACTCAGGACAATCAATGCATTTTTATGCTTCTTTCATTGCATTGAATGAACGATATTCGGAGAGGATGTAGACGGTGTGTCATGATCTAGAATGCTCCACCAAAGCCTTGTCCGAATAGTTCTCAGAAGACATTAGCGAACGGCTCTCCGTTGCTTTCCATCTCAGGCAAAACTGTTGTAGAGGCGAAAAATGGATCGAAGCTTGTCCAAAAATCATCGTAAGACTGCATATCTGCAAGCCCCGCTGTCCCCGCTAGGGGTTCATTGTATGCTTGACGCTGAGTATCAAGAGATGGAAAATTTTTATTTTCGCTATGAGGTGCCAGGTCAACGAGGTTCGAGGCTCGAGTACGAAGAATTATCTTCAAATGTTGTCCTAATAGAGTAGCGATGCCAAATCGGTGAGGTGGCGTTGATCCAGCACGCTCGAGGTGTAGGGTGACAAGGCCGAGCAGGGACAGAAGTTCTACATCATTACCTGGTCGAGCCCCGTGAAGGAGCGGAAAGAGTTGAAGAGCTAGAACAGCAGCATACGAAATCATTGCCCAAGTTGGTGCTAGCATGCAGTATAATGAATCTCCCATTTTTTGTAAATCCTGTACGGCTATCTCGCATACTTTGACCGCAGCCTCAAAGCAGTCTTCTCGTATAGCGTTTAGGTCATGCTCCGTATTATTATTCTTCGACACGTAATATAAGGCGTAACACAGCGTCAACAGCCTTCCATGAAGATAGACATAGTACAAATAAACAGCTGGAAATTCTGCTTCCAGCGGCGGGGGAGCTATTGTCGTGTCTGATGTTGTCGCGAGTGGAAATGATATCCATCTCTCTACCCAGGAATCAAGAGCTAAATCGACACGTTCGGCAATCCAGTGTGGATGATTAGGGTGTGGCAGAACTGCCTGCGTCCGCAAGTCGGCGTCTAGCGCCGCCATTTCTCGCCGGAATAAAGTGAATGCGCAAGTTGATCTGTTTGTGGAATCTGCTAGGGGATGTAGCCACCAGTTCTCTATATTTTGCGTAAGCTCGGTCTCCGGCAATGTGGTGATACGGCCGCATGCTGCGCTATTGGCACATTCCCAGAGCAGGATTTGGAGCCAATTCCGTTCACGATTTCGGGCCATTCGCTGGCACATTACGCTGGTTGTGTCGTGGACTTTCTATCAAAAAAGGTACATAGTAATTGAGACGAAGTTGATCCGCTTATGGGAAGATTGTTGTTACCATTTCGAGTGTTGCGTTGTCGGGCTCGATGATCCAATCCTAGCTCGGCGGCAATGCTGAATGCGTAATTTGTGTATAGCCACAACCTTTCTTCTCCTAAGTAATTTGCGGGAGTAGCTGAAAGCAAAGAGATATAATAACCTTGTATAATTTCGACAGATTTGAAACCATCGGTATGTACGTGTTTGGACATTTTCTCCCCATGAAGTCTAGCCTTCTGGCCAACGATCCGCTGTTTACGTGAAATTGCGAGGTGAGGGCAAGTATCCAGGTGAATAAAAGAGCCGATCTACTTCGAATATATTCTGGAGTATGGAGAACTGAGTCGAGCATTCCATTGACTGGATGCAAGCGGGCAAAATATCTATCATTCAGGTCAGATAAGTTGTCAATATAGAGAAAGGGCGATTTATTCACATGGGAAATAAATAGCACGCTTCGTCCATTGTTACCAATCCCAAGTCTACCGGGCCGATATCCGAACCGACGTCCCGTGGAGTCTCAGTGTTCGGTGGTTTGAAGTAATCCAGGCGTCGATAATCAGACTCACTTGGATCCGTGAAGAGAGCTTCCAGTCCCTGCTCCAAGCTTGCACGATTGAGTCGTAGAACCAGTGAGATATAACCTGGACGGGAGAGCAATTTACGCGCTAAGGCGGATCCAGACGACGAAATTGTTCCATTAGATGTCGATGAGTCGGCATGTGAAGCGGGAGAAAGAGTCGATGTCATGCCTTTCCGACAAAGTTTCTGCGCTGCTCCCGATGCATCGGCCAATAGTGCGAGAGGATTGTTGATTGGTTCTCTATCTATGTCTTGGTCTTGCTGTGGCTGTGGCCGGAGTATATGGATTGGTTGAGAAGGGAATGATTCCAACTGCGGCCCTACTGTTGGTGCATCCCCTCCGACCGACTCAGTTTGTGCTTCGTGGTTGTCACGAGTCCCCATGGTATTTGTATGATGGTCGGCAAAACGTAGCTCTGAAAGGTCTACGATGTCTCCTAATATCATATTCAGGATTTCCGTTTCTCCTTCAGCCTCAGCCTGCTTGGTAATCTCCTGTATCCGATGAGCGCCATCAGCCGATACTTTCGCCTTCCGTAGCTCCGATTTCATTTTGCGATAGACCTTCTCAAAGCCTCGATATCGACCAACTGCCCCGGGACTACGGCCTTGTGGTTTCCTTTCTGGAATTGTGCATGTTTTATTGCCTCGTTTACAGCGTTCGCATGATTCGGTTGAACATTCTGCTTCTCCCGCTGGCCGTATACATCGCATCTAAATCATGTTACCCGATGAGTCTCTGGGCGCTTTGAGGAATAGATGGATTGAAGAATACCTTCAGCTTCCGGCAAGTTTCGCAAGCAGCTCGGCCATGCGTATACGTTGTCTGACCCCCGACAGAGAGGTTATCTCTCGTTGTCTACGAGATGCTGTATTTCTGGATCGTGTGGCCATTGTATAAAATGTGAAACTATCTGTGAGAAAGGATGAACACATCAAGCGCGGCGGAATCAAATTAATACACCGGGAAGGCACGTCCCACTTCGTAGAAATGGCAGGAAGCGACCCAGCTTGCCGGAAAAGGAAAGACTGATCCACTGCGGGGCGATATCTGCGGGATTGAACTCAAATATATATAGTTTGGCCAATCATGCTGCTTTTTTCTCCGCACTAATACTGATAAAGCTAATGTGGGTAATATTCTGTCCAATCATATGTATGGAAAGCAATTTCTTTGGTTCTATGTGCTCCACTGCATCTTGAATGGATACTATTTCCATCTTCCTCAAATATCTGAAGAAGCTCAGTACAAGTTAGTACTCCCTCATAATAATGCATGAGATAAGAGCGATATTCTTATCCGGCCTGCAGGTATCCAGCCAAGTATAGACTAGTCACTATAGAGCACTGTGAGGATCGTTATATCGACATTCTAGGTATTCCCTGTCAGCAAATCTTCATATACCTTTATTCCGCAGACTCTAGGTATGAGATTGTCTGTACGAATATTAGATTGTTAAAACGGATTTTACGTTCCATCAGATCTACAGGTGCAACTAGCACTTACTTCCATCCCTAGTGTTAAAATACAGGATCTCAGTGGACTTCCACAATCCTGGCGACAACTTCGCGGGCTCAAAACCATCACAATTACCTTTCTAATTCTACATTCTCTATCATCACAAGTTAGATCATTCCCACACTTGGTACTCAATCAGTCCATTTCTATGATGATGCTGCTATTTTATACTATGTCAAATGATGAAAAAGCCACGAGCTCATGGCAGAGCTCTGCTGTCACATTTCATCCAAATGATAAGCGATCTCTGCAAGATTGTAATCGTGACCTCGTCAGGACTATGTTGGGAAGCAAATATGACTATGTATAAAGCTGCATCGCAACACTCCATCTCCGTTAGACTCCTGATATGGCTTTTCAGCTTTCACTTGGAAAACACAGGTGACTGAATGTTCTTTCAAGCAAAACGGTAAGCCCCTTATTAACATCCAATAATTATCATAATATATATGTTCTTTTCTATATACTGTATACAACAGTAAAAGGGACCTGCCACTCTGTAATCAGGCACAATGCCACCCATGTAGTCGAGAAATATTCTCAAGATGGATGCCCCCGTAGGTATGATTATTATCTCCCGTCCTGTATGTGGCCGGATGAATCAATGTCGGATACTGCACATATATTGCATGCCATTCTAAACTTGGAAGTGGAGGTATTCGTTGTACTTAGGGTTCTATAAATATTTATTACATTATAACTAGGTACTTCCCATAAGATCAGCGCGTAGAAAGAATATTAAGTCCTGTTATCCATAAAATTCAAGTACAACCGTGCCAGTAAAGATGCAAGAGGGGCGGTCTCTCGTGATACTAAATTGAATAAGCCTTACTCCTGCTTGGCCAACGAGAGAATGTGCAGTAGTCGGGTCAACCCAACGGGTTGCATGGCTACTCTACGTACAATTACCATTCCAAGCACGTATGTACATGAGTTTTGATATAACCTATTTCTTGAAGGGGTGATCGCGACACTCCGTGGCTGCATACTGTGATGACAAGGTTAACACGAGACATCCCGCTCTAGTTTGGTATCCCTAGATTAAATGGTCTTCTACTCATAATATTTCTATGTCCCGTTCCAGTGGCGTCAACGTGGATAGAAAAACCTTTCAAAGTAGTGGCAACTAGCCGCGGCCCGAAAGTTATTGATGAAGCTATTTTGGCAAATAAATTTTATTCGGAAATTGTCTTCATCCCTGTATCTTCTCTTATTTGAGCAGTAAAGATCTACCTATCCGAATCGACCAGGGCAAAGCCAAACTATTTGAAGAATCGCAAAATTGCGGTTAGATTATGTATCGAACAGCGAAATTCCATACAAGCTCTGGTAACATACAGTGGGGGTGCAGTAGTGTTGACACCCCCCTTCTTACCGCCCACGTTTATTGCCTGCAAAACTTACACCAAGGGTGCCAACACTACTGGAAAGGCACTGTACTATCAGTCAAACCCACAGAATTATATCCTCGGAATGTGACCAGGTCGAAGGACTTAGTGGTGAATGTACACAGAAATACCGACAGTAATGAATAATATTAGTCTATTACATCTACGTAATAATTTCCACACTGGAATTTGGGGTCAAAATGTCACATTTGACCGGCGGCAATTATCCCCTGATAACTTGCTTCTCCAGCTATATTTGTGGACTATGAGGAAAAATTATTTGCCAATTTCATGGAGAGAGAGACACTTACAAGATAATAGAAATAGTTACGAGTAACCCCTAGATAATTTGATACTAGCCGGAGGGGGATCATTTCTTCAATAATCTTAACAGTTTGTGCTGGTTTCTAGCCTCGGTCAGCCTAGTGCAATACGTAGTGGGCTGTCAGCGGAAGTTAGGGCTAAACGGAGGTTACAAGACGAATGCTACAGTGACTTTCTGCAGGTCACTAACCTCGTCTAGCTTATCCGATGTCCAAATGACCAGCCTGCAACTATCTTGCTGACTGCATGACATTTATCAAGGGATCAATAAGGGGCTGATAAAACAACTTTGATTGGGTCATTGTTCTGCATGCCAGAATGCACGGTTGCATGGGACCTGCGTCAAGAATTGAAATCTGTCCAGAAGGTCCAGTGCTCAAAGAAATGTTTTCAATCGCCTATAAAAGCACTAAAACCGTTATACAAAGTTCAATCAAATACAAGATGTATTTTATTCGTTGCATATATAAGCGACGATGAGCCAGCGGTTATTCTGTAGTTAGTTGTTGCTCTACTTCATGCTTTCTTCAGATTGACCCACAAATCCACCCTTAATTATTAGTTAATTTTATCAAGAAATAGATACAGTATTGCCTTATGCAGGACGTTGGTTTTTGTTTCCTGTTACTGGGCCACATGAACCACACGTTATTATAGGTAGTACTTGTGGCTTGTGGCGTTCAACTCGGGCGTATGACCAACGACACATCACGGTTCAAGGATTCGCGATATCACAGATTCAGTCTCACGAGGTAGCTCTTTGATTAGTTATTATTTTGATTGAGGTGTCCTTGAGGGGAGTGTTACATTCTTGATAGCATATCATTTTCCGACATCACCTCACAGAGGCTCACTGTAGGACTTGTCTTTGTTCTATAGATGGTCACAGTCTCCAGGAGGCGTCTCGCATTTGAGTATCTGGACATAACTGTTCCTGTAGAATGTGCGGAGACTCGTGGATGACCGTTATGCTAAGGGAGTGTAACCCTGAATAACGACGTACCGCTCTCAGTATTTAGCTCGAGCCGATAAGAATTTCCTAAACTATATAAACTCGATCCATGCCAGTTGGGTGCAAATTGTTTTCTGTCTTGTCAAAAGTGTCGACAGCCTTCCAGTCCTTCCACTTGTCTCTCATTTTCGTCGGAGAAGTACTGGTCTACTCTTCAACATACGCTCTTTTTACATCCTCAGGCTCAAAGTTAGGAGAAAGACTTTCCTTCAATATGATAAAATCCGTTCTCTACACCTCGGCTTTACTAGCCGCATTTCAAGGAGTTCAAGCTGGTATCAACTTAAACAGTGCTCAAAATATCGCCGTGTACTGGGGTAATTACCTAATTTGCCGAAGGCCGGTGAATTTATCACTGACGGGGGAACTAACTAGGGCAAAACTCCATAAACTTGGCCACTGGCAACACAGCTCAACAAAGATTGAGCTACTATTGTGAAAGTAAGTCAGAAGCCAATGTGAATTACATGCGCTTGTATAACCGAAATTCATACTGATGATTATCGAACGTATAGATGGACCTCAGGTAGATGTATGCTTTTTATTGCTTGATAAAGCCGGAATAACTGCATAATTTCAAGCTAATCATGGGGTAGACCTTAATTCTGTCCTTCATTACGAGGTTCAATGGCGAGGGTGGTTATCCGGAGACCAACTTTGCCAATGCCGGAAATAACTGCACCACGTTTGATGGGACCCAGCTCCTGAACTGTCCACAAATTGCGTAAGTTATGTTCTCAACAAATATATTTGAGCAATCTCTAATAATTTGAACGTAGTGATGATATTGTGACTTGCCAAAGCCTTGGAAAGACCATTCTCCTCTCCACTGGAGGCGGCACCTACAATGAAGGGGGATTCTCTAGCGAGGCTGAAGCAGTTTCCGCAGCAAATCTCATGTGGGAGGTCTTTGGACCCGTGTCCAGCAACAGCTCTGTTCTGCGTCCATTTGGCACGGCTGTCATTGATGGTTTCGACTTTGACTTTGAGAACCTTCAAATGAACAACATGCCCGCTTATGCCAATCAACTGCGCAGCCTGTATTCGGAAGACAAGTCTAAGACATATTATATGACAAGTGCTCCACAGTGTGTCTATCCTGATTATGCTGATGGGCCTATGTTGGCCGGTGCTGTGTACTTCGATGCCATCTTTGTCCAATTCTATAACAATGGCTGTGGTATCAACAGCTACGTTCCTGGTGCATCAACGCAGTGGAACTTCAATTTTGACGTCTGGGATAACTGGGCCAAAACTGTTTCTTTGAATCCTAATGTCAAAGTCTACATTGGCGTTCCTGGCAACACTGGGGCGGGTAGTGGTTATGAGCCACCTGCAACAGTCGGCGAGGTCATTGACTTTGTAGTCAGTTCTGGCTGGACTTCCTTCGGTGGTATCATGATCTGGGATGCTAGCCAGGTTTGGGCCAATACTGGATTTTTGTCTTCAGTTTACTCCTATTTGCCTACCGGCAGTGGCACAACAACTCCTACTTCTACAAGAACCACTACGACATCGAAACCGACCTCGACTACCTCGACGACATCATCGTCAACCACACTAATTACCACTACAACCTCAAAGATATCCACAACTACCACCTCCTCAACTACCACGTCCACTGCTCCAAGTACTACCTGCCCCGTCTCGGGAGGTCACTGTTCTCCTAATGGTGTATATGCCTGTACGGGCGGCAGCTTTGGGATCTGCGATAACGGTGCCTGGGTTATTGAGTCCTGCTCCACCGGACAAGTTTGCGTGCAAGCTGGAAACGGAGTTTACTGTGACACTGCTGGCTCTAGCGATCCAGTGTGTTAAATCTATTAGACGCGCTTAAGACCCTGTAGCTATGCAGCTATCTCGATGTTATTTCAGTTATCATTTAAGACCAATGATAGGATATCTAAACAGAACCCCCTAATACCATATTCATCTATGTATAAAGATGTCTTGTTCTGTCAAAGAGAATAATATCTGAGTGACCACTCCGCTTTCTTGTTCTGGCTCGCGGGAAAGAGGGTGATGCGTCTTTCCGCTTTTCCCAGGCGGGTCCAAAAGGCGTCAAATTATCTGTTATTGAGCTAACATGTATGTAGGCAGAAATGGAACGGATAAGTAAAATAAGTAATAGCAGAACGGATTCGACTATCTTCGACTGGGCCCGAAAGGATGCCTAAAAGTTCTGGGGCTCAATAAGAAAACGACCTACCAATACCATACTTTGATTGCACCTGAAATAACTATCGAAGGCATTAGTACGGGAGATCCGATATCCAAATCTCACCGCGCTCGTATCGAGTTGTAGAAGGAAATAATTTCAGCAATAAATTCTACCAATATCCCGCAACCACATCGCAAACTACATTCTGACCTCAAATCCTGTTGTTATCATTTACCTAGGTTATCGTAGTCATTTAGTCATCGTAGTCCCTCATCCGTTTGTAATACGATATAACATCCAATTGTGGTCCAATTTGAAATCTTAAATCTTTTCCAGGTTGTCTCAGCTCTAAGGCACACTTCGTATTGCATTATGTCATATGACGCCTTCACTGAACTCGCTACTTTACCAACGTCCTCGGATTAAAGACATCAATGACATGGATCTACTTCCAGTAAGATATCGCCCGAGGGCCTAAAAGAGGCCGATGATCAAATCACAGTCTTTGAAATATCTCAGCTCAACGTTCGAGTCCACCGAACAAATGGCAAGTCCAGTTCAGATTCTTGAGGTAGACGCCAATGTCTCGAATGTACAAACAGTACCAAAGGAAGTACCTCTGATCTATCTACTGCGTTATACGAGCTGCTGCCGTGCATGCAGAAGTTCCAGTAAAACACAAATGGTATCTATTTTTACTCCAGCTATGACGAAAAAAATCTATATACAAATAACGGTTGATAATGAAGCGGGGAAGAACGCATACGAGCTCATAGGGCTGATAGTCCAACAAACTCGCCGCGTATAAGCGCCGATTGGTCGCAGTTCCCAGGAAAAATGAGGAGACATGACATGCATGTCATCGGAATGTCGACTCCAATCTTAGACAGTTCTATATTGCTTTACCCAGCATGATCATCCTTTGTGCGAATAGCGGGGTTTCAGTGGCTATGACTTTACAAAACCTCACATTAAACCTTGTCTCACTTCAACCAATTCTCTTCATAGTCGCGTCGTATTCCGAACTTGCCACTCGCATATAATTGGGTATCAAATTATTGTCTTGGAAGTTCTCGGCATGGAAACAGCAAGCGTGGCTTGGAGAAGATCACGTATGCTTACTCGTATTGAATCGGAGCATCATGTTATGCGGTACGAGACCGCTGCCTTCCAGTTAGAACCTCATGGAGTCATGTATAAACGAGTATCGACTTTTGTTTGAATGATTTTACTACGCATGTATGCAATGCCAATACTATCACCGATCATTCTCTCAGAAGAACAACACTGCGGATCTGGATTGGCTGGCTGGCAAGCAAGAAGGAAATTCAATCAGGCCGCATGAGTACAATTTGGGAAATCACAAATACTAAGTATTATTCAATCGGATTTACTTGTGAGACTTGAGATGATGAATCAATCTTCCAGCTGAGACATTTTTGTTCAGCTGATAGTCGGAGTGAGTTCGCCTGAGTTCGCCTGAATTCTGGTGTATGGGAATTAACTTCTCAGAAAAATATAAAGGGTCTCGATTTTCCCAATCTTGGAAGCATTGTTCATACATCAACGATCCCGAATACAAAACTCACCGATTGTCATCGTTACCGCACTCAAATACTAAACCACATTACAATCATTGCACTCAATATGAAGTTTTCTATTGCATCTTCCCTTACTCTCCTTGCCACCTCAGTGGCCGCTTTGCCAAGTGGTTTCGTGGCTCGTCAAAGTTATGATAACATCACTTTCACGATCATCAACGATCAAACCGGTGCCCAAGCTGCTGCTACAGTCCTCATCGATGGAATCCCCAACGGATTTCAAGACCTCTTCGGCAGTAGCCCCCTCGCATCGAATGGAAAAATTCTAGCTACATCCACTCAACTCATCGCTTTCCCCCAGGGAGTCGACTGTGCCATTACCAATTCTGCTCAGGCTGTCGTTGGCCATCTTACGCCTAGTCACACATGGCTTGATTTGGATGGAAACCCGAACGCTGCAATCCCTGTGGATGTCTCGGGCGATAGCATCACTTGTTCATTCTAAATCCGCGCTTGGCCAGGTGTCGTTTTCGATCACCGTTATGATATTTCCATGGCTTGCTACAAGGACATATACTGGATACGCAGTGATGAAGGGGAGAAAACTGGAGTGATCACTGGCAATCTTTCCATTAGTACTCTTTTTCTTGTGTTTTGTAATTAGTACTAGGTAGCTCAGATCTATAAATCAGGTTTTAGTTTGCCTAATGATTTGTTGAGTTTTCTCTATGAGAAAGCGTCCTTGACTGCTGTAGTGTTGTACGCAACTTTGAAGTCCGATGTAAGAAACCAACTGATGAGATTGGAAGATTCCCCTGCCCACAGATGATAGAGAGGGAGAAACTAGATATATCTATATCTCTTCACCTTGAGAATGGCACCATACTCAACCACCTTCGACCTATTTATAGACCACTATTCTTTCCTTTGGCAATTAGGTGGCGTCAAACGGTTCACAACGTCTCGCAAAGCTCTTCCTAGGATGACTACCAGTCCTATATGTCGTGTGTGAGAAAATGCATGCATATCCTCATATATGTGCCCATGTAGGACTAACGGGTGACACTTAAAATAGTGTCAACCCGAATAGTCTGTCTCGAAGAAGGGCGGGTTCGAGGCAGGCCAGATTACCGTTGGCACCACTAAAACCGAGAAGCTCGTACGACTATGAAGATGAAAATCTTAGTAGAGTTTCCTGCCAAGGTATAATGCAGGCAATAGGAATCATACAAAGTGCAGCACTGAACCCTGTTAGCTTATGAGGCCAATCTGCGAATTCCTCGTCATAGCAGCGCTCCCCAGACACGATCCACAATACTGGTTCTAACACACGTCGGGGACCTGGATAACGCGTCAAATGAACACTTGTCTCATCCTATGTAATCTGATCTTGATATACCAGCCGGGTTAGTTCGTCAAGAGGCGTTGAAATTTTTAATATTGTGATGTCTAGAAAAATTCAGGAGTGCCCTTCCCTCCACACAGGAAGATACATATATTTTTTCATCTGTAATGCCTTTGATCATATCTACGCGATCCGATTGGCTTAGAGAAACACTTATTTGATTACTAAGCTAAATGTCGTACGTGATTGGCCAGTCAGTACTATATAAGCAACATCTCTACCGTATACGCAGTACACTTTTTGGAGTATCCACGCTGTCGGCGGACGGAGTGCCAGTAGCAATGTCTAGGCTGTTGCAGAACAAAAAGTGCTTTCATTGGAAAAATTTACTCTGCTACTTTATCTGAACTGTAAGAGCTGGACAAGGCACTGTGTATCTATTGCGTCTTAAGTATTTAGCTGATCGTGGGAACCACGTCGCAAGCTGATTGGACCGAGCGTCTAATTTTGTTGGATGACTAAGCCATATCACGCTTCTGATTGGATCTATGGTCTCAGGGCCTCACTAACTAGGACCAACCTACTATTAGGTTTACTTTGCATTCGCGTTCTTCGGGGTTTCGCTTCGAGATTCTGACAAGCATCACAAGATGTGTTAAACAGATTTTCTCAACATATACATAGAAACGCACTTATCCCTTTAGTATTTGAATGTTGTGTAATTCTTGACTACGCAATTAGAAGCCGCTTCTACCGTAGTGGTTCTTGCAGGTAACTTGTCATTCGCGAAACATAACAGCGAGATGAGACTATTGAATTGAATCATGATACACTAATTGGTTTGGTGTTCAAAAGAATGACTGTAAGTTGTTTAGTTCTAGTCTTACTCCGTACGCAGTCGTCAGAGTCGTGAGTTGTAGATCCATTGGGCAAGATTATAACACACTACCTATTTACGGGCGAGGCTGACTCGGCGGGCTTTGATGTGGGCTTGTCTTGGAACTGTCGCATTAGTCGTTTTATTCCAGGCCAATCCTGAAGAGTGTATTACTAGGATCAAAGAAAAGAAGTGACTAGCAAGATTGTATGTATTCCGTATTTTTTTCTGTCTTCCTGTCTTTCAAGTTTCAAAGCCGGGTCCTTTATAGACGCCTTTGGCGGGGTGATTTGTGAGCTATCAGGAGGGGTAAATATTGGGCTGAAATCTAGGTGCCCAGATATATGTCTAAAGGTGCCTTTTAGACCTGTAAGATTGAACAGTCGATCTCTCTGCCTCGTTTGAAAGCCAGATTATCTGACAGGAACAGCTGTGATGCTTTAAACAAAGTTAAAACGAGCTGAACAATCCAGGCAGAAACCTTGGCATCTTGGCCTCCCATCATATATATTCTGTGAATGATTCTTACCTGATCTTTCCGAGAAAATATATCAAGAAGTGGAAAGAAAGTATTCACCGATTATGCCTGCTACAATCCGCCCGGACTTCCTTCCAGCACAACCCCCACACCATGTGACAAGCAGTATTATCGACTTCACCGCTACAACCCCGCCGATTCCGGAATACGAGGACTGTTTTGCAGCAGTTATTGACAATTTCATGACCGAAGCTGAGTGCAATGAACTTCTTTCTCTAGCTGAGCAATCGACCACAGAACCGGGGAAATGGGAACGTGCGATGATCAATGCCGGCAATGGAAAACAAGTCATGGTAACCGATACTCGGAATTGCGGCCGCATCATGTTCGACTCTCCGGAAATAGCAGACAGGCTTCTTGCTCGATTAAAGCCTTTCTTTGAGCGCTGGAATATGGTCAAGCTACAAAATCAACTCCCTGTCACGGGCATTGCAGGGAGAAAAAATGTCTATAATTTGACGCGATTGAATGAGCGATTACGGTTTTTGAAGTATGTTGGAGGAGAATACTTCAAAACTCATGTAGATGGTAAATACCGAACTCCTGATGGAAGCGAAATGTCATTCTATACCATCCAGTTGTACTTGAATGGTGAGGGAGAGGAAGGGCAAGATCTTAAAGAACTTGCTAGGAGAAAGCAAAAGGGGTTCAACGGTCAGAATATCGAAAGAACAGACCAGGAAAAATTACTTGGTGGCGCGACAAGTTTTAGCCCATCATGGAGAGACACTAACCAAGATGTCAGGGTATGGCCAAAGGCAGGACGGATCTTGGTATTTCAGCATAACAACCTGTGGCACGGTGGAGACTCAGTATATGGAGGGGTCAAGTATACTGTTAGGACGGATGTGTTGTACTCCAAGAGTCCATTGAGTGATCTACCTGCCTGACTTGCAGGTGCCATTTACTTCCAAGGGTGTAGACAATTGGTTAATGGCTGCCACTACACATCAGGAAGGGGAAGCAAAAACAAGGCCTTAGACAGACATAAATGAAGGAGGTATGTTATACCAATATATTTAGGCTTTTACAATTTCACTGGAATCCATTGGGGCTCACCTAGATTCAACCCATATAGATTTTTGATGTTAGACAAGGGACCTCATTACCATGTCGCCAGATCAACTAGCTAAGGGCCAACAATATCTTGAAAATCATCTGTCCTTCTCTTCTCAATCCATTCAATAGCCTCAGCACGATTCCTGCACACGTGAGGTTGTCCTCTTTCCTTGTCACTTGGAGTGGACATGGATCCTTCAAGGGTCATATCAAGGTTGCAAAGTATGTTATTTCGCAAATACTCGAAGCAGTGAGCGGCGTGATAAGGATTATCCTCATCACTTGGTCCGTTGAGGATTAGTTGATGATAGCTATCCACTGTGTAGTATAGCTGTCGTTGTAAACATCAATGTTAGTGTCTGAGTCCATGTTATAGGTGAGGCGCATTTCAAAACTTACACAGTGTAAGGCGTGAGTCCAAGAGGCTTCAAAGATAGGTCCGGATCTTATGGGATCGTCGGTTATGGGGTCACCGAGGAGTGGGTGTTCTTTGTAGTCTGGAATGAGGACACTTCCGCTGCCCACTATATGCACACGATGAGAGTCAACACGGCAATTCCAGAGGCTAATGCTGTAGCAAAATTCATTGGTGCGGAGACGAACATGGCATTAACAGATCCCAATTTCTGCGAACTTCCATTCTGTTATCGTTCGAAGTCATATTTGGAACATACTTTTGCTCCTCCGGTTTGAGGAATGTGTATGTATGAGATACTAGGGTATGGACGCATTAGCCTTCTGACCAAACCGAAATGGTGTACACGAAAGAACATACAAGTTTTATATAGTCCATTGATATCATCTCCCGTCTCCACAGATCCTTCTCTCCCCGACAGTATGCAATTGTCACCCTTTTCGGGTGAGGGACGTGCTAAGAAAACTAGGATAAAAATTTGTAAAATAACAATAAGCGACCAACGTATCCACGTCAATAAACCCTCTGTCTTTGACCGTCTGGTTTCGATATAAGGTAACGCGTCTGATTGTGGTGATATGTGGAATGTTTTGCCAAAGGACTCTATTGAGCCAACTCTTGTAGCTGGAGAAGTTGTACTCTCAATGTCGTGCTCCTCGTGCTCTCCATCAAATAAGATGCGATAGGAGACATCCTCTGTTTTTGAGATGGGCATCTTGGGATAAAATCTAGACGTATGAGCGGTGTCTTAAGGTTGACTGTGGACGGAATCAGATGCGAAGCAAACGTAACTCAAGGGCCTTATTCAAAGAAAAATCTATATCATGTCTCGCGTGGCAGGGGTACCTTCTGGTCATATAAGCACGTATCTTGAGTATCTCACATCTATATAGACAGAATGAACGAATTCCAATATACACAATGAAGTAATAATAATATGGCTACCAAGTGTCGGTGACGGATTCCAGACGTACATGAAACCGGCCCCTCAACTCCGTGTTTTCAACTGAATTCCGCTGCGGATCGAACTGAGACATTCATCAAGCATCCAGGTGTTAGTACGGTGTTAGATAAGCACATTATTTGCTATTATAGTTACCGGATACCGATTCTCTATTATTAAATTACAATCCGTTACGGATAAATTATAACTTCTTGGATGATAAAACTATTGGAAAACTGAAGAGGTTGAGATATTAGGAATGTTAGAATGGGCCTGAAACAGTGTATATAGCGCTCAGAACTCCTGGGGTAGTCTGAACCGGTAGTGCTTGAACTGCCGTTGCCGTCAGCGGCTAGAGTTGACCTCAGTCATAGCACCATATCATTTCTAACTGAGCAAACTGTCCAAGCAGGGGTTTGTATCAACCCAACGGTGGCGTTGTGGTACCCGGAGATTGGGGAAATACATCTAAGGATGGGCAGGAGTTAGAGTGACTGTTTCTAATTCCCTGTCCTCGGATCAGATAACTATGCATTGCTAAGTTCCATCTAGGGGTGCACACGAATAACGATTAACGAATATTCGTACGAATAAAGTACAGATTATTCGTAATTATTCGTAATATCAGTATCACGTGCCATCTCAAATACTACTATATTTATACATATCTCGCAGCAACACGAGATGCCTCATCGTCCCCGCATTTAATGAGTGTCTTCGTAGGCCCAGTAAGTCCCTTCCACTGTTGAATAGTCTTTCTACTGACACCCCAGAAGCTGGTATAGGTAAATAATCTCTTGCAGCAGCCGCCATTCGTGGGTATTCATCACCATATGTCCTCCACCAAGAGAGTAGCTAGTGCTTCTCTTTTGTCAGTGATTCATTAACCATCATAATCCCATCTTCGAAGTACCGGTCAATGTCAGATATTTGAAGTTTTCGTGGCTGTAGCTGTTGGTTTTACACGGTCCGTATCACGAAGCATAGACGGTAGTAAGGCGCGAACACGAAGCGGCCTAACGAGCCTGACAATATGAAGCTATCTTGATTCCTAATATTGTGACTAGTCCCCAAGAGCGAGGGGGATGGGGGATAGCTAGCTAGATAGCACGCACGTGCCACGTCAGACTAACTAATCCGGTGCCGAAACGCGTAGGGTTTGATATTCACGTTCCGACAGTAGCTTTTGTAGAACTCTGGCCTCTATACTCTTCCCCGTGACTGGATGATTTTCACTGGGCAGCGATTGCTCTTCTGCAGGCGCAGGGTACTACTCATATAATGACTCTTTGATATGTTTTATAATTATTGGAGCTGTCGCTTCCCCTAATTCTCTCTCCAGTAGTAACGTTTTGAATCGTGGATCTAGTATTAGTGTAATGTAATAGGCATCCAGACCATCCATGAGATTGTAGTACTTCTGGAATTTCTTCAGACCTACAGATGCAGCCGCAGTGATATCTTCATGAAGATCTTGAAACTCCCCTTCTCTAGAAATAGCTTCATGCAATAGATCATGCACTTCATAGTAGATAGATATTGCTAGGCTAACCTGTGGTTAGCGCTTCAAAACAGTGAGAGTAAATTCCTCAAATCTGGAAAGTATAGTTTTAATCTACCACAAATAATTCCATTCTTCTTCAGTAAAGGGTAGAAGATAAGTTTGATACTCAATCCACTTTTTTATTTGCTGTTTTGAATTCAATGTATCTCTTAGCATTCGGTAGGTGGAATTCCAACATGTATCAACATCATACTAGATAAACTTATCCTTTAGACGATGAATTTGACAGATGAGCTTCCATTGCTGCTTTTGTTGTGGTGTTCTTGCTATCCAAAGGGCCATGATCTGGAGTCTAGATAATGCGGATTGTAGGCCCATATCTTTGTTCTCTTGCATTAGATCATAAGCTGCCACTGCAGTTTTATGATCGCCAGCTTTCAATATGAAGAGTATACCACTGACAATCAGATTTAGTACATATGCTATGCAGCGCATATAGCTATCCAGCCCTTGAAATCTTAGGATTTTTCTTTTGCCATTAGTAGAAGAAACCATACTATCAAACTTCTCTTTAAGATTGTAATATAACTCTGACATCAAAGTCTCGTTGTTAGTAGCATTGTCTACCGTAATCGTAAGTACTTTATGTTTAATGTTAAGCCCTTCCAAGGTTGTCTGAAGTACTTCTGCCATGTTCTCCCTACTGTGAATGCTAGTGAGCTCTGTGAAGTTAAGAACTCTCTCTTGGTACCAAAAGTCAGCTGTCAACGCCAATAACTGCGAATATAACTTTGTAATTCTTACTAGTCCAAGCATCTAAGGAAAGCATAATTGTTTGACAGGTTTAATCCAGGTCATTGATCAAATATGCTTGATAAGAATCAAATTCTGCATTAATTTAGCAAGTAATTATTATATGTGATGTAAATGGAAGTGCAATTCCTAGATCCCTGAAGATATTTTGGAATATTGATGATTCAATAGCATTAAATGCCATATTCTCTGTGACCATCCATTGCACTAGATTTTATTCTAAGAGTTTTGCTGCCTGATTCTCTGCTTGTCTCTGAAAGGAACTAATAATAGTTAATTATTTTATACTGGAGTTGTTGTCTTCTTGACTATTTCCAGTTCTACTTGAAAAGATGCCATGTTTATTAAGCTGAGACCGCATATTTAATGTTGAGGTTGCTCTTGCAGAATCGGTTATCTTCCAACTATATTAAGTGCAATGTATTTCCCAATCTTCAATTAGGCCTTTATCTCTCTTTGGCCACCAAAGATTTCCAGGAAGAGGTATAATATCAAACTCTGTCTATAATGACTGGTTCTGCAGCCTCTTCTATGAGTGCTCGGGGTCGCAAGAGATGCTGGATGTCTTAAGTTCAGTATTGCTTGACACTTCCTGCTAGGAAATATCTGCTGGTGGAGTCTAGGCTTTTATCAATTGACTTGTAGAGTCGTCAGGAGTAATAGGCTTAATGCTATTATCTGGTTGAATTAGACAAGATTTCTTGGTAATGTGATCTACCAGAGCTACTTCCTCATCACTACCATCATTAAGAAGATGATAATCAATTCTCTAGGAGCGCTGAGGACACTTGCCTAAAGATGCAGAAGATTTCTCCATAATGTGGAAAGAGAAATAGCTGAAGTGAGTATTTTTAAAGAAAGATAATAGAACGATAAAAAGAAAGTAAACACGCGTAGATGAAACGACGCGACATGTTATTACCTAAATAGGATTAGCGGTATTTTACTAACTATCTCCTGGCCTTAGGGTGTTGGAAAATTACAAAAATTTAGTGTCATGTAAAATTTGACAATACCGCCAAGAATTTTAAGATTACATGACTGTAATTTAGTAGCCAATAAAATTGAGTGATAAAATTGGTTAACCAATGATATAAGCTATGTGCTGTGAAATAAGTTACTAGTAAGTAAAGTACTCCACTGCAGCTGACAAGCAATTTTGTCAATTCTGACAAAAATTTACCGTCGCGTCGACAGACCCACTTGACATGACAAATCCCTACTGGTCTGGGAGCTAGTGTACGCTAGTGCACGCTAATGAATCTAAGTTATCCTATTGGTTCAGCTAGCATCACCGCCCTCGGAGGTCTCACCGCCCTTGCTACCAATTTTCTTCTGTGATCGTAGTCTCATATAAATTATTAGAAGAAAGGATCAAACACCCAAAACCTCAATATCGAAAATAAAATACAGATTTGAAGCTATTCACATATCCTAAAAGAGTAATCAATAAAGAGCTAACGCGTATGAAAGTCCTGGAAGCACGATTTTCCGGATTCCGGTCGACAAAGAGGCAGGTCGCAGGCCTTACATATAAACTTCGTGAACCCTATCCCCCCCTTCTTGGCGCTTAGGATGCTTATATTGACACCAAATGCAACGTTTTTGAACGTTTAGATAACTCCGTACAGCAATATGTGCTAAGGAATTATTCAATCGTACTTCCGGCAGTTGTAGGTCCTCTGCTGCAGATCTGACCAATGGAAGCCTACGTATGCGGCTCCGCTGCCATTTCAGCCAATGAGAGACCAGAGATTTGTCAAAAACCGTACTAAGAAACATTAGCGTACACTAGCGTACACTAGCTCCCAGACCAGGAGATACGAATAATTACGAATCGAATACGAATAATGTATCATATATACATATCGAATACGAATTAGCAAAATCCTTATTCGTGTGCACCCCTAGTTCCGTCTACAAGAGTCAGTGTTTCGAAGTTGGCAGCGGAGAATTTTATCAAAATGCCCTATACCGGTATCAGTATCGGCTATTTTCAATATGCAACTCTTACGAGATAAGAAAGGAACTCGGAGAATCAGTTATGTACAAAATACACTAGTCATGCCAGAGCCTCCATATTCCCCACTGAGTTCTCAATCGCCCAGTCTCTGATTTTTCCAAAATCTCTGCAGACGTGTCTTGAATTTAGCTCGGGCCATGCCTGGGGGTCACCATCTACCATATAGAGAGTGAAAAGTCCAATATCAGCTGTACACTGAATATTCATTCGAAGTACCTCTAGACAGTGGTCTGGAAATCATATTAGCGCGTCATTCTTGAAGTAACATAACCTTGAAAGCAAGAGTTTCTCACCCGTATGATGTTGAAGAGCTTCAGGACCAGCCGTGAACTCTCCACCTAGAGGCTCATAGTAGTCTTTGTAGGTAACTTTCCTGAGAAGATTGAGACAATGAAGGTGATGGAAGACTTCGATGCCGACACGGTAACCCTCCTCACCGGTCACAGGATGATCGACTTTCAGAGAGTATTCTGGCATTCCTAATTTTGCCAAACCGGACTTTGGAATCCATTGATCACCCACTGAGGAACGATTAGTGCGAATCGATATAGGGCTCATTCATAGAGATTTACCATCATATGAGATCTCCCTCCACGCCGCGTCAACCTCAGGACCATATCCCACAAACTTCTTTCCCTCCCTTGTAAAGTTGTATTTTACGTCGTTGTATCTCACATAAGTGTCCGCAGGTGCTGAATAACAGTCAGTACGTCAAATAACTATTAATTCATGTTCAGATCCCACTCACACCATGCTGAGAATTGGCGTACGTGGTCTAATGTCGAGCAATGTCGTGCCTTTTGACTGAACAAGAATAATGTCAAAGAAGTCAAGAGAAGTGTTGTGTGCAACGCCCATATCCAATATGACTTGATCGCTGAGCTAAATGACCGAGGTGTATCTGATTGTGTGGAATCTCCGCATTCTCGCACTGGAACGTATGTATCTTCAAAATCCTCGATCTTTTCTGTTTGATTGAATGCGACATATAAAGGTGACCGTTGAGGATCTCTGGTCAAGGAGGTATATTTGAAGGCCATCGCGGTGAGTTTTTGATATGTGATGAGGAGGTATTTCTTAGTGAGATTTGAGATGAAAATCCTAGTCCTTCAAGAGGAATAGAGTCGAGTCCATGTAAATCAAACGGTTAAAGCCAAGTAATGCCGTTGAGGTATTAAATTGAATGACTGAAACTGAGGTGGACACTCACCGGAGTCTTTGATTAACAAGTACCTACCACCTACTGACAAGGCTGTCCCGCCTGCCACGAACTCTCGAATGGTCCAATGGATATTTTATCCAGAGTCCTCATAACGAGAGAAAATAGATAGACATAAGGAACGTAACAAAGATTGTCTCACGGGTCTGGGGTTTTCCATCAATGATTGATCTATCTGCTACCACACCAACCGCAAATTAAGGCTAACCCTACCTAATGAGCCGCCTGTGCCGTGGCCCGTGAGCGAAAAGCGCTCACAACCTTGTCCAAATCGAGAAGTGTGACCGGGGAGATTCTGTGACGGGACTATACTACTCCAATCAATCTCTTGACCGAGCTTTATACCGAACCTAGACGGAAAAGTGTCGATGCCGATTTTAAACTCCGAGGGAACGCTTCGTGTTCGAAGATGAAACCCGCAGTAAACTGAGCTCGTAACTCGCACTAGCAGCTATATAACGCGATATTATGCTATGAAATCACTCTCATTCAAGATTTGTTCTCCTATGTTCAATCAGATAACGTAGCCAAGAACACCAAGAAGTTCATAATTCGTAGTGCGGCGTTACATGTCTTGACTATTGTCTCGAATAAGAGACCAGCAGGAGCCGTGAGACAGGAACAATAACATTGCAGCGACAATTTGTGAGAAAATATCATAATTCCATAGTTTCCTCAAATGTAAAAGCCATCTATATAAGGACGCGGATGCGAGTGACGATATCTTACCTTTCATTCAATTCATCTCATCATCTACCACTTAGGTATTCCATTCCTATCGTTCTATTCGTGCTCAACTGCTGGTCAGTTCTTACATATTTTATCTTTTCATTCCTTTAAATATTCGATCGCTACCTTTGTCTTTGTCTTTTTTATTCTGATATCTCTTTCTTTGAAACTTGAAAATGCGTTTCACTGTGTCACAAGCTTTTCTCGTGAGCCTATTGGCCTCCAGTCAATTTGTTCTGGGTTTCCAATCGGACGTTGAGGCTCGCGAAGTAGACAAGAAACATGTGGTAAGATAGCAATTCTAAAAATATTGATGAAGTGATGAACATTTTCTTACTCGTGAATCACCCAGGGCTCTCCGTCTACTTTCGCCAGTCGATGGGTCCAACTTTCTGCGCCAGTCGAGGCTCGTCATCATACCGAATCTCAAATTGCCGCCAAGGAGGCTGCGGCTAAGAAGAAGGGAAAGAAGCCCAAGCGAGAAGCTTCACCTCAGGAGGCGGATGAATTCGGTCCCTGGGATAGCACTGAAGACGAGTTCGGTTCGTGGGTTGACAAGAGGGACCCCCATCACACCGAAGCGCAGATTGCCGCCAAAGAGGCTGCGGCCAAGAAGAAGGGAAAGAAGCCCAAGCGAGAAGCTTCGCCTGAGGCTGCGGATGAGGACGATTCTGAGGTAGAAAAGAGGGAGGCTCACCATACTGAAGCTCAAATTGCTGCCAAGAAGGCCGCTGCAGGCAAGAAGAACGGGAAAAAGCCTAAGCGAGAAGCTTCACCTCAAGAACCGGATGAGTTTGGCCCCTGGGACAGTACCGAGGACGAATTCGGTTCTTGGGTTGACAAGAGAGACCCCCATCACACCGAAGCTCAAATTGCCGCCAAGAAGGCCGCCGCTGCTAAGAAAAATGGAAAAAACCCTAAACGAGAGGCTTCACCTGAGGAGACTGAGGAGGAATCCGAGATAGAAAAGCGAGAGGCTCACCATACCGAAGCTCAAATTGCTGCCAAGAAGGCCGCTGCAGGCAAGAAGAATGGAAAGAAGCCCAGGCGTGAAGCTTCCCCTCAAGAGGCGGATGAATTCGGTCCTTGGGATAGCACTGAAGATGAGTTCGGCTCCTGGGTGGATAAGCGAGAGGCTCACCACACAGAAGCTCAAATTGCTGCGAAGAAGGCTGCCGCAAAGAAGAAGGGAACAAACGCTTAAGCCAGCGCTCTCGCAAGAACCTGCATGGAATCAACTTTGCGTGTGGTGTGGGTTTCATGCTGGTGAGTATTGGAAGGGGTTTACAGGGCTGATATTCATTCAGCGGATTAGAAATAGGGTGTACCTGTGTATGGTGTTAGCATAGTTCGTTGCTCTCAAATTCTTCTTCTTGTATGCCTTCTCTGTCCTTCTCGACCTACCGGCAAATGAGATGTCACGAGAGAAACTCTTTGTACAAGTGTATCTGCTGAAGACGGTCACTAGAATACTTGATGGAACCTGGTCTATTGAATTTGTATTCAGTTGTGCGCCTGTATGTTACGAGAAATACGACCAAGTTTAAAAGGAGGGACTACCATTTAGTAACATAATTTCATACCATCCACTATCAAATAAGTTTTTGCAAAGCTAGACAGATAGCCATACGGTACACGAAGGCCTGGTGTACGCAATCAATGTTATTGTAGGCAACTAGGAAGGGAGATGCTAGTTCAAGAACCAGCATGCTATTCTTCAACTGTATGTTATTTAGTAAATGGTGACCATAATTGGGCATCTACCTAGTAACAAAAAAACCTTATAATTGTGAGGGCTCATTCAACAGTCATATTGGAAGCTAAGCACAAGAAAACCAAACATAGAGAAAGAAAGAAAAAGCTAGGAACCTGAGATTGTCTGCAAACAAGATGTATCGTGTCGTGATCACGTGATCCAATCACGTGACTACGTACATTTGCGAATAACCTCATTGCTGACCGTCACAATAATCCCCCTCCATTATAGAAACTAACAACTCAGGGCTTAACAAGTGATTATCGATGCCGGGTAAAAATTCCTGCGCACCACAAGTTTGAAGGACTATCGCGTTAATAAGGGGATGAAAGATCCTTCCCGGACGTAGAATATTTCAGTGTTACTGAACCAGAATTATTGTAATAAAATAGTTGGAAAAATCATACATAGAGTATACCACAAGAGATTCAATAATAATAATAATACCACAAGAGAGTACCATGATAACAGCATAACCCTAAACAACCCAAAACCCTAATCAATCATTCCTCGCCCCACAAATAATCTTGAGTTTCGGGTGGCTCCCGTGTGGGTCAAAAGAGGAGTTAGTCTATACTGCATTCGACATGAACAGCGGCACTAGACCTTAGCTTCCCGGTGTAAGCCGAAGAAGGCTGTGCTGGATTTGTCAGCTATCGTACAATGTCCGATTGGACAACATCTCAAGACTCTCAAAGCGATTTATATACCCAGCCGACATCATTTCGCAACGACAGCCCACGGAAGGCATCAGTAACGGATGATAGGTAATGCAATCTCGATGGACTCATCTCATCAGCCGAAGAAATCAACGCTTGCGTGTGAAAAATGCCGTGTCCTCAAGGTGAAATGTATTCGGCCAGAGGAAGGAAAACCTTGCTCTAAGTACAGCAGATCCTGGACTGCGTACTTCCTACGTGGCTAATTTGAACAGATGTACCAGATCAAACTCCCAGTGTGTGGTTCCAGAGCCGAAACGGCGAGCTAAAGTACCACAAGGATCGAAACCGTAAGTGACCAAAGAGGACGCTCCCCGCATCAGATCATTTGATTAACAGGGAAGGTATCAAGGCGACTGGCCGATCTTGAATCTAAGCTCACCAATATAATTGGTCTTCTTTCACACTCAAGTGCACCGCATAGTGGAGTCCAAAACTCGGTTGAAACAGATCCTGAATGGCCTCCAATTCCTGAATACCTTAATGATAGTCCATACCTACCTGCTGAATGGATGAGCCTCGAGTTCCCCGCAGCTTCTGAGGTTGGCGAAAACCCGGAGTTGAACGAGAATAAGAACAGCGCTGAAAATACCCCTGAAAAGTCGCCTGACGTATCCACTGCCTTGGACTCTGCATGGATCGCCGATCTAGGAGTGAATCCTATTGTTCTCCAGCATCTTCTCGATAGATTTTGCAGTATGAGAGCGTACTTTCCATTCGTGTCGTTCTCATACACTTGGACTGCAGCATCAATGAGGGAAGACCGCCCTTTCCTATTGCTTGCAGCAGTTGCTGCTGCTTCCTCAAAACACTGCCACCTTCAAGATGATCTGATACGGCGGTTCAAAGATACTATCAGTCAGCGGGTCATCATGGCAGGCGAGAAAGATCTAGATCTGCTTCAAGGATTACTTGTCTATCTTGCTTGGTTAGCTTTTAGCTCCCATATTGTTTCTATGTTTTTGTCGATAGTAGAAGTAAGCTGACTACCATCAGGTGCCATTTCGACTTTGTTCCAGGAAATCGACAAGACTATCTGTACTTACAGATCGCAATCAGCATGGTGGTTGACCTTAATATCGACCAAGAGATCGCTGATTTGCTTGACCATCGGACCGAGTTGAGTGATACTTATATCCTTGAAGCATGCCGTGCTTATCTAGGCTGCTATTACATGTCTAACATGTATGATGCGATTGCACAACCACCAATATGCTCGGACTAACCTGAACAGAATAGCAATGTGCTCGGGAAGACCAAATAACCTCAAATTTCACAATAACATGCTACGCTGTGCTATGCTGCTACAAAAACGGCCAGAATTCGAGACAGATCTCATGATATATCCATTGACGAAACTCCTACAATTTGCCGAGGAAGTCTGCGAGACTTACCGAGCAGAACGAATTCTAGGGGGCCGGCTGCACATCCATGCTGAAAGATTTGCGGCGCGGCTAGAAGACTGGTGGTCCTCTTTAACAGAAGATCTACGCAATACAGGTAGGGATTACCCAAGCACCGTGCTCTCTACTTTGCTAATCAAAGACTCATAGTATTGCTGAATAGTGGCTATCACACCGTTAAGATTCGTATTCAGGACATGGGATTGGTATATCGCTATGGGCAAAGAAGATCGCCTCCTCCACAGCCGCAGGAAGATTCCACTTTGTCATTGATGCCTCCAATGATCGCCGGCAATCTGATCAAGTGCGTTAACTCAACAAAAGAATCTATTGATTCTTTTCTTGATATATCGGTTGCGGAGTACAATAGTTTGTCATTTCCCTTGTGGTACCAGGTCATTTTGACTTTATTTGTTCTTTACAGGTTGTCAGTGGCACTTCCAGAAGTCCCCGAATGGAATGTGGAAATTGCACAGCAAACTGTGGATTTACAAGCATACTTGGACACGCTGTTTTCTCGTCTACGGATTATAGAACCATGTCTAGGCCGACAAATACCCACCAAGAGCCTCTTTTCAAGGCTTTACGAGGTCATAGGAAGTGTAAAAGCATCCTATGCACTGGCAAAAGAGAATCCCGCAGAGATCTGCGATAGTCGCCATGCTCATCACGAGCTTAAGGACCCAAACAACACAGTCTCACTTGTTCAAAGACTACACCGCTGCCCTGCATTACGGTATTCAAGCCGCCATGTCGCGCCGGCTCCGGGTCAGCATACACTACAAAATGCTATTTCTGCGGAATTGCAGAAGATAGAAGATGAAAAAGTTTTGGACGACCTCTTGATGCTAGGGGGCTCTAGTCTTACAAGTGCATATAATGAGTTTCTATAAGCTATGCATGGTATACACTTTATATCAGCCAAGCTGCAGTTGTAGCATAATAATATTTCAAATCATATCGGGAAAGACGTGGGTGGAGATTCTTTTTCCAGCTGAATCGTATCGCTGAGGCAGCACATTTAAAAGTCCGTCAGCATCTCTTGGTTCAAAATCAAGCGATAATCCTGCTTGAATAAGAATATCTAGCCCAAAAGTTTCTTTAATCCAGTGGGCGACCATATCCATCCCTGCCACAGCTCCACTGCCAGTCCAAATATTGCCATCAACAATCCATTTCTTCTCGTTTGTCCACTTGACATTTGGGTACTTCTTCTTGATCCAATTGAGCTCGAGGTTGTTGGCTGTAGCGTTCTTACCTTCTAACACACCGGTGGCTGCAACAACCGCAGAGCCGGTACAGGTCGTGAATAATAGCCTCCCAGAGGCAGCATGGCGGCGAATGAGATCCTGTAATTTTGGGGGGAGATCTGTTCTCATTGGACTGTCACCGCCAACAATGAGGATATCCAATTCGGGAACGTCATCCACGGTGATCGTAGGGACCATTGTGACAAAGCTTGTAAGCAGGGGTACCGGATTCATGGTCTCTCCGATATGGTGGATGACGAACTCGGGCGCTTTTGCGATAAGTTTCGGATCCACGGGAGTATAGAGATTGATACTTTCTAGAACCGCCTTACTTGCAGAATTGAGCAGGTCGCATGGACCAATGATGTCAATTGCCTGGTAATCGAAGAGCAGGGCGCCAACGTGAATAGGCGCCATCTTAATAGGAATATATTGCGGTATGAATGCTCAAAGGAATTTGTTTGATATATTGGTAGAGATGTTGCTGGTCGTGTCTGCTAGGCCTTAAATACTCTCATTCTCCGTGATGCCATAATCGCGGAGCGGGCTGCTGCAAGTACTCCGTCCTCCGTGGTTGACAATACTAGGAACGGACAAGAAGGTAAAGTCATTGACCATGTCCGCGATTTGCTGGTTTTGAATATAACGGTGATTGGTTCTAGGATTGTGTGTGCTCCACAGCAACTATCCTGTCATTTCATCGGAAATTGCAGGTCTCATCTGTTTATCAGCCAGGGGTTCTTGCTAGCCTCAAAAGTGCCTAAGGAGATCCATCTCTCAGATTGGGAAAACTTGGATCAAAGAACCAAATCCGAAGTATATTAGGTCATTTTACCTCTTACATACATTGCTACGGCCTGAAACAACTGTTTGAGACAGAAACTCATCCACTAACCGTATGTTGGGACTCTAGCAAAAACCTGAGTTGATTGCTTGTGCTGTCAAAAACGGAAAGGAAAGAGGGAAAAGATGTTCCAGGTTGTCCCGAGGTTTTAAGAAAACAAATATTGCCTGCCAAATCTGTATAGAATTTCAGGGTTCATCTTCGAGCATTTCTTCGATCAGTTCAATTTCATCTTCCAGGCAAGATATGTACTTCTTGTCTTCGTCCTGCAGGTCCAGTCTCTCCATCTCAGAACTCAGAACTTCCCCTTCTGCGATGTTAAACTGTGCCTTGTATGCCGTACTAGCGACAGGTGAACCCCGGAGGTCGCCTTGACTAGTGAGATTTGGATAGAGAAGAATTGAACTTGGTAGCTCAGCAAAGTCCTGCCCTGGTTCGACTCTGAGATATTTGATCTCGAGGAGTCGATACTGTGCTGCCCAGACGTGAGAGCCGGAGAAAGACGCTCTTGATTCGAGATATTCGTTACGCCCAACGCAGATTGATGCGCCCACTGGAATTGACATTAGGTCGAGTACCGTATTATGCAAACCACCTCCAGCAACAGATGACTCGATGCTTTGTTTTTTTATGTGAAGTACAGTTGCATCCTCAAATATGTACATGCCTGTGAGCATCCAGATCTTGGGGGTCCGGAAGACCTTGAGTTTGAGGAATAAGTTACTTCGACTTGCTGAAACCCATTTTCGTAGCTCATTTTGAGCTTCTGATACCTTCAATATCTCCGAGTTCAGAAAGCTGTCGGGTCTATATTTATTTTTGCTTGGGTCAGTATGCAGTCAAAGACCGATCATGTAGACAATCTATGTCGAGGTCTGAATACGGATGAAATCATCAATTACCTTTTCAGGACCACTCGCTTCCCCTTCGCGGCACTCACGACGATTCCATCTCCACAATCAATATCAAGAGACACGCGCCCAAAACCGCTAGTGAATACGCTTATCCCGGGGTTATAGCTAGATCCACGACGAACTGAACATTCCGTTAGCTCTGATACCGAAGCATGTTCTTCTAATTCGATATTCCTGATACAAAGTCAGTGGAGAAATGTTGCTGATGTTACAGACTAATTTCGTTGACTTTGAGAATCGGAGTATGTAAAGTAGCAAGAACTTACGTCAAGAGTCGATGTTTATAGTGTCGTGCAGTTGTCGGATTCGCATAGTCTCCCAATATGAGATTACCCAGACATAGAGCGTCAACGTCTTTCCCCGTCTGGTAAAGGAAGAATGACTTCTCCTCTTTTGGGGACATGTCGACAATATATCGTCAATTAATGATCTTCTTCTCACCCAGGAAAACTATGTAGCGTTGATTGTGACAATGCACAATACTCATGGGATTATAGGCAAAGTCTAAGCTTTGTATGAGGTATCTTGGTCGCTGGCATGACTTGGGCTAGTCTCTCGGACAAATTATGCTTTCCAAGGCTCAAAATAAACAGCAACGCGTCGAAGTGCTAAACAGGGGGCGAGTGCTTGCTGCCTGCTGGCTGATTCAGTTTTCACTTGTGAAAATAGCCCAGCCTCGTTAGCTAAAGCACCACTGTCCAATCTTGGTGCTAAGTTATGCTTTCTTATTTTGAACTCGGCAGAGAATAAGCAGCAGTCGCCCTGCGCACTAGAGCTTCATTCCAATCATTTTGCAAGATAAGCGAGGGGCAGTTAAGCCACACCAGACTGACGAATAGCATTAAGATCTGCTCACCAATGCGCATACGGAGTACAATTGTTCGATTTGATCATCTCCCAGTGCCGACTGAAGGACATTTTTGGTGGAAAGTGTGGCTCTTTAGCATTTCCATATACATGGCAGAAAGGTCTTGCACCCTGACCACATTTTAGGTGATTGCCTCTGCTAGTTAGTTACTACCATCCTCGATCATCTAGTATGCGCACAGCTTTCTTATCTGGTTGATAAGAGTCCCAACAAAAGATCATACTATAGTCTATAGTTACAATTCGTTACTGTGTCAAGAAGAACCCATCAATTTGAAAAATAACCGGATGGATTTTGTCCAACTCTGCAGCCCATTCGGCGGCTCACTTTTTACAGAAGAATACCGCGGAGATATCCGTAAAGGGGAAGAAAACCTGAAGCATATTGCGTCTTCACTCAACAGAGACAGCGATGCAGAGAGCCTGGCCGCGTTTACTCTACAGCAGTCATGTCTGTGTATGCTCCGAGGCAATAACGCGGAAGCAATGACGCACATTGAGCGACTAGAACAGTGCCCAAATTTAAATCCACGATGGAAACTCCGAAAGGAAATATATAGAATACTCTGTGTCATATTACGCCGTTACCCCCCTATCATTCGCCACATTCCTTCTGGTTTGAATCAGCCCTGGGGTGTGAAGGTCCCCATTATATCGGTGTCGAGAGAAATCTCAGAGGCTTTCGCACAATATAGAAGGGATACGAAAGTCGATGATACAATCACATTTGAATGTTCTTTTCTTTTAGCGGCAATCAATTTCCCGGGCTTCCTTCGCACTGTTCATGTGCGAAATCCAAAGTACCCGATCGGGAAGGGAGGCAGAGTATATCAAGAAATGAAGCAGAAGGTGATTGAACGCTTCGAGACCCTACAGTGGTGCCAGAAGGCATGCGCAAACGCTGGCATGCAGCGACTCAGTCAGTATCTCAAGAGGCTCGAGGTGGAGTTACACTTCGCAATTGGTTCATCAGATAAAGGAATCGACGGTCTACGAGCCCTAGAAAGTGAGTATGAACTTTCGGGCGACTGGGCAGGATGCGCGGCTTGCAAGCTTCTAGAGGCGGATTTTGCATTAACATCGCCTTTTTCGACTCCATTTGCTTTCAATTTGATCCCTGTATACTCTGGTAACGCTGGATTCGTGTGTCAGGTATGGGATGAAACTGAAGACAAACTTTCTCTTTTGGAGAGTGATGAGTGGTCACAGAGACTGCTCCAACAAGCACACAATCTTTTCCAAAGGAGCGACTCACCAAGAGGCTGCGCTGCTGTTAGATTACGTCAAGGCTGTATCGAGCATATGAAGTGTTATTCGTCGGCATGCATGCCAAATGAAAGAACGGGATTTCTCCAAGCGGCAAAGGAGCGCTTCTCTGATGCGTTGCATCTATTTGATCTCGATGAGGTCCATTGTCAAATTGTGCGAGGTCATCAAATGATGCTAATGATTAGTGGCCAAGAAGACATGAAGACCGTAACTTCTCTCGCAAGAGATATTGGTTCATGGGGCATCAGGTCCAACAATGAGGGGATTTCGGAATTCATCGGGTCACTTCTCATCAGGTTCGGTCGACGTTTATTATATCAGTCCGAAGTGAATAAGGCCTTGATGTGCTTCGAAGCTGCGCGGGAATGTTTCTCTGCAATGGAGGAACAATATGGTACTTTCCAGGCCATGATCTCTACCATAACAGTTCACAGTCTGACACAAAATAACCTACACGCACGTTACCTGATTGAACATCAGACAGAAAGCTTTTACGCACTGCTCAATTACTTTGACGGACTCCGTGACTCGGACCCCTTATATAGCGGTTTCCATGGGACGAAGGTAAACGTTATTACTAGCTATGACTCTGTTGTCAGTCCAATATACAGAAGCCTCGGTGAATTCGAGGCCCTGAAGAAGTGGAGAGCAGAGGTGAAACAATTGCTTAAGAAAGACAATATGACAATGACGATTGCCCTTCGTGAAGCGCTCAGTGATCCTTTCTTCAACAACTACTTTGGAAAAGCAGGCCACTTATTGGTGACAGTCAGTAGTAGTTGGGCCTCGCCATCTTTCAACATTTTTCGTTCGGCTTCAACTCTCGTCAAACGCCTTGTAACCTTAGGGTTATCTTATCTTACAGGCAGCAGTGGCAGCAGTAGTAATGAACATGTGTCTGAACCTGAGCAAAGGGAAGAAACATTTTTTGATAAACTGCACCGCGCTCATTCTATCATGGATGACTACGCGATTATGATCGGTCGCTATCGTGACTTGATTTTGACTGCTAATGTCGACGAAGCTGAGAATGTTCTCCGCTCGTTTTATGCCTCTTTGGAGTCCATGGCCCCAGCATTTTCTACTAAGGTGGCAGGCATACTCGTGGGAAGTGAACTGGGAGACTTAAACATCACTTCCAAGAATCTGGAGTTGCTGACAGACGAGGAATTACTCGGAGAATGGACTATGGATAAATACGGTGCTCTTCATCATACGCAGACGCGATCCTCAAATGTCCATCAGCACTATCGCAGTCAACCACATTTTGAAAACGCTCTATATTTTTGCGTCCTGGCTGGTCAATGGGATAGAGGCTACAAATTTCTCCACATCATTGAATCCACGGATCCGGATTTCTTTGATATTCGGGGTTGGCGCGATGTTGACATGTGGCATCGCTTTGCAAGTGCTGGCGTGATCGCGGGACACAAGGGTGAGATAGAGAAAGGCTTTAAATATTTGCTACAAGCAATGAAGATGGTCGAGTGTTTCCGTGGTAATATTAGCGACAAGGAAGCTAGACGATCAATGATATCAACGGCTCCTATAATCAACATTACGAACGCTCTCATTTTCTTGTGCTTGGAATGCAGAAAAAGCGGTCTGCCGCTAAACCTTATTTTCAACTCTGATTTTCAAGATCATTCTGACGCAAGGACCTGGGAAGAAAATGTTCTGCTTTTTTACGAAAGATCTCGCGCCAGGTCTTTATTGGATTCTTTGAGATCACAGGAACTGGGGGAGAGATTGACGGTGGCAGAGGCCAACACCAATAAAAGATACAAACAAGCTAAGTTGAGACACCTCCGCTCCCTCGCTATCGAGCATCGAATGCAAGGCATTGAAATGCCAGAAATGGATCAGCAGGAACTGAACATGCTAGAGAATGAACTTGGACCTGATGATAGCGTTCTTGATTTTCAGCAACCCATGCTTTCTATAAGCCTGAACATTGACCCCAGAGATTTGTACGGTGCTATCCCAGATGACGCCCTAGTTATTGCGATATCATATTCGCTTGAGGCAATCTATGAACTGGCAATTACAGCACACAAAGGAGTCTTATTCGCGGAGAAGATAAACGATTTGCCGGCACAGTTTCGGCGCTCGGCGATCAGGCTATTAAGGTATATTAGGGAGTCAAAAAGCATGACGGTTATGACACAAAATATGACATCTGCTCCTATCAGGGACCTTCTTCAAGAATTATCCGCGGCCATTATCCTTCCAGTTCAAGGCTTGATACGCTCGAAGAATCATATCATTTTCGTCATGAGCTTCCCTTTGATAGGTTTTCCCGTTGGGGCACTCGCACTAGATGGGAAACCTCTGTGCATACAGAAAGCAATCTCACAAATTCCAAGCCTCTCATCTCTGCTTTATCTCTCAAAACGTACAGCAGATAAGCCTGGAACATACCAACAAAAGTCACAATTCGTGTCATCGATCTCAAAAGTGAGTAGTTGGGCCGAATATGAGGCCAAACCAACGGAGCCGCCACTCCCCATGGCTGGGATAGAGTCCGTCGCCATCTCTCATCTCTTCAATATACAGCCAATCAAAGCCAATGAGATGGATCGGGAAAGATTTCGCAAGGTACTGAACGAATCACGGGTCCTACACGTCGCAACACACGGCGTCTTTGAATCTCGATCACTGTGGACGATGAATTTGCTTCTCAAAGAAAAAGTTCGAGCATTTGATTTATTCGAGACCCAGAGTAATGCGGACCTCGTGGTCTTCTCGGCATGTTCAACTGGGATTGGGACCGTCGTTGGTAATGAGGTGCTTGGTTTCTCACACGTCCTTCTCGAGGCAGGCTGCTCTTCTTATCTTGGGGCTCTTTGGGAAGTTAATGACGTTGCAACGATGTTGATGATGGTCTTGTTTTTTCGAAAGATCCGCCAGTGCATTGACGACAGCAATAGCAACGTTAGTGTAGCAGAATTATGGAGACTGGCGCTGGAGGACTTTTACAATATGAACCCAAAAAGGGCCCGTGGGATTATACAAGACTTGATTCATATATGGAAGAATACAGCTCCTGCCGCAAGACGGATTGTACAGGGTGGAATGATCTACCTGAAGAAACTATCGCAGTATACCAGCACAGAGATGGATATGGACGTTTATCAAGGCGTGGAGGACTCTACAGATCCACTGGATCTCAATTTTCAGCATCCATATCTCTATGCTTCATTCACCCTTATCGGAAACGGGGCGCTTCGACTTTTGCGTTCCAAAGAATGTCGTGTTCGAAGTCCATAGCATTTCAATGCTGCTAATAGTGATATGTACAAAAGAATCCAATACAGCCTGATGATAGCGCAGGCAGCAGGCAGCGGAGGCAATTGAAGTTAAAAGAAATTATCATCAGTAGCATGTAGGGTTGCTAGTATCGGGGGACAAGTCCCAACTACTTAGGTAGAGATATGAACCGTGACCTAAATAATTCAGCTATCTAATCTCGATATTATTAGCTAGTTACAGTAGTCTCCATAATATATGTACACTCTAAAGCTATGACTAACGCATATAATGAGAATCGCCGACAGGAAGAAGATTGCTTCAATGATTGGGGGGCTTGCCGCATGATCGATTGTACGTTCACGTTTAGTTAGGGATATTGTCCAAGTCAGGTATATATATCACCTTGAGCCGAGTACCTCCTTTCGACCCACCGTCTGGAAACTTGCTTGTATTTTTCTTAGCGTGATCATTGCACTAGCTAGCGTATGATAGAGAATTTCGGGGTTCCATTGGTGGCATTACGTGCTAATCTCCAACAACTATGCCAGACGTTGGGCATATTATGCATCGAATGGAACGCCTGTCGACTCGTGGACGGTGCATGGATCATGTTAGCGTAATAGGAGATTAATCCAAGAGTTAGACAGGACGAATTAGCAATATGGTAGTGGTGTTTGGTGTCTCCAATCTTCGTTAACAAAGGTACGGTTGCTGACATACAGAGACTGAAGCTTGAGAAAATAAAACCATCCTATCTACAGGGAACCTCATTCTTATGCGTGCGTGGATTCCAAGGTATGAGATAGATCAAGTCGGTGAAACTGTTGACAGGAAATCTGACCTGTCTACTTAGTTTGGTGTGATTTGCCACAGCGACCCTGTCATGCTGTTACAATGACACTATACATCTATAGTACTATACATATTACATCTACTGGAATAGTACGTTGAGTCAATAATGATATATCCTCCGTCTATTACCCTGTACTGTTACTTAGTTTACCCCGAGTAGAGTTATTTCCAGGTAACTACATACGCCGAGCTGGCGGCGGCCAAATGCCGTCCGGCTGTCCCTGGTTATCCCGCGAGTGTCGCGCCGCCTGGTGCAGCATTGTCAGCTCCGATGTATGCCGATACGGCCATCGTTTCGCGTTGCCCAAGAGATCGCACTGGACCAGCCGGGCAGACAGCGTTGGTGCGATATGCTTGATGTCCACCTTGAGCGGGCCTATTTCTTCTCTGCCTGTCTGTACCAGGCCAGAGACAGGAGAATCATATATAGAGGTAGATTGAATAATCCGCTCCTGCCACGGCACTCGCATCGCAAAGAGAATATTCCGAACATCGTCGTCATTTAGACTCTTAGATGCCTCTGTCTGTGCTGTCAACCATTGCTGTTGAACCGCCAGCGCCGTCTCTCGCGCGACTTTCAATTCCTCGGTCAGAGCAGCAGCGGCAGCTCTATGTGTCAGACCGCGATCTGCCTCACTCAGTCGAGCCCGCTCAGACAGGAGATACCCAGGCTGCTCAGGCACCACCCCAGCTATTAGAAGATGGGCTTCCTTATAAGTGAGCATGAGACTTTTGGCACCACTGCCGTTGTCGTTGTTGGGTATGGCTATGGCTTTGGCCACTAGTTCGGTCATGCTCAGCCCACACGCTTGTCGACAGAGGGCATCTTCTTCCTCTGGGGGTGGGCGATGGATAATCCTTCTTCGTTCTGCGTCTGTTAGGGACGCTGGAGCAAGGAAGGGTGTGGAAATAATTAATTCACACTCATCCTCTATGAACACGCACATAGTACCCAATCGTACTAAGTATTTTGATTGATGCCTTAATACTGAAACGAGCTAATTGAGGCTCATGATGGCCCATACGAGATTTTGTACGTACGTATAGCTAGTTCGTACTAAATAGGAAAGGTGCGTAGTGGAGCTCACTAACATTATTTCTATGCCCCGACCATAGTCTTCACCAGAAATTACTATATTAATGTTGTCGAAATTATCTGTATTATCCTCGTTATTAGACAGAAATGCCTGTATGTTTAAAAGATCTGATCAGCGTCTGGGAACACATCCTCCAGCTATTATATCACGAGCACGGGCATGGCAACTCGGGCATTAATCCGTTTAGTTTCCGATTGAATTTGCAGCTACTCTCAAATTTGACGCCATAACAAGCCGTTAAGGTCCTTATCACCGGTAACTCCAATATATTGGATTCCAGTATGGAGCTTCGTGGGCAGCTTGATTAGGATAGAGGGAGTTATGGTCAATTTCATATCTGCCATACGAATGTGGATCTGGAGGAGCGTTGAGTAGCCTAACCGTTATTTATTTTAAGGATTCTCTTTGCTTGTTTTGACACATGAAGCGCTAACACCTGCGATCTCTGGTATCCTACCTAGGAGTCGACTAGGGATAGGGCACCCTTGAATGCAGATTGTGGTCAGCTGCAGCTCGACAATGTATCCTAAGCATAGTCTACCAGTGATTGGGAATTCGAAGCTCACGTCTACATGTTCTCTGATTAGGGAACTTGGAAACCGTGATTGTGATTGTGGCGCACCATGCTTGACAATCGTGTTGTCCCTTGAAGACTTAAGTATATGAAATCGAGGCGCCCAGATGAGAAGAGCACGAAGAACGGTGCAAGCAGCCTGAATGCGAATCCCCCGCGACCGTGGATACGACCAATAAAAAGGGCACGTTTGACGCCCAAGGTCAGCAAGCCACGCCATAATGCGAAAACATTTGTTTGCTTTTCCCTGGCTCAGCTGAGTTACCCAAAAGTGCGTATTAAAGATCACCGGCCCCAGTTCCCACAGGACAGTGTCTACTCTCAGTCCACTATCTTCCGAAAAGTACCATTTTTCAAAAAGAGCCTCAAAAAGGGTCACATGTCGCCAAGTTCTCATTGTCTGGATTTATTCTGGGTGAAACGACTATGGATCCCGTCAGCGAAAACAAAGACAATGCAATACTCAACCGCCGAAAATATCTTCCCGACTCAAACACCCCCACAGAACACGATGGATTAGAGCAAGAACCCGAGAAGAAGGCAGAGAAAACTGATCTTCAAGTTGTGGAAGAACTCTTCAATGATGTTGGTGGCTTCCGTGCGGAATTTCCATTCAAGTTTGAGAATGTTCAGGAACAGCAAATCGAAGTCACCCGGCTGGTTGTCGCAGCAGCACTTGGACAACATAAAATCGTGAAGGAGCTTCTTGAAGAAGCAAAACAAATGTCCGAAGAAACAATCACAGAACAGTCAATGGCTTTCTTCATCGCCTCTCAGGAAGGCTACCTTGATATCATGAAAACCATTGCAGAAATCAGAAATGACGGGCAATTATCTCATTTGCTGAAGACGAGACAAGGACCCTTTTATCAAACACCATTACTTGTCGCTTCGTGGAAAGGTCGGCTTCAAGTCGTCGAATATTTATTGAATATTGGGGCAGACCTCAATGACAAAGACAGCACAGAAGACACGGTTCTTCATTTAGCTGTGATGACCAAACACGGCTGCGACGTTATCGAGATTTTACTCCAGCATGAACCCAGCCTGCTTGACAAACCTGACAGGGATTATCGGACACCCTTGTTAAGAGCATCTGTCCATGGCCACAAATCCACCCTCGAAGCTCTGTGTGGGTATGGTGCCACAATAGAAGCACTTGATGAAACCAAAAATACAGTCTTGCACCATGCAATCGCAGGAAACTCTCTCGAATGCGCCAAATATGTCCTCGATCAGAAACCTGACCTGTTGGATAAGAAAAACCAATACGGCGAGACTGCTCTAATATTAGCCTCACGGGTTCGGATGTCTAATATTCCTAATATTGTGGATCTCCTTCTTCTTGGAAAAGCAGATTGTACGATAGTGGACGAGGACGATATGACAGCCTTACACGTGGCTGCACGAGAAGGTCAACTGGGCATCGTTAAATCCCTGTTAAGGGCAGATCGGGCACCTTTGGAAATGAGAAACGCAAACTCAGAGACTCCCCTTCTCGTGGCCTCAGCCAATGGACGTGTTGATGTTCTCGAACATCTATTGGAGCAAAAAGCGTCGCCAGCGGCTCGAGATAAAAAGGACCAGACCGCACTTCACATTGCCGTTACGGAAGGCCATTTCACCATGGCGAAAGCTCTGGTTAGGCAGAAAAACATTCTCAACCTGACAAATGACAGGAAAGAGACAGCTTTGATCGTTGCAGCATTGAAGGGAAATCTTCAGATCGTTGAATTCTTAACCCAAAGTGGGGCGGACGATACAATCCAAGACGAACGGGGTGAGACAGCACTGCAGGTGGCAGCAAACAATGGGTATCTTGAAATTACCCAGCACCTCCTTGATAATTGTTCCGTTGAGATACACGAAATCTTAGAGCTTGAGAATTCCAAGGGTTACACACCGATTGTCACTGCTGTCTATAACCGAGAACTAGAGATTGTTGACTACCTCATCAAGAAAGGCGCAAATATTCAACACCGGGACAAATGGGGACGTAACGTGTTGACCAACGCTTACTTAAAGGGAGGGGACACTGATACAACAGTGGAACTCCTGGAGTCGTTACTAAAGAGACGAGTGGAAATTACTCCAGATCATGAGGGGAGGAATATTTTGCACTATGCATGTTATGCAGGAGCTCACAAAGCCATTCGGACAATTCTCAATTGGTCTTCTGATGATTCCAAAAAAGGCTCAAGTGCGCAACAAGCGACCGCGGGAGCAGCAGCAGCGAAAGACAGCTATGGAGATACGCCGTTAGCCGATGCCGTAGCTGAGACACACATCCTTGCCATTCTGGAATTTTTGAACTCGAAACTTTGCTTTCCTGAATCACCATGTACAGATATGCCATTTCTGTGCCCAGATGAGGATGTTGAGAACGTTTCCGATGTTCTATTGAAATTCTTACTTCCAGATTGTGAATTTACCATGGAGGAGCAGAAGGAGTTCGAACAACGCCGAGAATCTGTGCTTTACTGGGCGATTCTCAACGGGCAGGAGCGGTTGATTAACACTTTCCTGAAGGTGAATACCGATGTTTCATGGGACAAGATACGGAATGTTTCACTGATGCATGTGGCCGCTCTTGGAGGTCAAACTCATATCATACAACCAATGCTTGATCGCATGCTTGAAAGTCAACAGTTTCAATTAGAAACCGGAAAAGGAAGAATCACCGCACTTCACCTTGCAGTGAAGCATAAGCACATGGGACTTGTTGAGTTGATCTTGAAATGGCTTGACAATGCGAGGAGTACAGTCACCCAGATCCAAAAGGACACTCAAAGCCCTCAAAGATGCATTGACCCAGTATTAACAGCTATTATCGAGACTACTGAAAATGAGGAAACGCCGTTGTCACTTGCAGCATTTGGTGGCACTGATACACATGGTGACATCGAAGAAGTCTTGTGGAAATACCTGCTTAACTGTATAGACGCGACACCGAATTTCTTTTCTCTCTCTCTAACCGAAGAAGCACAGCGTGTCCTGGAAGTGGCGGCGCAAGTTGAGCCCCCAAGAGAGGAACATTATCTACGAGGATTCCTTAGGAAGTTACCAACTGGATTCGATGGGCCACCTGAGGGTTCCAACACCCTATATCTGGCCGTCTATCACCGATGCGCCACAGTGCTCTGGTGGCTTCTTTCTAACGGAGGGTATACCAGCGAGGTTGACATTAAGAAAGGTCTTGAAATTTCGTCGAAGAGAATCGGCCCAAGCGATTGGCTTGACAAGATAATTGTTGATCTTTTAAGAGACCCCCCGCCGGTTCAAAACACCGAGGTCGCAGGGATGGACCATCATGAGCCAAGATTCACAGCAGCAATCCCCAAGCACGTTGAGATGGAAGGAAACATAGTAGACCTTCTCGTCGATGAAGAACAAGAGATAACTTTCAGCTTCAAGTACCGCCCAATATCTGAAATAATTTATACAGACGGGCCTAAGAAGATCATGACGGCAAAGGATCGAGACCTACATTCGCTCAAAGAGAAAATTGCAGCACGAGATGATAAAGCTGGAATTATCAAAGTTCGCAAACTAAAGTCTAAGTCGCCATCCCGACAGCAGATGGGTATCGATTCAAGTGCTCCTCTTCCTGGTTCGGTCAAGGAGGCCAGAAAAGTGGGATATGAGGAACAGAAAGGAGGCCAGGGAATCGAGCAAGAAAAGCAACGTGGCTTAAGATGGATACATATTCCAGAAAACAATGTAGGTACTAGCAATCCCTCCTGCATATATTCATGGCTTACCACCCATTCTGGGCTAGTTGCGTTATATTGAAGTGCGTCTCTTCTCCCTTCGTCTTCCTCGTCTAGACTAATGCAACTATTAACCCTTCTAAGGACCTGATGGTTCGAATTTCTCTTGATAAGGGTATCAAAAATAAAGACCACCGCCCGTTAGCTCGATTCGTCAGGAAAAGTTGGGCTGAGCTACCTGCCGGAAGAATGAAGGCTTACATGAAGCCTCAATGCGTGGTAAGCCAGATAAATTGGATGCTTACATCTCTATTCTGATTTTTCAAGTACGACAATGAGGTGTCATGGAAATCTCCAGGGAAGAAAGAAGAAGGCGCCTCCAAGCAATGGCTGCACAGTGGCAAGCGAGTGGCATTATATGTGCGTTATCTGGTTATCCCTGTCAAAGGGTTCTTTCTGTTGCTGATTATTCTGCAGATGCCATACATTTCATGGGACAGATGGCCTGAACGAGTAAACAGTGATACGATGGCCCCTGTTGAAGTAGTCACCCGAATTGCTCCAAAAGAAGCTGTAGTCCACGAGGCTATGACTCTTGACCAATACTACTACACGTCGCTCAAGAATACAGACATGAGAGATAGGGATCAAGCCATATGGCGTCTTCTGGTTAATGAGCATCTTTCAAGGAAAAAAGGAAAACGGGTAGAAGAGAAGCTTGATGGAGAGAAGTCTGAATGGCGAGAGAGGCTATACAGAAATAGGCATGATAACGCAAAAAATGTGCCTAAGACCAAAGAGTTGCCTGATAAACCCGCTATTGACAGTGACGCTGCTGCCTTCAAGATTCTGACAGTGGATCAGCTCTGGCTCTGGATTGTTGATGAAAGTATGTTTTACCTTATGTTCGATGAAAATCAAATCCCTGCTGACGAAAAAAAAAAAAAAGAAACCATTATCACCAGCACAACTAAGAAGTCAGACGGGATAAAGAGAAGCTTTTTCCATAAGGTTCTTTCTGCTATCAGAGCCCAAGAAAAGAATACCCAGTTGTCAATCGGATATCTGACAGAGATGATTCTTATGACAGCAACAGGGTCTTTTAACAGAAAAGACATCGAGATATTTGAACTTGAAAAATCTCCATTGGACATCTATCGAGAGTCTATATTGAATGCTGTCAGTGTAGTTGCTAAACACCCAAGCGATAAAAAATACTGACCTCTAGAGTTACAGCGTGAGATTGAGACTGCCCTATTCGATGAATTTAGAAGTTCCCTCCCACAAAGTAACCAGAAGAAGGAAGATTTGGCGCCGGTGATGTCAGATCAAGAGTTGTCTGATAACGCAAAAAGACAGAAAGCGTGGTGTCATGATCTCCTCCACAGAAGACGTTCTCGGTCAAAGGTATTACCAGGAGAAAAGACGGCCCGGCAAATGCAACACCAAAAGGACAGAGAACAAAACAATCAAGTTGAGGCTAGTTCTGAGACATCGCAGAACCAGTTCGGAGATATTGCTCGCGAGGCAGATCTGCTGCGAGAAGTGAAGGACATAATTGATGAGCTCAATATGTTAAAAAATTTAGCTGAAGATCAGGAAGATGTTTGGCAGCAGGTCTGGAGCTTGGGAAGAAACCCTTATGCATCTTTCACCTACGACACCCCTACCGAGGTCAAGGATGACATTAGCGAGATGATCAACGAGGCCAAATCTGTTCAGCAAGCTATTGATACGCTACTTGATCTGAAGCAGAAACAGGCTAATATTGCTGAAGCTCAAAGTACTCGCAAGCAGAGTGACACTGTCATGGTATTCACTGTGATAACCATTCTCTTCGTATGTGGTTTATCAGCTGCCTCTCCAGTCCAACAGGTTGCTGACATAACTCCAATCCACTGTATAGCTTCCTGCTTCTTTCCTGGCTAGTATTTTTGCGCTGAATGTTTCCGACTACCCGCATGAAAATGGCAGCGTCACTTATAAAGGATGGTGGATATTTCCTATCATCAGTGAGTTGGTGACCACTCCGACAAATGAAGCATTGATTCTGATTAAATCTCTCTCTTTACGAAGTCTTTGTCTCTCTTGCTATATCAGGAATCTTTTCTGTTATTGCATTCTATTGGAATACATGGAAGGAAATCTACAACAGGTGGAAAAAAGGCAGAGAGCTAAAAAAGAAGCAGGAAAAGGACGCAACAAAGGAAGCTCTAAGGGAAGCTTTAATGAGAAGCAAAGATGAGAACGTATAGCTGTCTGTCATCAAGGCCTTGGATTGCGTCTTACAAGCTTTCCTTGACACCTAGTATATCAATACCAATTTCAGCCTTTTCCTTCCAACACATGGTGCGGAGTCCTGCAGATGGATTTGCCAGAAAATAGTTAGACCAGATAATTGATTACCGCATTATAGTATTGTATTCAAGTTTATAGCAAGAATGGGAAAATAATGTCCCGATAAAATATAGTCACCCATGCCGCGCCGAAGATCGTAGAGTTTCATCGCCCGAATATCCCCACGGCTAAGCTTAATCGCTCGAGGAAATATAGATAGGTGTGGTACTTCAGGGGCCTTATGTTGTCGGTAGACATTTGTTGAGACTGGCTGGCGGCAGACTCGTACATTAAGAAAGTTCTCTTTGAAATCTTGTTTCAAAGAGCGATACGATGGGGATACACGGGTTCTTGAAGATGCCTTCAACAAAATTAATGTTCGGTAAAAAGGCGTCGTCAAGGCACGAGAAGGAGTAAGGCAAGTTGTATGATCTCTTTACTATCTGGTGGTCCTATTCTTTACTTTGGGCTTTTTGATATATGCTGCTGCTCATCCTCGTGACGGCGATAAAAAGGTTCTCAACGATGGCGACTGTGACGAAGTAGAAACAATAAGTACAGGGCTTCACCTATTGATCAACTTTTTAAGTACTGTTTTATTAACCGCCAGTAAATTTGGAATGGTAAAGTTCCAACGCTCTAGAGTATACATATCGTGTACGAGAATCTGCGCCCAGAACATAAATATTTTGGGTTCACGCAAGTAATACGACGAGATTTGAGCAAGGGTACCGAGACATTGCAACAGTGGCAAATGTACCTGGATTCGACGATCCAGAATCTAATATCTTCCAGCTGGTCAACATGTGGGCTATGCGATGAGACGAATGGCAGCTGGTTGATGGTTCTGGACAATGCAGATGCTATTGATACCTTTTTTAATACCTCTAGTGGGAATGTGCCATAGTGGATTACTTACCTCGTGTTTCGCATGCGCCAATTTTGATTACGGCACGGAATATCGTGAGGCCTTATGGTCAAGTCATACCAGTGAAACCAATGAACACGTATGATGCTATTACCCTACTACGAACCCGCATTAACATAGACTAGTCAAATAAAGACAGCACTCATCTGTTGGTCAAGGCACTTGAATGCATCCCTTTGGCACTTACACAAGCTGGTGCATATATTTCGAATCGCTCACCTCGAATGGCTGTATCGACTTGGAGTATTTTCAACAGAGTAAGAATAACCAACAGCATCTTCTAAATTATGAAGATACCTATTATCTTCGACGGGATCAGACTATCCGATACCCAGTCATCACGACATGGCAGATATCATTTGATCAGATCCACCACATACTAAATCTGTTGGCATTGATGAGTATGTTTGACCGACAAGGGATTCCAGAAGAATTGGTCAAGGAAGGGATGGATCAACTCGAATTGGAGGATGCAATGGCCCCATTAATAAAATTTTCTCTCATCCAGGTCGAGGTTGGTGGATGGTTGCTTGAATTGCACTGGCTGGTCCAATTATCAGTTCGACAGTGGCTGAAGAAGCAAGACCAGCTCCAAAGTCAGGGGAAATATAAGGAGGCGCAGGCCCTGACTCCGAGCCCGATTCTGGTTTCTTTCCTCTCCCATACTCAGTATTCTCATCGATTAGCTACCCCAGATATCAGATGGATGGTAATTTAATTAGAATATGAGCACCTTCACGGTTCATTATTTTTTTCGTACACTGATTATACTTGTCATGCCACAAGTTTGCAGAATCTACGGTACCTCCTATTTGGTTACTTTAATTTCGGATGTGGAGGGGCAGTCTCTGAAATGCGTTCAGTTCTATAAATCAGACTAGAAATCATATTTACTTGATTAACTGTCAGACATAGACAAGAAACCAAAAGTAGAAGAACCGCTTACAAAGATTCCTTAGGCTCGATCAAGCATATAGCTTCGTTAAGTACTCCAACGACTTGTCTATTACTGATGTAACCCCCCAGCTCAAAACATTCATATTTTGCAAATATCTAGTCTTTCAGCCTAGTACCTTACACATTCAATTTCCCTTGCGAACACTACATATTACTTTCAAAAATCTACTTGAAACAACAATGAAACAAGCTTTTTACTTTCATGTGCACTATAGTGACCGTACACATAAAGGAGCCCATCCTATAAAGCCCTTTATGTATTCACAGAGGAAGCTTGCAGCAAGGATAGCTCTTTGAAGTTATTCGTAGAATTCCGGCAAACCACACGTGTACTGCAAGGAACTGACAGCAAGAAGAAATCTGATTCTGCTAACTACTGAGAAACAAGAAGCAAAGATAGAAAACAAGAGGACTGCTGCCCCAGGACAAATCGATGGGCAGGATGAACTCCTTATAAGCTTCATCCTATCAGCATGGGTTTTCCTAATCAGTACAGCGTTCTCTTACTATTGGCAAGTTCAAAGTCTCCCCTGCTGAGTATTGGAACTGGCTCGACAAAGTTGGTGATATCCGTGGTGTCGAGTATAGTGCATAGAATGCACTCATTATCTTGAAAGGAGGCCCAGGATGGATGCATGAGGCTGCGGCCGACGTGGTCCGTGAAGTCTTCTATCAAATACGAGACAAGTTGAATGCCGCTACTGGCTCGCGCTACTTTTTGACTGGTAGTATAGGTATGTTAATAGATCCGTCTCCTTATCTATGTTATTTTGTAACTCCTAACTATATCAGATTGTTCATTAGCCGGCGACTTTGATGGATCTACAAAACAAGCAGATGCATCTCTTCAGAAGTCTGGAGCTAAATGGCCAGCTGTGGTTCTTGAGGTCGGCATTAGCGAAACCACAAGCAAGCTCTATCATGATGCAAAGCGATGGTTGGAAGGTAGTAATCGTCAAACCAAACTTGTGATACTTGTTAATATTCAAGAAAAACCGAAATGGAAGACTTCAAATGATGATTGGGGTTTATCTGAAATTGACTTTCAGCAAATCAATCATGACAGCCTCTCTAATCATATATTCCAGTGGTACCGATCCAAGGAAATTCGCCTTCATGGTAGCTTGGACCTATCTGTACATCTATGGTACAGTGATGATGATAAACAATGTATCTTGAATAATGCTATCTTATCACCAGGCAACTTGATAGACCTATCAACTATCAATGATGTGCCTTTGAGATTGGAGCATCTCGTGATTCGGATGTGAGCAACCATTTTCATTTCCATTGAGACATTTGATCGACACAATGCAAAATGGCTTTGAAAATATTAAAATGCAAAGAACTAGTGTCTTGGCAGAGAACAAGTTGAAAAAGTAGTTTCCATTATGAGGGAGTCTATCATATTTTCAGTGTGATAGATTTCTGTGTTGGGTATTTTGATTCAGGGCTGGGCAGCCAGTAGCTTTAGTGATTTAGGATGCAGTTAATGATTTACTATTGACAGATATATCTCGGATATGCTCAAATTATTATATTAGACTAGAAAACAATCAAAAGAGCCGTAAACCTTATAGTATAAGACTCAGTGGACATCATGTTGTACAATTTGGTGTCGGATCCAGCGCAGAGCGTATCAACGGGGATTGCTCCTTAAATACCTGTCCGAACGTGAATATCAAACCCTACACGTTTTGGCACCGGATATAGTTAGTCTGACGCGGCACGTGCGTGCCGCGTATATCTAGCTAGCCATCCCCGTCCCCCTCGTTCTTGGGGACAAGTCACAATATTAGGAATCAAGATATCTTCATATTGTCAGGCTCATTAGGCCGCTTCGTGTTCGCGCCTTACTACCGTCTATGCTTCGTGATACGGACCGTAGTTAAACCAACAATACCTTAACTAGTAAAACAGCGGTGTAGTATGATAGAGTCTTCACTTTCGCTTGAGCCCTATGTGATAATAGGAAAGTGGTGGGAATAGCTTCAAATTCGTAAAAAGCAAAGAATCTGTTGAGAAGGGTTGTGCGCTGAAAGAGGTTTACTCAACTTCCTTAGCGTTTCGTATGGTAATCTGAGTACACAACTTTACACGCTAGACCCGGGGTTAGCGAACTAGTGCAACTTAGCGTATTCCCATCACTTTTGGTGCCCACCTCCATACGGATTAGACTAACGGAGTACTGTTGGATTGTACGTAACAATCTCAAGCGGTAACGTAATCCACAAGCGAACCGGCACTACAAGCGAACCGGCACTTTTTCCCGAACACGTACAAAATATTGATCTCAAATCTCAATTTCTAACCCACATACTAATTATATACAAAAAATCAATTCCTAATACGATTAGGACATCCGGTTATTTTATGTCCTGCAACACCACAACCACTGCAGCGAAATTGACGTCGTACAGGTGGATGACAGACTGGAAGCTCAGGCTCGGCCGGAGCAGTAGTAACAGCTTGGGATGCTTCAACCCGACCTTGTACGAGTGCTTGAGCTTCCTCTCTGGTAATTCCCTGCTCATGAGATATTTGCTGCTTAGATCTTTGACGTTTTTGCTTCTCCTTCTCATGTGCAGCCCGTAGATCATGGAGTTCCTTCTGTGCAATTGTAAGCTTATTAATACTCATCTCATAAGCCTTTGATGCCCGTGTAAACACTTCACCAATAGCCTCAGATGAACTCCTTGTATGCCGGCTTATTCTCTTCTTCATAGTAGTCATTTGGCGCTTAAATTGACATGCGTTTTGAGGGGTTTGCAAGCAGGATGATTGTGTATCACTTGATCGACATGGAGGGGGTGTTGGAGTCTTCAATCGAACAGTAAGCTGTTGATAAACTCGATCTGGATTGAATGGTACTAATCCAGTTGCTGTAAAGCTATTCCGAACAGTTTGGGCTTTATATGCCATCGTACGAGCCTTTGGGAATGCAGTAAGAAAGTCAAGTTTATCAATATGATTGAATCCAAGCCTCATTCGCTGCTCAACAAGCTGTCCATAATGTCGCTTTAAAACAGCAAAACAGCCAACATCAAGAGGCTGTAAAAGATGTGAAGAATGAGGAGGCATACAGACTGGAATAATATTATTCTCAGTGCATGTACGGTCAAATTCAGCAGTCAAATGACTTCCATGGCCATCAAGAATTAACATGCGATAATTTCCCATTGCACGGCCATTAGTAAGAGGAATAAAATGGGTTTTAAGCCATTCTAACCCAATCTTATCTGTAGTCCATCCATTATCACTGATATTGATTCTCCAGTCATCAGGAAGATCCTCAAACCAGCCTAACCGAGTATATTTCTTTGCCTTGAAAATGATGTATGAAGGCAGGGCCCATCCAGTTGAATTAATTGCCTCAATTGCAGTCACCCATTCTCAATTTCCAGGCTGTAATAGCTTTGGCCGAGCATATCGATCGCTTCCAGTAATAACCTTTGCGGTTGCACAGAGTCCCATAGCAAAGCCAGTCTCATCAAAATTGTAGATATCTTCTGGTAAGATTCCGTACTTTGATATAACCTCTCGTACGCGATCAAAATATTCTTGGATTAACTTCGGATCTTCGCATTTAGCACGCTCGTAGTTATATTTCCGTGAAAATTTTGATTCAATCTCTGGGCGACGTTTGACAAGATTATAGACCCATTTCTCTCCAACCTATTGATTTCCACATTGTGAAAGAAGGTAATTAGCCATCTCTCGTACAAGAGAGTGCCGAGGGGGTAATCCACGTTTGTCTAGATCGAGTACCCATTTGACAAGTGATTCCTCTTCAAATTGAGACAATTTATGTCTGTTGGCACGTATTATAGATCTTTGTTGAATTCCGTTTAACCTGTCATATAGCGTCGTCCGAGGAATATTGTAAATGATTGCAGCTTGATACACACTTGAGATTTTTCCATTTTTTAAGTCGGAAATAGCTAACAAGATCCGCCCCTCTTACTCTGCTAAATTCTTTTCGTTTTTATTGCGAATTGGTGGCATGTTGACGCGTTGAATAGTATGGAATCAATATTGAGTACGCGTTCGGAAAGAAACTGTCGGCTCGGTTACATTGTCGCTTCGCTTACCGATTACGTTATACCTAATTGTACTGAATAAGAATTCCTCTTTGGTGGACTAGCAGCTGTATTCAGCCCCATGCTTATATAACTAGCGTTGGTTCCCGATTTATTGGCTGTGACGTTCTCATTTCTCTGACACACGTAGCATTAAAAACGAGAACATAAATATTGCTATATTCAAGAGGGACCATAGATTCTACAGTAACTTTCTAGGTTTACAAAGATGGCATTACGGTACCCAGGCTACACCAGACAAGCTACTAAGTATCTCATTTCCTGCGGGTTCCTCCTGCTGCTGCTTTTTTTCTGGCTTCCAGAGCTTTCAGCACGGCGCTACAACACTTGGGATTGGACAGGCTGTCCAGGTTCGTTTCCATTCGAACCATCATGTACAGATCCTAGTGCTACGATCGCCCAAGATATACAAATTGTGGTCAGGACAGGGGGCTCAGAACCCCAGAGTAGACTTCGTTCTCAACTATCCACAATTCTCTCTCGGATCCCACAACGGAATGTCCTTATCTTGTCGGACATGGAAGAAGAGATCGGCTCTTACCATGTTCAGGATGTCTATGCCGACTTATCAGAGCAAGAGCGTGCGAGCTACCCCGAATTTGCCCTGTATGACACACAGCTGGAGTATCAAAAACAGGGGGGAAATACTCGCGAGCTACAAGGTGGATGGAACTTGGGCAAATAGTAAGTAATCATCAAAGAGCACATTCTTCTATTATGTTTGAGAAGCAGCACCTTTCAAGACATCTAGAAGCAAATGTTAATTTGCAACTATTCATAGTATGAATCTAGCTATGAAGCGCAAGATCTGGAAAATGCATCAGGAATCTCACGGCGGGTTTAATTTCAGATGGTTCGTCTTCTTAGACACGGACACATTCATTGAATGGGAGAATCTCCTCGTTCTGTTGAGTCATCTTAACGATGCGAAACCGCTTTACATAGGCAGTCCGGTCTGGCTGCCAGCGCTGCAGTTTGCCCATGGCGGAAGCGCATATATTTTATCATATGGCGCCATGAAAGCTCTAAATACCCCTGAGACACGTGATAAGGAACAGCTCTTGTATAGCCAATTCGGTTTCAACACAACTGCATTGTGCTGTGGCGATGAGGCCCTCGCGAACGTATTGAAATCAAAAGGGGTCAGCCTAAAAGGCTACTGGCCAATGTTTAATGGAGAGATACCAGCCGCTCTCTCCTTCGGTAGAGATCTTTGGTGTGAGCCCGTCATTTCGTTACATCACATTGCCGGGGAGGACATGCAAGATCTCTGGCAGTGGATCGAAAATTGGAAACTCAGGACAAGCAGCATGGTTGGTTCACCCTTTTCCCTTGACTACCATCTTTATATCTCCGTAAACTAGCAGCCTCCATGACCATTTCGCTCACCACAAAACAGCAACCAATTTTGTTCAAAGACTTGTTTGAATATGTTGCTCCGCAGATAATCGGCACCCGTGAGGACTGGGATAATATACATGGCAGCATGAAGATTTTTCCAAAGTCTACGGCAGCTCATAGCTCCTTCCAAAACTGCAAGGCAGCCTGTGAACTAGACAGTTCTTGCTTTCAGTTTGTCTATGATGGCACCACCTGCGCGGTTTCAGATCACATCCGAGTTGGTAGCAAACGTTCACCTGAAGAGAATCCAGCGCGAACATACATATCCGGATGGATGATAGAAAGGATTCGAGACTGGACAATGAAGACCTATTGTGCAAGCGCACATTGGCTGCATTCCAATCCATAGACTTCGCTCCTCCTCTATCCACTTTGATGCCTCTATCTCCATATATAAGCGGGCTTAGTGGTCCCTTGTTCTTGTCCCTATGATCGTTGCAACAACCTCAAGAGTCGAATATTCGAGAGTTGTAGTTTATCCCCTACGTGTATTTACTGTAAATAAAAACTCGTACCAAGAGATACAGAATTATATCCGGATTGACATTACTACCACACTATTCTATATTTAGTATGGTATCTTATTGGCATTCTTGGCAGTGTTTCAGAGGAAAGCGAAGAGAGTCTCAGTTGTTACTCTGAATGTGCAAAGCACTGTATTGTTCCACTGCGAGAACGAGGCAAATACATGTCGGTGGTGCTGATGTTTAGCACCATCGGAGCGGCATTAGGCCCGCTCCTAGGAGGCCTGATTGCAAGCAACACTACCTGGCGTTAGATCTTCTATATCAACGTTCCAATCGGAGGAGGTATGTTTGTTCCAACTCCCAAGCACACACATGCTCAGTCTATGAAATTCTCTCCACCATCTAGTCGCACTCGTCGCTCTCTACGTATTTTTGCGTGTGAATCACCGTAAGGACCAGACCTGGAAGCAGCGGATTGCCCGCATCGACTTTGGAGGCAACTTTATATTCATCGCAGCCATGGTGGCCATAATCTTAGCCCTCACTTGGGGGGGCACAGTATACAGCTGGAGCAGCCATCGCATCCTAGTAGCCCTTATATTAGGATTTGTTGGTCTATTCATCTAGACTAGATTTGAGTGGACGCCAAAGTTTGCCCCAGAACCCTCATTCCCACGCAAGATTGTCTCGCCCGCACCTCGTCAGCTGCTCTCATCTTGACCTTCCTGCATTCTATCGTCACCTACGGGAGCTTTTATTTTCTCCCAATCTACTTTCAAGAGGTCAAAGACTGATCCCCCTTAACCTCAGGAGTCGACACTTTGCCAACATTTGCTGGTATTATCCCTTTTGCTATTATGGGCGGCGTGATTCTGTCCAAGACTGGCCGGTACAAGCCGTTGCACTTCTTTGGGTTCATTGCCTTGACTATCGGCTTTGGTCTGTTTAGTACGCTGGATGAAAATCCAAGTGACGCTGCCTGGATCTGCTACCAACTGCTATGTTCCATCGGTGCTGGGTGCCTCGCAGGCATCACCCTGCCTGCCGTTCAGGCTCCGCTAGATGAAAGTGATGTGGCTACCGCGACTGGTTTGTGGAGCTTCACCCGTGGGTTTGGGGCGATCTGGGGTGTCACTATTCCAGCTGCGGTGTTTAACAATGAATGTGCCAAACATGCCGCTATGGTGAGCAACGCAGGGGTTGCGCAGAAACTTTCGGGTGGAAAAGCCTACGAGTATGCCACGCAGGCTTTTCTCAACAGCACCAGCGATCCGACAGTCCGAGCAGAAGTCATACGAGTTTTCGCAAAATCAATGCAAACCGTTTGGTATGTCTGTCTGGCATTTTCCGCACCCGGATTGATCATCGCCCTGTTCGAGAGGGAGGTGAAGCTGCGTCAAGATCTCAAGACGGAATTCGGCATTGAGGAAGATAGGAAAGACCCCGCTGCTTTTGGGGTGATAGGCTTGTCAACCGTCGAGGCCAACGCCGTAAGCTGAGATAACTGTAAGGATCTTGACTAAGAGACTGACTCAGAAATGAAGACGAATAGATGGAAACTGACTAAGGAACCAGAAAATAAGGACTAGAAAAGGTGTTAGATATTATTGGTGAAGTGCATAGCGCACAACTTTGAAAGGGGGGGAGAGAGAGAAATTCAGGCCTTTAGTTGAGAAATTACAAAATCATCTTGGTTTCTATCAATCTCACGAGATTGAGGGTAAAATAACCCCCGGTAAATCTAACAAAAGGAAACAAGAGAACTGTCGGTTCCCAGGACAAATCAATGGGCAGGATGAACTCCTTATAAGCTTCATCCTGCCGACATGGACTTTCCTAATTAGTAGAGCAGTGACATCTAAACATACCAAAAGATGTGCAAAGGAAACAACGAGTCTATAGAGGTATTTGCGCAGTGCATGCCACCCTTCAACAGCAACTTTTAAGAGTAATCCTCATAGCATTCAATGTGTCATCTAATTTTCTATTGCATGATGTATTTTATATTGTCATCAGACTCAAATTGGGGGAGTTATGGTGGATCAAAATTTGGTGTTCTGGTGTTTAGATTTTTTTCCATTTCGGCCAAACCCTAGCTGAGACGCTAATGCAAATAGGAATTAACATTACATGCCCTTTTGTTGGTGTTTGAATAGCGATCTTACGAATCACTATACGGCGCTGTAGCACGCCGTCGATTCGTACGCGAACTGGTCGGGATTACTATTCTCCGTGCGCTAGAGCGACCAACACCATATAATGTATCTAGGCACCCCGCCCCCCCTAGTTTCGGGGGTCAGTCTTTTTTAATATTACATTTCGTGCTATATAGCAAGGCTCACCACGTAGGGCAGTTGGATCGCCCTAGCTTACGATATCCTACGCTTCGTGATACGGGACGTAGCTAAACCAACAGTTGGATTGTATGTAACAATCCTTAGCGGTATATCTCAACGTATCAAGTTATGTATGAAAGTATATGGAATCCTTGATTCTTGTTGTCATTCTTGTTGTCTTCTAAGTACAGTCAAGGTGGGAGATGTCTTCTACCCCCTATTCGGTGGATCCCTCTCCTCAGTGTGTTGCTCGCTCTTATTGGCTTACAGATTTCATCTCTATAATTGGCTGGATAAGCTTACCTAATCCAACAAGAGCCAGAACTAACGTAATCCACAAGCGAACCACCACTTTTTCCCGAACGCGTACACAATCAACACGCCAACATGCCACCAATTCGCAATAAAAATAAGAAAGATTTAGCTGAGCAAGAGGGACAAATTTTATTAGCTATTTCTGATTTACAAAACGGACGAATCTTCCGCGTGGCTCAAGCTGCAAGGATTTATAGTATACCTCGGGCGACTCTACGAGACAGATTAAACGGCACTCAGCAGAGATCTCAAGTACGCGCCAACAGTCATAAATTAACTCAGTGTGAGGAGGAATCGCTTGTCAAATGGATACTCGATCTAGATAAACGTGGATTACCCCCTCGACACTCTCTTGTACGAGAGATGGCGGATTATCTTCTCTCACAACGCGGAAACCAACAGGTTTGAGAGAATTGGGTATATAATCTTGTCAAACGTCGCCCAGAGATTGAATCAAAGTTCTCGCGGAAATATAACTATGAACGTGCTAAATGCGAAGATCCGAAGATAATCCAAGAATATTTTGATCGCGTACGAGAGGTTATATTACAGTATGGGATCTTGCCAGAAGATATCTACAATTTTGATGAGCCGGGCTTTGCTATGGGACTCTGTGCGAATGCAAAAGTTATCACTGGAAGTGATCGATATGCTCGGCCAAAGCTATTGCAGCCTGGTAATCGAGAATGGGTAACTGCAATTGAGGCAGTTAATTCGATTGGATGGGCATTGCTTTCGTACATTATTTTCAAGGCAAAGAAATATACTCGATTAGGCTGGTTTGAGGATTTTCCAGATGATTGGAAAATCAATATTAGCGATAATGGATGGATGGACGACAGATAAGATTGGATTAGAATGGCTGAAAACTCATTTTATTCCTCTTACCGATGGCCGTACATTGGGAAAATATCGGATGTTGATTCTTGATGGTCATGGAAGCCATTTAACTGCTGAATTTGACCGTACATGCACTGAGAATAATATTATTCCAGTCTATATGCTCCCCATTCCTCGCATCTTTTACAGCCTCTTGATGTTGGCTGTTTTGCTGTTTCAAAGCGACATTATGGATAGCTTGTTGAGCAGCGAATGAGGCTTGGATTCAATTATATTGATAAACTTGACTTTCTTACTGCATTCCCAAAGGCTCGTACAATGGCATACAAAGCTCAAACTGTTCGGAATAGCTTTACAGCAACTGGATTAGTACCATTCAATCCAGATCGAGTTTATCAACAGCCTACTGTTCGATTGAAGACTCCAACATCCCCACCAAGTCGATCAAGTGATACACAATCATCCTGCTTGCAAACCCCTCAAAACCCACGTCAATTTAAGCGCCAAATGACTATAACGAAGAAGAGAATAAGCCGGCATACAAGAAGTTCATCTGAAGCTATTGGTGAAGTGTTTACACGGGCATCAAAGGCTTATGAGATGAGTATTAATAAGCTTACAATTGCACAGAAGGAACTCCATGATCTACGGGCTGCACATGAGAGGGAGAAGCAAAAACGTCAAAGATCTAAGCAGCAAATATCTCATGAGCAGGGAATTACCAGAGAGGAAGCTCAAGCACTCGTACAAGGTCAGATTGAAGCATCTCAAGCTGTTACTACTGCTCCGGCCGAGCCTGAGCTCCCAGTCTCTCACCCACCTGTACGACGTCAATTTCGCTGCAGTGGTTGTGGTGTTGCAGGACATAAAATAACTGGATGTCCTAATCGTATTAGGAATTAATTTTTTCTATATAATTAGTATGTGGGTTAGAAATTGAGATTTGAGATCAATATTTTGTACGCGTTCGGGAAAAAGTGGTGGTTCGCTTGTGGTGTCTGTTCGCTTGTGGACTACGTTACTCGAGGATGGTTAGGTCATCCAATCGCCCAGCGTCAGTATCCAACCTAACTAACGCAGAGTGGGCAACCGCCTACCGCTTGAACCATATTTTTTTTTTACGCTGTATGAGAGTTTCAAATGACATCTGATTACTCTGTAGAAAAGGCGTGTAGCCCGCTTTGCGAAACGCCGATGCTGACCCTCATATATCCACTAGTTAATCGAAGTGGGGATGCAATAACCATATCGATAAGTTTGGTTTTATTGGAGCAAGGCAAAAAGCCCATACTTATCCTACCGGGTGCTTAAAACGATCAGAAAAGAGAGTCTGATCTGTTTTCGATAGCCTCACCGGCCAAAGAACGAGTTTCAGAGGCGTCTCAAGTGTGGACAAAGCTAGGGCATAAAGCACAAGATTCCTGAACCAAAAAGCTTCACTTTTCGAGAATGAGAATTATTGTACACGTGTGAACTTTAGCTGGACTGGCTCCATCAATCCACAGTCCACCAACTATCACACGCGATCTTCAACATCATATTTCTTTGTCGTATCGCCATTTCCCCATGCCACATGTGAGGAATTATCATTACTCCATGCCTTACTATTGTGGTCACTATTATCTGTAGTTGACGTGATCTGCACCTCCGTCGTTCGCACGATGCCGCCACTACCATGACCGCCACAGTTGCCACTGTGAATAGGGAGGATCCTTTCCTCACTGCTATTATTGCTGTGTATATCTGAGACGCTCGTAATGGAGTGCTTGACATGACTGAGTTTCGTGGACATGACGTTGTGGGCAGTGTATTCGAGGCCAGATTGAAGCACTGCTCCAGAGCTGGGGGTATTCTTGTTTGTGTTGCGGGAGAGCGAGCGTAATTTGGTTCCTTTGTCATATTTATTGTAAAAGTGGCCTCGACTGCGTGAGCCAGAGCTGTAGTTATTGAGGAGCCTCTTGAAAAGTGGCTTGAGGCAGGGTAGACTCCCTGCAACAATCCCAGTATTGCATTCGGTGCTGCGATGTAAATGTTAGACGACGTCTGAGGGGAGGAATTAAGAAATGGCGCGTGTCCGTACGTGATCCATATTGTCAGGTCCGTCGAGTCCCAGAGGAAATCTCCTGTTTTTCCGTAGTTTGGAAGGAATGACAGTTTAACGAATGCTGCAACGCATGCACTATCGACAAAAGGTCGTATCGGTCAATCATGTCCTTTAAAAGGGGCTGGAAGCTTACAAGACACCGAGTCCGAGAATGCAGATCAGAGATGCTTTGGTGCGCATGTTAATTTGTAATTTTCTGATTTGTATCATGATTAATAAATAACTGTATCGTATCCCTCTTTGAGATTGTAGCAACTGGAGGTGCGAACGTACCGAAGCATGAAAGCCGGCAAAACTGCGAAAGTCAAATCGGTGAGAATATTGAGAGCTTCCCGGGAGTCTGTCAGCGTCAAAGTCCAATCTTGATACCTCTCACACGCTAACCTGTGTTAGTATAACTGAGCTCGATAAGCTGCCTCGGTGTAAAACATTGAGACTTCACCCTATCATCCCAGATAGATGCCATGTCCTTACACTGGAAGATAAGGGTCTATCACAACCATCAGTTCAACACCCAAGGGGGGTAATACCGCGGAGGAATGTACGTACGAAGAAGCATATCGTCGTGTAAATCGCCATCATGGCTAGAATGCATATACATCAGCTGGTGTTGTTTCTTCTTCGTTCCGAAACAACGCTCATTCAATTCACTCGACACTTACCGATCACAGTCCAGATAAATATCTTGTAGCTCTTGTTCGGCACAAAGCGAATTAAGAACAACCCAATTGAGATTTTTACAAGGCCAATCGCCCACAGATAGATTGCCTGAGTGACGAAATTCAAATGCAGGCCTGTGACAGCAACTTCCTGATCGAGATACACCCTATGTCGTCCGGCCCCATTTCTGACTTCTGGAATGATGACAGCCCAACCGGAAAGGGACTTTCAAAAGTTATCAATTATCTAGAAGCACTGATTGGATTTATCAAGAGTCAAGGGATGGAAGACTTACCAGGGCCATTGTTAATGCCATGAAGCAGTCCTTGATTCTAAGAGTCAGTCAACCCAGATATCAGATAAGAAGAAAAAATGGTGGAAATCAGAGAATTGAAAGAGAAACTACAGGGATCATTTCTGGATATAACTAAACAGAATTGTAAGGCAGTGAAAAGAAGGGACTACAGCGATGGAGGGAGAAAGCAATGCCATGATAAACGTCTTGGTGGACCACTTCCATTTTCTTCACATGCGTACAGTATCCGGTAACCTGGTACAGATCACTCACAGGTAGTGCTCTTTTTGCTCGAATTCTTCATTTTGCGTTTTGCTCTGTGAAAAACATCATACCGGATGACTGGGAAGATACTCACATCGAGGCCAATGTTTTTGACCATGAATATCCGAACGTATAGACGGGTCAGAACCACTACCAGGGCAGCACCGGTGGTAATGGAGACTGCAGCGAGGATATTTGGACCACGGTTGTCGTCTGGCAGTCCCGCCCCCCCCGGGTGGGCGATGGCTGACATGGTACTGTTCTGATGTCGACAACCTCGTTCTGTCTTAACGTATGTCGATGGAGAAGCAGAATGCTACTAGAGGATGAGGAAGGAACAGCGAAAGTAGAGTTCTCAGGAGAGTGGGCACATTTCATATAAGTCTAAAATCGTCACGTCCTAGCGAAGTTAGGGTTTCATTAAGGACAATGACGGCGAGGCAAATTTAGGTGCAAGGGCCCAAGGGATTTGGATTCTCTTGGATTGGCACGGTTGACTATCTATTATCCCCTTAGTTAGACATTTCAACTCATTCAGAATCCGAACCCGGCCCCTATTTATCCCATCGCTATGTACGCCAGACACTTCGTTAGGCTGGTAGGAAATAGCCACACCTAACAGACAGCTATTCGAGTGCGGCTGGAAGTTTATTCTTGATTCTCTCATCCTTAATGCAGGAACCATGCTAGATTCGTTTGTATTGTTTTAGATTGACCAAATACCTGGGGCTGGCCTTTCTTTTCCTCGTGTTCGCCGACGGTGGCATGAGATTTACTTTGCGCTCAGGCATAGCAGGGTGTGTATTTTGATGAGGGCGGAATTTAGCCAGATTGATCCGCTCCAATAATCATGCATCTGGGACAGTGTGTCCTGTTGGGACTATATTACAGCGCCGAGAACGGCCTCTCGCACTACAGAATCACCTTTGCTCAGTTTTGGCGCAACCTTTCGGTCCAGTGGCAAAGATCCCAATATGTAAGTACGGTAACAAACGTGTAGTACTCACAAATTTGTATGGAGTTCGATGATTTTTCAATTCAATTCTGCTCTTTCGCTGGGGCCAGCCACACCTTGCTCTCTGGAGTCTTTAGGACCCTGTTGGAACTAGCTTCGTGCCTTTCAAGGTTCAACCGGCTCACGCCTCATTATGGGTCTATCAGCCAATTGGGTAGTACCCTATAAAATACGGAATGCTAGTCTCCTTGGATCGGAAATTTTACCGCAATTAGGGCCCCGGTTGATTAATAGCACTATTATACACTTTCGGATCCGAAGGCCAATAGCCACGGATATTTCCAGCCAGATTGCTTCACCCGACAAGCTTACTGTAACAGGTTACTGGTAATGGTCATGCACAGAATAGGATGGAGCAAAGGGTTTCGGGAGTAGCATCTGTATTTATGGGGCCGGCCCCGCCCTGATCGATTTCCCAAGGGAGATTTGATGAGAGCGTTTGACAGAAAGCATGCATAGTACGGAGGTGGGAGTCAAAAGTGATGACAATACGCTAAATGCACGCTGGACGGCGGTAGACATGTATATCATAAATAATTACAGCTACTTTTGCCTTGGAGCTCCTCTATTTGTCTGTCTACTTAAGGGCTAGATGCTCTTTGACTTAGCTCTGTATAGAAACACATCTAATACATATAGTTTACACGCTAATAGCTAGCGTATTGCCGTTACTTTTGACTCTCACCTCGAGTGGGTAGTACTATGTTCCGGGTGGCTCGCTTAAATTTAATTGTTAGTTGGAAGTTTGCATAGAGATATTAAGTACTGCAACGTAGTGGCTCGCATTTATCCCGCGGTCTGAATCTGTTCGATGCTGGAATCGGTGATACTTACAAGGTTTACTACGCTGTATGTTGGGTTGATTTGGATTTCTGGCATTGCTCTTATTGCCTACTACATATTAGTTCTGTACACCTGGGACCGGGAAAAATGACCCCAGTCATAGTAAGTGCAGGCCGTATTTATGCAAGGTATGAAAAATGGGCCATAGCTTTTCTTGCTACGAATAAATTATTCCGGAAGCTCCGAAGGACTCCACAATTTGTGTTTTGGTGTTGGTGAGCCTGGCCATTTGCTACCTGGCCTAATATGTACTCTTATGGGTTTAATGCATGGCGTGGCATCCTCCCATGGCGTGACGGTCAATGGTTGACCGAACGAATATGGCTTGTTCCTTGAACCCACGCTGCTCGGTGTTGGCATCTCCTAGCTTCGTTTTCTTAGTAGAACGCATTCTGGCCCGATATCTACCATAGTATTGAATTTCTCCTCCTTCCGTCGCTCTTCACGGTGGGCAAATGTGTGGGGAGCGATGGGTTAGTTGTACTTTACACAGGAAGAGTTCTTCCAGATCAATACAACGTCTCACTGTGCTAATGACTGTGGTGTAACTCCTGCTCCTCTTATCTTTTTTTAACTTTCTAGTCTCGGCTACTTCGTCTGTCTAACTGCCATCAATCCTTCTTGGAATTGGCTCCTTCCTAGTACTTGTATAAGAATGTGAACAAGGTAAGCATTTTTCTTTCTTCAGCTTCTGTACCTGGGATCCTGAGAATTACAGTTCCTGTAAGAGTGCACCTGGAGTAGTGATTGTTATTGCCTCTTCTACCAAATCGCAATGCGATATACCACACTGGTTGGCGGAGCGCTGGCTCTCCTTTCCAGTACTCCTGTTCTAGCGCAGACCGCTTCTACGACCTTGCCCACAGCGGCTTCAACGTCGACGTCCCAGGCTGCTTCGCAACTGAACACTTTGAGCCAGTATGCCAAAAACGTCACTACAGGCAACCTTGACAACGGCGTCACCAGCAAACGTGGCGGCTGCAATTTGAGCAACTTGAAGATTCGCCGGGAGTGGTATGTCATTTTTTGCTTTCTTTTTGTCCCTATTACTCCCTGACTATTACTAGGTCCACTTTCTCCACTGCGCAGAAGGAGGCATACATCAATGCAGTGCTCTGCCTCCAGAGCAAGCCTTCAAGAACTCCTTCTGACCTGGTTTCGGGAGCGAGGACGCGCTATGATGATTTCGTGGCCACGCATATCAACCAGACACTCAACATCCATTATACGGTGAGCAATGATCCTTGTGGTTCTGACTTGGGGTCCTGCATCTAACTGATATACTAACTGCTGTCTTTCTTATCCTAACATAGGGCACGTTCCTCGCATGGCATCGTTACTTCACCTGGGAATTTGAGCAGACGTTGATCAACGAGTGTGGCTACACTGGCACGGTTCCGTAAGTCTCTCACTCTCATGACAAGATCCAAGTGCGTTCGCCTTTGAGATTCAGCACGCTGACAGCGTCACAGGTACTGGAACTGGCCGGCTTCCGCCAACTCCTTGGAGACTTACTCCGTGTTCGACGGCAGTGCGACCTCTATGTCCGGAAACGGTGCGCCACGCGGGCCCAACGATACTGACAGCGATATTGAGCTAACCCTCGGTAATTATCCGATTGTGTATCTGCCACTCGGCACGGGAGGCGGCTGTGTGACTAGTGGTCCATTCGTAAATTACACTGTGAACCTGGGCCCAGTGGCTCTTTCATTGCCAGGGGGCGCGACGGGCGCGGCGGCCAACCCATTGGGCTACAATCCTCGCTGTTTGAAGCGTGATCTGACTACTGCCCTCATTCAGCGGTATGCGAATTTCACGTCGGTGGTGAGCCTTATCCTGAACAACAACGACATCGCCGACTTCCAGCTTGCCATGCAGGGTGTCCCCGGTAGCGGTTCAATTGGCGTACACGGGGGTGGTCATTACGCCATGGGCGGCGACCCTGGCCGGGATGTGTTTGTGTCGCCTGGCGATCCTGCTTTCTGGCACCATCACGGTATGATTGACCGCGTTTGGTGGATTTGGCAGACCCTTGATCTGGCCAATCGCCAGGACGCTATCTCCGGCACGAACACGTTTTTGAACAATCCTCCCTCGGCTAATACGACGCTCGACACCGTTATCGATCTGGGGTACGCGGCGGGCGAAATGATAGCAATGCGTGAGCTGATGAGCACGACGGGAGGACCTTTCTGTTATATATATCTCTGATCATGTATTGGCAGAAATCTCTAGTCCCTGAGAATTGTTATATAACCATTTCTTTGCTTATTACTATACACTAATATCAGATGTACTTCACCAGTGAGTCCTGTCCGACTGGACTTTGGCACAACGTTCGTGCCTAATAACTATCAAATAATAGGCACGTCTAACAGCCATATTTCTACTCATATAATAGCTTTCAAAGGCCATATAATGAATTTCAGTAGCACAGGAGTGTATGGAAATCAATGAGTTTTACCTCTGTATTCAATTTGATCTATTCGGATATGGGACGGGCCAATCATGAATTTCCCTGGACACTATGATACGTCAAGCCAATCACAATTTTTCAGGACACGGCTCACCACTAATGAAATTTTAATCCTCACAGTAAGGCTAAACCATTTTAAGATACGAAAACAAAACTAAACCACGAATAACTATCTTATACCCTATCGTCAATCGGATCCTATCCAGGATCCAATTGGCCGCCCGCTGATTGACTCTTCCAACCGTTACCTCCCGCTGGTCGGGTTAGGGTTATCCAATCTGGACCGACAGAACCAGTAAGATTGTCAACACCAGAGAAAGCAAAGACAAAGACTAGAACGCGTTACATAGATACAGACTAAACAAGAAAAAGTAAAGATTAGAATATGTTATATATATAGCATAAATAGTTCTGACTTACCCAGCAGATCTAAAATATCCTTCTTATCTTTATCTCTTTAATTATGCTCTCTATCTGCTCGTTCGTCCAAGCTGAAGAAATTATATACACGATTTCTAAGTGTAAAGATCATGTGAACTTCGTTGTAACAACGTTACGAGGGATACGTATAGTCACGTTCGAGAAGGATTGCTTAAGGGCGGAGTAGGTAGTTAGGGTATGGAATGTCAATGTACTGAATTTCAACCTATCCCTTCTGCTTCCGCAGCATGGATTCTATATAAGAGACATGTTGTCTCGTAGCAATATATTGTTAACCATAGCCAGCTGAACATTAACTATAGCTAGCTGGAACCTTGACCATGACCAGCTGAAGTATCTACACTGTTTCCACTTTCTGCTCTCGCGTTAACTAACCCTAACCCTTAAGAGATTGGACAGGTGTGTTGGTTGTTACAACTATCCTGTCGGATTGATGGGTTAACTCCAGGCCAATCCTGAATAATTGCTTACAAGGATGGTAAAAGAAGAAGTGACTCGCAAGATTGTATGTATTCTGTTGTCTTTTTTTTTCTCTGAGTACATGAGGTTCCAAAGCCGGGTTTTTTATAGACCTTTCTTGGTGGGATGATTTGTGAGCTATCATGAGGGGTAAATATTGGGCTGAAATCTAGGGGCCCAAATGGGGATTGATGTAGTTGATCTCTGCCTTGTTGGAATAGATGGATTATCCAACATATCCCCTTCTTCAAGGGCTTGCGTCCACGCAAGCCATGAAGTACGCATTTGCTAAATCTGGTGTGATCTATATTGTAGGAAAACCAAAGCTATTAGGCAAAAACCACTATAGTACATTGTCTGGCTTCATGTTTGTTTACATTTCTTCTAAAATCTTAGATTAACCTGGGTACATTCATATTATTTTCTAGTTAATTTATGATTATTAGCGTGTATTATATATTAATATTGTACTGTGACGGGCCTGGCAGCTGTATCGCGTTGGCTCCTTGTTGGAGCCCTAAGCCCTAGGGAGTTCCAAATCGGGATATCTCTTTGTCTTCACAATTTCCCGATTAGGCTCCGACGAGAGCCGTACGCACACATACAAAAGTGATCTCTGCCCGCGGCTGAGCGTGCTCCTTTCCTTTTTTTCCTCATGCTTAATTTTTGTTCGACTAGTTACCTCTTAGGATAGAGAATGAACGCCATCACAGTACTCCCTTCAGTCGATCTTGCAGAGTTGTATGAGGGATTATATAGATCCTTATAGCTTTATAAATAGTGGGAATTCTTCCATTTTTTAAATTGGAAATAGCTAATTCAATCTTCCCCTCTATCTGATCTGATTTTAAAGGATCTTTCTTGCGAATTGTTGGCATTTTGACGCGTTGAAATATAGTAAATAGAGCGCGTTTTCCGGGAGAGGTGGCCGGATCGCTTACATGGCCGGGCCGCTTACTGACTATGCGTTAGTTAACGAAAATAATTCATGTTGATACGGAGATGGCTCCTATATCTCCCCCATTTTGTGGTGCTATATTTAAAATTTTGTTACCCCAGTCTTTATCTATACCAGCTATGTGGCTCAAATGTTTAAACTCTCTATGTCAGCAACAACAGAATGGGAAGGCCTTCCAGGCTGACACATGACGTCAAAGACTTGTTTGCCAAATTTTCGAAATGCTTCTGTCATACCACCGACGTTGATAAGCCTTTTCTCCATCTCGCTCAACTGAAAGGCCCAATTGCGCCCACCACATGTCACAGTGTTCGTAGCCAGATCGACTGATATCTGCTCTCCCCGACAGGCAGTCTCAAAGAACGGCTTATCCTTGATAACGATTCCTAAAAGCCCAATATTCGGCTGATTCCTGGAGTAAATAAACGAGAATGATTCCGCAATTACACACTTGACCCCAGCGCCGAGCAAAGCATTGACTGCTACATCGCGCGACGACCCGCATCCAAAAGCGCGACCTGCAACGACCACGTCATGTCCATCACGGACCAGCTGTCGAAATTCGGGCATGAAAAATTCCATGCAGTGAGAACCAAGCTCTTCATTTGTTCTCGATGACGCAAGGAACTTGGAAGGAATGATCTGTATACAGTCAACCAGCGTGTCCCTTTTCAGAATGGCCGATACAAAAGGAAGAAGCATACCGCGTCGGTGTCAACAAAGTCGCCAAGCCTAAGAACCTTCCCTTGAATTGCCGTCGATAAACCCTCGTCTGCGAATAAAGCGTTGCCACTAGTATTAGGAATGCCTCCTTCTGCACTATTTGAAGTATTTTCATCTCTGCCATATGGTTCCGAAAATATTAGTGTACTTGTATTCATTTCGGATTTCCCAGAAACCAGAGATATCTGCGCCGATGGCTCAAATCCAAGATACTCCTTCAGTCTATCTCTGTCAATCATGTCAAGTAGTTCGCGAGGATTGCTCATCTGCATAGAGAAGGAAGAAGCAGCCACTGTTGCCGCAGAGGCCAGATTCGCAATGGAACCTATATCCTGGTATTAGTGTTCAATACTAATTTGTGAAATTGATTAACGTGACAAAATTGAAATACCAACCAGGTCCCATTCTGTTCTTAAAATTCCGATTCTGTGAGGATAACCACTTCTCGCCCGCCGCGGCCTGGTCCACACCCTGGCCAACACACATGCTACAGCCAGGAACACCGACCTTAAAGCCACATTGTTTGTATATTTCAATCAATCCGAGCTTTTCCAATTTGTGTCTAATTGGTTTTGAGCCTGGTACAACAATACGCCGGCCATGGTCGACTGGCTTCAAGCCCTTCTTTAACCCAGCTTCGAGGACCAAACCGGCCATAATCAGATCTTCTTCTGTGGTTGTGCAAGCGCCAATGAAACAGCCATCGAGAGCTGTCCCCACGACCTCACTCGCTGGAACCACGTTGTCAGGGGATGGATAGATGGCAACACCGGACTCGACTTTGGAAAGGTCAATTTCAAAACTTTGGGCATATATGGCGTCCTCGTCCGGTTGGAAATATATGGCATTATTCTTGTGCTTTCTGATGCGTCTTCGATTTACGAAATCAAGCGTGCGGTCATCCGCAGCAAAAATCCCGCTGACGGCTCCGAATTCCTATTTTTCTCAGAAGTTAATAACTTGGACAACCCCCAAATTGTGACGTTTTAATAACTAACTGTGCACATGTTAGCAATTGCAAACCGGGCGTCGCACGATAATGCTGCCAACCCTGGCCCCGAGAACTCGACGATCCGATCAGCGGCGATGGTATTCCGCTTAAAAGTTTTCAGTATATATAGTACAGTGTCTTTACCGCCCACGCCGAACGGCGGCTCATTGATCAACCGAAGATGCACCGTTTCCGGTACAGTGAGCCATGTCTGTCCCGTCACCAATGGCATTATAACGTCTGTTGCTCCCATTCCCACTGCGAGGCAACTGACTGAACCACCAGAGCAAGTATGAGAATCTGCACCAATAACCAACATGCCTGGTTGCGCTCGTTCGCGGACGAATTCGGTGTGTAGGATTGTGTACTGGGAGGGAAATCAGTACCCTTTTCAATATAACAATGTTCTCAGGCCGTGGATGAAGGGGTTAATACGTTGAAGCCTTGGAAATCAGTCATTTTGAACTCTTTCTTTGCCCGTTCACTTGCATCCATCAGAGCCTTAACTTGAGGAACATGATACAATTCCGGTTCAACACGATGGTCCCCTGCAAGCCAGAGGCGATCATTACGGAATATCCCTGGTTTTCCAAAGGCATCATAGACTCCTTCCATGCCCTAGTCACTCAATTTCAGTCATTTTGCCATTAGAAACTCAACATGTCAAGTCAAAGGGCGATATAGCGACAAACCTTCCAGGCTAGTTCTGACGCAATTACCCAATCAACATCGACCTGTATGATATCTCCTGGTCGCACGAATCCTTTACGTGAGACATCATGCATAGCCAGGATCTTCTCCGTCATAGTCATCCCCGGTCTTCCTCTTGGACGGAAGCTTTGAACAGCAGGACCGCAGCGGGCTCGGGCTGCAGATTTGACTGCTTCAAGGTACGCGGAGCAGAGAAACACGATTTCGCCTTCCTGCTCAACTGATAGCTCGGTACTATCCTGGTCAAAACCGTAGCCTCCAAAATCTGTATGTGAGGTACACCGGTGAACGACTTCACTATAAGCGTCTGCGAGGCTGTCAAGTTGTCCTGCCCCTTGGGTGCGTAGGTTCGAAGCTACGTAGTTAAGAAAGCCGACTAAGTTGGCATAATTGGATTCAGTCAGCAATGTATCAGGGAAGATAAATTTCAACTGCCCAGTATCTTCGAGTAGCGAGAGGCACTTCCTTTCCGATTGGGACAGAGCGGCGCGGGATATGTCGAGGCGAAGTGTGCGCATCTTGTCGTCTGCCATGACTTTGTCTTATTGATTCTTGATTTGGTGGAATCAGTCGTGATTCGGGTCCAAATGTCCACTGCACCCCATATTTAAACATGATCTTCACCATCCCCGGCCTGTATATCGTTGACCATCATCGTTGTGCTGGTTGGCTCCAGTCAAACGTGTTGCTGCCGGTTGCGGGCCGTTGGCAGCGACGGCCCGGTGCGGCAGTGAAATGCCGGTTGGATCCTGATAACCCCCAGCTTCATTGTGAGATCGTCACCTGAAGGCTACAAATCGGGCCACTCAATGTTAGAAATGACACCCATGAATGGGGAGAGCCTTCCGAATCGGCAAAGTAACCCGCCGAAGCAAAACGAATACTCAAGGATAAGCGTTTTTAAAAAGCATCTCTTTCCACCACAAAACTGCAATTCTGAAAGCTATACAAAGGTAACAGACAAGCATTATAAATTTGACAATGTCGCAAAGCGCTCAGAAGCTCCGCCAGCTCCTTTCCGATCCGGATAAGATCATCGTCGGGCCAGGTGTTTACGATGGTTTGACTGCCCGCATGGCCCTTGCCGCCAAATTCGACACCTTATACATGACCGGTGCCGGCACAAGCATGTCACGACTGGGATTGGCAGACCTGGGTCTTGCGACTCAGACAGAAATGAAAGAAAACGCCGAAATGATTGCCAATCTCGACCCATCCGTGCCCTTGATTGCTGATGCCGACACAGGTTACGGTGGTTCAGCCAATGTTAGACGAACAGTGGCGAAATATATTTCTGCTGGTGTTGCGGGGCTTCATCTGGAGGACCAGGTAGTGAATAAACGATGCGGACATCTTGCGGGAAAACAGATCGTATCTAGAGACGAATATTATTCGCGAATTAGGGCTGCGGTGAATATGCGTCGGCAATTGGGGTCGGATATTGTGATTATTGCGCGGACTGATGCATTACAGTCACTCGGCTTTGATGAGGCTCTAGCTCGACTCAAAGAGGCTGTGGCTATAGGTGCGGATGTAGCTTTTATGGAAGCTATACAGACTCGCGAGCAAGCCATACAGGTGTGCAACGCGTTCAAAGAGGCCGGAACGCCGGTTATGTATGGTATGGTGCAGGGTTCGAAGTCACCGCATTTCACAATCCAGGAGGCAAAGGATATTGGCATCAAGATCATTGTCTATGCTGGCGTTTGCTTAGTTCCCGTTTATATTGGCGTCTCTAGAGCACTAAAAAAGCTAAAGGAAGATGGAGACACTGAGGCCTATGACTCTGAAATAACCCCCCACGACTTGTTTAATGTTTGTGGGATGAAGGAGTTGATGGAATTCGATCGTCAGGCAGCCATAAGCCATGCCTCATAAAGACCAATGAGGTTGTCCTAGTGCAACATATCCATCTTAGAACGAGCAGTAATTATCATATGAAGTGCCTATAGTCTCCAGTCCTGCGTATTTTGATCAAATACATCCAGGATTATTCCACTCTGGGTTTAGCATTTCTTCCCAGCCACCGCTCATAACGCCATCAAATAGGTCTATGCGTATGCTTGAGTCATTCTACCCTTCTAACCCTATTGACCCCTGCTGCAACATCGAAAATGGCTGAGGTTGATAGTTGGGAGTCCAGGCGAGAGAATTTTGCTGCTGCTGCGGTCCATTGCAAATAGTACTGTTGCCACGACTACATTCTCGAGAGGGATCTTTATAGGCGTTTCCATACCCGCGCCAAATTGTAAATAGTCAAATACTATACCCCCTCCCATGCGGCCTTTTCACTTTGACAGTCGGTTCCAGACTAACAGAGCTCAACGTCATTCTCACCACCACGCCATAAAACCTTAAGCGAGTTTACAATGCGCATTGGAAAATCTCTGTCATTGCTCTGGACTGAGCAACGGTGGATAACAAAACAAGCTGAGTTATACAATATTTGACCTGCGTTTTAATTCACCGGTTTTGCAACTACCATTTAGTAGCCAAAAGCATGTTATTTTTCAACCCATGCCCAGGATCTCCCATCTAGAGCAGAAGTTCCAGATAAAGCTACTTTAATGGTGAGGAAAAATAGGAGACCCTAAGGTACATCTAGGAACAAGACATAACGCGAAGAGGCCAAAAAGAAACATGTCCTGCTTGCTCTGCCATATCCCTTCGAAGGCCAGTACAACACGTGACGACTCAGCATTCCCCCGTTATTCTATGCTCCAAAATTGTCGTATTAGTGGGTAATCATCTGTATCCTGTGGGGTTTGACCACTAGAAATTCCCCAGCCAATTTGCAAGTGCTGCCTCTATAGCCGCTTTCTCATCAAACTGTTGCGGTTCATTTCTTCATGCTTTCCAAGTCACTCGGCGATTTTTGATCCGGTATAGCAAAGTATGAGTTCTACTTTCGTCAGCTCTCCAGATAATAAAGTGAGAATCTTTACCAGGTGTGATACAAGTGATGATTAAATACCAGTTATATCTGCACAAATATCTCGATGCGACGAGTATCGCGAGATCTGATCCAAAGGAAAACTTCAGCATCAGCTATGATACTAAACATATGCTTCTTCAGAAGTATATTCCCAGGCCAGTTCCGTTATTGTCTTTTATGCTTCTTTTGCAACGGTGTCTTGGAAGAAATTTTAGACTTCTAGCCTAGTGATCTTTCATTTTTAGTAACTACATTTAATCAGAGAAGAATCTACATGTACAAGATATTGCCCTATTAAATAGTGTTGACAAAGCATGGTTTAGAATAGATTATCCGCTTCTTAAAAGGCGCCTTTTCAATATTCACCAAAATGGACTTTTGCACTGACCGCCTATACAATACATGTCACTAGGTAGTAGCTGATTGGTCGTTATACTCCAGGCCATTTTGAGCTGACCTGTTTGGTGGCTGAGTTAATAAGACTACGGTTGTGTCGGTTACGCCGGAAGTAGCAAGAAGGCGGCAAACAAGCTGAGCTTCTATTGGGCCAGGTGGGACCATATATTAATGGATAAAAGGGCCATTTTGCAGGGTAACTAACATTTACCAGCTCCAGACATTTTACCGGTCATTCCTTAACGGGTCATGGACATTGACTAGTACTCCTAGCGTGTCTGCGTGGGCCCGCTTCAATACACTTTCTCATAGTCAACAGCGTGAATCCTCTCAATGGATGTATCTACCAATCGACCAGCGCAAAGACCACGAAGGACTCCGGTCGCTTGTAAGCCATGCAGACAAAACAAGAACCGCTGCGGGATGCATTCGCCACCATGTGCACGCTGCCTCAGACTGGGCATTGACTGCACGGTGGAACAATATTACAAACGCGTCAATCAGCGAGAGCGTGTGAAGCAGCTTGAGGATCATGTCGAGCAGCTCCGGAAACTGTTAACGAAGCAAAATGAGACGCCGGAAGAAATCCCAGTTGTGAGGACTGAAGATGCCAGGCGGTCGAACGTAGAAGCTTTGGATACTGTCTCTAGGGTTCATGATGAGCCGTCGAAGACCAGACGGGGAACAGGGACGCCAATTGGATCGGGGCAGCTTATGAGTATCGAAGAAGAGCCACTTATAGCAACTCGGCCGGGCTATGCAATTGGTGCGGTCAGGTTGAGCGAGGACCAAGCGAATAGCCTCCTGGCCTGGTAGGTTCTCCTTTTTAATTACCCTTCATTCCACTCTCCCAAGCACGGTATACTAAACAACCTTGAGTATGATCAGTTTCTTCCAACAATATCATCCCATACTCCCATTTTTAGACTCCTCTCGCACTGCCGCAGAGTATCACAGAACCTCACGCCTTCTGTTCTGGTCGATTATTGCAATATCCGCAAGACATTATTTAACAGATCCAAAGTTATTAGCGAAGCTGACTCCAGCACTCACTGAATTAATTTGGAAAGCAATTTCTTCTTCCCCCGTTTCTCTGGCGCAGGTGCAAGCCCTTATTCTAAATTCGGCTTGGCCAGCCCCGAACTACCGGTTTTGGACCGACAAGTCATCTGTGTATGCCAATATCGCCTTGACATATGCCACTCATTTGGGGTTGCATACGCCAGGATATGAGCAGGAATATTCAAAGGATAGAGTTTACTCCTCCGCAGGCCACAGTTTAGAGCGGTCGAAGACCTGGATTGCCTGTGTGATTGTATCTCAAAGGTATTTTGTTTTCGTTCTACATTGAAAGAGATGACGCTAATGGTGAATCAGTCTTTCACTAGAGTTGGGAGTTCTGCCATCTGTACCAAGCAAGGACCTCGATTCTTCTCTGTCAAACGGAGCTGAGCTGTCATTTGACATTCCTACTGAATTGCAGCACAATTTCATAATTCAAAAATGTTGTAATACTGCAACTAGAACATTGTTCAAAAGCAATGGATCCTCGCTTGTCCAAAAACCGACGGAATCATTTTATCTCGAGATGGATGCCATAGAAGAAAAGTTCAAGTCATTACATCAACTTCTCTACAAAGACTTGTCGTTCATGAGCTCGCTTCGTTTGCATTTTGCACTACTGTACTTCCAAAGTATGTATTTCGTGGTCGACGACTCACCAGACGATAGAGGTGATGACGGTAGTCGAAGAACGGAGGGTATTCTTCGCGCTTACCAGACTGCAACGTCAATTATCACGACAACAATATCGCATGACTCTGCTCATGAGAAACTGCTATATGCGCCAGCAACAACTTCACGCATGATTTTCTACGCTGCTTTAATCATTTTCCGTGTGCTACATTCGAACTATGCGCCTACAAATACGAGTGCGGCAGTAACTCCTCCTTCAGGTCGATTGTTAGATCGAGATACTGGCAATTTACTATATAATTCCGCCTGTCTCGCCATTCGACGCTGCTCCATTCAGCGTCTTGACAAGGACTTTCCTACACGCATGGCTGATATGCTGAAGGAGTTATGGCGAGCCGGCGAGAAAGATGACGAGCTCCGAAACGAAGAACCAACTTGCAAAGTCAAAAGCCGCCTGGGCGCAAGTTTGATTTTTGATTGCTTGAAACTTTGGCGTGACTATAAGGATAGCAATTATAATTCAACACAATTATCAGCTCAGCCAGAGTCAGGGAATGTTGGGAGCGATAGATGTGGTGTGCAGCAGCGGCAGCAGCTACAACTTCAGCTCGATTCCCAGTTATTACCTCAGACTTCATCGCAAGAAGCTCCGCTCGCAGAGACTGCGGATGATTTTGATCTTTCTGTACAAAGTGGTCTGTTCGGAGGAAATGGGAGTTGGGGAACGGTTCTCGACTCGGATGTTGACCTTTTTGAAGGATTTGACCAAAACGCCACGGAAGACTGGGGGTTTTATGGGCTGATATGAGACAGCAAGCAGGCTATATGGGTGCCTAGGGCGAATTATAATGCCCCGGATCTTCATGATGTCTAGATTCAATTCAGCTGACGGCTGGACAAAAGATATACTACATCCGGTAAATCCGCATTTCAGGGGCGAAATTCAGCCTAGATACCGAGGATAACTATCGGAATACTGATTCTATAACCCACGATTCGGCGCTCCTGTACACCCTACGTAGGAGTAGCGCGTGATTATTAGAATAGAATTACTATTATTCCTAGTGCCTACACAGCAATTTTGTCTATAGCTAGTTCCCCTAAACCCCCTTTATTTCTTGGAGATAGTTATGATAATAGAAATTGTTGGGATTCTACCCTTAGATAGTCAGCACCGCCTACCGGATGTAGTTAGCGCGCTGGTAGCTAGATATCTCCGCTCCTAGGAACCTAGGTTCCTAGAGAGAGACACACACAACAGAGTCAGTTTTCCTGCTTCAAGCACAAGAGAAATTTTATAGTTAGTTAAAATCGTGTCGCTTCCGAGTAATTACCGTACTTCACCGCCTCGTGCACGGAACCACCTCATGCACGGTATAGCCTCAAAACGCGAAAAACAACACGACTTTCAAAGCGCGATAAATCAGTCAAAATGGGCGCAATTGAGGAGGCAATTGCATATTTGGATTCCTTAGATGAAGACGAAAATATAATTTTACTTTGGTTGCAAAAATCTACGGTGTTGATCGCACTACGCTTTCGAGAAGATATCGAGGCATTACAGGCTCAAGAGAGGCGCATTACGATAATCAACGCTTACTCAACAACCAACAGTCCAAAAAGCTTATACAATGGATAGAAATGCTCTGCGAGAAAGGCTTGCCACCTACACCTTATATGATTGCAAATTTTGCGCATGAGATAACCGGTAAAAGGCCAGGGAAAAACTGGGCTTCTCGCTGGTTAAAGAAACATCCAAATGCGTTGATATCTCGCTATTCTACAGGCATTGACCGCGACCGAAAAAGGGCAGATTGCGCATGGAGTTATGCTCTTTATTTTGAGCTTATAAACCGCAAGATTGAGCAATATAATCTACAGCCAGATCAAATTTACAATATGGATGAGAAGGGCTTCGCGATTGGCACTATGACCACACAAAAAAGAGTATTCTCTCGGCGTTTATATGATAAGAAGTTCAAGCAATTTCTTCAAGATGGAAATCGGGAGTGGATCACTACAATTGCTTGTATTCGCGCGGATGGAGCTCTTATTCCCCCGGCTTTGATCTATATGGCCAAATCCGGTAATCTACAAGATTCCTGGCTTCAAGATCTTACAACACAAAGATGCCACTTTGCAGCTTTAGAAACAGGATGGACGAATAGCGAGATTGGCTATCATTGGCTCCAGGAAGTTTTTAATAAAGAAACTGTCGGTTTATCTACGTCTAGGTCGCTAGCACTAGTCACGTAGAACAGCTATTCCGACGAGCTGACGAGCCTGATCAATATGGTATGGAATTCCTGATATTGATGACTGCCCCCCAAGAGTAAGGGGGACGGGGAGTAGCTAACTACATATATACGCGGCACGCACGTGCCGCGTTAGACTAACTGATATTCAGTGCCGAAACGCGCTAGGTTTGATATTCACGTTCCGACAGAAACCAAATCTCAAGCAAGCCGGGGATGGCGCCTTCTGATTCTTGATGGTCACAATTCTCATGTGAATATGAGATTTATTGAATATTGTGATAAAAACAGAATCTTATTAGCAATATTCCCAGCGCATGCAACGCATACTTTACAGCCTCTTGACGTTGGTTTATTTGCTCCTCTTGCCGCCAATTATTCCAAAGCTTTATATCAATTTCTTGATGAAACTCAGGGAATAAGCCGTCTTACAAAACGTGACTTTTTTCGGCTTTTTTGGATGAGCTGGGAGCTATCTTTTACAAAAAAGAATATCTGCTCTAGCTTCAAAAGTACGGGCCTCGTTCCTTTCAATCCGGAGATAATTTTACAGCGTTTTAATGAAAAATCCGAAAGCCGGCCATCTTCAGCTGGCTCTACAGCTTCAATTCTCTCGCCTGAAGAGTGGAGGGATATTCGCAAACTTATGCAGAAGATTGGGGGTAAAAATCCTAGCAAAGACTTCAAAAAGCTAAGCAATACAGTCATGGAGCTTACTACGGAGGTTGTGCTGCTTAGATTACGTCTTGCAAGCGCAGGAAAGGCTCTATTACATGAGAAAAGGCGCCAGATTCGAAAAAAGCCATTATTACTGGATTTGCCCAATAAACAAGAAGGTGGTGCCATTTTTTTTAGTCCTTCAAAGATTCAGCAAGCCCGAGAACTTTTTCAACAAAAGGAGGATCACGCCACGCAGGAAAAAGCTAGGAAAGATGATAAAAAGCTTCAACAACAACTTGCAAAGGAGGCTAAAGAGCAAGAAAAGCAAGAACGGGCTCAAATCCGTCAAAAAAAGCGAGACGAACGGGAGAAACAGGCCGCTGAAAAAGAACGCCAAAAGCTTGAGCAAAAACTAGCTAAGCAAGCAGATTTACAGCTTCAAAAAGATGCCCTAGCTAAAGCAAAGCAGCCTACGAGTCGAACAAATCCAAATTCAAAGAAATTGAAGCACAAACAACGCAGTGAAATCGAGGATGAGGTTATTGATGAGGTTATTACTACAAATCGCAGAGGCCGCGAGATTCGGCTCACAACACGTTTTCGTTAGGTAAAAGTTAGTTCATTAGATTCGTCGTCATTTATTTACTAGTACTCCAAATTGATATTATTATTTCATTATTATATGGTGCTGTAAAGCTTCCAAATAGTCTATATTACATATCGCGAAAATCGTGCATGAGGTGGTTCCGTGCACGAGGCGGTGAAGCACGGTAATTATTTTGCCCCGTTACGATCACTACCTAATCGTCCTTAGTGTGCCAAGCCCACGCTATACTGTATCTGTTGTTAGCGCCAGCCTACCAAAACAAATTCCCATTTCTGAGGGTTTGATGAGCGGTATTGGTAGGTACAGTCATAGTTTAAAGGTTTACTGCGATTGCTAGATGACAAATTATTCGAGGATTGGTATTAGTGACTACGACTTTGAGTTTGTTCTCTAGGAGATTCAGAGCGGTCTCTAATATGAGTTGATTGGACCTTTGAATAGTGGTCATCCTTTGACTTCTTTCTCTCTGGGCATTCATATTGAAGGTAGCTAGGTTTACTACAATTATAACAGACAATGTCGGTTTAACTACGGTCCGTATCACGAAGCATAGACGGTAGCAAGGCTAGTCCGACAAGCCTGTCAAGGGTGAAGCTGTATATATATGATATTCGATATTATAAAGCCTAACTCAGAGAAAGTAGGGGGCCCCGGGGTGTCATGGTAGCTATATACGAGGTTGCCGTACGGGCGCTAGGGATAACGTTATCCCGCTCCCGTACGTACGTGCTTGCTTCTGCACCGGGGTGCAGAAGCGCCGAATCATGAGATTGATATTCCGACAGACAACTTGATCTGTCTCTCTCCTATTAGAAATTCCTTCTTTTTCTTTTTAATCTTTATCCCTGTTATAATTATTGCCTCGATGATAGCTAAGATAGTATTGATCTTTCCTCTTCCTTCTTGAATTGAGGCGATAGCAAGATTTGCTATGGTCGTGATGGTGACGGGCGCTGCTATTTTGGTGGAGTTCTAGATTCTTATCATTTGTTAAGTGAGGGCCCTTTATAGTGCAGTTCTTGATTCTTAGGTTCTTACAGTGTAATCCTTCCTATACTCATTGGGCAACAAATACGCATTCAGAATGAGATTCCGGGATCTTGATGTCAGAAGTTTTGAATTGATCTCTCAGTGTCTGGGCTTGCTTTCATCTGTCCGAGGAGACCCTTTAGACTAAGCTGGATAATATGGGTAAGGCAAGGAACTCAAATAATTATAGAGATGAGGTTTAACTTAAGTGACTAAATCGAATCTTGGATACTTAATGTCAGGGTGTTATTGTCTGATGTATTGTCAGTAATCACTGCGAGCACACGTTCTGTAATCCCGTTTTCTTGTAGAACTCTCAGGAGTACACTACTTAATTTGACACTAGTGTGTGATCTAGAAAGGGATTAAAGCTGAGTAAAATCTCCTGATATTCCCAAGCTTCATCAATGAAGTAGCCTGTAATTGCCATAAAGGCCTACCAAAAAGGGGATGTCCAAGTATCTAAAGCAATAGATATCTTTGTGTTAGGAGAGAGCTTTTGAAGAAATCCTTGTCGGTACTATTTCACTAAATGTCAAAGCTGATCCTGAATTGTCTTTGCTGATGGGATTTTTGGCTAAGAGGGGGCACATCGTGTATAGTAGATTACATCATAGAACTTGGGATACTCAATAAATTGGAAGGGAAAACGCGATGTGGTGAGAAGTTTAAGGAGTTTAGGCTCCCAGGATTCCTGGGTAGAGACCATAGGTCTAGCAGGGGCCTGGGACTAATAATATTAGAATAAGTTAGCCTTTATTCTCTGTTCATCTAGTGAATTTAGACGTACCGCATTCTCTAGAAGCTGCTTGATATTTGGTCTCTTAGTGAGAGACTTGCGACAGTTAACCCCCTTGATGTGCTTATTCATAGAGGATGTTCTAGTGTAGCTATTTTTAGGATGTTAAGAATTTTGCTGTATTGTTTATATATAACCTCCGGTCTTCTAGTCTTCCCATTAACAATCTGCTGGAAATGATGATAGCACTTAGCTTGGTATGTTCCATTCCCATTAATCTGTTTCTTCTTTCTGAAAGCTGTTTGTAGCCACTCTAAACCTATCTTTGGACATATCGGTGTAGAGAACGTGTATCCCTTTATCTTAGTTGGGCTACCGCGCTCGAGGATATTAGGGATTAGAGGCACAGGTTGAGGTCAAACAAACGTAGAGTCATATGCTAAATAATTAGATTTACTGGCCTGTTGGCTTCCTGAAGATTTAGGCATGGATGACTGTGTATAAATAGAGAACTCGACACACAGATCCTCCTTATGAATAGAGGAGGAATGTATATCAGAAAATTCTGATGGTTGAGACATGTGCTAGATAGTTAAGGATCTAAGGGGCTTAAACTCCTCTACGTAGGCCTAACTAAGCACTAGTAATAGGAAAAGATCTAAATATGAGGGAAAGGTAAAATATAAACATGAGACGCGTGCAGACTGTTTATAGGGAGTGGAGCGAATATTTTCTATGGCCCTAAATCTAGGCCCTAAGCCCTAACCCAGTGCTTTTCCCAATGGTTTATCGACTGGTTGTAAGTGTTAGAAAATACATCAAGATGAATAATATTAGGTCCTGCCCAGTGTGACGTTGCCAATCTGCTTGATTTGAGTACGCTATCCTAGCTAGCTATCACGTACAAGAGGTGCCTGTCGACAGGTAATATTGAGTATAAGGGGAAAAAGGAAGAAATGAAGCAAAAGCTCTGGCTCTCGCTTCTCATATAAATCTCTGTGCGAGGTGCCTTTCCCTATCCGGCCCCGACATCTGATGTTGATATGACTTCTCAATACGGCGCAGATAGGGTTATACGGCTCCGAGCCCTATCTGTGAACTGAGATGGGAAACGTAGAGCCATGCCCAGCTGTCACATTTTTAGAAGATTGAAATATAGCATTTTTTATTTCAATTTCTTTTATTTCTGTGCATTTAAATTTTTGGGTATAATTATATTTATTTTCTAAAGAATGTGTTGGTTGCTTCATGCAATCGAGATGTGTCAGATAAGCTGGCTTTCCAATGAAGCGATCAATCCGAAACTGTCATGTGTAAGAGAATGGTCTCAAGTTTACCCCATGGGATAGCTTACAAATCAGCTCAGGAGAAGGTCTATATAGACGCGGCTTTGGAACACGATGTACTTAGAGGAAGAGACACAGAACTGAATGAATACCCATTGAAATTGACTCTATTGCTTCGTACGTACGTACATGCACCTTAGTGCACCCACACTCAGACAACCACTGGAGATAATAGATAATCTTATTGAGACAATCGTGGGTTTCGTTACGGCGGTAAATTGCTTTAGTCGGTATGTGATCGTTCCAGAATGTCATTGCTATGGATCGAAGTTTGAGGATTCGGTGTGGTCTCATTTATGCCTCATGAGATCGTAGATACCCCGTAATCGTTAGTTATAGGTATCCAGGGAGATGGGCCACACAATGACTGTTTTATTTTGAGTTTGACGAGACTTCGAGGTCGAACTACCCCCGCCATCAGACTTCATGCACCTTGTGGCCGCATTCTATAAGTCTACTTCTTCAATCAACGACACCTTGCAATCTCCCAACATGTCAATCAACAGGGCAAATAGGCGCCTCAATAAAAACTCTCTTCTGGCCCAAAATATTCTGGGACTTCATTACCCACAGTCTCAGCGGCGCCGTCCACCCGGTCCGATCTTACAAATGATCAATCTGGTCATGGGCTTGCATGGAAATGGCCCCTGGTCTACTAGCGGGAACGTTTCCCCATCGGAGTATTGAATTGAGACTGCTGGTCTACCCATTGAGCGCTTTGACTGTGCTATTATTTGACTGGGATGGCGGCTTATTTTTGGGCTTATAGTGAAGAAGATGTTTGTTCCCTTTTTAAGATTTCTAGATTCATCGAGGAAGCACGTACTAACGAGGTGTATAGGTAGTCTGTCCTGCTCCGTGGATTCTACCCAAGCGATGAACCGTAGGAAAGGTGTAACCTTTTTAACTACCTGTCGAAATATGAATTGCATTAGATGTATTAGCGAAATAGCGTTGCGAATTGAGTCAATCGAGGGTTAGCATAGCAATATGACGTTTGGATACTATAACTACCGAAATGATTAAGCTACTTCATGTTGCACGAATAAAAATGAAAACCCATTGGGTTCAAGGGATATTTGCATTGGTAATCCAAGCTATTTATCCCGCTCTTAATATTGGTTCGTTCTATAAATTTGTATATTTACCTGTGTAATACGGCACAGTCCGGTAATAAGAAAATCGGCCAAGGGACTTGATATATTCTTGTTCGAGACCAAGTTTCGCAGTACTCAGCCGGTTCCCCTTCAAAAGGTAAAACCAGCACTCTCTCCAACAATGTGGTTAGTAATCGGTGAATTAAAGCCGGATACCCCATTTCCCGGCTTACAGACCCCAGAATTCATCAGACAGCAATGATCCCCAAATTTTAGGGTGGTTATGTGGCTACGGAAAAAGAGAACTATCCCTGTATCTGTAGGACGCTTTAAGAGGGGGTTGTGCATGAGAGGAGTATTATTTGATGTGTCAATATGTATCGTAATTAATTGATATATATATTGTGTCTAACTACATGAGACAAGTATTTGTATTGTTTTTCAGGGTTGTTAAACATCCATACATGGATACCCACTCATCTTTCTATGCTCCAAGGCTGTGTTGGCGGATCCATGTATATATCCATATCCGTTCATCTTCGTACACTGCCATATAGGCTTTATATGAAAGTCATAAGTGTGTTATACATACCATCTAGCATTCGCACAAATTTTTGGACTGACTAGTTAGTCAGTCCTACACTATATATGGAATGAGATGCTAGGTATCTACGGTGTGATATTTGGATACCTAGGTACATATCGTAACATTAGATAGCACCATGTCTGGCGTGCCAGTGTAGTTTCTGGATTAGTTTCCCTGGTCAAGGCCTTTGAAATAGAACCGATGGCTCTTAATTGGTTTTATCCCAGGCAGAGTACTTCAAAAATAGAAATTGACACGAGGATTCAAAAATAGAAACTGTACGAAGCAAGACGATAGTTAACAGAATGTGCTGGGTAATGGCCTGGAGATGATAGATGAAAAGGCCAAACAAGTTTGCGACTGAGATAGTAAAGTAACTATCATTGGCTGCTATCCTACAATACCTTGAGAAGTCGCACCATGTAATAAACGGCATTGTCAATATGCAATCTCCGCCCACACCTCATCCTCCGAGAGAGCCTGCACATCACATTCACGCAACATGACAATTACTTCCATGAAATCCGATTCAATCAACCTTTTCCGCGGCAAAACGATCCCCGCACTATCAAGCTTCGCGAAAGGTAGTCGTACAAATTCCGGGTAACCAAGTATATCTCCAAATCGCATCTCATATATCCCGAGATTAGCCCAGCTTGTGATTGCCAAATCACGACCGCTAGAGATGGACCAAGCGGGGAAAAGTCCGGCGGGTAATTTATTGATGTGAGAAGATATTAGATGGTGTAGGCTTGAGATGTAATTAGTGTTGAGCTTTTCGGTGGAATATGAGGCGGCGATTGCATCGCATATGCGTGGAAGGGATTTTGACAAAACGTCTGCCGGAGATTCTTGAACACTGTCCACATCTAGTTCGGCCAATGCATAAAGATAAACATTGCCAAAATAGAAATCCTTTCCGGGATTGGCGAAGTCTGGATTAATGCGTGCCCGGCCGTTGACTGATGTACCAAATTTGCTCTTTTCTCCGCTTGAGAAAAGGGTTGTGTCTCTTTTCTGACGAACACGCGTGACGCTGCACCAAAGAAAGGCGCAAATAATTGTATTTACAGTGAGTGGAGAAGTTGTTTGCCCCGCCAGTCTGGTTTTGAGTTGTTCAATCTTTACGAGACTGACTTTGAGTACGGCAGAGGTACAATTTGCAAAGTGATCTGCCACAAAATGCAGAGGGGTAGGCGTATATTCCGAAAGTGACGCCAAAAGGATGTCAGGTAACAATTCCCCAAACTGGGTAGCCCCCGTATGAGCACTCAATGCAGCACCGAGTCGACCGACACGGTCATTGATGCTCGGAAAGATAGGAGCAGACTCTCCACATATTACGCTCGCCCAGACCCGAAGCACTTCTGCCATACCACCAGCATCAACAACATTATGATGAAAGCACAGACATAAAACCACTCCGTCTCCAGCACTAAACGGTACAACCCCAATGGCCAACACAGGTGCACCGGTTTGACGAATCTCGTGGTTGATCAAATTCGATAACGGCCATTTATCCTCCGGTATTGTGGTCAATGGCATACCAGCTGCTGCTGTATCCATGTAAGAGCCTGGTAAAGAATCCATGTGTTTGATTTCTGGTGAATCCCCCTCGTTCCAGCATACTTGCAGCTCCTTTTTGTCGTCTATCGTGGTGGTAGGGAGGACTTTCCCTCCAAGCCACGGTATACTCTTTTGGCATATTTCGTTCAGGCTGAATTGAAGTTTGGGAATAACACACTGCTGAACGTATTCTGTAGTTCTGAATGATAACGCTATTCGGGTATAATATCCTGGAGGTATTAAATCCAGTGGCGAAAGCTGCAACGTCTGAGAGTGCATCGACATAATGGGTACTCTTGCTTGACAGCATCACACATATTGTATTCAAACTGACAAGATGAGATGTAGTTAACAGTATGTTGACTAGGAAGCAACTACCAACAACTTGTTGAGGCCGGACTCCGGTATCCGCAACAGTGAGCTTCCACTTCTGCTACGGAGATAAATATTAAATCGAGAAGCCAATGAAGTGCTCTGGTATATTCTGTTCACCTGTATGCTATATCCTCGGAGATGAGTTGTAGAATTTAATACGTAGATGCGTTGGTAGAAGTAGACTTCGGCTTCCGGATGATGTCCTGATACAAATTAATACCTCCCCTCCGGAGTAATTACATAACTTCGGCCCAAAAATGCATAGATAAAGGTAGAAAGTAAGCCACCGAGCCCTTCAACGATTACTCCAGAAGCTGGAACTTCAAATTCTGAGTTTGCAATGTCTCGGGTCCTATTCCCTCGCTTTCATCTCACTGAGATCGAAGACACATCCTGGTGTCCATCTTGGCTTCGTGACCACGCTCATGCATCCCTTGCTCGCCTATGGCAAATCAAATCCCGAAGAGGATATTCCCTCGCTACACAAGCATGCAACATCCTTCTTGACTCCGTCGGTGGCATCGGCGCTGCCGCTGAATTTACTTTTGTAGATTCCTGTGCTGGTGCCGGAGGTCCAACCCCGTATTTTGAGAAGTACATCAACAAGCAATTGGAGGCAGGCGGCCACACTCCAGTGCGATTTGTTCTGACTGATTGGGCGCCATACCTCGAGGCTTGGCAGTCACTTTCCGCGCAGAGCATGAATATATCGTATATTGAAGAACCTATCGACGCGTCTAAGGCTGTGAGGATCGCCGGACCGGAAAAGAAGGAGTGCCGGATTTTCAATTTATGCTTCCATCATTTCGATGACCCAGAGGCCGAGAAGGTTCTTCGAAGCGCCATAGAATCTGCAGATGCGTTCCTGTAGGCTGACCCCTTCACAGCGGGCGAACAAAATACTCACCAGAATCGTTTTTTTGTAGGATCTTCGAAATCACACATCGCACTCTTCCCTCGATCATATATACCGCAACTGCTTCCTTGTTCGGCGCATTGAGTACCACCTGGATAGAATACTGGTGGTCCCCTTTCCACTTGATTTTCACATATCTCATCCCCTTATTTCCGATATATTACGTTTTCGACGGCGTTGTTTCTTGCATCAGAGGGCGAACGCCCGAAGAAACATTTAATCTCATTCGCCGTCAGCGCGATTTGGATTTGAGTGAATGGACATTTACTAATGGCGAGGAGGTCGTGTTGCCACCGCTTGGTACGCTGTTTTGGTATTGTGGGCTGAAGAAAAAGGCACAGGAGGAGTCTTCGTAGATTCTGTTTTGAAGCTAGTTAGTATAGCTACGTATCTCAGGCCTATTCGATATTTTATTGTCAGCTTAGAAATTTGGCTAGTCCGGAGGTTTCATAATCGAGAATGTAAAATTTCTTTTCAGGAGGCAAATTTTACCCATTAAGCTCCAATATCTACTTGTCATACCGACCAGGGTTCGACGGTCTTTGAGCCCCTTGGCGGGTAAGCTGTTTCAAGTTACTCATGATTGTAATTGTTCGATCTTTAAAAAGAGATCACAAGACACATATGTTTCAAGCAAACAAGATCACAACAAGTAGTGTTCTCTAATGAAGGTCTGAACCTCAAACTGACTATATGTCGATGTCAACTCCATCGTCTCCGTTGGCTTTACTTTCCTCAATCAAATTCATAATCGTGTCTTCATCTAGTGGAACAGTCGCGAATCGTTTCAAAGCCGCTATATTTGCTTCTGTTGTGAGCTTTGTACCCTCTCCTATGAGTTGTTCTAGATACTCGAAGTATCTCACAAAGAAACCTGGAGTAATCGTGTTGATGAAGACGCCTTCTTCGTCGAAGGGGTTGCTGAATTTGTGGGGAAGACGAATCGGGACCTATTCCGCGCTCAGTACGAGGTAACCTACCAGGATGAGTTTGGTTCTTACAGTGATGATGTCGCCCGCCTTGGCATCAATTGGCGGCGCACCGGGGGTGTGGAAGCGGATCTTGCCCTTCTGAAGATCCCGTTAACGATGTTTGACGAGGTTATACCACTCGGATAGGCATTGCTTACCGTGACAATGAATCCTTCGTCATGCATTTCATGAAAGTGAAATACCGGCCCGTCACTGCGAGGGGGAATCAGGCTCTCGATCATACAGAGACGCATCTGCGTCTGTGATCCATCTTCTAGAATTCTGTAAAGGTCTTAATAGAGCTGGTGAGCCTTGCATATCATCTCGTCGGGTTCGTATATCTTACATTGCCCCAATCTCCGCCATGGGATATCTTCCGGTCGGACGTGGCCTATGTGTAGGGTTTCGACGTATTGTTTGTGCTTTTGGTCCATGTTGGATGCCAAGTTTCTTAATAAGCGTGTATGAATTAGAAAGTGAAAACAAGATTTCCAGTGCGAGGTATCTTCAGCTGAGAAGGTGCATGAGGTGCATGTAGGCTGACATTAGTCGATTAATGGGCTCAAGGGATCTGCGTGCATATCGGTGAATCTAAAATCGAACTCATCCGAAGCCGAATATAGATGTATATTCCGGCCTCCGAGGTTGATTGAACCCATATCATAGAAGCAAGGTTTAAAATTGTTCCTCGCTTCCTGTGTCAGTCATCAGTGCTTGTGCAGTCGTAGTTGCTCGGTTTCCGAGTACCGTGGAAGCCGTTCAAGTTGATCAGCATGCTTCGTCCCATTTCTGAGCCACGTATCTTGAAAACAGGCAAACCTGACAAATAGAAAAGTTCATGCAATAGATGTTGTCCTCATTCTGGTGTATTATTAATTCTTACTCGGCATTCATTTCATAATGGCTACATCAAACACGAGTTTCCTGGGATATCTGATTCGAGAAGCTAGCGGCCGTATGACAGACAGCCCTGTGTTCAATACAGCTATCATTCTGTTCATTATATATCTTTCTTACAACATTGTCAACGTAAGTGGCCCACCCTCTTATACAGAATTCCGTTTAACAAACTGTAGCGTCTTCGCATAGCATATTTCTCACCTTTGAGCCGTATTCCGGGACCATGGCATGGTCACCTGACCGGCCTCGTCCTCAGGTATCATATCCTGAATGGTAACCGGGTGAATTATGTGCAATCACTACATGAAAAGTACGGGCCATTTGTCCGAGTCTCTCACAACGAAGTCGTGACTTGCGATGCCGCAGCTACGAAGGATATCCATGCAGTTGGTACTACTTGGCGCAAATGGAGTCATATCCCCGATGATATTACTCCAAACATCTTCAGCATCGTTGATCCAAAACAACATAGTATTCGGCAACGATTCTATAAGAAATTTTTTCAACAGACAACGCTGCGAAAGACAATGGAACCGGCAGTTTTGACGACAGCCAAAATGGCCATACAGGGAATGAAAAAAGATGCTGCTGCAGCAGGAAATGTTGTTAACGTGCACGAATGGTTCATGTTATTCGGTAATGACATCATGTCCCTTCTGACATTCGGTGAAGGATTCGGTCTGATGGAGAAAGGCGAAAGAGTAGTAAGTGTCGTGACTCCGGTAGAGCTTCACAAAATGATTGCATGGTCAGAGCTCTCGATCCCAATCTTCTTGATTGGTCGTTTTGTATTATCGCACTTTTCAGAGCGTATGAAGGCAGTTTTCCGCGCTGATGTGGCCCTTAATCCAACGGAGGATAAAGCGATCGCGCAGCTGAGAATGGATAGAACAGACGAAGAAGGGCGAACGGTCTTTGCCAGGGCCATTGAGGATGCCAAGGAAGATGAAATGTTGAAAGGTCATGGCAAAACACGCTTGACGGACGATGAAATTGCTGCAGATGCCTTGGGATTCCAGTTGGCTGGAGCAGAACCTGTGGGAGTTTCCTTAACTTACTTGATATGGTGTATCCTACAGCACCCGGATGTACAGAAGCAAGTTGAGATGGAAGTGGCAGATGTCGAACTCTCAGATGCCGCTCTTGAAAATTTGCCCATCCTTAACTCGACTATATTGGAGTCTTTACGATTATGGGGTGGCAATGCGACGGCAATGAGAAGACGGGAGGATATAACGGATGGCGGGGTACTCCTTGCTGGATTGTACCTTATTCCCAAAGGCACGGTAGTCTCCACGCAGGCATATTCCTTGCACCGTAACCCAGACAATTGGAAAGATCCCTTTAGGTAGGCGTTGAACGTACATGGATGAGATAACAAGACAAAACGCTGAGACTGTTACGATCATAGGTGGGACCATAAGCGATGGCTTGATCCTGCTCAAAGTCATTCGATATCAACGGATCGTTTCCAGCCTTTCAGCGCAGGTAGTCGAATGTGTGCTGCATATCATCTCGCCTTGATGGAAATACGCGTTATGGCTGCGGTGTTCTTCAAGTCTCTCCCAGGGGCCAGGCTGGCTCCGTCTGTAACCCCGGAAAGCATGGTAATGGTTGATCGATTCAATCTATTCCCCAAGCACGATAGCTGTGAGGTCATTTTGAGTACTGGTAACTAATTGAACCCATCCATGTTGCCGAAAGTTCATTATCCCATTTGAGATTAACTGTACCTTTTGTGACTCAGTGTTCATCGCTGATGTTAACATGTGATGGCTGATCATAGTGTCAATCAGTCATACTACCATGTGCGGTAATGGAAGTCTAGGTTAATCGCAAGATCCTAATCGCTACGGACGGGTTTTACATTCAATGTTACGTTACAAAGTTATTGCAATAAAATAATGAGATATTGATTATTATACTATCACTATATATATTCACATAAAAACAAAATATTACATGTTACTGAAAATGTTACCATACAAGTAGCCAAATGCGGTAATCATTTCCTAATTAGGAAATACTGTTGCACGACTACTCCGGAGCCTGTTTAGCACACCATCACGACAGCAAGACCATTCATGAACATGAAATAATTCAAAGATTTGCTCTACTCTCCTGTCTGTATGCGAAGTTCCTAGAGGCTTTTTCATACATGTGAACTGCTCTCAAACTGCGTCGTAATCTGTCCTAATATCAGCAACATTCGCTCAACGGCTGTAAGAGGATCACCAATCTCCAAGGCAGAATCAACACGTGAAAATAATTTCAGCCACTCCTCTTGGCTCCTCTGTTCCACATTGTGCATCGTCATGGTCATTATGTCCTGTCGGCAATATGCAATTTCCACTTGTGGCGGAAATTGGCCTGGTAATGGCGAGACGCTGTCCGGAACAATGATCCGTGTCAGTGAGCTGTCACGTAGGATTTAAACTAACCATTGAAGAAGTTTGACAGCTTCATCATCAGTCCAGTTCCAAAAAGGTTGCGAATAACATATACACAGACACTGTTGGCGTCGCTCAGGGGCGGAGGATCGAATTTTGAAGTAAGATTAATGATATCTTTATTATGGTGCACAGGATCTCTGCCACTACTAACTACTATATACTTACCTAAGCACACCAGGTCGTAGAGCATTAAAAAAGGACCCACGCTTCTAAATTTGCACCTCCTAAATATCAGCTTACCCACTTTTGGCGGAAGCACCAGCTGGTGCCAAAGCTAAGGGATTAGATATCTGTCTGTACGCGCACAACATCCTGTCGGAATTTGGCACCACTGCAAGAAGCTGCGGGGAGTTTCTGTTATACGTGTTTCATGATTTCGGGATAGCTCACAAAATCCTTTGTGAGCTCATATCCATACTTCACTCGTTGTTTGTACATGTCTCAATTGCCGGATTGAGTCCTTACTCAATCCCCAACGTAGGTTCCTACGCAGGCATAAATATGGCCTGCGTTTCCCATGAGATAGTTCGAGTTATCAGTTATCAATTAGGAATCATGTTACTATATTGATCAAACTCACCCGTAGGCTTGTTGGACTAGCCTTGCACCAATCCTTGCTTCGTGTTCTGGGACCGTGCTAAACCAACAATATCCCTCTTACAATCAAGAGAAATCAAGCCTCAGGATTCAATCAAATATCTTGGGGTTCAGCTCGATGCTCACCTCACTGGGGAAGCACATGTACCGCAGATGAGGAAGAAGGGTGCAAAATTGGTAGCAGGATTAAGCTTAATCGCCCGATCGACATGGGGGACGCCTCCAGTCTATTTACAGAAGATGTATACAGCTGTTCTACAACCACAGATTATGTCCACAGTGGAAGAGGCTTTGTTGGCGCGCAGTAGGCTATGGAGCATGTGACGAGGAGCCAATCTAAATAGATAGTATTTCTATTCCTAGGGTGCTGTGTCGACGAAGAAACTGAGTATGAAGAGGGAAACTATCTATCGAGGGGAAACAGCACGTATTTTTAGCCTCCATTCCCATTCATTGACGGTACGGCCCGTCTCATACAAATTCTCTGTTGCCTAGCCGGTGTCCCAACATGGAATCGATATGTATCAAAAGCAAAGAACAATGCCGCTTGAGAACCTATTGACGAGGATCTCCATACAAGGATTCCCTAGCCAATAAGGGACGTGCGCGCCAAGCCCGCGGAAGGTAGAGCTACACCGTCACAGAGCTGTCAGATAACATAGACTACAAACGAGGCAGAGAGATTCGATGTTCGATCTTACAGGTCTAAAAAGGCACCTTAGGTCATATATCTGGGCACCGAGATTTCAGCCCAATGTTTACCCCTCATGATAGCTCACAAATCACCCCGCCAAAGATGTTTATAAAAACCCAGCTATTAGTAAAACACTCTTCAGGATTGGCCTGGAATAAACCGACTAATCCGACAAGAGCAAGCCGTTCAATCAATCCAGTATCAGGCTCTATACCGGATATCTAGTGCTTTCAAGGATACATCACAACAAGCCCTAGAAGTCTGCCTCTATGTGCCGCCTGCAGAGATTACCCTTGCGAGACTAGCTGAGGAAGCTTGTCTGTAAATTATGACCTCACCACTATGACATACACTCTACAGCATATATAGCTAAGCCCACTATAATAATCCATATACATCGCCGCTCTATTGGCTGGAAACGGCTATTAACTGCAAACTTGGCATGGCATCTACTAGTATATTAAGATAATCTATCCCTTTATAGTGCTACCGTGGTGGGAGTCACCAGATATAAGGACTGATGATACCCGCGAGGAGACTATTAAGGCCATTAAGACATCCTTAATTGTAGATATAATAACATAGTTTTATACTGATGAAAGTGGTTTTGACAATAGGATTGAAGCAGCAGTCTGTTCACTAACAATGGGACAGGCTGTCATAGGATGAAGGGCCGTATGGGGTAAAGTGGTCTGGAACGGCAGAATAGCGAGTCTGACAAGTTATCATATCAACTTTTCCATGTAGTTTAGAGTCTTTCCTTCTTTTTCTCTTCTTTCTTAAACTTAGAATTTCCATGAGTTAGGACCTAATAACATTCAGTTTGAAGCCATTTAGTGCTCTAACACTGGCCTATAAGCTAGTGGACTCATCTAAAATATATATAGTTTATGCAGGGGAGCTAGAGTGGATTAGCACGGCACTGGATATCCTACTCTAAAGCCAGCCATACAACGACAATAAACATGAAGCCACAATCTATACAGATAACCAAGCCGCTATACGCGCTATATACCAGCTTAGGAGGTCTTCAGGGCAGTACATCCTCCGACGGATAGTACGACACCTAGGCCTCCTGCATGACAACCGACCTCATTGGCGCGTACGATTATAGTGGGTGCTAGGACACGAAGGGATCCCTGGCAACGAGAAAGCAGATCAGCTTGCGAAGTGTGCCGCAGTCGAGGCGACACGGATCGCACGATAGATTACTCGCATAGCCTAGATCAACGCACCCAACTAGGCCACGCCGCACGCTGCACGGGTCTCATATGTCCTAGATCAGTCAACTATCCTCGTTACTGTGTGCCGCTGGAGACTAGGAGGGCTTCATAAACTAGTAGAAAGATTAATGGGATTACATCAAGCATAGATAGCATCTCTATTGGATAGTTAAAGCACCAACAAAGAAGGTGTTACAGCTACATGATAGCCTACGATGGGCTTGGAGTTTAGCATTGATCCAACTACAAATAGATAAATTATCGCCACGTAGCTTCCTAGCAAGCATACGAGTCGAAGACTGGCCTCAATATTAATGTGGTCTTAGAAATCAGGATACGGCTCACGTCCTCATATGGTGCCCAATCCACGCGAACCTACGTACGGAGACCCTCTGGAAATAAGTACGCGAAACAGATTACCAGAGCTCCTTAGTGAGCCTTGGTAGGTTCGACAGAGCATTGAGTTTATGTTGCGAGCTGGTCTATTGACACAGTTTCGCCACATGACTCCCAACCGCGCGCTCGCAGTAAGTGCGGCAGCATCTCAATGAAGGGCAACAGCGTCAGTTGGACTTATACAAATCGGCTACTCGACGCATCTAACACAGAAATGGGCACCAAAGCACATTATGTTGATTGATTGATTGATTTATTCATTCACGCATCTAAGCCTATTGACCGGCGGCGCCTTCTAATTGGGCAGCGGGCGTTACTCCGAATCAAGATTAATCACTCGTTTGTATATTCCCTATGTCTCCCTTGTTATTTTAACGTTCTGTTCATTCATTCATCTGTTGCTGTTATTATTCTCCAAAACTGGAATACAGATACATGTCGAGACTTTCGGATAATGTCGTGTCGGCTAACTAAGCCAACATCAAGCCAGGAGCGTTGACGTTGACCTAAGCTTTGTATGGTAGTACACTCGCTGCCCAATAACAAGGCGCCGCTGGCCACTAGGCTTAGATGCATCATGCGTGAATGAATTAATCAATCAATCAATTAATCAGTCAATCAGTCTTCCGGGGTCGCGGCATCCGGGTTGCGCTCACCACAATTTGGACAAGTCAGTTCCGAACCATACAGTGAAGATACGGGTCTACTGTCTACATACCGTTATGGGGATTAAATAAGAATTAAATGACAGGATATCACCTCACGTAGACGCTTGCCTCTGTGTCATATTGGGACTAACCCGTTCTAGGCGAGGTGTTGATATCAACCCTCGACCTCACCACTTAGCTAGAGTACTCATGACATCTTCTAGAGCCTCATCATCAAATGAGACGTGTTATGCGATAATACTCGCTCACTCTAATACCATGTATACTATAAATATTCAGTTATGCATTTACGTATTGCTACCTTGGTATAACTCGAGCGCACTTTAGCATATCAGCTATTTTCGACACTGGTATCGTATGGTAAAGATTACCAAGGAATGCAGGAAGTGACACTGGACAGTGATGAGCATGAAGCAACTACCAGAGTTGAATTTCAGGTGGACGACTGTGGATTTAGACTCAACCCATGCTGGGTTGATAGTCTCGGACACATTGCCGGTTTCATTATGAATGCAAGTGATGCAACGCCCACTAAACCGCAGATATTTATCAATCATGGATGGGACCAAATGTGTTGCGCTATCGAATTTGAGAAAGGCGTACAATATCACGTTTACAAGCGCATGCAGTTGGAGAACGGCACAACCTACGCGGGTGATACCTATATCTTCAAGGATAACAGTCTGGTTGCTATTTACGAAGGCATTCGCATAAGTCTATCTCAAGAACAATCAAATTATAGAATTGAGAAACTAATGGTATCCTAGTTTCAAGAAGTCCCACGTCAACTTCTTGATCGCCTCCTACCATCAAGCAAGCAACCTCAACGACGAGCAATCAGCGAAACCGCCCATTAACGAGGTATCAACTCAACGGCCAACGCCATCTGCAGCGCGGCCCACATATGCAGTTCCGAAACAACCGAATTCAAGCAGAGAAACCAAAACCGGCGGCTTCATCTACAGTGCCCAGACCTAATGAAATTGCGTCTCGTGTATTGGCTATCGTAGGCGAAGAAGCTGGAGTCGACCACACGGAATTAGACCCGAATGAAGACTTCCAGAACCACGGGATCGATTCTCTTCTTTCACTTACTATCTGTGGCCGGATTCAAGAAGAGCTTGGCGTTGACGTCTCGTCTTCATTGTTCGCAGATTATTGCACTCCAATGGAATTGAGTCGTTTTCTCGGCAGTGATAACCGCCATGACTCATTGTCCGCCAGCTCTGTTTCATCCTCTGACAACACTGATAAAATTAACACTCCTGAAAATAGGGAGATGGATTCCAACACCTCTACAGACGGGGAAATGGATAGCTCTACCATCGAAGTAATCCGTGAAACGATTGCACAGGAGACAGGTGTTCCAGTCAGCGAGTTGACACTTAGCAGCAGTTTTGCAGACTTAGGGGTTGATTCCTTACTTATATTCACCATTGTCGGCAAGTTGTTAGAGGCTCTAAACATGGATCTACCCTCCAGCTTGCTTATGGAGAATGAAAACTCGGAGAAGTCAGTAAAGCACTAGGTCTGCAGGAGCCGACCACTCACTCTTCCTGCATGGCCAGTCATAAATGCGAAGACAATAACAACTTCCAGCTTTTACCCACATGCAGGTCCTCAATCAACATTGATTCTGCTATCCGGAAATGTGAAAACAGCCAATAAAATCTTCTTTCTGTTCCCCGACGGCTCAGGTTCCGCGAAAATATGCCTCCCTTCCAAAGTTTGGCCCTGAGGTCGCTGTATACGGATTGAATTGTCCATATATGAAGACCCCACAAGACATGACAGGCACATTGGAGGAATTGACTTCTATGTATCTCGTAGAAATTCGACGCCGTCAACCAACTGGGCCGTATTATCTAGGCGGATGGCCAGCAGGTGGTATCTGTGCATACAAAGCCGCGCAGCAACTTGCTCGTGAAGGGTGCAAGGCCGAAAAGTTGATCCTCATAGATTCGTTCAACCCGATAGGGCTGGAGAATCCTCCGCAGCACTGTATGACTTTTTTGAAAGCATTGGTATTTTTGGGAGCGGTAGCCAACCACCTCCCAGCTGGCTGAGGCCGCATTTTGACGCTTTCATTCGGTTACTTGATAAATATAGAATCCGACCTGTTGGCATTTAAAATGAAGGCCTACATGTTATATGCTGGAGATGGTATATGCAGTGACCTCAATCTTCCTCGACCAGAAATCAGACCCGACGATCCCTGTGGTTCGGTTGCTCAATGGGCGGACTGATTCCGGTGGTGATGGATGGGCGTCACTGGTAGGCAGAGAGAATTTGCAGATCACCGTTATGGACAAGGTAGATCATCTCTCAATGATGGATAAGGGGCCACATAAGAAGCAATTCGCAAGTTTCCTTCAGCGGGCATTGGCATGAGCTTACTAGAATGATTCTTACTTACAATACTGTCTTTCTTTCCCTGTTCTCCTTTTGAACCTGTACACGTGGCGCTATATGCTTAGTTTCAGAAGGTTCCATCCTTTGCCATTCTTTCAACGGATGTATTATTGACGTTCTGAATTATGTTCATGTAGTTGTCAAAGTCTCAATATCAGAAATTCCACTCCTATGACTTGAGCAACATTCGCTATTGAAATTCTGTGTTACTCACGGAATACGTCTGAATTTACAAATAGCATTACGATTTTACCTGGGCAGTTTCCGGTAATACCTTGTTTTCAGGGGTGCAATGCGATATGAGCGTCTCCTAAGGATGTTCTGTGTTTTAACATGTCTACTAGCGTGACCATTAGTTGAGATATGAAAAATGGTAAGTTCCGTATGAAGTAGTTGTCAAGGCTGTTCTGAGATATATACAACATAAGCAAAATCGCAATATACTCCGTTTCACGTCCAATATTGCCATCTTTGGTTTTTCCATTCGGCCTCCCGAGGTCGCGCAAAACATCGGGCCCCGGACTCCAGACCCCGTAGATTGTTATGATTCTCCTCCTTTCATCGGACCTCTGAAAGTAGGCTCCAATGGATTGAATAGCTATCAGACTCTCAATGTAGAGCCTGACGCTATGGTCGTTCACGCACACGACCCTCCGGTTCTCTCTCAAACTTTTAGTCTTGGGTAGAACAGGAACCTGGGAGGACGAACATAACATTCACAGATACCTACCAAAACAGGCGTAGAGAAACATGGCATCTGAAACTCCTAAAGATGTGTTTATGGCTTTCATACGAGAGTCTTACAATCCATGTGGCTCTGAGGAAACAATTGGTGGCCTGAAGACATGTAACAGCCCCTTTTCAAGCATTAGATCCAACTCTAACCCTACCCCACTTACTATTCTAATTGATGTATAGACGTTACCGGCCGACGGGATGCCACAGTAGGTGTAGTTGATGTCTACGATGTCTTCGGCATATCGAACCATACCCAGCAAGGCGCAGACCTAGTCGCCTCCGTCCCCGACTTACTGAAGGGCACCTATGCAAAGCCGGAATGGTTCCCTCTCAACTCAGATGAGAAACGTGCTCAGTTCTTTGGGCTCCTGAAGGGTTACGCAGCGCCGCATAAATTTGTTGATCCATCGTTGGAGTTTATGCGACATGTACGGAGCCGGTTTCCGATAGTGACGAAATGGGGGTCGTTTGGATTGTGTTGGGGTGGAAAGGTCAGATTTTTCTCGTAGCCTTAGCCAACCCTATACGAAGGATATTTCTTCTATTCAGTTCCGATGATCTGACTGTTAAATAGGTTGTAACGTTAGATTCAATGGCCGAAACTCTCTTTGTAGCATCCGCGTAGGCACATCCAGGGTGAGACTTATCCCTACTCTTTCACCCCAAACGATCCTAGAAGTGACCCAGTTGATGTTTTTAGCATGCTGGACCCCGCCGAAGCGAAAAAAATAACAATCTTTCATCTGGTGATGGCATCGAAGGATGAGCCAAGCGAGGCGGTTGCAGACTTCAAGACGGTTATTGAGGAAAATGGTATCGGCAGATATCTGCCCACGTACACCACAATGCATCACAGCTGGCCGGGATTGAAGGCCAATTTGGTTGAGGAAGGCACATTTGTGGGATATAGACAAGGCTAAGTAAAAGTCACCATAGTTACGAATGTGGGCGGAGAGATTGGAGTGTGCTGACAAGTGTGTTTGTTTCAGGTATACACAGCTCATAGAGTTTTTCAAGGAATATCTGGTCGGGAATTGATGTCTATGAAGGTTATGGGAGCTAGGGGGTTCAATCTCGCGGAAATGTAGATAGCTTCGCGTTGCAAAAGAGCCAGCGTAACAACTTCAGATAGATACACTTTGCCGGGAGAACGAGAGTCGCTGTTTATGGGTCTTTGTCCAAGCAGAGATGTTACAAATCATACAGACTTAGTATTAATGTCTAAGGTCAGCAGTAGTTTGTCTACTTCATAGCCATTCAATCACATTGGGTTCACGACAAAAAATGTGTATCTGATATTACACCGACTGGACGTCAATGCCCATCAGCTTGGGTTTTCTGACGCTCGATCGCAATATTGGTTGCTTCGTCAAGGTCTTCCTTTGGCAGACCGAGCATACTATTGAGTGTGCCCTTACTGTCTTCGAAGTTTCCAGCACCATCTGGGAAGAAAATCCGGGAGTACAGGACGTTGGCGAAAGCTTCTTTTTTGCCTTGCTTGAGATGCTCCTGGCCTGTTGTATACACCTGCGTAGCCGGTTCCTTCGTAATAGTCCAGTCTTCCTCTTTTGTGCCGGTGATACGCAAAGCAGATGCCAACATATCCTTCTGACTGATGTTGAAGGAGTTAATATACACAACTCGGTTCTTCAGCTTCTCAAGGCATGCTTCCGTGTTTGGCTCTTCAGGCTGGATTGGGAGGCTTAGAAGGGCAGCGACCGCGCGACCGATCTGTGGCCATGTAGAGGTGCAGATCTTGTCTTCACCATCATTATAGAATTTGACGGTGTGATTGGCAAAGTCGAAACCGTAGTTTCGCGGCATTGCGAGACTGTACTCGTACCAGAAGCCGGTCGAGAGGGCGATATACGATGACTTTCCGATTTCTTCGATCAGCTTGCGAGTCGCCACTAGAATACAAAAGATCGATGTCAGTGGAAATGAATAAATGAATCTGGACTGTATAGTGTGTTACTCACCCTTTGGTTTGAAAAGAAACAGATCGTTCACCATGCCTTCGTGCGCTGTATCAGGAGACCATTCATTAGGAAGACTAGTTGAAAGGAATAGTCAGCGTATAATACTAGCAAAAAAATTTATGGAACTTGAAACTTACATCCACGGGACTCCTGCTTCAGCCGCCGCTCTGACAAGCTTCTCCTCGGTCTCTTGAATTGGGGAATACCCGCTGAGAGTGATAACAAGCGCATCCTGGCCACGAAGGGCGTCAACGAGTGTCTCTGGTTTCTCGTAGTCGATTTCTTTGGATATAATGCCCTCGGCCAACTTGTTCTGGCTGTTGTGACGCGTGATGGCTGTAACAGTGTGTTTGCCCGTCTTTAGGAGGGCATTTGCTATGTAGCTGCCTACATTGCCTCCCGCCTATATCAAAGGATCTGTTAGCTGAGAGGATATATATCGAGTATCATAGAGGGCAGTTACATACTCCTACGACAGCAACATTTTTGATGCGGTTTCCGGATGCCATCTTTTCTAGCATGGACTCGATGTTGTTGGGATCGTATGGGGTTGAGGGGTAAACAAAGATCAAATGTGACCAGCAATTCTTATGTATGCATACAACCACGTGATTTTGGACGCTCTCACAAAGACAAAAGGAACCACTTTCGGAATCCGCTGTCAGTCTGGTTTATGATATAAATGCATTATTTACAGGCAACCATCCTTTGTTTGCGAATCATCTCGGGAAATCCTTCTTTTTTTCCAATTTCCCGTTATTGCGCTTCTGCCTTACAACGACCCATTGATATCGTATCCTACGTGCTTATCTGCAATTCAGCATGCTTACATCTGGTGAAACACCAGTCTAGGTGGGAATTCGAAATATGTGGCATGTCACTGAGTATACTAGCTCTCTGATTCGCCACAATAGCGAGATGAAATCATATCCAGACCAGGATCTGGAACTGGATCTGTTCCAATAGCGAATAACAATTCCCTCCAAGTCAAGGCTCACATCATCCCTAAACCACTTCGCCATTTGCTACGTGCCTCTCCAACAATCCAGTCACAAAAGCCATATTAACAGGGTCAGCAAAATTAGCATGATCCGGCAAGATAACTTCTTGTAGTCTGGATTATCCTTGGCTCGGATATAATCCAGTACGTCCTTGAACACAATCTGAATGGAACAATCGCATTTATACGTTTTGCCTTCTGGGTAGAAGATGTAAATTTCAGTCGATTCATATCGGTGTCTCTGGTTACCTTATTTATAGCGGTACTATGTCTACCCCTTCAGACAAATATCGAAGAAGTTAACTAATTGCGCATTTCTGCTGCAGCCGTCCATTTGAATTCTACTTCATATTCTCTACAATGTCTTCTTACACCCTTTACGCAACTATATCATGGCACGCAACACGCTTATCATGGTGTTGGCACCAATACCATGTGCGTCTGAACCGAAAACTACCCGAGTTGCACCAAATATACGGAAAGACCGTACGAGTAGCTCCGAATGAATTGTCTTTTATATCGGAGGCGGCATGGAAGACTATATATTGATCACGATCAAAAGAGATGATGAAGGATCCGGTATTTTCGCTTATTACACCAACGGGGGTACAAAGTATGTGATATCCCTATTGCCTTTTAGCAATATCTGAGCATTTCGGATTGACTTTTGGTTGTATCAGATATACTTACTGCCGATCGACCTACTCATACCCGACAAAGACGCCTGCTCTCTCATACATTTTCAGAAAGCGTTGAGAGAACAGGAAGCGATTATTCAAAGATACGTTAAGAAATTAATGGAACAACTTACCCTGCGATCAAGCGAGGGACCACAAGACGTGATTCGGTGGTTCACTTTCACTAGTATGTTGGGTTGTCAAGCGACTCTCGGCGTCCTCGTTATAACTGTCTAACCGATGTCTTACACAGCGTACGACTTGATCCGCGGCCTTTTGTTCGGAGAACAATTTGGCTGCGTAGAGGATGGAGAGTACGACCCATTCGTCCAATTAATAAGAAATATTTCAAAGGAACTTACAATGATACAAATGTTCAATATTACGGCTTCCTGGGTCTGAGACGATTATTCATGCCAAAAGCTATCGCAGGAGCGCGCGCAACGAGTAATTGCAACAGTAGACCGAAGAGCCAAGAGCAAAACGAACGGGAAAGATTTTTTGCACTACATCCTCGCCGCTATGGAGACTGATAAGGGCATGTCTCGAGCAGAGATGGATTCAATACTTTTTCCTTGAGGATCGCTGGTTCAGAATCCTCGGCGACTTTGTTATGTGGATTTATCTTCTATACCCTCACTCATCCTACAGTCCGCCAAAAATTGATCACGGAGGTTAGGGACGCATTTCAATCGGAAGACCAGATTGTGATGGCAAATGTTCATCATCTTACATATCTGAATGCCGTTCTGCAGGAATGTTTGAGGATTTATCCACCTGTCGCCGTAACACTCCCTCGAGTGGTCCCTGACGGTGGTGAGATGATAGACGGAGGATACGTTGCAGCCGGCACCACCGTCGGTGTGAATCATTTCGCATGCTACCATGACCAGAGAAACTTCCACCGACCGAACCAGTTTCTCCCTGAACGTTGGATACCCAGTGCTGAAGATAAAACTTCTCCTTTCAGTCATGATCAGCGCAATTGTCTACAGCCATTCTCGCTTGGACCCAGAAATTGTCTAGGAAAGAACTTGGCTTGGGCTGAGATTCGTCTTATTACGACGCACCTGTTATATCTCTTTGATAGGGAGCCGGAACGAAGTGTTGGCAATCGGTGGACGGAACGCCAGAATGTCTTTGGGTTTTGGGATAAGCCGCCCTTGCTTGTTCATTTGACGCCGAAGCAAAAAACAAGTACATGATGTGGTTATGTCTGTAACTTTTCTGCTCCGGTATCTGTACATTCTTACTTGGTGTGAAATTGTCGTGAACTTGTCATAATGCACCCATCGTTTTATCTTTAATTACATCATGCCACAATACATAGAAAACAGCCAGCTACAGTGTTTCAGTACAAAAAACAAGCGCCTGAAGGTTTCTTGGAAGGATTACAGCGTTCACGTTTTGGCGAGAAGAACTCGAATTCACGGATTGTTCCATTGCCATGTTGTTCAAATTAATCAGAGGAGTTCCAAGGTTTCCCAAACAACGATCGTGTTCTTGACATGTTATTATTTAATGATGAGGCTCTAGAAGATGACATCTGTGCTCTAGCCAAGTGGTGAGATCGAGAGTTGATATCAACGCCTCGCCTAGAACGGGCTAGTCCCAATATGACACAGAGGCAGGCTCTACGTGAGTCGGGTGATATCCTTTCATTTAATGATAGTCTAGATAGCCCCAAGCGTTTAAGGAATAGATTGCCCCGCCATCAGGCAAGGTGAGCTTCTGGGATTGTGAATTTTAATGTATTGGATGATGATTTGGATGAATGGCTTTGCGAATCGTAGATCCGCCACCTAATCGTCGCTTGTCCTCAAACGCTTCTTTGCACGGGGCTGATCTGGAGGTAAAGAGTGCCACTGTATAGATTCCAATATGGGCTCTGAATGAGGTTGAGACACATCTAGTAACTGAGTGAGAAGGTCAGTCGATGAACCTGTCCCAGAAGGATGAATTATGCTCTGCGCATCCAGAGTCGTAGGCGGATCTAATGTTGTCGGCACAGATAACAAGCTCTCCCATGTAAACGGTCCACAACTCGATGATGTATGTGATGCTACTACGTGAGATAAGTCGGACATGTGTCCATTCAGAATTGACGACGGTACGGAAGGAATGATGGTCGCCTCAGGCTCTGGAGGTAGTTGTTGATTTGACGATGAGTGTGACTGTGTTGACTCAGCTGCAACTTCCAACGAGGACCCCGACGAATATGAGTTTGACGGGCTTCGTTGAAACAAGTGAGCATTATCAATCAATTGATTCAAAATCCTTGCCACTCGGCTATGGTAGCCCTGCGGTGGCAGATGTGAGCTGCCCTTGGTGTAACAGGACGAGACTTTGCGTAACAGATCCCAGTCCGCACCCGACTCTCCACCACCATCCCTTTCAGTTTCTTGAAAAACAAGACTCTCAAAAAGAACAAAAAATGCTGGAACTGAGAAAACGTCGAGCAAAGCTGTGAAAGATTTGGTGTTTGGTTCGCTAGTTGGAGAAGTGCCATTTCGGATGGACGAGACATCGGTGCCGGTAGAAGAGTGGTAGGCATCAATCACTGAAGAATTACGATCTCCATGTGCAAGTAACAACAAAAAGCAACTAGCTCTGGCATCCGCAAAAAGTCTTCCGCTTGTATGCCGTGTTTCCGGATCGAGTTTCAGGGCCACGATGCGGGTGCTGAGGAACTCCATCGCAATGAAGATATCGCGAGGTAGATAGGACGGACTCAGGCCACTGAGTATACTACAATCGCTTGCAAGTTGGTCCAGCTGTTGTCTGATAGACTTAGGGGTTGCTGGCTGTGATATCCTCGGGTGTGAGTCTCTTCGGGACCCTGAGGCTGCACAGGTCATGTGGTAAAGCTCATCCTGGATCATTGCCAATCGAATCCGGCTTGAAAAGGAGGCTTGGCGCTCTACTACGAGTTTCAGTTGGGTAGTAATGTTGCAGTCGTAGCTGGGCAGCCAAGACACGGATCCTCGAGTGATGCATAGGCTCTTATCCCTAATGTACAATGATTGAAGGACTTTGGCTCGTTCAGCCGCGTCATCATTTGGGCTTGTACCTGAAGACAGAATTCCAGACTTGTGTAACCCCATGGTCCTAGCCAGCATACATGCATGAATAAAAAGGAGCTCTGACCATCCAGGTGGATCGAATTGTTGTGCTGCAACGCTCTAAAAGCCATTAATATTAGCCTCCCATTAAAGCTCAAAAGTACGGCATCAAGCTTACGAGAAGTATAAGTGTCTGCACATTGATCAGTCGCGGCGTATTCAATAACCTGGAGCTGACCAGTGCAGCACGACTGGGAAGCATGGAACAAGCAAAGTCGCCAAACAGTGCACTATCTGCCTGTGTTGAAATCTCCACACCAAGTACAAGCAATATGAGAGCCTTGAGGCATACCGCCCACGTGTCGTCTCCTGGCTCAGGCGGCTGAGAATAGACTCGTTCAAGAGTAGCAAGCAGATTTTGTTCCACGAAGATATCTGTTGCACAGTCGATATGCTTGAAAAAATATGTAACGGCCGCGAGAGCCTGTTGTTTGGGCGGTAGCTGAATTGGAAATTGATCATTGTAAGATGGAAAAGGTTCTGCTCTACCAGCGGTTTCACATAGCTCTCTTAGCAGCTCTTGAAGAGCATAGGGTTCAATTGGATCAGATAACGCCAATGTCCGTAACTGGAGACGATTGCAAAGGGCGAAGGGAGAAGAGATTCCGTGATAGCGATCAATCATATCCGCATCGCTGTGGAAGATATGGGAGTAGGTCATGTCGTCTGTCAGCGAGCCCGGACTTTCCGCTTGTATTCCTTCTTCTTCTTCCTGCACGTAGCTTCCGTCTTCATCTGACCTGCCTGAAGAAGCTTGCATTCCCATACATTCATCATCGTCGAAGTCCAAGTTCCGAGCCATGGCACTCGAAAGCCGCCTCAGTTGCAATTCAATAGAAGTCAAACGGCTCTGAAGCTGATCGACGCCGTCACACCTTGTAGCGGGTCAGTTCTATCTTCTAATTCTAAGTCAAATGAGAGCCTTGGTAATGACCTACAGCAATTTAGTATGATTCACCCTCCTTACAGGATTCTGATAGACGCAGGTGATGCCAGAGTCCCGTTCGCAATTGCTGCATTGAGGGCGCTCCCTACCACAGCGGATCTTCCGCTCACGGCAGCGGGTGCATGCGAGATCAGGAATGGCATCTTCCGAGCGATTCTGTTACGCTCCCTTAGCATTTAGTTTAATCTTTTAATCGGCTGCATGGTCTCAATTACCCGTCTGTCGGTAGCCGGCATCGTGATAGGAAGGAAACAGATTCACCACCTTTTGTTCTAGGATAACATGGATAGTAAAGTATCCTTGACCCTGTAACGGAGCTATACTAGAGAGTAAGAGGGACCGTAACTGTGTTCTCCAGGTTACTGTTCAGACTACAGGTGGATTCCAATACTGTTCACTGGGGAGTGAACCTACCTATTTATGTCTGTTATTCTCAACATTCGCTCATCGTAAGATTTAGCCCCTCCGACCACGCTTACAAAGTCTAGAAATGATAGAATACTCTGATTACAGCTGCGAGAGATCTCCAATGAAGTAAAACTCTCTCGGGCAATGCCAGCAATGATCTTAACCGCTTTTCCGAGATTCGCAGCTTCAATTTGAGTAAAGGCTGTCACGCCACCAAAATAGACGTCTTGAAAAGCTGCAGCCAAGATTTCCTGGGATCATAAATCTCAATATATGGTTGCTCTGTCTTTGACAGGGGTGAAGACCCATGATCGGAACAATGAATCATCGTTTCTCTTATAGATCCAGCAGGAGATATTACTAGCAGGATCCATATGCAAAATTCAACAAAACAGGCAATCAGACAATGGATTATAGTGAAAAGATAAGAAAATATAAGTTAAAATTACTCCGACTATTTCACCATGCAGGTACTGTTACGATGAAATTTCGAATTTTTCCTGCTTCGGACTTTTAGTTTTTCGTTTACAAACCCTGCCGATGCAAGTTCGGGAACATGATCTTCAAGCCATACATGTTTCCTCGGCGGACTACTTCCTCGAACCCTCTGGCCGAATCAAGGGAGTACGCAAGCCAGAAGGCTGAGAGCCAAAGCACGGACTTTGAGAAGCCTATCACTAATCAGTCTTAATGATTGTGGCTTGATCTAGTAGATCATGCAGGGCAGATTTAAAATTGACTATGCAATAGAGGTTACAGTACTCCGTACAGAGGCCTAATCAATCTAGATGCAGAAAAGAATTTTCTTTCCTTTTCCCTGATTAATGACTTGGGGATGCTGTCATTGTCCTCACTGGCTCCAGGCAGCAGCCCCCAAATGCCGGATAAACGGAATCGCTGTCTACGCGTAAGCAGCTTCAGAAGCTTCGTTGAACATGATTATATTCGCAGTAATCCCAACTTGCATAAAGGTGCCGTAGCCACTGTTTGTCAGCCGTGGCACATTGTGCTGAATTCTCATGAAAGGTCTCGGTCGACCGCAAGCAACATACCATGTCTCAAATACGAGTCTTGTGCATGAGCTTATTCACGGGCTTGGTGTCCTCGCAATCAACCTCTTTTGATCCATGCGCATACGCACCAGAGGATGTACTGGTACGGGACGTCATTGTGATAGGTGGAGGGGCCTCCGGAACGTATGGCGCGATTGCACTGAAAGATATGGGCAGAAGCGTTGCAGTAGTAGAGAAGAATCCGCACTTTGGTGGACATGTGAATACAGTAAGGACCAAAGACCGACATTCAATGTGTGACAAAACTGATGTGGACTCGATTCATGCAGTACACTGATCCTGAGACTGGACTTGCGTTGGACTTTGGAGTACAAGGATATGGCAATGATAGCATTACCCGAGCTTTCTTCTCCAGATTCGATATTCCGCTCATTCCCTTGAGTGAAGGAGATGGGCAGATCACGGTAGATTTTGGCACAGGAGAGAACGTGACCACTTTAGTGGCAGGTTCTAGCATGGTCACCTACAGCGAGCAGACCAACATGTACTACCCAGAACCAGCACTCGGTTTACACCTACCTCAACCTGTACCGGAGGACCTCTTGCTTCCCTTTAGAGACTTTGTCACCAAGTATTCGATTCAAAATGCATCATACACCATTTGGAGATATACCAGTCCTGGAAAAAACCTTCTTGACCAGCTTACATTATACGTCATACTAGGCTGTAACGCAGCCTCTACACCATTGCTTGGTGGTCAAGGTTCTGATGTGATGACGAGAAATAATTCCGAGTTGTTTGGAAAAGCAGAAGAAGAAGTAGGAAGCAACGCCTTGCTAAGTTCTCAAGTCATTGCAGCAATTCGGTCCAATGATAGCGTTTCGCTCGTGGTGCAGACTCCAACGACGAAGAAACTGATACTCGCATCCCAAATACTTTTCAGTGCACCAATCGTGCTAGACAATCTCAATACTTTCGACCTTGATACTACAGAATATGCCCTCTTTTCGCAAGTCTACTATTCGTGTTGGTACACTGCCGTGGTGACTGATACAGGATTACAACCTGGCTATGTTTATGAAAATGCTGCCAGCGACACGCTATACAATATTCCTATAGAGCCATACACATTCCGAATTGGGATAACTCGAGTGAGCACCATATATACTGCTTACTACGGCTCTATGGAAGACTTGCCCGAAAGTGAAGTCAAGGCAAGGATAGCAGAGAACATCCAAATTATATCTGGTAATTCAAGCATTCCACGCTTTTTGGATTTTGCAAGTCATGTTCCATTCAAGCAGCAAGTTCCCGCCACAGCCGTTGTGAATGGTTTCTACAATCAGCTCAATAATCTTCAAGGTTATCGTGGTATGCATTATACAGGAAATGCATTGGATGCGTCCGGATCAAGCAGCTTGTTTAATTTTACTCTGCATTTGTTGCCAAACATTAACCAAGGCATTGATGCTCATCCAGTTGACCCAACTAGAGGAATCTGCAACAACGCTGAGGGGACTGATGATACTACACTAGAGACCCCGGAAGATACTACCAGGATCTATTAGCGCATCTCAAAGGAGGAAAATGTCTCTCTGGAGATCCTAATGTTGCTTTCATGCCGCGGAATAGTTCAAGTACACTGGGTGGTAGAATCACAATCGATTTACTATATCAATATCTGTCCATTTAAAAGAGTGCTATTGCTCAGCACGGATTGCTGCTCTTGGCTTGTTCCATATAATTCAGTCCCACGGAGATTTACGTTCACTATCTACTCTTCCTCAACTGTTGAACAATCTTGGCACGTTGCGTAGAGGGTAGCTCTTTATTACTCTTTAATCGCATTTCAAAATCCTGCCTTACCCATTCTAAACGCTCGAAGTACAAATCCACAGTATACCTTGTGGGGCCTATCTGTTAGCATAATCGTGATGCCAAGGAAGCCTTGTCATGGCGTGCCTATTCAGGTGCCCTTGTCAGGGATATCCCGGGGCACGTAGTTTGAGCCTTGGAATGTATCCATCACGATATTCCCTATCACCGATTAAGAATGTTCGAGATATGAATACGAGAGAGATGCAACTTGGGTATTGTAGTTTCCTTGTTTGTATACGTCTGATTTAAAATTTATCCCGGTCTATACATATACGAATTATTCAAAACGTCCAATCCGAATGTTACACAACATCCGAAGGAACCCTCATGGCCTCAGTATATTGTATGTAGGCAGAAAATCACACTAACATATGATGACAGGGGATCCCGGAGACCGGATTCCGGTTCATGAGCGATATTCATGGATGCAGAATACCTATATACATCGACGGGCGATGTGGAGAGCTCCGTATCAAGTGTATGAAATTCTCCTAACTCTTATCCGCTGATTTTACAACCACTGTCCTACTCACGGTTATCGTTCTCGTATACAATACATCGACGTCTAAGGCTATCTCCACTAGTCACCCCATTATCCAATCCCAAGGATATCAAGCTATGGGAGATATGAGTGATCCTGTTCTTGCTTCTATTGCTGAGACCAAGGCCAAATATGTGCGTCTTGGAAAAAGTGGACTGCGTGTTTCTGTGCCAATCTTGGGGGCAATGTCATTGGGTCATAAAGACTGGCAGCCCTGGGTGATTGAAGAAGAGGAAGCCCTAATCATCCTCAAGGCAGCGTATGACCGTGGGGTTAACACTTGGAATACTGCGAATGTGTACAGCAATGGCATCAGCGAGGAAATTATTGGCAAGGTATGTCTGGTTTCAGCAGCGTCGTTTTGAAGAGTGGCAGTCGATAGGCTTGAAAGTCGTTTATTAGCCTGATGTAACTTCATGCTCATTATCTGCAGGCCATTAGAAATTTTCAAATTCCCCGTGAGAAGCTGGTTATCATGACCCAATGCTCTAGTTGGGTTGGTGACTCCCCCAAATCTCGGGCTTGGTTGTACAGAGAGAAATGCGCAGCGAGTAAGGATTTCGTTAATCAGGGCGGACTTTCAAGAAAAGCTCTGTTCTCAGCTGTTGAAGCAAGCCTTCAGCGTCTGGGTGTCGAATACATCGACTTGCTCCAAATCCATCGCTTTGATTATAACACGCCGGTTGAAGAGGTTATGGAAGCATTGCATGATCTTATTAAAAGTGGCAAAGTACGGTATATTGGGGCTTCCAGTATGTGGGTATGTATGCAAATATCCTCCTTGCAGTCATTCAATATTGGGCAAAAAGGATACTTACATTTATTCTCTTTTTCTCAGACATACCAATTTGCAATGATGCAGCACTGCGCGGAGACAAATGGATGGACAAAATTCATTAGCATGCAGAATCACTATAACCTACTTTACCGAGAAGAAGAGCGAGAAATGAACAAATTCTGCAACGAGACCGGCGTCGGTCTCGTTCCATGGGCGCCTCTTTGCAGAGGCTACCTTGCGCGACCAGTCGCATCACCACAACCCTCAGATCGCGCTGCAGCGGAACAGAAGATGGGGCGGATCCTCTCCGTTGGGCACACGGAGACTGACCATGCTATTATCAATCGAGTGGAGGAGATAGCACAGAAGCGAGGATGGAAAATGAGTACCGTCGCTTTGGCGTGGATTACCAAGCGAGTCTCGAGTCCAATCATTGGATTCAGTACCGTTGAGAGGATTGATGAAGCTCTATCCGCCAAAGATAAAAAGTTGACAGCGGAAGAAGAGGAGTACCTCGAAGAGTTATACGAAAGTAGGGCTGTTCAAGGACACTTCTAGTGGTGAAGTAATAGCCACATATCGCATTGCCCTAAGACGTGACTACATATAATTATGATTATTATCTGAAACATTTCAAAAACTTGTAAATAACTTGTAAATTTGTGATGGTACTAGCAGCTGGTAGCTCACTTAGAAAGACTCAAATGCTGAGCCCTAACTATCAGATTCACAGTGAACAACTTATCATTTACTGGAAAACTCTTCTTGTATGTAAAATAAGAGCATGTTTGACTCCTCAGCATTTACCTTCTACCGCATTCTTGATGGCCCGCTTCAGAATGTTAAGTAGTGCACTTTTCAGAGGACAATTTAGCAAACACATAATAATTGTTTGTCGTTATTTGCCTGCTCCTATTTTTGGTATCAAACATGACAAAATTCTTGCCTAGTCGGAATCTTTGTCCATCCGATCTTCGGCCATTTCCAGTTGACAACCATCTATAGACAAAGGAAGGGTGGTACCACAAAGCAAGGTAAATATATTCTAATTATGGACGTAGATCAGTCTCGTTTGAAATATTTACGGATAACCCGGTCTGGAATCTCGAGTCTAGGTTACACAAGTTAGCATGATATTGTCATATGCATCCGGTCTAGAGCCACATACGCACGGGAAATCCTGATATACAAGCCCGGGCTCCGAGCAAATATATTTTCCACACTGCAGCCATGGCTTCATGTATGTAGCGTGACTTGAACAATAATCATTTCCCCAGAGTATCTATACATACCTCCTCAGCAACGCAGCTGATACAGCACAGATTCTTACTAATCTACCGGCACTTTTGTGGCGATACGAATCATCCCTTCACTGCAAGAGTAGGTCAATGAAAAATGGCTCAACCAGCCTCTAGCAACGATGTTGAGGATCTAGCGGTGCCAACGACAGATAAAATCGCCACAGAAAAAGACGACGATGAGGATGTCAATCTTGTTGACTGGGATGGCCCAGATGATCCTGCCAATCCTGTGAATTGGTCAAATATGCAGAAATGGACAGTGATCGGTCTAGTGTCCTTCAACACTTTCAATGCGTATGTTTCAATTCCTTGGGGTTATTATTCTTAATTTAACAGGTAGTTCTTAATCTATACTAGATCGATGGCTTCGAGCATTTTCGCCCCAGGAGTACCACAAGCGATGCAGGACTTCCACTCTAACAGCTCAATACTCTTTACCTTCGTCGTCTCGGTTTTTATTGTCGGGTTCATTATTGGACCATTGCTACTTACTCCAGCCAGTGAGCTATACGGAAGAATGCCTGTCACACACTCGGCAAACATCATATTTCTAGTTGCTTCAATATTATGTGCGGTATCAGTAAATATACCAATGCTTATTGTGTTTCGTTTAATCATGGGCCTCTCTGGCTGTGTCCCAGTGACTTTGGGAGCTGGTTTCATAGCAGACCTGATGCCAGTTGAGAAGAGGGGGATGGCACTCGCGATCTGGACTTTTGGGCCTCTAGTGGTACGATTCAGCCCTGGGGGGATTTTCTCAAGTGTTTATTGATAGTGACTAATGATTTCTTTTAGGGTCCGGTTATTGGTACGGTGAATAATCTCTTCTAAGACACCTTTCTTTCCCCTGACTGCCACCTTGTTCCAACCAATTTTGCTCTCTTCGATCAAGAGAAACTAATATACGCAGGTCCGGTTATTGGAGGTTATATGGCCCTAGGTACGACATGGAGATGGACATTTTGGCTGATAACAATTCTTGTACGTTCTTGAAACACGTCAGTCTCTGTGTTGAGCTTACACCAGACAGGGAGCAGCAGCCACTATTGCCAGTTTCCTATTTATGCGAGAGACATACGTGCCAATCATTCTCGAACGAAAAGCGAAGGCATTGCGAAAGTCTACTGGAGGAAATATGAGAACGAAATACGATAAAGGCCAGACACTGAGACAGCTAATTGGCGCTGCGGTCACACGGCCTCTCAGAATGCTGATTCGGTCCCCTATTGTACTCATCCTATCCCTCTACATTTCCATAGTTTACAGTTATCTATACCTTCTATTAACTACATATACCGAGATCTTTGAAGGAGTTTATGGCTTCAACTCAGGCGAAGCTGGGTTAGCTTATCTGGGACTTGGGGTCGGATTTATTTCTGGTCAAGTCGCCATCGGACCCTTTTCAGATCGGTACATAAAGTTACAAAGAAAACGCCGCGGATCGGTTCAACCAGAAGACCGCCTGCCTCCATTATTGCTAGGTTCTTGTTTGGTTCCTATCGGTCTCTTCTGCTACGGCTGGTCAGCTGAAGCGAGAACACATTGGATAGTTCCCATCGTGGGAACATGTATTTTCAGCGCAGGGGTAGAGTTCACATTTTTCCCAATTCAGATGTATCTTATCGATGCCTTCACTATTCACGCTGCCAGTGCTGTAGCCGCTAATACTGTGGTTCGGTCGATCTTTGGTGCTCTAGTTCCCTTAGCTGGGAATCCCCTGTACGACACATTGGGATTGGGATGGGGCAACAGTCTTTTGGCTTTTATTTCTATTGCTTTTGTTCCTTTTTCTCTCGTCTTACTCAAATATGGGGCTCGGATTCGCACTAATCCAAGATTTCAGGCAAGTTTCTGAAGGAGGAAGCATTGTCTTATACTCATGGTGTTGTTGGGCGGTTTGGCATCTAAACGACTCGCGGAGTAAAAATTTGTTCTTATCAAATGAGTAAAAACCCTGATACAAGGACTCACCAAGTCTGAAAACTTTTTTTTTTCAAGTCTAAGGCCGGTCTAATTCCTGGTCTTCTATGTTCCATATACTGTTACATACATAGACTAATCATAATGTGAACTACTGTTTTCGATGGCTGTGGAATTACTATCGGCATGCTAGCAATAGCCAGGACCTGCCAGCGAAGTTGAGAACAGTTCGTGTTCAGCATCAAAAATCCAGACACAAGGACTTGCCTGAGTTTGCTGACAGCGCTAGAACGATGGCATAGAATCTGTCCTATCAATATAGCGCAATGAAAATTACTAATTTGATATAGTTACAGACCAGAATGTCATTCAGATTTCCCGTACATGTGTTCGTCCTCGCCAGCCACAAGACCATTTGCGGGCCAGAGTATGCAGATATAAAGAATTCATCTTACGATTTTCTAGCCCCTATAATCTTAGAATAACTATCCTATACCTAGGTATCACCCCGTAAAAACAGGCATTTCACTGGTTCCGCGGTCAGGATGAGGAACACGAAATTGGCTCTCCAATTCATCCATTCCATAGAGCCACTAGAATATAAGAATTTCAGCCTTCCCCCATCCTGATGGAATATAGGATCAATCAGTACATTTCAAAGACCACCTGGCCTTATATGTTACTCTACACCACGCTAAAGTTAGATATCAAGACATAACAGACTTCTGAAGATAACGGATGCCTCTTCTGGCGGAAGATCTGCAATCATAGCGGACATTTCTCTATGAAAGCTACACTTCGAATTATGAGTGGAAATATCACCGATTTATAAACTAAATCGGATGTTATCTACGAAGAGCTAAAGGGTTCCGCAAAATCAAACGCCAAGATGAGCAACGCTGAGACAAAGCCTATTTTGATATGAGACGTGAAGTGAAGACAGAGATGATAATGAGGATGCAAGATGAAAAGGAGGAACAGGAGAGAGCACTTGAACAAATCGAAGATTGCTATAAGAGACTAGACCATGGTACATATAGTCCATACTTGTATAGCATATGAATGCTAATCTAAAAGTTTTGAATGCTCCGCACATGTGAATGTGAAATGCTTTCTCCAAAAGCACTTTAACTAGTATACATCACACGCAATAATGATACATAAAAATAGTGTACGTGTGGGTTGGCTTATAAAGCCAATAAAACAACGTACGTATGTCTGTACATGCGCTTCAGGTGGTACTCCAAGTACTATGGTCAAATGTATTCAATCGTCTGTCTTCTCTTAATGAGGCCCCGACGCGGTCTATATAGACCTTGCTTGACAAGGTCACGTGTACGTTCACGTGACCTCTCCTTGGTGTTGAGGATTAGGTAAGCTAAACCTAATCAAGGAAAGCCTAAAACATGATACAAGGAAAATTCGAGAATTGAAGACACAAGATTGAGCCTACGAATCAGTTTTACAACTTTATATCGAGAATCTTCTATTTGAGGTTGTCTGGATATCTTCTAGATGGGATTCTCAAGCATAAATAGTGTCCAACAATCCCCTTAAGATGTAGATAGAAGAGAGTGCGCAGAATTAGGTCAATATCAATAATAGATGAAAGTGGTGAAAACGAAGCATATTGGGAGGAAGTGCCAGGGAATGCAATTTTAGGTAGACCAGGATTCCGAGACTGAAAGACCGTATAATACAGAGTTTTCGGGGCCCTAATTGGCATTATGCTACAATTTTTCTATGGCATGAGAAATTTGACTGTTCCTAAATCGAATATACAGTAATCTACATTATGAAAAATGCTGGTTTACTGTAAAGAAATTGGTGAATGGATCGTATAGACTCAGAGGATTAATACCATCCAGTAATAGTGATCAGTGACCAGCTGCTTGTAAGTATTGATAAGGAGATGATTTTAGCACCATTGCTAACGCTCATTTTCTCTTAAAGAAAATAACAACTATCTAGTGCACACGATACTGATAGTTAATATACAATGCCCCAGCCAGCTCTATCAGTACAACCCTGCCAGAGACATATTTCTCTCAAGCAACAATACTTGCAGGCGATCCCTAATATAGACTGCCCCATATATAATAGAGGTAATGTTTTAGACCTTAGTTTTGCCTCACGCTCCCTAGCAATAGCAGGAGCAAAAGCCAGCATAGCAAGCCACCTAGACGTAACTTTAGACCATCGACTACTAATCACTACTGTACCCTGAGATTAGAGATACACAGAAACAGCCCAAAACTAAGATAATACATTAGATCACGCCTACTTCCTCTCACTCCTCATCTTTGGACTTACTAGTATCAGGAGCTCAGCCACAACAGAAGAAGACCTTGATACTCTCGCTGAAAAACTAATATCCGCAACCCAGGGTGCATATAGGGGCTCTGCTAAGAAGACGCTATCGCAAGGAATAGGATAACTATGGTAGAAAAATAACTACAAGAAAGCTTTGCACAATTATCCCTTAGATCTTTGCTTGAAGATAGACTTCCACCAGATAACTAGGTGATCTCAATAACAATTCTAGCAAGAAAAGCTTTCCGCAGTGACACAAATCAAGGATGCCTTTAACATGAGCAAATGGCATAAGTCTGTAGACTCCTTTAGAGCCCTTCACTGAAGGAGCCTCTAAGACTAGATATCCTCCCAGCAATAGCTGTACATAAGAAAAAAGACGTACTAATCCATAATTTTCTCCACAACTTGGCTGAAGCAGAAGATATACCTCTGGGCTCCCCAGCAGTCCCATCTACCAGTGTCTACTTTCTAGATATATTAATGATACAGGTGGAGAAGTCAGTACTACAGGTAGGGAATACAACCCCTGGTGTAGATGAAATTCCAATATGCATACTCAATGGCATGGCGCTTGATCATGGAGAAGGTATTGATGCTATATCAAGGGTGCCTAGGGATTGGTTATCACCCTAAATACTTTTAACACGCAGTTCTAGTAATTATTTAGAAATTAAAGAAGACTAATTAATCCCCCCCTAGATTATACAGACCGATTGCTCTTCTCTTAATTCTTAGTAAAGGATTTGAGCGCCTGCTAGCATAGAAAATGGCTTGATTTCTATACACTACAAAGTATTAGCAAGACAGCACTTTGGGGCTCTCCTATTAAGATCTGCAATTAATCTAGCCACATGCCTAAGATATGACATTGAGCAAGCACTAAATCAAGGCATGGCTGTTTCAATATTACAAGGGCGCCTTTGATGCTGTTCTTCCTGGTGGACTTATCCATAGATTATACGAGCAAGGCTGGCCTACCAATCTTGTTCTCTGGATCGCCTTCTTTGCCACTGGGTGATCAGTTCAGATCTAACTTAATGGAGAAACTAGTTCTTCAATTAACATCGCGTATGGTCTACCATAAGGCTCTCCAGTCTCTAGTATTCTTTTTATGCTCCTCTATTCCGTCTAGAAAACCCAAGGACTAGATTTGGCTATGTGGACAATGCAGCTGATCTGGCAATCTCTCTGTCTCTCGCCACTAACTGCTAAGCCTTATCAAACTCTCTTCAAGAAGCTCTGGACTGGGGCGCTGCTGAGAGCATTATATTTGTGCCAGATAAGTATGAGCTTCTTTATTTTTAACAACATAGAGTAGATCAGGACCTAGATTGTATACCTTCAGTAACAGCTAGATCGATAAAAAGCTTAGAAAATGCTAGACGCCCATATCTACACTGGCTAGGAATCCCCTCCTACCACCAGTTTGTGTTGCCAAATGATGATGATGATGATGATTCAGTACGCCCGGAGGGACTAACCATGTACTGTAATTCAGGCTATGGCGGAGCTAGGACAAAAGGAGACGGTATGTAATACTGCGATATGCGGTGTCCAGGAACAGGTAAGTGGCAATAATCACCTATAAGAATAATGATCTTGGACATAGCTAATGTACCCCCAATGTGATTATGTGTGGATTTTGTAAAACTGGAAATTTGACTCTTCATGCAAACAACCACATGCTCCCAGCTTGGGGACAGTATGGGCATATTTTGATTGGAACAGAATCCTTAATGTCTGGTCATGTTCGAAAGGACATTCACCTGGCCGATCGTGAGTTCTAAACTCAGCCATATTTAAGGAAATTGATAAACTCACTAAGCCCAATTGACGGTGATGGAAAATGCGATTTCCTTCTTATTGACAAGGAATCCAACTCAATTTATATGCTACGGAATGACACTCTCGAGAGACGGACACATTTTCTTTCACGGACATGGGAATCATTTCTGGGGGTATCAACTGTCAAGAGCATTACGGAGCAGGCCTATTTGATTTATCTGTTCGATTTGCGGATATCGACGGTACGTATCATCATTCACTCCCTCGCACCACTAAACGATTGATGTCGAGCTAATGTCTGCGACAGGTGATGGCAGGGCCGACTTCCTATACATAGGCCAAGAGGGGCAGTGAATGGCTGGCTGAATAAAGGACTTAGCAACTTTCAATCCATTGGGCTTATAAAGTCTAGTGAGGGAAAGGAGCGTGCCAACCTCCGCTTCGCGGACATTAATGGAGATTGAGGGCCGCCCCTAAAAGTCAAAGTACAAACTAGCTGCCGATTTTCCTCAAGGGACGCGTGGATCTCCTTGCGTTAGGCCCAGTCTCTGGAGCTGCAGCTGCTTGGACAAACGGAGGATCAGGTGGCAGTGGTGGTGAGGCATTTAGCTGGTCGAGCCAGGGCACCGTATTCCCTGGAGGATATATGAGAGGGAAATGTGTTCATTTTGCAAAGTGAGTTCAGATAGACACTTCTGAAATGCTTTAGGTACTAACTATAATTAGTATCAACGGGTATGATCGCACTGATTATGTGTGTGTCGAGCCCAACCTTGCCCGTGGGGATGTTACTTACAATGTGTGTGCATGAGATGGGAACAATAAGAAAACGAAGTGTCGAGGTATCTGTCGGATTGGTAGGTTTATTCCAGGCCAATCCTGAATAATGGTCTACTGGGATGAGAAAAGAATGAGTGACTAGCAAGATTGTGTGTATTCAGTTGTCTATCTCTCTGTCTGTTCCAATACATCAGGTTTTAATGCCAGGTCTTTAGAGACATTTTGCGGGGTGATTTGTGAGTCATCAAGAGGGGTAAATTTTGAGGGCTATAAGATAGAGCTTCTGATTGTTCACTTCGTTTTACTGCTTCCGGACATCCGAGTTATCTGACAGATTGATTGATTGATTGATTGATTCATACACGCATCTAAGCCTAGTGGCCGGCGGCGCATTCTAATTAGGCAGCGGGCGTACTACCATACAAAAGCATAAATCAACGTCGACGTGCTTCCGGCTTGACGCTGGCTCAGCCAACACCACGCGAAAATCTCGACACATATCCGTATCCAGATCCAAAGAATACCAACAGCAGATAACGAGTGAACAGAACGCTGAAACAACAAAGGAAATGTGTATACGTACATATACAAAAAGAGTGAAGGATCTAGGTGCGGAATGATGTGATATGCTTTGGTGTCCGGTTCTATTCTAAACGTGTCAAGTGGCTGATCCGTACGAGCGAATCAGCGTGGTTACTCTTCATCTAGATAGTGTCGCACTTACTGTGAGCGCGTGGTTATTAGGGGATTGCGTGACGGAACTGCGTCAATAGACCAGTCCACATCATGAATTCGATACTCTGCCGAACCCACTAGGGTTCGCTGAGGAGCTTCCGATAGCCTGTCTCACGTGCTTCTTTCCAGAGAGTCTCCATACGCAGGTTTATATGGATAGGGCACCGTACGAGGACGTGGGCCGTATCCTGATCTCCAAGGCCACATTAGTATTGAGGTGAGTCCTCGATCCGTACGCTCGCTAGGAAGCTGCGTAGCGCTGATTTACCTGTTTGTAGTTGGATCAACACCGAACTCCAAGCCCGTCGTAATCCCTCGTGCAGCTGCAACAACCTCTTCGTTGGCGCTCTGATTATCCGATAGAGATGCCGCCCATGCTCGGCGTGCTCCCATTGATCCTTCCACCACATTGCGAAGCCTGCGCGTAGCCTCTGGTGACACACTGCAACGAGGATAGTTGACTGATTTGGAATATACAACATTCGTGCGGCGCGTGGTGTAGTCTTGTTGGGTGCATGGAACCTGGCTACACGGGTGTTCTCCTGTGTACGCCGTGTCGCCCCAACTGCGGCCAACTTTGCAAGTTGGTCTGCTTTCTCGTTGCCTGGGACCCCTTCATGGCCTGGCACCCACTGTAGTCGTACACGCCATAGAGATCGGTTGTCGCGTAGGAGGCCCAGGTGTCGTACGATCCGTCGAAGGATATACTACCCGGAAGACCTCCCTGGCTGGCACGTGGCGCCTATCGCGGCTTGATTATCAGTGTAGATCGTGGCTTCGTGTAGGTTGTCATCGCGTGGCTGACTTCGGAGTAGGATTTCCAATGCCGCGTCGATTCCCTCCAGTTCCCCTGCGTAAACAGTATGTGTGTCAGATGAGCCTACTGGCTTGTAAGCCTGTCCTATTGATGAGTAGACCGCTGCCCCAATCCCATTGTCAAAGCCGCTTCCGTAGGTAAAGAACTGTATTGTTGTATCTGCTCTTGAGGTTGCTTCAATAGCCTTGATAGCCTCCTCACGGGTGTCGTCAATCCTTGCTTCTGGTGGTTCCCACCGCGGTGGCACTACAAAGGGGTAGATCGTCTCGATACGTTGGCTAGTATCACGTCCAAGTTTGCAGTTGATGGCTGTTTCCAGTCGATGAAGTGGCGACGCGTATGGGTCGTTACGGTGGGCTTGGCCACGTACGTGGCAAAGCGTAGATCGAAGCGGCGAGGTCATGATCCGCAGGCAGGCCTCCTCAGCCAGCTTTGCAAGTGTGAGCTCTGCAGGTGGCACATGGAGGCAGACCTCTAGGGCCTGTCGTGACGTACGTTTAAAAGTGCCAGATATCTGGTGAAGAGCCTGATCCTGGATCGATCGGATGGCTTGCTCCGCGGCCCGCTGCGCACCAGCGAAGCCTCTTCCACCTCTTATATACCATGTGGAGCATGTGTACATGATCTGTGGTTGTTGTGAGAAGACTTATAAAATCAGATACCGCACACTTCAGGTAGAATTGTTTGTGCTAGGAGGAGAGAAAGTGGTTTGTCTTCTGAGGATGTTTGTTTGAGTTCGTCAGTGAATCGTCACCAAGTCTGCATATTAGATTTGTTTCAGGTCCTGTGGGCAATCGTGCCTTTTCATGTTTTTCAATTTGGAATACTTTCTGATGGAGTGAAACTCAAGATGCCATCAAACGTGTTGGATTTACCAGGGTTTATTTTACCTTGCTGCGCTGTGCACTTCACCAATAATATCTAACAAAATGCGTGGCTAGAACGCGCCTTTGTCGCAAAATCACGTGCAGATAGAATAGGGTTGGGGTTATGGTGTATGCACTGGACTTTGTTATACAAAGCACATTTTGTCGGATTGCTGGGTTAACTTCAGGCCAATCCTGAATAGCAGTTTTACGAGGAAGCGGAGAAAGAGGTGACTAGCAAGATTGTATGTGTTGTCTTCTCTCTATCAGGTTCTAAAGCTCCGTTTTATTAACATCTTTGGTGGGGTGATGTGAGCTATCATGAGGGGTAAACATTGGGCTGAAATCTAGGTGCCCAGATATATGCCCCAAGGTGCCTTGTTAGACCTGTAAACGTTGGATCTCTCTGCCTCGTTTGTAATCCGGATTATCTGACACATTCCTTCCTATTGAGAGATTACTATTTTGCAAAAGGAGGGTGTACTAACCCCTTGATAGTGGACTTGTCAATAACTGCAGCCCATTACAAAAGCCGTAGGATAATTATATATTTCGTTTAAGTACGAGATACGAATGGTAGATGTCCGACCCGAATCTGACTTGACTTTTGAGCTTTGAAATTGGCTTAAGAACATGTTGTTCTATACAGGTAATATAGAGTCATGGATATAAGGAAGATGTTGTGCTAACATTAAATGTCCTTTAGGCGAACAGTCAGCCGCATAGCTCCACCGCTGAGTGAGAATGTCATATTCCCCTATTTGGACTTTTTGATCCTCCATGTTTTGCCTCTGCTTACATAGCAATAAAACCCTATTTACAGGACAGCCGGAAAGAATTGTCTCAACTCCACGTAACCTATATGACTCTGGTAAAGTGGGCAAGGACAAATCCCACGGGGTAGGCGAGCTCGTAAGCGAAAAGATATTGTCAAGAGGATTAATGTCTTGGTAGTAGTCTCTTTCTTCGATTTCCATCACTTTTCGCGCAACGGCTGCCATTATAGATGAATCCCAGAAGCCCTCACGATGATGACTAGACTGAAGGAAGCGAACAGCCTGAAGCCTGATTCTGTGGATACGGCATTTCACAGCCGTATAGTATAGAGCTGTAATCCATCCCTTGTCTGTAATTGAGTTGGACATGTTCAAGAACTGGCCTGGCGGTAACTTAGGCCGGTGAGGATTCGTGCTGAGAGTGTAGTTCCATAGATCCACGGCGTGGTTTATCAGCCGTAAAAAGCTGTCGGTGTGAGCGTCAAATACCATTTCATTTCTGGGTGACAGGCATACATCAGTCATAATTGTGAGCGTTTGATGATGTAAAAGAAGTAGCCCAGAAAACTTCTTCTCCCAGGGTGATATGTAACGTTGTATAAGCGGTGATGATAAAGATTTATAAGCTTTCAACCATGAAGAGAGTGCGGTTTGAATCTGTTGCTGGTCTGCTCTTAGCAAAGGGGGAGGGGAACGTAGAGCTTGACACTCGGTCTCGGATTCAAGCACTCGATTGTTCAGATGTATTATTTGCTCCAATATTTTGTCTAGATGATTCCAAGCTTCTTTGACTGAGAAGAACTTTTGTATCGATGGTATTGGACTAGGACTCGGGAGAAGGGGTTCGCAGGTAACTCGTTTCATGATATTGTGAACTTCTACCTGGCCATGAAGTCTCATAAAGGCTTCCGCAATCCAACTGTCTGTTGACTCAGCCACCCGTGTGGAATGTAGCCTATCATCCCTGTTCGAGAAAGATCTCAACTTTCTCACAAGATACACCCCATTTTTGACATGTATCCGCGCTGTTTCAAAGTGACCCCGAAGAAGGTCTAATGTGGTAAGGATAATGCATGTTATTAGGACGATGCGCAAAGATGCCTGGGTATTGGCCGACAAATGGTGTTGAAGATGGTTGATGGATCTAGCAAAATATCGTAGAGGAACTTGATCCACTTGACCAGTGGTTTCTTTTTTCAAACGTGTATCCATAACATCTAGGCTGCCTCTCCGGTGAACATAGCTTACAGCCAAGACTGCATGCCGGACTGCTAACTCGTTGATACTAGCTTGCAATATAAGCTTAGACCAGAATTCTGAGTCGAATGATCCCTTTAGCTTCACCGAAGTGCGGCACGCAAACCAATGAAAACATTCCTTATCCTCTCGACTGGCCACAAAGAAGGAAACATATCCCGGTCGAGGTAGGACTGTATTGCAGGGCTCATTGGAAGATGACGAAGTCGAAGCTATGATAGCTCGATCACGGCTATCCCGGTGTGTTTGATTGCCTCCGCCTCCCCATACTCCATATCCATCACAAATGCGCCCAGTAGATGAGCACCGGTGACAAACAGGGTATTTTTCGTCGCATTTCACTTTACGGATCCTGATATTGCATATTGCATGAGGCTTAAGTTGCGGAGAGGTTTTAGAAATCCACTTACTTGCAAGTGCGACAGCCTGTCCGGACCTTACTTTTTCCCATTACAGAGCTGCTCCTTAGTATAAACAGTCCAGCACATAGGAAGAATCCAAGAATGAAAGGAAGGGAATGCAAGAAACTGCGAACTGACAGAAATTCAGCTCATTACTTTCGTGATGGTGGGTCCATAGTCATATTTTATTGGCGAGCTCGGACCGGCTACGCACTCATTGGTTCAACATCTGAGTCAGCATCTCGGACTTTGTGCACGCAGATTGGGTGCATTGACTTTAAAGTCACCCCTTCCATATTCGGTAATTTTCATTTTCTGAGCTCCTCACAGGCAGCTGTGTCAGAAATGCCTACATAAAGGAAGACCTTGACCATCAAAGTGGTATCGAGAATATCACAAGCATTAAAGTAGATTTATCGAAACAGCAAACATGCCTAGCAAACTCCACCCGCTCGGAAAGAATGGTCCTCTTGTACCAGCCCTAGGGTTTGGTTTAATGGGAATGTCCCAACCTCACTATGGAGTACTTCCAAGTGACGAAGGACGTTTTGCCCTGCTGGATCGAGCGGTCGAAATAGGTGCAACCTTTTGGGACACTGCCGAGTGAGTTCAACGTCCTTCCTTTGGTTTCATTTGATACACCAGCCCTAATGTGTTCTTGTTTAAGCCAATATGGTGATAACGAAGAACTACTTGGTAAATGGTTCAAGCAAACTGGGAAAAGACAAGAGATCTTCCTTGCAACAAAATTTGGTTATGTTCAGCACAGCAAAGCATACGAGACAGATAGTTCGGCAGCGTACTGCAAGGAATCCTGTGCGAAGAGTCTGGAGAGACTTGGCGTGGACACCATCGACTTGTGTAAGTTTGCTCTTTCTGTTATATCAATGAGCGAATTTATTCATGAATCTTCTGCCCTCAACACTTCCAAGTGCTAATAACATCTTCCAGACTACCTGCACAGTGCCAATTTCGAGACACCAATTGAAGAAACCATGCGTGCCTTGGTTGAGCTTCAAGCGTGAGCCTTTTCAAAATCTTTCACCGAAAGTTAACTAATCGTTGGCGTACAGAGAAGGCAAAATCAAACACATCGGCTTGTCCATGATTTCCTCGACCACCCTCCGCCGAGCATGTAAGGTTGCACCCGTTGCCGCCGTACAAACAGAATACTCGGTATTCTCCCGCGAAATTGAGGGCACCGCTGGCACCGACCTCCTAGCTGCCTGCCGCGAACTCGGCGTCGCAGTAGTCGTTGCAACACCTCTAGGACGAGGCCTGATCACAGACGCCTTCAGCAAAGGCGAAGCAATCGCCGATGGTCCAGACATCAGACCAGTCGCCATCCCTCGATTTATGGCGGAAAATGCGCCCACAAATACGGCAACTGTCAATCAATTCAAAGCATTTGCTGACAAGAAAGGTTGCACGGTTGCTCAGCTTGCTCTTGCATGGTTGCTGAAGCGTGGGGAGGATATTTTCCCGATTCCGGGTACAAAGAAGATCAAGTATCTTGAAGAGAATTGGGCGGCTCAAGATGTTTCTCTTTCGGATGAGGAGGAAGCTGAGATTGATAGTTTTCTTGAGTCTGCTACTATCGTTGGTGGCACTGTGCCGCCTCAGTTTGCGTCTTATATTTTCAAGGACACTAAAGAGTAGTCTGCCTGAGATTGGTTATGTGGAGCTTTATCATGTATCCAGTGGGCAGACTGATATGATAATGCTCTATAGCCTGTTAGTGAACTTGATTATTGAGATTTCAAATGACATAGCATCTGATATTATTATATAATGTCTACGTGGTTATACAGAAGCTTTGAACAGCCCAATCGGAAAGATTGAATACCCAATACCGTGCCAATCATGATGCATCGCAGATAGTCTACTCTATCCTCTTCCTATGCACATCAATCTTCTTGCTGTCTTTGACTCCTTGCTTGTATGCGTTCAAGTCCTATATCTTTCTACTACGAGCTAACCGGCTATGAAGCTTCACGCCTTTGCCTTTGAGATACTCTTCTGCGATCTTGCCAGCTGTGGCGTGGAAGGCAATAAATTGCATGTGTGAGGTCCATTTAGACTCTGGCTCCAGTTCCAGATGTTTTGGTTTCGTATCGGTAAGATGAGCTGGCGTTAGCTCTCGCTGCGGCAGTGAAGAATGCATAGTAGTCTGAGGACATGGTGAGGGGTGTGACGACGAATGCACTCCAAATAGAATTTCGAATGACGGCTTGCTAAACTTGCTTATCTCTTCGTCTAAGTCTTCGAAGGGATTCAAATTGTCTTCATTTGTCAGTTCGAAGTCGAGCTCGATGTCATCCTCGCCACTATCTCTATTTTGCTCATCTAAAGAGCTGAGAGCGTCGAAGACGTCGACGTCTTCCATTGTCTCCGAACTCGAAGATGTCCCATCAATGGGATCCATCAGACGTTGGGGTAAAGCGTGGCACCCGTCAATTTCAATGCTGCTATTAGCATAATTTGCTATTCTGGGGAAAAAGGGCTGTTTTCTGAATCCCGGATAGCGGGGCTAAACGGTCTCACTGCGTCTGTCTCTTATCTTCCTCATGCTTCACCCTGGCCGCGGTAGCTTCACTCTGCGCTTGCTTTGCATGAAACTCTTCACTGGTCTTTCCTTCCTTAGCCATCCTGTACAACTCTTCAGAAACACCAAAACAGTAGCTATTCTGCAGGCTTGTAGCTAAGTGTCTCAGGCGAGGCACTTTGAGGCGGAATGTAAAAGGCCACCATCATAGTAACTGCTTACGATTGCATGTCCTAAAATGTGTTGTCGAAATGTCTTTTCCCTAACAAGTATTATACAGAGACACTCAGTTGGCCTACTGCTTTCACGGGCTGCAAAAATAATAAAATCAAATACCTTTCGTCACATGTTACTTGGATAACCGTCTCCAGTTTCGCTGACCTCATCACTCCTCATCTTCACTTATTTGGATCTGATCTCCATGTTGGTCGAGTACTCGTAGTAGGAGTGAGACTGCTGTGCCACCGAACAGCTGCAGAATGGTGGATATTAAATTTTCAGTTAACCGGACCTGGTCTCCATGACGGTGAAGTAGCAGTGGGCGGCGGGCTTTGGCGAGGTCTCTCTTTTTCTTTCGCGCTCCGCGGCTTATTAACACTCCATTGGTCTCTTAAGGATCTTGTGGTTTGCCTAGCAAGTCGTCGTTGTAAGCTTATATTATGGTGCTAGTCTTCAAGAAAACTGGAAAACACCTACTATCAAATGCGACTCAAACTTGTAAAGGGTACGGACCGTTCCGTCTGACGTCATTACTAATCCGTTTCGGTGCAGGTATCCACCCAACAAGTGGAGCAATTAAAAGGCATCCAGTAGCGATCACTTACTATCCCGACTAGTGCCTTCCGAGCATTACTCCGTATTCAGGGTCTTCATTGAATGGATGATGTTGGATTAGCTAAGCTGATTCAACCAATCAGATAGAGGAGATTTGTCAGCCAATAATAGCGAGCCACACACGGATCCACCGAATAGGGGGTAAAAGATATCTTCCACCTGGACTGTACTTAGAGACAAGAACAAGAACAACAAGGATCAAGGATTCCCACATCTTGTGCATACATAATTTGATACGTTGAGATAAACCGCTAGAGATTGTTACATACAATCTAACAGATGAGGCCTACAGGGACTAACCAGAAGCAGCTGCGCGCAAGCCATTATCGGCTAGCGTAAGGCTTTCGCAGCAACAACCCTAGGGTAATGACTGGGCAGTGGGCTTCATGTGGTTGGTTCAAGACCTGAGTTAACTAACTAACCTAGATCTTGTTATTTGCCTATATTCCATATTCATACTAGCGTCACCGAGCCCTAACACAGTATGATCGTCACATGTGGCAACCCTAATAAAACAACCCTCATTGAAGTTTATATATTCTATATTCGGTAGCCAGTCAAGCATTTTCAGCTGACCGCCTAAAGGATTCAAATCCTTGTAAGGCCCGCCGTCCTACCGTAGTACATCCATACATAGAAAGGCAGTATGTTGGGTGGCGCTCTGGGCAACTCCAATTCGTGGATTGTGTCTGTCCAGGAATCTTAGCACGCTAACCTCTAAGCCAACGCTACTCTTCCGAGCCAATCAGATTCCAATCTCCCACTTGTGCAACCACTGCAGCGAGACTCGACAAAATTCTGAAGCGTCTTTTAAGGGCTGATATCTGGTGCCTGGCTCAGCCTCGTCGCAGACATGCGCCCGGGTACAAGGAACAACATCAGGCCGACAAGATCTCAAAAACTTCGACAACGTGATTATTCATGTGCGTCTCAACGTCCTTGACATGATGTTTCTCTGGACATGGATGTCGCGATTTGCCGTGGCGGTCGGGCTGCTTGTGAGCGGTGGGAATTTCTCTTATTTTTTCGACTCAAGTCTCAGAACTGACCTATTTACTTAGCATTGGCCCAGCTTTGCACCCCAGAATATGGATACGAAGGGTACGCCTACATAGTAAACGACCAGTCGGATCTGGATGCAATTGCAGCAAACTGTACGACTGTCAACGGGACCATTATCATGTCTGCCAACTACACCGGTGGCTTCAACCTGTCCAACATCCGAAACATTACAGAAAACATCCAGTGGTTCCAAGCGAACCGTTCTGATGTTCGTCCCCAAACTACCTCAATATATTTACCCGATCTCAAGTACCTAGGTGGAACTTTGGATATGCCTGGCATTCCAACCTTGACGAGCCTCATTGCACCAAAGCTGGCAACGGTGGGTTGGAGTCTGAGCATTGATTACGTTCAGGAGGTAGATCTGCGATCATTGGTCGATTTAGAGTATCTGAGTATTACTGGCAATGTTTCCAGGTGAATTCAACTTATCAATATACCACCGTGACCGACTTGGGAGACTGACGATGAATGATGGGTAATAGCTTACGCCTCGACTCCTTGCGACAGGTTCGCGAAAGTATCCTTATCTGCAACAAAGTCAGTTGCAATTCGAAAATTTCACCCAATGGCTCTTTGGATCTTTACCTCCCTGCGCTTCAGAGTGCAGGCAACATGGATCTGGAGGGAAGATTCTCTAGGTGATACTCTTCACTAGCTCCAAAGCAATAGCTGACCCTATGATGCTGATGGTAATGATGTAGTTTTGACACGCCGAACCTCACAAACATCACTGGACTCGGAGCACTCTATTATAGTATCAAGCTCCTCACATCCGGAGGATCGGCGATTAACATATCCTTCCCTGAACTGAAATATATTCCAGGAGGAGCTGTAGATTTCGAAGGAAATATTGGAAGGTAGCATTCTTGACCTATTTCCAATGCGGGAGCCATATTCTTATATAGCCTCAGTTTATCGATACCCGACATAAGCAATATGAGCGCCTTGTTTACTGTCGATGCTTACGACCGGTTGGACATCAACTTGCCTTTCCAGGAAGCGGCATATATAACACTAACAGGCAATATCACGAGGTACGTCGCGGTCGTTATTATGATGCGCCAAAACACTATACTAACAGGATCTTTACAGTGTCCGACTCCCAAATTTAACGTCAATCGAGCAATTCACAGTTAACTCAGATGCTGACATCGACTGTAAATCCTTGGAGCAGACAATAACGACTGCGACAAATAAGTCGGAGCCCTTGGTGATCTGCTCGACCAGTTGGACCAGTTCGGGCTCGCATTTTAGTCTTCATCTTCATCTTGGTGCCAAAGTCGCATTTGGCGTCTTTATTGGCATTTTTGTTGAATTCGCCATGTCGTAAAGTGGTAGCCCTCTTTTAACTGAATAATCAATTAGAATTTCAAATAACTAGCTTTCGAGAGATGAGCAGGTGAACAGTGTTCACTTGATCGAGCTTTCAGAAGCAAACAACATGAAGTTTAATAATACTCCCGAGGGATTATCATTAAGTACATGAAAATTTTCCCAGACCCGCTTAATTTTGATGGTTGAAGTGAAAATGGTACCTGAGTCCCTAACCTTTGAGTTGTTCTCGATCCAGCAGATTCCATCAGGTCCTTTTGCTCAACAGCCGTTTATATATATGATGGATGCAGACACGGTTTAAGTTATAGACTACAAGTCAAGCCATATTCTACTTGCTATGTTGATGCGATGAGAAATTTCCCCAAGGAGTGAAGTTTATAGCATATCCTACATGTACAGTATTTAGTGGTCGTTCCTCTGATTGGCTGAGCATCAAAACGGATGAAAATATGATTGAAAATAAAAGTGATGAATGTTGTAAACCAGAGGAAAGCCACTTGTTCTTCACGTGTCTGCGATTGCTATCTGTCGAAAGTTGCGGCTTTTGCTGTCCATATGATCTTTGTGTCGTTGTGAAGCTTGAAAAAGAATGCAACGTCTAGGTCAACATGACTCCTAAGTACTCTTTTGTTAATCTTTATATTGGTAGGTCCTTACGGTTGACTAGAAGAGTCTGTCTCGAAGTAGATTGGCTGCGGTGACGATCATGGTAAGGCATATGATTCCCAACGCTCGGAATGTCCAACGAAGGCCGATTCTCTCAAGCATAAAACCTGTGATGATGGAGTAGGTCAACCCGCCAAAACCCGACCTTGTCGTAGTAATGCCATTTGCAAGGCTGCGTTTGCGTCGAAACCATTGAGCAAGGATACCACTAGTTCCAACGAAAAGAAATCCCATTCCCAGACCAAAACACAGAGCTTGACTGAGGGAGATGCCATATTTTGGTTGCAAACGAGGCGCCGATCAGAGAGACAAATTGAAACAGTGCGCCGATATTACGGGTTGCTCGAGTACCGAGTCTACCCATGACTGCAGTCGCTAGAGGTGCAACCAACAGTGCGCAAGACATGCTGAGACCGCCAACAAAGGCATATTCCAGACTACTTGTGCCAGGGAATAGATCATGGCTTAGGTAGTATGCAATAAATACGCTGAAGGACGTTTTAGTCAACCAGAAATGAGCAACAGAAGACGCAATTAAAGCAGAAGCTAGGGCAATAATCAGATTGATTGTCATATGCAAAGATATTCTTACACTATTGATCCCCCATGTATGAGCGTTGATCCAAAACGTAGACGCAACGCACATCCATCCATAGTCACCCTCGGGAGGAACATCGTGCTCATGTGGGCTGATTTGCGGCGGCGAGTCGTGCGACTGGGATGGAGGAGTGGTAGGCTGATTGTCCGAGTTCATATTTTTCGATCGCTTGGCCAAATATGACGGAGCGCCGAGTTGCAAGAGGAAGAAAGAATCGTGGTATAATTTGTCTATATTAAACTTAGGTTTTGGTAGTGATCCAATAATAAGGATGGACCCTAATTGGACCTCGTGGGCTTCCTAATTCCTATGTAGTACAAATAAGACTGGGAGTTCATGATAATATTTCAGCCAGCTAATTTAGATTCTGCCATGCTAGAAATGTTCTAAAATCAAATCGTAGTATATTAAGGGCTTGAGACAAAAAAAAATTGTGATATGCATGGAAGATAGTATCATTATGATAGTTAATCAACAAAAACTAAGCCTGAAGCCAATCAGGAATAAAGCCTACAATACATTTAGCCGAATGCATGGTATTAGTATAGTATTGTCAGAAACTCTCAGTGAATGGCAATATAAGTGGCGAGCAAGGATTTTCTTCAAGTAGTTGTTGGGATTATTCTATTTAGAGCTGGAATAGTCTAGACCGACACTGCCTTTACTCCTATGTATTGATGGCTCCCTCTTCCACTCTTATTTTTACTTTGTATTACTGTACTTACCTCTCAGTAAGTATTTAACAAAAGAATCAGAATCGAAAAGATGGCCGTTAAGGCTAATCGCACCATTATAGCGTACGTCTATCTGGGTTACTTGGTACCGCCATGGTCGACCAACCGCGATAATACCTTCAAATCGCTATATATATTGATGTTTCCATTATTTTTTTTTACCAGGTTCAACGGTGCAATCGAGACTCGTATTTTCACCGAACTTACCAATCCCCCGCGCGCCTTCGCCTTCGAAGTCATATTCTACCCTCGTTTCTGGCCCGCTGCTCTCCTCACTAAGAAACCGCCTATGCGCTTCCACCAATTCCAAGAGGAATATATACAGGTCCTAGAAGGTTTTCTCTACGTAGAACAGGGCAGCGAAGTTCGTACCCTGACTGCAACCGATGGCGAGACCTGCATCAAACCCTGGGTGAATCATCGCTTGTATCCTCCCGCTACCTCCGCGGAAGATGGCGAAGGATATCCAATCCGGTTTCTGATATCGGGCCAAGAGACGGACAAGGCTTTTAGGCTAGATACAATTTTCTTTGAGAATTGGTATGGGTATCAGGACGAGATTATTCTGACGGGCAAACAACTCAACTTGGTTCAGGTTCTGACGGTGCTATTCTTCCCCCACCCCACTATGGTCCTTTCTGCAAATAACTAATGGAATGGCTAGATGTTTGATGCTGGAGGCTCCTATCTCTCCTTACCGTGGTGGGTTCCGTTTGGAGGCACGCTGTCCATGTCAATGGATATCTTGGTAGGTCGCTGCATCGGCCTGCTCCCTTGGATATCAGCTGTACTGTCCTAAATGGATCTCGGACTGGGATTTGGCGTGCGAGAAGATAAGAAAAAGCTTCTTTCAACGTCGGTTTATCATGAAGAAAAAGAGCTGATCTTCTCTGTTCTACCTACTGGGCCTTTCGTCTTGATTACTAACCATCATCATGTTCTTACTACATTTTTAAAGAGTAGTATCAATGAAATGAATTGCAATCTGATTCTAATTCATTCGGAATCTTCCATGCTAAAAAGAACAGATGAAAATCATAACCAAGGTTAAAGAATAGTTATCAAAGAGGAAATTCAAATAGCAATAACAGTATCCTCCACGTCTATTCCCGTCCACTGTAAGGTCTTGGTCCACAAAGCCTCCTGTTTCATCTCATCTTTACTCTCCACCGAACTTTCATCCTTCTTTCGCATCGTAAAATATCCCTCCGCATGTGCATACTCCTTCCCAACTGCCAGCTCGATCACATCCACTCCAGCATCTTTTGCAGTCCGCATAGTTGGATCCACCATTATCCGCAACAACGGGCTCAAGGGTTTGATGATCACCCGCGACATAACCCGAAGGCTGGTTGGCGTATTCGAGCGCAATGCTCGCGAGTCACCGAGGTTCCCCGGGTTAACTGCGATGGCGGTGATGCCCTCCTTCAACTGACGGTGGTTGTTGTCGCCGGCTACGTTTGTTGTGGCGATGTATAGGCGACGATTGAGCGCGTACATCCAGGCGACGATGGCGAGTTTGGAATTAGCATAGCGTTGGAACCCGTAGCCCATGGGATCATTCTTTGTCTTGGTCTCTGGATAAATGAGGATGTCGAAGTCACCTTGGTCGTTCTGCCCATTCACCTCCGGTAAAGCCGGAGGATACTTTTCAAGCGAATTCTTACCGGGGTAGTGAGCATCACTGGCCAAAACGAGGATTCGGGCATTAGCGGTACAGGAGCCTAGTAGACGCAGAATGAGCGCCGCATGGGCAAGATGATTGATCTGGAAGGTCTTCTCAAACCCATCGCTAGTTAGTTCGGGCAGGCTAGCTAGGTTCCAGTAAAAGGCGTTGCATATAATGCTGGCCAATGCAGGAACAGCGCCCGAGGCAATCTCTGCGGCCAACGAATTGGCAAAGCTGTGGACAGAGGACAGGTCGGCTAGGTCAAGAGACCGGAGAGACACACGGTCCTTGAATGGGGCAATAATTTCAAGTAGACGACGAGTATTTGGATCCGAGGCAGAAGTATTACGCACCGCTAAGATGGCGGATATAGTAGGATAGGTGGATAAAAGATGTTGGATGGCTGGCATGGCGAGCGAGCCATTTGCGCCTGCCAAGAGCACGGAGCTGGCCATGACAATTTCTTTAGCTTGGTGCCTTGCTTGGAGGTACTATAAATCAAGACGAATCCTAAACGTCAACACTGGTGATCTTGGATTGTCCAAGGTCTCTGATATTTAAAAATAATGATAATTGTTGGTTTTACTACGGTCCGTATCACGAAGCATAGACGGTAGTAAGGTGTGAGCACGAAGCGGCCTAACGAGCCTGACAATATGAAGCTATCTTGATTCCTAATATTGTGACTGATCCCCAAGAGCGAGGGGGGGTGTGTGTGTGTGTGTGTGTGTGTATATTTAACGGCCGTGGTTCGTGACTCGCACGCTTCCCACCGATCCCTACTGGGACATAGGCCGCCGAGGGGTAAGCCTCGGGTTTCAGGTCCTATCAGATTTATATACAAATAAGAGACTCTTTGGCGCATTTCTATAGCTGCCGTGGTCTTACAGGGAGGTCCACTTTGAGTGGGTTTTAGGTATTTGCTAGCTACAATAGTCCGCCTACACTCTATGACCTATTACTCCACCACTATTATAACTGAACAGTAAGTTTTGCAGAGAGGGAAAGAAAGAAGAGAAGAGAAAGAAAGAAGGAGAAGAGAAATATAAAGGAAGAGTAGGGCTGTCTTAGCTAGGTGCTAAGAAGAGATTGGCGAGGGCAGATATCCTCAAAGAAGTGGGTCTCTGCTAGCCATGTGGCTAGCTTTTGTACTCCTTTAGCAGTGCCTAAGAGAAACAAGATGACCTTAGAAGGGGGCCTAGGAGACTAAGGGGCTCGTCTCTTAGCTATATAATAGAAGAAGAAGTGCAAAGGTGCTTTTCATGCTCTATATTGGCAGAGAAGATAAGCATTATCATGGTTGAAGTATTTATGGTAGTCTGCAAAGTCTCCATGACCAGTATGGGCTGCAATAACATGGCTGAGGTTAAGTTGGTTGAGTTGAAGCTCCCTAGGGCGCTTAGGGGAAGTGGTTATTTCTAGATCTTAATAGCTCTGTGGTGCCACCTTCTCCCATTATGACTGAGTAGCAGATAGGGATTGAGTCTTGGCGTATCTCTTTAGCGAGGCGTATGAGGATTTGTAAGGAGCAGGAGGGATTGAGGCAGCTCCCTCTTTAGCAGCGAGATCAGCCGCTTCGTTCTCAGGGATTTTAGCGTGTCCAGGGACCCATCGGATTTGGATAGATCTGCTTTTAGTGTGAGGAAGCCTTTTGCGAAGTAGCTAGGTAGCTGCAAGGGTGCAGAAGGATTCAAAGATTTCTTGGGAAGATCCTGTAGAGGGAGATAGAAGGTGTATAGCAACTTCTAGGTTGTCAAGGCAGATCTATAGGTTAGTAGTAAATTGAGCTGTTGGGTATGCTATTGCTGCTTAAGCGCCAGCTAGAGCTGCTTCTGCTTCTGCGTTGAAGACCTCTTTCCTATATCTGTATGAGAGTGAGGAGCGGAGGAACTGATGGTGTGCTTAAAGTCTAATATAGCTACCCCCTGCACGTCCGTCTGCTAGCCTAGATCCATCTGAAAAGATTACAATATCTAAGCTAGGGATAGTACGTTGAAAAGCTATGAAATTAGCCACTGCCTGTTCCTTAGTGCGTCCCATGGGAGCTCCTATTCGAGCTTGAGTATTCCCATGAGGCTCGCGAGGGTGCCAGGGAGCATATTGGAGAGGGTTTATCTATTCAGAGTTTGGAAGGGCCAGTGTATGGTGGGCAAATCAGCTGATTTGTCAGCTGTTACTAGCGATCTGTTCTGCGCGTCTTCAAAGTGGGTGATAAGAGTCGAGGTGCCGTAGGCGGACAGTTACAAGGAGGGCTATTCGATCTAGTTCGATTTCTAGTGGAGAGAATCCAGATTCTTGATAAAGGACTGGCTTTGGGGTTGTGCAGAAGACTGGAAGGACTGCTCTTACGCCTATTAGTATTACTTTAGTTAGTTTCGCAAGATGTTCTCTAACTTGGTTTGAAATCTAGGAAGATCCAGGGCGAGTACGTCCTGGCCACCAGATTTCTGCACTATAGTATACTTTATGAAGTACATAGACTGATATAGCCTACTATAGTAAATCAGGTTTGACTCCTCGAACAGTATTCTCTAGAGAGCGAAGAGCGTTGGCCACAGTGAGGGCTTTAGATGCTGTTTCTCTAATATGCCATTTAAACGTTAGCTTTTTGTCAAAGAGGATTCCTAGCCATCATAGATATAGCTATTTAGTGTTTTCTAATATTGTAATAGATCTAGCTTTCACTGAAGGTGTGTAGGTTGGGTCCTGGTATACTTTATATTGGGAGAAGTAAAGAAGCTTGTATTTATCTGATATAAATGTAATACCCTCTGCAGTGCCTCAATTAAGAGCTTCTTAAAGTGAGTCTGATAAGGCTTTGCAATTAGTAGTAAGAGATGTTGAGATTGCCAGGTTGGCTGCGTCGTCCGCGTAACCAAACCTGTTCCTTGGGTTTCCTAGACGGAATAGAGGCGCTATGTAGAGCATAAAAAGAATGCTAGATACTAGGGATCCTTGTGGAAGACCGCAGGCAATGTCTGTTGAGGGGCTGATCTCTCCATCGAGTCGGATCTGAACTGATCTTCCAGTAGCGAAGGAGGCAATCCAGAGAACGAGATTGATAGGCCAGCCCTGCTTGCGTAGTCTGTGGATCAGTCTGCCAGGAAGCACGGAATCAAAGGCGCCTTTGACATCTAGGGTAAGGAGTGAGGCAGTCATGCCTTGATTTAGCGCTTGTTCGACATTATGTATTAGGCATGTGGTCAGGTCAGTTATAGATCTTAGTAGGAGAGCCCCAAATTGTTGCCTTACTAATACATTATAGTGTATAGAGATCCATGCCATATTCTGTGCCACTAAGCGCTCCAGTCCTTTGCCAAGTACTGATAGGAGAGCAATTAGTCTATATAAACTAGGTGAAGACTAATCAGTCTTTTTTGGTTTCTAGATGATTGCTAAGATTGCATGTCGAAAGCATTTAGGATGATAACCAATCTTTAGGCACCCTTGATATAGCATTAGTATCTTATCTTTTATCAGAGGCCATGCTACTTTAAGTATGCAGGTTGGGATTTCATCTGCGCTAGGGGCTGTATTTCCTGCCTAAAGTACTGACTCCTCCACTTGTAGCATCGATATGTCTAGGAAGTAGAGACTAGTGGAAGGGACTATTGGGGAGTCCAGAGGTATGTCTCCTGCCTCTGCCGAGTTCTGGAGAAGATTGCGGACTAGTACATCTTGTTTCTTGTGTACAGTAACTGCTGGGAGGCTGTTAGGCCTTAGTAGATCTTTCAGAGGAGGGCTTCAGAAGATGCCTGTAGACTTATGTTATTTGCTCATGTCAAAAACATCCTTTATTTGTGTTACCATAGAGAGCTTCTCTCGCCAAAATTGTCGTTAAGACCATCTAGTTATCCTGTAGAAGTCTATCTTTAAGCAGAGGCCTAAGCGGTAATTATGTAAAGCTTTCTTATAGTCTTTGTTCTACCATAGTTATTCTATACCTTATGTCATGGTCCTCTTAGCAGAGCTTCTATATGCTCCTTGAATTGTAGATGTCAGTTTTTTAGTAAGGGCATCAAGATCTTCTTCTGTTGCGGCTGAGCTCTCGGTGCCAGCGAGATTAGAGGCGAGAAGTGAGAGGAAGGAGGTGTGGTCTAGTGTATTGAATCTCAGTTTCTGAGCTGTTTCCTTGTATCTCTGATCCCATAGTACAGTGGTGATTAGTGATTAATGATCTAAGATTGCATCTAAGTGGCTCGCTATGCTAGTTTTAGCTCCCGCGAGTGCCAGAGGGCTTGAGGCAAAACTAAGGTCTAACACGTTACCCCTTTCATGTGTGGGACAGTCTATGTCAGAGATGAGTACTAGACCCTGGAGGTCCAGCCAGTTAATAAATGGCTCTGCAGAAGGTGTGGGGCTGTGATGTAGCGAGGGCTGCCATCTGTTATGTAGTAGATTAAGATCGCCTGCAAGTATCGTTGCTTAAGGGAAATATGCCTCTGGCAGGGTTGTAAGAGCTTTTATAGCTTCACCTGCTCTGATGGAGCCTGCTGGGGCATTATAGATGTTAACTATTAGAGCAGACTTTCCTGTGGGCGAAAAAATCTGTAGGAATAGGAGATCCGAGGCCTCTTTGGTATCAGTTGTGAAGGGGCGCAGCTAGGAGGTCCGAATGCCCTTCTTCTTTTAAACATAGGTGAGGACTTGTGGTCGGCTACTTACCGCCCAACTGTCAGTTGGGGAGAAGCATTTATATGATGGGTGTTTTTTAGTAATCTATTGGCTAAGATCTTTGAATGTATATAGTTCTTGGATTAGGATAATATTAATGTTGCTAGTGTATGCCAATGTGAGAGCTATTTTGTGTGCATCTGGTGCGTGCCCTACATTTAACTGTAGGATTTTGAGAGGCGCCTTTTAAGTTGGATAGTGATAGATCATAGCTTCTATTCGAGAAGAGAGGCGAACCGGTTTTGTGATTGAGGGGTTGTAAAGTGGACTGCATGAGCTGTAATTGGAGGATCTTCAGTTGGGGCGCGAGGTGGGAGGGTTACTGAGCAGAAAGGAGAGATAATCTTATAGATTGGAGTCTGAGATGGCACCTCGTCTATTGCCATAGATGTTTCTTGTGTGCCTATGAAGAGCTGAGGGCTACATCCTCCTTCAGTTTGAGCTTTTGCAAGGTTTGTGGCGCAGGATTTGTGGATCTCTGTTTGTTGAGCTTTAGTATGTTTAGTATTGCCTTTAGGGCGCAGGAGGCATTCTGAGAAATCAGCTGGATGTGGTCTATGATAGTGTATGCATCTAGGAGGGCATTGATGAGATTCCAGGGCTGTGCAGCGATTGGCATGGCTCTTTTTAGTATGCTCTGAGGAGTCATATAACTGGCATCGAGAGGGGCGGGCATAGGATCTTGCATTATGCCATTTCCAGTATCATATGCATTGAATAACTGTTATTTTCTTAGGGAGGTGACAAGCATTGGTGATAGTATCAAAAAGACATAGTTAGATAGATAGTGGTGTTTTTATGCCTTCTGGGAAGTTTACAAACTAGCTTGAGGAGGGAGTATCAGGGTTGATAGTGCTTGAAGTAGTCTCACTAATAGATGTAGGCTTAAGCCCTGTAGTTTCGCTTATTTCTGAGGACAGAAGTGTAGGATTGACAGGGATTAGAGAGTATTAACTGTCCAAGATTTGGCCAACTTTCCTTGGCACATTGGTGACTTGGTACGAGACCCATTGGGAGCTGCGTTCTATCTAGCAGTTAACAAAGAATGCAGAGATAATCTCTTTTTAGGCCTTAAGGGTTAGGAGGGCTTCTGGGGATGAGAGACATAGTGCAAAACTAGTCTTTGTAGCTTGAACTTCTTTTAGTGCTGAACTGTTTGAGTTTAGTTGAGACCATAGGCTAGAGTAGATAGTGTAGGCTTCTATTTTTCTAGCTGTATGGTTAGCTGGGAGGCGTACAAAGAGCCGGTTGTCAGGAGGGGGTTGTTTCACTAGAGACATAGGCTTTTTAACATAGGCTTTGGAGTGAGTAGTAGGAGTTGATTTGACCGGGGCATATTGGGTAATAGTCGCATAAGTCGACTGTTCAAGACCTGAGAGGGGACGTGAGGGAGGGGGTGAAGGGGGTAAGGAATTTGGAGTAGGGGAAGGGGAAGGGGAAGGGGACAGGGCAGGTAGAATGGAGGTCATTGAGATACCGCTGATATAGGCGCTAAAATGTCGTTGGGCTACTGAGGCGAGGTCATCGCTTAGAGCGGTAAGGGCTCTCAGTAGGTGAGGGGCCAGGCCGGTAGTTTGGCTGCGGTGTTTATCGAGGAATGCAGCTATAGGGCTGAAGATCTTCTGTCCTTCAGAAGCTCTTGTCGTGGCTACGGACATTGATTCCAGTAGGGCTGTCTGTAGAGGGCCATCTGTACCAGGGCCTTTACGCGCCATAGTGTTGCCGGACGCGTTGAGACGCGTCAAAGGCCGCACTTCTGGTGGCTAGGTGGTAGAGAGGGGTGAGGAGTTTGGGCCTCTGACTGTTTGATATAAACAATTGTAGGGAGTTCGTCTATCTGTGCAAGAGTTCCTTGAAAGGCTAGGAATGTGAGGCTATCTGCAAACAAGATGTATTGTCGTGATCACGTGACAGAATCACGAACCCCCCTACGTAACCCTAGCATGTGACTACGTAAACCGAACTCTGCGAATAACCTCATTACTGACCGTCACACTTTCCTCCAAGGTAGAAAGATAGACTCCCTCTTCTTGTTTTTATACACTGTAGTATACCTTCTCTCATTCCTACCCACTTTATGCAGCAAAATAGAAAGTGCTCTATAGTCTTGCTTGCCTAACCACAAGCGCAGAGGTCTGACTCTACGGCTTCTATCCTATTTAGGTAGCTGTTAAGCCTAATCATTCCTGTCCAGAGTTGCGCTAGAACTACAGCTTCTTTCCACTTCAGCCTATCATATAGGCTATTAGTGTGCTTTCCTGGCAACGCTAAGTCAATAGTCTTTGAGTATTTACCCACTTCATCTGGAAGGGCTCTCTTGTGCTATTATTTAGCGATGGCAAGTCTCACTACGGTAGGTTTAGTCTGGTACGATTGCTTTTCTGGTTCACATCCTTCTCTTGTTGATCTTTGAGCGGCCATTTTCGCCTTCAATCTTAATATAGAATTAGTGTATACTAGGACTCAAAGTAGGCTGATTATATTTTCCCTTCCCCGAAGAAGCTGGGCTATTATATATATCTGTTGAATTACTCTCTGGCTAGACTGTTGACGTGGTTATCTAATAGCAGCTAATGCTGATCAATTGCTGCTAAGGATAGTCACTTGCCTATTAAAGACTCATGGCGGAATATATTTTAATCCTATAGCTATTGCTTCTAGCTCAGCTGTGTATGGGTTCTATTCTATTTAACTTGATAGTGTTGCAGAGTAGCTAGTCAGTACATTATCTGTACTGTTAACCTAGGTATCCTTAATGCTTCCTCCCATGCCTACTATGTTACCCTTAGCGGACAAGCTAGTGGCAATAAGATCTCTTCTGCACTATTGGTAATTTCAATAGCTTTCTCTCTATCCTGTTCACCTCTCATATGCAGTCGATCTGTCCAAGGTGACACCGCGTACGCGTTGATGGTTTTCATACCTTCTGTTGCATCTCTTCCTAGTGTTTGCGCTATACTCTATAGTAGAGAGGAAAACCTCTGAGTTAATATGACCCTCAGCTTCCTTAGTGGGTTTGTTCCAGAAAATATATAGATATCAGTCCACAGTTTTGTTGCTTTCTCTGTGTGTCGCTCCTTAAATGAGTGAATATTTGCTTTAGCTTCTATGACTGCCGTCGCAACTGTCTAAAAGGCTCCCATAACTGCTATACCCTCTATCTTCTGCACTCTATTTAGATACTGCGTTCCATGTGTCTTGCAGGCATGCATCTACACACTAGAGGCGTAGTCTATTATAGATACCACTGTTACTGTGAATAGTTGCCTTACAGTTGGTGGGGAGAGTGCCTTCAGCCTTCTTAGTACCATGGTGACCTTTAGCCCTCTTATTGCTGCTCGAGCAATGTATTGTTTATAGCGTAGTTGAGAGTCCATAACTACCCTAAGAATCTTAGCATACTCTTTCGGTTCAACTAACTCTTCTTTGACCATGAATGCGGCTCTGCTTGACCAATCTAATTTTCAAGTGAAATGTATAATAGCTGTCTTTTCACCTTTGAAAGTAGCTCCACTTCGCTTCTCCCAGTCAAGAATGCTATTAATTATGGCCTCAATATCAGATCGATTTGCCTCAGCAGTTGGGCCTGTTACCCAGGCTATTAAGTCATCCACAAAGGCGATTGATCCTCCTGAGGCACTGATCCTGTGTTACACTAGATCTACATTGAAGAACAGAAACAGCATTAGGGATAGTGGCGATCCTTGCGGTAAGCCTGCTTGTAATAATTCTTTTTGTTCACTTGTTAGCCTGTTGACCACAATAGTTACTGTGCGGTTAGAGCAAAAAGCATTAATCTACCTAACTATATACTCTGGTATCCCTCTTGTCTTGAGTCTCTGCAGTAGCCTCTCCTTGTAGACTCCATTGTATGCGCCTTTAACATTGAAACTGATCATACTAAGCACTCTTTTGTTCCTCTAGGCCTTATAAATCTCTTCCTGGAGTAGTAGCAACGCTTGTTCTGCTGAGCGCCTCTTCCTCGCTCTAAAATGGTTTGTAGGTAATAAGCCGAACTCTTCAACAGCATATAATATCCTCTCTGCGACAACCGCTTCAAGTATTTTACCTAGTGTTGAGAGCAACAATATAGGCCTTCATGATTTAGCTAGTGCGTAGTTATTCTTCCCTGGCTTTTTAAGTGGTATAATCTTAGCGTTCCGCCATTGAGAAGGGATTTCACTATCTTTAAGTGATGTTCAGAAGATAAAGAATACCCTATCTTTGACCACTGGTCAGAGCTATTTCCACACCATTACTGGCAGGCCATCTTCTCTGGGTGCTTTCTATGGTTTAGCTTTAAACACTTTTCGCTTAATCTCCTTCATAGTTAGGTTTAGCATGTATATTAGCTCTCTTTGTTGCTAAAATCTCTCATCCTCAATTCTTACTAGGAGAGGTGGGAAGAACATAGCAAGTAGCTCTTTAGCCTGTTCCATTTTATCTTTAGTAGTAGATCTATCTGACCATATTAATGGTAGTATTTTATTACTGAATAAGCTCCCACTGGGCTTTAGATACTTAGTTGCCTAGTATATATTAGTATCATTAGTAAGGAAGTCTTTCCAGTGTGCCTTCTTCTATTTCTGGATTACATCATAGTATTCTTTTACTATATTTTTGGCCTGTTGTTTAAGCTCCAGATTTGCATTTCCTCTTCTATGTTGAGATCTAGCCTGATTTCTCCAGTAGGTGTATATATAGCGAAGTTATGTTAGATCTGTTGTCCACCATTGCTTAGCGTATGGTGAGGGCTTTGCTTTCAGTGTTAGCTCCAGGACTGCTTTCATGACCACTATCATGAGACGGTCCGTCTGCTCTTGTATACAGCTGCCTAGAGGAACCGCCTGTAGATTGCTGTCTACTCTGGATCTAATCTCAACCCAAGGCGCATTTTTCAAGAGTAGCCTCTCATTGACTGGTCGATCTGGAACTGATATGTCAAACTCCGTCTCAATTGCTTGATAATCTAATCCATGGTTTGTATAGTATATGCTACACTGTACCATCTCTTCTGCTAGCTCCGTTGATGCTAGTACTAAGTCGATTGTTGTCTCTCTATCCCTTAATTGCTATGTTTTCGTGCCTCTAGGTAGGAGGCTGTGTAGAGAGTTTCCGCTCATATAGTCAATCAGATTATTAGCCTCTCCCTGTCTCGCAGAAGATATTTCGTCTCCTCCCCAGAGTTGGTCATGCCTGTTGAAGTCTCCTATTATCAACACATCTGTCCGTGTTCCTCCCCTACCCTGGATATCCGCTACTAGGCTGCGTAGCAATCTAATAGTGGATGTTAATGCTTTCTCACTGTTCCCCTCTATATAGACTGACACTACTAGCACTGCCTGGTCTAGGAGTTGTAGTATCGTGACTGTTAGATCTGGAGATACTTCCAGGATCTGTTCAGCTTCGATATCACTCTGAACTCAAAGCATACTTCTAATTAGCCATCTTCCATCATGTCTCTCTATAGGTATCATCTTTGCCCAGTAGTAGTGTCCCATTGGGCTTATCACCATAGTATTTTTGATTACCCATGCGTATGGTTTGGATACTGCCACTACTCTGTAGTCTCTGATTTTATCATTATTTATTAGGCTTTGTTATACTATGTCTTGTTTACTAACATTCAGTTGTAGAATGCAAAATAATTTATGCATCAGATTATAAGAGGTAAACCTAACAGTTTCTACTAAATGACTTGTAAGGTCCTCTACAAGGAATACATTTTAGGACTAGGGCGTGGCAAGTACTGTGATGGTGTCCCTCCTTTACACATTTACCATATATCTAAGTCTTTTTGCATGAAAAAGTCTTATGTCCTATCTCTTAGCAGTTATAGCATTGGAATGGTCCTATGTGTGGTTTAAAGGCTTGAGTGTATACAGATTCTCCTACTATATTAAAGTAGTTGCCTTCTAGCAGGCGTTTAGCATCTGTCCCTTTGGTAATATATACCACCATAGATCCATACACTTTATTAGAGTCCCTCTTACTAAGCTAGATGATTTTGGCAATGTCAACATTATTCTCTTTCCCTAGGGCTTTGGCTGCTCCTGGTAGGATATTACCATCCATATCTAGGATTGCTGTCCAGTTAGCATTATTGATTTTAACTGGGTAGAGCTGGTCTTGTAACACCCTTCATCCTAGTATATTTAACTTTTAGGCAGCCTCTTTAACATGTAGGATCTCATCCTCCCATCTGCAAATAATTTTAACTCGGTCAGCATTCTTTGGATCCTTAATCACTGCTGCACAGCGCTAGGTCTCCATTCCTTCTTTTCCCTGTATCTCCTTTTTAATCATTTGTCTAATGTTAGCTATCTGCGCCTTAGTTTTATCTTCTTCTCTAACGCGAGACGTGTCAATTATGCAGAATAGTGTATTAGCCATTGTAGGAGGCACTAGAGGGCCGAGAGGGCCTAGGTGTATACCCTGCTGGTGAACAGATTGGCTGTTAATTATGTCTGCAAATGATGGCTGTGATTTGGTCTGCATAAGAGCTGCGTTAACTGATGCTTTCACGATAGTGTCTAGCTGCTCCCAGAGTTGCTTGCAGTCTTCCGCAGCTTGGCTTTAGATTACTTCTATTTGGGCCTGTAGTCCCTTGATCATGTTGTTTTGTTCCTAGATGGTTTTTTCCTATTTACTGAGCGTTTCTTTCAAAATTTTGACCTCCTAATAGGTGCCCTCCAAGTACTGACATATCTTTCTAAGCATCATTTGGTTTTCGTTCTGAGCGCATTGTCTCTCCTTAATCTGATTAGCAGCCTTCCTTACTGTAGTTGGCTTCACTTTTGACGTCGTCCTCCTAGTCGCAGTGGTGGCATCGGTGCTGTCAGCACCTTCCAGAGCTTCTCGAGCTCTCGTTGACGGCACTACGACGCGTCCTACGCGCGTCGTTACGGCCGGATCTTCCTCCATCGCGCTTCCGGCCCTCTTCGTCTTTAACCCAGCTACCCAGGGATCTCTCCTTTAATCACGCAGATCGTATTTCGATAATCAGAAAGATCCCCGTAGGTTGTCCTCTATGAATGAATCTTCCTGATCTATATTGGCAATGTTGATCTCCTCCTAACTAAAAGCAGGCCAGCTTTACGAGACGTTAGCGTCTCCTAGAGCACACTGTTCTTACGGTAAAACAAGGGGCTTGTAGGAGGACAGGTCGGAAATACACGAATTGTATATATCTGTTAGTTGCAAAAGGTGCGAGACTCCCGGCGCGGAATTTCACTAAAAATGTCACAAGCAAGCCTCGAAGGAGATCATGTAGAACGTGGTTGTTGCCTAGAGATTGAGTGTGACATCATGAAGAAACATTATATTTTTTGGTACTGTATCAATACTTTTTTCTAGAGGTGGTTTTCTGTACGGTATTATACTATTCAGCTTCGAAACATACTCAAAGTAACGCATTAACCGCATATGGTTTAGTTATGTTTCATGTTAGGGTTTGAAAAGCATTCTATGTATGTACACCTGGGAAGGAGATTTCTAATGCGACTGTACTGCATCAGCAAGCAGTCAAGCGAGCAACCCAGGTGAATATCGCCCTGGGGGGACTGAGACACCTCCGCCCAGAGCAGATGAGACAAATCTACCAAGCATGCGTGACACCAATCGTGGATTATGCATCCACCGTCTGGCACAACCCACTAAAGGATAAGATACACCTGAGAACGCTGGGAACTGTGCAACGAACCGCCCTTATTCGCATTCTCTCTGCCTTCAAGACGGCGTCCACGGCAGCCCTAGAGGTGGAAGCCTATGTGCTTCCAACCAATTTACGACTTAAACAACGTGCCCAAATAGTGGCTGCCCGCCTCAGCACCCTTCCAGAGGATCACCCAGGCCATACAGTAGTGACCCGAGCAGCAACGCGGAGCAACCATATAGGAAGTGGACCTCGATTTCCTCTAGCAGAGACCCTGCGGACAATGAACCTCACTCGACTCCAGGCTCTGGAGACAATTGATCCAACACCCCCACCACCGTGGCAGACACCAGCATTTATAGAAATCGACATTGAAGCAGACCACGACAAAGCTAAAGAGAAAGCATCTGCTAGACAAAAAGCAGCCGGTATCACAGTCTTCTCGGATGCATCAGGCCAACAGAATGTTCTAGGAGCTGCAGCGGTAGCCCTAGATCAGAACCAGCACATCATCCAACACCGGAAAGTCTGCATTGGCTCCATGGAATACTAGTCAGTATATGCAGCTGAGCTCATGGCAATATACTATGCTATCAGCCTTGTCCTTAAGATCGCGTTAGAAAACTGGGACACCACAGCAAGCCAACAGGAACCAGCAACTATCCTCAGTGATAGCATGTCAGCATTACAGGCTATCTCGAATGCACGGAACAAGTCGGGCCAGAGGATTATTTAAGCGGTTCAGCAATCAGCTCGGGAGTTAAAAGCACGGGGAATTCCGCTCCGACTCCAATGGGTACCAGGACACTGTGGTGACCCGGGAAACGAGGCGGCCGATCGACTGGCTAAAGAAGCAGTTGGCCTAGACAAAGAACATCCCTTCCAACATCTTCTCTCACGAGAAAAAGGTTTCATCCGCAACCGAATCCAAGAAGAATGGGAACGGGGATGGAAGACGTCCAAGAACGGTGGCCACCTTCGGCGGATAGATAGAAATCTACCCGCAGTTCGTACCCGGAGAATGTATGGCTCGCTACCACGCAATCGAGCCTACCTGCTCACCCAACTCCGAACCGGCCACTCATGGCTAGCAACACATGGCAAACTACATGGCCATAGAGAGGATGACAAGTGTGAATGTGGAGCGATAGAAACAGTGGTTCACGTCCTGATTCACTGTCCCAAATTGAAGACCATACGACAAGAACTACGGAAGAAGATCGGGACTGCATTTAACAATATCTCGGACATGCTGGGAGGAGGATCTCAAGGTAAGCAAGGTAAGGAGGGTGATATGCAAGGCGGTAGCATCTTAGGTGCAGTACTCGACTTTGCAGAGGCATCACAGAGGTTTCAAAGCCGGGCGCCGTAGGGCCGCTGACAGAGTACCAGGCATGTTGGCCACCATAGGCCGTGACGAGGCTCTAAATTCGTCTTTATGTAATAGATTGATGTACATAGACATAGATAAGGATTAGATAGTGGTATCCTGCATATCGCTTCGGCGAGGGGTCAGGGTATGAATTCACACACACACACAGACTGTACTGCATCTATCAAAGTGTTAAAGAAACTCTTTGTGCAATATCACAGCATTCAAAAGAGTCTCACATTAGATGAAACTGGAAGAATATCCCCTCTTAGCATTTGCCAAAGCTATATGAATAAAGAATTATACCCCTTCTTACCTTTTCAGGAGAGAAAGCCAATCGCACTGGTATCTATAAATTCATAAACTTCCTTAACCTAAACACCTAAAGTTTGATTTCTCAAACATTCCTCAATGAGACTGAGGTCCAGTGATGTTCCGGAAAGACCCTATCAATCCCTTGAAAGCAAAAAGCAAGGACAAAGAACCGAAACCAAGAAGTCACCGACTTTGAAATCATGATTCGGTGTCCAAGTCAAGCCGTCGCGGTGAATGAGGATGGGCCTCCTCAAAGGAGGAGAAAGATTGGAGAGGTAAGCATCTCAAAGCTCATTATTCATTTTTCTCGGAAGGGTTCTAACAACGTATAAGGGCAACGAAAAATGGTCAGTAACTCTATAAAACCATGTCAATCTCCCTACCCCGTCAGCTTCTATCAGACCCCACAAACGAGCTCGAAAACTTTCTCAGGACATTTTCCCAGTAGACGAAATAACGATGGATCCAGAGCCGAGACGAATTGGAAATTGTGAAGGGCATAATCTTATTGAACTTCTACATGACATGCATGAAGAACTGAGGGGATTCAAGGAGCAACTGAAGAAGTCCGAAAAAGAACAAAAGAGACAACAGAGAAATATCGAGGAGCAACGAGAAAGGATCGAAGAGAGCGAGTACTTACTACTGGCGGCTTATGCAAATGAGCTGGAATGGACAGCTGGAAAGAGGGGTGCGGAGTCTCGTTATACAAGGAATGTCATCATCCATGGTGGAGACATCAAATATGCTATTAGAGCGATTGAGTTTCTTGAAGAGCTTGGTGAGACTACCCGGGTGCAAAATGCATCTGAAGGATTTGGCATAACCTACGGGATCTCTATAGGCAAGCTACGACCTATAATCGCAACCGTCCCGGAAGAGGTGGTGGACCTCCTAAATAAAAGAGGAATACTACAAAAGGTTTGGATATGGGAAGACAAATTCCCTAAGGAGAAAAAGGAATGGATTAAGGACTGCGATCAAGTGATCAAAACTTGGTTGCATGCTGGAGGGAAATCATATCTTGAGGAAGAAGTCAAGGAAAAACATTTTAGACTGCGTCAATGGATGGATGATCGTGTTAAGGACATCAAAAGGCGCAGCTAGTTAGCTGCTATTTGCTCGAAAAGTGTTCTACTGTGCTTTGTTTTTATTTCGTCTTCTGCTATTCTTCTCTTATTTTATTATTTCCTCAGTGATGTACTAGTAGTTAATGTTAAATAGTTAGACCTGTCTACATTACGTCATGAGCATTCTGCTCTCCATAGTGACGAATGTCTCAATAAAAATGCGATTCACTAGACGAATTCTTGCCCACCCCCAGACATGGCAAGAAAACATCAGTGTGCTTTCACCATTCAAAGCTCCATATTAGGTCTACCGAGCCTCTACAAAACCACTTGAATAAGGAAGCTTTCCAGAGTGAATATGACGGTACTATTTCAAGGCTCGTTGTACATATTCAGGAGCACTTAATAACAGCCAGCATGAAAGATACCTGCGATCCCTGAGAAGAGCACGCGAAGTTGGGAACTTTAAACGAAATGGCCACATTGATTTAGTCAAGTGGGCGCGTCAACTCAGCCCTCAGATTACATAGTCCCGGTAATTCCTCCGCTAACTGAGATAAACTGTGCGGTGATCCACCGGCTCTTTTCTGATACTAGCAGTAGTGTAGCATCAGCCAGATCCTCCACTGACCCGAGGCGATTTGCAGCTCGCGTCTGTTCATACATAGAGAGCTGAAGCGCAGTTGGAGACCCGTCAGGGGCCACCAGATACGCTTTCGACATATCTGTAGGAACTGGACCGGGTGCGAGTGTATTGACGGTAATCCCATGGCTCTTGCCAAGCTGTCCGGCATTTCGTTAGATGGTCGAGCGTAGGGAGGAAAAGCACCAAAGAAAGCTTACCTCGCCAGCCCACAACGTTGTCAGGGCATCCATTGCAGCTTTTGTCGCACCATATACAGGGGGTGGGACCAAAATTTTCGAGGCGATAGAGCCGATGTTGACGATACGGCCGCCTTGAGGCATTCGACCTACTCCAACAACAGCTTGTGTCATGTAAATCACGCCGAAGACGTTGACGGCGAATTCATATTCGAGCTGCTCTTCTTTAACCTCCAAGAGAGGTGTGTTACGTGCAGCCGCTGCGTTGTTGACTGGAACAAATAGCCAATCAGTCTTGTCCAACTACCCGGAAAGAACATCACGCCGCCCATAGCATACCGAGAATATCGATGTGATTGACGCCAAATGCTTTCAGAATTTGCTCAACCATGTTCTTTGCACTATCATAATTTTCTACTCCTCCTTGTACGACGGTGGTTTTGGTGCCGAACTCTTTATTGATGTCAATCGCTACCTTCTCAGCCCGCGCCTTGGAGCCTTCCGACACATAATGAATTGCTACAGACGCGCCGTTCCGGGCCAAAGCTCTGGCAATAGCGGCGCCGATGCCAGTCTCTCTGCCAGAACCTGTAACCAAAGCAGTCTTTCCCTCAAGTGAGAGTGTGTCGGCCGACATATCCAGAAAATCAGCAAAGAAAGCTATCGAAGGAAAGGATCACAGAGCTAGTTCCAAACTCGGACTGGCAAGAAGCTATGTTTATATATGACAGATCTGGTTGTATGGAGCTGCTAGTATTGATTTTATATATATTAAATAGATGCTATTATAAATCATCAAGTTATAAAAAGCCGGGAAAGCAATATTGTTCTATCTATGCGGCCCCCGCTCCTGTTGATTATGAATATCAGGGGCAGGATTGTCGGCGCCCCTGGTCCAATGGTTTGCTACGCTTCTCAATTATTAATCCCCTCTCCAAGTTTTGTTTGCATCGTAGTTTGTGCTGTTTGTATTGATGACTAAAGACCAATGGTTCGCTACGCTTCGCAATTATTAATCCCCTCTCCAAGTTTTGTTTGCATCATGTTTGTGCTGTTTGCATTGATGACCAATGACCAATCGACGTCCCGAGGACCAGGCGGTTGCTGTATAGTTTGTGGTCTGTATTGATAACTAAGGCCGAATAAACGCTGATGAAAATCACAAGAGACAATTAACTATCCAGCTTACCAAGCGTTCGGTCTTCTCAGGTGCCGAACTGAATAATCCATGTCCTGATGTTCAGGCCATTGAAGTATACTGGTACTTTTAGGCAGAGCAGCACTCGATCCTTGTAGTCTCTGTATCGAACTCTCTTCCTCCCAATCAATCTGTCGGTTTATCTACGTCTAGGTCGCTAGCACTAGTCACGTAGAACAGCTATTCCGACAAGCTGACGAGCCTGATCAATATGGTATGGAATTCCTGATATTGATGACTGCCCCCCAAGAGTAAGGGGGACGGGGAGTGGCTAACTACATATATACGCGGCACGCACGTGCCGCGTTAGACTAACTGATATCCAGTGCCGAAACGCGCTAGGTTTGATATTCACGTTCCGACACAATCAATCATTCATTCACTCTCCATGTCTCTCAAAACTCTCACTCTCTGGACCCTCCGGGGCCATGCCGGCACGCCCAACCCCTGGAAGGTCCTCATGATCCTGGAAGAGCTCAAGGTTCCCTACGAGCCCAAGTTGGTCGATCTTGGTGACCTAAAGAAGGAACCCTACGAGTCTATCAATCCTAACGGTCGTGTTCCAGCCCTCGAGGATCCGAACACCGGCATCACCATCTGGGAGTCCGGCGCTATCCTCGAGTACCTGGTTGACACATACGACAAGCAACACACCATCAGCTTCACCGCTGGCTCGAAGGAGTACTACGAAAGCAAGCAGTGGCTACACTACCAGATGTCCGGCCAGGGACCGTACTTCGGGCAGGCCGCCTGGTTTACGATCTATCACCCCGAGAAGGTGCCCAGTGCGGTCGAGCGCTATGTTAACGAAATCCGTCGTGTTTCGGGCGTGCTCAACCGATCACTCCAGAACAAGGAGTACCTCGTTGGCGGCAAGTACAGCTATGTCGATGCTGCTTTTGTGCCGTGGTTCGAGGTGGCTGCGCTCTTCTGGTCGAATGAAATGGATCTCAAGAAGAACTTCCCGCATGTTAATTCCTGGTTGAACCATATCAAGGCTCGCCCGGCTATTGCCAAGACCATTGATGATAAAGCAAAGGCCGCGGCTGCTGAAGGGAAATAAGGCTATGTCATGGTAGATAAAATGTTGACAGGAAGTCCCTTCACCTGTAGTTCTGCAGCGCCGCCTACCGCACGTAGTTTAGCGCCGTTGGGATTTGGATATAACTGTTGGATTATTACTAATCCGTGGGGGCAGATTCGGCAATGATTCCTAGCTTTGCTACGTGGAAAGTGTTCGTATTGGAAGTAGAATTAACAAGCAAAATTGTATGTATTCCCCCCTCCCTCTTTCTAAGAATTGAGGGTGATTCTATGTCTTTATATATTCCAATGCGGCCTCAGAGAAGTAAGGGAAATAACAACAGGAATTTCAGCTAAGGCAAAGCGAAGAATCCGAGTCACAAACATGAAACTATACAGGTTTGACCACTGTAGTTGATTGGTATCAAGGGGCATTTTGGCGATGTGCACTTTCTTAATTAGGGTCAGAGGTATCGTCCTGTCGACACCTAGTTATCTAACAATAACCTCGCTCGCTAGCGAGATTATTCCTGGTCCCAACAACACGCTCACATCTGTTAGTTAGAGCAATACACAGAAGATTGTGCTCATCCATCTCAAGATAAAACTCCTAGATAGAAGGCGAAGTTTTCTTGATTGAATCCAAATATATATATCTTCTATATTTAGATATATCCATTCCTTAAGCTAGCGTCTTGGCGGTGGGGCATAAGAGTGCAAATTGGTGAAGCTGGTTTTGCTGTTACGAAGCTGAACTGCATGACGCTAAAAGGTACTACTACGGAAAAGGAAAGGTCTCAAATTACAAGAAGAAACCAGTACCAGTCATGAACAGTAAGGCGTACTGTGCAATCAGGGGACAGGAGTCACGTGACGATAAGAAAGATATACCGTTATCTTATCGAAGATAAGGACACTACGAAACTCCAATCTCTGATTGGATAGGAAAGATAGTATCGTAGTAAGGTGCAAGATAGTACACTACGATACTACGATATTCATACTACGAAATAGGGAGGACTGGATATATAAGGACGCTCTTTTACCATCATGTATTTAGTTCTTCATAGCTCTTTGACATAAGTCACTTGAATACAACAGTGAGAGTCAGCAAGGCATTCTAAACTCGTACGGGCACCAGGCTGTACGGGGGATCTCTTCTATCTTAGTTTGTTACTATTCTCAGTCACCGTCCCATTACCGTTCGATACTTCGTTACATACGATCCATCACGCTCCACTACTTTATTGGTTGGAACCTGTGCGAGGTTCAATTATCCTAACGTATCACGACGCACCGCTGTTAGAACTAAGGTGGATCCAGGTCCGTGACATTTGCACTTCTCTGTACGGAGTATAGTGTAAAAAAGAACTGTACTATGGTCTACCCAGGTAACTTCGTTAGTATGGTGCACGGATCCCATATACCAGCCTATCAACTTCAAATATTTTGCCATTGTTTGAATAGCGATCTTACGAATCACTATACGGCGCTGTAGCACGCCGTCGATTCGTACGCGAACTGGTCGGGGTTACTATTCTCCGTGCGCTAGAGCGACCAACACCATATAATGTATCTAGGCACCCCGGCCCCCCTAGTTTCGGGTGTCAGTCTTTTATAATATTACATTCGTGCTATATAGCAAGGCTCACCACGTAGGGCAGTTGGATCGCCCTAGCTTACGATATCCTACGCTTCGTGATACGGGACGTAGCTAAACCAACACTAAGAAACTTCTTTGGTTGGCCTAACCCAGTTAGAACTAGTACGGAAAACTTCCAATACCAAGGAGAGGTCACGTGAAGGTACACGTGACCTCGTCAAGCAAGGACTATATAGACCGCGTCGGGGCCTCATTAAGAGAAGAGAACAGACGATTGAATACATTTGACCATAGTACTTGGAGTACCACCTGAAGCGCGTGTACGGACGTACGTACATTGTTTTATTGGCTTTATAAGCCAACCCACAGTAACATACATTACAGAAGCTAATGGTAGAACAGCGCTGGCGCTGCAGTCTCAGTCTACATCATGCACATCTCGGTTTTGTGGCATTCTCGAAAGATCACTGCTTTACTGGGTGTTATGAATCAAGCATATGCACGTTTTAATGTTATTAGGAAAGATTTAAGGAATGGTCAGCTATAAATATATACACTACTTTACAACTATGAATAAACCACTATGAGATATAAATAAAAACCAATACGTAATAAGATATTGTTGTCAATTGATTAAAGTCAATTGATTAAAAAGTATCCATGACGGTCATCTTTCACCTACTGCATGCACGGCCTCACGAATAAGAATCTTTGTAAAGATCCGGTATGAAGCATAGTAGAATCCACGAAGCAACATTTTCAAGGAATGGAGTCTCCTATTATCCATCATATTCAATAATCCGAGAACTTCCTATATTAGACAAAACTCGGCATAATCCGGTACGAAGTTATTACAGCGTCCAACCTATTCAAGTAGTCTAGCTCATAATCAAGAGCAAGGTCGTCCTGAACCCATATCTGCTGGAGAATAATTTGTAATCCATGCAGGCTACTCAAACTCGAGGTCGTCATTGCTCTTTCAATGTGCTCTAGAATTCTCATTCTCTGCTCATCTGTCCGAGCCTCGCATCCAATAATCAGCAGTGGAAAGGCCAGACTGACGGCCTCAAGGTCATCGAGAAGTATATACGCCCTCTCAACCATTGCGTCAATTTGAGGAGAGGTCCCTGAAAAGTTCCGCGATGCTCTCTTAAGGTAAATCAGAGCAGCTAGTTTGAAAAGTTCTATTGTAGCCACCCAGGCTGTGCTCAGGCCTGACATGGTATCCGATATACCTTCTGGTGCCGACGGGACAATATTGGCTATCCTGTTTTCGAGGCAACGCAAGGAATTTTCGTATTCGTTGCTGTGGTATAGTAAGTCTGTCGGTTGTCGAATCATCTCGAACATAATATTCAAATATCGAAGAATTTCATGTGAGCAGTACGATACATCTTTAACCTATCTCGTGTTAGAAGAATGACGGTGCTAACAGAAATTTTCATATCCTTTGGCCTAACCTTTCGTAACTGGCAAGTACCCTGGTCCACAGGCACGGAATTTTTGATTCCTTTAATAGACTCTTCCTTTATATACCAGTGTCGGATGCTAAACCGGCTCATGACCATATGATACTCCACCCAGCCTAGAAGTCGGGAAAATTCGCGTTGAAAATATTGGCTGTCAACGCCTGCGTTGTCGATTAGATATTTAGCTTCGCTCAAATGACCTGGAATGCAAAACCCAGTTAAGCAATGTCTTTGAAGAGTTAGGTCACCTATTTCATGACAAGGCAGCACAAGAACTAACACAGTACGACCGGCTTCATCATTTCAGGCTAAGCAGGTAGAAACAAATAGACCACACATCACTTACAGAACCAAAGGGATACTGCATTTGGCATTCCGAGCATCTTGAGCGTTGGTAAGTGTTTGTTCAAAAAAGATATAGACCCAAGATCGAACATACCTCAAGGTGGCACAGTATCATACTAGCTGCAATATGTTGAACCACCGTGGAACTTTCAATAGAGGGAGTGCAAGATGTGATTAGTGTACGAAGAGCGCGCGCTTTGAATCGAAAAACATCTCCTTGCAAACCATGCCGGTGAAAGGACGAGAGCGCCAACGCTGATTGTAGTACGGCCATCGAAGAGGGTGCACTATCTGAAAGAGCTAGGCGCACCAAAAGACTCAAGAATTCGTTCCTGTCAGGGTCGAAAATAGCCAGTGTGGAAGACGCCGTACATATAACTACAAGGATTAGCTTGGTCAAATCCTACAAAATAATGGTATTACACTTACAGTGGTCAAGAAGTTCACTTTCCTCATAACTTAGGTTGATTGGGAGCCATGATAGCGCCATCGGTAGATCGAGTCTTTGAAAGGTAAATCCCTCATGGCTACCAAGTCCTGTTTCTGGAGCATTAGTTGGGTGATAAGCAAATTCCGTGAGAGACTCAACCTTGATTCATCCGTAGATAATGGTGAAGTTGGATATCCCATGATGTCGCATTTACAAAGCTCGCCGGGGAGACACTTTTTGCAGTCTCAGATCCATCCTGGATGGAATAGGTCAAGCTCCGCTTCGTATTGGTAGCCTTTGGCCACGACAGCCGTAGCCCATACCGACATGGTCTATTAGACTTGGTGCACCTGGAACAACGTGGCCGTGCGCGGTTGCAAACTGCTCTGGAGTCTGTAGCACTTGGGTAAGTAGCGCACTCATTCAGAAGACAAGGGACAGGGAACAGTACCTCTGCAAGCCCAACAAGCATTCGCCTGCATTGTAGACTGATTCCTTGACTCTGTAGGTTGAGAGAAATTGTTAAGCATCAACAAAAAGTTGCCTTGTCGTCTCTGTTAAATGCGCTACACGGTGGAGAGATAATGGCAATGACTGCATTTCTGATTATTAATGCTCAGTTATCTTTCCGCTTTGAGAAAAACGGCAACTTTTGTGAGTGTTGGGAATCTAAAGTGGACCCTGTTAGATTGTACGTATTCCAATCTAACACGGTTTTCAGCGAGAATCAATCATAGTTGGTTCATGAAAGATGTCTTGTATTGTTACGTAATTGATTGTATTTGTAACTAAGTTAGTTAGTTAGTTAAGTTACAAATACAAATAGCTTTGGCCGAGCATATCGATCGCTTCCTGTTGTCGGATTAGTCGGTTTACTCCAGGCCAATCCTGAAGAGTGTTTTTCTAGGATGAAAAGAAAAGAAGTGATTAGCAAGATTGTGTGTATTCAGTTGTCTCTGTCTCTGTCTCATACATCAGGTTCAATACCGGGTCCTTATAGACACTTTTGGCGGGGTAAACATTGGGCTGAAATCTCGATGCCCAGATATATGACCTAAGGTGCCTTTTTAGACCTGTAAGATCCATACTCCAGTATAACCTCTCGTGCGCGATCAAAATCTTGGATTATCTTCGGATCTTCGCATTTAGCACGTTCATAGTTGTATTTCCGTGAGAATTTTGATTCAATCTCTGGACGATGTTTGACAATATTATATACCCATTTTTCTCCAACCTGTTGATTTCCGTGTTATGAGAGAAGATAATTAGCCATCTCTCGTACAAGAGAGTGCCGAGGGGGTAATCCACGTTTATCTAGATCGAGTATCCATTTGACAAGTGATTCCTCCTCAAATTGAGTGTAACAGTACCAAAAGTCTAAAACAGTACACATGATATCCATGATAAGCCACAAGTAAACACCACCCAGGTGGACAACGCGATGCCTCCTGTGAACGACTCATGCATGCATAAGAAGGAGGTTCCTTGTAACTAGGATTGTTTTCTTTTCTCAAGCTTCAGTCTCTGTACATTAGGAACAGTACCTTTGTTAATAAACATCTCAAAGACACCGAACGACCTTCTGCCATATTGATAATTCCTCCTGTCTAACCAACGGACTAACCTCCTATTACATTGAGCCAATTTATGATTGTTGGCGCGTATTTGAGATTTTTGTTGAGTACCGCTTAATTTCTTTTGTAGAGTAGTCTTGCTCAGCTAAGTCTTTTGTTTTTATTGTGATTGGTGGCATATTGACGTGTTAAATAATATAGAATCAAGATTGTGTACGCGTTCGTGTAACAACGTTACGAGGGATATGTATAACTACGTTCGAGAGGATTCACTGAAGGCAAGCACACAAGGTAGGGTATGGAATAGCAATGTACTGAAACCTATCTCCTTCTGCTGTTGCAGCATCTATCGTTTATTGTTGGTTTTACTACGGTCCGTCTCACGAAGCATAGACGGTAGTAAAGCGCGGACACGAAGCGGCCTAGCGAGCCTGACAATATAAAGCTATCTTGATTCCTAATATTGTGACTAGTGCCCAAGAGCGAGGGGGACGGGGGATAGCTAGCTAGATATATACGCCACGTGCCACATCAGACTAACTAATCCGGTGCCGAAACGCGTAGGGTTTGATATTCACATTCCGACATTTATATACAGGTTTCCATGTTGTCTCATAGTTCCTTGATTGATCATGACCAGCTGAACTTTGACCATAGGCAGCTGAAGTATCCGCACTTTCCCCACCATGCCGGTAAGGTACTGATACATACCGTAACGAGTCTGTCAGGCCTGCTGGTTGTTACATTGATGCTCTTGTATGAAGAACATTGTAAAATAAATACGCAAAAATACAAGCAAAAATCTACATGAAATATACATAAAATATGCATAAAATATGCATAAAATATGCAGCTACGTTCATACTCTGTTTGCACTGTTCGGGGCCCAAAGGCAAAACCCAAGGCCCATCATGGGCTCGAGAACCGGGCCCATGGCCCAACCCATTTGCTGGTTGGGTTGGGTTGGGTTGTGGGCCTCGTGGGCTTTGGCGAAGTCGAATCGCGCGGAAATTCTATTTTGGTGCGTCACTTACCCGTTAAATACGTTATATATTTGTTGGCTTACCTTCATTAGATCGCAAGATCTACGCAAGATCTAATGAGGACAGCTAATCCAACAAGCTGACTGAGCCAGTAATACTGAATTCCTAATATTGCGACTAATCCTAAGAACTAGGGGGATGCGGGTGGTGAGGTGTAGTTATCCTCCGTACGCTATAGCGCACGGATAAACTATATCCCATTCCCGCGCCGAGATAGGCAAGATTGCTATACCGACAATATTATTTGTTTGTAATTGTGGGTTCGCTTCTGCACATGTGCATACAAGTAGCTTAGTAACCAATTGGTAAAGTCATATTCTTCTGATTGTCTGTCTCTTCTTGCTATTTTGACCTCGACGCGGTAGATCATCCCTTCGTGTAGCCTGCGTCACGTGAGCAATATCACGTGACCAGCTCTCGACTGCACCCGCACATCCAACACTGGATCTCTTTTACAAATGGGATTGCAGTCGAGGTCTCAATTGTCCCGAAAACGACGCAGAAAAACATACACGTACCAGTCAATGGACGACCAGGATTATCAACCCATCCACATGACAAAAAGGTCAAAACGAAACCACCAAGAATAATCTCAAACAACGTCAATGGCTACCCCCAAGTCCTGCTTGGTTCTGTTAACGAACCCCTCCACATGAATTGTCAATTTATTATTGTCAATGAAGTCTCTCAGGGCTCCATTTGGGTTCGCCTTCGTGAAAGCGTCCGCAGGATTGTTGTCTCCATGGATCCAGCGTATCTCCTCAATCTCCCGTCTTTTATATGATTGTCGAAGCGCCATAAGGTCAATCATAAGACGCTTTTCCTTGGTCGTCCCAAGCTTAACGAGGCACTCATATAGTGAGTAGCTATCGGTGCAGACTACGACAGGGATTGCGGGCATGTTGAGACGATCCGTGATCATCCTGACAGTGCTAGCCAGAGTGATTGCATGATTAAATCCAGTCGACAATCCATAGATTTCTGAGGCCAGTACACTCCGAGTGACGCGCTTGCATTTGGATGAGGCCCAGTGGACCATATTCCCGGTTATGATGAAACGGCCTTCCTCGGTGAAGTCCTCATTGACTATTGTAATCATAAAGCCAATCTGGGAGGTCAGATCCCGGTTATTGGCGAAGGATCCATTGATAAAGATTATGATCTTTACCTTTGTTAGATCAAGAGGGATAAATCTAAGACCTCGTTCAGGATTCTCGGCTTGCCATATGAGGCGTTTATTCAATGCTAAATAGTTGTCTTCAGATCGGTCCTTCTCCTGCAACTGGGCCGCGACGGCAAGATCATAAGAAGCCTCTGGTTGGCAGATAGACGCGAGGTAAGCCCTTCGTGCCCGTTGCTCAATGTACTTCTGCGCGCGATCTGTTGTTCTAACCGGCTCTATCTTTATCGCTTGCCCTTTTTACCGCATGAAAACGTTGTCCTGCTCTAAAATAATCCTTGCGCTATTGAATTCTAAAGAAGTATCCTGCAACAATTGGGTTTTGGGTTTGGCTTTAAATCCCGCTTCCTGTAGTGCTTGCTCCTCACCCCTAGCAAACTTTTCTATTGCGATGATGAGTGTGTCATTAGTCTGCATGCCCACTAGGCTGAAGCTCTCAGCGCCTAGTTTTGTCACGAGTAGATATGGATTGTACATAGAAGTCTCCATATCTATTTTTATCTTATAATGCTTGTGGTAGGTGCTAAACTAATGAATGCTAGCTTCAGGAATACTATACAAAGCTTCTTCTACCAATAGTAGTGAGTCTGGTAGATATTCACCCCTCATTTCTTTGGGCAGGTTAGCAACAATAATACATTGCAACTTTGTCTTGGCCTATGTGTATGCTTGTGTAATATCACAGATCTTCACAACCATATCCATACTTAGCAAAGTAGGGATAAGGGATATTAACAGCCTCTGGCTAGCCCATTGAATTGTTGATGCTTAGGTCAGGATCCCAGCTTTCCCGGCATCATTATATCCTTGGATGACTAGGCATGATTTCTCATATGGGATCTCATTCTTCCCCTTGATCTCATTAACCAAGCGGGAGTTGAAAATGCAGAGATCTCTAAGGTTCACATCGCCTCAGTAGACAATTTGAACGTCCCGTTTGCAATCAGGCCATCGATCTCTGCAACGCTTGAAAGTTTGAATGGGGCACCTTCTGTCACAATCTTTCCTTCTCGTCTCAATTTGAGTGCGAGTTCAAGGTCGCCCTTCTCTTTCTTCGATAGGTATACATTGACATCCACTTTTTGCTTATTCTTGGATCCTTGTGGTTGTCCTCAACATTGTGGAGGTGAAGGTGTCACAGGTGGTTTAGAGATATGGATTCCATCTTCTGTCTCTCTTTGATCTTAGAGATACTGCTGGACTGACGTTGCCTAGAAAGCGACAGCACCATTACCAAGATTAACTATCACATCATGACCATTTACTGAGATAAGTTTATATAGACCTGTCTAACCCTTGCCTTCTCGCCAAACTTTGACATTAGCCCCTGGAGGAAGATTGAGTGTCTCTATAATTATTAGGCCGTTCCTGGTGTTTAGGGTGTTATTAACTCTCCTCTCGGCCATGGCCTTTCTTAATTTGGCCATTGCCTTTCTTGTCGTCTGGGCATGTCTAATTGTTAACATAGATGGTGGTAAATCCAACATTATCCGCATATATGCCCTAAAAACCAACACTATTAGCACAATTCTATCTGGTCCTATGGTATTGTTAACAGCCTTAACTGCCATTTGGAGAACTACATCCTTGTCAACACTAGTGCCAAGTTCTATAGAGATAATATTGAACACTCTATGTAGTGGTGCGTAATACCGCTTGACTTTACCAATGCTGGAATGTGCTTCTACTGGTATCTAGTGGCATATAATCCCCATCATCCTGGCTTCCATTTTGAATTTATTTGATGCAAAATTCGTCCCAGCATCATGAGATATGATGTCTGGTGGACCAAGGTAAGTGTCAATCCATGCCATCCTAAGTGCTTCCCAAGTATCCTTTGCTGAGAGAGATTTTAAGAATCTTGCTGCCTGGAAGGAAGTTACCCAATCTACAACATAAAGCACTGGCTTTCCATTGAGATATATAATATTAACGACAATCTCATAATTGAACTCACAGTCGTTAGTCAATGTAAACTTGAGCTGGTGGGGTGCCTGCTAATTCATCTGGTAGTGGTAACAATACTTCTCAATCTTAGTAAGAGATTTGTGGTCAACATTGTCATGACCAGCTTACTCCAAGAGTTTATACAATCAGTTAACACTTGGGTAACTAAATCATCGATGAAGACGTCTCATTTCTACTTCCGTCAAGAATGTTACTAGTGTATGACTATCATCCAGAAAGAACTAAGGGTGTCCCTATTTCCAGACAATTAGTACTCTCAAATCTCCCTTAACCAAGCAGTTGGTGGTGTTATCAAGATAAGCTTCGTGGCAATCCATATCAGTAATGCAAAGTAAGAATGAGGTCGGTATATTTATAACATGGAAATTGATATTGCCAATTGGGGTCTTGATAGTAGCAGCTCCCTCAGAGTTGACGCTATCCCCTTGACTAAATCGAATTGAGTGCTCTCCTGCACGAGATTCGTCAACCATGATCCCTGGATAAATCTTTTGTAAAGCGGTGAGTTAATGTCTTCCAATCATTAATACTCTTACTGCTCCTGTGTCAGGTAAGATTCCATGGAAAATCTCACTGTCATGTCGGTCTATCACGAATTAAGAAGCAATGGTAGAAGGGTGATCCTATTCAGTCTCCTCACCTATTATCCAATATAAGAATGCCTGATCTTATAGTCGTCCAACCATATAATATGCTGTTGCTTTATCCTCGTCATTATCGTCGACTTCCTCCTCGTCTTCACTATCTGACGTGATGTTGCAACCAGATTCGAATTCCATGAGGAAAGTCTAATATGCATAGTCTGTTGCTGTGGCTTTTCTATCTGTATGTTAGTATCCGTCAAACCATTTCCTCGCCTTGTAGCATTCCTTCTTAGAATACTTGAACAATTAACAATCTGGCTTTTAACATATCTAGCATTGTCCCCTCCCTTTCTAGTAATATCCACCGTTCTCCTGGTTTTGGCGTCGATATACTTGACGCGGTGGTGGTTGTCAACCGGTGCGGTTTGTACGTCCTCTAAATTTCCTATCTATGAAGAGTGTTGTCAGTGTGTTATCTAGTTCCACCAGATATTAGCTAGAGTTCTCTTTCATTTGGACCAAGGCAGCTCTTGCCCGGAGCCGTAACACTAAGATCTCAAAATTTGTCGTTGGCTCAGTGAGAGCTTTACCCATTTCTGGTGATCCTTAGCAAGCTCTCACAATAGCGGATACTAGGTGCTCAGGGGCTAAATACTACTGCCCCAACGCACGCTGGCATAGATTAAGCTTCTCTACTAGAATCTTAACTGCTTGTTCCAATGTCTTTCCAGCATTTTCACGATGTACGTTTCCCAAGGTGATTGACGTCTAATCGTGGTAGTACAACACATGATTCAACTCCATGTTAAAATATCTCTTAATAGCCCAATATGCCTGTGCAAATGAAGCACCTGGGTCAACGTGATGTGTGTAATACGTTTCCGCTCATCCAGACAGCATCTCTGGGAAGATCGCCCAGTATTAATCCAAGTGGATTCCAATCAGTCTGCATATTCTCAAGAAGGCGCGAACTTTGTCATCCAGGATATCATATTATTCTCCTGAGTAATTCTTGGACTTGTCCCATGCCTTGGCAAATTTCATGGCTAGCTGTAAATCAATAGGCTCACGTCTATATTCTTCAGGTGGCAACTTGATGTAGGGGTCCAACATCCTTGCGGAGGTTGAGGTCACGGAGGTACTCAGTATTGGTGTTTCTGATATCTTGACCTTGGCGGAGTCCGGTATCCCTACTGGAATTGCATTTGCACCTGTTAAAGGCGTAAATCTTGAGATGTCTTGGATAGATCCTAATGGCGATTGAACATGGTCTTGAATCAATTGACTTGGCGTCTTAGAAGAAGGCAGTTCTTTATGAATACTCTCATCTTCTTCCTCAATGGATGGTACCATGTAGGCATCATTGGCAATTCTTAACTCCTTGATATGGGTAGCTACTGTCTATTCATAGTGTTGTGAGGCCATCTTTGATCGAGGGTGGAAAGTCCTTTTTTATAGAGCTTTCTCAGGCTATTTAAGAGAGTCTTTCTTCTCCAATAATTCCATCAACGCCATTGGGATGGTCTTCCTATTTCCGTGGTCAACATATACGCCACGGTACTGGATGAAGTCCTTCAATTTAGTTCTCGCTATCCTATCTAAGCGCTTGAAACTATCGATAGCCCACTCTCTAAAGTAATCGTGGAACCATTCAAAGATTTCATAGTCAAAGTGATGACTGCTTGCAGCATCATACATGACTTAGACAGTGTAGGTGAATAACGCTCGCTCATTGTCCCCTAGTATAACATCTTTAAACCATATAGTCATGTCAATTTTTCTCCATCCAGCAGCATTATTGAGTCTAGTTTCCATCAAGAATTTATTGTCTGGCAGTTCCATTGTCTCGTCCTTGTCAGCTTCGCTATGTTGACTTCCAACTAATTGATACTTGTCGTGTTCGCCCTAGCTGTTTGGATTTGCTGGAGTTGGTTGAGACATTCTTGCCCTTGCTGGCTTTAGGAAGCTTGTTAGTAGGTTGTCTCTTCTTTCTTGATATTTGATTGATGTTGACTTTTGTACGCGTCAACGGCGTGGTCTCGCGATATGGTAGTATTATGGAATGTTGGCTCGTTGACGAACTGTCCCAAATACAGTCTCTCTGGGTCTCGCTCTGAGAGGAGAGAGGCTTCTAGCACAGGCTCAGTTTGTCACAGGTGACGCTACAGAGTCTGTCTCTTCCACGTGGATTTGGTTCCTCGCGATGAGACAACACAAATCCTGGAGTCAGGCCTTACTACCTATAACCACAGGTGGCTACCGCGTAGGGGTCTGATACCTTGCCAATCTGTCTTAGTTCTGCAACCAAGACTGATCAGTGTGGGTTCGCTTCTGCACATGTGCATACAAGTAGCTTAGTAACCAATTGGTAAAGTCATATTCTTCTCATTGTCTGTCTCTTCTTGCTATTTTGACCTCGTGTGTGTGTGTGTGTGTGTATATTTAACGGCCGTGGTTCGTGACTCGCACGCTTCCCACCGATCCCTACTAGGACATAGGCCGCCGAGGGGTAAGCCTTGGGTTTCGGGTCCTATCAGATTTATGTACAAATAAGAGACTCTTTGGCGCATTTCCATAGCTGCTGTGGTCTTACAGGGAGGTCCACTTTGAGTGGGTTTTAGGTATTTGCCAGCTGTAATGGTCCGCCTACACTCCCTAACCTATTACTCCACCACTATTATAACTGAACAGTAAGTTTTGCAGAGAGGGAAAGAAAGAAGAGAAGAGAAAGAAAGAAGGAGAAGAGAAATATAAAGGAAGAGTAGGGCTGTCTTAGCTAGGTGCTAAGGAGAGGTTGGCGAGGGCAGATATCCTCAAAGAAGTGGGTCTCTGCTAGCCATGTGGTTAGCTTTTGTGCTCCTTTAGCAGTGCCTAAGAGAAAAGAGATAACCTTAGAAGGGGGCCTAGGAGGCTGAGAGGCTTGTCTCTTAGCTATATAATAGAAGAAGAAGTGCAGAGGTGCTTTTTATGCTCTGTATTGGCAGAGAAGATAAACATCATTATGGTTGAAGCGTTTATGGTAGTCTGCAAAGTCTCTATAACTAGTATGAGCTGCAATAACATGGCTGAGGTTAAGTCGGTTGAGTTAAAGCTCCCTAAGGCGCTTAGGGGAAGTGGTTATTTCTAGATCTTAATAGCTCTATGGTGCCACCTTCTCCCATTATGACTGAGCAGCGGATAGGGATTAAGTCTTGGCGTATCTCTTTAGCAAGGTGTATGAGGATTTGTGAGGAGCAGAAGGGATTGAGGCAGTTCCCTCTTTAGCAGTGAGATCAGCCGCTTCGTTCTCAGGGATTTTAGCGTGTCCAGGGACCCATTGGATTTAGATAGATCTGCTTTTAGTGTGAGGAAGCCTTTTGCGAAGTGGCTAGGCAGCTGCAAGGGTGCAGAAGGATTCAAAGATTTCTTGGGAAGATCCTGTAGAGGGAGATAGAAGGCATATAGCAACTTCTAGGTTGTCAAGATAGATCTATAGGTTAATAGCAAATTGAGCTATTGGGTACACTATTACTGCTTAAGTACCAGCTAGAGCTGCTTCTGCTTCTACATCGAAGACCTCTTTCCCATGTCTATATAAGAGTGAGGAGCGGAGGAACTGATAGTGTGCTTGAAGTCCAATATAGCCACCCTCTACACATCTGTCTGCTAGCCTAGATCCATCTAAAAAGATTACAATATCTGAGCTAGGAATGGTATATTGAAAAGCCATAAAATTAGCCGCTGCCTGTTCCTTAGTGCGTCCCATGGGAGCTCCTATTCGAGCTTGAGTATTCCCACGAGGCTCGCAAGGATGCCAGGGAGTATATTGGAGAGGGTTTATCTGTTCAGAGTTTGGGAGGGCCAGTATATGGCGGGTAAATTAGCTGGTTTATTGGCTATTACTAGTGATCTGTTCTGCGCGTCTTCGAAGTGGGTGATAAGGGTTAAGACGCTATAGATGGACAGTTGTAAGGAGGGCTATTTAATCTAGTTCGATTTCTGGTGGAGAGAATCCAGACTCTCAATAAAGGACTGGCTTTGGGGTTGTGCGGAAGACTGGAAGGACTGCTCTTGCGCCTGTTAGTATTACTTTAGTTAGTTTCTCAAGATGTTCTCTAACTTAGTTTGAAATCTGGGAAGATCCAGGGCGAGTATGTCCTGGCCACCAGGATTCTACGCCATAGTATGCTTTATGGAGTACACAGGCTGATACAGCCTGCTATAGTAAATTAGGTTTAACTCCTCGAACAGTATTCTCTAGAGAGCGAAGAGCGTTAGCCACAGTGAGGGCTTTAGATGCTGTTTCTCTAACGTGCCATTTGAATGTTAGCTTTTTGTCAAAGAGAATTCCTAGCCATTGTAAATATATCTATTTAGTGTTTTCTAATATTATAATAGATCTAGCTTTCACTGAAGGTGTGTGGGTTAGGTCCTGGTCTGCTTTATGTCGGGAGAAGTAAAGAAGCTCGTATTTATCTAGTGCAAATATAATGCCCTCTGCAGTGCCTCAATTAAGAGCTTCTTGAAGTAAGTCTGATAAGGCTTTGCAATTAGTAATAAGAGAAGTTAAGATCGCTAGGTTAGCTACATCATCCATATAACCAAATCTGTTCCTTGGATTTCCTAGACGGAATAGAGGCGCTATGTAGAGCATGAAAAGAATACTAGATACTGGGGATCCTTGTGGAAGACCGCAGGTAATGTCTGTTGAGGGGCCGATCTCTCCATTAAGTTAGATCTGAACTGATCTTCCAGTAGCGAAGAAGGCAATCTAGAGAACGAGATTGGTAGGCCAGCCCTGCTCGCGTAGTCTGCGGATCAGTCTGCTGGGAAGTATGGAATCAAATGCGCCTTTAACATCTAGGGTAAGGAGTGAGGCAGTCATACCTTGATTTAGCGCTTGTTTAACATCATGTGTTAGGCATGTAGTTAGGTCAGTTGTAAATCTTAGTGGGAGAGCCCCAAATTGTTACCTTACTAATACTTTATAGTATATAGAGATCTATGCTATATTCCATGCCACTAAGCGCTCTAGTCCTTTACTAAGTTCTAATAGGAGAGCAATTGGTCTATATGATCTGGGCGAGGACTAATCAGTCTTTTTTGGTTTCTGGATGATTGCTAAGATTGCGTGTCAAAAGCATTTAGGATAATAATCAATCTTTAGACACCCTTGATATAGCATTAGTACCTTATCTTTGATTAGAGGCCAGGCTACTTTAAGTATACAGGTTGGGATTTCATCTGCGCCAGGGGCTGTGTTTCCTGCCTAAAGTACTGACTCCTTCACTTATAGCATTGATATATCTGGGAAGTAGAGACTAGTGGAAGGCACTGTTGGGGAGTCCAGAGGTATGTCTCCTGCCTCTGCCAAGTTCTAGAGAAGATTTCGGACTAGTACATCTCGTTTCTCGTGTACAGTAACTACTGGGAGGCTGTTGGGCCTTAGCGGATCTTTTAGTGGAGGGCTTCAGAAGATACCTATAGACTTATGCTATTTACTCATATTAAAAATATCCTTTATTTGTATTACTATAGAGAGCTTCTCTCGCCAAAATTGTTATTGAGACCATCTAGTTATCCTGTGGAAGTCTGTCTTTGAGCAGAGGCCTAAGCGGTAATTATATAAAGCTTTCTTGCAGTCTTTGTTCCATCATGGTTATCCTATGCCTTGTGTTATGGTCCTCTTAGCAGAGCCTCTATATGCTTCTTAAATTGTAGATGTCAGTTTTTCAGCAAGGGCATCAAGATCTTCTTCTGTTACGGCTGAGCTCTCGGTGTCAGCAAGATTAGAGGCGAGGAGCGAGAGGAAGGAGGTGTGGTCTAGTGTATCAAATCTCAGTTTCTGAGCTGTTTCCTTGTATCTCTGATCCCATGGAACAGTAGTAATTAGTGGTTGATAATCAGAGGTAGCATCTAAGTGGCTCGCTATGCTAGCTTTGGCTCCTGCGAGTGCCAGAGGGCTTGAGGCAAAACTGAGGTCTAATACGTTACGTTACCCCTTTCATATGTGGGACAGTCTATATCGGAAATAAGTACTAGACCCTGGAGATCCAGCCAGTTGATAAACAGCTCTGCAAAAGTTGTAGGGCTGCGTTATAGCGAGGGTTGCCATCTGTTGTGTAGTAGGTTGAGATCGCCTGCAAGTATTATTATTTGAGGGAAATATACCTCTGGCAGGATTGTGAGAGCTTTCGTAGCTTCACCTGCTCTGCTGCAGCCTGCTAGGGTATTATAGATATTAACTATTAGAGCAGACTTTCCTGTGGGCGAAAAAATCTGAAGGAATAGGAGATCCGAGGCTTCTTTAGTGTCAGTTGTAAAGGGGCATAGCTGGGAGGTCCGGATGCCTTTCTTCTTTTGGATATAGATGAGGACTTGTGGTCGGCCACTTATTGCCTAGCTATTAGTTAGGGAGAAGCATTCATATGATGGATGTTTTTTAGTGATCTATTAGCTGAGGTCTTTAAATGTATATAGTTCTTGGATTAGGATAATATTAATGTCACTAGTGTATGCCAATATGAGGGCTATTTTATGTGCGTCTGGCGCGTGCCCTATATTTAACTGTAGGATTTTGAGAGGTGCCTTTTGAGTTAGATAGTAATAGATTATAGCTCCTATTCAAGAAGAGAGGCGAACCAGTTTTATGATTGAGGGGTTATAAAATAGACTGCATGAGCTGTAATGGGAGGATCTTTAGTTAAGGCGCGAGGTGGGGGGGTTACTAAACGGAAAGGAGAGATAATCTTATGGATTAAAGGCTGTGATGGCATCTCATCTAATGCTATAGATGTTTCTTGTGTGCCTATAGAGAGCTGAGAGCTACATCCTTCTTCAGTTCGAGCTTTTGCAAGGTTTATAGCATAGGATTTACGAATCTCTGTTTGTTGAGCTTTAGTATATTTAGTATTGCCTTTAGGGCGTAGAAGGCATTCTATGAAATCAGCTAGATATAGTCTATGGCAGTGTATATATCTAGAAGGGCATTGATAAGGCTCTAGGGCTGTACAGTGATTGACATAGCCCTCTTCAGTATACTCTAAGGAGCCGCATAGTTGGCATTAAGAGGGATGTGCACAGGATCGTGTATTATGCCATTTCTAGCATCGTGTATATTAAATAACTATTGTTTTCTTAGAAAGGTAACAAGCATTGGTAATAGTGCTAAAAAGACGTAGCTGGATAGGCAGTAGTGATTTCGTGCCTTCTGGGAAGTTAACAAACTAGCTTGAGGAGAGAGTATCAGGATTAGCAGCGCTCATAGTAGTCTCGCTAATAGATATAGGCTTAAGCCCTGTAGTTTCGCTAATTTCTAAGAATAGTAGTGTAGGATTGACAGGGATTAGAGAGTATTAACCATCCAAGATTTGGCCAATTTTCCTTGGCACGTTGATGACTTGGTACGAGACCTATCGGGAGCTGCGTTCTATCTGGCAGTTAATAAAGAATGTAGAGATAGTCTCTTTTTGGGCCTTAAGGGCTAGGAGGGCTTCTGGAGATAAGGGACATAGTGCAAAGCCAGTCTTTATAGCTTGGACTTCTTTTAGTGCTGCACTATTTAAGTTTAGTTGAGATTGTAGGCTAGAGTAGATAGCATAGACTTCTATTTTTCTGGCTGCATGGTCAGCTGGGAGGCATACGAAGAGCTGGATGTCAGGAAGGGGTTATTTTACCAGAGGCATAGGCTTTTTAATAAAGGATTTAGGGTGAGTGGTGGGAGTTGATTTGACTAGGGCATATTGGGTAATAGTCGCATAAGTTGACTAGTTAAGACCTGAGAGGGGACGTGAGGGAGGGGGTAAAGAGGGTAAGAGATTTAGAGTGGGAGAAGAGAAAGGGGAAGGAGACAGGGCAGGTAGAATGGAGATCATCGAGATACCACTGATATAAGCGTTGAAATGTTGTTGAGCTACCGAGGCGAGGTCATCGCTTAGAGCGGTGAGGGCTCTCAGTAGGTGAGGAGCAAGGCCGGTGGTTTGGCTGCGGTATTTATCAAGGAATACAGCTATGAGGCTGAAGATCTTCTGTCCTTCAGAAGCTCTTGTTGTGGCTGCAGACGTGGATTCCAGAAGGGCTGTCTGTAGAGGGCCATCTGTACCAGGGCCTTTACGCGCCATGGTGTTGCCGGGCGCGTTGAGACGCGTCAAAGGCTGCACTCCTGGGAGCTAGGTGGTAGAGAGGGTTGAGGATTTTGAGCCTCCGACTGTTTGATATAAATAATTATAAGGAAGTCGCCTATCAACTCGAAAATCGTTTTTTGATATATGGATACGGATCCGGGTGCAATTGTCGGATTGGTCGGTTTATTCCAGGCCAATCCTGAAGAGTGTTTTACTAGGATCAAAGAAAAGAAGTGACTAGCAAGATTGTATGCATTGAGTTCTGTGTCTGTCTTTCAAGTTTTTAAAGCCGGGTCCTTTATAGACACCTTTGGCGGGGTGATTTGTGAGCTATCAGGAGGGGTAAATATTGGGCTGAAATCTAGGTGCCCAGATATATGCCTAAAGGTGCCTTTTAGACCTGTAAGATTGAACAGTCGATCTTTCTGCCTCGTTTGAAAGCCGGATTATCTGACAGCAATATCCATGAATATTCATGGTGTTGGATATTTGATACGCTAATCCCAATCAGGATGTCATTACTAATCATGATTCCTCGGAATAATGACATATCCGTGAGAACATGAGAGCCAAACTCAAGCCTACATTTTGGAGTCAGGATTGTCATTTATCCCGTAAATCCGTGATACTTTGCCACTATGATGTGTATATAAAGAGGATCAAGATGTGTAGTTAGCTATGTTTTAGAAGACGTGCAAATCAGAGTCAATTATTCCTCACCCAAATTGTACAACTCCTATCAGAGCCTAACCCCGTTCGGAGTGTGTGTGTGTGTGTGTGTGTGTGTGTGTGTGTATTTAACGGCCGTGGATCGTGACTCGCACGCTTTCCACCAATCCCTACTGGGACATAGGCCGCCGAGGGGTAAGCCTCGGGCTTCAGGTCCTATCAGATTTATATACAAATAAGGGACTCTTTGGCGCATTTCCATAGCTGCCGTGGTCTTACAGGGAGTCCACTTCCGAGTGGGTTTTAGATATTTGCCAGCTGCAATGGTCCACCTACGCTCCATGACCCATAACTCTACCATAATAGTAATCAAGCAGTGAGAGTTTAAAAGAAAGAAGGAAAGAAGGAAAGAAGGGAAGAAAGAGAGAAAGAAAGAGAGAAAAGAGAGATATAAGGAAAAAGTAGGGCTGACTTAGCTAGGTGCTAAGGAGAGGTTGGCGAGAACAGATATCCTCAAAAAAACGGGTCTCTGCTAGCCATGTAGCTAGTTTTTGTGCTCCTTTCGCGGTGCCTAGAAGGAAGGATATGACCTCAGAAGAAGGTCCAGGAGGACGAGGGGCTTATCTCTTAGCTATATAGTAGAAGAAGAAATGTAGAGATGCTTTTCGTACTCTACATTGACAGAGGAGATAAACATCATTATGATTAAAATGTTCATGGTAGTCTGCGAAGTCTCCATATCCAATATGGGCTGCAATGATATAGCCAAGGTCAAGTCGGTTAAGTTAAAGCTCTCCAGGGCGTTTAGGAGATATAGTTATTTCTAGATCTTGGTAAGTTTATAGTGCTATAGTCTGCCACCGTGTCTGGGCAGCAGAGAGAGATTGAGTCTTGGCGTGTCTCTTTAGCGAGGCATATAAGGACTTGCATAGAGAGAGGGAGATAGAGGCAGCTCCCTCTTTAGTAGTAGAATCTGCTGCTTCATTCTTAGGGATTTTAGTGTGTCCAGGGACCCATCAGATTTAGACTGATCCACTTTTGGTATGTGAAAGCCTTTCACGTAGTGGCCAGCCAGCTGCAAGGGTGCGGAAGGATTCAAAGGCTTCTTGAGAAGATCTAGTAGAGGGAGATAGAAGACGCGTGGCAACTTCTAAGTTATCAAGGCAGATCCATAAGTTAATAGCAAATTAAGCTATTAGGTATGCTATTGCTGCTTGGGCACTAGCTAGGGCAGCTTCTGCTTCTGCGTCGAAGACCTCTTTCCCATGTCCATATGAGAGTGAGGAGCGGAGGAACTGATTGTGTGCTTGAAATCCAATGTAATCTCCTCCTGCACATCCATCTACTAGTCTAGATCCATCTGAAAAGATTATAATATCAGAGCTAGGGATGGTGCGTTGAAAAGCTATAAAATCAGCCACTGCCTATTCCTTACTGCGTCCCATGGGAGCTCCTATTTGAGCTTGAGCATTCTCGCGCGTCTTGCGAGGGTGCCAGGGAGCGTGTTGGAGAGGGTTTATCTGCTCAGAGTTGGAGAGGGCCAGTATGCGGCGGGCAAATCGGCTGGTTTGTCGGCTATTACTGGCAACCTATTCTGCGCGTCTTCGAAGTGGGTGGTAAGGATCCAGACGCCGTAGGCGGACAGTTGCGAGGAGGGCTATTCGATCTAGTTCAATTTCTGGTGGAGAGAATCCAGACTCCCAGTAAAGGATAGATATTAGGGTTGTGCGGAAAACTAGAAGAACTGCTCTTGCGCCTGTTAGTACTACTTTAGTTAGTTTCTTAAGATGTTCGCCAACTTGGTTTGAAGTCTAGGTAGGCCCAGGGCGAGTACATCCTGGCCACCAGGTTTCAGCACTATAGTATGCTTTATAGAGTATACAGGCTAATACAGCTTGCTATAGTAAATAAGGTTTAACTCCTCAAGTAGTATTCCCTAGAGAGCGAAGGGCATTAGCCACAGTAAGGGCTTTAGATGCTGTTTCACCGACATGCCATTTAAATGTAAGCTTTTTGTCATAGAGGATTCCTAGCCAATGTAGATATAGGCATTTAGTATTTTCTGAGACTGTAATAGATCTAGCTTTTACTGAAGGTGTGCAGGTTAGGTCCTGGTCTGCTTTTCATTGAGAGAAGTGAAGAAGCTTATATTTATCTGGTGCGAAAGTAATGCCCTCTGCAGCACCCCAGTTAAGAGCTTCTTGAAGTAAGTCTGATAAGGCTTCACAGTTAGTAGCAAGGGATGTTGAGATCGCCAGGTTAGCTGCGTCGTCGGCATAGCCAAATTTGTTCTTTGGGTTTCCTAGACGGAATAGAGACGCTATGTAGAGCATGAATAAAATGCCAGATACTGGGGATCCTTGTGGAAGGCCGCAGGCAATGTCTGTTGAGGGGCCAATCTCTCCATCAAGTCGGATCTGAACTGATCGCCCAGTAGCAAAGGAGGCGATCCAGAGGACAAGATTAGTAGGCCAGCCCTGCTCACGCAATCTACAGATCAGTCTGCCAGGAAGCACGGCGTCAAATGCGCCTTTGACATCTAGGGTAAGGAGTGAGGCAGTCATGCCTTGATTTAGCGCTTGTTCAACGTTATGTGTTAGGCATGTGGTCAGATTGTTTGCAGATCTTAGTGGGAGAGCTCCAAACTGTTGTCTCACTAATACTTTATAGTGTATAGAGATCCATGCCATATTCTGTGCCACTAGGCGCTCAAGTCCTTTACCAAGAACTGATAGGAGAGCGATTAGTCTGTATGATCTGGGCGAGGACCAATTAGTCTTTTTTAGTTTCTAGATAATTGCTAAAATTGCATGTTGGAAGCATTTCAGGTGATATCCAATCTTTAGATACCTTTGGTATAGCATTTGTACCTTATCCTTAATTAAAGGCCATGCTACTTTGAGTATGCAGATTGGGATTTCGTCTGCGCTAGGAGCTGTGTTTCCTGCCTGAAGTATTGACTCCTCCACCTGTGACATTGATATATCTGGAAAGTAGAGGCTAGTGATAGGGACTGCTGGGGAGTCCAGAGGTATGTCTCCTGCCTCAGCCGAGTTTTGAAGAAGATTTCAGACTAGTACGTCTCGTTTCTCGTGTATAGTAACTGCTGGGAGGCTGCTAGGTCTCAGTGGATCCTTCAGTGGAGGGCTTCGGAAGGTGCCTGTGGACTTATGCTATTTACTTATATCGAAGACGTCCTTCATTTGTGTTACTGTAGAGAGCTTATCTCGCTAAAATTGTCGTTAAGACCATCTAGTTATCCTGCGGAAGTCTGTCTTTAAGCAGAGGCCTGAGCGGTAATTGTGTAATGCATTCTTGCAGTCTTTATTTTACCAAGGTTGTCCTATACCTTGTATTAGGGTCCTCTTAGTAGAGCCTCTATATGCTCCTTGAATTGCAGATATCAGTTTTTCAGCGAAAGCATCAAGATCTTCTTCTGTCGCGGCTGAGCTCTCGGTGCCAGCGAGATTAGAGGCAAGGAGCGAAAGGAAGAAAGTGTGATCTAGTGTGTCAAATCTTAGTTTCTGAGCTGTTTCCTTGTATCTCTGATCCCATAGAACAGTGGTAATTAGTGGTTAATAATCAGAGGTTGCATCTAAGTGGCTCGCTATGCTAGCTTTAGCTCCTGCAAGTGCCAGAGGGCTTGAGGCGAAACTGAGGTCTAACACGTTACCCCTTTCATGTGTGGGACAGTCTATGTCGGAAATAAGTACTAGACCCTGGAGATCCAGCCAGTTAATAAACAGCTCTGCAAAAGTTATAGGGCTGCGTTGTAGCGAGGGTTGCCATCTATTATGTAGTAGGTTGAGATCGCCTGCAAGTATCGTTGTTTGAGGGAAATACACCTCTGGCAGGGTTGTAAGAGCTTTTGTAGCTTTACCTGCTCTGATGCAGCCTGCTGGAGCATTATAGATATTAACTATTAGAGCGGACTTTCCTATGGGCGAGAAAATCTGAAGGAAAAGGAGATCCAAGGCCTCTTCAGTGTCAGATGTGAAGGGGCAAAGCTGGGAAGTCCGAATGCCTTTCTTCTTTTGGACATAGGTGAGGACTCGTGGCCGACCACTTATTGCCCAACTGTCAGTTGGGGAGAAGCATTCATATAATGGGTGTTTTTTAGTAATCTGTCAGCTAAGATCTTTGAATATATATAGTTCTTGGATTAGGATAATGTTAATATCGCTAGTGTATGCCAATGTAAGAGCTATTTCATATACATCTGGCGCGTGCCCTACATTTAACTGTAGGATTTTGAGAGGCGCCTTTTGAGTTGGATAGTAATAGATCATAGCTCCTGTTTGAGAAGAGAGGCAAACCAGTTTTATAGTTGAGGGGTTATAAAGCGGACTGCACGAGCCATAATTGAAGGATCTTTAGTTAGGGCGCGAGGTGGGGGGGTTACTGAGCGGAAAGGAGAGATAATCTTATAGGTTGGAGGCTGAGTTGGCACCTCGTCTATTGCCATAGGTGTTTCTTATGTGCCTATGAAGAGCTGAGGGCTACATCCTCCTTCAGTTTGAGCTTTTGCGAGGTTTGTGGCGTAGGATTTACAGATCTCTACTTGTTGAGCTTTAGTATGTTTAGTATTGCCTCTAGGGCGCAGGAGGTATTCTGAGAAATCAGCTGGATGTGGTCTATGATAGTGTATATATCTAGAAGGGCATTGATGAGGTTCCAGGGCTATGCAGTGATTGGCATGGCCCTTTTCAGTATGCTCTGAGGAGCTATATAGCTAGCATTGAGAGGGGCGGGCACAGGATCTTGCATTATACCATTTCTAGCATCATGTGCATTGAATAACTGTTGTTTTCTTAGGGAGGTGACAAGCATTGATAATAGTACTAAAAAGACGTAGTTGGATAGGTAGTGGTGTTTTCATGCCTTCTGGGAAGTTTATAAACCAGCTTGAGGAGGGAGTATCAGGGTTGACAGCGCTTGAAGTGGTCTCGCTAATAGATGTGAGCTTAAGCCCTGTAGTTTCGCTTATTTCTGAGGATAGAAGTGTAGGATTGACAGGGATTAGAGAGTATTGACCATTCAAGATTTGGCCAATTTTCCTTGGCACATTGGTAACTCGATATGAGACCCATCGGGAGCTGCGTTCTATCTGGCAGTTAACAAAGAATGCAGAGATAATCTCTTTCTGGGCCTCAAGGGCTAGGAGGGCTTCCGGAGATGAGAGACATAGTGCAAAGCCAGTCTTTGTGGTTTGAACTTCTTTTAGTGCTGCACTGTTTGAGTTTAGTTAAGACCTTAGGCTAGAGTAGATAGCGTAGACTTCCATTTTTCTAGCTGCATGATCAGCTGGGAGACGTACAAAGAGCCAATTATCAGGAAGGGGTTGTTTAATCAGAGGCATAGGCTTTTTAGTAGGGGCTTTAGAGTGAGTGGTGGGAGTTGATTTGGCTGGGGCATGTTGGGTAATAGTCGCATAAGTTGACTGTTCAAGACCTGAGGGGGGGCGTGAGAAAGGGGGTGAGGGGAGGAAGGAATTTGAGGTGAGGGAAAGGGAAGAGGATAGGGCAGGGGGAATGGAGGTCGTCGAGATACTGCTAATGTAGGCGTTGAAATGTTATTGGGCTATTGAGGCGAGGTCATCGCTTAGAGTGGTGAGGGCTCTCAGTAGGTGAGGGACAAGGCCGGCGGTTTAGCTGCGGTGTTTGTCAAGGAATGCAGCTATAGGGCTGAAGATCTTCTATCCTTTAGAAGCTCTTGTCGTGGCTGCAAACATGGATTCCAGGAGGGCTATCTATAGAGGGCCATCTGTACCAGAGCCTTTACGCGCCATGGTGTTGCCAGGCGCGTTGAGACGCGTCAACGGTCGCGCTCTTGGGAGCTAAGTAGTAGAGAGGGGTGAGGAATTTGAGCCTCTGACTGTTTTTGCTAACCCCGTTCGGACTAGTACCCAAAGATTCCAATACATGTGTTAATGTGCTGGTTGTTGTTATTGGTTATCTAAGCTAACTACAGCTGCGCTGACCCCTTTACGGAGGTCACATGACTCTCGGAGCATAGTTGATCTGTGCCGGAGGGAGATCCACGGGTGTAGCACGCTGACACTCCCACTCATCCGGGATCTCACCAAAGGCGTCAGATCGGCTAGGTTCCTCCCACTAGATCACGGGTGATTTTAATGGGGAAAAGAGAGAGTGAGAAAAGAAGAGAAGGAAAAAAGAGAGTATATACAGGCAGTCCTGGGGGAAAACCTCCATGCAAAACCCTGTGGGATGAAAAATCATGGAGGAAACCAGGCCAGTTCAGGTACATGTCATATCGATTCCATTCCCATCCCTTTTACATGACGTTCATGCAATTCCTTCGGTAGTGCTTTCGTCATATATCGGCCGTCATTTCTGTTGTACGAATATACTCCAGACGAATAAGGCCATTTGCAATAGCCTCGCGTATAACGTGGAAACGGATATCGATATGTTTTGACCTAGTAGAGGGCGAGTGACTAGGTTGATTCGCAGTTGCAATGGCGCCTTGGTTATCACAATGAATTGTGTTGGAAGGCATTGTATGTTCTGCATACTGAGGCAGGATAGCGAGAATGAGTTTCCGAAGCCAGATAACCTCATATGATGCAGTTGCCAGTCCAACATACTCAGCATCATGAGTTGAGCTGGTAACTAAGGATTGCTGTTTTGATTTCCATGATATTGGGCCGCCATTCAAAAGGAATATGAAACCGGAAGTTGAACGTCGGTTATTCAAATCAGCGGCAAAGTCAGAGTCGCTGTAGCCATATAAGACTGAGTCATTGGAGTATGATTTGCAGTAGGCGATGCCCAGGTTCTGGGTGCCAGCCAGATACCTGAGTACACGCTTGAGCGCTGCGGCATGCTTTATACCTGGTTTCTGCACAAATTTGGAGAGGCGAGAAAGTGCAAATGCAAGATCAGGTCTCGTACAAATCATGAGATAGATTAGCGCTCCCACTGCAGCACGGTATTCCAAAGCATCTGTTTCGTTTAGACTTTCTGCATTAGTTGCCTCAACAAGTGGGTGCTTGGGATCAAGTGGAGTTGCAACAGGATTCGTGGGTGCGTTGAAGCGCTCGAGAATTCGCTGTATATATGCCTTCTGATGCAATATCACTTTGCCATTCCGATGTTCAATATGGATGCCTAAGAAGCGCCTAGGTGTTCCTATATCTCGAGTTTTAAATTCATTGCAGCATTCTTTGACGAATTCCTCAATTGCGTCCTGGTCACCAGTTAGCAGGATGTCATCGACAAATAGGAGGAGTATGAGGAATTTGTTATCCAGGCTGCGAATGAATATAGCTGGCTCAGCATCGCACTGATAGAAGCCTGCTTTCAATAGGAATGAGGTCATCCTATCCCACCAGATGCGCGGAGCTTGTTTAAGTCCATACAGAGACCGGCGCAGTTTCAAAACATATTTCTTTGGATCTAAATCCATGCCTTCTGGTATCCCCATATAGACTTCAGAGTCTATATCGCCATTTAGAAAAGCGGTGATAATATCAAGATTGCGTAAGGACTAGCCATTGTGCACAGCTATTGCCACCAGGAGTCGGAATGCAGCTAATGAGGCAGTTGGGGCATAAGTTTCCATGAAGTCTACTCCAAAGCGTTGGAGGAATCCCTTAATCACCAATCGTGCCTTATAGCGAATGCCTTCATCAGGACTCGGTTTACGCTTGAATACCCACTTGCCGGGGATCGGCTTACACCCTTTTGGCATCTGACTGATCTCTTGAACTATCCAAGTTCCATTCTCTTCATGAGATTTCAGTTCTTCTTGCACTGCTGGTGGCCACCTAATCGGATCCTGGAGCAAGGCATCCGAATAGGAGAGAGGATCTCCATTGTGGTCTGTTTGGATCCTCTCTGCTGTTTGCCAGGGTGGGCAGGAGAGCGACTCCATGCCTTGCACGATCAAAGCGGCTTCCACAAGCTCCCTTGTAGTATCGTGCTCATGGATTTTGACGCAGGTGCCAAATACAACGCTTCCTCGTGGGTTGTAGATGGGCTGGCTGTCCATTCGGAGTGCCAGGGACTGGGGGGAGTCCAATGCCCTTTGGGCTACATCTGCTAGTTCCATAGGATCTACTGGCTTTGCAGGATCTTCCGGGTTCACAGGATCTGCAGGTGGTTGGGATTGCTGCAGCCAGAAGGGGTTCATCGAGGAAAATGGTACGCTTGATACATTGGGAAGCGCTCCCGGTACTGACTGACCAAGTACAGTATCGACCGCTGAACCAGGCGGATTTCTTTTATGTGCAATAGACAGTTTAAAACCGGCAGGGCGTTTGAGCCATGGACCAGGGAAAAGGTCTTCATCAAACTTGATTTCAGAATGATTGCTTGTTTGCAGAGTATGAAGATCAAGACATTTATAAATAGACTTTGAGTCTTGTATATAGCCTACCATCATGGCTGGCCTGCAGCGAGGATCAGAGCTCGAGCTGCGGTGCTCCTTTCGAAGGTGTATCCAGACGAGGCATCCCCAGGGCTTCAAGGTAGTAAGAGGTGGTTGCTTCTTATATAAAAGAAGGTGTGGGGATATATTGCCTAGAGTAGTGGATGGCAGGATGTTAGTTAGAAATACCGAGGTGGCCAGGGACTCAGCTTGTAGTCGGTAGTCATCTAGGACACCAGCACCAGCTCTCATAGAGCGTTCCATATTCTTGATCGTCTGAACTCGTCGTTCCAGTACACCATTCTGTTGCTTGACACCAGATGTAGAGACTTGGTGAAGTATTCCGTATTGGCGATTTATTTCTTTGACCATGCTATTTATGAATTCACCGGTACCGCCATCAGTTCGCCATGACTTGATTACAGCATTGAATTGAGTTAGGACCAAGTTTATGAATCCTTGTAGGAGAGGCGTAATTGCAGGAACATTCTTGCTTGAGGCAAAGTAACACCATGCATAGCGAGTGTAATCATCGACCAGTAGTAACATATACTTAGATCCACCAAGGGAGATACCGTCCAAGGGGATAAGGTCGGCATGCACGCGGTCGAATGACTTGCTGCAACGTTCAAGCACAGGAGGGTGCGAATCTGCCTTCATTTTACCTTGTAGGCATGCTGTGCATGTAGGTAGTTGACGCGGCACAGATAAGTTCATGAGATCTCCCACTGATCGAAAATTTCGGTGGCCTAGGCGATTATGCCATAGCCTGAGTGTACTGAATTCTCTTGTACGGAGAGCTCGTGGGGCATTCACTAGAGATGAGGGACTTATATGCATTCGATAAAGATCTCCATGCTTCGAATTGGCTAGTTGAAACCATGCGGAATTTGAGTCGCCTTGCTGCCGTATGTAGACAATGCCATTTTCAATAAGAGTAGAGTAGCCAGCTCGATCAAGGAGCTGCAAGGACAGCAGGTTCTCTGCCAATTTTGGTACGAACCAGACGTTGAGGACTAGAATATAAGGCCCAACTTGAAGATGTTGAGTACCAGATCCCTCTGCATAGATCGTAGTATTATCTCCAAGGTAGATCTCTCTGGGTTCAAGGAAATGTTTGTAGTCCTTAAGGTCCAATTTGCTATTGCAGAAATGCTGTGTAGCTCCAGAGTCCAGTATCCAGCTGAGATAGTCTTGTTGTCGGATCTCACTATTGATGTAGGATGCTCTTGTAAGAAGAAGATGAGATGGATAACTGTAAGCGTTTGACTCAGAGCTTTGAGACTGGGAGGAGGAGAAATTTGCCTGCGGAGGTGGAGGAGCCAGTAGAGGTAGCGGCTGAGGCGGAGGTTGCAAACTGCTTGGCTGTTGAACTAAGTAGGCACGACCTCTGTCAAGCTTTGCAGCGCCAGAGTCTAGTTGCTGTTGTCGAATATGACAGTCACGCTCGTAATGGCCCTCTCGTTTGCACCAGTTACAGATAAGTCGCTTATTCCGAGAATTTCGATTTGATCGTTCACGACGGTTTGAATTTGAGTTATTGCCTCCATTACGGAGGTTCCGAGAGCTTGTTCTGCGGTTCGGACGACGGCCTCGAGTTACTAGGGCTTGGCCAGACGTGTTGTCTCCTTCAGAAGAGGAATCTTTGATATTGGCAAGCAGGTAGGTCACTGTTTCAATGAAGGGAAGGTTCAATTGTTTTGCCGTTTGACCTTCGGTCTTGTAACAGTCAGGGAGTCGATCCACGAGGATGTGAACGGCTATATCTCGATGGATTTTGTAAGAGGTGTTTTCCAAGGAAAGAAAGATATTGCGGAAACGACTTGTGTAGGTAGAAATGGTATCCTTTGGCTCCCACTTGTTGTTGTGGAATGATTCGTATTGAGCAATTAATGGGAGAGTTGTCCCGCGGTCGCAGCCAGCCTTGAGTGAGGACCAGAGGTCTCTTGGGTTTGTATGGCCAACTAGGAGCTTGCGACATTCAGGGGACACATGTTGACGGATTTTGGTAAGGTTTTCGGTTAACGTTTTAGCAATATCTCGATTGACATTAGTCGTAGGGGGTGGCACCGTCACTGTAGATGTTGGATCGACGTACTGCCATAGGTCGTAGAGGATAAGATGATCTTGCCAGTATTCACTCCAATCAACCCAATTGGAGTAGTCGAGGATTGGGAGCTTTTCACCAGAGGTAAAGGTGTTAGAGGCAGACATTTTTTTGGAAGAGTAGAGGAGGTTGTAATCGAAAATCAGAGTCGAGTCTGGGTACTCCTAGGAGCTGTATTTAAGCCTAGAAGTCCTTCAGACAGTCGGTGAGACAGTGAGACGGTGAGGCCTGACATGTCGAAGAAACAGTCGATCGTGAAGTTCTTGATTTCCAACGTAGGTCTTGGTGGCTTCTTGACCGACATTTTGACGTTTGTTGTAGGTGGCTCTCTGAGTTGATTTGTCGCGATCCTTGACTGGTGCGGTCGTATATGGCCATCTTGTGACTGGATTCGAATTAGGAAGTAAGTCAGGTCCAGGTAATCACGATAAAGCATCTATAAAGCTCAGATTGAAGATGCGAGGAGCTCATAACCTGTTAATGTGCTGGTTGTTGTTATTGGTTATCTAAGCTAACTACAGCTGCGCTGACCCCTTTACGGAGGTCACATGACTCTCGGAGCATAGTTGATCCGCGCCGGAGGGAGATCCACGGGTGTAGCACGCTGACAACATGGATAGAGTCACGTGTCGCCGGAAAATTATTATTCCGCTCCGAGACATGGTTTCATGAAAAACTTCTTGGCTGCTTCTTCAGCTTCAAAACCTACCGGCATAATGGACAGATTTATTCGCCCCCATCGAGAGAATACGCGCCAGCCAGGCTTTTGGAAGCTTGCAAATGGTGGTAGCGATAACAAAGCTGGTCTTGAAGATCAGATTGAAAGTCAGTCTGTCGAAGGCCTTGGTACTTTTGAATATGCTACATCACAAAGTAGTTCTCTTACTCCGAATGATTCAGCTTCACAAATTCAGTTATCCACTCTAATTAATCCTTTTCTCGAGCCTCTAAAGCCAAAGAGACAGCGAAAAGAAACTTCATGGGTCTATACCCATTTTCAACAAACATTACTACAGGGAAAGAATTTCTTTGATAAACAGACTGGAAAGATAAAAGCAGACATACAGTATTCTTGTCTATATTGTATAGCTCTAGAGGAATGGACTACTGTTAAATCAGTTACTAAGGGTTCAACTAGCAACTTGCAGAAGCATTTAGGGCAGAAGCATGGTATCTATAAAGATAGTGACACTTCTTTAGGTGACTATTTCTACTGGTATTTATTATATATATATGTGCTAAGATATATAGCTATCACATCGTCTCAAAGTTCAATTCTTTTCTATATTAGAGGTCAACCTTTACAATCTCCTCAAGAACTTCTCGATCAAAATATTTTCAACTGGGCTATCGGAACAATGCAGCCATTTTCAACATTTGATGACCCTCTTTTCAGGCAAATCTGGAGTGATCTCCCAGGATTTTCTTGCAAATATGGATCTTCGAATTCATTTTCCCGTCATGTTGACGAAGAGTTTGCTAAGGCTCGGATACAACTAAAGAATGAGCTTGGAAAAATAGAGAATTGCAGTACTATTGCACTCTCTCTTGATGGATGGAAGAGTGCAAATGGCTACAAGATCTTTGCAATTATTGGTCATTGGATTACAGCAGATTTTCAGCCTCAGCATAGAATTCTTGACTTCCAAGAGATAGAAGGCCCTGATACTGGTGAGAATCTAGCATCTATTGTCTATAAGGTTCTATGCGAACTAGACATTAAAGCTAAGCTTATTTCTATTACTGGTGATAATGCAAGTAATAATTTAGCAATGGCTGAAATTCTCTATGATTTACTTAAAGCCAATTATGAACAAGGCAATACTCAGCAAATAATAAGATATCAAGGAGAAGGTAGCTTTATTCGTTGTCTTGCACATATTCTAAATCTGATTGTTAAGGAATTTCTTGCTGTTTTGAAAGCTAGTGTTGGATGTGCGGGTGCAGTCGAGAGCTGGTCACGTGATATTGCTCACGTGACGCAGGCTACACGAAGGGATGATCTACCGCGTCGAGGTCAAAATAGCAAGAAGAGACAGATAATCAGAAGAATATGACTTTACCAATTGGTTACTAAGCTACTTGTATGCACATGTGCAGAAGCGAACCCACACTGATCAGTCTTGGTTGCAGAACTAAGACAGATTGGCAAGGTATCAGACCCCTACGCGGTAGCCACCTGTGGTTATAGGTAGTAAGGCCTGACTCCAGGATTTGTGTTATCTCATCGCGAGGAACCGAATCCAAGTGGAAGAGACAGACTCTGCAGCGTCATCTGTGACAAACTGAGCCTGTGCTAGAAGCCTCTCTCCTCTCAGAGCGAGACCCAGAGAGACTGTATTTGGGACAGTTCGTCAACGAGCCAACATTCCATAATACTACCATATCGCGAGACCACGCCGTTGACGCGTACAAAAGTCAACATCAATCAAATATCAAGAAAGAAGAGACAACCTACTAACAAGCTTCCTAAAGCCAGCAAGGGCAAGAATGTCTCAACCAACTCCAGCAAATCCAAACAGCTAGGGCGAACACGACAAGTATCAATTAGTTGGAAGTCAACATAGCGAAGCTGACAAGGACGAGACAATGGAACTGCCAGACAATAAATTCTTGATGGAAACTAGACTCAATAATGCTGCCAGACGGAGAAAAATTAACATGATCACATAGTTCAAAGATGTTACACCAGAGGACAATGAGCGAGCGTTATTCACCTATACTGTCCAAGCCATATATAATGCCGCAAGCAGTCATCACTTCAACTATGAAATCTTTGAATGGTTTCATGATTACTTTAGAGAGTAGGCTATCAACAGTTTCAAGCGCTTAAATAGGACAGTGAGAACTAAATTGAAGGACTTCATCTAGTACTATGGCGTGTACATTAACCACAGAAATAGGAAGACCATCCTAATGGCGTTGATGGAATTATTGGAGAAGAAAGACTCTCTTAAATAGCCTGAGAAAGCTCTATAAAAAAGGACTTTCCACCCTCGATCAAAGATGGCCTCACAACACTATGAATAGACAGTAGCTACCCATATCAAGGAGTTAAGAATTGCCAATGATGCCTACATGGTACCATCCATCGAGGAAGAAGATGAGGGTATTCATAAAGAACTACCTTCTTCTAAGACGCTAAGTCAATTAATTCAAGACCATGTTCAATTGCCATTAGAATCTATCCAAGACGTCTCAAGATTTACGCCTTTGACAGGTGCAAATGCAATTCCAGTAGGGATACCGGACTCTGCCAAGGTCAAGATATCGGAAACACCAATACTGAGTACCTCCACGACCTCAACCTCCGCAAGGATGTTGGACCCCTACATCAAGTTACCACCTGAAGAATATAGACGTGAGCCTATTGATTCACAGCTAGCTATGAAATTTGCCAAGGCATGGGACAAGTCCAAGAATTACTCAGGAGAATAATATGATATCCTGGATGACAAAGTTCGCGCCTTCTTAAGAATATACAGACTGATTGGAATCCACTTGGATTAATGCTGGGCGATCTTCCCAGAGATACTATCTGGACGAGCGGAAACATATTACATACATCATATCGACCTGGGTGCTTTATTTGCACAGACATATTAGGCTATCAAGAGATATTTTGATACAGAGTCAAATTATGCGTTGTACTACCACGATTAGACATCAATCACCTTAGGAAATATATATCGTGAAAATGCTGGAAAGACGTTAGAACAAGCAGTTAAGATTCTGGTAGAGAAGCTTCATCTATGCCAGCGTGCGTTAGGGCAGCAGTATATGGCCCCCGAGCACCTAGTATCCGCCATCGTGAGAGCTTACTAAGGATCACCAGAAATAGGTGAAGCTCTCACTAAGCCAATAACAAATTTTGAGATTTTAGTGTTACAGCTCTAGGCAAGAGCTGCCTTAGTCCAAACAAAAGAGAACTCTAGCCAATATCTAGCGGAACCAGATAACACACCGACAATGCTCTTCACAGATAGGAAATTTAGAGGACATACAAACTGTACCGGTTGACAACCACCACCGCGTCAAGTATACCGACGCCAAAACCGGAAGGACGGTAGATATCACTAGAAAGGGAGGGGATGATGCTGGATATATTAAAAGCTAGATTGTCGATCATTCAAGTATTCTAAGAAGGAACGCTATGAGGCAAGGAAATGGTTCGACGGATATCAACATATAGATAGAAAAGCCATAGCAATGGACCGTGCATATTGGACTTTCCTTATGGAATTCAAATCTGGTTGTAACATCACGTCAGATAGCGAAGACGAGGAGGAAGTCGACAATAATGACAAGGATGAAGCAACAGCATACTATATGGTTGGATGACTACAAGATCAGGCATTCTTACATCAGATAATAGGCGAGGAGACTGAACAGGATTACCCTTCTACTATTGCTTCTCAATTTGTGATAGACCGACATGATAGTGAGATTTTCCATGGAATCTTACCTGACATAGGAGCAGCGAGAGTATCAACGGTTAGAAGACGTCAACTCACCACTTTACAAAAGATCTATCTAGGGATCATGGTTGACGAATCTCGTGCAGGAGAGCACTCAATTCAATTTGGTCAAGGGGATAGCGTCGACTCTGAGGGAGCTGCTACTATCAAGACCCCAATTGGCGATGTCGATTTCCATGTTATGAATACACCGACCCTATTTTTACTTTGCATTGCTGATATAGATCGCTATGAAGCTTATCTTGACAACACCACCAACTGCTTAGTTAAGGGAGATTTGAGAGTGCTAATTGTCTGGAAATGAGGACACCCTTGGTTCTTTCTAGATGATAGTCATACACCAGTAACGTTCTTGACAGAAGTGGAAATGAGACGTCTTTATCAATGATTTAGTTACCCAAGTGTTGACTGATTGCATAAACTCTTGGAGCAAGCTAGTCATGACAATGTTGACCACAAATCCCTTGCTGAGATTGAGAAGTATTGTCACCACTGCCAGATGAATTAGCAGGCACCCCGCTAGTTCAAGTTTACATTGACTGACGACTGTGAGTTCAATTATAAGATTATCATTAATATTATGTATCTCAATGGAAAGCTAGTGCTTCATGTTGTAGATTGGGTAACTTCCTTCCAGGCAGTGAGATTCTTAAAATCTCTCTCAACAAAGGATACTTGGGAAGCACTTAGGATGGCATGGATTGACACTTACCTTGGTCCACCAGACATCATATCTCATGATGCTGGGACGAATTTTGCATCAAATAAATTCAAAATGGAAGCCAGGATGATGGGGATTATATGCCACTAGGTACCAGTGGAAGCACATTCCAGCATTAGTAAAGTTAAGTGGTATCACGCATCACTATATAGAGTATTCAATATTATCTCTACAGAACTTGGCACTAGTGTTGACAAGGATGTAGTTCTCTAAATGGCAGTTAAGGCCATTAACAATACTATGGGACTAGATAGAATTGTGCTAATAGTGTTAGTTTTTAGGGCATATCCGCGGATAACGTTGGATTCACCACTATCTACATTAATAATTAGACGTGCCCAGGCGACAAGAAAGGCAATAGCCAAATTAAGAAAGGCCATGGCCAAGAGGAGAGTTAATGACGCCCTAAACACCAGGAACAGTCTAATAATCATAGAGACACTTAATCTTTCTCCAGGGACCAATGTCAAAGTTTGGCGAGAAGATAAGGGTTGGACAGGCCCACATAAACTCATCTTAGTAAATGGTCATGACGTGACAGTCAATCTTGGTAATAGTGCTGTCGCTTTCCAGGCAATGTCAGTCTAGCAGTATCTCCAAGATCAAAGAGAGACAGATGATAGAATCCACGTCTCTAAACCACCTGTGACACCTCCACCTCCACGATGTCGAGAACGACCACGAGGATCCAAGAACAAGCAAAAAGTGGATGTCAACGTATACCTATCGAAGAAAGAGAAGGGCGACCTTGAACTTGCACTCAAATTGAGACGAGAAGGAAATATTGTGACAGAAGGTGCCCCATTTGAACTTTTAAGCGTTGCAGAGATCGATGGCCTGATTGCAAATAGAACGTTCAAAATCGTCCACCGAGACAATGTGAACCTCAGAGATCTCCGCATTTTCAACTCCCACTTGGTTAATGAGATCAAGGGGAAGAATGAGATCCCATATGAGAAATCACGCCTAGTCATCCAAGGATATAATGACGCTAGAAAAGCTGGGATTCTGACCTAAGCGCCAATAATTCAACAGGCCAGCCAGAGGCTATTAATATCCCTTATCCCCACTTTGCTGAGTATGGATATGGTTGTGGAGATCCATGATATCATACAAGCGTATACACAGGCCAAGACAAAGTTGCAACATATTATTATTGCTAACCTACCCAAAGAAATGAGGGGTAAATATCCACCAGACTCACTACTATTAGTAGAAGGAGCTTTGTATGGTATTCCTGAAGCTGGCGTTCATTGGTTTAGCACCTACCACAAGCATTATAAGGTGAAAATAGACATGGTGTTGGTTGCTTCGTGCAATCGAGATGCCTGGCACTGGTATGCAGCAAGGAGAGGTCACGTATGGCTTACACGTGACCTCGTCAAGCAAGGACTATATAGACCGCGTCAGGGCCTCATTAAGACAGACAGACACAACAGAACACAGAACCCAATAATCACCTATTGAGATTGACTCAAGTGCTTCGTACGTACGCATATGCACCTTAGTGCACCCACACTGATCAGTCTTGGTTGCAAAAACTAAGACAGATTGGCAAGGTCTCTGAATTCTATATCGATAGTCACCTGTGGCTACAGAATAGAACTGGATTCCAGGATTTGAGCTTCCTAGTGTAGGAAACCAAGTCCAGTGGAAGAGGGAGATTCGACGCCGTCAACCTGTTGACGAATCGAGTCTTTGCTAAAAGGTTTTCTCATCTCTGAGCGAGATCTAGGAACCTGTAGTCTGGGATAGGTTGTTATTGTAATAACATTCCAGAGCTACCGCCCTATCGCGAGACGCGTCGTTGGCACGTACACAAGCCAACAGCAAAAACAACAAAAACAATCATCAAGAAAAACGTGACACCTTATTGAAAGTTTCACAATATCAACAAGACCAGTTATGGCTGACAAAAACGCCATCCTGTCGGACAATAGCCAGGACGATACTAGCGAATATCAATACCAAGACCCATCTCCAGGAGATAGAGGAGTCTCCTCAGGAAGGTACCAAACCGTACCGGAAATCAACTTCCCTGACGACAGGTGGATGACTGAGATTGGGTTCAACAACGAGACGGGACGCAAGTTGGTCAACATGGCGCTATGGGATAAGGAAGTTGAACCTGGCGACACTGAGATAGCATTATCTACTCGTGCAATAAGTGCCTTGTACTATGCCGCGTGCAATTAATATGTTGATTATGAGATCTTCATGTGGCTTCTTGATTACTTTAGCAACTGGACCCATGATGACTTTAAACGGCTTAGCGTACACGTCCAGAAAAAGATCAAGGACATGCTAATGGACCGAGGCATCTTTGTCGATTATGTTGGCAGGAAGAAGATGATTGCAAAGGCACTAGATGATTTAGTGCAGATGACTAGGATGCCTGAGTGGCCGCATGAGATTGCTGCCGCCAAAACCTTTGACTCACGGTCGAAAATGGCCAAGGGTCAGTTCCCTCAACTTACTACAAAAAATGGCAGTGAAGAAGAGGAACCAGAGGTAATAGTCTCTTCTATCGAGAGTGGCAAGAAGGACAACGCAAAGGGTAAGCAACTGTTGGTAGAGACACCGAAGCAGACGTCTCAAGATCATGGTCAACAGCCAGAAAATCACGCTCAAGGCTTCAAGTGATCACCGTTCTTGACCGGCGCGAATGCTATGCTAATAGTGCCACGAGATGACAAGCCTAATGGACCTCAAGATCGCCTAAGCTTGCCTGGACCTGCTTATACTTACCCATACCGCCCCAAACTTGAGGACGACTGGCATAGGCAGACACCGCGTTATACTATAGCACCCCCAGCGCCTGGGATCTCAATGCCATTAGGAGAGTGGGATGATTGGACCATGCTACCACCTAGAGAAGTTGAGTGTGAGCCTATTGATTCAAAGTCAATGCTCACGTTTGTCAAGATATGGGATAAAAAGTTTGCTTACTCTGGAGATCGGTATGATATCTTGGACGATAAAGTACGCGCATTCTTAAGAGCGTGCAAGCTCTCTAGCATTCTGATTAGTCAATGTTGGGAAGTCTTTCCTGAGATGCTATCTGGACGTGCAGGGGCGTACTATATGCACCATGTCAAGCCAGGTGCTTTGTTCGCTCAGGCGTATAATGCGATAAAAGTGTACTTTGACACGCCCAACAACCAGACAGATTACTACCAGGAGTGGACCACAGTCACCCTGGCTGGAGAGCGCCAAAGCAATCCCGGTAAATTGTTGGTTGAGGTTGTAGATCTCATAGTCGATAAACTTCATTTATGCTAGCGAGCGTTAGGATTGGCATATGCTGGTGATGAACATCTCATCGCTGCCATCACGAGAGCGTGTCAATCTACACCAGAAATGGGCGAGGCTCTCAGTGAACCAACAAGCAGCTTCCAGATAATCATTTCTAAGCTGCGTGCCAGGGTAGGTGTAGTGCAGCGGAAGGAATCAGCAGGCCAGTATATGGTAGATAAAGTCAATAATCCTCAAGTGTTCTATACAGACAGGAAGTTTATAGGACGCACAAATCGCCACGACTATCCTAGATCGCGTCAAGAATACCAACGCAAGAACCGTGACGACGCTAAACAACTCAGGAAGAGCGATAGAAGGTGCTTTATTTGTTATCAAGAGAACTGCTGTTCATGGAAGCATTCTGAAGAAGAACGCCGCGAAGCGTGAGATCGATATGACCGCTATCGACAGGTGGATGGAAGGAAGAAGCTGTTAACCTACGCTTACCAGACCTTCTTGCAGGAATATGAAGGCACCTCGTCAGACGAGGAAGACGAGGATTCCACTGAGGAGGAGGTTAAGCAGGACGTGGCCACCGCGTACTTTATGGTCAACCAACTGCAGGATCGTGCCTTTATCCACCGGATAACAGGCTGCAATAATGGCATAGAGCCGCCTGGACTTCACCTTGATTTTGAAGTTAAATCATCTGGCCAATCAGAAGGCGAGAATAACTACCTTGCACCTGCCTCTCAGTTTCTTCTCGACCGCCATAAAAATGAGACTTTTTATGGGATCATGCCAGATACAGGAGCATCGACTGTCTCAACCGTTGGTAAAGGACAACTTGCTGCCTTCCTGAGACTCTATCCCCACACCAAGGTCGATAGATCGCGTGTAGGGGAGTACTCAGTCCGCTTTGGCATGGGCGACCCGATAACCTCGACTGCAGTGATTACCGTGGAATCGCAGTTTGGTGATATAGAATTCAACGCCATGGATTCACCAACGCCTTTCCTGTTCTGCCTCAAAGATATGGATCGCCTACGCGTTAAATTTGACAACTTTACCAATGAGATGATCCAGGGAGATCTTATCGTACCGGTCATTCGCAAGCGAGGCCACCCGTGGTTCTTCCTGGATGAGAAGTACGCACCAGAGGCGTTTCTAACTGAGGTTGAGATGAGGCGGTTACACCGCCGATTCGGTCACCCTGCAGTTGACAGGCTGCACAAGGTCTTAAAGCGTGCAGGCCATCTTGACGTGGATTATAAGATGCTTGCGCAGATTGAGGAATTCTGCCACCATTGCCAAATAAACCGGCAAGCACCTAGACGATACAGATTCACGTTGCATGACGACTGTGAGTACAACTACGAGATCGTTGTTGACGTTATGTATCTTGATGGCAAGCCAGTACTGCATATCGTTGATTGGGCAACCTCATTCCAAGCAGCGAGATTCTTGAAGTCCCTATCAACTAAGGACACCTGGGAAGCGCTTCGGGCAGCATGGATTGACACATATCTTGGTCCCCCTGATGTTATATCCCACGACGCAGGAACAAACTTTGCTGCAGTAGAATTTAGAACTGAGGCTAGGATGATGGGAATCCGGTGCCACCAGGTGCCTGTCGAGGCTCACAACGCTATTGGCAAGGTCGAACGGTACCACACACCACTGCGCCGCGCTTATAATATCATATTGTCGGAACTTGGTGCAAGCGTCGACAAGGAGATCATACTTCAGATGGCGGTTAAGGCTGTTAATGACACAGTAGGACCAGATGGATTAGTACTAACCGTACTAGTCTTTGGTGCCTATCCTCGCATGACTTACAACTCGCCACCATCAGCATTGACAGCAAAGCGCGTCCAGGCCATGAGGAAGGCCATGATTGACTTAAGGAACGCCATGGCCACGCGTAAAGTCAATAACGCTCTCAAGGCCAGGAACGGCCCGATTGTCACGGAAACGCTCAACCTGGCACCAGGAACCGACGTGCAGGTCTGGCGAGAAGGTAAAGGATGGACTGGCCCGCACAAAGTTATCTCAGTCAACGATTACAATGTGATTGTGGACCTACCCAGCGGTATTACTGATTTCCGTGCAACTTCAGTCCGACGTTACCAGCGAGACGAGATCGAGTCGCCTCCGACTCGGCGCCTACTAGACACTGATCTTCCTCCTCAAAAGGAGGAAGAAGGTAGAGAAATCGACGGCCTACTGGCGGGCCGGCAAAGCGGCCCAGTAGTTGCTCGGGGATCCTCATCATGTGACGCTGCCGCAGAAGTGGAATCAGGAGAGCATGCCGGCGCTGTGAATCCGAATCGCCGCCTGAGGAAGAGAGGGATTCATGTTCCTGATGCACCGGTGATGCCGCCAGCGCCACGCCGCCGAGGACGGCCCCCAGGTTCGAAGAACAAGCCAAAGACCTATACGACTGAGGTCGAGGTGTTCCTATCTAGGAAGGAAAAAGATGACCTGGGACTAGCAGTCAAGCTGCGCCGAGAAGGGAAGATAACCGCAAACGGCGCGCCATTTGAGCTCTCTGCAATGGCTGAGATCGATGGTCTCATTGCGAATGGCACTTTCAAGATAATACACCGTGAAGATTTGGATCTCAGAGCTGTACGAATCTTCAACTCCCGGTTGGTCAATGAGATAAAAGGCAAGAACGAGGAGCCGTACGAGAAGTCACGCCTCGTCATACAGGGTTATAACGACGCGGGCAAGACTGGCATATTGACACAAGCGCCGACGATTCAGCGCGCCAGCCAGCGCCTCATCGTATCACTTATCGCTACGCTGATTCTCATGGGCATGGTCGTCGATCTGCGTGATATTACCCAGGCGTACACTCAATCAAAAAGCAAGCTACAGCGCCTGATTGTTGCCAACCTGCCGGCCGAGATGAGAGATAAATACCCTCCGGATTCGCTACTCCTTGTGGAAGGTGCCTTGTACGGGATCCCTGAAGCCGGTGTACACTGGTTTGACATATATCAATCCCATCACAAGGACCGGCTTGGTATGGAGACATCCACGTACGACCCGTGCCTTCTCATGACGACCGAGGGAAAGGAGAACTTTGGCCTTATCGGTATGCAGACGGACGACACCCTGCTTGTCTCAACAGAAAGTTTTGCCAGAGAGGAACAAGCGGCCTTACAAGAAGCTGGCTTCAAGGCGAAGCCTAAGACACGCCTATCCCAACAAGTACCACTAGAATTCAATGGCGCTAGAATCACCTTGCAAGATGGGAAAGTCTATCTCCGCCAAAAGGGACAAGCCGCAAAGATAAAGCCAGTGGGCAAGAAAGATCGCGCACAAAAGTACATGGAACAACGCGCGCGCGGTGCATACTTGGCTTCAATCTGCCAACCCGAAGCGGCGTACGATTTGGCAGTTGCCGCTCAGCTGCAGGAGAAAGACCGCTCTGAGGCAGATTATGACGTGTTGAATAAACGCCTTATATGGCAAGCCGAGAACCCGGATAGAGGACTCTGTTTCGTACCAATTAATTTAACCAAGGCCAAAATCATGGTATTTACAGACGGTTCCTTCGCCAATAACCGGGACTTGACCTCCCAAATTGGCTTCCTCATTGCCATGGTAAACGAGGACTTTTCCCAATCAGGCCAATTCACGATAACCGGCAATATCTTGCACTGGGCCTCGTCTAAGTGCAAACGGGTTACACGCAGTGTACTGGCCTCCGAGATTTATGGCCTCACTACTGGCTTCGACCAAGGTTTTACCCTGGCCAGCACAGTCAACATGATCACCAAGAGGCTCGGCCAACCTGAGATGCCGGTAGTAATCTGCACGGATTCCTACTCGCTATATGAGTGCCTCACGAAGCTTGGAACAACCAAAGAAAAGCGCTTAATGATTGATCTCATGGCGCTTCGCCAGTCATATGAGCGACGTGAGATTGACGAGATCCGGTGGATCCACGGTGACGATAACCCTGCAGATGCCTTCACAAAGTCAAACCCGAACAAGGCCCTGCAGGACCTCGTTGAATATAACAAGGTGACGATCCGGGTGGAAGGTTTCGTTGAGAGGACTAGGACCAATTAGGAAGCGACTAGGAGCCAAGTAGGTGGCATATAGGAGGTGGTATTAACGTGAGAAACCTGTTTTTAGTGTTTTTAATGCTTGTACTTGTTGACGACCGCTTTGTGCGAGTACTGACCTATTTGCTTACCAAATGAGTCGGTTACGACAGCGGTTTGCTTGTTGATCGTTTTGTCATGTTTTTACTATGGTGTTTTTCACGGGTTTCCGGATCTCGATTGCAAATCGTTTTGTAAAAGAGATCCAGTGTTGGTTGCTTCGTGCAATCGAGATGCCTGGCACTGGTATGCAGCAAGGAGAGGTCACGTATGGCTTACACGTGACCTCGTCAAGCAAGGACTATATAGACCGCGTCAGGGCCTCATTAAGACAGACAGACACAACAGAACACAGAACCCAATAATCACCTATTGAGATTGACTCAAGTGCTTCGTACGTACGCATATGCACCTTAGTGCACCCACACATGGAGACTTCTACATATAATCCATGTCTACTCATGATAAAACCAGGCGCTGAGAGCTTCAGCCTGGTGGACATGCAGACTGATGACACACTCATCATCGCAATAGAAAAGTTTGCCAGGGGTGAGGAGCAAGCACTACAGGAAGCAGGATTCAAAGCTAAATCTAAAACCTAATTGTCACAGGATACTCCTTTAGAATTTAATGGCGCAAGGATTATTTTAGAGCAGGACAACATCTTCATACAGTAAAAAGTGCAAGCGACAAAAATAGAGCCGGTTAGAACAACAGATCGCGCGCAGAAGTACATTGAGCAACGGGCATGAGGTGCTTACCTCGCGTCTATCTGCCAACCAGAGGCTTCTTATAATCTCGCCATCGCGGCCTAGTTGCAGGAGAAGGACCAATCCAAAGACGACTATTTAGCATTAAACAAATACCTCATATAGCAAGCCAAGAATCCTGAACAAGGTCTTAGATTTATCTCTCTTAATCTGACAAAGGTAAAGATCATAATCTTTATCAATGGATCCTTCGCCAATAACCGGGATCTGACCTCCCAGATTAGCTTCATGATTACAATGGTCAATGAGGACTTCACCAAGGAAGGCCGCTTCATCATAACCGGGAATATAGTCCACTGGGCCTCATCTAAATGCAAGCGCGTCACTCGGAGTGTACTGGCCTCAGAAATCTACGGATTGTCAACTGGATTTGATCATGCAATCACTCTGGCCAGCACTGTCAGGATGATCACGGATCATCTCAACATGCCCGCAATCCCTGTCGTAGTCTGCACCGATAGCTACTCACTATATGAGTGCCTCGTTAAGCTTGGGACGACCAAGGAAAAGCGTCTTATGATTGACCTTATGGCGCTTCGACAATCATATGAAAGACGAGAGATTGAGGAGATACGCTGGATCCATGGAGACGACAATCCTGCGGACGCTTTCACGAAGGCGAACCCAAATGGAGCCCTAAGGGACTTCATTGACAATAACAAATTGACAATTCATGTGGAGGGGTTCGTTGACAGAACCAAGCAGGACTTGGGGGTAGCCATTGACGTTGTTTGAGATTATTCTTGGTGGTTTCGTTTTGACCTTTTTGTCATGTGGATGGGTTGATAATCCTGGTCGTCCATTGACTGGTACGTGTATGTTTTTCTGCGTCGTTTTCGGGACAATTGAGACCTCGACTGCAATCCCATTTGTAAAAGAGATCCAGTGTTGGATGTGCGGGTGCAGTCGAGAGCTGGTCACGTGATATTGCTCACGTGACGCAGGCTACACGAAGGGATGATCTACCGCGTCGAGGTCAAAATAGCATCAGATTGTACGCCCACAATTTTTCGAGTTGATAGGCGACTTCCTTATAATTATTTATATCAAACAGTCGGAGGCTCAAAATCCTCAACCCTCTCTACCACCTAGCTCCCAGGAGTGCAGCCTTTGACGCGTCTCAACGCGCCCGGCAACACCATGGCGCGTAAAGGCCCTGGTACAGACGGCCCTCTACAGACAGCCCTTCTGGAATCCACATCTATAGCCACAACAAGAGCTTCTGAAGGACAGAAGATCTTCAGCCCTATAGCTGTATTCCTTGATAAACACCGCAGCCAAACCACCAGCCTTGCTCCTCACCTACTGAGAGCACTCACCGCTCTAAGCGATGACCTCGCCTTGGTAGCTCAACAACATTTCAACGCTTATATCAGCGGTATCTTGACGACCTCCATTCTACCTGCCCTATCTTCTTCCCCTTCCTCTTCCTCCACCCCAAATCCCTTACCCTCTTCATCCTCTCCCTCACGTCCCCCCTCAGGTCTTAACCAGTTAACTTATGCAATTATTACCCAATATGCCCTAGTCAAATTAACTCCCACCACTCACCCTAAAGCCTCTATCAAAAAGCCTATACCTCTGGTGAAACAACCCCTTCCTAACATCTAGCTCTTTGTACGCCTCCCAGCTGACCACGCAGCCAGAAAAATAGAAGCCTACGCTATCTACTCTAGCCTACAATCTCAACTAAACTTAAATAGTGCAGCACTAAAAGAAGTCCAAGCTATAAAGACTGGCTTTGCACTATGTCCCTCATCTCTAGAAGCCCTCCTAGCCCTTAAGGCCCAAAAAGAGACTATCTCTGCATTCTTTGTTAACTGCCAGATAGAACGCAGCTTCTGATAGGTCTTGTACCGAGTCACTAACATGCCAAGGAAAATTGGCCAAATCTTAGATGGTTAATACTCTCTAATCCCTATCAATCCTACACTACTATTATTAGAAATTAGCGAAACAACAGGGCTCAAGCCTATATCTATTAGCAAGACCACTACAAGCGCTGCCAACCCTGATACTCTCTCCTCAAGCTGGTTTGTCAACTTCCTAGAAGGCACAAAATCACTACTGCCTATCTAGCTACATCTTTTTAGCACTATCATCAATGCTTATTATCTCTTTAAAAAAACAATAGTTATTCAATGTACACAATGCTAGAAATAGCATAATGTATAATCCTGTGCACGCCCCTCCTAATACCAACTATGTGGCTTCTCAGAGCATACTAAAGAGGGCCATGTCAACCACTGCACAGCCCTAGAGCCTCATTAATGCCCTTCTAGATGCATACACTGCCATGGACCACATCTAGCTGATTTCACAGAATGCCTTCTACGCCCTAAAGGCAATACTAAACATACTAAAGCTCAATAAACAGAGATTCGCAAATCCTGCGCCATAAACCTCGCAAAAGCTCAAACTGAAGGAGGATGTAGCTCTCAGCTCTCTATAGGCACATAAGAAATACCTATGGCATTAGATAAGATGCCATCATAGCCTTTAATCTATGAGATTATCTCTCCTTTCCGTTCAGTAACCCCCCCACCTTGCGCCCCAACTGAAGATCCTCCTATTATAGCTTGTGCAGTCTGTTTTACAACCCCTTAACTATAAAACTGGTTCGCCTCTCTTCTTGAATAGGAGCTACGATCTATCACTATCCAACTCAAAAGGCGCCTCTCAAAATCCTACAGTTAAATGTAGGGCACGCGCCAGACACACATGAAATAGCCCTCATATTAGTATACACTAGCAACATTAATATTATCCTAATCCAAGAACTATATACATTTAAAGACCTCAGCTAATAGATCACTAAAAAACATCCATCATATGAATGCTTCTCCCTAACTAATAGCTAGGCAATAAGTGGCCGACCACGAGTCCTCATCTATATCCAAAAGAAGAAAGGCATCCGGACCTCCCAGCTATGCCCCTTTACAACTGACACTAAAGAAGCCTCGGATCTCCTATTCCTTCAGATTTTTTTGCCCATAGGAAAATCCGCTCTGATAGTTAACATCTATAATGCCCCAGCAGGCTGCAGCAGAGCAGGTGAAGCCGCAAAAGCTCTTATAACCCTGCCAGAGGTGTATTTCCCTTAAACAATAATACTTGCAGGCAATCTCAACCTACTACACAATAGATGGCAACCCTCGCTACAACACAGCCCTACAACTTTTGCAGAGCCGTTTATTAACTGGCTGGATCTCCAGGGTCTAGTACTCATTTCCGACATAGACTGTCCCACACATGAAAGGGGTAACGTGTTAGACCTTAGTTTCGCCTCAAGCCCTCTGGCACTCGCAGGAGCCAAAGCTAGCATAGCGAGCCACTTAGATGCAACCTCAGATCATCAACCACTAATCACCACTGTTCCATGGGATCAGAGATACAAGGAAACAGCCTAGAAACTGAGATTTGATACACTAGACCACACCTCCTTCCTCTCGCTCCTCGCCTCTAATCTTGCTGGCACTGAGAGCTCAGCCGCAACAGAAGAAGATCTTAATGCCCTTACTGAAAAACTGACATCTGCAACTTAAGGAGCATATAGAGGCTCTGCTAAGAGGACCATGACACAAGGCATAGAATAACCATGGTGGAATAAAGACTGCAAGAAAGCTTTACACAATTACCACTTAGGCCTCTGCTCAAAGACAGACTTCTGCAGGATAATTAGATGGTCTCAACAACAATTTTGGCAAGATAAGCTCTCTACGGCAACACAAATGAAGGATGTCTTCGATATGAGTAAATGGTATAAGTCTACAAGCACCTTCTGAAGCCCTCTACTGAAGGATCCACTGAGACCCAACAGCTTCCCAGCAGTTACTATACATGAGAAACAAGACGTACTAGTCCATAATCTTCTCCAAAACTCGGCTGAGGCAGGAGACATACCTCTGGACTCCCCAGCAGTCCCTACCACTAGTCTCTACTTCCTAGATATAACAATGGCACAGGTGGAGGAGTCAGTACTTCAGGCAGGAAACACAGCCTCTAGCTCAGACAAAATCCCAACCTGCATACTTAAAGTAGCATAGCCTCTGATTAAGGACAAGGTACTAATATTATATCAAGAGTGCCTAAAGATTGGTTATTACCCAAAATGCTTTTAACATGCAATCTTAGCAATTATTTAGAAACTAAAAAAGACTGATTGGTTCTTACCTAGATCATACAGACTGATCGCTCTCCTATCAGTTCTTGGCAAAGGACTTGAGTGCTTGGTGGCATGGAATATGGCATGGATCTCTATATACTACAAAGTATTAGCAAGGCAACAGTTTGGGGCTCTCCCACTAAGATCTATAAATAATCTAACCACATGTCTAACACATGATGTTGAACAAGCACTAAATCAAGGCATGACTGCCTCACTCCTTACCCTAGATGTCAAGGGCGCTTTTGATGCCGTGCTTCCCAGCAGACTCATCCACAGATTACGTGAGCAGGGCTGGCCTACTAATCTTGTTCTCTGGATTGCCTCCTTTGCTACTGGGCGATCAGTCCAGATCCGACTCGATGGAGAGATTGGCCCCTCAACAGACATTGCCTATGGTCTTCTATAAGGATCCCCAGTATCTGGCATTCTTTTCATGCTCTACATAGCGCCCTATCCGTCTAGAAAACCCAAGGAACAGATTTGGTTACACAGACAACACAGCTAACCTGGCAATCTCAACATCTCTTGCTACTAACTGCAAAGCATTATCAGACTTACTATAAGAAGCCCTAAACTAGGGCGCTGCAGAGGGTATTATATTTGCACCAGATAAATACGAGCTTCTTTACTTCTCCTGACATAAAGCAGACCAGGACCCAACCTGCACACCTTCAGTAAAAGCTGGATCTATTATAATCTTAGAAAATACTAAACAGCTATATCTACGTTGGCTAGGAATTCTCTTTGACAAAAAGCTAATATTTAAATGGCACATTAGTGAAATAGCATCTAAAGCCCTTACTGTGGCTAATGCCCTTTGCTCTCTAGGGAATACTATCCATGGAGTCAAACCTCATTTACTATAGCAGGCTGTATCAGCCTATGTACTCTATAAAGTATACTATGGCGTAGAAACCTGGTGGCTAGGACGTACTCGCCCTGGGCCTTCCCAAATTTCAAATCGATTTAGAGAACATCTTGAGAAACTAACCAAAGTAATACTAGCAGGCGCAAGAGCAGTCCTTCCAGTTTTCCGCACAACCCTAATATCTGTTCTATACTGAGAGTCTAGATTCTCTCCGCCAAAAATTGAACTAGATTAAATAGCCCTCCAAACATTGGTCCGTCTACGGCGTCTTGATCCATACCACCCACTCCGAAGACGCGCAGAATAGATAGCCAGAGACGGCTGACAAACTAGTCAATTTGCCCGCCGAGTGCTGGCGCTCTCCAACTCTGAACAAATAAACCCTCTACAACATGCTCCCTAGTACCCTTGTGAGTCACGCAAGAGTGCCCTAGCCTAAATAGGAGCTCCCATAGGACGCACTAAGGAACAGGCAGCGGCTAATTTCATGGCTTTTTAATACACCATCCCTAGCTCAGATATTGTAATCTTTTCAGATGGATCTAGGCTGATAGACGGACGTGCAGGGGGTGGCTATATTAGAATTCAAGCACACCATCAGTTCCTCCGCTCCTTACTCTTATACAGATATAGGAAAGAGGTCTTTGACACAGAAGCAGAAGCTACCCTAGCTGGTGCTCAAGCAGCAATAGTATATCCAACAGCTCAATTTGCTACTAATCTATGGATCTGTCTTGACAACCTGGAAGTTGCCACGCGTCTCCTATCCCCCTCTACAGGATCCTCTCAAGAGGTCTTTGAATCCTTTCGCACCCTTGCAGCCGCCTAGCCACTACGCGAAAGGCTTCCACATACCAAAAGTGGATCAATCCAAATCCGATGGGTCCCTGGACACACTAAAATCCCTGAGAATGAAGCAGCTGATCTCGCTGTCAAGGAAGAAGCTGTCTCTATCCCCCCCTCTCCATACAAGTCCTCATATGCCTCGCTAAAGAGATATACCAAGACTTAATCTCTTTCCGCTGCTCAGACACGGTGGCAGACTGTAGCACCACAGACATACTAAGATCTAGAAATAACTACATCTTCTAAACGCCTTGGAGAGCTTCAACTTAACTGACTTGACCTTAGTTGTATCATAGCGGCCCGTACTGGTCATGGAGACTTTACGGATTACCACGAGCGCTTTAATTATGATGATGCTTATCTTCTCTGTTAATGTGGAGCATGAAAAGCACCTCTATATTTCTTCTTCTGCCATATAGCTAAGAGACGAGCCCCTCGTCCACCTAGACCCTCTTCTAAAGTTATCTCTTTTCTTTTAGGTATTGCGAAAGGAACACGAAAACTAGCCTCATGGCTAGCAGAGACCCATTTCTTTGAGGATATCTGTCCTCGCCAACCTCTCCTTAGCACCTAGCTAAGTCAGCCCTACTTTCCCCTTATATCTCTCTTTTCCTTTGTTCTCTTTCTTTCTTTTCTTCTTTCCTTTTTCCCTTTTTCTTTTCAAACTCACTGCTTAAGTATGATGGTGGTAGAATGATGGGTCATGGAGCGTAGGTGGACCATTGCAGCTGGTAAATACCCAAAACCCACTAGGAAGTGGATCTCCCTTTAAGACCACGGCAGCTATGGAAATGCGCCAAAGAGTCTCTTATTTGTATATAAATCTGATAGGACCTGAAGCCCGAGGCTTACCCCTCGGCGGCCTATGTCCCAGTAGGGATCGGTGGGAAGCGTGCAAGTCACGAACCACGGCCGTTAAATATACACACACACACACACACACGAGGTCAAAATAGCAAGAAGAGACAGACAATCAGAAGAATATGACTTTACCAATTGGTTACTAAGCTACTTGTATGCACATGTGCAGAAGCGAACCCACAGCTAGTGATATTATAGGAGACTTTCAGATTATTGAAGATTTGGAGAATAATCTATCTCTTGCACAATCACAAAGTGCTTTCTCTCGCATACGCATTCTGAGTTTATATATTTCTTCAAGCACAGAGCAAAAGAAAGAGTGGCAGAATCTATGCCGGATAAAAGGGATAGATTCAAAACTTATTCAGTATGATATTACTACTCGTTGGAATTCCTCTTATCGCATGCTTAATGATGCTTGGAATGTATGAGTCTTAATAATCCTTGAAAAAAAGAATACATCTAACGTTGAATAGGCCGCTCCTCAGATTCAGGAATATCTTAAGATGAATCATATCTTACCTCCTTTTACTGACCAAGACTGGAATCAGCTTGGACAAATCCGGATAGTCCTTGCAGAGTTTGATAGATATATACTGGAGCTATCTACTGATATTCCACAAATCAGTCAATCTTTGGCTATCTACTATCAACTCTTTGATCTTCTTCAAGAAGTTCAGGAGAGGGAGGGAAAGTTCAAGGACTTTGACGCAGATGTCGCTAATGCAGCTAAGAGCGCCATGAGGAAATACGACAAGTACTATACTCTTATGGATGATTTATGCGATATTCTCTATATTACAATGCTCTTGGATCCTCGGTTTAAGAAACTTGTTCTTGAGCATGAGTTACGGGATGAAGCTCAGGATATTATTACTGCTATGCAAGAGCAGCTTGAGATCCAGTATCCTATAACTCATAAGCCTGAACTTTTTATAGCTTCAGAAGAACCAGGACCATCAGTCACGTTGCAAAATCCGGATAAGACCATAGTATCAGAGATGATAAGTAAGATCAAGGCAAAGTCGCAAAAATCTGCAGAAAAGCCCTCTGATATTGCACGATATCTCAACTCTGATGTTGTGGAATTTGACGAGAAGAAGAGAGATTGGATTTACACATGGTGGAGAGGTCATATAGATGAATATCCACGCATGGCAGCGGCTGCACGGGATTATTTAGCTGTTCCAGCAGCAGAGGTTAATATTGAGAGACTATTCAACACTGGACGGGATCTTCTTGGATTACGGAGGTGGTCTTTGAGCAGCGGAACCATGAGGAAGCTTCTTATACTGAAAGATTCTCTTTGTAAACGTGGGACCTGTGAATTCCCGCTTCCGGTTAGTTTTGCCGTTGGCGGCCTAGCGCTCCCGTACGCCGTATTGTCACCGCCGCCGTCCCGAATCCGCGACTATATAAACCCCATCCCTCGCCATTTTAACCTCGCGCCCTTTTACTTCTGCATTTTCCTCTCGGTTGCTGGGGTTATCGTTCTCACCGGTCCAGCTGATCTCCAGCTGGTCTCCACCATCGTCGCATTCACCGTCGCAATGCACGGCCAAGCCATCGCGCCATCTCTCCACTCTTGGTATCACTTTCCAAGTTTTTGTGAGCTCGTGTAGTCGAATTTCATTTTCCTACGGTGGATCATTCATTTGATTTAGGTGTGACTTCTATTGTGCTCTTGAGAATCCTTGTTGTCTACTTTTGATCTTGCGGTTTCTGGCTGTGCTTTCGAGGTTTCCGTCTCTTCAATTCTACGGTCTGAAGAGATGGATACCCTCTTCCAGCAGCCCTTTACAGCACGGCCTTGTCAAGGCTGATCAAGGCTGATTCCAGTCAATGCAGATTCTGAACGCTAAGCGTCCCAGCTGCGTTACATCTCCTACTAGTCATGTCAATCTCATGTCCCGTGTCCCACGGTCTGAGGGTCCAGCTGACGACGATATTCCTTCAGGGAGAGACAAGGCCAATAGTATAAATGCCTCATCCATTATTGATCACATTTCTGGCTCCACAATATGAACTGCTCTTTCTTTTTCCGGCATTCGGGAGTCGACGCTCTGCGCTCCTCGTCAGCTGAGTGTTGGTTGACACCAGTTCTACTGCAAGTTGTGGCGCTAGCGCTCTCCACTTCTTGTTTCGACGCTGAGCGAACGATCCTGTTATCTAGCTCCATATCTCCATTACAAAGATGAGACCAATGGCAAAAATACCGCACTGGCGGTGTGGATTTCGTGATGGCCAGGGCGGGAAGAACTACGGCGACGTTCATCATCGTAGGTGCCAATGGGACGGGCTTGATTCATGTACGATGACAGCTGATGTTGGATCAAGAAGCAGCACGTCACAAAGTCGGTCAGCATCGCCTCAATAGTGGACCGAGAGGGGAGTCCAAGGAAGCTGGAAGCGAGGATGAAGGACACCGGGTGCGTCACTAGAATCTTTGGGACGAGAGCCGGCGTTCCTTGATTCGTTATTTTCTCGCCTGTTGGTGACGAACACTGCATTGGAGATATCAGTCTCACTTCAATGAAGGCGCAGGTTGAAAGCGAGTTTTGGCGAGAGTCGTAGTCAATAGAATTTCAGCCAGCATTGCCTCAGAAGCGGAGAGCGAGGATCAACAACGTCAGGCTTGTCATCGGCCGTGTCTCATTATTGGGGCTGGAGTTGACGGCCGCGTTGGTAATGTTCCTGTATGATTTTCATTGATTGCCACAAGTGGAGATTGAGAGTCAGGGCAAGAACAATAATCACAAGACAAAGCAAGCGCTTATTACAGATGCATCTCAGGACGGGCATACCGATTCTCATTCCGTGTGCAAAAATGATATCGACCCAATGTTGGATCAATTAGACTAGAATCATCGAAGCAATACTTTTATCTGTATCACTATCTGCTGGCTGGCGGGTAAGCTAAATATCACACCGGTTTACGATGGAATCAATGCTAGCCAATCTTCGTCATCACTGTTTGTCTTGAATTTCAATGGCATGCTTCTTCCAGTATTGGTTGTCATATCTGATCGTCCCTTGCCCAGCTGGTAGAAAGTCAGCCACCTATTCCTTCTGTCCTTAATAGATAGTCCTTCTCTTCAGCTGCAGGAAGCAATCGAGTTTCTGGAAAGGAGTGAACCCACATCTTATGTGTGGACACGTTCTCAGCCGATAATGAATAATGAAACCTATATTACTCGGTAACATCTAACCCAGGAGACAGGGATAGAAAGGGGAGGAGTTGATCTCTTCACCAACGATTGGCTCTCTGATATTCGTCGAAGTGATCCACCATACCCTAAAGCAAGTGTTATCCAGTCTCGAGTGCGCCTTGGATTTTTGCACGACGCGTCCATGCCTGCATCGTACCGGTATGACTAACGGCGAGTCACTATTAGTGCTCTTCTAGCGACCTGGCTTCTGTGCCACCAGCTGAAACCCTGATTCGTTATGGCTGCGCATCGGATTTGGATTTCGGCATCCTGGGATGCTGAAATCCTGGATCGTACGGCTATAAAGAGGCGTCTGTCCGCACATCTGCCTTCTCTTCCTTTTGTTTCTTTCCCAACTTCGACGGAAGCCACCTCATGAAAGAAAATCATTGATCATGGACCTCGCTATCCCTAGCTCACGAACAACACCCTCGTCTAGCCAAACGCTCCTTGAGCTTGCCGAGATACTCCGGGAGCTGGCCGACATGCAGGTCAAGGGAGAAATGAAGGACGTAGAGAGCGTGCCCGAGGTATGATTTAGACCAACATGATATGAGAAGCTAGCTGATAGAATAGTTTCACGACTTTATCCAACAGCTTTGCCGAAAGGCACCGGCCTTTGCGCAAGCCATCGCTGCCGCAATTCGCGAAAACACCGCAGATCCGTCTCCTCGCCTATCCTCGAAACGAAAACGGAGACACGATCCGTCTTATCGGCCGAGTTACCCAGTGCAACCCGCCCTAAAGAAGAGGCATTGTATGAACGCAGTTGATGAGCCTACGACTCCTGAGAGTCCGATTTTGGAAGGCGAAACCGAGGATGCACTGGATTCTATAGTCTGTGTTAACACGACTGAACTCAGATCCTCGTCTAAGCACGAGAATAAGTCAGACCTCACGACGCTTGCCGTGCATCAAAATGCCCCCAAAAGCGAGAACATGCATAGCAGCACAGTGCCGACATTCCTCAATGGGGAGCAGACAGAGCCGCCACCTACGCCCGAAGATCTCACTAAGGATATGTCCTTCAAGGATAAAATCCATCAGATGATCGACATCGTCAACCTGCTCAAAAAATACCCGAACGATCTGCCGCACACTGTTCATCAGAAAATTCTGCAAAGTCTTCACACCAACCAGGACCCAATCATCGGATCAAAAGCCAATCAATGGTCAGACGGGAGAACGTGGTTGAAGGTATTAGAGGGAGGATCCGCCACAAATCATCGGTGTACTGTATTCAATATGCTGGAATACATAGGCGCCTCGCAATGGTATGACGGCCAGATTGAGGTGGCAAAGCAAATGGTATTCACCAAGCAGAACAAGCCTGTGGGTGAGAAGGGAGCAGCAATGCATGTGCTAGACCGTATCACCCATGAGCATAGCTTGCTCAATAGAAAAGTCATTACCAACCAGTTCTCCAGAGGGAAGAAATTGCGCGTGCTTGTCAAGGAACTCGGGCTAGGTATCCTATTTAGCCCCAAGATCTGGTGAGTATCAGGGAAACCATATTGTTTTTATATACTTATCTTGCATTTAGGAGTTACACCAAGAGAAAAGAGCCTCAATTCGATCAGCTACTCCAAGAACTCAAAGCAGATACTCAATGGATGGCTCTATTTCGACTTCTTACTCCGCAGGTGGAACAGCTGGTTCAAAGTGGCTCCACTGATCCAGAAGCGTTGTATAACTCTTTCAGGCAGCATGATCTAGTCTCTGAGGAAGAGCTCCAGGAATTGAAAGTAAAATATGCTTTGGAACACGTGAGAATCCTACCATCTCAACTCCTGGATAGAGCTGACAGTAGCAAGGATCCGCTTCTAAACGGAGCTCTGAATACGGCATATGATCAACTGGTCAGTCGGATCAGCACTCAGGTATTCAATAAGCGGAGTTTAAGTGACCATGATACATGCATTATCGACCACAGCCTGAAATTACCAGCCGATATCTTTTATGCCTTGCGCCCCGGGCAATGGCTCGACTGTTGGGTCATTAAGGTAGCTATGCATATAGCAGACCGGCCAGCTTTCGTGCATTTTCGCGAGAGCATTCCGGTGAATGACATCGGAAGACACGGTCGAATGAGATCGATAACAAAGCCCTTTAAAGCCTGGGCAAAGGAGATGGCTGAGCTTCGTAGGAAAACAGCAGTTGGACTAGAAGGCATTGCCCCTCTAATTTTCTACTCTCCTGTCCATCATACGCATTCGCATTTCACGTTACTCGAGATCGATGATAGTGAAAAAGTGATCCGCCATTATGACTCACTGGCAGAGCCGACGACTATCAACGGCACGAAGAAGACGAGAGTTGCCACTCTGGTTGAGGCAAGTTCAGCATTGAAGACGGCAGAAGCATTTTCTAACGATTTAGTAGGGTGAGTTTGGTCATTTAGGATACCGATATATTGAAATGGTAAGCTTGTCACTTCGGTTCGTTTTATTGACCAGCATCTGACTTTGATAGCCTACACCGCAACAGAGCGACGACTGGAGTTGTGGAGCTCGGGTGATATGGGCTTTCAGAAAACGATGCAATGGATTTGATATCGGGTCGTGGGATACCGTGCTGGACTCAGAACGCATACAGTTGGATATCGTCAACAGTCTTATCGCTTGTATTGATTCGAGCGCTATGCAAAAGTACAGCCGAGGCCGCGACCGTGGAGTCAGGAATGATGCATCATTGCCAGATGTGTTTAGTGAGGAAAGGTCAGAGCAGGGGTGCGTTCAAATGATATGTGTAGATTAGATGTGTTTTTGGATCCTAGCACGTAACTAGTTAACGTAATCGGTAAGCGAAGTGGCATTTTTTCCCGGAACCCGCGCTCTATTCTGTTTACTAGATTTCAACGCGTCAAGATGCCACCAATTCGCGATAAAAACAAAAAGGATTTAGCTGAGCAAGAGGGCCGAATCTTATTAGCTATTTCCGATTTACAAAATGGACGAATTTTACGCGTGGCTCAAGCTGCAAGAATTTATGATATAACGCGGTCAACTCTACAAAAGAGATTAAGCGGCATTCAACCAAGATCTCTCGTACGCGCCAACAACCATAAATTGACTCAATTTGAGGAAGAATCGCTTGTCAAATGGGTGCTTGATCTAGATAAACGTGGATTACCCCCCCGGCACTCTCTTGTACGAGAGATGGCTAATCATCTTCTCTCACAACATGGAAATCAACAGGTTGGAGAGAAATGGGTATACAATCTTGTTCAACGTCGCCCAGAGATTGATTCAAAATTCTCACGAAGATATAACTACGAACGAGCCAAATGCGAAGACCCGAAGATAATTCAAGAGCATTTTGATCGCGTACGAGAGGTTATATCTGAATATGGAATCTTACCGGAAGATATCTACAATTTTGATGAGACTGGCTTTGCTATGGGACTCTGCGCGACTGCAAAGGTTATAACAGTAAGTGATCGATATGCTCGGCCAAAGTTATTACAGCCTGGAAATCGAGAATGGGTGACTGCAATTGAAGCAACAAATTCAACTGGATGGGCTCTGCCTTCGTACGTCATTTTCAAGGCAAAGAAAAACGTACGATTAGGCTGGTTTGATGATCTTCCAGATGATTGGAGAATCGATATCAGTGAAAATGGATGGACCACAGATCAAATAGGATTAGAATGGCTTAAAACCCATTTTATTCCTCTTATTAGTGGTCGTACGTTGGGGACATATTCCATGTTGATTCTTGATGGTCACGGAAGCCATTTAACTCCAGAATTTGATTGTACGTGTACTGAGAATAAGATTATTCCAGTCTGCATGCCACCTCATTCTTCCCATCTTTACAGCCTCTTGATGTTGGGTGTTTTGCCGTTTTAAAGCGACATTATGGGCAACTTGTTGAGCAGCGGATGAGGCTGGGTTTTAATCATATCGATAAAATCGACTTTTTGACAGCCTTTCCAAGGGCTCGTACAATGGCATATAAGGCTCAAACTATACGGAATAGCTTCGCAGCAACCGGATTAGTGCCTTTCAATCCGGATCGAGTTATTCGACAGCTTACTATTCAATTGAAGACACCAACACCACCTCCAAGTCGATCAAGCAATACGCAATCATCTTGCTTACAGACACCCCAAAATATACGTCAATTTACACGTCAATCGACTACAATTAAAAGGCGTATAAGTGAGCGTACAGGGAGTCCAAACCAAGTGATCGATCAGGCAATCATGCGGATGTCAAAGGCTTACGAAACAACTATGAATGAGCTTTTACTCGTACGGAAAGAAAACTACGATTTACGAGCTGCGCATGAAAAAGAGAAGCAAAAGCGCAAAAGATCTAATAAACAGATATCTATTGAGCAAGGGATTACTAGAGATGAAGTCCAAGCACTTGTACAAGGTCAAGTTGAGGCATCTCAAGCTGTTACTACTGCTCCGGCGGAGCCAGAGCTCCCAGCTTCTCAACTAGTCGTACGCCGCCAATTTCGCTGCAGTGGTTGTAACGTTATGGGACATAGAATAAACAGATATCCTAATCGTACTAGTAATTAATTTTTTGTATATGAATTTGTATGTGAGTTGGAAACTATGATTTGAAATCAATATTGTATACGGGTTCGGGAAAAAAATGCCACTTCGCTTACTTCAATTCTCGAATTTTCCTTGTATCATGTTTTAGGCTTTCCTTGATTAGGTTTAGCTTACCTAATCCTCGACATTACCATGTACATTTGTGGGTCATTTTTCTACCTTTTATGTGTGTGCTGCGACTAGAAAAATAAGCAATTATGAAAGGCGCGTAAAAAAGGAAGCTCAGCCCCTGCTATTCGACATGCATGTTTCCTTATTGAAGAAAGTTGGGAATTACGATTGAACATTTATTGTATTGATTCTTCAGATTATCTACTCCGCGAAATACCTCCCGTGAGAATGCAATGATGCCTAAATTTGTTTCGGTACTGGCAGCAGCGCCTCCCTTCGGCAGCGACTTTTTCCGTTCCATGCGGTAATCCCCCCACCTACCTCGTCATCTGCTAGAAATTGTCAAGTGCAGCCATATTCGCCCGCATATCTTACGACTGTTCCTTCTTTTAAAAGCGCTGCAAAATCTTGATCGTCTATAGCGATGGAAGAAGTTGAAGATCCAGGCATTACCGTCGATGATATCGCTCACGACCGAAAAAGACTTGAAGAAAGAGCTAGTCTCGAAGTATGAAAATCCTAAGCAAGAATGGTCATGCTTATACTAAACCATGTTAGACAAAGGAAGATGTGATATTAGAGTCTGATTGGATTACCGTCACAAAACTCGAATCTTCCCCCGACGTACGAGCAGTTCTCTTACGACCGCAAGACCCGCCAGGTGGCGTCGCCAGAGTTGAAGGGCAAAATCCTAGATATACACCTACGAGAAAAGTGACTGGAATAGTGCTTGTTGCAGCAAAGCCTAATGAAACTCTCATCCTGCTAGGGTATCCGACCGTCTGCCGTTTTCGCCGTCGGTGAATCTTGAGCATAGTTGACCAGTTCTACGGCGAGAGTGACGGATAGTTGGATCTTTGCACTCCAGCCGATCTGGGAATCGATTTTGATGTCGATCGACGGTAATGCGCCTGACCACGGGATTATTAGTTGAATGTATTGCAGGCTGGGGCAGTTTGTCTGATATCCTTGAAGAAGACCAAGCATAACTGTAAATTGCTGTGGACTGGAGGAAACTGATTGAAATCGTTGGAGGAAGCCGATGAGATGTATGATATCGAGATCAAAAACCGACTGTGGTGGTTGGTTTGCTAGAACTGATATCTGGAAGCCTGGAAGATCATCGGCTTGTAAGAGTGTTGGGCCATCTTTGTCTTCCCTGTCCAGCGGATGGTCTACTACATAAATGAGCCTGAAGTTACTACACATTAAGATATCACGTACGAGTGAGCGAATTCGGGAAACCCTGAATAGTACCTGGTTGATGATTATCATGCCCATTACGTTGCGTCTCGCGTTCCGTCGATTGACCTTGCACCAAAAGCGCTGCAGCTTGAGCAGAGGATGTGTCCCCAGTTGCTTGAATTGATAGGTTCTCATCCGTTGCAAGTTTCTGAGATATATCGTGGGAGCCAAGTTTCCGTAGATCTGGACCATTAGTTGTTGAGCAAAATCTAATTAGATCTGCAGGCTTACCTTCAATCGAAGCTGGTATTTGGTGGTGAAGTGCAATATTCAACAAGACTGTAGAGGCTAGTGGCGGCTGAATTTTGTTTGCTTCAAGTTTGTTGATAAACGCTAAGCGACGAGTCTTGCCCATGTCAAAAACTTTGTTCGTACCCAAGACAGTAGCGCACAGGAGTACACCAACTGGACCGCATTTCTTAAGCACATCACAAAGAAAAAGCTTGTACTTGCGGCGCTTCTGAGAAATCGGTTCTTCGCGTAACGTAGCAACTGCGAGTTTGACTTTGTTTTCTGAAGTCCGGTCCAGGGATCGAAGAGTTTCAATGTTGTTTGCTACATCTTTCAGACGCGTCCATTCAGTTTCCACAGAGACGTGGTTATCAGTATCCAGCTGCTTCCTCGATAATTGCGACATTGTCATATTGGTACGCCCGTCCAATGCAGATGTAGAGAGGAGGCAGGGTAGGAAGAACGTAAGGAAGCGTGGTAGGAAGAAAGGCAGGAAACGTTGTGGGAAGAAAGATAGGAAAAATAGTAGGAAGAAAGAAATGGAAGAAAAGCGCTGGCAATGGTAAACTGCGCCACACTATAGTATAACTAGTCTAGACTAATTTGGGGTGAGATCTGATCCCGATCCGCCGTCTAATTCGTCGTTCTCGGAGTTAGCACTCACATTTCATCTTGGTGTACAACTCCGCCTGTTATTAGCTTGACGGTCCGCGATAATTACTTAAGTCAGCTAATACCGACTAAATTGTGACTACTACTTTCGTATCATCAAGATCTACGCTGCCCGAATATTTCTTGTATCTTTCCCCCACGAACTTAGTTCGGCTAGTGTGCTTGACCAAGGGAACCCGAATATGGCACCTCCACCTTACGAATTGATCGGTGCAACGGGGTGCCGCTATCTTTTCAAAAAATTGATTCAGGAGAGACCGCATCTCGGTCGTGTCTGGTTGGCAGAGTGCGGGCGTACACACAAGTTCCCCCATATGCTATAGATCTGTATACTGACTGCGTTCTAGATCTGGACAAAGCACATTTGTCTTAAAGGACATTCCTCAGGCTATCTTCTCGAGCTTTAATGAAGACATACGTCCGCGGCTTCGTGAAAGCGCATTTTTACGGTTACCACACGACACAATCCCAGATCAGCGTATATTCGTATACAAATACATGGACGATGACTTTCTGGACCTTGTCAGGAAAAAAATATCAACACAAGCCAGGAAACAGATTCTAAAAGCCAGCTTGCAAGGGATTGCTGAGTTGCACAGCCATGACATTGTCCATTTAGGTGAAGCAAGCGCTCTTCGATCCATAACTGTAGAACTAACTGTTTCCAGATATCAAACCTGATAACATCATGGTCAACTACCGCGGTAGTGGCTCACAAACGGTAGTTGAGCAGGTTCAAATCATCGATCTGGAAAACGCAGCGTATCTCCCTAAAGGAAGGTGTATCAAAGGGATGTTAGCTGGCAATGATAGCTGGCGCAGCCCAGAGGCCCATTTCAAGGGCGAGCTTAATAAGCCTTCTGACATCTTCTCATTTGCGACCGTGGTAAGTTTGCTTTTTGAGACAAGCTTCTATCTAGCTAACTTGCTGAGTGCATCTATGCGATGCTTGGACAAGTCATCTTCGGAGCCGACGAGGATCTGCGAAAACATGAATCGCAAGGAGCATTCCCTCACATCATTCGTCTGCAACGTCAAGTTTCTTATTTTGGGGATCCACAAGGATTGAACGGACTCATGACTCACGTTGGTGATGAGGAAGTCAATTGCCAAGTCTTGGGTCTTCTATGGGATGATCGATTGGCAGACTACCATTCCTATAGACCATTCTCGGGCTGGCAGAATGTCACTGATAACGACTTCAAGGATCTCATTCAGAAGATGACGAACTTGGATCCTCAAAAGCGGATAACAGCGCATGAAGCGTTGAAACATTCCTGGTTTGCTGGTTGTGAACCTCATTAAGCGTTTGAGAAATCAGAAGGGACAGGAAAGTATCTAACATCAACCTCATTCTCCACTCGGCCTTCAGTCATCTGCAAATGGCAAACAATGATCTGTTACTTCACTTGTAAAACTGTCTCTTCTTAAGCAACTCTAATTTAATTCCAAAGTACTCGATTTAGAATAATAGAGTCAACATAACAAAGTCTAGATATCAAAATCAATCTCAAGTCCTCTGGACAGCGTACCAAAGGGCTATTTTTGGTACTAAAACGACAAGCGTCCCTCATGAATATTTCTTCTCAGAGGTTGTCATAATTAATTTAGCCGCGCCTGAAATTAAAATTACTTGGATTAGGTATATTTTGTATCCTGTCATTTTCTGTTCCCCCTAAACTGAAAACATAGTATTGGAATATTTTGAGTACTAGTCCGAACGGGGTTAGGCTCTGATAGGAACGTAGAATCTGGATGAATAATTGACTGTTTTGCACTTCTAACTTAGATGGTAACTTGTGATTTATTTAGCAAACTAGGCCCAACTATCCGATTTTCTGTCCTTCCACGTCCTTTGCAGCCCAACGAAATCTTATACTGCCCTCGCTCATGAATAATATGAGTTCTCAAAAGTCCGTCATACATAGTAGTGCTTTGATGCAATGACATTTTCATCTTTGTCAAGCTCGAATACAGTGAAATGTCTAGCTGGATCGGCCTGGCTGGGATGCTCCGCCTCCCTAGAAAGATGCGTAAGAAGAGATACTGATAACTATGAGAAAAAGGACTCACTTCATGGCCACTTTGACCGTCTCAGGCTTCAGGGTGTCTTTGTACTTTTCAGCAACCGTAACGAACTCAGTTTGGACGTCCTGCGAAAGAATCATGCGTTCCCATGCATCGGTCTTTGTGACATAAGCAACGGCGACTTGTTTCCCAGCTGAGGTAGTGACATTTCTAATGACTTGGCAGGCTCTATACATTGTGGCTAAGGCTTTTGAGCTGTAGAGTTGCGATTCGAGGTAAAGGTAGCTGTGAGCAAGTATACTGAATTCAAGAAGGTTGCAAAAGTAGACTGCCAGTTGCTGGCACGCTTGATTTATTTATCTTAAAAGCTGTTCTACTCTCAGGTTTGCAATATATCCTACAGTACAGCGAGGCGCATGATTGGCGAGATTTCCCTAACACCCGCCATAATATTTTATTCGATTGGTCTAAGCGTACCTAGGAAATCTCCTAGGAAATCTCCTAGGAAATCATCTAGGAAATCATCTAGGAAATCATCTAGGAATTCATCTAGGAAATCATCTAGGAAATCATCTAGGAAATCATCTAGGAAATCATCTAGGAAATCATCTAGGAAATCATCTAGGAAATCATCTAGGAAGTCATCTAGGAAATCATCTAGGAAATCATCTAGGAAATAATCTAGGAAATAATCTAGGAAGTCACCTAGGAAATCACGTAGGAAGTCACCTAGGAAATCTTCTAGGAAAGTCACCTAAGTAATCGTACAAGATGTCTTCTCCGATACCACACAGTATTATTCGACGAGTGCCGTCCAAACGATAGCTCAATCATTAGATTCGTCATCTCCTGGTCTTCCCTGAACAGCTACTGCCGAACTAGGTAATGTGAAGATCATCATCACCAAGAGAACAACACCTATAAAGATGCCAGCCTTGTCATAGATTCACCACATTACAACAAAGTCAACCCAAGTATCTCACCGGTTTCGAGCTCCCCGGACAAAGTCGACTTCCACCTTGTTTCCCCCGGATAGTGGCCAGGGGAGCATACGATACTACTGGTGTAAAGAGGTCTGCTGCCCCAGAATCCTATCCGGAGCGCTCGCATCATTTCAATTCGGACTGCCTAGGCGTTTCCAAATCAGGACGCACGAGCAATATGTGTTGCTTTTTATGGTTATCAGTCTTGTTTGATCATACGAGACGGTACTCATCTGATACCGCCTCCCGACCCCTGTCCCAAGAGCTACAGGTAAGATAACTAGTTTTTCCGTTTATTTATAGTGCTGATAAGCAGGGAGTAGGGCAGCACCTTTGCTAGCGACCATCATGGGTATCAAACACTTGAATCGATGCCACAGTTTCCTACGGTTGCTGTCGATCGAGATGGCATTGGCTTAGTCAAAGCGCCTGCAGTTACGTCCCCAACTCCGTTATTGTCTTCAGAATATCCGGAGATTACTGTACGATCAATAAAATATAAGGGGCTGGAATTGAAGACTGCAGATATAGCGTATACAGTTGGGGAGCGCCGGTCGTGGCAATGGTTATCCTACGAGAAGGTGGTGGACAAATGGGGAGAGGATGCGATCAGGGAATTCAATCCACGTTTTGGCTAGACGTCTAGGCAATGAAGCGAAATGCTGTAGCTACCTACTACTGCTAGTACCAGTCCATGCAATCAATGCATTTATTCGGTTTCTAGATTAGCCAGTATGTTTGTATCAATACCACTACAAAACGTAATTTCGAGAGGACGGACTAGGATATCCAGGGGGTCGGTGGGCCAAGGCATATCGATGCTTGCGAATATACAATTCCTGTGCCATTCGTTAGTTTGAGAAGATCGCATTAGTGGACTGAGCTCCCAAGCCCGCATCACAACGGTGAAAACCACCACTAGTCCATGCATATCTCCTCAGTGGTCGACTCAGCTAGCTCGCCTAATATCTGCCAGTTGTGAGCTCTTGGATGCATAAGTCACTGCAGAAGCAAATTTACTGTGCTGTTGGCAGATTATACGAAATAAAAGAAATTCGTATGGAAAAGTATAAATATGCCCTCATTCACGTAGAAGCCGCTTGAAAATTTTCATCATTAAAACGTTCCAGCATAAAGCACCAATATCACCACACATTCGACAGCCTCCTCAACGAAATGCCTATTATCATTGCGAGAAATTTTGAAGCAAAGTTGCAAGAATGGGCACGTCAACCAGATCTTGGTTTGCAAGGATATGAACTCCTTCCTCTCGGAGTCCAACTATCTTCTATCAAGGCAAGTCAATCTGCTTATTTGAATTGTCATTTACTGAGTAATCATTCTAGACAGGTTCCATCGACGGCCTCTTCTGGGGCAAGTCACAGCTGAGAACGCAAGTGGACTATGTTGTAGGTCGCTTTTGGCAAGGGGGCTCGGAACACAGGTGGATTATACCAAGCAACACCATGCGAGAGATACCGGAAGGACGAACCGAATGCGACAGATTGAGTTCAGCTTTATGGGAACTGAAAGTGGAAAAACTTAGATCTCTGAGTGTAGAAATTAAGCAGAATGGGGGTGAAGAATTTCTTGGTGTTACGGTATCGAAGTTGGCGAATTGTCTAGTTTCGGTCTAGTTAACCCTGTACTGAGAGCTATTGTCAGGAAAAATCAAAGAGACGAAGGCTTGAAACTTTTGGGAGTTTGAGTGTTTCTTTTCCGTATTATGAGTGCGATGACTAGTGTTCGATATATTCTAGGCTAACTTAGTTCCCAAATCTGCTTACTCAGTGCCGCAGGGGAGGGTGAGCACGTGTGGACCCACTTCGGCAGTTTGAATCTTCCACATTACATGCCCGACAAGCACCTTGATAGTGTTGGTGACAATATGCGCGAGTTTCAGCATTTACAAATTCTCCATGATAAAGAAGTGGAAAGAAAATTACACGATATACTCCCACAAATGGAATCCTGGTTGCTGGGTGCTATTCCATTGAACGATAATGAAACCGAACCGAAAGATGCAGGTGTCGTATTCCCCGACGTTGGAAATCTTGACGCTGCGTTAGCTCCTATCCGAAGACTCATATATAAAGGTGTATGAAATATTGATTTTGTCTCTTGTCCCATGTGCTAACAAGACGGTGTATAGGCAGCTGAGTATGCGCTTCTTCGCACCGTAACGACCACGAACACACCATTAAACCTGTCCCACGCTGTTTACACCGTTCTTCGTGCCGACGGAACACCGAAAATTGGAGGCGTACCACTTAGACTCACAGAATCAATTTGGATCGACCGGCCAGTCACTGTCGATGCTGGGTTCATCTTCATGATTTGCAAGCCGGCTGAAATCCTCGTGGGAAGAGACATTTACACTTGAGCCGTACGACGTTTGAACTGCCGTACTTAATTCCGAAGCACCTTGTCCGATTTCGGGCATGTCACCAAGGGGGAAACGATCGATAAGGGTTGGAGCATAATAGGGGAAACAATCTGGGGTTTTTGCTTCAGAGTCAAATAAAGTATCCTGAGGCAGCACAATATCAGAATCCAACACCACTTTGAATTTTGTTAGTATAATAGGTTATAAACTTAATGATACATCACTCACGGTAGGAATTTGGTTCTTTTTTGCGGATGTGTTCAAGGATGAATGCCAATTCGAAGACTTGCGCTCGGTTCTTTCTTTGAAAATCTTGAAAAGGGATTTCTAAATCAAGAGCCTGTTGATAGAATTCATGGAATTGTCGAGAATTGTGGTTATTGATAAATAGGCCTTGATGGATCTCATCTTTTGAGTCGCGAAAATGCTCATTTAATTTGTCACCACGAGGAAAGCCTTTCAAGCATTTAGGACAAATAAATCTGAGCGGTGATTGCTCTATTATTTTCATGAGTACTTCCAGTTGTTTTGAATTATCGGACATGTTCCGGGGATAGGATATGACGGCCTATTCTCTTGACTGTCGACACAAAAGGGTGGTGTATAGTAGGATTATAATCAGGAGTGGGTGGCGGCCTGCTATAAAATGGATGACCCACATCTACCATTTTATGTCAGATGTGGGTCGCTTGATAGAGGTGTCACACAAACTATTAATAGGCTTGCCATTTTATGGCAAATGTGGACTGGTTTAGGCTCCTAACTATTTAAGACGCCTTAGCCCAAATAAACTCCACACAAGTGGACACAAAATTAATAACTTGTTAGAATCTTTCTCTTAAAACTGCACCTACTTAGTCAATGAGAATGGAATATTGCCCAACCAATCAACCACCATATCCACCCCTATGTCAAGATCCTTTCCACCATGCCCAGCCACAACAAACACAACAACCATATCGAGTTCCTTTCCATCACGTTCAACCAGAACAATTACAGCAACCATCTCAAGATCCTTTTCTGCAGGCCCAGCCACAACAGGCAAAAGAAAAAAAGAAAGTAAGAGCAGTGCAGGTAACCGTCATGATCTTCTTCTTTAAAAATGTGCTTCTGTTCTAACTAGACTTGAAAAATAGGCCTGCGATCCTTGCCGTGATCGTCATATATCATGTGATGAAAGCCGTCCATTATGTGGCTCCTGCAAAAACGAGGGAAGAGTTTGTCATTACCGCCCTCTCAATGAACGCCCTGGTAGTCCCCAGACAGTGTAAGCCTTGTCTCTCTACTCTGTTAGAATGATTTATTAACTACATATAGCCGGTTGAAAAGGATTATAGAAGCGCTGGAAGAAAATAAGGCGAGAACAAACCATCGATACGATGAACTAGAGCAGCGTATGCGTGATATTCAATCCCTAGTGGCATATTTCTTTGAGAACTTCCCGAAGCAAATCATTTTGACACAGAAAATCGAATGGGAAAGCAGCAGAACACAACAGATACTTGCCGAAGACATGGAACTAAACCCAGCAGTCGATGCAGCGACGACGGAAAATGAAAGTGACGGAGACTTGTCGATCCCGCTGGATCATTGTACAGCTGCTCATAAATTACTATCATGGCCCTCTATTCAACGATTGCTGGGACAAAAGGACTTCGACATTGATTACGTGATGAGACTTGAGGAGGATCGCGGGGTTATCCGAATCTACGGCCATGGCGAAGGAAAGGACGATGGCGGCCCCCACTGGGGTGACGGCCTCCCGATACCTTCACTTTCTTATCAAGGGGTAGAAAACAAAGTGGATGGAATTGATAGATTTGGAGCGCTGGACACGCATCGTGACACCTTAAGGCGTCTGCATCGCAGCTTCATGGAGAATATCTACCCACTACACCCAGTTCTGGACAAAGCTGTTCTGGAGCAAAAAATTGAGAATTTCAGCAACCAGTACTCAAAGGCAAACCGCCCAATTGAGCGCTCCATTGATAATGCAGTCATTCTCCTAGTTCTTGCTTTGGGCGCTATCTGCGAATGGAAAGTTCGGATCCCAGCCTTGACAAAGGTTGAGGATACCGCAAAAAACATGCATGTAATTCCAGGCTTAGCTTATTACGCACACGCGACAGATTTTCTGGGCAATATGCAGGGTGGGAGCGGCATTTCAAACGTGCAAGCCGCCCTTCTTGCAGGGCTATATACGGGCCAATTGGCACATCCATTCCAGAGTCACGGCTGGATATCCCAGGCAGCCAGAGCATGTCTGATCTTGGTACATCCGTGAGTTGCAATCTATAACAGCCTGAGTATGTTGTCTAAGTTGCATTCCAGGAGAAAGTATACTACCTTACAAGATGAACGAATGAAAGACCTTTGCAATGCCGCTTATTGGGCCTGTCTGCAACTTGAAAGGTTGGTGGTCTACGGCATATTGTCGAGCAGTTACTCATATAGATTTAGCGATATACTTGCCGAACTAGACCTTCCTCCTAGCGGGATATCTCGATCTGAAGATCGAATTGACCTCCCCAAAGGTCTTCATTATCCCGAGGATTCTTGCATAATGCTATTCTATTCAGCACAGATCCATCTGCGCAAAGTCCTGAACCGAGTCCACACCTATCTCTACAAAACCTCCAATGGTAAGAAATTATCGACATCCAATGAGTTGTTGCTCGTCTAACAATTAACCATAGATCACAACCAAACTGATAATACGGAGCTATACAGCCTAGGATTTTCAGTCAGCGTCCTGGAAATACTTGGAAAGGGCCTCGATTCATGGCGCCAAAATCTTCCGCGTGAAATGCAGTGGGATGATAATGATGAACCTTCGTCAGATATCAATACAGCTCGACTGCGGGCTAAATACTATGGAGCGCGATACATTATCTACCGCCCTTTGCTACGTTATGCGCTAAATCGAGCAATTGATTCAGGACAAACTTTAGTTGGGCTGTCTAGCCCTAAGTCCGAACCCATCTCTCCCACATTGCATCCTGTAGAAAGCACTGACGGGACGATTTTCTGGGACACTCTCCCACGAACAGTTCAGACTGCCTGCAAAATCTGCATCAATGCAGCCGTAAGAAGCACGCGAGCGTTTCATAATATTCAAGGCAGACCAATCATTACTAATGTTTTTGGTACCGCTCATGCGTATGTTTGTTCCGAGTTTCTGCTTGTGATTTCTGAAATTAACTTGTGTTTAGGCAGTTTGGCAACATGCTTGTTTTATCAGTGACATACGCATCTCATCTGCGTCACCTAGTAGAGCGCAGCGAGCTACAAAGCTTGCTTAAACGGACCATCACATTTTTAGAAGATTACAAGCACCTCTCACCAACGCTGTCAGTCGATGCGGAGATTCTCGCCAAAATCTACTCTAAGATATTTCAAGAATAACCTAAACGTACGGAGCAATTCTTCAATTTCGAAATGCGCAGGACCAATATCCATGGCGCATAGCCTAGTGCTGTATTTTTTTCAGTTAGGCATCAATTGAATTTTTACATGCAAGTGGTGAATAATTCTAAAAATAGCAAGGTCAGTTTGCCCGGGTGTCAGGCTTTTTCACTCTCGTAGCCTTGTCAATAATTTAGTATTTATTGACTTGTAATCCCTTAGCTATTCTCCCAAATTCTGTAATTTCGGAAGTCAGAACTCTTTAAATTTCTACCATGGAAGCACTCACAGCCTTCCAACATTCCCAGGCGGAGGTATACAGGCAGCTGCTGGAAGACTTGAAGATACTAAGAAACAAGTCTGACTTTAGAGTTTCCATAAAGATCATTAGGTGAAGCACCCGAGAGTCTTTATATAGAATGAAAGATCTAATCTTAGCTACAATAGATCACGGAAGATCGAATCAGTCTACCGCAAGCAAGAATGGATTTATCACCAAAGATTGATCGACACCGACAAAACAAGGCACGAGATGTGATGCTTTCGAGTTATATGAAAAGATATGCGATGGTTATAAAAGATAAATAAATTCCGATTAGTCCAGTGCTAAGTGGATATCAATCAATGGACATCGGGTGAGGTTGAACTAGAATGTCCCCGGGTCATTGCCTTGGGCGCTTTCTTCGAAGTTAGCGAAGTTCCTCTTATGAGAAGTTGAAAATATTTAATCTTGGAAAAGTGTTATATCTGTTTGAATTTAATTTGACTGGGCATAAGGACAGCGGTTTCCTTAGGTACAGCTGTTCGACACTGACATGCCCGACGCAGAGAATGTACTATGTAGTATGTAACGCATGATGTTGTTAGAATATCGCGAGATCTCTCAGATAACCTGGATATCCAATGAGGCAGTCCAGAAACATAGCCCCCAAGATTACCTCTCACAATAGCTTACAAGTTAAGTCAACCCTACATGCCCGGTGGGTCCTATATAAACCAGTGACCCAAACTACCTATAAAAGCCGGGCTTTGGAACCTGCTGTATACCGAGAAGGCGGAGAACTGAATATACATACAATCTCGCTAGCCAACTGTTCTTACTAGTTCATATTATCGTTCATATTAATCACCTCATATCGCTTAGGTCTGATTGTTAGGTCATATCTCTTTCTGCTCTAAGAGTTTGAAAAGTCTTTCTTGTTGTTGTTCCAACTGAGCGAGGAGTTTTTCTTCCCGTGCTTTCTGCTGCTCCAGTTGAGCGAGAAGCTTCTCTTCTCGTGTTTTCTGCTCTGCTGCTAGTCTCTCTTCTCGTGCCTTCTGTTCTGCTGATAGTTGCTCTTGCTGTAATTTTTGTTCCTCTAATTGCTGTTGTAAGACTTGAATCATGCTACGGAGCTCCGGCTGTAAGCCCCGATTCTGTGCAGATGGGGCCCGGCTATATGCGGGCCGTTCCTGGGACCAGATTCGTGATTGGGAGCCAATCTCATCATCGATATCGAGCTCGAAAGGGACGTCTTGTGGATCAGGAATTTCTTCCAGCAAATGCATTAATCGGCCGGTGTGGATAGGAAGGAATTCGCGATCAAGATTCTCCACAAAATGATAACATGCCCATTTATCCTCCTCTGTCCAAATATTGAACTGCTTCACTAACCAGCGATAATATTTAATTCCGTCTTCACCAATCTCAGGATAGTGCCCGTAGATTCGCACACTCTCTAATTCGTGTGAAATTGAAAACCCAAGGAGCTTCCGGTGCACTTCTTCCGAACAACCGGCTGCTTGAGCTACGCTGACCACAGCCCGAAGAGCAATACACATACTGTGCATATTCTGCCGATCCGCAAATTCCAAAGCCTGGTTCCCACACTTGACTTCTGCCGTTAAGTAAGGGAAGTACATATCTTCTCGCACTGCATATAGAGATTTTTCATCAGGCTTGATTCCAAGTTTTCGCCGCTGGCTGTCTGAAAAGGTTGACCATCTCAAGCCTCGGGCATGATCTGGCTGTGGTTTGGGACCATAGATTGGCTCCGTCTTCAGCCATGGATCATTGTAGCCATCAATCACATCTCTTAGTTCCTCCTTCCCTTGGATGAACAGATTCTCTGCAGATGGTATGAGGAGCGGATGTAAATCTATTAATAGTCGCGCTTCTGATCGATTTCGTAACGCGTCGTGAAAGCCCTCAATGAACTCGTTGTCAAAGAGGGTTCCGCGTGGAGTTTCCACTGGTTGATGGAGGAGTCGCTGGCAAAGCGCGACTTCTTCGGAAGTCGGACCGGCGGGCGACTGGCGCATAAAGCAACCTTTGGTTTCCAGAATTGTCACATAGTTCACGGCCTTATATGCATATGATTTGGCATCTCGGGAGGAGGCACTCGCACTGGGTGAAACGGAACGAGTCCGTCCACGGTCGGTCGACGTTGATTGTGAGCGTGATCTTTTCGATGCAGGCTGACTCATAATATCAACCTCGTCAAACTCCTCTGACGGGCACGGTATCCACTGAAGTATCTCTTGACGTTTGTTGATCGGTTTCGACGGAGGTACAATCGCAGAATGTCCACATTCCTGTTCGTTAATTTTCTAACACTCACTTAGTACATCAGTATGACAGTAGGTGCCTGCAACTGACCCTGCTGCTAACATTGTTCGACAAAGGTGAAGGCGGTTGCAGTGTAATCTGCTCCTGCTTTTTGCTCGATGGTATGGGAACTGTACTTGAACTGTCTCGACGTCGCAGCTTCGCTGGCCGTTGGCCCACATCGTCAGGTGAATCAGGGGCTATTGCGCGTTTCATATTCCAGGCCTTAACTGATGTGAAGGACTAGGGTGATTAATTGCAAACAATCCAGGGCAAGTGAATATATAGCATTGCATCAGAAAGGGAACGGAGTTGACCTTTGAGTGGTAGGAGGTAGGTCGAAATTGGGCTCAGTTGGCGCCCACCCAAAATTCGAAGTGGGTCCCGCGATATCCAATTACAACTCCTCTCACTTGCTAGTAGTGTTCTGCCTTAAAATTCAGGCACCCCGATTATGAGTCTTTGCCAAGGAATACCCACCCAGATGATCGAACTTATTCCCCCCGTCGTGCCAATTATAAAACAACCAATGATATAGAATAAGCAAGCGCCAGGATCAGCGGAGCTTTCTAGAGCAAAGTTAATTTGTCGAAAAAACCACCAATTAAGCCGCAGTGGGGCACATTTACCGCAGAACCATCAGGGCGTCTACGATATTGGACCAATCTGTGGGCGGCTCACCCATGTCGGCCCAGCTACAATATCGTAGTGATCCTATGTCGGTGGCTACCCCATGTCGGTCTTAGGGTTAAGGGTTAGGGAGGTCGAAACGCGAGGTCAGTTGGCGCCGACCCAAAAGCTTGGTGGGTCTAAGGCATCCAATTATATCTCCATTCATGTATTAGTCATTTTACGCCTTAAAATCCAGGCACCAAACGGCGGGATGTCCGTCCCGCATCCAATTGGTGAGATACCGAAAATTGGAGGCCAAGGCGGCCGACTAATGACAAACTTGCCCATCTGGGTAGGATGGAGAATCATCATATTTTCAAGGGCATACGATCATGGTGGTCCTCACCAGAAACCACCACATTTTTGCATTGAGCATATGGTGTCGTCGGCGCATTAACTACATTGGGAAAACACTCGCTAACGTAAAAGTACTTTTGATGGTTGACAACTACGGATACGGAGTACGGACTTTTGCGCCGTAATTTTCCACTCTGTGTACAGGTCTTTCCGTACTCTGTGCAGGACTGGCTTTGAAACCCTGATCGACCGCGGAGATACGATTCGATGCGGTTCGATACCCCGCTGGGCACAGTTAATTGGACGACACTGGAATGGCTAGCCTCTCTGCTTCCGGTGCCTGGCAGGAATAGGTTGATTCACACGTGGGCGATTCTCCTGCATCCAGAAGGAACTAATCGATAGTGTTGAGCTCTGTCTTGTTTTGATTTACTACGCATTACGTATGTTGTAGAGCCGCCCTTTTGATGAGAAGAGGAACCTGATCTTCCAGACGGTTTCTCATTTTCCTCGCACTTCGATCACCTGCACATGGATATACGGCATGTGAACCACACCACTAAGGAAAGTGTGGGCCTTGATATTTCTCCACAGGTCCATGAAGTTCTATCGTTTGTCTCTTTCAGTTCTCAGTCACTGTTCCCGTTCCGGATCGTTGTACCTGTCTGATTTGCCCCAATACTGACTACGTAAAATGTGGGATCTTTGCCATTCTTTCCTCCTGCACCAGTTGTCAACCCAATCTACCCACCGAACGACCAGCACTGCGGTCTAACATCGCTCTATCAAAAATATTCTTCGTACTTATTTTTTATCAGGTAACTCATTCGGTAATTCAGCGGTGTATGGGGGTATACCGTTCTGCAAAATAGGGTATAGCCATGGGCCGTATTCCAGAGTTTCTCGATCGTGCGATCACAGCAAACCCAGAGGTCAGTTCTACTCATGTCAGGAAATTCACCTGCTAATCAAAGTGCTAGCTTGGATTGGTTGTTTGCCAGTTCATAGAGGCGGTTTCCCAATTCGACAAAACTGGCCAGAAGCTAGCTCGTCTCGTTAAAGAAATCGAGGGGGCGGAATTGTCTTGCTTCAGAGGAATAAAAATTCGTCGTCCAAAGTTGCAACAAAGAGGTTCGTTACAAGAAGAATTTTTGTCCGCAGTGTGACTTGATTGTTTTGATTATTAATATATTGTCAGGTGATCTCTCTCGTCCACACCACGATCCGCATAAAGTAGAACCCGATCACATACCAGATCCTCCATGCATCAACCCGGTTTTGCTAGAAAAGCAGGGCGAGCCACTAAGCGAAGGGCTCCTAAGTCACGGCTCGGATGACAGGCTTGAGAGGTTAACTTTGGGTGATCTAGGACGGAACTGGAACAACAACAGTCTTCCATCTACTGATACTATGCGTAACCTGGAGGACAATGGTAACCCTGATATTAGCTCGTCGAACGTGCGCGGGATCGCAGCAATAAGTTCCCTAACGTCGATTGAAACAGCGGATTATTCAACTCCGGAGATCAAGAAGGTCGCAACGCGAGCTAATATGCAACCAAGTGTCTACGATGTGAGCGACGAAAACAATAATATAATTCTACAAACTGGACGAGCCTCGCCGACTGGTTGTGATGAAAATATGCAACCAAGTGTAGAAGGTGTGAACGATGAAGGCGAAGAAATCGTTCCACAGAAGAAACGAGTCCGGCCGACTGGTGATGGTGAAAATATGCAAGCAAGTGTAGAAGATGTGAGCGGTGAAGGCAATGATATCCTTCCACAGAAGAAACGAGTCCGGCCGACTGGTGATGGTGGCCGTCTACGACAGCCTGGACCTAGGAAAAACTCCTCTTTGAAGAAGAGCAGCGAAGCAAAGTCTTATGCACGGTCTACCGCTCAGAAGATCTCCCATCAGCAAGCTGATGCTTCTCATTCAGTGACAAGGTATTCCGCTTATGATCAAATGCGGTGTCTATTTGGTTCTGGTAAGGAGGAGGAAGAAGAATTATCGGAGTCTGCTTTCATCCGAGTATTGGAACTGTGTACAAAAGGTTCACGGCCGGACCTGGCAAGCTTTCTAGAGAATCTAAGCGATCTTTGGCGGACAAATCAATTCTGGAGCCCTGACCCTCTCCATCTTTCGATGCCAGAAGACCTGCCAGCGGGTGCTTCCTGTCTGAGGCTCTTCCGGTATCTCCGAGATCTCGGAAAAGAGACTAAATTCAATGTGATCAGACGTCGTTTTGCGCAGTTAAAACTACACCTGTCTTTCATACACCTGTGCGATGATATGGCAAACCCTGAAAGCCATAATTATAAGACCGGCCTGAATCGGCGCAGAATTCCAAGTCATGCCATTGACAAGCTTATGGGGTTGGAAGGCGGTGATCGATATTCCGAAAATCCATTAGCATCCAAGGACCGCCGTCACTTCGTCAATACTAATGCTAGGGGGAGGAGATGGTATCTGATCTCTCACTATATTGGATGGGGTGCACTGATCATCTTTAACAACATTGACACCGCTATGTGAGCAACCCGTGTCCTGAAATGCATATTTATGCTGATCACTGCCACAGCGGCAAAATCGATCTTATTGAACTGGAGGCTTTTATCATATACGTCTTAAATACTCAGCCTAGGGTCGTAGCACTATGTCGCACATATGAGCAGCCTGTCAAAGATCTCTTAAACGGCAAGAAGCCTGCTCTCACTTTGACAGAGAAAGAAGTTAGAGGTACTATTGATGGTTTGCCCCATACAATTGACAGCGATGGGTGTGCAAACACGCCCTGGAAGCGAATCAATACGAAGATCGATACGGATGTTTCTGAAGTTGTTGGACATACCTAGGGAACAGTAAGTGTTTGGATCTAAAGCATACATTAGAGACTTCAGGGAGTGCATTCATGTTTTGCTCAACGTTGCTATCTTTATACTGAATCGATGTGCAATGAAGTTATTGCTCACTATCCAGGAACTAATCCGTATCTGGAATTACCAAGAATTAGTTCCAACATACCGGAATAATCACGTGATAAGGTTAGATTGTTGGAACTAAAATACGCTATTCCTTTTCGGGAATAGGATTCAGAGAATCGTATGAATATTGATCAACAGGAAATTTCGAGAATCAGATTCTATGTCGATTTCGCATATCAACACAAGATTGTCACAAGATTGATCACAGATTGTGGTATTTAGTGATGTCATTTTTCTTGAGAATGTGAGTATAAAAAGGATCAAGATTGTCAGATAGTGAAGTTTTAGATAGTGTGCACAAATATCAGAAAAATCCCTACTCTAAGAATCTTCTTTGGTTGGCCTAACCTAGTTAGAACTAGTACGGAAAAGTTCCAATAAAAATTTTGCTTACTAAGCTCAATCTCCTAGAAGATTGGGACGACATCAGAGCAACCAGCATTTAGCTCACTATGGATAAGAATAGAAAGTGCGAGTAGACACCAAGGCAAATCGCGCTAAACCAACCAGCTCACCCTCAGTGGCGGTGCATTGTCTTATGAGCTGGTGCTAATAGACCGTCAGACCACAACAACGAAATTGGTTGGAGGCATCTCACCTTTCTCAACTCATCGACAGAGCTGACAGAGTCAGTGGCTGCTAGAAATTTCACCGCATTGGAGTCCACTGGCCAACGCTTCAGGTCATTCACGCCAGTAGTACCATTCTTTTTAGTATGCTTCTCCATCAGCTCCATAGTAATTGTCTTTATAGCGTCCAGAGTTGCGCGTTGGTCTCGGTTCTGGTCTCGGGCCTGAACGTCTTCTAACGAGCCTGGATGGACTCAGTGCATACTTCGCGAAGAGAAGACATTCCAAGACTCTACCTATTTTGACGATGCCATCCAGATTCATTAAGATGTTCGATGATTTCAAAGCCTGATGCTCGAGACCTTGGGTTACCAGGTATGATAGACCCTCTAGAATCTATCAAGGTTTAGTTGCGTCTTTGAGGGATAGCGAAATGATTACCTGTCTCATGATCACGGCGAGTTGGCCTTCGGTTGGATAGGCACGACAGACAATGAGATGCTCCACAGTCAAGGGGAGGTCTTCACATATAATGTATAATGAATTCTTGAAGAAATAGGCCTCCTTTGCAGACATAATATGCGGGTGTTGATGTTGGGAGAACCATTGTAGCATCTTGGACGAAATAGCGTCAGGGTAGGACCTGAGTAGCAGAACTCTCGAAGGGTTTTTGCTATGGACGACTGCGACGGCGTCTCCGGCAAGCTCACAGCCAAATTCCTTCCTGTATGAATTCCATGGAGACTCGTTTTTGAATTTCAGAATGCTTCTTTGTCCGTGACTCGGAGCTTGGTCAAGATTCTCCCTGCTCGGAGAGTGCTTTCGCTTTTTTGAAAGTTCAATCGCTTCGTTTTCCGGGACATTCTGAAGGGGGGTTTGTAAAGTAGGGGGTTGAACTACCTTGGATTCAAGATCGAACGCGGTTTTATGTTTGTCTGACTTGGAAGACATGATGGCTTACGGCTCCAAAAGTAAACGATGGGAAATAAAATAAGAGTGGGAAGGGAACTATTTAGATTATTTATAATTTCAGACGAACTCAAGTGGGATCGATTTGCAACGGTCGCAGAGTAGATGACAGACCACCTATAAAAGGGTCTCACCCCCTTCGCGATCCCGAATCATTTTGGGGACATAACTAGCCACCAATAATGGAGCCCTTCCTATTTACAGACACTGAGCTCCAAGTGGGAACCGAGCGAAGTCGAAAATACCTAGGCACCGCTAAGATCGATCTCGATCACATCAGCTTCCACCCCGACTCGTCACGAACGATAGATCCCGAAAATATAGACCGACTCCGTGAGGTTTTTCGCTCAGAAGGATGCCGCCGATATGAGATTCAAAATCACATTACAGGTGTCGTCTCGCGGGAGTCCCTGCAGGAAGCACTCCGTGCAGCACACAAGGCCCAAGATGAACTGCTCACTACGACGCCACAAAGTATCCCCCACCTTCAGTTCTCTGCTGGTCAGGTTTTCTGTCTCCACGGTCAGCATCGGGTTCGAGCTGGAGCGGAAGTCCTTCTAGGAGAAGACCGATGGTGGACCGTTGACCTCTACCTTGATGGTAACCGTCACCCCTCCCTTCCCGTCTGCAGAACTAAGGAGGCATAGATATCAGCACCGAGTTACGCACCGCACTCATCGAAGAATACGCCAACGAACGACGGCCCAACGACGGAGAGATCTACCGCAAAATCCGCCAATACCAACAGGAGCACAACGCTCACTTTCAGAGGCGATGGTGGGTGAGGTTATCATCGAGCAAGGCGAGGCGTCTCCAACAGCTTCACAAAAATATCGATATTCAATGTGCTTTTGACGCACTGTTACCAATTTCTGGAGTGTGGGATGGGATGAGCATTGGGAAGCTGTCCAAAGTGATGGCTCTCGACAGTGATAAGGTGATTGAAACCTCTCCGATCGCCGCGGGCATGACTGATCTTTTATAGGAGGTTCTGAACTATCTTTCACACATCAAGAAATTCTGGGTCGAGCTCGTGAGCGTCGACCCCACTCATCCCAACCTCGCCGCCATAAGGAAGATCGATTCACACACGGTGAAGAAACTGGAATCGATGGCGCCGGGAGGGTCCCGGGTCGATGCAAGAACGGTACGTGGTTGGGTGATCAGCGGCGAGGTTCTGGGGGAATTCAGTGAGACGGAGCGAAGCAATATGTGGGAGCGCATGCAACAGTTTGACGGTCTGATTCCGTCTCTCCACACATTTTTCCGGGACATGGACTATCTGGAGGCGTGCGCTGATGCGGTGAAGCGACTGTTTCCGCTGTCCAAAACTCATCCTACGCTATGGTCGGCGATGAGCCATTCCTATGCGCGTCCTGCGGCATCTGGTGATGATTGCCTCATCCAGACGACCGAATCCCAATTGAGCCGTCGTCCCAGCGACAACGTCAATCATCTGGAGCTGGCGTATCGACAGGTTTGGTTGTACGCAATGCGTCATTACCCCAGCATGAGCAAAGACCCCGAAAGCAATGATCTATTAACAAGACCCGCGAACGAGAAAGCCGATGAAACTGTCGTTTACGAGATGGCGGTCCTTGCACAGAAGCTGGGCTTCACGTCTGCTGGCATCGAGGAGATCATCAATCAATCTCCCGATCGACAAATCGCGGTGGACTGCCTGCTCAAAGCTCGAAAACCTGAGAGTTATCAGTATTCAGCCGCTGATTTGGAGCGGTCGGTTCGCCGCATTGTCGAGTGCTTCGCCGCGGCCACTCCGTGCGAACAGCCTTTGCATTCCCGCCCTGTCATGACATTTGCTGACAACCGGAGGGCACGGGGTGGGCTCCCGTCTCGACAGGCCCAGAAAAACGATCGCCGATTCCTGTTCATTGACCACCTGCACCGCGAAGTATCAGCTACCGAGAAGGTCTCGACCTGGTTTGTGCGGCGGAGTGTGTATTTCGCCTTTTTTGGAAGGTGTTTCTCTCCACCACCCGATGCCCCTGGCGAAAGAACTGCTAGCGTAGCCAACTCTGCGAGCCCCCGTTCGCCGCTATTTGTTCCCGATGATGCATCTGAAGGCGGATCCGAGACCAGGATGGATGGCCCTTTGCTCGTGACTGAGACGGAAGAGGTCTCCCCGGGAGCAGTACCAGGCATCACCGATCCGAGACGCCTATCGAGAGAAGCGTCTGCTGTGGCTGAACAAGAACGTCTTCGTCAAGAGGCGGCAAGAGTGGCCACAGAGGCTGCTGAACAGGAACGGCTGCAACGAGAAGCAATTGCAGCCGAGCAGGTCCGGTTACAGAGAGAAGCGGCGGAACAAGAACGCCGAGAACAAGAGGAGCGCGTACGGATCGAACAGGAGCGTCTTCGAAAAGAGGCGGAAGCCAGGGCGGCAGCAGAGATGGCTGAGCAAGAACGTCTTCGTCGAGAGGCGGAAAGAGTTGCTGCAGAGGCTGAACAGGAACGACTTCAGAGAGAAGCCCAAGAGAGAGCGGCCGCCGAAGCAGCTGAACAAGAACGGCTAGAACAAGAGGCGATTGCCGCTGAGCAGGTCCGTTTACAAAGAGAAGCAGAAGAAAGAGCCGCAAATGAAGCAGCTCAACAAGAGCGACTACAGCAAATACAACGCGAAGCAGAAGAGCAAGCCGCAGAGCAGGAGCGAATCCGCAGAGAAGCAGAGGAGCAGGCAGCAGAGCAATCTCGGTTGGAGAGAGAAGCGGAAGAGCGTGCAGCCGAGGAAGAAAAGGAAAGACTAGCCGTCGCAGCTGAACAAGAACGTCTTCGCCAAAACGCTGCAGAAAGAGCCTCTGCCGAGGAGGAGCGTATTGCGCAGGAGAGAGCCGTCGCTCTGGCGCATCTAGAACAGAATGATGACCATATCTCCACACCGACCGACGCAGTCCCATTGGAACGACTGAGCTCCACCACACAAATTGACATCACGCCTGACTTGCCCAGTCTCATCACCCAATTACGGGAAACTTCCGATTCGCTGGATGAGGATCATAATGCCCGTGTTGGACCACATGGCATTGCAACGCAAAATTCCCTCGAGAATGCTCGCCAGGCTGCCTTGGACTCGCACGCCGGAGATGTGCCAACCAACGACGGATCACCACCACGAACCATCACTGCTGGATTAGAGCCGATTACCGAAGAAGCAGAAGTTTCGAATCCTATTCCATCCGTCATCATCGATGACGATCGCCAGAGACAACTTCAAGAACAGATCGCCGAACGCAGGCGGGCCGATAAAGAGAAGGTTGCCAACGCGAAACGAGCACCACTTGAGATTGATGACCACTTCACTCAGACTCGCAGTGCGGATAATGAGGATCTTTATGAACCGGACGAGGAGGTGATGACTGCGCCACCGGAACGGCTTACAGAGCCTACTGTGTCTCCCGAAGGAGCTTCTGAGACCTTCGAACCAGATCATACCTCGACAGCGGTTCCTGTAGCCAGCGTGCCAAGGGCAGCACGTTTATCGCAAAAGATCGCGAGCCCAAGACAGCCCATGGGCATTAAGAAAACCAGGAAATCGGCTATCGCGCCGAAAAAGCCACGTGGATCACGGGCATCGTTCGATCCGTCATTACCACGGCGAACTCTGCTTGAATTCGAGACGATCATGGCCACAGGCCCAGCGTGGCCGGGCAACCAGGAAATCTCCCCAGGCAATGTTGGTCCCGATTCTTCAGCGACTGCGGAGCAAGCCGCCTCGCCGGCATCTGGACTGGCTCGTCTCTGGAGGAGCCGCAACCCAGCCCCCAAAGAGGCGAAGTCACGGCGGAACGAGACGTCTGATCCTCGACGACAACTCCCGCTGCTTCCCGATGACCTTGGAGCGGATTCAATGATCTTCTGGGTGTGGAAGGCCAACAAATGGAGAGAAATGGAACGAATCCCACTCGACCCATCGGATCCGCTCCGCGCGGTGCGCGTTGCCTTACGGTACGAACGGGATGAGCCGGTCGAATTCGTCGATCGAAACATGCACGCAATCGCAGCCGCGAAATGTGTCCAGGCGGCGCTGGCGGAGGGGACGAGATCCATCTTCCTGCTTCTCAGAGACGGGCCCCTGGAGCGGCCCATCACTCGGGCGATGGCGATGGCGGCGGATGACCTTGCCAAAGAGACCCCGTTAGTACAAGGCCGGAAGCGCGGCCGATGATTTACTGCACCCAGAACGGGGGGCATGAGAGGGTGGCTTCAGGTTTATTCTAGGCCGAGTTGCGGAGATCTGGGTTTAGCAGTGACCTGGGCTCCACTGCGACCGCGGTGGAGGCACCTGGTTCCACCTTGCACCCAGGTGCAAACTTTTGGGTTGCGGGCAAATCCAGGTGCACAGATTCCGGTTTCCTCACCCCGGCCGATCCACCTTGTTCTTTGTCCTCAAAGCCCCGGCCCTAGTTCTTGTTACCTGGACCCTATCTAGCACTAGGCCTGCGCTAACCACAGGTGAACCCAGTTATGTCCACCCCCTTGTGTTTGCTGAGCACTCAGGTCGGTCGCTCTGGGTATCGACACTCGCCAGCACGTCTGCACAATAGTCTCGAATTTTTCTTTTGCTTTTTGTTTTCGATGCGGAACGACATATTTATCCGCGATCTGGTACAGCTTGACATTAAACAGCATAGGTGGCGCACGACTGTGCTCGCTACCACTGCTATCATAGTCAAACCCGTACATAAAATGAATCATCGCCTGTATGGCACAAGGGTCATCGTCATGGAGAGAGACCTCGTTTCCATTCGTTTCCTGGGCACATTAGATTTAGCCTGCATCATAGAACCGCGCTCTTACCGTCCATTCTCCTTTGTATAGTCGAGAAAAATACTCTGACTGGCCACAAACGACCAATCGATGGAATTTGAATTCTTGATCGACAGTGCGAATAGTAAGGTCGGCAAATTGAGCCGAGAGGATATAGCTGCTGTTGTTAGAATCCTGACTTTCGCACAATTCAAAAAGACTTACCTCTTTATACTAGCGCCTAAGTCAGTCTGCATTTGTGCATCTTGACTTCCAATCACAGCCACTTTGTCTTCTGGCATTGTGTCTGGTTACGTTGTGGCTCTGGATGTAAATGTTGTAGTAATTGGGAGAGAAAGGGAAGTATTTAAGTCGGCCAGATTATACTTCTATCAGACACTAGGCGGCGTTGCTATCTATTTCAGAAGAAATATAGTACAGCTTGTCTCTGATGAGCAAAAATTGATAGGTCAATAACATATATCGACAGAATTACACAGTTCCCAAACCAACCGGAGAGGGAGGAAAATAAGTCCAAACCAAAGAAAGCTTGCGTCCCGTCGAAATTACAATACTAGCTCTCATTCTGCATGTACCAGATAGATGTGTTGCAAGACAACTCATACCTGCATTTCCCCTCTTTCTCTCACCCAGACACCTACTGTACATAAATATCACGCAAATAAAGTTTTTTGACTAATTGATTCGGTCAAGTTAACATTAAGTCTCCAGACACTGAGTTCTGAGCCTCCCAACGTGATCAGTTTTCGGATTTCTCCTATACGAACATGACTGTCGATACACTCAATCGAGATGCTGGTCATCTGGCCAACCCAATATTGTTACGAAAGATTGACGAACTTCGTGAGAAAAACGTCGGTCAACACGTTCCTCTTCCGCAGGTAGACGTTCAATGCCCCAAAATATGCCTTTCTCGAATCTCATTATCGTATCCTAGCTGGTTGTCGTTGGCGACCAAAGCTCTGGGAAATCTTCCCTGTTGCAGAGCCTCACAAACATTCCATTTCCTCGCAACCTAGAGCTCTGTACCCGCTACGCGACGCAGATAACGTCCCGCCGTGACGTAGTTTCTCGAGTTGACATCAGCATCATTCCTGGGCCGCGTGCATCTGACGAACATAGAAAGCGCTTAGAAGAGTATGATCCAGGGTTGTTATCTCCGGAAAAGTTCCGTGATCATTTTCAGAGCATCCTCAAGGAAGTCGGTTCCCCTTTGAAGATTACTCTGATAGGCATACGCTGACTCAGCCACAGGTCAACAATCGGATGGGGATCCGGACGGACCCTGCTTCGAGCGATGGCAGGGTTTTTAGCGAAGATGTCTTAAAAGTCGAAATATGCGGTCCTGACGAAGACTATCTGACCCTCATAGACGTACCGGGAATATTCCGTAATCCAACGGAAGGAGTAACGACAAAACTTGACATCATCCTGGTTCAAAACATGGTGAAGAAATATATCAGAGATAACCGTACCATCATCCTCGCTGTTCTCCCCAGCAATGTGGACCCTGCTACGCAGGAAATTCTGACACTTGCTGAGGATTATGATAAAGCAGGCGAGCGGACTCTGGGAGTTTTGACGAAGCCGGATCTTGTTACCGAAGTCAGCGCACAGGCTGCTGTGTGCAATGTGGTGTTGGGAAAGAAAAAACCGCTTGCACTTGGATATTATGTTGTTCGAAATCGCGGCGCGGACGATGACGATAAGTTCGATCAGAGTGCGGTAGAACAGTTATTCCGGGAAAAACCTTGGAGTGATTTGCCGAAAGATCGACTCGGTGTGCAGGCCTTGAAGGCAAGACTGGGTGAGCTCCTAGCCAAATCACCCGTAGGGAGTTCCCGAGACTGCAGAAGATGTCCAAAACAGTTGACGGATTGTCGGAGCCAGTTGGATCGTCTCGGGCCAGCACGTCAGACTGAGCAAGAACAACGTCTATTTCTGAGTGCATTGGGTCGTCAATTCCAGGAACTAGTTCAGGCAGCCCTTAACGCTCACTACTATAGCCACAGCGCATTTGAGAACACTAGTGAACTCAGGCTTATTACGGATGTCGTCAACCTCACCGAGCAATTTAACTCGGATTTTGAGGATAATGCGCATCTCCGTCATTTCGAAACCCAGTGCAAAACCAGTGGAGATAGAAATGAGAACGAAAGCGAGGAAGCGAAATCCGATTCGTGGCCGGAAACAAGTACAAATCAGTCCCCAGTCGACGACCTTGGCTTTGAAGACCCTATTCTAGAAAATATTGTCACTAGGGACTTCGAAGTTGACTACCCACGGGACGACATTATGGATTGGCTTGGGGAACTTTATTTACAATCTCGTGGTGTAGAGTTGGGTACCTTTGGTGGTGCTATACTTTCTAGCGCGTTCAGGGAGCAATCTAGCAAATGGGAGAAACTGACGCAGGTGTATGTGAGTAAGGTTATACTGGCCATTCATCGGTTCATGATCACGGCCGTGAAGATGCTTTGTACCGATATTCGAGTTCAACAAGAGATATGGTCTTCTATTCTCGAAGAAGTCCTTGACAGGTATAGAGCAGCGACGAATCAAGCCAGGTTTCTTGTGTCCACGGAGCGGGAAAAAAGACCATATACTTTGAATCATTATTTCAATGAAGAACTCCAGATTTCACGTGGCAATCGAATAGCTGCATTATTGGAGGGAAAGGCTCGGAGGGAAGTCCAACCCAATGCCTTCGGCAAGGGGGTAGTTACTACAGACAACCTTATTGTCGATCTGGAGTCAGTCAGACATGCTACAACCAGTAAAAGCAATGCGGAACACGTCAAGGAGGAATTACATGACATTCTTCAATCTTACTACAAAGTAGCGCGAAAACGATTCGTCGATAATGTTTACCACCAAGCTATCGATCACTGCCTGCTAACAGGACCTGCAAGTCCTCTGGCTGTTTTCAGTCAGGAGTGGGCCATAAGACTGGAGGCGGAGCAGCTGGAAAACATCGCCGGCGAGTCACCAATTACTAAGGAAAGACGGAGCACCCTGGAGAAAAAGATCAACGATTTGGAGGTGGCTATGCGCATCTTAAAACCTTGATGTATAATTCCGGATGAGATACACCATCATATCATTCTACCGCGGTTGGGGGAGAAGGACGACGGTGTTTTGTAAAGTAGTTGGTTGAGATGTCTGTCAACTGTCTGCTTGAGTCAAGCTCTGTATTGATGTATTAACGAACGCAATGTAGTAGCTGAACGCTCTGGAATGCTCATTGCCCTCCACAAAATAAAGCCCACACCGTCCCCGGATTTTGAGTAACAGGCTTATTTTTCTTATCAACGCTATGGCACTGCTTTCTACTGAACCCCCCCGGTCTCGCAAGCTTCTACGCAATTCGAGACTTTCTACGCTTGTGAACGAAAATTTTCACCCAAGATCCACTCAATAGCATGATAAGTGATGCCAGAACCTACTGCGAGGACGATTTGAGAAATAAAAATCAGGGCCGATATTCGAGAACAGCCATTTTCGCTTTCTGGTGTACATAGTCTCGAAGGATTAATCGAATCTGGTCGCGGACCAGACTGGATGCTGCTACTAGAAGTTCATTAGTACATGGAAGTTTCTCTCTCAGATGGCACATACCCATCACTAATGACTCTCCCTTCTCTTCTTGGGCGTTTGGGAGTCTCTCAATGAGCTCTCCAGACATTTCCGCATGCAGAATCTGATCATAGTTTGCACTTCGGTTGTAAACAACAGCTCGGTCGTGGTTCCCGAATTTCATCACGTCGCCAATGATCTGGTCGGATTTCACGTAGATCGAGATGGTCAAGATCTAGTCCAGCACTCAATATATCAGCATCTGATTGCACTAGCAAACGAGGAATATGCTACTTACGTAACGTTTCTTTAAGATATCATCTTCCAGTAGACTATTCAGCGTTGCTTGCACCGCGATCGCGATATCTTCACATGTTAGCGTAAGTTTATTTTATGTCATGGTACTCACCAAGAGTCTCAATCTCCCAGACAAGATGCACTCTTCTCGTTCGAGATGTTGAGGTGTTGTAGCTGTACACGAGCTTTTTGAGATAAGGAATGACAGCTGCGACACCAAAGCCACTAGCCACAAGCACAACACTCTCATATCGATCGACATTCTCGCTCAGGCCATGTGGTCCAATGATCAACGCACGCAACGAAGCTGATCCTTGCGAAGCAGCACGGGCGTGCTTCAGCAGTTCGCGAGAAAACCCACGCCGAGGCTGAATCAGTATGTCCAACGTCTCCTGGGCGCTGTGAGACCACGAGGTGACCATGAATGGATGCACTTGCGCCCATGACCACCAGGTCAACGAAGGCATCCATAAATTGATGTACTGTCCCGCTTCAATCCTCACCGGTCGTGTAAGGGCCACACGAACTTGAATGATTACATCTGAATCTGGTTTCCCATCAATCTTGGGACGGTTACAGGAAACCCGCGCTCGAGGCCATCCCTGCAATGAGAAGACCCGATTCCGATAGAGCAAAAGGCCAAGCTGTAGTAGGAACGCTATTGAAAGTAACGCAACTGTGGTAATAGTACAAATCCTTAAAAGGCGATCACCAGGTGGAACATGTCGCCATGTGGCATATAAAAGAATATATGCAAGGACCTGATGGGCTCGAAGGAAAAGTTCGAAAATATGACGGCGAACATACGGCAGTGTAAGGAGTGAAACTCCTACTACACATCCGGCCCCCTATTTCAAATCAGAGACGATATATATGAAAAGGTTAACAACTTACAATGAGTGCAGAAAGGTTGCTTGTTCGATTCAACGAAAGACTCTTCTGGATCGTAGAAATTAAAACAACATGTAGAACTAACAAACCTGTCACCATCCAAGCAGTGCTCCGATGGATCTGGAGACATGTGTGGCGAGAAATACTCAATATATCCCCGTAGATGCTCAGGTGTCCCCCCGCAAATAAGGCGACCATATTGACCACAGCCAGAGTTCCTGATCTATCTGCAAATTCTGTTGGCGAAGAGACACCGAAACAAAGACAGAACAAATTGGTCCCTGTGTAGAGAAGGTGAATTAAAACAGCCCCACGTGTCCATGGGCCAACGAAGCGATGGCGACGAAGAAAGAATGGAAACATCAAATATCGAGAAATGTACACTTCAAAGCTTTTAGCTATTTGATACACATATGGGAGAACCCTGATCAGGAAAAGAATGACAAAGACACCGCCGGCGGTGATGGCATAAATGCTGATGATATCCATGTTGTTAGGAAGCCGGAAGAAGAAAGAGAAAGGACGGAGACTGTGGGAGGCGTCGAGTATTTATCTAGCCGGTCACGTATGCGACGAACTGAACTTGGGTTCGATACCGAGAGGTTTACGTCCATCTGAGCCAATCACGACTCAAGCTCGTAGTCGGCGCGGTGCAAATCGCCAATATGCGTTACTGTTGACGAAAGGAACCCATCACTACAAGGAAGAACAGACCTATCTGGAGAATATTCTAGACCTTCAGACATGAGTCACACCTTTCTTAGAGACCAAGGAGATCCTCGACTCCAACAGTATAAATCATCTATCTTCCCACGACTACCCTCAAAAACTTTTCCTTCCAAAGTCCGCTCGATCCTAGCTTTACTCAAAATGAGCAGACGTGCATCGTCCAGTTCCCTGGACCAAATGTCCACTAGTCCATCACATCTTGTTCAAGGTAGTGATAGGGAAACCATTACTCTGAAATCTCTCCTTAACGGATCAGGAGAGTTCCGACCCTCCCAAATTGGCATGCTTGTTGGAGGTTCGGATGACTGGTTCGTCGCAGAAAACCGTATTCTCCATCCACGTCGCGAAGGGCCACTGCTTTGACGAAGGTAAGTTGATAAGAGACATCATCTATCTCCATCCCAAAGAATCCTTGTCCGTATGTATTGGGAGGGAATGCTGAATGTTATAGACTTTTCGCTCGATGAAGGTGGCGTTTACCTGAACTACGAGAGGCCAGGAATATCCTTGAGGACGTTGAAGCAATTCAAAATGATCGATCGAATCGCAGTGGCGACGATTTTCGAGAAGGTCCTACACCGCTGAAACTTCCTCCAAATAACGACTGATAGATGTATAGGTGCTGCAAGGATTAATCTATATTCATGAAGTTCTGGGCATCTGCCATGGCAATCTGCAGTGTGACAATATCTATATCAACGAAGATGGCGAAGTTAAAATTGGTAATTGATTTCCAATCACTTGAATGCTCGTAATAGTTCTGCTGATGTCTTGACAGGAGACATCGGGCAGAGCATGGTACAGACAGGAAAGACACCGGATTTTATCCGCGATATGGAGGCGTTTACTGTATTGCACACGATCTACTAGACCTCTCTAGCAGTCCGGATACGAAGAGTTTATCGTGGAAATTGGCCGAAAGCTTCCTTAGAATGCCATTTAATACTGACCTTCGATTCCTTCTCAAGGTATAGATGCTTCACAACGAATTTGGCATTATAGAGCTAACAGCCATATAGCACCCTTTCTTTAGAATCAGCCAGGATTCCTGGTGTTTGGAATACCTTTGGGAAGTACTTTCATTTCACCTCCAGACTCAGAGCTACGTTGGAGACTCTGTATTGGAGAAACTGACCAGCGATGAGAATACTAGCGAAGAGGACAGACGAGGACGGTTCTGAAAATGACTGCTGGCCTAACCGATCCCCAGTGCAATTACGTTTAGTGTATCTTCTTGTGTGATTCTATAAATCTGTGACATGAATTTATGGGATAGTGTCTGATCTGCCAGAACCAGATAATTGGAACTTGTACGTCAAAATCTCCCCGTCTCTTAATGTGCATGACGTCCCAATCTATTCAGCGGATTGGGATTACTAAGACTACTTCGCAGGATCAAGGGGAGATCTCAATGTGGGTCTGGTGACAACTAGTTGAGCACTACAAATCAACGTTTCTTGATGCATATCGAAAATATTCGATTGACATCATCTGTCACTCTCTATGATCCTGTTTGTATGAGATTTTGTGTATATAAACGATCAAAATCCCCAAGCAGCAATGTCTTGGAGGACGTGCAATTGTATAGTGAATAAGATAGCATATATCCTCACTCGAAAGCTTGCTTTTGTACGATCCGGCCGCTTACCGTATACACACTAGTACGTTCTCGGTTCCAATAAAACAAGTCTGTCACGAGAATCTAATGATTGAAGTAGAGACCAGGTTCGTCACAAGAAATAAATTATACATAAGCGATGAGGTATAAACCCTTTAACTATCAAATAATAGACTATGGAGTGCACAGAAGCAAACAAAGACTGCTATAGTAAGACAGCCTAGACATCCTTGATCTCGTGCCTAGTTATAAGACAAAGTCAAATTTACATGGACGCTTTTAATCTCTTTGACCTACGTATTGAGCATTTTGTGGAATGAATAGGGCCAGATTCAATCAATCTAGGGTCGATGTTCGCCATATCAGAGCTGATAGAAGAAGCGGGAGTCTCTATACCGGAGTGGCGATCGGATCCAGAAGAGGGATCTGAATCATCGAAAGATGAATCTTCACGGCCACTAACAAGCTGCCATGGCGGAAGATGTTTCTGCTGAATGTTGATATCGTATGTGTGCACTTCTATAGCATGGACCAAGAAATCAGTGATTTTAGTGAACTTTGGAACATCATTGCACATCTTCCAGGTGCAGCTGATTCCGTCGTAGGCTTTGGCGAGGTGACAATCGATAAGATGGCGCCGCAGAGAATCTAATCGCTTAGGAGGAAATCTGTGTGGAGGCGGATTAGATGTTGAGCGGCGGGATAGACCGTAACAGATGATGCAAACATCCGTCGGGCAGTCAGGAGTTTTTTCTTCGAGGCAGCATGGCTTTTCGTGTTCCGCAGACTCATCATCGTCGAAATTCCAGTTGACTCGATTCCCCCGACGGCTCGGTTCACAGAGAGTACTGAGCGCAACCATATCTTTGGTTGCCTGGATACGTCTGGCAAGAAGATTATCCTCTTCGTAATTCTCTGCGTCTGGACCATAGAAAATCTCAACAAGCCGTTCCCGCTCCGGGAAGATGTATCTGGGGGTGGGAGGCTCCCAGTCCTTCTCGTCGAAGTCGTCGCTATCCTCAGGGTCAGCTTGACCGAGAAGTCGCTTGATCTGTCTGTTCACTTCGAGAATGGGCGCGTTATAGAAGTGATCTTTTCTAGCGGTCTCCTTGGTGTCCTTGGCTAACGTTTTCCGCAGCTGAGAAAGCTCCTTGCAAAGCGATTCGTGCCGCTGGTAGAGATGCGGAAAAGTCTGTCGGGCGTTCTTTTTGGTGCCAGCAAGGGATCGCATCTCCTCCATCACCTCCCGCTTGGCCCGCTTGAGCTCTACAATCCGTGGGTCCTGGCAAATCGTGCGACGCTGTTCCTCGGTCAGTTCAGAGGAGGGAGCGGACAGATCCCGTTTCCGGAGCATACTCCCAGCGGCCTGAAGGAGATGTTCCTGGGGTGGCCGGAGAAGCACCACATTTTGAAGATCGCGTTGAACAAACTGGGATTGGTAGTGCCTCTCAAAAACCCCGTCTCCGGACTGACCGAGCACCCTTTGCCGCTCCTGGCTCGTGAAATGCCCTGTGATAGCATGTTAGATGCTAAATGATCTTTATATATCTAGATCTAGTAGGGGTTGTCCGACTTACGGTTCGCCTCGTTTGCAGTCCAGCGTCGATAATTGTAGTGGCCAACATCATCTTTGAACTTGGCATCCCGACCCAACTCCCGCATCGCTTCTCGGCTGGTGGCATATGCCATCGGCCGAGATTTGTCAAGCTTGAGGCCGTATTCTGTGTGTTGAACATGCCGAAGGAGAGGGGTATCTAGTACCTCGGGTTTCCATTGCAGGGGAAGAGAAGCAGCGTTGTCTGGAACTTGGAGTCGCCATATTATTTCTGGTGTCAGCATAGTATTGGCAAAAGCCTTGTCCCGAAAGGCGTATGTGATGATTTGCAGGATCGGGCAATATGCTAGTTGATAATCACAATGCATGAAAAATCTGGTTCTATTGGGCAGACTTTAGTATTGTAGGACTCCGAGGGTGGCAGTTGTAGTTCTTACCCATCGGCACCCTCAGGTCGGCCTTTTAGATTGCGAAACTCAATGATAGCACATAGGACGTCACGATTGCCATTAGAGTCTTTGAGATAGAAGAGATCAATATCCCGATAACACACCGAGTCTGGAAGATCCTTGGCCGAAACATATTGAGGAATGTCGCTTTGAAAATCCAAGCCTTGTTTTCGTTTGCCCAAGGACGTATTGTTCGGTAGGTAGGCTTTCTGCGGAAGCAGCACACCGGGCCGCGTCCCAGTAATGGAAGACCAGAGCTGGATCGTAGCGAATTGTATCAACATGCTCCCATGACGGAAAAATTTCGAATGGATCCAATGGTGGCGGTACAAAATACAGAAGACGTCCACGCTGAGTGTACTCTTTTCCTTCATCCGTCGAGAGATCGAGTGCTCGGCGGGGAATCTTCCGTTGATAAACTGTGCTCGCCATTAGTCGTGAACTTTGTAGAAGGAAGAAGAACGGTGTACTCTTCGCATCTGTTCTTGGACTCCCTGGTCCATACGACGCCGGGCGAACAAGCTGAAATACTGTTTGAGGCGCCGCCAGTATTCATCGTAGGATTGGAGAAGCTTCTTACGGGAAGTCTTGTGCATCCAATCAAAAAAGTTCATGTAGATTGCCTGGTCCTCAGAGAGAAGATAATCGACATAGTCCTTCTCTAATTGGAGGCAGTACCTATTAGCAGTAAGTATACTTCTAGACCACGGCGGCAAGGGTATAGGTTTTCAATACTTACTTCCGCCAGTACCGTTCAACCACAGCGATTCCTTCCAGGGTCTTGGGCTTGTGGTTGGGAGGAAGCCATCCTATGCTTCGATAATATTCGAGCCTGGTTCGCGTTTCTTCACAGAGGATTGGGTCAGTCCAGTATTGATGCTCTTCGGGATTCGCAGATGGAAGGGGAGACTGCGCCATAGGTAGAGGTAATGGGATGAAGAGAACAAGGAAAATAGGGTTGTAGATTGGGGAGATTGGGGGGAGGAGCAGGTTGGAGGGAGGGAAGTGGACGTTGATAGAAGAGAGAGGAGGAGAGGGGGGCCGGTGCCATCTTATATAGTGGGCGACCAGATCGATCAGAAGGAGACGGCTTAGATCGGGTTCGCAGAGGTATCATAGTCAATGTGAATCGGGTGCGACTTCAAATGAATTCGATCGCGAACAGTTTGTCCCAACGAGCACAATGACTAAGGAAGCTGGCAGCGAATCAGGGCCGACACACGTGATGAGACGTTAAAGCGGCGGCCGGTCTGCAGCGAAACGGTGGTGTGGAAATCCTGCCGTATGAGGCTACAGTAGCGGTCATTTTGAACTTCAATTCCGCAGGTCCAACTATTCTAGTAGTAAATAAAACTATACATATACACATATCCATGGATCCATGGATATCATGGATATGAATATGAATATTGGATTTCTTTCATGGATAATATCCGCGGATATATCCGTGCTCTTAAAATTTAACGGATATGGATATGGATATGCTAAATTTTCATGGATCTTATCCATGGAGAGCCCTATTCTTTCATTACCTGCAACTGCCGCAGTGGCCTTCTTATGCGGTATTGCTTGGTATGGCAAGACGCCTTGTGGACAGTACTAACGGAGCTTGACTAGATAAATAAAGATATGAAAGACAGAGCCTAAGAAAAAAAGAAAAGACACAAGCTTCCAGAACGTATTCGCCATTTCAGAAAAGCAAGCATCAAGCAGTTGGGAAGTGCTTGTATCCTACGTCCTCGACAAAAGTCTGCTGCCAAGGACCCTGAGACTTGTGCTCGGCGAGCTCGACATAGAATTTTCCATGTGCCTCGCCACTGATCTTAGAGTATACGGGAGTCCCATCAGCCTTCCGCTCATCGGCATAATAGAACCTGCTTTTCCGTTAATTCGAAAACTGCTGGAGCGGAAGACGGAAACGCATACTTGAAGCCTTTATTAGAGTATGCGGCAGCAGCAGAGCGGATGATGTGGGCTGTTGCAGATTTACCCACACCACCATCAAGAAGACTTGCAATGGTGGTCTCATTGAGTATATTGCCAGTATAGATGAATGTCTTGGATCTATGATCAGGCAGTCTCTCGAAACTTAAAGCCGCGTGTTGTGCAGCGACAAACGCACTGGTCGTGTTGACGTGCAAGTCTCGACTAAAGTCAGCCAAGGGAATAGACAGGGGTTCCTCTGGATTGTTCGGAGCCCCGGCAGATGCTTCGAGGGTGTCAGTGGTGTTTCGGTAAAGGTTTCCCATGAGGAACATGCTTACCATTGTAGACAACAACACTTGGCAGACCGAGTGATGCCTCGACTTTCGAAAAGATTCCCTTCACGCAATGAGGATCCGATAGGTCAGCAGAAATGCGGACTAAGTCCGCATTTTTGTCTTCTTCCTTGACACTCCTAGATGCCAAGGCAATTTTGTAGCCCTTTGCGACAAAGGCCTGAGCCACATGATGCCCTACATTAGGACCCGATCCGAGAATGAGGATAACCGGAGATGTGCTAGCCATACTTGAGCTTGTACGAATTGAAGAGAGAGAACAACCATTGAGGAAGACATATACTTTCTTTATATAGGCTTAAATGATCAAATTCCAGTTCCATCTGTATTCGTCATCAATCCGTGTGTTTGCTAGTATGACTCTGTTTGCTTGAACCTTATCAATAATCTCACTAAGTGGTTCCGAGTAAGTCGGTACTGTTTGCATCATAATCAGTCAACGTCGATGACAAATCGCATGAGATTATCAACCAAGTTGATCTCACATTAAATGCGCTGCACGGTGAATAGGTAATGGTTATGAATGCATTTCTGATTACTAATGTGCACTTATCTTTCCGCTTTGAGAAAACTGGCAACTTTTGTGTATCTTGGCAATTCAAAGTGAATCCTTACTTTAGGCGCACCATGTGGTATCATGACGGATTCAAAAATCAGCAAAGCGAGCAAACGAGGCTCACGTTCGATATATAAATACATGTACTATCGCTGCTCTCCTGGGCCCATCAACTCTCAGAATTATCCTAAGATTTCATCTCAGTGCTGTTAAACTTTATAAACCATCACAATGTCTTCCTGGGTGATTACCGGAGTTTCGCGTGGCCTTGGCGTACGCTCTTATCCCTGCTTCATGCATAAGACTCGTTTAACTAATACACATACTTCATCATCTAGTTCGAGTTCGTCCGCCAGCTCTCTGAAAACTCTTCCAATACCGTCTTCGGCCTTGTTCGCGATAAAGCAGCCGTCGAGGCCAAGGTTGCTGCTGAAATCGGCCGGAAAAATATTTACATCATTCAGGCTGACACCACGGACCCAATGGAATTGGAGGTAAGGTCATAATTAATCAATTAAACCGAAGTCGCAACTAATCGAAACACCTCATAGAAAGCAGCTCACTATGTTTCCGAGAAAACCAATGGTGCTGTTGATTATGTCATAGCCAATGCCGCGCTTCAATCTAAGACTGCGTTGGTTGGCTTTGATACTCTGTAAGTTCTAGGCGGTGTGACAAAGATTCCTGGGATAGTTGATTTGGAACTAATTCCTCCACAGGAGCCGCGATCCAAAAGCACTTGAACAAGATGTGATTGACCACCTACGAGTCAATACCATCGGCGCCGTCCATCTTTTCAATACTTTCATGCCCCTGATTCTAAAAGGTCGGGCGAAGAAAGTGATTGCCATCTCCACGGGCATGTCGGATCCTGAGATGACACTCAAAGCCGATATCTACCAAGCCACATCCTATGCAATGAGCAAGGCAGCTCTTAATATGGCCATAGCCAAGTTCAGCGCCTTGTACCGTGAGAAAGGTGTACTGTGCATGGCTATATGCCCTGGTGCTGTAGACACCGGCAGTCTTAATATTGGTATGTATTCGTCTTGGCAACTTAAATGGGATGCATTTAGCTAACGTTTGCGTAGAAACAGAGGAGGAGGGACAATTGGCTATGGCTATGTTTGGCAAGTTTAAGCAATATTCACCCACTTTCCAAGGACCTAGGAAGCCAGAAGACAGTGCCAGATCGGTCTTGGCTCTCGTGAATAAGGCTACTGTTGACAGTGGTTATGCAGGCATCTTTCTTTCTCATACGGAATCGAAGCCGTACCTTTGAGACTGTGCACCAAACAGAATTAGGCTAACAGAAAACGTTAATATGTTGATTTCTTCTTGTATCCCGTTTAAAGTAAGCTATGGACCATGGAAGATACGTGCCTTTTGGCTCAAAATACACCAAGAACAAAAGTTTCCAGACAACCCCACCCAAAATCGCAATGTGCCAATGTAATAGGAGGTTAGTCCGTTGGTTAGACAGGAGGAATTATCAATATGGTAGAAGATCGTTCGGTGTCTTTGAGATGTTTATTAACAAAGGTACTGTTCCTAATGTACAGAGACTGAAGCTTGAGAAAAGAAAACAATCCTAGTTACAAGGAACCTCCTTCTTATGCATGCATGAGTCGTTCACAGGAGGCATCGCGTTGTCCACCTAGTTGGTGTGACTTGTGGCTTGTCACAGATATCATGTGTACTGTTTCAGACTTTCGGTACTGTTACAACTTTGCCCTCTCCGAAGGATGCTCGTCCGCGAGTATCATGCTTGTGCTCATCGGTAAATAAAACCAGCGACTATCCTCGTTAAAAATCCTAGTGGGAAAAAGAGTAATAGTCCTAGTTCAATTCTCTTTATTTTACTTCCTGCTATGCCTCTTCTTCGGTGGGCTATCCATGACTTTGTGTCCCCTCTGTGTTCGCATTGCCTTTTCATATCAGCGAATAGTTTCTTGCGCGTTGCCCATATCTATCTTGGGGACCCATTGATTGTATTTAGCAGGCCAACCAGTCCATTTGACTAGGTAGTGAGGTTGATTGTTGATCATCATCTTGTCTTTGATCTCTTCAACTTCCCACTCCTCGTCATCTTCTAAGTTGGGCAGTGGCATGAATTTTCCGTCTTCGCGCGTGTGATACTTTTCTAGAAACTAGATAGGGAAAATATCATGAAGTAGCTCATACTTCGCCGGTAGAGCTAACTGGTAAGCCTGGTTACCAATTCTTTGAAGGACACATAGTGATCCGATCCAGCAGGGTTATACTTTCTTATTTTTTAACCATAGGTTCTTGGATGACAACTTGACCAAGTCACCTCGCTTGAATAGCATTGATTAGTGGCATTGATTGTAGTATTTAATTTGTCTTTCTTGGGCATTCAAGATCTATTCTCGAATTTGTTCTTGCAATGCATGTAGGCGCTCAACCCGGTCATGCGCAGCTGGTGCCTCCTCTTTTGTGACGTTGTCTACAACGTTGAATTGCAATTTAGGGTCGTAGCTATATAGTGCCTTGAAAGGGCTTATCTATGTTGTAGTATTCTTACTGTTGTTATATGCAAATTCTGCAGCAGGCAAAAGTTTGGCCCAGTTCATCTGTTTAAGACTTGTATAAGCATGTAAGTAATTCTTAAGGATTCAATTCAAGATCCCAGTTTGACCATCGGTCTGTAGATAAAATACAGTACTCATCCTTCACTTGATTAAGGAATAAGCGCAGACTTCCGCCCAAAACTTGGATGTAATTCTTATATCTCGGTCAGACACGATTCCTCGTGGAGATCTATAGCTTAACTCAATTCTCTTATGGAATAAGACTGCAAAATCAGCTGCGGATATATCTCCCTGGGTTAAGATAAACTTAGCTATCTTTGTATAGCGATCAATAATGACAAGGATTGTATTATACTCCCCTGTGCCTATGTAACAACGTTACAAGGGATATATATATATAATTACGTTCGAGAGGAGTCACTGAAGGCAAGCACACAAGGTAGGGTATGGAATGTCAATGTACTGAAACCTATCTCTCCTGCTTCCGCAGCATGCATTCTATATAAGAGACATTGATGTTGTTTCGTGACAAACATCATTGACCACAGCCAGCTGAAAGTTGTCCATAGCCAGCTGAACATTTGACCATGACCAGCTGAAGTATCCACACTTTTGCCACTCTCCGTTGAGTTTGTCCTCGTATCAAACCAACCCTAATCCCTAAGAGATTGGACAAGCATGTTGGTTGTTACAGCCTATGTATGATGAAGGTAATTATATAATGAAATCTAATAAAACTTCCTTCTAAGGCCTCTCTAGGATAGGTAATGGTTTAAGTTTGCGATATAGCTTGTGTCTCGGAATCGCGATATTTTGACAAGTAGGGTATGTAACCACGTATTCTCGTACACACCCGCAGCCTATACGATGGGCTGAAGCGGACAGAAGATATAGCTCTGGCTCAACTTTGGACAGGAATGACCAGGCTTAATAGCTACCTAGTCAGGATAGGAGCCACAGAATCAGACCTTTACATCTATGGCTAGGCAAGCGAGACTATAGAGCACTTCCTATTCCGCTGCACAAAGTAGATGGGAATGAGAGAAGGCATGTTACAGTGCACGGAAATAAGAAGAGGAAGCCTATCATTCTATCTTGGAGGAAAGGCATAATCTGATTCTAAACAATAATAACCAGACATCAAAGCAGTACAAACGATAATTAGATATGCAATATCAACAGGAAAACTCAACATGGAACAGGAACAGGAACCAAGTCAGACACAGCAAAGCCAATACTAACTAACTACTCCCACCCTCATATACGATAGACATTGCTGCAGCCACTGAGGATAGGACGCTATTTACTTGAAGAAGACAGCCTTTAAGCTGGTCTATCAATTCTTTTGTACTCAAGATGGGGGAACCACATGTCAAGGAGGCCTCAACCTCAGATATAAAGATAAACACGTGGAAGCAGCAAAAGCAGGGGCTTATAGGAGGATAGGTCGGAAACACACGAATTATATATATCATACCGCGTCGAGGTCGAATAGCTACAACAGACAGACAATCAGAAAAATATGACTTTACCAATTGGTTACTAAGCTACTTGTATGCACATGTGCAGAAGCGCACCCACAGATTCATTAATTGATTTATTCACCTAAGCGTCCCAACCGCCCCGCAGGTGTTAGATAAAACCGGATATCCAGCAAGACAGTGTCAGATAATTCGGATATCCGGAGGCAGTAAAAGGAAGTGAACAATCAGAAGCCCTATCTTATAGCCCCCAAAATTTACCCCTCTTGATGACTCACAAATCACCCCGCCAAAAGTGTCTATAAAAGACCCGGCTTTGAAACCTGATGGAGAGAGAGAGAGACAGAACTCAATACATACAATCTTGCTAGTCACTTCTTTTCTTTGATCCTAGTAAAACACTCTTCAGGATTGGCCTGGAATAAACCGACTAATCCGACAGCAGGCAGCCATGCGGCATGTGTCCTAATCCTGACCGCCAGCTCCGGTCCTATATACACGAAATAACTATGTATCTGGATGATTTTAAAATGAAATGACAAGCTGGTGTATTCTTATTAGAGTGCATTGCTGCTGCTTTGGCTGTGTAGTGGTTGCTATACCCTTGATGACTTACCACTCCGCTAGAGGTCTAAATCTATACTCCCAAATTGCCCAAGGAGCTTGGTTTCCAACATGAATTTTGCTGCTCTGGCGGTGTATTTTCTATCAGAGAGAGAACTCTCCTTACATCGGATGACTACGTTCCTTCATTCTTCCACGCGTTACACTCTCTCTTGAATATGGGATAGCTCAGTAAGATATATGTGACTGTTCGTGCTCTACGTTAGTATTGACATTCTCCATCGTTGATTCCTAAAATCTTTCTTTGATATAGGAGATGACGTAGGCTGATATTACCTGTCTGCATCTGTGTTAAGATAAATGAGAGAGGTCTGTAGAGTCTAGTATAAAGTTCTATATTCATCTTCGATTGTTTAGTAAGGATCTGGAAGGGCATACAGCCTCGCTGATTTTGTTGCTACTCCTATTCCTATTATTTATGAGCTAGAGTCTTCAAGTCTCTCTTGAGCGCTGACAAAGGCTACTAGAGTCCAACTAGTCTTGGAGCAGTACTGTTCATGTCCACTGGAATCTGTCTATCCCTATTATTTTCGATTAATCTCCATCCAGATGCCTCTTTTGCTGTTCTGTCCGCTCACTCATTACCCTTAATTCCCTGGTGGGTATTACTCCAACACGATAAAGGGACTCCAGTCGATCAATTGTCGTGTCATGAATGACGGTATTTATTTTAAATCTTCCACGTTCTATCAAGACTGTCAGTGTATAAGGATTAAGTGTTCCAAACAGGCAAACCAAGGAATACGAGGGCTTAATACAATTTATAGCCTATCAACCTGTGTATATTCCGGACGGAAAGCGCAACCCCAATGGTGGAAAAGATGCGCCTCGTCAACAAATTGATTTCAGGTTCTTCAAAAATATATCGCAATTGCTCATTCGTAGCCAACTCAGGGCTTAGTAAAAGATGCGTATATGCCTCTTTCTTGATGTTCATTAATAGACCAGTCCTATCAGTACCTTTGTTATAAATGTAACAACCAACATGCCTGTCCAATCTCTTAGGGGTTAGGGTTAGTTTAATATGAGAACAGAGAGTTGGCAAAAGTATGGATATTTCAACTGGTCATGGTCAAGGTTCAGCTGGCTATGATTAATAATGTATTGCCACGAAACAACATGAATATCTTTTATATAGAATGCATGCTGCGGAAGCAGAAGAGAGAAGTTTCAGTACATTGACATTCCATACCCTACCTTGTGCACTTAGTTCTTAGTGATCCCTCTCGAATGTGACTATACATATCCCTCGTAACGTTGTTGAATAAATAGAGGATGGCCATGTAGCCGTGTTATCGCTTCGGATTGCTCAAATGTCAGGTGACAGAATCGATGAATCCAGCACTCCCTAACATCATGCTGTACAAGCTCTACAACAAGATTTCGGAGAATTTGAGGCGTTGGAGGTAATCCACGAGACGAGAGCTTCGAGATATGATGAAGAAGAACTTCTTCTTGGGCATCTGTAAGGAGTTTGCGGTGAATAGAAGTTGCTTTCTGGTTTGATACGGTCTGGCCTTTATACCGGCGCCTTAGGGTCGAATGCTCAAGATTATATTTTCTGGCAGTTTTGGCATATTGAGGCGTTTTTTGTGATTCTAGATCACTAATTGCCTTTAAAATATCTGCTTCGTTGACCATATTATCGAATTTTGAATGTTATTTGTAGGAGCGGGGTAAAACGGGCATCGAGTGATCGGGAACGATAGTAGCAGTAGCCATCCTGGATATTCACCCTTGTTTATCCTCCACCAATAACACAAACAATTCGGATAAGCTGCAGAAGAGAAAGAATTTTATAGTGCGAGGTGTCCTAAACCTTCGCTGTCTTAGCAAATTTAATATATCACAATCAGCTGTTCCTGTGCCGTATACGATGTGACCAGTGACCACCTGGCCTATCCAAGCAATTGGTTACCAACCCATTTTAGGAAGTTTTTCTAGCAAACACGTCTAGAGCTCCGAAATGAATATGAATAATATTCATGAATATTCAACAAAGGATGAGGGAGATGTCTGAAGTTTGAACTTGCTCCTAAGATTATATGTGAAATAGTCACAGAAAAACTATATACAAACAAAAAACCTGCTAAAATCGATAAGGAAATCCGTTTATTAAGCATATTTATGCCGAGTCCCGGCATTCATTACCATATTGCCCCTTAAGGAACATCAGCCATCTAAGAGTCTGTAACTGTAATGGAGCAGAGTCAATAGAGTAGAATGCATAGCATAGAAGACTAACAAGACGTGAGCTGAAGAGAAGAACCTAATCTACAAGGGAGCAAGCCCATATTTATGTCTGCGCAGGGCCTGCTCCAGGGCACGCTTCCTGATAGAGCACGCCTGCTAGATCTGTACAAAGATCTTAAACAAAAGAATACAACAAACCTACCAACAAAGCCTTTGGTGAAGCTATTCCCAAGACGTGAAACTCATAGAACAAAGGTCCTCAGAGGTGTCCTTGGTGTCATAAACCCTCACCGCCTCTGCTTGCTTGGCGGTGCCGCTGCCTAAGGCAGACCTCTGAGTCAGATCCGTGACTGTGTGTGTGTGTGTGTGTGTGTGTGTGTGTATTTAACGGCCGTGGTTCGTGACTCTCACGCTTCCCACCGATCCCTACTGGGACATAGGCCGCCAAGGGGTGAATCTCGGGTTCAGATCCTATCGGATTAATATACAAATAAGAGACTCTTTGGCGCATTTCCATAGCTGCCGTGGTCTTACAGGGAGTCCACTTCTGAGTGAGTTTTGGGTATACGCTAGCTGCAATGGTCCACCTACGCTCCATGACCCATAATTCTGCCACCATAGTAATTAAGCAGTGAGTGTTAAAAGAAAGAAGGAAAGAAGGAAAGAAAGAGGGAAAAGAGAGATATGAGGGAAAAGTAGGGCTGACTTAGCTAGGTGCTAAGGAGAGGTTGGCGAGGGCAGATGTCCTGAAAGAAACGGGTCTCTACTAGCCATGTAGCTAGTTTTTGTGCTCCTTTCGCAGTGCCTAGAAGGAAAGAGATGATCTCAAAAGGGGGCCCAGGAGGATGAGGGGCTCGTCTCTTAGCTATATGACAGAAGAAGAAGTGTAGAGGTGCTTTTTATGCTCTGCATCAACAGAGAAGATAAGCATCATCATGGTTAAAACATTCATAGTATTCTACAAAGTCTCTATAACCAGTGCGAGCTACAATAATATAGCTGAGGTCAAGTCGGTTGAGTTGAAGCTCCCTAAGGTGCTTAGGAGAAGTAGTTATTTCTAGATCTTGATATATCTATGGTGCCACCTTCTGCCATTGTGACTGAGCAGCGGATATGGATTGATCCTTAGCATATCTCTTTAGCGAGGCATATGAGGGCTTATATGGAGGGAGAGAGGTCGAGGTGGCTCCCTCGTTGGCAGCAAGGTCAGCCGCTTCATTTTTGGGGATTTTGGCATGTCTGGGGACCCATCGGATACAGATAGAGCCACTTTTGGTATGCGGAAGCCTTTTGTGTAGTGGCTAGGCAGCTATAAGAGTGCGAAAGGATTTAAAGACTTCTTAAGAGGATCCTGTAGAGGGAGATAGAAGGTGTATAGCAACTTCCAGGTTGTTAAGGCAGATCCATAAGTTGGTAGTAAATTGAGCTGTTGGGTATACTATTACTGCCTGAGCGCTAGCTAGAGCAGCTTCTACTTCGGCATTAAAGACTTCTTTCCCATGTCTATATAAGAGTGAGGAGCGGAGGAACTAGTGATATGCTTGAAATCCAATATAGCCACCCCCTGCACGTCCATCTACTAGTCTAGATCTATCTAAAAAGATTACAATATCTGAGCTAGGGATGGTGTGTTGGAAATCTGCGAAATCAGCCGCTACCTATTCTAAGGGAGCTCCTATTCAAGCTTGAGTATTCTCATGAGGCTCGCGAGAGTGCCAGGGAGCATATTAGAGAGGGTTTTTCTATTTAGAGTTTAAGAGGGCCAGTGTACAGCGGGCAAACCAGCTGATTTATCAGCTATTACTGGTGATCTATTCTGCGCGTCTTCAAAGTGGGTGATAAGGGTCAAGACGCCATAGGCGGACAGTTGCAAGGAGGGCTATTCAATCTAGTTTGATTTCTAGTGGAGAGAATCCAGACTCTCAATAAAGGACAGGCTTTGGGGTTGTATGGAAGACTGGAAGGACTGCTCTTGCACCTATTAGTATTACTTTAGTTGGTTTCTCAAGATGTTCTCTAACTCAGTTTGAAGTCTAGGAAGGCCCAGGGCGAGTATGTCCTGGTCACTAGGTTTCTACACCATAGTATACTTTATAGAGTACATAGACTGATATAGTCTGCTATAGTAAATAAGATTTGACTCCTTAGATAGCATTCTCTAGAGAGTGAAGAGTGTTAGCTATAGTAAGGGCTTTAGATGCTATTTCTCTAATATGCTATTTAAATGTTAGCTTTTTGTCAAAGAAGATTCCCAGCCATTGTAGATATAGCTATTTAATATTTTCTAATATTGTAATAGATCTAGCTTTTACTAAAGATATGTAGGTTGGGTCCTGGTCTGCTTTATGTTGGGAGAAGTGAAGAAGCTCATATTTATCTAGTGTGAATGTAATGCTCTCTGTAGTGCTCTAGTTAAGAGCTTCTTAAAATGATTCTAATAAGGCTTCGCAGTTAGTAGTAAGAGATATTGAGATTGCTAGGTTGGCTGTGTCGTCTGCGTAACTAAATCTGTTCCTTGGGTTTTCTAGATGGAATAGAGGCGCTATGTAGAGTATAAAAAGAATACCAGATGCTGGGGATCCTTGTGGAAGACCGCAGGCAATGTCTGTTGAGGGGCTGATCTCTCCATCGAGTTAGATCTGAACTGATCTTCCTGTAGCGAAGGAGGCAATCCAGAGAACGAGATTGGTATGCCAGCCCTGCTCACGTAATCTGCGGATCAGTCTGCCAGGAAGCACGGCATCAAATGCGCCTTTGACATCTAGGGTAAGGAGTGAGGCAGTCATACCTTGATTTAGCACCTATTCAACATCATGTGTTAGGCATATGGTCAGGTCAGTTGCAGATTTTAGTGGGAAAGCCCCAAACTATTGCCTTGCTAATACTTTATAATATATAAAGATCTATGCTATATTCCATGCCATCAAGCGCTCAAGTCCTTTGCCAAGAACTAATAGGAGAGCGATTAGTCTATATGATCTAGGTGAAGACCAATCAGTCTCTTTTAGTTTCTGGATGATTGCTAAGATTGTATATTAAAAGCATTTAGGATAATAACCAATCTTTATGCACCCTTGATATAGCATTAGTATCTTATCTTTGATTAGAGGCCATGCTACTTTGAGTATGCACGTTGGGATTTCATCTGCGCCAGGGGCTGTGTTTCCTGCCTAAAGTACTGACTCCTCCACTTGTAGCATCAATATATCTGGGAAGTAGAGACTAGTGGAAGGGACTGCTGGGGAGTCTAGAGGTATGTCTCCGCCTCTGCTGAGTTCTAGAGAAGATTGTAGACTAGTATGTCTCATTTCTTGTGTATAGTAACTACTGGGAGGCTGTTGGGCCTCAGCAGATCTTTCAGTGGAGGGCTTTGGAAGATGCCTGTAGACTTATGCTATTTGCTCATGTCAAAAACATCCTTCATTTGTGATACTATAGAGAGCTTATCTTGCCAAAATTGTCGTTGAGACTATCTAGTAGTCTGGCAGAAGTCTGTCTTAAGTAGAAGCCTGAGCAGTAATTGTGTAAAGCTTTCTTATAGTCTTCATTCTACCATGGTTATTCTATACCTTGTGTCAGGGTTCTCTTAGCAGAGCCTCTATATGCTCCTTGGATTGCAGATGTTAGTTTTTTAGCAAGAGCATCGAGGTCTTCTTCTGTCATGGTTGGGCTCTCAATGCTAGCAAGATTAGAGGTGAGAAGCGAGAGGAAGCAGGTGTGGTCTAGTGTATCAAATCTTAATTTCTGAGCTGTTTCCTTGTATCTCTGACCCCATGGAACAGTGGTGACTAGTGGTTGATGATCTGAGGTTGCATCTAAGTGGCTCGCTATACTAGTTTTAGCTCCCGCGAGTGCCAAGAGGGCTTGAGGCAAAGCTGAGGTCCAACATGTTACCCCTTTCATGTGTGGGACAGTCTATATCAGAGATGAGGATTAGACTCTGGAGGTCCAGCCAGTTAATAAATGGCTCTGTGAAAGGTGTAGGGCTGTGATGTAGCGAGGGCTGCCATCTGTTGTGTAGTAGGTTAAGATTACCTGTGAGTATTGTTGCTTGAGGGAGATACATCTCTAGCAGAGTTGTGAGAGTTTTCGCGGCTTTACCTACTCTGATGGAGCCTGTTGGGGCATTATAGATGTTAACTATCAGAACAGACTTTCCTATAGGTGAGAAAATCTGGAGGAATAGGAGATCTGAGGCCTCTTTAGTGTCAGTTGTGAAGGGGTACAGCTAGAAGATCTGAATGCCTTTCTTCTTTTAGATATAGGTGAGGACTTGTGGTCAACCACTTTTTACCCAACTGTCAGTTGGGAAGAAGTATTTATATGATGGATATTTTTTTGTAATCTGTTAGCTAAGGTCTTTGAATATATATGGTTCTTAGATTAAGATAATATCAATGTCGCTAGTGTATGCTAATGTGAGGGCTGCTTCGTGTGCATCTAGCATATATCCTATATTTAGCTATAGGATTTTAAGGGGCGCCTTTTGAGTTGGGTAGTAATATAGTATAGCTTCTGTTCGAGAAGAGAGGCAAACTGGTTTTATAGTTGAGGGGTTATAAAGTGGACTGCACAAGCTATAATTAGAGGATCTTCAGTTGGGGTGTGAGGTGGAGGGGTTACTGGACGGAATGGAGAGATAATCTCCTAGGTTGGAGGCTGAGATAGCATCTTATCTAATGCCATAGGTGTTTCTTATTTGCCTGTGAAGAGCTAAGAGCTACATCCTCCTTTAGTTTGAGCTTTTGCAAGGTTTAAAGCACAGGATTTTTAGATCTCTGCTTATTAAGCTTTGGCGTGTTTAGTGTTACCTTTAGGGCGCAAAAGGTATTCTAGGGAATCAGCTAGATGTAGTCTATAGCAGTATATATATCTAGGAGGGTATTGATGAGGCTCCAGGGCTATACAGTGGTTAACATAGCCCTCTTCAGTATGCTCTGAGGAGCTGCATAGCCGGCATTGAGAGGGGCGGGCACAGGATTATACATTATACTATTTCCAGCATCATGTGCAATGAATAACTATTGTTTTCTTAGAAAGATGGCAAGCATTGGTCATAGTACTAAAAAGATGTAGCTGGATAGGCAGTAGTAATTTCATGCCTTCTAGGAAGTTAACAAACCAGCTTGAGGAGAGACTATTAGGGTTGGCAGCACTTGTAGTGGTCTCACTGATAGATATAGGCTTGAGCCCTGTAGTTACACTAATTTCTGAAGATAGTAGTGTAGGGTTGACAGGGATTAGAGAGTATTGATCATCCAAGATTTGGCCAATTTTCCTTGGCACATTGGTGACTTAGTATAAGATCTATCGGGAGCTGCGTTCTATCTGGCAGTTAATAAAGAATGCAGAAATAATCTCTTTTTGGGCCTCAAAGGCTAGGAGGGCTTCTGGAGATGAGGGGCATAGTGCAAAGCCAGTCTTTATAGCTTAAATTTCTTTTAGTGCTGCACTATTTGAGTTTAGTTAAGACTGTAGGCTAGAGTAGATGGTGTAGGCTTCCATTTTTCTAGCTGCATGGTCAGCTGGGAGGCGTACAAAGAGCCAGTTGTTAGGAAGGGGTTGTTTTACTAGAGGCATAGGCTTTTTGACAGAGGCTTTAGGATGAGTAGTAGGAGTTAATTTGACTGGGGCATATTGGGTAATAGTTGCATAAGTTGACTGTTCAAGACCTGAGGGGGGACGTGAGGAAGAGGGTGAAGAAGGTAAGGGATTTAGGGTGAGGGAAGAGGAAGAGGAAGAAGACAGGGTAGGTAGAATGGAGGTCGTCAAGATACCACTAATATAGGCGTTAAAATGTTGTTGGGCTACTAAGGCAAGGTCATCGCTTAGAGTGGTGAGGGCTCTCAGTAGGTGAGGGGCAAGGCTGGTGGTTTGGCTGCGGTGTTTATTAAGGAATGCAGCTATGGGGCTGAAAATCTTCTGTCCTTCAGAAGCTCTTGTCGTGGCTGCAGACATGGATTCCAGTAGGGCTGTCTGTAGAGGGCCATCTGTACCAGGGCCTTTACGCGCCATGGTGTTGCCGGACGCGTTGAGACGCGTCAAAGGCCGCACTCCTGGGAGCTAGGTGGTAGAGAGAAGTGAGGAATTTGAGCCTCTGACTGTTTGATGTGAATAATTGTGGAAAAGTCGTCTATCAACTCGAAATCGGAGCCACCCGTGGGAGTGCAGATCCGTGACAGTAACAGTACACATGATATCTGTGACAGCTGGAAGTCACACCACCCAGGTGGATAACGTGATGCCTCCTGTCAACAACTCACACATGCTTAAGGAGGAGGTTCCTTGTAACTAAGATTGTTTTCTTTTCTCAAGCTTCAGTCTCTGTACATTAGGAACAGTACCTTTGTTAATGAACATCTCCAAGACACCGAACGACCTTCTACCATATTGATAATTCCTCCTGTCTAACCAACGGACTAACCTCCTATTACAGTTTCTGTCGGGTGGTTTTCCTATCTAGATATCCCTCTTGCAATCACTTTGGCTGATCTAGTTGAAATAATACGGATTAATTCTATAAATACCTACCTAGGCACTAAATCCTCCTCTCAACATTACTCTGAAGGCAACTTTTGTCGACTCTTTAACCTCTCGAGGACAAAGGCTGATAAGCTATGGACAGTGGTACTCTTGTCGAGAAGCATCATGAACGGAACATCAACCTCTAGAGCATGGAAGATGTAGGTGCGAAACTCAGCCGCTAACATCGAGTCTATTCCAAAGTCTCCCAGTCTCTGATCGAGACGCAACTTATTCTGAGGCAACAGGATGAGATTTGCCATCTTTTTTCCTACCATGCCCTGCACCGCATCAAGTAGGCTGGTCACTCCGTCACCTTCGGCCAGGACTTTGGCAACCTCGGCCGGCAGGCCCTGCGTCAAGGCCGATGGTATCCCTCTGTTTGCAGTATCAGCAGATAAATTGCTTCTTTTAAATGCTGCAGCAAAGAGAGAGGCCCGTGGGTCTGATAGGAAATGGATATCGCCCTCATATCCATGGTTGCGTTGCAACTGGAGGCCGGAGAAGTCAATCCCCGTGAGTAAATGAGCGTTAACCAGACGATCATATCCGGGTTGCCACTTGCTAGGATGCTGATGGGCCATCGCCAGGTCCATAATCTGTATCATTTCATCCTCAGTGGTAGCTTGAATGCCTCTGCGATCCATGATAGCCTCTATTTCAGGATGTTCGTGGAGATATCCCACTTCTGCGATCCGTCCATATCCGATCGCGATAGCTGGCAACCCAAGGTTATTGCGATACCTCGCAAAGGCATCCAGGAAGGCATTTGCCGCGCAGTAATTGCTTTCGGTGGCCGCGCCAATCGTGCCTGCCGTCGACGAGGTCATGACGAACCAGTCAAGCTGCGAATCTCTCCCATCTTTCCGCAGAGCATTGTGCAGATGCCATGTACCTTGGACCTTGGGACGGATCACTGTGTGCCACCTATCAGGGGTCATATCACCCCAAAAGGTCTCGTGTAACGCCATCGCTCCTTGCATCACACCGCCTATAGGCGTTTTTGCAGCTTGAATGCACCGTTCGACGTCTTCGTATATTCCAACATCGCCACGAACAACTTTCACCTCTGCACCGTTATCGCGGAGGGTTTCAACAAGTGCTCTTGCGGAGGGCTTGTCTGTGGAAGTGCGACCAAGGAAGACAAACCGGCGAGCCCCGCGGCTCATCATCCATTTGGCCAAGCTGCGACCAAGGCCACCGAGGCATCCGATCATCAGGTAGCTCTTGCTTGAGTTGAATTTGGATTCATACCTCTCTGGCAGCAGTCGGAGTTTGCTTTTAGGATTTTGGAAGGAGACTGCAACTTTACCCATTCTCGTGCCTCTCATGAAGTACCGGAAGGCTTCTTCGATGTTTGTTACGTCGAATATTTTGAGCGGCATGCAAGGCAAAGCAGCCTTGGATCGGATAAGGTCCATGCTCTCTTGTAGCAGTTTGTGCCATCGACGATGGTGTGCCGGTTGGTCAGAGAAATAAAGACTACTCAGGTCGACGGCGGTAAAAGATACATTACGGCCAAAGGTTGCCATATCTAACCTTCCGTGTTCGAGGATATCCTTTTTCCCAATTTCAATGAAGCGGCCGAACTCAGCACAGGCCCGGAAGCTGTCTTGGAGCAAGTCGCCAGTTAGAGAATTCAGCACGACATCAACGCCTCGACCTTGGGTCATTGCTTGAATGCCGTCGAGGAAGGACGAGTCTCGAGAACTGAATATATGACCAGGATCGATGTCAAATGTTTCCACCAAATACTCCTTCTTGGCTTTATTTCCAACAGTGGCAAATATCTCGGCGCCAATGCTCTTCGCCAGCTGAATAGCGGCAAGACCTACTCCTCCAGTAGCTGAGTGAATAAGTACCGACTCTCCACGCTGCAGATGAGCACAATACCGAAGGCTATAGATAACCGTGACGAATACAATTGGGATAGTTGACGCGATCTACGGCTTCTATTAGTATGTACGCCACGAAAAGCCATTGAAGAAACCTACTATCAAGTCTTCCTCGTCCTCGAGTTTACAGATGGCCCAGTCAGGAAACCGCTCGTAAGTAGCAAAATACCCAGGGGCCATTGCAACAACACGATCTCCGACCTGGATATTTGTTACCCTTTCGCCTATAGCGGTAACAATACCGGAACACTCGCAGGAGCAAGTTGCACCTTTGGTGTCCACTCGAGCCCCAAGAGCATAAAGGTCCTGAGAACACAATTAGCCAGGCAGGCACTTTAGGTTGACAAATGCGAATAGATAAGTATTATTACCTTTGCATTTAATCCAATACTTTGAACATGAATCTCGACATGGTCGGCTGGTAGAAGACCTTCGAACTCCTTTGCCGCAAAATGTAGTGTTTCCATCTGACCAGGTTCCTTGATGCTTACCTCGCACCGGCCAATATCACCGAGGGCCTTTTCCGTCATTCCTTCGCGCTGTTTCAAATTAAACTGTGCGTTGAGTACGTCTTCCGGCTCCCAGCGTAGCGCGTGAATAATTCCATCTTTCTGCGCAACTTCTGGTTCAGGCGCCGAATTCGAGAACGAAGCCTCCATAAAGTGACGGATATTCTTTACTGTAGCGTCAAAATTTGTGAATGGATCATCTACGTCGAAGATTTGCAATTTTAGGGCGGGCTGCTCTAACATCAATGGACCAGCGATGCCCCGAATTAGCGTATAATCTGGTTGATTACCTAAAAGAAGGCCCCCATTTGTGATCCACAGAATTTTGGATGCACTATCGGTCAACACCTGTACACGCTTCATGTCATCCTCGCTTATTTCGCTGAGTAGTGGTGCCGTCGCTTCTATTGTTGAGACTACGATAGCTCGATGTTGTATCGTCGCTCCAGAAACCTCGTCCAAATTGAGAATTGGAACTTGTAAACCGAAGATCAAGGACAACATCGTTTGGAGGGTGTTATTCAAGGATGAACATGCTTGGCCGTGCCGTACCTTGAAAACAGTTGGTGAATCGGCTAATTTACTGACGCAATGCGGATTTCCCTGAACTTACCAGTACTACCTGACGAGACTTAGCTGCTGATATGGAGGATGTGTGTTTTCGTCTTCCTATAAGAACACTGGAAGAGTTCCGACTCGGCTCTTCAATGATCTCTAATGTGGCGTTTTGTCTCATATCCTGCTCTAGACCTTGAGTACATATCAAAAATCCATGAGGGCTGAGAAGGTCGACTGTCGCCACTTTTTTGGTCTGTATTCGCATTAGTGTCTCTTATTCTGACCTCCAATTGCTGTGCCACTCACGCTTGAGGTGATGATTATGTCGAATTTACTCTCTAGTTGAGATTCTTGGCCCTCGCCATTGGATTTTGTTGCACTGCTGGAAAGGATATTACCATTGCCATCGATTATACTCATTCCGCCATCTTCAGCGATTTGCACTACGTTGAAGGTTTCAAAACGTCTCAAGTGGTGTTCAGCACGTAAGCTATCCCTGAATAACTTGATGGTTCTGGGTTGGCAGTCTATTGCGAGAATTCGCAAACTCGGGAATTTAAAGGTAATCAAATCCAAAGCCCCAGCCAGGCGAAGATCACAAATTTCGATGCCTGTTTTTGAATATGTTTTTTCAAACCAATCCAGATATCTAGAGAAGCTAGAGTTAGGTCCAGCTGGAAGTGCTGTGATATCTGGCTTCCATGCAACCCTGACCAGTGGCATTTTTGTTTCGGTGTTAGTGTCTATTCGTGCATTACCTTGGAATCGAATCGCGCGAACGTTGAGCATGCGAACTAAGACATCATCGTGCTGGTTTATCAGTTCAGCATTGATGTTTACCGTTCCAAAGCCGACCGATTCGGACATCGATTCCATGGACCATGGCTTCGTTGCATCCATGTCTAAAGAAACTGGACTAGACACCTCGACTGTTTCGATGCTGACGGGAACTTTGGCTCGCAAATTGCGAGTCCATCCACGCGTTGTAGCAACAAAGGCTGTTTGCAGCATGGCATCAATGTTTATCGGGTGAGCGATATACTTTGGATGACTGTTTTGATACCCCGGAGAGCTGTCCTCGCGGACAAGATGAGTAGTCGCAGCAGCAATATACGATCTTTTTGCTCTGTCACAGAAAATGTCCTCCATCACCGCAAATTGCGGACCCCAATTGAGACCTTCCTGAGTGAACTTATCGTACCAGGCTTGGGTCACCTGTTTTTCCATCGAGCTTTGAATGATATTAATTTGACGTCGAGTGGATTTTACTTTGGTATCATCGCCAGAAAGACTAGCAACACATATAGCGTGAAGGATAGACTGGCTTGCATCACGAGAGATGGAATTAACACTGAAACGCCACCATTTATTTGAGGTTGTCGTATTGGATATGCGAAGTGGTTCCATTTCTGTAAATATCTCGATTCGCGGTCGCTCCTCGATATGAAAGTCCATGGCCTTCAAGAAGCTGATATTTTTCAGCGTCACTCCAGGACATTCCGCCAGTGGGATGTTGTTCACCTGGCACACAGCTTCAGTAGCCATGGCGATATAAGCTGCTGCAGGGAAGACTATCGATGGCCCAAGTCTGTGGTCCTTTAGCCAGGATATTTCATTGATGTTGAGAATGTTTCGCCAAGTTTTGTTTGTTTTGCTACCTCCTGGTATCTGTGAGCCAAGAAGGTCATGACGAGCGTCCTTACGATTCCGGAACTCAGCCACAATACGCGGTTCGTTCCAAGCACATGTAGATGAATAGTCCCAGGGATAGGCAGGAAGGTCTGTAAGGACCTTGACTGGTTCATGATTAAAGTCACTACCGCTTTCGAGGATTGATTTGAATAAGATCTCGTCGTGTCCGTTGAGGAAAAGTGAACCGATGAGGTTTAAGATCGAAACAGACGTGTCTTTGCCACGGTGAAGTGCAGAATGATACATGTATGATACAGGTTGCTGCAAATTGCTGGTTTGATTGGCTGTCTCCTTGATGGGAAACTCCAAAGTTGAGTGAGGGCCAATTTCAACAAAATGAGTTGAACCGCCTTGCAGGACCAGACGGACAGCCTCTTCAAACTCCACAGTCGATTCCAAATTACTACGCCAGTAACTCGGTGCACAGACATCCATGTCGGTGACAAGGGCCTTTGTAACGCTCGAGATCATGCTTATTCCAGAATGGCTCCTGGCTGGATAATTCCACACCTGTTTTCCCTCCGTCTTACTATTTGGCCAAAAACGATGCAAAAGTTCTTCATAAAGTAGGCCAACCGCTTGCATGTGGTGTGAATGATAAGCTTTGTCGTCAGTCTTTAATTTCCTAGCGAATATACCGCGGTCCTGTAGGGCAGCTAGAAGCTTGTCAATCGCTTCGATGTCCCCGCTGAGCGTACTGCTTTTGGGTGAATTGACGCAGGCCACAGATATTGTGCCAGATAGACCCATATCAGTAATGATATTCTTTGCCTCGTCCCTGCTGAGGCTGGTTGCCAACATACCTCCCCTCTCCTGGCACAACGAAACGCTGAATCCGCGAAGGTACGATGACAGAATAGCTCGATTGTAACATATGTTTCCAGCCGCGTAAGCTGCAGTTATCTCGCCTGAAGAATGCCCGATCACGGTTTTCGGCTTGATATTCCAGGAGTAAAGCAAATCGGTAACGGCCATCTGAACTGCCGTACAGACTGCCTGGGAGCGATCAGCGCGGTGGATATCATCAGTGTCTTTTTCCAAAATTGTCTGCTCTATGGTCCATGATGGCCGAACCGATTCATCAAGCGTCTGAAGGAATCGGTCGAAGGTTCTAATCGACTGTCGAAAGGAGGGGAATTGGCCAATGAGTTCAAGCCCGAGACCAGACCACTGGGCGCCTTGACCAGTGTAAACAAAAGTCAAATTTCGTTTTTCGGGCAGTCGATCAGGTTGAATGGTGGGAAGAAGAGAGTTTGGTTCGTTTCGCAAAGAGGATGTTTGTGCAACTAAGAAGCCCCGGCTCTCGAGTTGTGATCGACGGCAGTTGAGTGTGTATGCTAGATCGTTGACCTGCAAGTCAACCCCTTTGTCACTGATATAATCGACAATACCAGCGAATTGCTTCATGAGTGAATCATGAGTATTGGTAGAGAAAAGATAGATGCCAGGGAAATCAAGCTGCTTGTCTGCAACAGCGTCACCATCCATTTGAATGATAAAATCACCATTCTGACACAGACTATCGCCTTTGCCATTTTCGTTTACTACCACCCTCTCAAGGCCATCCTGTAGGGCTCGAGAAGGATCAGCCTCAATAATGGCATGTGCATTAGCACCCCCAAACCCGAACGAATTGACGCCCGCTCGACGAACCGCAGCATCCGGCCATTCTCGATTCGTGCGAACGATGTCTACATTCCATTCGCTGAGCTTTATGCTGGGATTAACATTTTCCACTCCAATAGTCGCAGGGATAAGGTTTCTCTCCAATGCAAGAACTACCTTGATAACGCTAGAGATGCCACTTGCTCCCTCACTGTGACCAAGTGTGGGTTTGATGCCGCCGACTAGGATTGGTACATCATCGCGTCGTTGAAAAACGCGAGCAACGGCTTCCACTTCAATGGGGTCGCCGACTTTGGTCCCAGTCCCATGAAGCTGTATCATCAGTTAGCATATCTTTAGTTCATGTATGCACGAGAATGCATACTTCAACGTAACCTGTTTCATCCGGGCGCAATCCTGCTCTTCGATGTGCTGCCCTCATCACTGCCTCTTGGCCTTTGACGCTGGGTTGCATAATTCCTGGCGTCCGTCCGTTGCTATGTGACGAGAATTAGCGTTCCATTTGTATTCTCAACGGCAATAGGACAGAAAACACGAACCCATTTACGGCCGTTCCCCGTATCACTGCTCTTACTGGGTCTCCATTTGCAATGGCGTCGTCCAATCGCTTCAGGTATAGAGCAGAGACACCCTCTGCTCGCCCATAGCCATTCGCAGCCTCATCAAAGGTATGACTGATGCCATCAGGCGACAGAATCCCAGCTTTGACGGCAATCATTTGCTGTTCCACTGATTGGATCAAATTAGCAGCAGCGACAACGGCTGCATTACAATCATGTGTATCGAGGGAAATGCATGCTAAGTGCAAAGCATACAGTGATGATGAACATGCCGTGTCAAGAACAAAAGACGGTCCGCGCAGGTCGAAACAATGGGTGATGCGGTTCGACAGTATTGTCGGCTCAGCACCTATGGCACTATATCGAGAGAAATACTCGGGATCTTTGTACTGTGCGACCATGAAGTCGTTGGTGAAATTTCCAACAAAGACACCAGTGTTGGAACCATTCACATCTTCAAGCCGAATGCCTCCGTTCTCAAACGATTCATAAACCACCTCCAGAAGCTTTCTCTGTTGGGGGTCCATAGAACCCGCCTCCAGGTGGTTGATTCCAAAAAACTCATTCTCAAAGCCACGGGTGTCTTCTTTGATAAAATAGCCCCCCTTCGTATGAATGCTTCCCGGTCGATCAGGATCAGGATGCAAAAATCCGTCTGCATTGAATCTGGAGCTCGGAACTGGACCGTGGCCAGACTTTCCGTGAAAAAGAAGTTCCCATAACCGAGAAGATGTCGAAGCTTCCCCGGGGAGTCGACAGCCTAGTATACACGAGCTGCTTAGTCTATTTCCTCGTCTGGTGTCAGCAGTGTAAGGAGGTTTTACCAATTCCAACAATGGCAATAGGATGTCTTTGTAAGCCTACATCCTGCACTTGGCTCGAGTTTGCTTCAATGGTGGAAAGCATTGTCTATGGATTAATCGAGTCTCGATGATTACTATTGTCTGTATGGTAAACAATCTAAAGGAATCGCGTCTTCAGGACTAAGACAGACTTGATACTTTACATCTATAAGTTTCCTTCCTTAATAATTCCTCGAAACACCAACGTAACTGTCTGAGTTATACATAGTATACACCCTCTCAGTAATAACAACTAAACCCAATTTGTATACTCGAACTTACGCTGATACTGATGCACAGGCAAGGCAACCGAGCTGCTTAGTCCTCGACGATCATGATTAGGCGGCCGTTCACATTTTTCCTGCTCGGCCAAAATTCCATGATCTTTGAAAAATGACCGACTCTTTGACGACGCTGGAGTCTTCCCCAGTCATCGCAGCAGTCAACCATGACGTGGCATCTTTATGGCGCGTATTCTCTCGAACTGTGGACCGGAATAATTAATGCAGGGTGTGTTTTCTGCGAGAACTCTCACGATAAAACTACAAATTGCGGTTCACGTGAGTAGCGAGCAGGCTCCATCTAGACGATGCAGATGGAGAGTTGCAAGACATCAATGTACGTAGGTAGGTGCATGTTTATTCAGTAAAATAGGCGTATCGGAGAATATCCACGGTGGGCATCGGAGCACATCAAATGGCCAAAATACCAATAGCTTCCAGGCTGTTTTGAAAACTACGTAATAACTAAAACAACCAAAGTGCAGGAGCTAGAATGAGCCTGTATGTTTTCGGTGGCAAATTTTAATTCGAAGATACATAACTGTCATCTTTTAGTAGCGGAGTGTTTGTCCACCTTCTTAATAAGGCATCTGTTCTAATGAGAGAGGCGTTGCAGGTAAGAAACTGAAATATGCCACACTAAATGCGACGTATGCAGGGATATTCGTAAGCTGGAGGCCTGACAGTTAGTTCCCCCAGTACGGGATCAAGCATATAATATCCATGGGCATCGAAAACTGTCCTCAGACATGTGCTTATGACAATTCCATAAACACTTTTCGTGTAACAAGCTCTCGGAGATGAATACATTTTCCCTGAATCCAACTCAGTCAATGTAAACTCGAACAGGAAAACGCATACTAAGGCTTGCCCAATACGTTTCTTTTACTGACCTCGTCTTCTTATGTTACGATCCATTGCAACGATCATCCTCTGTGGCTTGTTATCCCTGTCTCGGCTAGGTACGTGGAGGGCTACCAAGGTCTGTCAGCGAGCTAATTTATTATGGACATTGTCTGGCATGGGTACATGCAATGAATACACCAATTAATATCAACCGATCAACCTTATTGCTCCTTTTGTTTTTCTGAACTGCGCATTCAATCATGATCGCCTATTCCTCGAGGCGGGGCTGGTGAGACTCGATGACAAAATGAAACATATACTACCTAGGTACGATACGTATGGAAAACGCAAGCTGCAACTGGGCCAGAAAATCCAAGGTGGGTGCATCCAGTACCAAAAGAAAATACTACGCATACTATATAAACAGCTTCGGAACATTTGGGGGTGGTTGGAGTTCACACCCAGCTTGAAGCACAAGCATGCATGTGAAAGCAGGGTAGGTCTTCAAACACACGAATTGAATATTTTGCGGTCAGCAGAATTGTCCTCCAGTGCGTGATCATACTACTTTAACTAGTCCTGATAGCAGATATGAAGCGTTATCTTCTCGTCCCTCTGACCAACCAAAGTCGGTTGAATACTACTAGTTGTAGCAGTACAGAGAAACTTTGTGATGATGGCGGCGAACAGTGTGGACTTGAACGCCAATTCAAAAGGTGGTCTTATTGCTGTGAGTGTGGTCATGCTTGCGGTCGCAATTATCGCTGTGCTGCTTCGAACATGCTCGATCCTACTCGATAAATCTCGCAAACTCGGTCTAGATGATCTCTGCGTGACACTTTCGCTGGTAGGTGACCAGAAACCGACTCTCACTCTTTTAGTAAAAGCAATATATCAAGCAGCTAACACAATACCCAAAAAAAAGCCTTTCTATGCAGGCGAAGCAGCCCTGGTATTCTGGTGGATTAGACTAGGTCTTGGTCGTCATGAATCAACGGTACCACTCGAGGACCTAGCACAGGCTAGTAAGATCGTTTTTGCCAGTGGCTACTTGTTTAACACAGGACTAGCCCTGCCCAAGTTTTCTGTCATTCTTTTCTACCACCGTATCTTCGGGAAAACCACCAAGTGGTTCTACGTGCTGATGTGGGTGGCCGGAGCCCTGAACATGGCATGGCTGATAACGACATATTTCTGCGCTACCTTTCAATGTTCTCCCGTGCGAGCAGCCTGGACTACTGTTCCAGGCAGTACTTGCATCCCAATTGGAAGAATCTACATCGGCACTTCTATCGTCAGCACCATCGTCGACTTGATCATCATTACCATGCCCATGCCCTTACTTCTTGGTTTACATGCGTCCAAAAGTCGAAGGACTCTAGTGCTTATTATTTTCATCTGCGGATACTGGTAAGTTCAATACTTCTCCCTCGTTGCTTGGATGGTAGTTCAGACCAGAACTCCTAACCTTGCACGCTGCCAAAAAAAGTGTCATCGTCACTTCTCTCGGCCGCCTCATCACCGTCGCCAAAGTGGGAGCAGGTCTGACTCAGGACATCACCTGGTCCGACGTTACTTACATCAAATGGGTGCAATGCGAAGGTGCCCTCTCGATAACGTCAGCCTCCCTACCAAACATCCTCGGTTTCGCACGCCAAATTTACTGGCATGGTTTCCGCGTCTCCATCGCACGCAAAGTCCGTTATTCTCGCCAGGGTTCAGGAACAGGACATTCTAAAACACGACAAAACTTTCACGAAATGAACGCAATTGCACCAGAAAATGGGATCATTCGAACAACCGAATGGAACACCACAACAACACAGACCGTCCCGTCGACGAGATCGACACCCGCGGATCAATTTGGGAGTGAAGAAGAGCTGGGAATCTTGACTGGAAGCCAACCCACACGATTCTATTTTATTGGACGAGGTGATGAGCACACTAAGGCTTATCATCGATAATCAGTAGAATCCTCACCACCCACTCACCGCCTGTAGATAATCTTGAAAGCTTCACGTTCATACTACTCTTTTCCAGTTCCCCATGAATTGTAATCGTCCCAGTCAAAAATTAAGTTCCGATACAGATTTATCCAGTCTTTTCTATGTTCCTACATTTGATTCCGTTGTAACTGAGTCTAATAGTCTAATACCAACTCAAATAGGGGGAAACATCAACACGCTCGATGACATGGGCTCATACTCGACCAGCACGGGATGACTAAGTGCAATTTCATAGCAAAAGCTCCCATAAAATACTGTATCCATCGTACAGATTCACTATATGGCACTTCAATCACGAAATCTTCATCCAATTTGCTCCAAATGCACTTCAACAAACTATATTCCATCAACTTCAGTATCTTTCCATCAAAGCACAGTCGTTGGATCAAATGCAAATATCAATACAAAAGTTCCCTAGAGGATTTTGAGCCAGGATGTTATCGATGAGGCGTTGGTTTCATTGATCGTTACATAAAATATTCCATTCTTTCTTGTTGAATGGCCTGAATTCCAATGCTCTTTGTCTAGTGCTAAATCCAGAATCAGACGGCTACATTATCACAGCATATAGAATCGGTCAATCCTGGCAAGCTCAAAAGGATATTGTACGGGAAAAGCTCCAATCCGCAAATCCGCATCGTCAAGTATCCATCTTTCACTTGACATCTGGACCTCACCGAATCGGTTTCTCTTTTCGGAATCTGAGCTCAATTTGTTGAGCAGACTCAAGAAAAGCTTCAACAGCAAGAACGTTGGCCAAGGTTGTCATACATGGCGATTGATAACCTATCCATTCCAGCGATGAGTGATGAACCAGAACTAGTTTTCTCCAGGGCCCATCGTACAATCTCATGGGAAAGGGCTCAACTATCAGCTAAAAACATTGAGAGGATAGAGTGCTGTTGGTTTACCTTCATTAGATCGCAAGATCTAATAAGGACAGCTAATCCAACAAGCTGACTGAGCCAGTAATACTGAATTCCTAATATTACAACTAATCCTAAGAACTAGGGGGATGCGGGTGGTGAGGTGTAGTTATCCTCCGTACGCTATAGCGCACGGAAAAACTATATCCCATTCCGACACCGAGATACACAGGATTGCTATACCGACAAGAAATTTTCCTCAAAATCTCTTTTTCCCTTTGTCGGTTTCCAGTCAATTTCCCGACTCATACACGTTGGTTCGATCTAGGGCTTGCTTAACTCTTAACGGGACGGGTCTCAAATAGGAAGAATTTCAGTGCATCATGAGCACGGTAATTGTTATTGTTATTCGACGGGTTGGATTAATTTAACAGACAATCCCTGGAGTAGTAAATCCTTGACGCTCCCAACAAAAGTATCCATGGTTGCTTTCTCGTAAAAGGCCTCATTGTAGACCAAATTCAAGCATAACTCATTTCGAAAAGTCCACACATGGCACACACACTGCCTGTTCGCCATCTCCAAGCCGCCAGAAACTTGGTCAATGTGAATTCCTCGCTCCGGGGTCCCCTTCTCCCTGGCCAACATCCTCTCAACTACACCGAGGCTGCTGATATCCACGTCGGTTGGTGAAGGGAGTCCGGCAGGCATACTTTGAAGAAGATTGCAGAGCCCTATTGCATATTCGCGATGGGCCGAGATGAATTCTGGAGTTAAACCCTTGCGGTACTCATCGTGATATGCCTTTGCCCGCTCTGCCCATGATGATTCAGCTGTTACAGGAAACATCCAGCCACTAGTGAAGATGGCGCTAGCGTACTCGCGTCCAGAATATGGTTTTGGCAGGAAAGGCCGGAAACTAAAGCGGATGGTACTAGTGTAATGTTTATTTTTATCTTCGGGAGCAGCTAATGCATAGTTGGCTCCAGCAACCGAAGCATGCACTGCTGCTGTGACTGAGATTTGCTTGTCTTTGCAAGCTTTCACCACGGCGTTGGTCTCTTGCTCGCTAAGTTGAAGACAGGAGATACGGGTTCCACCTGGTACAGTCTCGGCCGCGGCGTCAGAGGCAATTCCAATAGCTCCAACGGTATGACCGAAACCTGCAACGGCTTGTTGGGCCAATTTCTTATCTTCTTCAGAGGGATCGGCTGACAGAAGGCCTGCTGCTTCCTCAATGGATGGTGCCAGACGGCTGGTCTCTTCACCCCACGGCAGTGAAGAAGCATCTACAGGAACAGACCGACTCGCCAGGTCAAGGAAGTCATCCATAAGAATAAAGCCGCCAACGCCATCCGTGCGCCAGTGCTGTGCATGGCCTAGGAGTTGGCACGTCTGGGGGAAATAGGTCATTGTTGCATAGGGATTCAGCGTGGTAGATGCGATGACTTCATCGACTGTCTTATTATCAACTACCCTGAAGGTCTCTGTTGCCCATTCGGTGAGCGCTGTCTTATCTGGCACGTCGTAGACGTATTTGGTCTCGTCCATGACATATGCAGCAATGGTTGGGTGTTTGAATCGCAGGCCCTTCCAGGCTTCGCGGAAGAGAGATGTCAAATCTTCTTGTGCGATAGAGCCCATCGGAGTGACTGTGGTGATGATGTTGATCGCCCAGTGCTCGCGGTTCAATGGACGGGCTGCGTCGGCGAGGATTTTGATGAATGTTTCATTTTCGCCAAGTGCACGCTCATACCGGTTGTCATCAACCCGAGACCAAGGCATGATGGTGTTTGATACTGACTTGAGATTTGGCTCTAAATAGGAGAAATAATAAAGGAACTGTGATTAAGAGAAGAGGAGTAAAAGGAGGGAGAAGAATAAGAAGAACAAATAATGTTGCCTGGGGCCGTTCTTTGTCTGGTAATTCTGGTAATTAATCATGTATGGTAATACAGTAATTAATAATTAATTACCATGCCATGCCATGCATGGGCAAAATTGGGACACTAAAGTAGTAGCAGTCTTGCAGATCTTACCAAAGCCATTTTAATGCTATATATATATCGAAATATTTGTATTAAAACCAAGTAGCTACTACTAGTATTAGGTAGGTGTGACTGATATGCATGGAGATATCCATAGATGCAGCTAGCCCACTACTAGTAAATACCCATGACCTGAAGAACAAATATGGCATTTTTGATGGCATGTGCCTACATAGCATTTACAAGACTGCAAATAAGTAATGCTGTGTTGCACAAAATTTAGTTCGCCATTGTGTTTCTTTGTTCCCACCTCTCATGCCTTATGTTTTCACCGTGTTATCCGAGTTATCTCCTCATTTTCATTAATTGCTACTTAACTACCTAACTAGTACCTAGTAGGCAGCATATCCTTACTGGAACCTCCAACTGCTTGAATAATGCCCTCCGAAAAGACATTAACTGAGACTGTTCCAGTAACGGACTGGGACAGTGATAGCAGAAACCCCCACAACTGGCCGACTTGGAAGAGAGCCTACCACTCTGTTCTACCTGCCGTCTTTGGCCTGGTGGTGTATGTCTCCTTCTCCCTGAGCATACTTTGGATATATGCTAACAAATAAATGAATGAATGCAAAGGACTGTCGGCTCATCAATATACACATCTGCCGTTGACGATGTGAAAAAAGCCTTTCATATCTCCGATGTCGCCGCCACTGTTCCTTTCTCCCTCTTCCTACTGGGCTTGGGCTTTGGCCCAATGCTTGCAGCGCCATTGAGCGAGAATTTCGGCCGGACATCGAGCTATGTGATCTCTCTCCCAATATACGCATTATTCACTCTAGGAGCGGGCTTTTCACACACATTTGGTGCTCTTGTGGCATGTCGTTTTCTGGCTGGCATTTTTGCGAGCCCCCCTCTAGTCGTGGGTGCTGGCACTATTGCAGATATTTGGAAACCAGAGCACCGCGCCCTTACAACTACTCTCTTTGCTCTCTGTCCCTTTCTAGGTCCGGCATTGGGGTAAGTAAAATACATACCAAAACCACACAGCACAGTTGCTGACATGTAGCAATATCTCAGTCCTGTAATGGGCGGATTTGCCGTTGCAGCCAAAGGCTGGCGATGGACACAATGGATCATCTTATTCTGGGCCGTTTTTGCCTATCTGCTCGTCCTGGGCATGCACGAAACGTACAAGAAAATTATCGTCGCGCGAGCATCCAAAAAAGCAGGAGGCCACTTCACACCACCAGGTCCATCAGGCCGCGAAGCCATAATACTCCTCTTTCAGGTCACCCTGATCCGGCCTATAAAGATGCTTTACTCAGAGCCCATTGTTATTGCATGGTCCCTTTACATTGGCTTTACTTTTGCCGTGCTCTATTCTTTCTTCGCTGCGTTTCCGTACGTGTACGCGACGGTATACGGGTTTGACATTCAGCAAATCGGCCTTACATTCATTCCCGTTGCCATTGGTACTGTCCTTGGTTCCATTACTTTCATATGGATTGATCAGACAATCTATCAGAAGCGTAATGCACAGTGGACGGCTCAAGGAGGCACTGGTCGCCTTCCGCCAGAGCAGCGATTATATGCTTCCATGATTGGAGGCTGCGGATTGCCGATTGGGTTGTTCTGGTTTGCATGGACTGCTAGACCAGACATACACTGGATTAGCCCGATGATTGCCACCGTGGTCATAGGTTGGGGGAACATGTGCATTACAGTTCGTTTTTCTTCCATCCTCCCTTGTATAAAAAGCAGCCAAAAAGAAAAAGAAAAAGAAAAAGGAGTCGAACTAACCAGGCAGTAGATGAGTGGACTTTTGTATCTCCTCGATGTCTACGATGCGCTCACCGGTGCATCAGCAGTGGCCGCCGCCTCGCTGCTTCGTTATGTACTTGCTGCGGCATTCCCACTATTCGTTAACCCCAGTGAGTTGATTGTGTTGATTGACTTGGGCTTTTTCAATGCTGAAACTAACATAAATCATTCTTGAAGTGTACAGAAACCTCGGCGTTGGCTGGGCTACGAGTGTGTTTGCGTTCATCTCGGTTGCTTTGACGCCAATCCCATGGGTCTTTTATCGTTGGGGGCTGAGACTGCGATCGAGCAGCAAGGTTATGGCATCATGAATTTGCTCAGTTGGCAGTTTGAAATATGCCCAAGGCCAGGCCGGGTCACTTGAAAAAAAAAGAAAAAAGCACCTTGTTTCACTTTTTTTTTTTTTTTTTAGGTAATACTTAAAAGTTGGTATCAGGGGTATAGAACCAGAGCTTGGTAGGGAGGGTATCACGCAATGCGAAATCTGCTATGGAGCAGCATTTTCAAATTCGAACATAGGTGTATGTCAATAACAACAAAATCTGAAAAGCCGCATTACTGTGCTCATTATGTATTGGAATTATTCCTGTTTTGAGCCCTGTTCTGTCAGCGCAAAGCAAGCGTTATGTGTGTGTGTGTGTGTGTGTCATTGTTTAACGGCCGTAGATCGTGATTAATTACTATCTAGGTTGCAAGAGCAGCTATCAGGTGCGTTGGCAGGTGCAGCATAGAATGGTGCACTTTGAATGTGATCTTGATCAATTGCGAGAAGATATTCAGACGCGATATATTGGTACGCGTAGGTATACACCTAGCGGTGGTTTGTTAATTTCCTATCAAACAGTCATTTCTCTCAAATGAAAAGATAATTAAGATTAATTACCTTGTTCCAGCAACTACTATAGTAGCAGAGCATCTAACCAACAAGCTCCTGCACTTCGCAAGCATCTACACTCGAGTTGGGTCGGCTAGTACACTGAACTACAGCAGTATTGGCACTTTTGAGACATGATGTAAATTCAGCCAAGTCAACACAATCTCGAGGGTCAGGGGTTGTAATGTTTTGTGCCCGCACTTTGAGAATGGATGTGAGAATGGTCGCCCGGAGTAGTAGCGGAACACGCATCTTCAACCACACCCTCATGAATGCTATAAAGGTACGTTTTAAGAATTTTGATCTGCTAGATCTAAAAGGTCTTCCTCTATGCCAGTAAATATACGTAACATGAAGATATTTGGCCTGACTTCGTCACGGTCACTGTCTTCTTTCTCTGGAGCAGAACAATAACCATGCAGTCAAGCAATTATGGACTAGCTACTTTTCACACTGATACTTTCTATTGGTCTTGTTGACACAAACCAGGACTTATTCCAAAACTCGCCCCATATTTCTAGGGTAGAGTCGAGTCTAGGAACTTCTGGCCCCAAACCAGAGTGTCGATTACAAAGATCATTCATCGCGCCTGATTTTCAAACGAGCAACCAACAATCTAAATCTGGGATTTGGGCAATAGGTTATAGTTAGCAGTACTAGTCTTTTGTATACAACTTTTCTTGCTTTGCAAGCGTCCACGTATGGTGAAAGTCTCTAAAGATTCTCCATTAGTGGGAGATTTGTTAGGGCTAATACACCCGTATACGCAAGGTGCCCCCAATTCCGGCCTACCTGGCTAGCCAGTATAGCCTGGACTTTCTAGTACTCCGTTACTAGATAGTGGGTAGGCAAAGAAAAAGAGCCGCCTTATTTATTCAAACTTCTATGCACAGAATACCGGACGCAAGATCGTCCAGTCAAAACAATTGAGCGCAACCGCCCGAAGGAAAGTTCTTGTCTAAAAATAGAGCGAAGTACTGTCTAATACTTTCGCTTGTAGGTTTTTCTATTTGATGACATAGTGATGTCTGAGCCTAAATGACCAACTGGGAATCCTATCAAGCTGAAAAAGAGCTAAGCGTGTATGATATATATCTATGGATACAGTCCATTATCTTGAGAGTTGCTCTTCCCGAGAAGTTTTGTGCTTTTAACCTTTGTAATAAATGAAAAATTTAGACTCCAGCTATATATTTCGTTCACTACTTACATCCAATAATACCCACCGAGAATGAAGGGGTGTCGACATGCAACATTAAACGTGTTCTTAAAAGTTAGTTCACGCTCTCCTATACAATAATCCCATAGCTACTCAGGGTTTACCTAGGTATCTGCTACAACCATTTATGAGAACTCACAACAGGAACACTCTAAGGATTATGGAAAACATCGTGATAATCATAAATCGTTTTGATTTATTCCAAACGCGGAAGGTTGTCGGCCTAGTAAAGTTCGGGTCCATTCAAAAGTAGAGGGTCCACGTAGCCTGCATATGCATAAAAAATTCTCGTTTGGAAAGGCAGAGTAGATAACATCATTGAAGTCATCCAGGAAATCAATAGTGGTTTTCGAGACAGTGCCATTAGTAACGGCGTAGGCGAAGATCCAGTATAGGACGTCACAATGAGGGAAAGCCATAGCATTACTAGCGACTGCAGCCATGGCCCCAGAGACCAATTGGCCTTCTAGCTGATAAGTTAACACATCGTCAGGCGTTGCAGTGAGATGCTCGAACATTGAGTCAATTGTTTCATTCAACAGTAATGCATTTGGCATGACATCGAGTGACTTGGCATAGAAATATGCCGGTCTCTCGGCTGCTGCGGCCTCATTAGCCCATATAGCCACCATATCTAGCTAGTTTGGTATGACAGTGATATTCGCGGCCGGGGCAATACTGAATGCTGGTTCAAGACCCAAGGCATTGAAGTCATCCAAAGACCCAAAGAAGACGCCGGTGATTTCAATAACTTATAGAAGCCCAACTATCATGATATAAAGTTCCCAAGACAAGTTAGGGTTAGAAATAAATATTTGAAAATCTCTAAAAACTTGGGCCTGGGCTGTGGCATTTAGACCCTCAAATAAATATATGTACAACACACCACCAACAGGAGCAGCTTCTGTGCGCAAGATAAACTTGGTAACAACAAAAAAGCTTCTGCCTGCTCCTTTTCAGGCCCAAAGGAGATCTAGGTGCTTGGTTTCAGAGACTTCGACAATTCTACTGTCGGCTAACACAACGGTAGCAGACACCACATGGTCGATGGTAGCTCCCCACTAACAAGAGGTAGGGCCTACACCACCAATAGTAGCATGACCTCCAATACCAACATCGGGGTATGAACCATGAGCCACAGCACATTTCCCCAAGTTGTATAGGGAGGTTGTGACACTGCCTAGTCGAGAACCGGCACCGACAGTGGCATAACCTGTTGAGTTGTCGTAGGAATACCCATTCAAATTGGCAAGATTGACCACAACTTCTCCACTTTCTCCTCCCCAGCCTGCCAAGCGCTTGTCAGTCTTACAATGATTTTGTGTTCACTACCGATTAGCATGTGGAGGGTGTGTACTTACCATAGTTCCCGTAGCTGTGGCCACCACCTTTCGCTTGTACCTTATAATTCCCTTCAGCAGCACATTTTACAACTCCTGCAACCTCTTCAGTAGTGCTTGGATAGGTCACAGCTGCCAGTAAAATTGGTATATTCAAGTTGTAGATAGTCAGACTACTATTGTAGTTAGGTGAGCTTGGTGTGACAACAACAGAGTGATTGGACGCAAGGGCTGCTAAAAGACAAGTGGAAAGTCTTGCTGCCATGTTGGACAGGTTTATTTATTGTGATCTTTCATGAGAGGTGTAGAAAAAATGTTCCAGAAGTGTACTTCATGTATAGAAATTGCATGAGAGGAGGATACATAACTTTATATTCGACTTTCCAATTATTTGGGAGAAAAGATCAACCACTACCTAGCATTTGAATGATATCCGTAATTCCCGGAGTAATCAGGACTGTGCGTCACAAAGGGAAATAGCAAAGTTATTGATTACTCCCAGTTACTAGAAAGAAAAAGAAAGCTTAGCTCTTGAGGGTATATATTGGGCCCTGAGCCCTATCTCATGATGCGACTAGTCAGTGCTACTTCGCAGTCACCACCAGGGACTGTATTGATCTCACTACGGCAGAACAAGCCCCCAATAGCCGGATACTGTAGAGCTGGAAGGCGCTAATGCACATGTTATTTGTTTTCAGTAGTAGGCAATTGCACAACTCCGTACTGCCACTTACTATTCTCAGGTTAGCACAACTGCGCGACAAGAACATATTTGGATCATTACACAGACGCTGATACTTAAGTGTACGCACTAGTACTACCTACCATGAGTGCCGGTGTGGACAGCGATTGAGTAGGTAATCGGTACTCATGAGGCTCTGGTCAACGGCTAGGTACATGTTACGTAGCTGAATGTCGGTTCGGAGTTTATTCTCGTATGCCTGCCCTGCGCGATTACGGAGGCAAGTAAATCCATAGTGGCTCAAATTTATTTAGTCTCTCGCGCCAAATACCTACGTATCGGGTTTCCTCTCACGCTTCTCGACTTTCTAATTCCGTTTTACTGTAGTGCACACCCCCTCGCCGTTGTTACTCACTGAGTTAAACATCAACGAATCTGCGGAGGGCCAATCGTTCGTTTGATTTGAAAACCTTGCAATGTATTGATTATCATAAAGCCTTACATATGTAGCATTTGCACATTTTGGTCAGTACTACCGACCAAAAGTGCCACAAACCAACATGGTTAGAGAAGTACAGTTTGAAAAAACCCCGTCTTAACACTATACGTCTACAGCTCGAAAATATGAATTAATTCTGAATATTAACGTATTATAAAGCACTAAGATAGGCGATTTAGGCTTAAAGAGGAATCCCATATTGGCCATAATCCATCGTCAAACGCGGTACAGATCCCGTCAGACATCCCCGAGAATTGAATCATGCCACCCAAGTTGTCGTGGTTATTATTCATACAAGTTTCCGTATGCATTTCGGGCAGCTGTGCGCTGTAAGTGGATACTCCATCGACATATCTTCTACGCGCGCGTTGTACTAGATCGACTTGAATGTTGGCGCCCATACGAGATCTCACAGAGATTGAATCCGGCCATGACGGCCACATGAGCTTGCTAATATAATCGATGATGTCGCATATCCTATCGAAGTGATCTCCTTTGCAAACTGAAAGAGATGAAAATATGTACCAAGTTCGACTGATCGCGTTTTTAGCTTCTGTATCATCGTCATTCCATAAATCCGATCTTCTTATGAGTTGCAACAATACAGAAGCGGCCAAATGTATGTTAGCAACGTCCGAAGAAGTCCAAATGTGCCATATATTCGATGTGGAAGGTTCTAGCATATGTAACCCATCGTAAGGCCTGTAATCTGTTGCCTTGTCTTGGCATGAGATTGCTATGAGCCGTAGAGCAGCGGTGTAAGACTTGGACAGATATGACGCGACAGAGATCCGTGAAGAGAAAGTTTTCGGGCTAACGTTTATAGTCCTCTCCTCTCTTTTCGCGTCTACTGGTCTTTCGGATCGGAGGAATGCATATGAATAAAGTCTAAGCCTGACACCAAGAAAGTGCCGTTCGACATCATCCGACCAGGTTGCTTTGTGTCTTATTTCGAATTGCTCGAGCTCCAAGTCAGCGGCTTGTATCACAGGTAGCGGATCGGATGTGAGTCCATCTGCAGTCGAGACATCCTGGCCCAGTAAGTTTGAAAATGTAGCTTCCTGGTATGCTAGGTTTAGTAGCTGCTGGAATGTCCGATTACAATAATCGTCACTGTTTAAAGCTTGCATGATTGTGTAGTCTGGTCTGATGGTGGGTGGGACTCCGAGTCTTGAACTAATGCTACAATAATTAGTCAGCAATCAGGCATGAAATATAACTGAAGGAGCGGGTAAAACTTTTGATTTACGATGAAGCAGGCGAGCCAGGTGTTCCTCATCGATGCGAGTAATTCGTGATCCAAACCGGCCTTGGCAACAAATTCATTGGAATGCTTCGGTCGATGGAAGCCAAGATGATGCGCTTTATGTGTAGCAATCCCACAGTAGGTCCACGAAGGGTCATCAATGACCGCCCCGAAGGGCATTGGCCAGACACACAGTAGTATATATGCTTGAACTAAAGGTAGCGAAGGGATCTCTCGGATAGCACTATCCGTAGCCAGTCGCCTAAGCGGCCAGTTGAGACTTTGCCGGAAGTTCTTGCATTCTTGGATAGATCTTGATGACACAGCAACCATTGCCCAAAATAATAGGGAACAGGTACCACAATCCTGTAGTACTCTTTCTTTGGACGGAAGAAATTGAAATCGGGAATGATAATATTGAAAATATCTACTAGGAGTCAGCACGGTGCCAACCACGAAACATGTAAGATAGGTGTACTCGTCCAATATTCTCATAAATAGGTCGCGAGATACCGCGATTTGCTCCAACGTTTGGACGTCTGGGATTACCGCTGAAGCCGAGCCTGGTTCGGTTCTGGAAGACTGTACATCTCGAAGTGCATCCATATTATCCGCCACTAAGGACGTATCTAAAGGGATTCTTAGACCATCCACACTGGTTGATAAGTTTTTACGGATATTGTGGATTTCTCGCTCCAGATCCTCCAGACGGCTATAATTGTTAATACACGTGCTAATCAATGCTTGTCGGGGTTGCTTGCTCACTCCCTTTTCGTGGCCCTTCTGAAAGAGGGATCAATGGAGCAGTCACGGCCAGCTCTTTGGCATCGGGAGCACGGTGCTGGGAACCTGTCTCCAGAATCGCATCGCAGCTAAGATATGCATGGTTAGTGTCACACACAGCCTAGAATATCCGCAAAGCACCTACCTTCATCTGGCGACAGTGGACACATGCCACTACTTTACGTTTCTTGTTTGGCGGGTTCATTGCATTACGAGATTGTCAAGGATTTGGAGAGCTTTTGTTTTGCCTGGTGTGTGGGTAGCTTTATTTCCTCTACTTTGATGGCAGTTGACGTGGTCTGCGGAGTTTTTAGTTTCCCGGAGATCCCTGGTGGGCTCTCCGGATCAATCGGGTTGCACGGACTGCCATTTGTACCAATCGGATCATTATGTACGCTATGGTGAGGCCCCCACTGCAACCGAGATACAGAGTGTGGAAGTCGGGGAGATAAGCCCTGATTCCTGTTAGGGCTTAGCTTCGTGCTCGTAATATATTTATATTGTATGAGAAATCAAAGCAGAAACAGAAATTCGTATTGTTGCTTTGCAATCATCACTGTTAAGTATAGGGCTGTTGACGATATCCGCCTCGGCAGATATTATTCGACCGAATATCGGCGGCGGATACGATATTTGTTGTTCTTCCCACGGCGGATACGAATAACGTAATTCACCACCGAAGCGGCACCACTACCGAGCCGGCATTTTTTCCCGAGCGCGTACGCGATATTGATTTCAAATCCCAATTTTCAAAGCCACATACAAATTATATACAAAAATCTAACTACTAATACGACTAGGGCATTGGTTAATTCTATGCCCCATAACGTTACAACCACTGCAGCGATATTGGCGGCGTACGACTGCTTGAGAAGCTGGGAGCTCCGGCTCAGCCGGAGTAGTAGTAACAGCATGGGATGCCTCAACCTGACCTTGTACGAGCGCTTGCACTTCTTCTTTAGTAACCCCTTGCTTAATAGATATTTGCTTTTTAGATTTTTGGCGCTTTTGCTTCTCTTTCTTATGTGCAGCTCGTAAATCGTAGTTCTCTTTCTGTACGAGTAAAACATCATTCGCTATCATTTCGTAGGCTTTTGACAACCGTACAACTGCCTGATTGATTTCTTGATTTTGGTTGCTTTCTGTACGCTCATTTATATGTTTATTGATTGTAGTCGACTGGCGTATAAATTGGCGTATATTTTGAGGTGTTTGTAAGCAGGATGATGCCGTATTGCTTGATCGACTTGGAGGGGGGGTTGGTGTCTTCAATCGAATATTAAGCTGTTGTATAACTCGATCTGGATTGAAAGGCACTAATCCAGTGGCTGTGAAGCTATTCCGAATAGTTTGAGCTTTATATGCCACTGTACGAGCCTGTGGAAATGCTGTTAAGAAGTCCATTTTATCAATATGATTGAAACCAAGCCTCATTCGTTGCTCAACAAGCTGCCCATAATGTCGCTTTAAAACAGCAAAACAGCCAACATCAAGAGGCTGTAAGAGATGCGAAGAATGAGGTGGCATACAGACTGGAATAATATTATTCTCAGTACATATATGGTCAAATTCTGGTGTCAAATGGCTTCCATGGCCATCAAGAATCAACATTCGATATTTTCCAACCGTACGACCATTAATATAGGGAATAAAATGGGTTTTAAGCCATTCTAATCCTATCTGATCTGTAGTCCAGCCATTATCGCTAATATTGATTCGCCAATCATCTGGAAGATCATCAAACCAGCCTTCTCGTACGTTTTTCTTTGCTTTGAAAATCACGTACGAAGGCACAGCCCATCCAGTTGAATTTGTTGCCTCAATTGCAGTCACCCATTCTCGATTTCCAGGCTGTAAAAGCTTCGGCTGAGCATATCGATCGCTTCCAGTAATAACCTTTGCAGTTGCACAGAGTCCCATAGCAAAGCTAGTCTCATCAAAGTTGAATATATCTTCTGGTAAGATGCCGTACTCAGATATAGCAGCTTGTACGCGATCAAAATGTTCTTGTATTATCTTTGGATCTTTGCATTTAGCACGTTCGTAGTTGTATTTCCTTGCGAATTTGGAATCGATCTCTGGACGGCGTTTAATCAGTTTAGTTATCCAATTTTTTCCAACTTGTGGTTTGCCATGTTGTGAAAGTATATAATTAGCCATTTCTCGTACAAGAGAATGCCGGGGGGGTAATCCACGTCGATCTAAATCAAGCACCCATTTGACAAGCGATTCCTCTTCATATTGAGTCAATTTATGGCTGTTGGCGCGTACGAGAGATCTTTGTTGAATACCATTGAGTCTATCTTGTAAAGTTGTCCGGGGGATCTCGTAAATCCTTGCAGCTTGAGCTACACGTTGAATTCGGCCATTCTGTAAATCGGAAATTGCTAATAAGATTCGTCCCTCTTGCTCATCTAAATTTTTCCGGTTTTTATTGCGAATTGGTGGCATATTGACGTGTTGAATAATATAAAATCAATATCGTGTACGCGCTCGGGAAAAAATGCCGGCTCGGTAGTGGTGCCGCTTCGGTGGTGAATTACGTTAACCCTTAAGCTATACCATCTTAGGTAAGCGCGACAGTCTAGTTAGTGTTGGATTAGCTAAGCTGATTCAACCAATCAGATAGAGGAGATTTGTCAGCCAATAATAGCGAGCCACACACGGATCCACCGAATAGGGGGTAAAAGATATCTTCCACCTGGACTGTACTTAGAGACAAGAACAAGAACAACAAGGATCAAGGATTCCCACATCTTGTGCATACATAATTTGATACGTTGAGATAAACCGCTAGAGATTGTTACATACAATCTAACATATTCGACCGCAAGTCATGCCGGCGGATACGATATCTGCCATACCACGCCGATATTCGATTTATCCGCCGTACTTTCAATCACACGGAGAGAAAACCGTACGTGATCGTGCCAATACTTAGCCAAGAGCCACAAGACCATAATTATTAGCTCAAATTGCTCTCGTAACTAATTCTATAAGTTGTCTACCTGGGTGAAAAGTATAGCATAATCAATAATATAACTAGGTGGGAACGGCCGGCAACCCTGGTTGTCTAAGAAATCCCACCTGAGATATATCTAGATATATATATCGAAGGCTGTAGTTTGTGATGAAGTATCTACTATCTACTAGTACGGTAGGTAATTTGGAAAAGTTCGTATATTAATTAATTGTTGGATTATTTAGGTGCTTCATCACTTATTACATTGACAGTAAGTTATTTCCTATATACATTATTCATCAACATCAACATCCTCATCGTTTCGGAATTCATTGAGTGTCTTCAAATTCCCAGTATATCTCTTCCTGCATTGAATAGTCTTTCTACTGGAACCTCAGAGGCTGGAATCACTAGATAATCTCTAGCAGCAGCAGCCATTCTAGGATATTTACCCTTGTTAATCCGCCACCAATTACATAACCAATTCGCATCCCATATGTCATTTATATTGACCCGAGGGCTGTTAAGATAGCGATCAATATTAGAAAGTAGAGGTTGATTGCGTAGCTGTAACCTCTTTAGTAACCGGGACTCCACATCATTATGCTCAGTGTTGTACTCTAATAGGGATTGTCCTGTAGTTGAGCTTGATTCCATAGTTACTGAATAATCACAGTGGAGGTTACCACGGAGAGCTTGAAGGATCTCCCTTCCAGTAGCTTTGTCTTCCAGTTCGTCGAGAAGGAGATCACCTTTGACGCGAGGATCCAAGATAAGGGCAGTATAGTATGTATCAGAAGCATCCATAAAGGTATAGTACTTTTTATACTTCTTCATACCTTCCTTCACAGCCAATGATATATTTTCGTCAAGATCTTGGAATCTCTCCTTGCGCTCGGATGCCTCATCGAGTAAATCATGAAGTTCATAGTAGATTAGGACTGCAAGACTAATTTGAGGTTTCTCTGACACGAACAGAGTCAACTTATTGAATTTTGAAAGGGTATTGTGGATCTGTGAGAGCCGAGACCAGTCCATTGTCTCCAGTTATTGTAGTTAATTTAGATTGAAGGTCAAGTTCTACAAGCATATCCTCAACTGCCGCAGCCAGATTCTCTCCACTATGTGGTCCTAAAAGTTCTTTGAATTTAAGAACTTTTTCTTTCTTTGATAGTCAAAACTCTCTGTAAGCCAATGGCCAATTATCCCTAGGATTAGAAGGTGGTTTTTGCTTGTCCAAATATCAAGAGATAAGACAATTGTCTTGCAAGATAATCTAAGTTCATCCTTCAACTGAGCACGTTGTATATCAAAGTCATCCATAATTTGTTGTCAGAGGGTATGCCGAGAAGTGAATGGAAGTGCGATACCTGGGATATTCAAGAAGATCTGCTGAAATTCAGGAGATTCAATTGTTGTAAAAGGTTATTTATTAATAATAATCCAGCGGAGGATGTCCTTTTATAGCTGTTGTTGGTAAGTAAGGGTTTCTTCTTTTTTTGTCCATAAGCTAGGCAGAGTTCCTTTTAGACTTTTAATAGGTTCAGTGATTGAAGTACTAGGGGGATAAATAAAATGCTTTCATAAGAGATGGAGTGTTATATTGCTAGTAGAACTCTGCTACTTTGAATCTGTTGTAACCCAGCTACAACACTTGCCAGTATCTTTGTCCACAATAGCACACTGAATATCCATATCCATTAATTTCCGTTTCTTGTGCTTCTTTATATACCACTCACGTGGAACCTCATTCTTGCTGAAGTAAGCCTAGAACCATACTTCCTTTTTAGTTATAGGTAGGAGATTTCGGGGGGTATATGAAATAATCGAAGAATCTGCAGCTGTTGAAGTTGTTAGACAGAATAATGACTGTGAGGCAGATTCTGAAGGATTTATATCAACATTAGGGATTCCAAGAGATGAATTGTATTCTGGTTGTGTAAGTGTAGATACAATCAACAATTCAGGGGATGGACTTGAAAGTCGGTCTTCAGGTAATGCTTCGTTGTCATAACCATTGTTTAATGTAAGGTAGTTTTGACATTTGCCCCGGGTTTCCATTAGATCGATAGATAGCAGATAACAGAAATAAGTCAAGTAGAAGAAGCTATATAGTATAATTGGCGAATATAATAGCTTAAGTAGCTTAAATGTAATTGATTTGATTTGATAGGCACTATTGTTGACTCGTATGTGAAGGATAAGCTGGAGAAGAGAAAGGATTTTACAGTGCAAGGTGCCGTAAACCTTTGCTATCTTAGCAAATGTGACATGTCACAATTAACTAGTCCTGTCTTGTATACGATGTGATAGTGACTATCTTGTCATAGACTCTGAGGTCAAGAAGATTGGACCTATCGAAGGGAAGTTTTTCAAAGAGCATGTGACTGATAGACGATATTGGAACTTTTCCGTACTAGTTCTAACTGGGTTAGGACAACCAAAGAAGTTTCTTAGAGTAGGGATTTTTCTGATATTCGTGCACACTATCTAAAACTTCGCTATCTGACAATCTTGATCCTTTTTATACTTACATTCTCAATGAAAATGACATCACTAAAAACCACAATCTGTGTTTAATCGAACTTTCTTGATGTAGGTTGTGAAGCTGATTTGTAATATCAATCTTGTGTTGGTATGCGAAGTCGATATAGAATCTGATTCTCGAAATTTCCTGTTGATCAATATTCATACGATTCTCTAAATCCTATTCCCAAAAGGGAATAGCGTAATTTAGTTCCAACAGACGATATTCGCGGCGGATACGAATATTGCCGATATCTTTGGCGATATTATTCGCCGTGATCTGGAAAGGCGGATACAGATATCGAATATTTATTCGACCCTTTTTGTACGGCGGATACGAATATCGAATATCACTAGATTCAGCCGATATCTGTATTCGCACCAGCCCTAGTTAAGTACTACATGATATTGCATTCAGACAGCCAGCTAGCTAATACCAGAATATAAAATCCGGATGGTCATCGCAGACTTCCTCCAAACTCAAAGCTCGTTTCGCTTGCGCCTCCTCGCTGTCCTGCTCGAGCCTCTTGCGGTCATTCAGTCGTCTTAGGTAGAACACGAACAATAACGTAAAAGCAGCCGCAACAACCATAGCCCCCAGCGAGAGTCCTTTTCCCTTGTAATAATGGGGGGCGTCGTCGAAAATTTCAGTTCCCATAAGCGCAAAACTTTGTCCGAATACCATAATAAAGCCAAGTGAGCCAGCTCTGTTCCAACGATCGGTCAGCATATGCAATAATTAATGACACTGCGATATACCTTCTTGTAAATCCTATGATATTGGAATTCATCCAACTCTGAATCAGAACCACCGCTGGGTATGTACCCATTCCGACTAAGAATGTACTCCCAAAGGACAGATCCGTAGACTCACTAACGAGCAGTAGCAGCCAGCCTATGGCCGCTAGGAGAAATGAAATTATGAGGAAGATACCTCTATTTCTCAATCTATCTGACAGGGTGCATATAGCGACAGTGAACACTCCAGTCACAACATAGATCGGGATTGTCAGTAGTTGGGTCCGTAGTGTCGAGTATCCGAGCAAATTAAGGATCACGGGCAAGAAGCTTGAGAAGGACGCGAGGCTGATATTCATGCACGAATACAAAAACGCTGCACTACTGTGTTAGTGGTGTGTATATAGGTCGTGGCTCTGACACATTACCATAAAACCAAACTTTGGGATCCTTGATCACGGCAATCAGCTGCTTCGGCTGAAGCTTGCTATGAGCTACGTTGAACGCTTCCCTAGACCTGCGCAATGCTATCTGTTGTTCTTTCACGGAGAACATCCATGTGGCCTTCTCTGGTACAGAAGGAAGCAGTATCAGGACAACAAAGCCCATGCCAATTGACATAATTCCTACAATTCCATAGTAAGCGTGCCCTGCTCCCCAGCCAAAAAAGCGGAAAATCTGAAAATGTAACGTGCTCACCTTCAATGAGGAAGATCCATCTCCAGGCTCCCCATCCGTGCTCCTCATTCAGATTATGCTCAACGCCGTAGGCTATTAGGCCATTCATGCTACCCGCGACAGCCATCATAGAGAAGAAGATGGCTCCCCGAGTTGCAAGTTCTTCTCTTCGATACCACAGCGTCAAGAACAATGGCCCAACTTGTAAGAATGCTTCAATGGCACCGATCATTAACCTGAGGCCGGCAATTACTTTCCAGGTTTTTGCTTCACAAAGCCTAAGCGCACCAGCGGTTACTTTAGATAAATTAAACATTTTGTCAACAGTCTTACATTGTAGTCCCTAAACCCCACCCTATCATTGCACCTCCTAACTGAACATTCGGTCCAATCGCTCTCAAGAAAATATCCCCAGGAATCTGGAAGACAATATAACCGATGTAAAAGAACGCGATGCAATTGCTCAGCTGACGAGGGTTGATGTGTAGCTCAGTATTCATTCCCGCAATCGCTGCATTGCTGATATCTCCTCGGTCCTGGCTAAATCAGTTCACATGGCACTGTGCGAGCCTATGCGATCATAACTCACAAGAGAAGCAAGAAAGTACATCACCGCTATGAGCGGTAACACGATCATGTCAAGTTTTAGCACAAACCGCCTTTCATCTTTGATTTCTTCGGCAGTAAGGACTGTCATTTCATGCATATCATTCCCATATATTCTGAACATCGATATTTCTTCTCTGGTATTAGCAGCTTCGATGTCCCCAACACTCGTATCGTCGGGTTTCTCCTGCGGCGGGTCCATGTTTGCGCCAAAACAGACCTCTAATAGTCAGCTGCAAGAAGATTTCTCTGCTAGAAGACGTCTCAGTATAAATTCCCCTTTTACTTGTCCGTATTAATAGAACTTTGATCATGGCTCCGCATGTTGATTTCTCGATCCTGATTTTATTTTTGATTCGGCGTCATGACCTCACACGCCAAGGGTAGTCTTCGGTAGCGATTCGGCAAGTTTGCGAAGTCGGCCCGGCGCTAGACACGCCTGCGCAAATCTAACAGACTTTATATTGACAAATCTTAGACGTAAAATCAAATGAGAGCATGTGAATTTGGTCGGAGTGTGGCACCAGTCGTTGGTCTTTAGATGCGATTGGCCTACCAGGTCGTTGTACTTCGCCAGTGTCCACAGCTTTTGGCAGCAAATGATGTACAGTGAACAAACAGCATTCGATTGCAGAATTCAACTTTCATGTTAATAGTTTACTACTATAGGCTGTTCTCTACAAGACCGGCATGGCATTGCATGGGCTGGCCACGCTACCAGGTACATCAAGTGGTTGGCTTGTTAAGAAGGAAGTCCATCTTGTTGCCTACGCTTGCACTCGACGGCCAATTCCTCCAGATTCCATAATTTGTCAATCGGTCCGATCGTCTCTAGCCCACAAGACATCCTTTTCTTCCTCCGATCGACGATTATAATCTTCGACCCAGCCAGACCGAGCTAATAGAATATCACCCCCACATTAAACTCGGTGCCCTGATCCTCTGCACACATTAATAGCTGCTCTAGGGATATACGATAGGTACTAAACGGGTCATAGGAAAGATCATTCTTCGCAGCCCATGATCGGAAGCCTGGGAGCACGCGTATTGCTTTGCGTTCGAGATCTGAAATGGGGTCAGCAAGAACCATGCTCTGATGGAGATCTTTGCTTACTACGTATTTCCCCACTGAATAGAGCTCTACGTATTGATGGCCAGTTCGTCGTCATTTGAATGCTGCTTCTTAACGAAACGATGCTTCAAAATTCCCCTGGCTGGGTTCATGGGATCTATTGGGATGTTTAGTGGAAGACTGTGAAAGTGAGAGGTTAGCAAACATTTCAGATCATAGAAGGGAGTCACGCGAACTTGAGACTTATAGTTTCCCCATAACAACCTCTGACTTGGCTAAGAGGACTATCTCTGTCCGTAACAGATTTAGAGTTCCTAGTGTATCCTCTTCACCATATAGGCCTCATGCTGAATAAGGGGGATGATTTTTATTTAGAGGAAGAGCTTCGAATGCCGGGCGTGGAGACATGGTGCATCTACCTAGATATTAGCGCAGGCCGGTAAAACTACTGCAGATGGGAATCTGTTGGAGTAAATGAGGAGAACTATATAGATAATTTATGTGAGCATTTCCGTATGTTATGACAAGTTTCATAGTTGTAAATTATAAGGTCTACTGTATTGTAAGTTCATAAATGAGGCATGGAAATTACTGTCAAATCAAGAACAATCAATTTCTTAAACATATTCCCGGAGCCTACATACAACGCACCATATCCTCGCAGCTGAAGATTGTAAATAGTTGATTGTGGTGCGAACAGTTGACGCTGTCGGGCCGACCCGGCTCGAAACCGAATTCGGCCTGTACTCCTCAATCCAAAGCGAAAAAAAAAATGCATACAGGATTAATATCCTCATTTTCCGGGCTTCTAATGGTGTACCTGGTATATAAACATACGTATGAATGCGCCGTGTAGCCTTTTTTGTTGCTAAAATTTCATTTGCTCATAACGTCCACAATTCATTGATACCGGACAGAAAATCCAATACACACGCTGCAATCCCTTGTTCAGGAATTTCAAAGATGAAAGACGAATTGAGAATTCTGACCCCGATTGGCATGCTGGGATATGGCTTCAGCGAAGAGTTGTTCTGGTCTGCACTCGAGGATGGCGTTGACGCGGTCATTCTCGACAGTGGCTCGACAGATAGTGGGCCATCAAAGCTCGCTCTGGGTACTACAACCGTCTCTCGCAAGTCGTATGAGCGTGACCTGAGCGTTCTTGTTGCCGCATGTCATTTTTACAAGGTGCCGCTGCTTATTGGTATGACATGTCCATTATTGATTGCTCGGTCCCTAGTATGCTATTATACCTAGGTCTATAGGCTCTTGCGTTGACTCCCAAGCAGGTTCAGCAGGTGGCGATGGTGCAAACTCTCATGTAGATTTGCTAGTCGAAATCATTGAGGCATGCATTGCGCGAGAAGGATATCGTACTATGGAAATTGTTCGAATATACTCTGAAGTAGGCAAGGATATTGTGACTAAAAACTGGAAGGATGGCTTAGTGACTCCTTGTACACCTGCTGTGCCGGAACTCCAGATTTCAGACATTAATGACGCTACACGGATCGTCGCACAGATGGGCGTGGAGCCGTTTCTCAAGGCCATGAATGAGAACCCTGACTTTGACATTATTATAGGAGGAAGAGCATATGACCCAGCGCCTTACGCCGCGTTCTGCGTATGGAAAGGGTTTACCGACCTGGGAATTGCCTACCACATGGGAAAGGTCATGGAGTGCGGTGCATTATGTGCAGAGCCGAAGAGTAAGGAGGCATTGGCGATTGTTAGGAGCGATAGCTTTGACATTAGACCTTTGGACTTAGGAGCAAGATGCACGAAAGTTTCAGTCGCCGCCCACTCGCTGTATGAGAAGAACCGCCCTGACATTTTGGTCGGCCCTGGAGGAGTTCTGGATTTGACCCCTACCGCATTTGAGGAGCTGCCGGACCAGAGGACTGTTCGCGTTCGAGGATCAGTGTTCATTCCAGGGCCACGGTATACCGTCAAACTGGAGGCTGCGAGACTTAAAGGCTATCGCAGTGCGTTTATTGGCGGCTTCCGCGACCCATTCCTAGTTCCGCAAATAGACGACTTTATCCAACGGGGAAAAGAGCGACTGAAAGAAATGATAACATTTCCTTTCAAATTTGAGGCGCACATTTATGGTAGAGGTGCTGTCATGAAGTCTTTGGAACCCGATACCGACATGACACCCAAGGAAGTCTGCCTGGTAGGAGAGGCATGGGCAGAGACGCAAGAACAAGCAGCTTTCGTCACAAGCATCGCAAGAGTTTGGTGCATGCATGGGGCTTACCCTAATCAGATTGCCACTTCTGGTAACTTTGCTATGCCCTTCTCGCCATTTGATATTCCCCTTGGGCCGTACTCGGAATTCTGCATGTATCATATTATGCCAGTTTCAGATCCGACTTCTCTGTTTGCAATAACAGCTCATAGTGTTTTGGGATTGGATACTGCGAAAGCCCGTAGTCGTCCCACTCCTTCTTCAATAACTGGGAAGAATAGTACCAATGAAGCAAAGAGTGCCACTTCTCAAAAACCCACCACGACAAATGCGCTAGGACAACCTCCATGGTCCAAGTTCACCTACCTCGGATCGCTAGCTAGTGTCCTTCGAAGCAAAAATGCAGGGCCATATGAGACTACGTTTGACGTCATGTTTCCTGACCAAAAAACCTACGACCGAGTCAAGGAATCAAACGTCTTAACTTCCGAGACCATATCAAGTCTATACAACATCCCTCCAGAGGAAGTGCTCGTCAGTATGTGGTGGGAACCTGCCCTAGCATTCAAAGCGACGATCAAACGACCGACTGTAAGTGCCAGTTTTGGAGAAACAGATACGCACGGGAGCGCTCAGCATGCACCTTTGATGTACTTACAAATCCCGAAACCTTAACCGGAAGGTGCGACATAATCTCGTCTCCTGGTGCCACAACTCTTGGGAATAACGCATACCGATTTGATTCTGTTAGGCCTATTTGCGATTCCTAATTCCACAATAAGATGAACTTTCTGTCCTTTTTGTTAAGTAGAAAGTTGCACTGGTCTGTCACCATGCCCAGGTACTCGTTCATTTATGTCGTTTGGATAGCCCGGATACTGCTTATCTCTAATAGCACCTAGAGTTAATTTTTGATATTAAATTCCAAACTCTTACGTATTGTATTGGCACAAAGCTAATTTCGGTACGCACATCTTCCCCATCGAGCCATATCCACTGCAGTCCAAAATTAAGGCCTTTTTTCCCCAAGCTCTATCCCAGTTATAATAGAATGGCACGGCAGCATTTAGTTTTGATGTTCTATAATAAGATATCATGTGAAATCTGATTATAAAATAACTATAGCATCCTGATGATACGTTGCTACACGGTTGGTAGTCAATACGAGGTATGCAGCAGTTAAAAGTCATGAAACTATAACTATATCTTGGTAGCTGTCGACTGAATAATATTAGTGTGTGTGTGGGTGCGCTTCTGCACATGTGCACACAAGTAGCTTAGTAACCAATTGGTAAAGTCATATTATTCTGATTGTCTGTCTCTTCTAGCTATTTGACCTCTGTGTGTGTGTGTGTGTGTGTGTGTGTCATTATTTTACGGCCGTAGGCCGTGAGATTTATATATATAATATATATATCTCACTGCCTACCCATTCCCTATTGGGACAAAGGCCGCCAGGGGGTAAGCCCTGGGTGTCAAGATCTAGTTACAAAAATGTGACTCTTTGGCGCTCTTACATGGCTGCCGTGGTCAGATATATGGTCTGTATCAAGTACAGATAGACTGTTGCTGCCCGCTGCAGTGGTCCACCTACGCCCCATGACCCAGCTCACCCGTTCATACTGATAGAATTTTGAGAGAAAGGAGAAACAAAAGGAAAATAAAGAAATATGCCAAGCTATTGTGGTTCGCTTAGCTTAGATGCTAAGATGGGGGGCGACGAGGGCAAATATCCTCGAAAAATTGTGTCTCGGAGAACCAGGCAGCTAATTGAATAGCACCCTTGGGAGTGCCTAGAAGGAATGGAATGACTTCCGAGAGATTCCCGGGGAACCGGGGGGCTTTCCTTTTTGCAATCTGGCAGAAGATGAAGTGGATTGGTGACTTTCTTGTTCCGCACCGGCACGAGAGATGGGCATCTTGATGGTTAAACCGTTCATGGTAGTCCGCAAAGTCTCCATGCTTGGATCGAGCTGCAAGGATGCGGCCTAGTAAGGGGTGAGGGAGCTTAAGCTCTTCTGGGCGTCTAGGGAAGGTCGTTATCTCGAGGTCTTGGTAGGCCTGCGGGGCGGCTGATTGCCAGTGGGTTTGGGCCTTTAAGAAATCGTGTGATTTAGTGTGCCGCTTAAGAGCTGCATATGACCACGGGAGAGAAGAGGAGGGAGTTTTATTGGCGCCTTCTTTGGCGGCCTGGTCCGCTGCCTCATTTCCAGGAATGTCAGCGTGTCCAGGGACCCAGCGGATTCGAATTGAGCCACGTTCGGTTTGTGGGAGCCTTCTGCGGGTTGGCCAGGTGTCAGCCAGTGTACGGAATTCCTCAAAGACTGCTTGTGAGGAGCCTGTGGTCGAGGATAGGAGGTGAATCGCAACTTCTAGGTTGTCGAGACAAATCCATAGATTGGACGCGCGTTGGGCTGTTGGATGTGCCGCTGCGGCTTCCAACCCGGCACGGGCTGCTTCTGCTTCTGCATCAAAGACCTCTTTATTAGGCCCTAGGGGGAAGGAGTGGCGCAGGATCTGGGAGTTAGCCTGGAAGCCGACAAAGCCTCCGCCGGTCTGTCCACTATCCAGTTTAGATCCATCTGAGTAGATGATAATGTCGTTTTCAGGGATGGATTGTAAGAATATTTGGAAGTTGTCTGCTGCTTGTTCTTTTGTACGGCCTTCTGGGGCCCCAACCCGCGTGAGAGCTGCTTCTCTAGATTCTTGAATCGTCCAGGGTGGGTGTAGTGTGTGTGTGTGTGTGTGTGTGTGTATATTTAACGGCCGTGGTTCGTGACTCGCACGCTTCCCACCGATCCCTACTGGGATATAGGCCGCCGAGGGGTAAACCTCGGGCTTCAGGTCCTATCAGATTTATATACAAATAAGAGACTCTTTAGCGCATTTCCATAGCTGCTGTGGTCTTAAAGGGAGGTCCACTTGGAGTGGGTTTTGGTTATTTGCCAGCTGCAATGGTCCACCTATACTCCATGACCCATAGTTCTGCCACCATCATACTTAAGCAGTGAGTTTGAAAAGAAAAAGGAAAGAAGGAAAGAAGGAAAGAAAGAAAGAACGAAGGAAAAGAGAGATATAAGGGGAAAGTAGGGCTGACTTAGCTAGGTGCTAAGGAGAGGTTGGCGAGGACAGATATCCTCATAGAAATGGGTCTCTGCTAGCCATGTGGCTAGTTTTTGTGTTCCTTTTGCAGTGTCTAAAGAAAAGAGATGACTTCAGAAGGGGCTGCTATGATATGGCCAAGGTTAAGTTGGTTGAGTTGAAGCTCTTTAGGGCGTTTAGGAGATGTAGTTATTTCTAGATCTTAGTATGTCTGTGGTGCTACAGTCTGCCACTGGGTCTGAGCATCAGAAAGAGTTTGAGTCTTGGCGTATCTTTTTAGCGAGGCATATGAGGACTTATATGGAGAGGGGGGGATAGAGACAGCTCCTTCCTTGGCAGCAAGCCGATGCTGGCCGGATTGCCTGTGGGTTGGACTCCACTAAGCCTGAAGTGATTGGTTCATGATTTTGGGCCTAGGACCATGGTCTTAGACCCTACTCGAACCCAGTCCCGGCGTCCCGAATCGAGCCGGGCTCTCAGGCCATCTCGGACATGTGCTCGTGTTCTTGCATCCATAGTGGATTTAGGTTTATAGTCCTGAACCCACCCGTATCCTCGCCCAACCTTCCCATCACAGTCCCCGTTCAAGGAACATTATCCTGTATTATAGTTAGTCCTAGCACTGTACGGGAACTAGGTATTTTAGCCCCGGTCCGCGTCAGTTATAGAAATCAGATCCTGGGAAGCCATTCCCAGGAAGATTTATACAATACTATGGGAATCCTAGGTCTTTAGCCGTTCTGTGTAACTGATCTTGGGATGAATTAGAAAATGGGTTGAACAATATAGATTCCATAGGTATCTGGGAATTCTATCCTACGATCTTGAAGTCTAACGTGCTAGAAGAAGATGATCAGCAGCTTCACCTTAACACATACTCTTGACATACTGCATACGGGCTAGAGCAGTCGGATAGTGATCAGCGTTTGCTTCTAACTTGTTCTTCATATCGATTAACCACGATTCAAACTTTAGATCCTTTCCATCAACAAAAATCTGACTATCGGGAAGCTTGGTTGATTTCTTCTGACTGGTCATCACTATTGAGATAGTTCCTTCACATCCCTAGTATTCCATTATCTTAAGATGTGCCTGGAGGTTGTCATGTTTGTTAATAAGTTCCCTCATCGCGTAGTATTGAAGGTCGGTACGCTTTCAGAGATGCTTAAGCTCTCCACGCGCTTTGTTGGAGAGTACATAGTCATTCTATGCTGGGGCCTTATCAGCTCTTATCTCTAGACAGGTAAACTGGTCACAGAGTCCTATAAAAAAGGCCTTGGGATGGCGCTTAAAGAGCATTCGGAACATTAGGAAATTTAATCCTTTGGCGAATTCTACTCTGTTAACCTCATCTATTAGGAGGTTATGCATATCATTCATGTTGATAGTGAGGTGTCTAGTGTGCTGACGTCCACTCGATAGCCCAGCCATATTATCTTCTAGCTGACCTACGCTCGGTGCTCTGTCACTTTCATCAACATCTAGAACTAACTCTGCATCCTCTGGTTTGGGGGAGTTAGATGCTTGTGCTCTATCACTATTATAACCATATACCGATCAAGGCATCTTGACGCGTCACGGTGATATAGAAAAATATGAAAAATAAATAAGAGAAAAGAAAGGAGACCCCTGCTCGAGCTTGATGACGAGGTCATACGCTTTGCGAGCTTACAGAGTTGCTAGGAAAGGAAGGGGAAAAAGAGGAAAAGAAGGGCTCTCTTGATCAGAGCGTTAAATGCTGAGGAGGTCCGCTTTGCTGATGTACAAGAGAAGAAGAAGAAAAGGGTGATGCTTATTATTATGTGATGCTGGCCAATACCTTGCATTTGTTGCTAACTAGGTGAGCCTATCTATGAAGAATAACAAGCATGAAGAAGGAAAGAAGAAAAAAACACAGCGCCCCTCTACGCACAGCTCCTTCATATGATCCTTTGTGTGGACGGAACTTCCCAATACAGTACCGCTCCCAATATAGCATTGCTTAGGGCTCAAGCCCTATCTTGAGATAGCGGGAAAAGCCTCCTAGGATGACACTGTACGGAAAGCTCCGTCGCCAAGCCGTAGAGCTGTCAAGCCGCAGGGCTGGCTGTCACACTAAGTACTATCTCAAGACACTAAACTGCTAGGTTATAGTTAATATTAATACAGGCATGGGCAAGCATACATCACCTAGTTTACTAGTTCTATCCAGCCTTCTACTGCCTTAGTCACTACTTGACCACAAGTCTTTAGCTCAGCTATGACGAAAATCAGTCAAATTAACAAGGAGCTGGATTAGAATGCAGCCTTTCAGCTTGATGACAGGGACTTCGGCGAATCAAGCGATGACGAGGACTTGGGCTCGGGCTTGGATTCTGACCCTGATGTCGAGACTGATCACAAGTCATCTGATAATAAGAAAGATAACAGTTACGTAGAATCTACAAATGTAAGAGAGTGGGTAGAGGGCGTGATAATGAGATACGAATATAGCTTCGATTTTCAAGGTAGGGTACGATTCGTAAGGTAGCTATTTGCTACCTTCTGAATCCTATTCGAATCGTAGCTAAATACATAGCCGAGCCGTAACGTAATTCACCACCGAAGCGGCACCACTACCGAGCCGGCATTTTTTCCCGAGCGCGTACACGATATTGATTTTATATTATTCAACACGTCAATATGCCACCAATTCGCAATAAAAACCGGAAAAATTTAGATGAGCAAGAGGGACGAATCTTATTAGCAATTTCCGATTTACAGAATGGCCGAATTCAACGTGTAGCTCAAGCTGCAAGGATTTACGAGATCCCCCGGACAACTTTACAAGATAGACTCAATGGTATTCAACAAAGATCTCTCGTACGCGCCAACAGCCATAAATTGACTCAATATGAAGAGGAATCGCTTGTCAAATGGGTGCTTGATTTAGATCGACGTGGATTACCCCCCCGGCATTCTCTTGTACGAGAAATGGCTAATTATATACTTTCACAACATGGCAAACCACAAGTTGGAAAAAATTGGATAACTAAACTGATTAAACGCCGTCCAGAGATCGATTCCAAATTCGCAAGGAAATACAACTACGAACGTGCTAAATGCAAAGATCCAAAGATAATACAAGAACATTTTGATCGCGTACAAGCTGCTATATCTGAGTACGGCATCTTACCAGAAGATATATTCAACTTTGATGAGACTAGCTTTGCTATGGGACTCTGTGCAACTGCAAAGGTTATTACTGGAAGCGATCGATATGCTCAGCCGAAGCTTTTACAGCCTGGAAATCGAGAATGGGTGACTGCAATTGAGGCAACAAATTCAACTGGATGGGCTGTGCCTTCGTACGTGATTTTCAAAGCAAAGAAAAACGTACGAGAAGGCTGGTTTGATGATCTTCCAGATGATTGGCGAATCAATATTAGCGATAATGGCTGGACTACAGATCAGATAGGATTAGAATGGCTTAAAACCCATTTTATTCCCTATATTAATGGTCGTACGGTTGGAAAATATCGAATGTTGATTCTTGATGGCCATGGAAGCCATTTGACACCAGAATTTGACCATATATGTACTGAGAATAATATTATTCCAGTCTGTATGCCACCTCATTCTTCGCATCTCTTACAGCCTCTTGATGTTGGCTGTTTTGCTGTTTTAAAGCGACATTATGGGCAGCTTGTTGAGCAACGAATGAGGCTTGGTTTCAATCATATTGATAAAATGGACTTCTTAACAGCATTTCCACAGGCTCGTACAGTGGCATATAAAGCTCAAACTATTCGGAATAGCTTCACAGCCACTGGATTAGTGCCTTTCAATCCAGATCGAGTTATACAACAGCTTAATATTCGATTGAAGACACCAACCCCCCCTCCAAGTCGATCAAGCAATACGGCATCATCCTGCTTACAAACACCTCAAAATATACGCCAATTTATACGCCAGTCGACTACAATCAATAAACATATAAATGAGCGTACAGAAAGCAACCAAAATCAAGAAATCAATCAGGCAGTTGTACGGTTGTCAAAAGCCTACGAAATGATAGCGAATGATGTTTTACTCGTACAGAAAGAGAACTACGATTTACGAGCTGCACATAAGAAAGAGAAGCAAAAGCGCCAAAAATCTAAAAAGCAAATATCTATTAAGCAAGGGGTTACTAAAGAAGAAGTGCAAGCGCTCGTACAAGGTCAGGTTGAGGCATCCCATGCTGTTACTACTACTCCGGCTGAGCCGGAGCTCCCAGCTTCTCAAGCAGTCGTACGCCGCCAATATCGCTGCAGTGGTTGTAACGTTATGGGGCATAGAATTAACCAATGCCCTAGTCGTATTAGTAGTTAGATTTTTGTATATAATTTGTATGTGGCTTTGAAAATTGGGATTTGAAATCAATATCGCGTACGCGCTCGGGAAAAAATGCCGGCTCGGTAGTGGTGCCGCTTCGGTGGTGAATTACGTTAGTGCGGTTCGGGTAATGACTAAGCAGCCGGAATTGACCACGTGATCCAGCTTCCGTGGTGAAGTTATCCCCGATTCTAAGTTCTCCGCCTTACAACAAAGGAACAGAGAGAGAAGTTGTGTAGGTGATAGAAACGGTATATGTCGGAACGTGAATATCAAACTCTACGCGTTTCGGCACCGGACTACTTAGTCTCACGTGGCACGTGCGTGCCGCGTGTATATCTAACTAGCTATCCCCCCCCCCGTTCCCCCTCGTTCTTGAAAAAAATCTGACAAAGTCAGCTCTTCACAATTGCCTTCACTGACCGTCACATTACAATTATTTATATCAAACAGTCAGAGGCTCAAATTCCTCAACCCTCTCTACCACCTAGCCCCCTGGAGTGCGGCCTTTGACGCGTCTCAACGCGTCCGGCAACACCATGGCGCGTAAAGGCCCCGGTACAGACGGCCCTCTACAGACAGCCCTACTGGAATCCACGTCTACAGCCACGACAAGAGCTTCTGAAGGACAGAAGATCTTTAGCCTTATAGCTGCATTTCTTGATAAACACCGCAGCCAAACCACCGGCCTTGCCCCTCACCTACTGAGAGCCCTCACCACTCTAAGTGATGACCTCGCCACAGTAGCTCAACAACATTTCAACGCCTATATCAGCGGTATCTCGACAACCTCTATTCTACCTGCCCTGTCCCCTTCCTCTTCCCTTTCCTCTACCCCAAATTCCTTACCCCCTTCACCCCCTCCCTCACGTCCCCCCTCAGGTCTTGAACAGTCAACTTATGCGACTATTACTTAATATGCCTCGGTCAAATCAACTCCCATTACTTACTCTAAAGCCCCTGTTAAAAAGCCTATGCCTCTGGTGAAACAACCCCTTCCTGACAACCGGCTCTTCGTACGCCTCCCAGCTGACCATGCAGCTAGAAAAATGGAAGCCTACACTATCTATTCTAGCCTACAGTCTTAACTAAACTCAAATAGTGCAGCACTAAAAGAAGTTCAAGCCACAAAGACTGGTTTTGCACTATGTCCCTTATCTCCAGAAGCCCTCCTAGCCCTTGAGGCCTAAAAGGAGATTATCTCTGCATTCTTTGTTAACTGCCAGATAGAACGCAGCTCCTAATGGGTCTCATACCGAGTCACCAATGTGCCAAGGAAAATTGGCCAAATCTTGGATGGCCGATACTCTTTAATCCCTGTCAACCCTACACTACTATCCTCAGAAATTAGTGAAACTACAGGGCTCAAGCCTATATCTATTAGTAAGACCGCTACCAGTGCTGCCAACCCTAATACTCTTTCCTCAAGCTGGTTTGTTAACTTCCCAGAAGGCACGAAATCATCACTGCCTATCCAGCTACATCTTTTTGACACTATTACCAACGCTCATCATCTCTCTAAAAAAACAACAGTCATCCAATGCACACGATGCTAGAAATAGCATAACGCACGATCCTGTGCCCGCCCCTCTCAATGCCGGCTCTATGGCTCTTCTAAGCACACTGAAGAAGGTCATGTTAACCACTGTACAGCCCTAGAGCCTCATCAGTGCCCTCCTAGATGTCTACACTGCCACGGACCACACCCAGCCAATTCCCTAGAATGCCTCCTGCGCCCTAAAGGAAACACTAAATATACTAAAACTCAACAAACAGAGATCTGCAAATCCTGCGCCACAAACCTTGCAAAAGCTCGAACTAAAGGAGGATGCAGCTCTCAGCTTTCCATAAGCATACAAGAAACACCTATAGCACTAGACGAGATGCCAACTCAGCCCCCAATCCAAGAGACTATCTCTCCTTTCCGTTCAGTAACCCCTCCACCTCACGCCCCAACAGAAGATCCCCCAATTATAGCTCGCGCAGTCCACTTTACTACCCCTCAATCACAAAATTGGTTCGCCTCTCTTCTCAAACGGGAACTATGATCTATCACTATCTAACTCAAAAGGCGCCTCTTAAAATTCTACAGTTAAATATAGGGCACGCGCTAGATGCACATGAAATAGCTCTCACATTGGCATACACAAGCGACATTGATATTATCCTAATCCAAGAACCATATATATTTAAAGATCTTAGCCGACAGATTACAAAAAAACACCCATTATATGAATGCTTCTCCCTAACTGACAATTAGGCAATAAGTGGCCGACCATGAGTCCTCACCTATGTCCAAAAGAAGAAAGGCATTTAGACCTCCCAGCTGCGCCTCTTCACAACTGACACTAAAGAGGCCTTAGATCTCCTGTTCCTCTAGATTTTTTCGCCTATAGGAAAGTCTACTCTGATAGTCAACATCTATAATGCCCCAGCAGACTCCATCAGAGCAGGTGAAGCCGCAAAAGCTCTTATAACCCTGCCAGAGGCGTATCTCCCTCAAGCAACAATACTCGCAGGCGATCTCAACCTATTATACAATAGATGGCAGCCCTCGCTACATTGTAGCCCCACACCTTTTGCAGAGCCATTTATTAACTGGCTGGACCTCCAGGGCCTAGTACTCATCTCTGACATAGACTGTCCCACACATGAAAGGGGTAACGTGTTAGACCTCAGTTTTGCCTCAAGCCCTCTGGCACTTGCGGGAGCTAAATCTAGCATAGCGAGCCACTTAGATGCAACCTCAGACCATCAACCACTAATCACTACTGTACCATGGGATCAGAGGTACAAGGAAACAGCTCAGAAACTGAGATTTAACATACTAGACCACACCTGCTTCCTCTCGCTCCTCGCCTCTAATCTTGCTAGTATCGAGTGCTCAACCATGACAGAAGAAGATCTTGATGCCCTCGCTGAAAAACTAACATCTGCAATTCAAGGAGCATATAGAGGCTCTGCCAAGAGAACCCTGACACAAGGTATAAGATAACCATGGTGGAATGAAGACTGCAAGAAAGCTTTACACAATTACCGCTTAGGCCTCTACTCAAAGACAGACTTCCGCAGGATAACTAGATGGTCTCAACGACAATTTTGGCGAGATAAGCTCTCTACGGTAATACAAATGAAGGATGTCTTTGATATGAGTAAATAGCATAAGTCCACAGGCACCTTCCAAAGCCCTCCACTGAAGGATCCACTGAGATCCAACAGCTTCCCAGCAGTTACTATACACGAGAAACGAGATATACTAGTCCAGAATCTTCTCCAAAACTCGGCTGAGGTAGGAGACATACCTCTGGACTCCCCAACAGTCCCTTCCACTAGTCTCTACTTCCCAGATATATCGATGCTACAAGTGGAGGAGTCAGTACTTCAGGCAGGAAACACAGCCCCTGGCGCAGATAAAATCCCAACCTGCATACTCAAAGTAGCATGGCCTCTAATCAAAGATAAGGTACTAATGCTATACCAAGGGTGCCTAAAGATTGGTTATCACCCTAAATGCTTTCAACATGCAATTTTAGCGATTATCTAGAAACCAAAGAAGACTGATTGGTCCTCATCCAGATCATATAGGCCAATTGCTCTCCTCTTAGTCCTTGGCAAAGGACTTGAGCGCTTAGTGGCACAAAATATGGCATGGATCTCTATTCACTACAAAGTACTGGCAAGGCAACAGTTTGGGGCTCTCCCACTAAGATCTGCAATTGATCTAACTACGTGCCTAACACATGATGTTGAGCAAGCACTAAATCAAGGCATGACTGCCTCGCTTCTTACCCTAGATGTCAAAGGCGCATTTGACGCCGTGCTCCCTGGCAGACTAATCCGCAGACTACGCGAGCAGGGCTGGCCTACCAATCTTGTTCTCTGGATTGCCTCTTTCGCAACTGGGAGATCAGTTCAGATCCAACTCAATGGAGAGATTGGCCCCCCAACAGATATTATCTGCGGCCTACCACAAGGATCCCCAGTCTCTGGTATTCTTTTCATGCTCTACATAGCGTCTCTATTCCGCCTAGGAAACCCAAGGAACAGATTTAGCTATGCAGATGATGCAGCTGACCTAGCGATCTCCCCATCGCTTGCCACTAACTGCCAAGCCTTATTAAACTCTCTTCAAGAAGCACTCAACTGGGGCGCCGCAGAGGGCATCACATTCACATCAGATAAATATAAGCTCCTTCACTTCTCCCAACATAAAGCAGACCAGGATCCTACCTGCACACCTTCAGTAAAAGCTAGATCCATTACAGTATCAGAAAATACTAAACGGCTATATCTACATTGGCTAGGAATCCTTTATGATAAAAAGCTAACATTTAAATAGCACATTAATGAAACAGCATCTAAAGCCCTCACTATGGCTAATGCCCTTCGCTCCCTAGGGAATACTATTTGAGGAGTTAAACCTCATTTACTATAGCAGGCTGTAATAGCCTGTGTACTCCACAAAGCATACTATGGCGCTGAAACCTGGTGGCTAGGACGTACTTGCCCTGGGCCTCGCCAGACTTCAAACCAAGTTGGAGAACACCTCGAGAAACTAACCAAAGCAATATTAGTAGGCGCAAGAGCAGTCCTCCCAGTCTTCCGGACAACCCCAATATCTGTCTTATACTAAGAGTCTGGTTTCTCTCCACCAGAAACTGAACTAGATTGAATAGCCCTCTTTGCATCTGTCCGCCTACGGCGCCTTGATCCTTATTACCCACTTTGAAGACGCGCAGAACAGGTTACTAGAAATAGCCGACAAACCAGCTGATTTGCCCGCTGTATACTGGCCCTCCCTAACTCTGAGCAGATAAACCCTCTCCAATACGCTCCCTGGCACCCTCGCGAGTCTCGTGAGAATGCCTAAGCTCGAATAGGAGCCCCCATGGGACGCACCAAGGAACAGGCAGCAGCTGACTTCACGGTCTTTCAATGCACTATCCCTAGCTCTGACATTATAATTTTTTCAGATGGTTCTAGGCTACTAGATGGATGTGCAGGGGGTGGCTATATTAGATATTAAGCACACAATTAGTTCCTCTGCTCCTCACTCTCATACGGACATGGGAAAGAGGTCTTTGATGCAGAAGTAGAAGCCGCCCTAGCTGGAGCCCAAGCAGCAATAGTATATCCAACAGCTAAATATGCTACCAACCTATAGATCTGCCTTAATAACTTAGAAGTTGCCACGCGCCTTCTATCTCCCTCTACAGGATCTTCTCAAGAAGTCTTTGAATCCTTCTACACCCTTGCAGCTACCTGGCCACTACGTGAAAGGCTTCCACACACCAAAAGTAGATCAGTCCAAATCCGATGGGTCCCTAGACACACTAAAATCCCTAAGAATGAAGCAGCAGATTTCACTGCCAAAGAAGGAGCTGCCTCTATCCCCCCCTCTCCATGCAAGTCCTTATATGCCTTGCTAAAGAGACATGCCAAGACTCAATCTCTTTCTGCTACCCAGACATGGTGGCAGACCATAGCACCACAAACTTACTAAGATCTAGAAATAACTATATCTCCTAAACGCCCTGGAGAGCTTCAACTTAACCGACTTGACCTTAGCCATATCATTGCAGCCCATACCGGACATGGAGACTTCGCAGATTACTACGAACATTTTAATCATGACGACACTCATCTCCTCTATCGATGCGGAGCATAAAAAGCACCTCTGCATTTCTTCTTCTGCCATATAGCTAAGAGACGAGCCCCTCGTCCTCCTGGACCCCCTTCTGAAGTCATCTCTTTCTTTTTAGGTACTGCAAAAGGAACACAAAAACTAGCCACATGGCTAATAGAGACCCATTTCTTTGAGGACATCTGTCCCCGCCAACCTCTCCTTAGCACCTAGCTAAGCTAACCTTACTTTCCCTCTATATCTGTCTTTTCCTTCTTTCCTTCTTTCTTTCATTCTTTCTTTTAAAACTCACTGTTTAATTACTATGGTAGTAGATTTATGGGTCATGGAGCGTAGGTGGACCATTGCAGCTGGCAAATATCCAAAACCCACTTGGAAGTGGACCTCCCTGTAAGACCACGGCAGCTATGGAAATGCGCTAAAGAGTCTCTTATTTGTATATAAATCTGATAGGACCTGAAGCCCGAGGTTTACCCCTCGGCGGCCTATGTCCCAGTAGGGATTGGTGGAAAGCGTGCGAGTCACGATCCACGGCCGTTTAAATATACACACACACACACACACACTCCCCCTCGTTCTTGGGGACAAGTCACAATATTAGGAATCAAGATATCTTCATATTGTCAGGCTCGTTAGGCCGCTTCGTGTTCGCGCCTTACTACCGTCTATGCTTCGTGATACGGACCGTAGTTAAACCAACAGTATATTAGTGGCTACTTTGCTCTAGAATCTTTCTAATTAGCACAGATTCTGTTGGTAGAAGCGCAAGAAAGCCCACAGGGCATAAGGAACTATCTGCCTAAACTAGCAGGACCCTGTATCTATTCTCTATGTTATAACCCAACAGATCTTGACAGAATTCTTTTAATTTTATCTCTACCTCTATACAGGAAAGAACAGATAAAAGCTACTAGATATTAATAAGCTTACTAGTCTTAGGCAGGACTGGAAGAGCTTTCTTCATTACTATAAAGTAGCAACTAGAGTGCTATTAGACAAAAAGCTGAATAGAAAAATGAATAAGGTTAGCAGTATTTATACAATGCATAGAGTCTTTCCTTTACTTTAATGTCCTGTCTGATCTTCACTTTAGTAATGTTTGTGGAAATTAGCTCTTACAGAGTTTGAGCTAGACACTGACAAGAAAGAAAAAACACTAATATATATCAAAGATCTTGTTCCACTATAGGAAACAGTCTTATAGACCTAGGAAAAGTGGTTCTAACTTAGCCTACAACGTATCTAATAATATCTCTACAATATTATAGCATACTTTACAGTCAATTTAACAGGGTCAGTTCATACGAACATATAAGCCTATAGACCCTACCCCCGCGTCAACAATCTACGAAGAGATGATACTGCAATTCCTATTACATGCTAGTGTACACAGAATCGTCCATGCTGTTGGCAAAGAGCTTGCAGAGTGTCTAACTGGCGTGAAAGATGGTCTTCAAATTATCTTTGGCAATAAGGAAAACAAAAACACCCTCGACGACCTCTATGAGAATTGGCCACTAGTATGCTCCAGCACGATTGCCCTTAGTGAATTTATTAAGAAGGCTATCGTTAGTGCCGCAGATAAGAATAAACCAGGACTATTCTATATCCTTAAGATTATTGCCAGCACAGGCGATACAACTAAATATATGGTTCGCCACTTATAGAAATTAGGTATTCCTTTTAAGTATATCTTTATAGATCTATCTTCATCCCTCGTTGTAGCCACTAAATGGAATTTCAAGGACTACCTTAAGATATAATTTATAACCCTTGATATTGAGTAAGAATCCTAAAACTTATAGGTTAGATATTTCTACTTTATTATCTCTACTAACTATGTACACGCAATAAGAGACTTGACTATATCTCTTATATCACTATGGAAAATACTGCGCAATGATAGCGCTTAGGACTAGTCAAAATTATGCAGAATATGTTTTGGTTGGATATCGCGGTGGGACTTTTTGAAGGATGGTGGCTGTTTGAAGATGGCTGTGACCATGCTGTCACGCTAGAGTGGCTTTGTAAGGAACATTTGCTCTGTGCTGGATTTAAGGCTATCGACTGGACAGATGGACTGGAGCTGGAGATGAGGACGATTTGGGTCATTGCCGGGTTTCCGACGAACTTGAGTGCTTGATGTTTGAGATGTTTTATGTTTTGATAGCTAACTTATGTAGCCACTAAATGATATATCTACCGATCGCGGTCCAGAGTGAATCTCCTATTGAAAACTTAGGGATAAGTAAATAAGCAACGGTACATTGTCCCTAACAAAAAAAGTCGACGCTGGCTGATCAAATCGCTATGTTGGCAAGCTCTTCCGCTGACAGAACTGTATATAAGCACCGTCATTCCTGACTAGACCTGCGTCTCTTATTTGCACATATTTATCCCGAGCTAAGTTCGTAAATCCCCAGTTCTTACTGACAATGACCTTTTGCCGACCAGGAAATTTATACATTGAGCGACGCAGAGCCTCAATGGCCACTGGGCGATGGCGATCTGTTGTCCGGACAGAGACTAAAATCTTACCCACTTTCACTCGAGCAACTTTACCAACCGGTTTACCCCAGGCGCCTCGCATACCAGTTTGTAGTCGATCGGCGCCGGCGACACTGAGCATTTTGTTGATCCGAATAGTGTGGTGCGGGTGGACGCGAATTCGAAGGTGGAAGGATTCCTTGCCTGCAGTCTTTACAAGGTACCTGTCTGCTTGTTAATATTTTTCTTTCCTTTTCGATAAGTGACACACTTGTTGGCGCAGATACGCGCCGCTTCCAACGCTTCGGAACTCAGCTGTTCGTTTTCATTGGATACTAAATGTATGCAGCAAGGAAAATCGTCTACGATAGCCTTCTTTCGTCCTGTATCGAAAATGCGGATCTTGGGATCAGGGACACCTCGGTTGAACCGGGACTTGGGAAACGGCTGGAAGAGTAAGGCCTTGGTAGAAGTAGTCCGTACGGTCGAATGTGACTGACCTTGTTTTTGCAATAGCGGTAACATCGTGCTGGTCTTCTCGCCATAGTGTTGGTTTGCTAGATCAGAGTCTGGATAATTGCTTGTTTTCACTCCGGCACTATAGTGTCTATTCTCTGGGTGAAACAAAAGAGAGCAAGAGATAGTTTTCTGGGCCAGATCGGAGAGTGTCTTCTGTAAATTTGCACGATCCTGTGAGGCAAGCTCGATCTCTTCCTGTAGTTTCTTTTTTTCCTCCTGGAGAAGCTCCTGCATCAGCTTCGCCTCTTGATCCGCTTTCTCTCTGGCCTGGCGCAGGTCCTCGTTCAGTTGGGCCAGTTCTTATCCTATAGTTAGTTGGAAGCTTCCGTATACTACTACATATATATAGTCTGGATGAGTATATAGCCAGGATGAATAAGCCTCAGTCCCTGCGGGGGGATCTGATCCACCTTCGGAAACCGAACCGGGGCGTGAATCTATCCGAGCGATGGTGATCTCCCGAAGCCACACCCGATGGAGTGATTGATAAGCCGCTAAGAGATACATACATAGCTCGGAGTATATGAGTGATTGCAGAGTCGGAGCGTGATCTGCCCGAAGCGAAGATTTTCGCAGATCGAAGAGGGACATCTGCGTAGATTATCCTTGCTCAGCAATGTCGTCGAGGTTAAATAAACTTGACCCAACTCCTCAGAGTTGTGGTTCTGAATATCACCCCGACACTTGTCTTTTTATCTCACTTTGAAGATTTCTACCATGGAGTCCCTGGAGACCGACAGCGAAAAGAATCCAGTTTACGATACCACGATCGGAGCTCGAGATGACCAGCATTCCGGGGATCCTGAACGAACTATCAGTGGCTGGAGATGGATTGCCGTTGTCCTGGCAATTTTGAGCAGTACATTTGTCTTCGCCTTAGATAACACAATCACAGCTAATATACAAGCTGAGATTATCCGGGATTTTGATGCAGTTGCTAAACTCACCTGGGTTAGTGTTGGGTTGGTGATGAGCGCCTCGGCAACAGTGCTTCTCTGGGGTAAGATCTTTTTCCAATTCAATACGAAATGGACATACATTATCAGTGTCGCCATATTTGAAGTTGGTTCTGCGGTTTGCGGCTCCTCTCCGAATATGAATGCCCTGATCGTCGGGCGAGTGCTCTGCGGTATTGGGGGGTCAGGATTGTATATTGGTGTGATAACCCTTCTCGCCGCGACGACCACTCTCCATGAAAGACCTATCTATGTAGCAAGTACTGGTATGACCTGGGGCTTAGGCATGGTTTTAGGACCAATTGTGGGAGGAGGGTTTAGTGAGAGCTCTGTTGGATGGCGATGGGCCTTCTACATCAACCTGCTGATCGCTGCTGTCTGCGCGCCTGTCTACCTCTTCCTTATTCCGAATATCGACCCTCGCAAGGGCGCAGGCTTCATGGACCGCATCCGAGAAATCGACTTAGTGGGCAGCATTCTTAACCTCGGTGCCTTTCTCTCCGGAATCATGGCTATTTCTTTCGGTGGCCTCACTTGGGCCTGGAACAGTGGCAAGATCATCGGCCTGTTTGTTTGCTCCGGCGTACTGTTCACTCTTTTCGGTATCCAACAGGCGTACGTTATCTTTACGACTGCTGAGAGACGCATTTTACCTATTGAATTCTTCAAGTCACGAACAATGCTCGTTCTCTTTGCATCGACATCTGCTGCAGGTACAGCCTGTTTCGTTCCAATCTACATGATCCCACTGTTCTTCCAATTTACGCGAGGTGAAGATGCTTTTGGATCTGCCGTGCGCCTTCTTCCGTTCATTATACTCTGTATCTTCGCTATCATTGTCAATGGTGGCGTCATGTCTGCCTTTGGTCTGTACATGCCGTGGTACACTATTGGAGGTGCACTAGTGCTCATTGGCGGTGCACTCTTATACACTGTTAATGTCGACACCAACGTCGCCCATATATACGGATACAGCATTATCACTGGTCTTGGAACTGGAATGTATCTACAAGCATCCTTCTCCGTGGCCCAGGCATCAGTCGAACCCCTACAGGTCGCGAGTGCATCCAGTTTCATCACCTGTGCCCAGGTGGTAGGCACAACAATCGCCCTTGCCATTGCTAACTCGGTCTTCTTAAATAAGGCTCAGGAGAATATCATTCATGTTCTGCCTGATATTTCGCTGCAGGAAGTTCAATCGGTCATCTCTGGAACGTCGTCGCTTGTCTCATCTTTGCCGGGAGACAAGCAGACAGCAGTTGAGTCTGGTATCGTCAGTGCTATGGGTCATACATATATTCTTGTCATCACTGCGGGCTCCTTGACTGTGCTTTTGAGTTTATTGATGAAGAGGGAACGTCTATTTATGCAGGCTGGGGCAGCTGCTTAAAGTCTTGCCCAGTTGTGATACATAACATAGCGAAGTGTTCATAAAGGCGAATAGATAATTGGAGAGGATAGATATCTACGGAGGAGAAGATTGTGACCGTTAAGCTTAGATGCGAATGAGTTAATAACCTAAAATGACTGAGAAAGAATCTTTCCATCGAGATGATACTGCGAACATCATAGGAATCATAGATTCGATACTGACGACGCTCGGATTAACGCGAATAATCATATACCCATGTATTTATGAGGGTCAATTAATCAGTAAAAAGATATACCCATGTAACCTAGGTGCGTCTTTAATTCTGTATTTATCCATCTTCAGCTTGGCATACATACTTCGACATCTAGCATGCTTTGGAACTCGCATGAATGGCATCTAGTGCAATTAATTACGTTTTTATTTGTGGTAAAAGAAAATATTCAACGATACAGAGAAAAATATATTCTCCACCGTGTTTATCATCAAGCTGAGTGGGAATGGACCGGAAAATAAACGTATGGAAACAACATCACAGTACGAAAACTAATCACCCGCAAGCTCAGCCTCAATAAGGCTCTCTGTACCAATCTCAAACTTCCAAATTTTAACAATCTTAAGCCCAACTAAAGGCAGAAGGTACTTCCACTTCTGCTCAGTGCGCTCCTCCGCCGCAACAACCGTCATCATGAGCAGATCCATAGACGTTGCCAGACGGTGAGCATTGGTGTCCGGAATGACAATCTCGTTAATCAAAAGCTTGCTGTAACCACGTTTCATGGCTGCGGCAATCTGACGCAAAATGTCGAGACACTTCTCATCCGGCCAGCCATGTAGCACCGAGTGGAAGTAGTAAGTCCGTGCGCCTGCATATCACAAACTCGGTCACCAGTTTTATCAAGGAACTTTATGGCTACTGACTCACCTTTGATCGGATTTTCGGTGAAAAAGTCATGGCCCATAGATTCTAGGCCCGCACTAAGTTGGCCCGCCTGCTTGACCACTGAAGGAAGATCTTGCAGGATCAACCGGCCTGGGAGATCACCGTACCGCTGTTGAAATAATATCAGATCGTGGCCCTTTCCACCGCCAACATCTACCATTAACACGGCGTCTTTTTCTTCACTAGCACCTTCACCTAGGATCTCCCGGACGGGGAAGTGGCCCTCGTCAAGCCAGCGGGGTCTGTCTGTGGCATACAGTCCCATGAAGTTGTTGAATTGCTGAGCTTGTTCCGGATACGTTCCCAGATATTCGAAGAATGTCCGCTTGGTGTGATGACCGAATTGAAAGGGCGTGTCGGTGATGTTAGTTGGGTTGGCATATCGTGTTTCTGCGAGAAACCGTGGGGTAGCGGAGAACGATGGGAGGAGAACATCGTGGCTGGTTTAATAGTGAGCCAAATAGATCCAAAAATAAGTTAAAGCGGATATACCAGAAGGGAAATGCATCACGGTGGCTGATCTTCAACAGCGACGCAGAGAGAGTAGTCAGCTCGTAAGTATCGGACGCTGTCTCACTGATCAAGTCACTGGCTGCCATATTTTTGAGGAGGCGGCCCAAGAGCGTCTCATCAGCGCCCACGCGTAAAGCCAACTGAGAGACATTCTTGGGAACACTCTCATCTTCCGCCATAATCTCGAAAAGGTTCAAGTTAATGGCCACCCGGACACACATGTAGAGCAATGGCTGCATGGGTCAATCAGCGCTCAACGGAATGTTTGCTAGTTAGCACGTACCTGGATAACAATCAACCGATAAATTGATTCCATAGGTGTCTCAAGTTCATAGCCGAGACTTTGAACCAAATGACTTAGCTGACGACGCTCATCAGCTACGTCCATGTTAAGATGCTCACTCTTCTGCACGAGCTCTTTCAAACGAGCAGAGACTCGCGCGGACGACTTGATGGTTGATCCCATATCTGATGCCTGTAGGTAAACTTGCTGATAGCGAAATAGCGAAATATTTGCGACTCATCTCTCGTCGTGGGATGATGCTTCTTTAAGCATGCGATGTTTCCTTACCCAGGTGTCAGGTCCCAGTACGGTTCTTCCCCAATTGCGAACCTCCGATGCGATTTTCCATTTCAGCCGACCACTACAATGGGCTTCCACTGTTTCCTATCCCTGATCTGAATTACCAGTGACTGAGTTCCGGATATTGCACCGAACAAGTTGCATTTTCGCCTCGGTTCTTTTGCTAATTTACTTGTACATTATGCTGTGAGGTGATTCTTCCGGGAATAAAGGAGATAAAGGAGAATTTTGCCAACGATTAGTTCGGAAGACGATTCGGAAGGCGAGACTATCCCGGTTGGGTCCGGTGATTTTGTTAGCACGTTTTTTATCCTTAAATATAACAGGGATCATGAGTGGTCAATTTAATATTTTGATATGAGACCGCCTGCTTTGAATGGTCAAGTCCGTCGATTAGTAATAAATCAGCAACAAGACATTGGTTAAAAGAAAAATTGACAAGTTTACTATACGGGCATATGGCTGAGCGTGATATCATCTGTCAGAATTGGGTTAGTGGTTATTTTGGTACTTTTACAGTAATATTTCAAGATGCCACGCCAAGCTTTTCAAAAATACAGGCATGTATAGAAGGTAATTTTGGGAGCTTATCCCAAACATATGTATTTCTTAAGCGAAGCCCTAATGCAGGTCTTACAAGCGATCGCACATAATTAGTACATAGTCCTAGTTAGAATGCTTTTTTCATATACCATTCATATACCACTTATATACTTTCCATATGGTAACCATCTGCAAAATGAACACTATACAACGAGATATCGAGAATTGGCTGTATAACTTGCCCAATAGCGTATGTTATATGGTCGCAGGAACTTGACAAGTATTAATAGAGCCAGAACGAACAACCTCGTCAACCCCAATACCCTGGTTGAGATTCTTGTGACACTAGTGACTCCGAGCCAGACATCAATATGGATGAAGACATACAAGACCTCAGTGAACCTCCACAGGACGGGTGTGTGCCTTTAAGAATGGGATTAGATGTAAGTCCATATTATCTTCATATGTATGATATATGTTATGCTTCTAGGGAATGTATACAGAACATATACTGACCATATACAGGAGAAAAGCACTATACAAGGAGGAGTCATCGTGACATCAAATAGGGGTTGGCATATTATTATCCACGAGATCGAAGACCATACGCACTTTCCTGCCTATCCTGCTACAAATGCCGGCGGTATTCTTCACTTCATTCCTATTGAAGCACATAATCTCTCTCTCAAAACACTTGAGGAAGACCGAGGAAGAGTTCGTGAAGTTAGTAAGCAATTTATGAGTAATGTATGCATTTCATATATATATATATATCTACTGTAATCAAAGCTGACGGTATACTAGGTCCAATTCTCTCTAAGATAGGCTGGAATACCTAGAATAGTTCCATGTAATGTACTTCAGCGCCCTCAGGACCAAGAGACTCACAAAGCATATCGATTCAGCTATATTTGCAGTAGTATCATGCACTGCGAGCATGCTCATCCCAATATTACTAAGTCATGTGACGCACATGATCGAGTGAATATTGAGAACATTAACGACCTATATAAGGAGGCGGGAAAGATAAATGAAAATGGCGAAGATGTCCCTAGTATACATGAAGAACTCAAGGCCCTCACTAGAGCGTATGTATATAGACTCCATATCATGGACATACAAATTCATATGCTAACTTTTAGCAGCTTCTACCATGCTTTTTTAGATGAGTGGTCACAGCAACACTGTCATTATCTAGGTAGCACACGAACTTGTCAATATCAAGTTCCTAAAATCTTTCAACGTAATGGGGTTGGTCATCTCTTTTCTATGTATCTCTGATACATTCTTATTATAACCTAGAAATCATTTTTGGGCTGTTCACTCAACTCTACTATCGAACCATGGCACTACGCCCAGCCAATTCGTGCTAATCAGTCAAATATCCACCAAGGTTATTTAGAGCAGCTTGTTGAATATGGCTACAATGACGAGCCCAAAGCAGATTGTATCTATATTGGCTCTTCAATCATAAAGTGCCTAGTTTGCCATAAGGACCTCCCTACAATCGCACATACAGCGCATACTGATCCATACTGATACTATATGGTTAGTATATGATTATCCACAAGGCAATGGCAAGATTATATAGCGCAAGTGCAATGTCCACTTGGATCTTTATTTACTGATTAGATGGGCTCGTTTTCCTTTTGCCATGTTAGTCTGCTGGGCAAGTCATACCCATCATCCTCCATATCCTGAGAAAATCCCTGAGGATCTTGCAAATAAAGTTATAGCAAGCATTCGACAAAATTTTGTCCTCTCCTTAACCACTCGTGAGTATTGTCATGTTAATATATGCTATTTCTAACTATATATAGGGCAGTTCATGATATCGCCACATTTTAAAGAGTTACATAAGAATTTTGGCGATTCTTCTTTTACACGACTTCACCAGTCTCTTAATATCTAGGACAAAATCGCCGCATTCATCCGGAAAGAAAGAATACTACAATATCCTGAGGGGGCAGTTTTACAGGGTATATATTCATCCAACTTCAATCTGGTTCCCATATCTGACTAATATGATAAGGTGTTCTTCGAGAATACCGGTTTGACCGACTACGGAGCCCAGATGGGCAATGGATTCGATATATCCATGAGTTCGACGAGGAGAACTATATGATTATATGCTGTACTTACGACCAGGCGAAGGCATTCTTCAAAGCTCGGTGTAGAGAGATGGATCTTTTATTCAAAATGGTACAGGGGAAGACAAATCTATTCTTAATAATAGGGTGGTCAAATGAGTTCAAGTGTAGGTCACCTTATGGCTTCCATATAGAATACATATGTTGCTGACTCTAACATCGTATAGCTATGGATGTATACTGCTATGCTTTTATTACACTGGATACTCGGAAAGCATATCATGTTATGTTCAAGCATATATTTCGGATACTGAGTATTGTTGGAGGTCAAGATGTATAGTTTTGGCACATGAATGAGAAGGAGCAGGGCATTCGCATCATCACAGTCGACATGTGCCGAAAACAAGGCCCTGGTATGTCAACTCTTGCTTATGGAATTCATATGATAAATTTATAAGTAACTTCTAATACTTTTAGGCTTTGGCGATTACCTACATGACCTTGACGGTAGTTGGGAGTGGTATGAGCATCTACAACATCTATTAGTCTTCTGTTGAGTTCACGTTCAACGCAACCTCATGCGGAAACATCCAAAGCATCCAGCTACATATAATATTATGCAAATATGGGATACTACATCAGTCCATGATCTAGAGATGCAGATTTAAATTCTAAGTGAAGCCCATCCAGAGCTCAAGACATGGCTTCAAAATAAAACCAAGCCCTGGATCTTAGCCAGTCTAGCTTGTGAAAAGTCGCACATACCAATTACCTGGTGGTTATTTGCTCGCAGCCATACAGGACTGAGCGAGAGCTCACATTTTGCCGATAATAACTTCACTGGCCGTAAGCTCTCACTCCTAGCTGCAGTTTTGCGGTATGTTGACCCCTGACATATGTATACTATATGTATCTCATATCAAGCTTATGCTTTTAATAGGTTAAAGAAACGAGTAGATGATCTATTTAATAAGTGTAAAATAACCGAGGAATTAGGAGTCCGCTCAACATGGGCTAATACAAGTAATCAACAGCGGTACACAACTAAGATGCGGAGAGAAGGTGGGTGCTTCTATGCTGTGTGTATATATATATCTACGGGAACTGATATATATTCCAGATAAACAACGACAGAAACAGGCAAGAGCGCGGGCACATGATATCTCATGGCCTTTCAATGCGCAAAATCCATACCAGTTGGAGAACCCATCTCAAGATGCTATCCATTCTGATTCCGCGGTTGATGCGACCATAGGGAGTACTCATATCACAACCATATGGTAACTACTTGTCGCGTCGCCTCCCCCCACCCTAGACCGGGTGGTGGTCGGCCCGGACTCAAGGGCCACCCGGACTCAAGGGCCAAAAAATATGAAGTCTCATGTAAAATGTTTTACAGTCCACCAACGCCATATAAATTGCATATAAAAACTAGACAGGTGTTAAATACAAGCATTGTTCACCTATCTCCCTGAGTATTAAAGAAAAACCCGCTGTTTTGAGGCTCTGTTGAAGCCACTTCTTCCATTGGCTGCGGCACGCCAACGACATGGCTCTTATAGATTTTCAACAAATCCCCATCATGACGGCGTTTTATGAGGCGATTCGCATCTTTTACATAGAGTGCACCACTCGCTTTGACTTGGCGCTTTGTAGTTTTTTGATTCTTGCGCGTTGCTATATCACGAACCTTGGCAAAGCTCTCACGGTGTAGATCGCCTAATTCGGCCAAGGTGAGACTGCCTTGATTAACCACTTTTATACGGCGTGAAAGGCCCGGGCTTACTTCGTCAAGAATATCCTTTATACCGTCAATCGATTTTTCAATCTTATTGACATAGCGACGTAGTTTTACGGCCGTTGATGGTGGAGATATTAATTTTGTAGTTGGTGAGCTGGGAATAGTGTCATCCGCCTCGCCATATATTTTTAGTGCATCCCCTTCAGCAACAAGTGCTTCAAATGCTTCCTCTGGCTGAAGCATCATATCAAGTATAAGCCGAGGATTAAGAGGCCAAATTCCTCGCTCTCTCCAGCCATGCCGAATTGTTCGTGTGGTAAATGTCTTTATCCGGATATCGCGTAATTCTTCAAAAAAGTCGTTTTTATCAAAATCGAAGCCACCCAAGCGTGCAATCTTGTTCACAACCCGTCCATGAACATGTTTATATTGCTGAAATGGCACTCCATCGAGCGGTTGTAAAAAATGCGTAGAATGAGGCGGAAATCGGAATGGGCGAATGTGCCAAATTTCACAATATTGCACGAACTGTATAGTAAGATGAGTTGTATGATTATCCATAAGAAGTAACCGCCAA